AATCTAATAAACTAGTAAGTAAATAAAAATATATATATAATTCTTTTTTTTAATTCTAGCTTCTATTTTTTATTTTTTCTATAGATTCTTTTTTGTTTTTAGGTTTAATTAACTTATATATATTAGAATTCTTTTTTATTTACTAATTTCTAGAAATTATAAGATAATACAGAAAATACTATTAAAAGTACTATTAAAGCTAATCCTAATAGTAATAATAATAATAATAATAGTAAGCTATTAGATTCTTTTTTAATTTTACTATTTTCTTCTCTAGTAAAGGAAACTATAATTAATCTTATAGATTATATAAGTATTACTTTATAGTAATAAATATATTAGAAATATAAATATATTATTTCTTTTCCTTATTAGATATAGAGAATTAATAGGTATAATATCTTTAGCTTTATAAGTAAAACCTAAGATATCCGGGCTATTACTAGTACTTTACCTATTATTCTGGATAGAAGTCTAATTATTATTAAATTTCCTAGGCTAATTAACCTTACTTTTCCTAAGTAAACCTATTATATAAGGTTTAATAAATTATATATAAATATTTATTAAGATTAAGATAATTAAGAAAAAATAGGCCTAATATCTAATATACTTTTTCCTATATCTTATAATTAGCTTAGTATTATTTTAGGTCTTATTTTCTTATAAATATATATATATTTGGAATTTATAATTAATATTTTAAAATAATACTTTTTAATTAGTTCTTATATAATTTAAAAGTTAGGCTACTAAATTTAATACTTTTATAATATTTAAATCTATTTAAGTTTATAAAGTTTTATAATTATTAGAGCCTTTATAATTCTTTACTTTTTGAGTTTAATATCTAAATAATATTATATACTTTATCTTTAATATAAAAAAAGCTCCTAAAAGTCTAGGGTTATAAAGGGATTTTTATATTAAGGATATATTATATTATAATAATAAAATTATAGGTATTTATATATAAATATATAATATATTAGACTAGTTATATTAAAAACCATATTATATTTATATATAAAGTTACTAATTACTTTATATTAATACCAGATTTATATAGTTATATAATTCTATATAATTAGCTAGTTATAAAAAAGCCCTAAAGCCTAAAACTTATAAAGAGTCTTAAAGGCTTTAGGGCTTTCGAATTATTACTAGTATTTAGTACTTTTTAAAAAAAAAATATAATATATTCTATAATAAATAACCTATTATAAACTATTTAATCTTTAAGTTAAGTAAGAAATCTAAGGGCCGGGCTTATAATTTAAGTCTTATTAAGGTTATTAAAGTCTTTACTAGCTAGTACTATAGATTTAATAAAAATATTATAGGAATTCTATAGATTCTATTCTAATTTATCTAGAAAATATATATAATATATTTCCTTATTTATTCTAATATTTATATATAATTCCTGAAAGCCGAACTATTACCTAAGGAAAAAATAAAAAGGCTAGACTAATACTTTTAAAAACTAAGGCCTTAATAAGTTTATCTAGAAAAACTTACTAATTTTTCTAAAAATAATTTAAGAAAAGTTTAAATTTATTATATATTATAACTTATATAACTAGAAATAAAAACTATTCTAATAGGCTAGAAAAAGTTTTTTATATAACTTATTTATATAACTAGAAATAAAGACTTGAGTTTATTATATAAAATTATTTATATATAAAGACTTTTACTATAAATTCTTTATTTAAATTAATTAGTTAAACCTATTTTTAATACTAAGTCTTTATTAAAATAATTTCTTATTTTTAGAGGCTTTAGATAAAGTAACTAATAAGTTTCTTAGCTATTAGCTAAGACTTATTAGCTAGAAAATCTATAAATAATAAATAAGATTATAAAATAAAACTTTTCTAATTATAATATTAAGATATTTTACTATAATATAAAGTAATTAGATATAGAAGCCCTATTAAATATAATATATTTCGAACTATAAGTTTATAAGATAAATATAGGAAATCTTAGTATTTAATTAATATTATAATTTAGCCTAAAAATACCTACTATTTTTTATACCTAATTTAATAAAAATAAAAAGTATTTATATTTTAACTTAAGAAATAATTAGGACTTTTATATAGATTTAGAATAGTAATTTATTTTATAAAAAAAGAATAAACCAGAAATACCTATATTATATTAATTTTTAGAAAGAATTATAATAAATACTATAATTTCTGAAATACTTTTAAGAAAGCTTTTTCGAACTAAAATAGGCTAGTTTATAATCCCGAAAAATCTATAGAAGTCTTATATATTCGAGAGTATAAATACTTAAGATAAATATTATTTAAGTCCTAATTTATAATAAAAGAAAAGTAAAATATATAAAATAAAATATATAAAATAAAAGTAAAATAAAATATCCGGGTATTTAATAAATAGAAAGCCTAATTATAGGTTATAAGAACTAGTACTAACTAGATATATATATAGTAATATTAAAGGAAAAATAAGATAAAAGAAACTAAAAAGTAAATTAGTATATATTTTATAAAAGTAAATAAAGAGATATTTAAATAGCCTAAAGATAAGAAATATATATTAAAAAAATTAAAATTAGAGAGAAAAAGGCTATTTCCTATAAAAATAAGTTAGTATATATTCTAAGATAAAGAATAGAAATATTTAGTAATAGCCTAAAGGCTTTTATAAATATTAAAGAAAGAAAGAAAATATTAAAGTTTAGAGAAATCTAAATAAGAGTTAGTTTCTTTTTTAGAAATTTAAAAGAAAATATTTCTAAAAGACCTAAAAATATAAAAGATATTAGAAAAAGAAAAAAGGAAATATTAGAGAAAGAAAAGAGAGATCTAAAATTTAGCTTTCTAAGAAATAAGTAAATTAAAAACTTATAATATAGGAGTTCTAAATAAAAGTAATTTGGAAATAGTAATTAGATACTAGCTTTTAGTATTATTAGTAAAAGTATTAAAGAAAAAGAAGTTTGAAAAAGAAAAGGAAAGTTATAAGATAATTAAATATTAGTTTTTAGTATTAATAGAAAAAGTATTAAAGAAAGAAAAATAAGAAAAAGAAATAAGGAAAAGAAATAAGAAAGAGTAAAAAAAAGAAAAAAAAAGTTATAAGATAATTAGATACTAGCTCTTAGTATTAATAAAGATATTAATAAAGATATTAATAAAGATATTAATAGAAAAGATATTAGTAAAAGGCAAAAGCTTTTAATATTAATAGTAAAATCGAAAAAATATAGAAAAAAAATAAAGATTTTAAAATAAAAATAAAATAGAATTATAGTTTTATAGAAAATAAAATTACTAATATAAGATAATTATATTATTATATAATTCTATATTTACTTTTATTATTTATTAAAAATATATATTTCTTAGAAAAAAGTATTATTTAAAATTCTTAAGCCTTTCTAATTTAATAACTATATATTCGAAAAATAAGAAATAAATATAATTATATATACTAGAATAAGGGAATTTTTTTTATTTAAAAATTATAATTATAATATTACTAAATATAAAAATATAGAAGTTTATATAATAAGCTATATATAGAGATTTAAGAAAATTTAAATTATCTCAAATTATTTATAATTAGTAAAATAAATTAGCTAATTATATAAGTCAAGTATAGTTTAATTATTATTAGTATATCTTAGCTTTTATAAGTTAATAAAAGAAAAAATATTTATATTTTTATTTTTATAACTATAATACCTAAAATTATAATTTTTTTAATATTTAAATATATTTAATCTAGGGCTATTAAATACTAATATTTCTATTTTTAGGTATTATTTATTATAAATTTATTTAAATTTAAATAATTATATTAAATATATATTTTTATATCCTAAAAATAAATAATAAAGATATAGCTATACTAGCTTTAATCTTAGCCTTAATCTTAATCTTAACCTCTTTTTAAAAATAACTTTAATTCTAATATATAATACTATTATTAAAGCTCTTTTTTATTAAAGATATATTAAATATAACTTTAGGTAATAGCTCTAGTAAAAGTAAAAGTAATAGAAAAGATAATAAAGCTATAAATAAATAGAAAAATAATATTTATAATATATTCTCTAATAATCTAGATTTAGTTTATAATATCTTTTCTTATTAATATATTTAACTAATAAATTTCTTTATTTCTTAATTTTCTCCTTATATATAATCTTTTTCTTTTCCTCTATAATAATACTTTAATCTTCTTATATTATCTAATAATATTACTAAAATAGTAAAGCAAATTAATAATAAAACTAAAGTTAGAAAAATAAAGCTATACTAGGGCAAGAAACTAAAGAAATTAGAGAAAGATAAGGTAAATCTAGAGGCAAGCTTAATATATATTTATAAAACCGAATTCTCTTAAGCTTATATTATTTATAGTAATAAGAAAAGACTAAAGGGCCCTTTTAAATATTATATAGTTATAGAAAGCAAATTTAATAATACTTATATAAATTATAAATATAATAATAATAATAAAATCTATATTTTCTATTAACTTAATACTAATTCTACTAAATCTGGAAAGCCTTATTCTATATTTATAAAATCTTTTATACTAAAGCCTTAATTACTTATAAGATATAAAAAGTAAATATAAAAATAAATATAAGATTAGAAGATAATAGGGAAGAAAGTTATAATAGAGGAAAGTAAGAATACTAAAGGAAAAGGAAATAAAGGAGATATAAATAATTCGAGTAATATAGGTAATACGGAGGATATAGAGAATAAGAGAGATAGAGATATGCCTTATAATTTATAGGATTTGCCTTATAGACTATACAAGCTAAGGGGGGATTAGGAGTAGTCGAGAATAAGGCGTATATACTATACTTTTTTTTTTTGGTAAGGTGTGGTAGTGGGTGCGAAAATCAGAAAATCAGAAAATCACTTTTCGCTTCTCGGATTTGTCCGCTAGCCCGCTAATGGCCTCAGTATCACCACCGACTACCACTTAAAGCATGGAGGATCCGATAATATCTTGTTGGGTCCAGATGGCAAGGTCAAATTTTCTGCGATTCTGGTATGGTCTTCTCCTCGAGACTGGGGATTGGACCTTCAGGTCATCATGGATCTCCTCCTCTCCGAGAAAGGACATCTTGGCACCAGGTCTCCTATGAACGGAGATGTAAAACTCCCAAATCAAGGATACCTTCAAGATGAGCAGCCAGCGATCCATTTCTGCAATCCAGATTTGACATACGCTACTTCGCACCCCCACCCAAGAGCAGCTCAAGGTTCCTTCAGAGCTGCCCTGGAAGGTCTATGGTCTGCGACAACAGGAGGCGCAAAGCTTCTGAACTGCAAGACGGTAGGGAAGCCCACTGAAGAGACGTACATCTTCGGCGAGAAAACACTCGTGGAGTGGGAGAAAAGCATGAATGGCGGAGACGGAAAACTTGGGACGATCTATATGGTGGGTGACAACCCGAGTTCTGACATTCAGGGCGCCAATAACTTCACCAGCAGACTTGGAACTGAGTGGAAGAGCATCTTGGTGGAGAGCGGGGTGCATGTTGCTGGGGCAGAGCCTGCGCATAAGCCCGATGCCATCATGAAGAGTGTGAAGGAAGCGGTGGAATGGGCGTTTTGGAACGCGAAGTTGAGTGACTTGGGACACATCCGTGAGACCTCGGCAACGCCCGAGTCTGTATAAAGGTATGTCTTCCATCCTTTTCCCTTCTCTACTTCGGCGTCTCAGAAAGCTTGCTTTTTCAATTGCATTAGAAGAGTATCAATGATAAAAAAGGCAACTCTTACAAATTGACCTCACGAAAATTAGACCCTCGAACGTGAAATGTGTCTGACCTTAGATGTAGCCAGAGCAGTGAATATTTATAGGTCGTCTCGATGGCCTGGGTACCCAAAGGGCAATGAAGATGTAGTACGCTTAAATCTCAAATCGCGATGACGGAGTCTGCTAGCAGAGTCTCCTGCCGTGTTCCAGTCAGCTCAGGTGCATTGAAAAGCAAAATATCCTGAATTGTACATACCATCTCCGGCATATTAGGGAGAAGTTCATTTCATTCGGAATGTTTCCACCTTGGCATCCTCCCAAGCGCTTCCTCTCATGATTAACGACGTGCCAGGGTCATTGAAGAGTTGGTCGGGAATGTTCTCTCCAGGGCCTTGAAGTTCCCGTCAATGAGCCAGCATCCACCGACGAAAAGGTAAAAGTCACTATCTCTTCTGATGATCAGTGGAATCGGACATATGGCTGAGATGATAATAAGATCTCCAGTTTCAACCTAGAACGGCCCCCAGCTTGTGGTGTACATGTTCTTTGACAAACTGTGACCACCTTCAGGAATTGGGCTGTCTTCTCAATTCGAGTGCAGGTTATATTGCAATATTTTCATTGTCGTATGACTTTCTTTCTCCCAATTATATTCGAGATTGCAAGTGAAAACGAGAGTAACGACTCCGACGCAGACTCCTGAAAAGATTAAGAGGCTGGCATCTTTATGGACTGTAAACGCGCCCTCTTTTGCCATTTCAAGTTCATTATTGGGTTTATGTCCAGCACCGGCGACCCTGATATCGCAGATGCGGACACATCTAAAAATCCAATCCGGGAAATGAATCCACGGTTAGGCTGTTTATCATTCGTAAAAGCAGTGAACTATCTCAAAAGGTGCAGACGTAGATAGAAAAGCCTGCTGCGCTCAGGGCAAGAGCAGCAAAGCGAAGCAGAAATGAGCACCCTGGAACGCCTGCAGCTACTTCCATCTCCCAACTCCTCCAAGAAATTTTTTACAGAGTTTTTAACACCTCACTGTTGCCAATTACTTGTTGGAAGAACATCATCACCTTCAAGAGTATATTGCTTCCAAAACGCGGCAGTCACGTGTTCAAGGCTTGGACGTGGTCCCTCTTCATTCTTGACGGTCTCCCTTCCCCTTTGCTCTTTTCTAAGGCGTCCGTGTGAAGCACTGAGACTGGAGTATCTCTGCTGCAGCTCTTCGTATTTGTTGACTACCGTCTTCAACTGTTTCTCAAGACATTCAACAAGTTGTCTCTGACGAGCCCTGTTGTGTCATCACGTGACCTCTTAGCGCGGCACTGAAGATCCTCAGAAGAGATAGGCAGAAGTGAACCAAGTACCAGGTTAACGAATTACCGGGTAAAACGCATGCCACGTAATACGAAGGAGATTTCTAGAACTCTGATTAATTCTAGAAGAGAAGCGTGAAGCTCGTAGAAGCTTGGGAGCGAGGCTAAATACTCCTTAGCGCCATAATTAAGCGAAATATGTGCCTGAGGCTCAAGCGAATTTTCCCCCTCACAGCACCCTGTATCTTAGTCTCGAGCTCCCCGCTCCTTCTTCCCTCTTTAGACGTACATTACACACCCAATTTTCCACTGAGAACACCAGCCACTGGTCGTGATAAGCCCGGAAGGCTTGCTGAGCTTTGCAATTTTGACTCAGTCTTCTCTGCCAAACAGCTAGTATCTTTGAAGAAAGAATGTGGTCCGATTCAGCTTGCGCTGTGCGCTTTTTCCTTGCTTATAGATGCCGAATTTGAGGAGAGCCCCCGTCCCGGACAATTCGGGCTTGCAAGACTCTCTAGTATCAAAATATCACCGGGATCCCATTCAAAATCGCCAGTGGAAAAAAGTGTTGGGTTGGCTATAGTCTCACTTGGGAAATGGTGGTTGTTTCTGTTCTTGTCAGACTCGTCCAGTGTGGATGCAAAGGGGTTCTCTTGCCTCGCCCATCCTCCACTCAGACGCAAGCGAGTCAATTCGACCTTACAGTAGCAACCACAACTTAGTTCGATGCTGGATCGAAAATGGAAGCATGTCCATTAGATAAAGAAGCCCGCTTTTCTTTAGTTCGGAGAGCGGCTCCATGTGACGCCTACGGCTCCCCACCTTGGGAACCCGGCTCTTGGGTTGTGCATCCATATGTACACTGCCATAAACCTTTTTCTTTCCTTCTATATTCTCCAATCAACTGGGTTGAAGCAATGGCTTCCGAGGGCCCCAAGCTATCTGCTGATTTATTCATAGGGTACAAGGAATACAAAAAGGCAACTACGACAGCATATTTGGATGGCTTGCAGCAAATTGTGGAACCGGTGTGGAAGCTCACGAAATCTAGGCACTGGAAAGTACCAGGCGAGCCACAAGGTTCATTGCAGGAACAGAATCGAAGCTCCTGACGACGTCCTCATTGCTCTAAATGACACGATTGAACGAAGAACGAAGCTGCATCGTTCCTTCCAAGAAAGAGGTGATCCCGAACAACCAAAGGTTTGCGAAGAATCAGTCGCATGTTCATTTCATTTCAATATCAACGTTGTGGCGAGTCTATATTTTGCATTCTCTGACGTTCATAGTATGGTAAAGATTTAATGATCTCTCTGGGTATGAAAGTTTTCTCAGAGAAAAGTCGACGCCCCACTCACAAGAAATAATAAGTGCCAATCTCGATGGCATCCTCTCTCCAAACCTCTTTCTCACGTTGCAAGACTTGAGTATTGAAGCCGAAAGCACTGAATACGATAGTTCTCCATCTCAATCAATCTTCAGAATCCGGAGCCCTCAAGCTGTCCTCAAGACCAGGACCAAAAAGAGAGACGAAAAAAGTCGGCAAGAGCAATGACATACGAGTCCGAGTATGATTTCGATCGACAACTTTACGGGAGATATGAACGCGCTTATTGCTATTCGGTTTGTCTGCTTGAGCTCTCTGCAGGTGATCCGGGAAAGGGGCTCGCTCGGCTCATCTTGACCCGAGCAAAAACGTCAAAGCTGGGGTATCAAATTGACACCTCGGTCCCCTGGACCATCAATAACTACGTCTCAATTAGCCGCATCGCCGCACAATTCTTCCGTTATGCCCTCGCCGAAGCTAACGGCCCTGTTTACGAAGTCATGCACACGCTGATTGCTGGAATTGAGGGTGGCAGGGCCGTTAGCTCTGCGGGGTGAAGCGTGTCTTCGCGGACTGCATCCGCGATAATGTTACTCTTGCTCTACACTTCACCAGTTGCTATATAACTAATGCCATAGCTAATCACCTTTCAGTATGCAGCAGATCAGTTTTTCTAGGCAGCCTCCTTCGCCATGCGTGTCCTCTTCATGTTCATCGCGCTCGCCGCGCTTCTCTGGGCCGGCGTGGCTTCGAACGATGGGCTTTCAGACGTGGTGACCTGGGACCCGTATTCCTTGACTGTCAATGATAGCAGGGTATTTGTATTGTAGGTCATTGGACTCACAGACCTGTCCGTACTAATAACTTCCAGCTCTGGCGAATTTCATTACCAAAGAATGCCTGTACCGGAGATGTGGTTGGTAGGTTTGGACACCCAATTCAATCGCAGATGCTCACGGTTATCAGGATATTTTCCAAAAGTTCCGTGCCAATGGGTTCAATGCTATTAGGTAAGTACCTTCTATTGGAGATTATGACTCCTCTAACACTTTCAGCGTATATTTCTTCTGGTCTTATCACTCGCCTGCAAAAGGCGTATACGATTTCGAAACGTCCGGGAAGAATATTCAACGCTTACTTGACTACGCGAAGGAAGCTGGGCTATGGGTGATTGCTAGAGCGGGACCATATTGCAATGCGGAAACAAATGGAGGTGGCCTTGCTCTCTGGGGCTCGGATGGAAGTCTGGGAAGTTTGAGAACGAGCGACGAGACATATCATCAAGCATGGCTTCCTTGGATCACCAATGTAGGAGAGATACTGGCAAAGAATGAGATCACAAAAGGAGGGGTATATTCGTGACTATCTATCACCAGCTGAAAAGGAACGCTTGCTAATTCCAACAGCCAATCATTCTCAACCAAGTCGAGAACGAGCTTCAAGAAACAACGCACACAGCAAAGAATACTCTCGTCTTATATATGGAGCAACTTGAGGCAGCATTTCGAGCAGCTGGAATAACGGTTCCATTCGCACACAATGAGAAGGGCGAGAGGAGTATATCTTGGAGTACCGATTATCAAGATGTCGGAGGTGCAGTCAATGTATACGGTCTGGATAGCTATCCTGGCGGACTCTCTTGCACGAACCCCAATACCGGATTTACAGTTGTTCGAAATTACTTCCAATGGTTCTCAAACTACTCTTATACACAGCCAAGCTTCTTTCCGGAATTTGAAGCGGGCTATTTCACGCCTTGGGGTGGAAGCTTTTATGATGATTGTTCTGCGGAGCATGATCCGGCATTTGCGGATGTCTACTACAAAAACAATATTGGGCAGAGGGCAACTATGCAGAGCTTGTACATGGCTTGGGGTGGCACAAATTGGGGGCATTGTAAGCATCGATACAGTATTCTCGATGAACGCCAATACTGATAAGAGTAGCTGCCGCCCCTGTTGTCTACTCTTCGTACGATTACTCCGCTCCATTACGAGAAACAAGGCAGATACAGGACAAATTGTATCAGACAAAACTCATTGGCTTGTTTACGAGAGTTTCTACCGACCTTCTGAAGACGTACATGGTTGGAAATGGCACTGGCTATGCAGTAAGTCTTGTTTATAACATAAATTTGACTCGAAATTGACCTATCAAGACCTCCTCTACCGCAGCCTGGACCTGGGAGATTCGCAACCCAGACACTAACGCGGGATTCTATGTCGTACAACAAGCATCCACAAGCTCTCGTGCATCCGTCACGTTTTCTGCGAATCTCAATACCTCTCAAGGCTTGATCACTGTTCCGAACATAAATCTGAATGGACGCCAAAGCAAGATACTAGTCACGGACTACGTCCTTGGAGACCACACTCTTCTATATTCCTCGGCGGACGTACTCACCTACGGAACCTTTGATGTTGATGTCCTGGTCTTCTATCTCGAGGAAGGGCAGGCTGGTCAATTTGCGCTCAAGACCGCCAGTGCCTCCACTCACACGGTCTACGGGACTACGGAAGCCACGGTCAGTTCATCAAGCAATGTTACAACAGTCGCCTATACTCAAGGCGCCGGAAAGACTGTTCTCAAGTTCGATGGACTCTTGATCTACCTCCTTGACCAGCCATCAGCATGGAACTTCTGGGCGCCGCCAACCACTACAAACCCAAATGTCAAGCCAAATGAGCAGACTTTTGTTCTCGGACCCTACCTTGTTCGAAGCGCATCGATATCCCATGGAGTGGTTCATATCTCCGGTAACAATAATAATTCTACGATCATTGAGGTGTACACTGGGGTGTCTGGGATCCAGACAATCGACTGGAATGGAATTCGTCTCAATGCCGTCAAGACTCCTTATGGTTCAGTGACGGCACAGATCCTAGGCTCCGAGGATCGGGCAATCTCTTTACCATCTTTGACGAACTGGCGCTCGGCAGACTCTCTTCCTGAAAAGCTCTTATCTTATGACGACTCGAAATGGACTGTATGCAATAAGTCAACTACTTTAAGCCCAGTGGCCCCTCTTACAAAACCTGTCCTATTCTCAAGCGACTATGGTTACTATGTTGGCACCAAAGTCTATCGTGGCTATTTTGACAGCACGGCCCTTACCTCCGTCAACCTCACATGTTCGGGGGGTCTTGCATTCGGCTGGTCTGCCTGGCTGAATGGAGTTCTGGTTGGAGGGCATGTGGGCACTGCTTCATTACCAACGACGAACGCTGTCCTGTCATTGCCACTCTCTTCCTTGCAGGCTACGGATAACCTTCTCACCGTCGTGGTCGATTACCATGGCCACGATGAGACCTCAACTGCGAAAGGTGTCGAGAACCCTCGCGGCATATTGGGAGCTTCCCTCATCCCACCCACAAACTCGTCCAGTACCGGCTTCAAACTGTGGAAAATTCAAGGCAATGCTGGAGGATCAGCAAATATCGACCCAGTTCGTGGTCCCATGAATGAGGGTGGATTATACGGCGAAAGAGTTGGCTGGCATTTACCTTCCTTCACCCCCGATTCCACTTTCGACCACTCAAGTCCTTTAACCGGCCTCAACTCGCCTGGAATCCGCTTCTACATTACAACCTTCCACCTAAACCTCGACTCTGACCTCGACGTCCCACTTGGTATCGAACTCAGCGCTCCAGCTGGCACAGTGGCAAGAGTAATGATCTGGGTAAATGGATACCAATACGGGAAGTTTGTTCCCCATATCGGTCCGCAGACGAGATTCCCTGTTCCGCCAGGAGTTATCAATAATAGGGGGTTGAATACGGTGGCATTGAGTTTGTGGGCTATGAGTGATGAGGGGGCCAAGTTGGATAGCGTGAAGTTGATTAGTTATGGGGCTTATCAGACTGACTTCAAGTTTAATGGGGATTGGAGCTATTTGCAGCCGGGTTGGGATGAGAGTCGGTTGGACTATACCTGAGCTGTGGTAGCCAGAGGCTAAGTCACCTCAACCCTGTATGGGAATCTGGATGCATTATCGCAAATCTTGACAACAGTTTCTCAACAAGATCAAACAGTTTACGATCGTTCTTCCCCCTTCCTTTCATGAATGTATCTCTTATTAGTACAAAGGCACGTTATGGTGATATGGTGGGGCGATGGCAGTGACTTGCAGGACTGAGACATGAACTCGCGATCTCAATCTGTAAGGCTTTGGTCTCCACATCTCTCCAAGTTTCAATTCAACAAAGCACCTTTATTACACAAAAATCAGAGCACTAGGTCAGATATCAACAGGCGCTTGTTCAAGCTCGGAACGGTTGTAGAGCTCGATAGTTGATCTTGGTACCAAGTGAGAGGCACGAGGCATTGGTGGCAATTAATGTTTCTAAATCCGACCTGGAAAATTCGCTGAGGAGATTGGGTGTGGGCATGATGCAGTTGTATGTTTCTTCTTGCTGTATTTCAATTTTCTAAGTTTCAGCGCTCATGTGGAATCAGTGAGCAAGACTGACTGAGAGAACGGCTCTCAGGAGTCAATAACGACCAGCAGGAGCGATCAAATGCATTGTAACAAATACTCTTGGATCCTATAAATGGAGTAGAAAGTCATGAAAACGCGGCATCGCCTCCAAGCGCCATCCATGATGAAGTGGTAACCCCAGAAGATACCGCGGCTTCAGTTACCGCTCCAAGGCAAGGAGATTTCATGTGGGAGCCCCCAGATGGTCTTCCACATTCTGAGGAGCTGCGGCAGACTTCCGATGGCGGCAAACTAAGAAAGCCGAGAGAACTTCAATTGAGAACAAGCGTCAAGAATCTGATCCTCTAGGGGCAATTCTGAGGTCTTAGACAAAGCACGTAGCGCCCACAATGACGAGCGAAGATGGGAACGACAAGGTGGGCGAGCAGAGGGCTGCTATGCCAAAGTCTTGAAATTGCAAAATTTTGTTGGAATGTTCAGGGGCATGAGACTGGGGATATCTTCCCGGGAGGTGTCGTCTGGCCTGGGGAGAGGAGCGGTAGGCCAGGGTGTATTTGGGTTACGCAAAGGAACAAAATACCTAAATTACGGACGCGAGGCCCTCCCTTGTGCTTCAACTAGATGGCAATCCCTTCTCGAATCAAGGTCCACAGTATATTTTCAGACCAGGCTGACCCCCCTTTTCTGGCTCGCTTAGCCACGGCTCCACATTTTCTAGTGAAACTTTTGCAAACATCTTCACCATGAAGACTTGTTTCACTGGCACTGCGCAAGTCCAATACAGCCTATCACTGAAATTTAGGTCGTGCCTCGCTGATGCATTCGAGGTGACTCTGTCTGATGGCACGACTCGTTGCGCCTTAACCAAGGCCAACAACTAAATGTTTTCATTGGCTAATCTGCGTGTGTACGATGTCAAACGTCGAGAACCCAGCGATTTTACTCAGATGGTCCCTTGTATGTTCAAAGCATTAAGGCTAAGAAGGAAGTGAAGCTGAGCATTTGTACTCCGCCGAGGGAAGTATTGTCATTCCCATGATACTTCACTTTCCAGCTCTTCCCCCCTTTCCCATCAAACTGGAAATAGCACTGAACCGTGCCTCTGTGCCCTATGAAATGAAATGAGCTCCTAAGTTGGCCACTCAAGCACTTAATATCCAACCGGTACATACAGCACAGCACGGTACCATCACTTTGGCAATTCCTGGAGCTCTGTCTGCAGATCATCTTCATCACTATGGCTAATATATCATAGGATCACAAAGGCGCCGGTCGCAGTCATAATTGCACAAACCATTATCGCGGCATGGTTCACAGACTTTGCGAGCGAGGGTACGGTCCAGAGCAGGTAGTGCGAGACCAGACACGCTGACAAAGGCGACGATGCCGAGGAGGAGGGAAGTGAAGCGCATGTTGGGAGCTGAGTTCGGTCGCTTAGTTTTAGACATGGCAGCAGATTGGAGGGTGGCTCACCTAAAACGCATATGTCACTTGTAGATTTGGGAAGACAGATGAATGAAGAGAGTTGATGTGAGGTTGATGGGGGATCACTGCAAAGCTGAGGGGGTTCTGTAAGAAAGAAACCTGCGACATGAGCGGAGTGTGCTGAGTTTTGAGTAGAATTCTACGTTCATACACGGGTTCGATTCCGAGGAGGGGTAGCCATCTGTGGCTCCCTCGCTTTGGAATACCCGTGGCACGGGGATGGAGGGGAATGGACCTTGAAATCCAGAAGAGATTATTGGTGCAATAGAGAATTTCCGTGTTATATTAGAGGAGCTATATAAGCCTAAAGCTTTAAGCCTGGATTAAGATTCTACTGTGCCTCCCTGATAGTTGTCAACACCGGCTGACTGCTGGAAAAGCCTGGAAGGGGGGCTAACCGGCTAAGCGAAATTTTTGAAGAAGGTGGTCGTATATAATTGAATAAAGCTTTTTCCAAATATCGGCAAGCGACACGACGTTGGTAGTTAGAGCCCTAAAAAGCGATAACTAAACAGCGCGGGCACAGGCTACTGTTATGGTAGACTTGGGGAGTCAGCTTGGGACTTGCTGGTAAAGGATTAAGGCTTTGGCATATAACCTTTTGCCATTTTCATCCTCTGGAAGTACATTGACTCAATTGGGTGTCTTTTTTTGCTATAGCTAGGTATTATGTTTTTGCAACTTTTTGAGCGTTTGTTGACTCGCTTAAGTGAGGTAAGAACTCGCAGCTCGCTAAACTCGCTACTACCAACCCCCATCCCCCCCTAAATAATTGTTAGCACGTATGTTTTGGGTATAGGTGCGGGTAGGGATCCAGGGTGCTTAACCAGTGAGAAACTGTCTTCAGCTAGCTGGGAGCCACTGCCAGGGCAGAAAGCCCTCGGGAATCTTCTACGTCCACCCTTGATTTAATAAATAGGCTAATTTTTGCCCTGTGTAACATGGCTGACCAGGTCCTGAGCCACTTAAAAATCATGCCTCATTGAAAACTGGGGCGGTGGAGGCCGCCAGCAATTATTTAGGGGGGGATGGTAGGGGGGATAGTGACGGCAGCAACTCCAGCATACCACCAACTCCGACATTTTTGAATAATCAAGTAACTATATTAGATATCGTATTAATTGTTTTACATGTGTATAGATACTAATTAGTTTATTTAATTCATTAAATATCTAAGCCATGCGATATGTTGTAGCGGGACAATTGAATCCTTAAGCAAAAGTTGTAATATTGGGTTCACGTCAGGCGATTTTCTCTAAATTATGAGCAGATTCATATGTTATGAAGTCAACTATTTAGCTCTGCCACGCACGAAAATTATGAAATTTATATTAAGGTTTTTGTTATAAAGAAATCATAAGCCTCTATTAATAGTTACTTTTTAAGTTTTAATTAAATATGTTAAATATATTAAACGAGCGATATCGGAGTCGATTGGTTTCGGCCCGTCGGAGTTGGTGCGACCGACGAGCGGAGCGACAGGGGGAGGAAATGCCGATGAGTTAGCATGTGGAGTTCGTGTTTTCCGCTTCGGTATCTACTTGGAATCTTTATGAATTGAAGGAAACAGTGAGATGGCAATTCTAGTACTGTAGTAGTCTTTACACAGCTGAGAGTTCAATAGCGAAGGCCTCATCTTCAAAGTTACAGTAATTGCCTGGGAGGCAGTCCGGAGCTTGTCCGGGGGTTTTCACACCTCCGACAAAGGAGGAACATTCCTATGTCAGTTACAGCAGAACCTCGCTATAACGATCCCTCGATATAACGATTGGTCCGTGCACCCCATACAAAAACCTCGCAGTATCGTTAGATATTTTCGGTCCCAAACCCCTGTCACCACCAAAAGTTAACGATAACCTCGCAATATCGTTAAATATTCTCGGTCCCGAGGCAATCGTTATAGCGAGGTTCTGCTGTATTGTCAACAACCGAACCGTGGCTACCTGAAATAACCATCTTGGAGAATCATCTGTTATTTTTAAGGCGTAAAAACTCGATCATCCAATAGTGAGGCCAATTCTCTATACTTTTTGATAAATGTCAAGTGTTCTCAAACCTGTTTGCGTTGGTTGTGAAGTGAAGCTGGGCTGTTTTGCCAAATTTGGTGGAAGCGGGACCGGACGTCGTGGCCGGAGGGATATCGGAGGGGGGAAGGAGTGACGTGGTAGTGATCAGGAAGGGGCGATGTGCAACGAAACTTTGGCACTCGGATGCAGCTGTCGAATCAAGCCTAGCCCCCTTTGCCCCTGCAGCCATGACGAGCCATTCTTGACATCAAAAGCGAGTGGCTGAATGCTACCCCTCCATTCCCCCGCCTAGTGACTAATTCCAAGTCCCGTTTCACCATATGTTCTCCCTCCTCTTTCTCACCGTGATCTGAGCCTGAGTCGAGGAAAACGGAGTTCGGTCATCGCTGTTGTGCCGGAATTCAACTCCGTTTGTTTGCTAGGAATAAGGTTTCAACGGCGGTCAAGCCTGCACGACCGACCCCACTTCTACGGACTGATAAAAAGTCTGCCCGATACTCCTCGCCGCTCCAGAACACCCTCTTCCCTTTCTCACCATCACAATGGCTTCCCTCCGAGCAGCGGCGCGATTGCGTCCAGCAGCCTCTCGTGTCACCAATTCCACCCTTCAACCACGATTCTATGGCGCGGCGGGCGCGGCGGCAGCTGTCCAGAGCCCGCCTTCCTTCGGCGAGCAACCATTCTTTCGAGGTGAGCCGGTGGGACCGATTGTCAGGACTGCCATTCCTGGCCCGATAACCAAGAAGGCAATTGAGGATCTGGATAAGGTGTTTGATACCCGGAGCCTGAACATGATGGCCAACTACCAGAAGAGCTTTGGTAATTACATTGCTGATCCGGACGGAAATCTACTGTTGGATGTGTATGTCCTGGAGTGCTTTTGATGCTATGGCAGACTGATATTGGTAGCTACGCACAAATCGCCTCCATCCCCGTTGGCTATGGCAACCCCTCTCTCCACCAAGCCATCCTAACCGAACAAATGGCTTCCGCCCTCATCAACCGCCCAGCCCTCGGAAACTTCCCCTCCCACGACTGGGCCGACATCCTACGAACCGGCATCTTGAAGGTAGCACCGAAGGGTCTCGACCAGGTCTTCACCGCAATGGCCGGCTCCGACGCCAACGAAACCGCCTACAAAGCAGCCTTCATGTGGCGGCGCCAGTACGAGCGCGGAGGCGCCAATGTCGAGTTCTCTGAAGAGGACATCGCATCCAGCATGCTAAACCAGGCCCCCGGTGCCCCGCAACTCTCCATCCTCTCCTTCAAGACCGCCTTCCATGGCCGGCTGTTCGGCTCCCTGTCCACGACGCGCTCGAAGCCCATCCACAAGCTCGACATCCCTGCCTTTGATTGGCCACAAGCTACATTCCCGCTCCTCAAGTACCCACTTGAAGACTACGTCGAGGAGAACGCAAAGATCGAGGCCGAGGCCCTCGCGGACGTCGAGCGGATAATCACCACTCATCATCTCCCACCCTGCGCGGTGGTCGTCGAACCGATTCAATCAGAAGGCGGCGATAACCACGCCTCGCCCGCTTTCTTCCGCGGCCTCCGTGCCTTGACGAAGAAACATAACGTCCTGATGATCGTGGACGAAGTGCAAACTGGTGTTGGCGCAACGGGCAAGTTCTGGGCACACGAGCACTGGAACCTCGAGACGCCGCCGGATATGGTTACCTTCTCCAAGAAAGCGCAGACCGCCGGATATTACTTTGGAAACCCTGAACTACGACCGAATAAGCCGTATCGCCAATTCAACACATGGATGGGTGATCCTGCTCGGGCTATCCTCTTCCGTGCTATCATCGACGAAATCGAACGTTTGGATTTGGTCACGAACACGGCGAACGTGGGCGAGTACCTGTACGGTGGAATTGAACAATTGGCGAAGGAACACCCAGGCGAGATTATGAATTTGAGGGGCAAGGGACAGGGGACCTTCATTGCGTTCGATAGCCCGAGACGAGACGAGTTCTTGAAGAAGGCGAAGAGCGTCGGTGTTAACATTGGAGGGAGTGGTGAGAGGGCGGTGCGACTGCGACCAATGTTAATTTTCCAGAGGCACCATGCGGATATTTTGTTAGAGGCGTTGGAGAAGATCGTCAGGTCGTAGGCGGTAGCCTGGGCTTTTACTTCTCTTGAGCAGGATCGGAAATGGAGTTGTGGCATGGGATGGAAAGCAATTTGCCTATAGATGATCGATCATGGATTTGCACCGGATTTCGGGGCAGGTACCCGGGATTTTCTTTCACACTGATGGCGAGATGAGCTAGAGATACACATGGGAATCAACTCATGATGAACAATGGAAAATAATACAACGGAGAGCGAGGCGCTGTGCAAATGCCTGCAGACATTCATCCATTTATTTACATTCACATTATCGCTTACCTGCCCCGCCCCGCCTCGCCTCAGCCACCCTATGTACCCCCCTTCGCCAATGCTTCCATTCATGCTCCGTGAAAACACGCCGAGGTAAAACTAGCGATCCCCCTCCCTCCAAGCAATGCAGAAAATCCATGCAAAACCCGCGTTGATCATTCGTGTCCATCCAAGAAGCCAGATGAATGGATGGATATAGCAGACCCCGGACGCCAATGCTGTGTTCTCGTTGTTTCTGGGGTGTATGATACATTGTGGTACATTAGTACAGTGCCCATTCCCTCTAATCAGTGGCCCATGAGACTTTCCCTCTCACGCTTCATACCATTCGTATCCTCCACGCCTTCCATCTCATCACCATTGCCGTGATCAGACTTAAGGCCGTGACAGTTAAGATTAAAATGGTGATGAGCATTCTCGGCCGTCTTAAGAGAGCCATCCTGCTCCATCTTAATAGCTTCCTCATTCTCGCGCATGAGATCTTCTTCCTGCCTCCTCAGCTCCCTTTGCTCTTCCGTTTCCTCCTTCGAGACAACCGGTTCCATACCCTCCATTTCCGTTTCATCGGGCATCCCCTCCGCAGGCGGCGGCGGTGGTGGCGGCGGCGGCGTAAAATCTTCCTCCTTTAACCGCTTGCTGTCCGAATCATCGCCCGGTGTCTCCTCGCCCGTCCGCTTGCGTTTGAGCTCTGGCGAGGATTCAGTGAGGGACGGCGTAGTCGATGCACGCGGTGAGCTCGGAGCGCCAGGCGGGGAAGGCGACGAGGGGGTGAGGTCGATGTCTTCCGCTTTCTCATCATCGACTTCACCCTCCGCGTCCGCTTCTTCCTTCCCATTTCCATTCACCTTCTGAGCACTGCCCAAGCCGTTCGCGAGTTTAGCTTTCTCCTTTTCCTTCTTCCGCTTATCGAGCTCTTTTTTCTTCTCTACCGCCTTCTCGAAAAATTGCCGCACGTATGCTTTCACTTTCTTCTCCTGTTTCTCCGAGATCTTGGTTGGATCGTCGATGCGCCCGTTCTTGAAGTCGGATGCTACGAGCTTTTTGCCGACTTCTTTGGCGAATTTTTTGAGGTCGTCCTTTGGGAGTTGCTTGGTGAACTTTTGCATTACGTGTTTGATGTGCGGGAAGAGCTGAGGTGTGTTAGTGGCTGGTGGCAGTAGTTGGAGAGAAGACTTACAGTGTTTTCGTAGAGCTTCATCTGCTTTTCTTGCGGAAGGGATCGCCATTTTTCGGAATGTTTCTTCTCTTTCGGAGTGGAGTCGGCAGTAGGGGTGGGATGAGTGGGCGTTTGAGAACTAGGGTCGGGCTTGGTGATACTGTCGATGATGTCCTGTAAAGCTTTCGCAGTTTGGACGCTCTTTGGAGGGGCTTTTGGAGGTGGAGGTGGCTCTGGCGCAGGAAAAGTAGGCTTGATCCATGTTGTCTGGCCGGATTTACTGTAGTAGTATGGATTTCCCTTTTCATCCATGGCAGTGAACCAACCAACTGGTAAGGTGTTGAAAGGTCTTCGAATAGGAGGGCGAGACGGGATGAAGTTCAGGTTCCGTTGGGGCATGTTACTTCGAGGGCCAGTAGGAGCGACGAGAACTGGAGTGGAAGGGGATTTGGTGACTTCTTCTGGTCGATCTGTATTTCGTCGTTCAAATACAGAAACTGCAGAAGGGTCAAACTTCTTCCTTGGTATTCGGTAAGCGACCTCGAGCTTGCTCCATTCTTCCAGAAGTCTCTTTGATTCAAACACGACATCTTCGTGCTCGGAGCCAACAAACGTCTCAATTGTGGCTTCGATTTTGGAGTCGCTGATTTTGTTCCGAGTGAGCCGAGGGAATTTATAAAGGATGTCGAAGATCTGGAGAACAACATCGTTGTCGTCCTTCCATGTGGTCAGGCTGGTTCGGAGGATTTGGTAGCCGTGCATTTGGACGACTCGGTTGCGGACCTTGTCATCGTCGCACCGTTGTATTCGACTGAGCAATTTGACAGCGATCCATTTTTCCTTGCATTGCATGAGAGTGGCCATGACCTTTCGGACGCCATCCTCATCAAGACCTCGTGGTTGGACGTTATTGACATATTCTTCATCGTCTTCGCCAGTCTTCTTTTTGCGGGGCTTCTTGGCGACGGCGGAGTCCCACCCATCACCATCATCAATACCGAGAGCCTCGATTGTCGCATGGGATAAGTTGGTGGCACGCTCCGTCTGTGTCTTACCTCCGATGAAACCGGAGCAATTTGGTTCGCCACAATAGCAAGGTTGAGGGTCAGCTCCGTAGCGGTCCACATTGTAGTTGAAAACCAGCTCCTCACCAGCTTTGATGTGTCGCTCGGCAAAAATGCCCATGCGCAACTTCTCACCTACCACCCATTTGTCCACGTAGCAATTGGGATTGCACGAATGGTTGCAAAATCGACCGAGATTGCCCTTCTTCGTAGCATCGACGAATTCGCTTTTCGTAAGGGACATAAAATAAAAATGTTTGATGCCTTCTTCGGCATATGTGTACGTGCGCTTCCTGAACGTCGGCTCGTTGATGACTTCGCCGATGTACTCGAAAATGAAGTCATTGGGATTTAAGTCGGTATTTGCACGCAGCCCGTACCCTTTTTTCTCTGTCTTGATGACTGAGACGTTGGCGTACTGCCTGCGTTGGAATCGCTGATTTTGACAGCGGACACCGCAATTGCAATCTCCGTCTACGCATTCCATTTTAGTTGCACGGTTGATACAGTCGGTTTCCTCCCCGCACGCATGATTCTTGCCATCGACTGAAGCACCCGTCAGCATCTGTAGACCCAGCAAACCAGGAATACTCACCCCACTGCTCAGAGCAGTCGCAGTCCAAGGCATCGTGCTCTGAATATCCCATGTACTTAGATCCATAGATGCAGTCCTTGATTACTTGGAATACTGTAACGGCCTCCTCTGTAGAATCCTCGACGTGGTCGAAGAGCTGCGGCGGGCGTGCAACTACTTTTCGTGATGATTTTCGTGAGAGTTTAGGCGCTTTACCGGGCTCGACTGTGACCATGATGTCTCCCCCAATGATTTCTTCCTCGCCATCTTCGGATTTAGGTGTTTGGCTTGCACTCTGCTTCTTGACTGGAGACTGGGATGAGGACTTCCTTGCCGTAGGGGTCGAGGACCGCGATCGCTTGCTATCTTCAGGAGTGGGAGCATCGTATGTGCCGTGGAGCGCAATTGTATCTTCTGGCTCGGAGGGTGAGCTTCCATCCTCTAGCTTCACCTCGCTGAGCGCAGCGTCTACCACCTCTGATCTTGTGTCTCGAGTATCATCGGCCATATCTGTAGGGGTTTAGACGCTCGAAGGTGCGCCGGGTTCGTCGCAGGGTCGGAGAAGAGATTTGCTTGCTCGGAGTCGAGAGTCGGGCGAGCTCTACTCCGCACAAGTCGACTCTCTGCGACACTCCCACAATTGGTTGGCCCAGGCACACAGCGTGCTATCGAAAGCAATTGTAGGCGGAGCAAAATTCTTCTTTGTCGTGCAATGGGTTGCCGTCGGTCGCAGACGTGTGGGGCAAGGGAATGGTTGCGCCTGGCAGGCGGTTTGTGCTTGTTGAAGGAACCGTAAGGATTGTGGATGCGAAGAGGTCTGCGACGACGATGGGAGAGGGATATAGCGGAGCTGGACTGCTCGCAGACGCAAACATGAAGCGCGACCTCGATGTGAGAGACTTGGAGACTTCGGAGACGAGGTGAGGAGAAAACTCGAGGACGAAGATGATGATGGAATAAAAGGACGGCGATACCACCTTTACCTCTTCCACATTGCTTGTCCAACCCCTAAATCTCCTTTTTATCGCTCGAATTGCAGCCAGTATTCACTCTTCATTTGTTCACCTCTCCTTTCCCCTGCCGAAGTTGGTTGAATATCAATTGCTATGAAGAAGAGGCGGAGACTGTTGATAATGTACACTGGGAAGGCTCGTGCTCGGCAAATGCCGTGTCGGCCTTAAATATCCCTTGGAAGACTGGAAAGTAAACCCCATTCCATCCAACTTGATAGGCTCCATTACATAGGCTCTTGCGAAACTATCATTGTATAGATTTCCATGGTTTGGAGGAAATCTCCCATGTTTTGTTGCTTGTCGGGGTGTTTTCTCCCCCCTAGTGGCAATCCATCTTGCACACTGACCCCGATCCACCTACACCTGACGCTGTAGAACGCACATGATTCGAAATAGAAGCTTGCCTACATTTTGCCTGCCGCAGATGGGCCAAATCGTTGCGGTGTGCTTTAAGGGCTTTAAGGCAGCAGATCTTACTTCGGGCTCCCACTATGGGCATCAAAACTCCCAAAGACATACTGGTGCCCGACTCGCAAGTGTCCCTCTTGAGTTATTGCGCTTCTCCCATCTCATGGTGTTCTCCTTGGGAGGCTCTTGATGATGGCACCATTCCTCCAATATGGTCTTAAACAAGCTGGCTTGCCAAAGAGCTTACCATCTCAGTGGTCAATCGATGCCAAAATCTGGACTGGTCCATTCGGAGAATATTCCTGAAAAGATCCACTCCTCTGCCACTCCTTCCAACAGGTGTTGCGGTAACAGAATCCGGAATATCAGTCGACCCGCTTTGGGCAGACCGCTTCTTGCCCAAAGCCCATTTTGCAAGCCGAAGCCCAACCCTTCTCCGCAGTGACAGATCGGATAGAGAGGTACGCACAACGAAGGGTGCAGGATTCAATCTACCAGCGACGTCAGTCAGGGCCAAAATAGGGTTGGGTGGATTATACTGGCCATCGTCCTTCCTATGGAAGAGTGACAGCGCAACATGCAGAATTGGCCCGCGTCCGCCCCACAAAGTGGTGACGATAGATCGAGAGGGCAAAACCAGGAAGAACTATAAATTGGACGCGACTCCCATCGATGGGCCTGCCCGATCCTGCTGTCCGCGCCCGCGGAGCGTGCGATGTGGCTGCAAGTGCCCAGCAGCGGAGTTCAGGAGAAGTGGCCGCCGAAACGGCCTTGCGATGCTTCCCCCCCCCCTCGCAGCCAAAGGGCCATTGTCGACGTCGTCGGCGACACTGCGCATCGTCAAGTCTGATGTCGCCGTTGAGGCTCAGTCCTCGGTTTGCGGGTGGCAGCCTTACGGAGATGTGATGTGACGAACGATTGGAGTGTGCTCTGTGATTCTGATCCCGCTAACGGTGGGCAGGTCGTTTCGGCGCACTGATTCGCTCTGCGCGCGGCGTCGCTGTCCAATGCGAAGCTCCAGACACCGTTCATCTTGCGAGTATGCAAGAACAGCTCAGCAAAAGCAGCTGGCCAATGGGAGAGCCGATCTTCTCCCCTTATTGAAGCCCCCCGCGAGCTCGACGACACTTCGCTCTGTCGCTCTGGGAAAAGGGAAGACGAAAACACGACGCTCTGCGCAGAGGGTGTGTCGGCGCACCAGCCGGCGCCGGCCTGCCAGCGCCGGCCGCCATGATTGGCATCGCTTCGCAAGGCCCCGTCCAGCGCTGGTGCCCGCGCTGTTCAGTCTTAATTCTGCCGCGAGCATGCAGCTGGTGCAGCCAGCACCCAATTCTCCAGTCAAACTGTCTGTTCCAGACTGCTTGCATACGGCTGCATATGCACGACTTCACTCTCATTAAACTATGAGGACCCGCTCCTACTGCCTTAACGCCAGTTTGACGCTGCGTCTGCGGGCGACTCGACTCCACTCGACCCTAAGCTTTTTCTTGTCGCGGCGCGCTTCCCTCTCCTGCTCCAAACCTATGCGGCCTCTTTGACCTTCAGCCTTCTGCCCACTGCCTCGTTGCCCAACGGCCAGACGCTCGTTCACGACGCTCGAGACACGTCCACGCTCCCTAGATACTTGCGAGAGTGTAGTAGAACTTTCAGACATACTTAATGACCTATAATACACCTTTCATCCCTCCTCCCTCGTCCTCCCTCCGCCCCCTAGCTCCCGTCCTGCTACGCGTGGCAGACACCCTTATTGCGCCAGACTGTCCACTCTTTCACGGACACCCAAGTTCAACACCATGGAACAGCCGTTCACGGAGGTAGAAAAGGTATGTAGAGCGCCCTGGAGTCGCGAGAACACCTGGGAGCTGCCGTGCCACCAACCATGGCTCCAGGCGCAGCGTCGATACCCTTACGGTTCCTCGTCAGTCGCGTCTAATGATGACAGCTGCTAACTCCCCACCTGTAGCGCTTTGTTCTCGCCGAAGCCATCAAGTTAAGCACCATCTCCGTCGACAGGCTCTTCTCAGTTCTCGCCGAGCATAATGTTAGCCCAGACTGGGAGCAGATGCTCCTGCCACATGGTACGTTCTGCGATCTGATCTACAAGTGAAACTCCGAACAAGGTTCCCCAGGTTAGAAGCACGACATAATTACACACAGACGTTGGATCGCAAGTAGATATCAGATATTGCTTACTCTGCTAATTGTACAATAGGACGGAATTTATTACAGTGTAAACACGCGTTCAATTCCCTCCAACATGGGCCATCTAGCCAGCTCTCAACTCCGCAGCCTTTCACTCAAACCTTCCTCAACCCACCGCCAGTATATTCCAGCTCTTCTGGCGGCAAACGCCAATCGATGAACATGCCTCCAGGCCCAGGCCCAGACCAAAAACGACCAAGAAAGTCTGGTGCCGAGACCCCAACGCTCGCACGCGATCTCCTGCCGAAGCCTGCGAATCCTAATGGCGGCTCCCCAATGTCAACGATGGCCTCCTCGCCACCAGCGACCACCAGTCAAAAGAAGCGCGGCCGACCATCAAAGGCAGACGTTGAACGCAAACAAAGAGAGGCAATCGAAAGAGGGGAAATTATAACACCAGCAGCACAGTCACCGGCAGGAATGCCTGGACCCGACGATAGTAGATCTGGATATGCGCCCGTATCAATTCTGCCAGCGCCTCCTGGTCCAAGAGAAACGGTTATGGGGGGCATCATGCCAAGTATTTTATCACCGAGAACTGGGTCATTTCCGCAAATGGTTATGGGACCTGACTCACCTGCTTCAATTGGCGCAGAGCCTACCGGGAAGAAAAGGAAACCGCGGCCACCTCCTAAGCCAAAAGTGTGTAGTCCAGTCGATTTACTGAGATTGTTGCTAACTAGAAGAAGGTCCAAAAGCCAGGTGAACACCAGTTTTCAATTAATACACCAACTGGACAGGCAGGACAAGGAGAAACCCCGTCGGCTCCAGTTCCAACGGACGCTGCACAGGCTGTTCCCATAGCTGCTGCTCAAGACCTTGGAAACCCACCACCAAATATTACCCCAGCTGCAATGCAGGATTCAGCACCAGGAAACCAATCCGCGCCTGATGATAAGTAGGCTGGCTATCTTAGTCCTCGAATGAGATTTATGGTCTTCTAGGCGCTCGAGTCGTACCGGCGAATACCTGAACTTCCAAACGCTTCTAATGACCCGATTTCCTTTACGGTTCCGTAATTCGATCGAATTATCAGACGCATTTTACTAGATTTTACGCTTCTACGATCGCATAATTGGAGCATATCTTCACGCCGTCCAATACTAATGTACTAATGCCCGCATTCGACAACAAAATTTTACGCATTCCATGTTCTAACGAATGGGAGCAATCTCTCTTGAGCTGTTCCACCTGCTTTCGAATTCAGTACCTCGACGCCAAACGCGATAACGCTTTTCTGTCTCTTTTGTCGGACTTCCAGAACTTCACGCTTCCATGCACGCGGACGATACCATTGAACTTACGGAGCAAGGCAATCATCGGTGGCTAGCGCTGTATTATCCATGCATTTTGCATTTGCATTTTCATTTTGTCAGATACACAGGGACACATCTTTCCTTTGATCTAGTCTACTGTACGATTTGTGTCTCTATTTACGGGAATATATATATTAGGGATAGGGATAGCTTGCCAGGGTTTGGGAGATTTGCCGGAGATCTGTCATTCAGCGCTTTCGAGAAAGAGGGGGTGATGGACGAGCCATGACTGTACGATAGACACGGGTTCTCAGGACTGTACTGTATTATGAATGAATGTATCACCATCAGCCAAGGTCTGGGATCTTGGGGGCTGCAGCTCCGTGAGGCGGTACTCGGTCACTGGCATGTTTTCGGCGGCTACGGCTCCTCCTCGACAAATACTGCACGCGGACAGTAGTACAGTAGTACATTTAACTTTATCCAACCGCTGTCAGCACTGACGTCTGGATGATCTGACGCGGATCAGGATCTTGAATGAGAGGAGCATGTCGATCTCTGTCTTGTATTCTTCCAGATGAGTTGCACACCACCAGCAACGCCCGCCCCTTGCCGTTCATTAACTTTAGCGAATGGTTCGCTCCAAATTTAGATCTGCTTTCTGCGAATAGATTGATTGAATTATCCTGCCGCCGCGCCAGGATGGGAAGGCAGCTTTGCTCCCATCTTCTGCTACTTTTGGGCCCTCTTGCACGTGCAGCAGAACGCCGCAGCGGATGCATCCCGCGAAACACCCCAGTCGATCTCCCGAGTTTAGGCAACTCGCCCGCCCGGTTCGAGCGAGGTGGAGTGCAAAGGTGGCAGCATTGGTGGGATGAGGAAAAGAGGGTTGATTGGAGGATTGCATGCATATGCATTGAGGTAGGTATGTCTTGCATTGCAATCAATACTACTCCGTAAACGTGCCGATCTGCGGACATGTTCATTGGAGGGGAGGTGGCGAGGTGTGGTACCTCAGGGCAAGGCGGCCGAAGATCTGCAGATAGGGATGTACTGGGATGGGGATCGTGAGGGTGGAGGGCAAAAATGCCAATCTTCGTCCTCAGGCCCTCGGGGTCAGAGGGAGAGGGAGAGAGTGTCAATGCACAGGGAAATGTGGAACAGTGAGCCCGAAAGGTCATTCCGAGCGCTTCCACATGGGCCGAAGAATGTCGGAAGAGGAAGGAGGAAGGAGCTTGCCGAATCTCGGATGGCAGAGCAGAGCGCACACCGTCTTGATCCTTCGGCCACACTCTGCCAAAGTAGCCGTCATAGGAAAGTCAAGGACTTCTGTTTTTATGCTTGCCCTAGCTCATTTCGCGCCGGATGGACATTGATTTCTTCCTTTCAAGGTTAGGTACAGCATCCTTCGCTGGCTGCCTAGAGAGTTCGTGCTACCTCCGTTCTAAGAGAATTTTGACGGGAGGGGTGGGTTAGGAAGTTGCGTTGGTGCAAAGGGCAGAATGGGTAGCGATTGCTATGATAAAGGGGTTCCTTGATGACCGTATTGATGGGGTGTGGTGGACTAAAGAGTTCTGATCGTGTTGACTCTCAGGTGAGTGATTGGGTTGCGGGTCTATGAAATAGGGGGGGGCATGTCTTAGCTTGGAGGCTCACGCGAACTTGTGGTCCATGTTCATTTCCCTACCCCTTTCTGTCCTTGTCCGAGAGGGGCGACTTCTCTTTTTGCCAAATCGTGTCACTTTATGCCGAGACATAGGTGCATGCCGAGGTGCGAGACCCGGTTTCGAATGGAATGTTTGGGTTTGGCTTATGCAAGACTTCGGTCCGTCTTCGCTTTCGTTGAAAGAGATGGTGGATATCTGGTTCCTTGTTGCCGTTCAAGTAGAGCATCCAAGTTGAGTGCTTCCAAGTTCACAACCCACTGCTTCATACGGGGACGTGACGAGACGAAGAGGCTCTAGAATTCCAAAGAAATAAAGAATGTAGCAAGCTGCCGTATACAGATAGACAGCCACTTCATAAGGAGAGGTCAAACTTTTGAATTGTTTGGTCGTAATATGATAGAAGTATTCTTTACACAATACTGACCTGCCCCTAGGGCAACAAAACTTCTCCCGTAGTAGAGGAGATCGTGCACATTTTGGGGCAGTAGTGGAGCGAAGATCTTGCCTTGATCTAAAACAAGCTTTAGAAGTACCTGTAAAGCGACAGGTTGACAACTCGTCTGCAAAGTGCGACAGAACTTGAGGTTCTCCTTTGCAAATTTGGTATAGTATTTAGGGCTACGGATGTAACGAAGACTGGCTCCTCTCTTGAAAGCAGAAGGTGGTGCAGGAAAATTAAACGTTAGTGAGCGCCACTCAGCTATATCGGTCAGGAATAATGTCACTTACCATCCCGAGAATGGAACTTGAGTTCCGTATTTAAAAGGGTGTATCTCGGGAGGCTCATCCCGCTGTAGCACCAGATCGACGGCTCCGTTATTCCAAGAAGCAAAATCATCTCTAACTTGCCTCAATTTGAAATATTTCGCGACTTCTTCAAAGAACACATTGCAAATTTGACAACTGTTCTCAGAGGACTGCTTGAAGGCATAGGCAGAAGTTCTGACCATTCGGAACCCCCGCCTTTCAAATAGCGAGATGATATCTTCGGACTGTGTTGGCGTAAAGGACATAGTTGAGATCTAGACAAGTCTTGCAGCTTGCCTTGTTGCATCGGAAGTATCTGCGCTTTGTCTTTCTTTTATTGTTGATTCCACCGTCGCATTACTGGCCATTGCAGTTCCAGCAGAAATGGTTCGGAATTGCCGTCCCTCACCAGAGAGCGGATCCCGAAAGTCGTACTCTTTGAGACTCTTGGGTTCTTGCTCGACCTGGTCCTAGTGTGTGGGTTTATGGAGGCTTTGTGCAGCAAGACGTGGTAACCTGACAGGTTTTACTGAGATTATATCAGCTAAAAGAGCAGAAAAAACGGGCTGGGACATCGAAAACTCACCAATTGATCTTTCGTCTTCTCCAAACCTGGGTAGCTGCGTATCAGTTAAGATAGAGTCTAGCTTCATTTGGTTGATCAAGAAATGTGGGGAGTCGAGCACAAAGGAGTAGAAAATTAGCGGAGAAGGTTGTGGGAAAGAATCGGCACCCATGAAGCTGACATTAGAACTCACATGTGACCTGTCCTCCCTTTAACTTAGCGAGGTAAAAGCTTCAGCATTGACTTAAATGGGACCAGCAAGCAACTATAACTTCTAGAAGGCAAAGAATTGGTATTGAGACGTTGAATCTGATTCCTGCATCCGGTGTCAAGTATCCAGAACTTACCGAATACAGGGACTACAACCCCCGTGGCATAAGGGTGAGCTTGGATAAGATTAGTATTCATCGTTCCTCATCCCAAGTCAGGGCAAGACCCGGTTACTTTACATCATATCAGTTGCTTGGATTTTGAGGATTATCTCCAATTGCAGCTCGACTTGTACTCGTTCATTTGGCACAATCTTTCGGGCATTCGGAGACTCAAATTGCCTACCTCGTAAAGCAAGATTTTACCATACTGTTGGAGTCTTTTGGACAACACCCACGAAAGCAACTGAGAATAATTTTGAACATGACAACTGCTATTCCTATCAATCACTGCAACATTGACCATGATCGGGATCTGGTTGGCGATCATATGATGGTAAACAATTACCCCTTTCCGCTCGGTGATTGGGGCCTTCAAAACCAACAGATGTGATGAAGTCGGAATTCAAGGTCGATGAATGTTAAAACATTTAGCCTTTATAAATTCCGAAACTTACTTTAGAAGCATCGATAATCTGAAAGAGGTTCAGCTCACACCTTGTTCCAAAAGCTGACTGAAATTCAAAGAATAGCCTATTCTCTGTAATTATTTAGTAAAATCTTAATATATATCCACGACTCCGTACTTGCCAATAGTAGAAGGGGCCACGCTTAGAGTTTCCGACTAAACCAATAATCATTTTAAATAATTAAATCAAGTTTATAGTTCGGCCGAGAGTTTTACACCTCGCGTGTGGCTTGTCGATCTGCTTGCCAATCTGTTTACCACGAGCCTTCGCCACCGCCCACAATCCCCTAATTTCTCCTCTATGACGTTTCAGTCTCCGCAAAACCAACCCTTGGGGATAACAAAACAATAATACTTTGTTAAAGATAAGGCTTGGACTTTTGTTTTATTGCAAATCGCACACGGCTGTGGCGTGTTGATCCTACTCGCGTACCCCACCTTTTCCCCTTTAGCCTCTCGGAACCCATTTGATGATCCCGCTAAAAAGCCACTTTGCTTCGCCACCATGTGTTGACGTAAGTTTATGTCGTCGAGGTTTAATATGATTGTTCTGGCAATTCTGGGGACGTCTTGGATGAGGATTCGTGCTACTAGATTTCCCAGTCTTTAAAGTGAAGATAGGGGAATTGGAATAGTGAAATATGCTTTTGGGTTTGTCTGATCCATCACCCTAGAATTGTGTGACTTGGCAACGGATCGAGTTTACAAGAATACTGTTAGCGATGCACTGACAACGCTAAGCTTGGTTGAAGTTCCTGCGTCAGGAGGATGAATTCGAAGTCGGCCCGGTGCTGGAGTCAAGGTCAAAGGGTCAGCAGTTCTGGAAGTCCATGCTTCGCCAGCTTAACGCTTAACACTTCCTGTATAATTCACAATAGTTGGCACCCAGAATAATTCAAGAGCGGGAATAAATTTTTTGGCTCTAAAATCTTACTTACTTCGCCTCAGCTGAACGAGGCTTTTGTGGAGGATAACCTCAAGGTAAATTCCGAAACAAATCTTGGCGGCCTTGTGATTCTGTTACCTTGAAATTGACAACAAACGAAAAAAGAGTTGGCGCTGTAAGAAGTCAGGTTTCTTGGGTTCTGGGATTTTCCGTACAGATAACTTCACATCGGAATATCTTCCAGACTTTTCTCATACCGGCTCGAAACGTCCACACGTATATAATTCTCACAGATCATTCAACAAGAATGAGCAAGAAGAATGTTTCAGTGACACGTAGCCCTGGGCTGACATTTCAAGTATTGCAGGGGCCAGGTCGAATAGAATCCTAGTTTCTCACTTAAGAAAAGTGATTGGGGGCCACTGGCGACGCCCATTAAGTAAGAACCTCCTTAATACATGGGTTCGACGGCAGGATGTGGAAGATACCCGTTTGGTTCAATTCTCGCACCTACGATCCGTTTTTAGTTACAAACAATCCTTCGAATGTTTTCCCACATGGCATACCTCCAAATGACCTAACAAAATAGTATACCTATCTTTTTGTATTTTGCCATCTTTAAAATTATTAACTGATTTACATGCCATCCCACTGAGAAGACTCCAGGTAAGTACCCGAATCTGAGACAAGAAGCACGTGGGATCTCCTTGACGCGACAGCGGCAGGGCCCGCGGTTGCCGTCAATGCAAATATGAAGCGAAAAGGGGCACCGCGGCCACGGCAGAGGAATTCAGTCACGGAAATTAGCAAGTGTTCGAGATAGGAAGGTTAAGTGACTTTGTTGCAGGTCTGCAATCCACGGGGAAGACGGCTTCAACATTCCGGTAAGCTTGCGAGGGGGTCGCGGATACGGTTTCGGCTTGCGTTTAGACTCAGTCTGGATGTTTCCTGCTGGTGGCGGAGTGGGTCACGTGAGCCGGAAACTTCCCCTATTCGTTCTCGGAGCGAATGTGCATGGATGGTGTTAAGTTTTGGCCGCCGGCATATATCTTCTGCAAGTAAAATTGCTGTGCACTGTGCAGATACCCAACCCAGGAATTTGAGATCTAGGAAAGTTGGAAGGAAAGGGTATCCTGGTAAGATATTGGCGACTCAGTACGGGATTTATTCCCGATTGCCAGCCCTGACCCTAACACATATATATCGATTTTCTTCCACCGGCCTGACCCTCACGCTCAACGCCAATTTTTTCTACTAGCCAGCTCTAGCTCTCAATACTCGTACCATCGCTCAATGCTGCCCCTCTTTTAATATTCGTACCGTCAATTCTTACTGCCTGCTGGTATTATTAATACTAGCACCGCTGATTTACTCTGCTATCCCTCTCCCAAAACTCGAACCCCAGAACCTCAGATTTAGCCTACTTTCTCTTCTCCTACCCTCGGTTGCACGTGTTTTCTACTCTCCCCTTCAACAATCAAGTCTCGCAACTTCAAGAACGATACCTTACTCCGCAATAAAGTCTCACAGCTTCCATAATGTGCATGTTACACCCCCGGCACCTCTTATTATGAGACCTCCCTACTGTGATAGCGCATGGCGTCTGTACTACTTATTCCACCCTATCGCCCACCGCTTAGCCCTGAATAGCTCACGTATGCAATCCTCTATTAGTAATTTTCCAAGCTCCACTAGTCGTCGTATATAATCTGCAATCTCCTCTGGCCTTGAAATCTTTCGCGTCTATACCGCCATATCCACCTCCCTAAGCTACCAGCTCATTCTTTCCTTTATTACTAGCGTGGGGCTTCTAACTTGTTCGCAAAAAAAAAGTTTGTTGACGATTCTCAGAGAAATCGCGGGAACAGGATCAATCCGTTGGATGGATATTCATATTCAAACGAATACCAGAAATCACTCTGGATAATCCAAAGGCAAACGAAAGCAAGCAGCATATATGGCGATATCACTGACCCGAACATTACTGTCACTTGTTGAGTTGCCGTGACCCCGACATTAGAGACAAGCTGAACCAGGCCCTCAGCTCGGCCGCTCAGAGACCCAGAATAAAAATAAAATTCAGCGCTGAATGATTACAAGCCAGCCGAATTGCCCCGACGGGGACCTATACAGAATTAAGACAACTGCAAGGAGTCAATGCGCAGGTGAAAGCAGAGAATGCAAGATTGTTCTATCGAAATCAATATCTAGAGAAGGAACTATCGATACATGGTATTGAGTCTGGATGGAGGGTTGATCCGCAGGCAAGTCAATCAACAGTGCAATTTCTAATCGTTTTACTTGTCCAGCTGCACGGCTAATAGCTTCACGGGAGGGAATGTAGTTTAGGAACAAGGCGTGTGTTATTGCACATCTTCTTGTTTTGATGGAAAGCATGTACGTAAGGGTGGGAGTTTGACTGCTCTGAACATGGGACTGTGCGAAGATGAAGAGAATTCAAAGTCTAAACCTGGCTTGAAAACCGAAAAGAAGTCAACACCAGTGTCCGAACAATGCTACATTTAGAGTTGGGTATTTAACTGCGGGGGAGTGAGGGCAGCTTTCTTAAGAACAACGTGTCAACACCAGACGATAACTCAAGCGGTAATACAGGTGAGTTCGCCCATTGCTCCCAATCGTAGAAGCAGACGGCCAGTTTTTCTAATGTAGCGTGCAAGATCCAGTTGTGCTGCTAGGCGATGAGGACTCAAGTGGCTCTGAAGCTGAAGCCCATGGCTGCGGCCTCCTTGGCGAAAATGCACCGGCATACGAAGGCTTTTTCGATAGCCCCGAGGCTGCCATCGATTCGACAACTCCGACCCCTCTTTCTGGTGCCGACATGTGCGCACCATATTGATGGCTACCATGAGACGGCACGACGTTTACAGCGCTGACATTCGATTGCATGCGCCCTCGTGCCTCCTCTTCCCGTGCCTCGAGCAAGCCATTGCACGACCATCATCTTCCTATGAATCTGTTCTGAGTTGTTCGTTAATACTAGAATTGATCAATAAAATTGCCTCATCGACTAATTCGACTAGCTTGACCAATGATACGGCTAGCTTACCAAGGCTTTCTTATGATTCCTAGTTCGGTAATTATGAAGCTGGATCTTTGGTGATCACTGCTCGCGCAAGCATCCCCCTATTTAGTGATGTGTAAATTATTATCCACGCCTACATGTCTATACTTCCTAATAACGCAATTATGAAGCTTTTCTATTAATTTTGAGGGAAGAATAATGAAGTGAGATTTAAGAAAGAGATATTTTGAACCGCCAATTAAGTAGCCTTACCTATTCCCTTTCCCTTACTCGCCTTCTCCATAGGCTCAAGCCTCACTACCCTCTTCCTCACTCTCCTTGCAGGTGTAGGGGTAGGTTGCTCCTTCTCAATAAGGCTCGCCACATCGCGTGCTTTTCACTGGGCGCAGTTTTGTATGCAGGAATTGTAGATCACAGCCAGTAATGTAAAGTGATTGCGATGCAGTCATGCAGGCACGAAATCGTGCTCAAAGCGCGCGCAAACTGTGCTGGTTGGCGGCATGGTTAGTCACTAAGGCTAGGCTCGTAAGACCCTATTGAGAAGACCAAATTAAATCCTCGATTGGGTGTTGATTTAAATAATTTTTAAATTATTATTGACCAAAAGGGTAATTGATCAATAAGTCCCTTTTATCGGTCAGTCCTGATCTTGACGAGCAACTCAGAACAGATCGAAGCGCAGGAGACGAACATGGCCCGATCTGCCCCCCCTTTGAATTCTAATATCTTTGACGTGGAGGAGAGACAGTGACAGGAGGAAAAGGTGGAATCAGGCTAAGACAGCGACAATGAGGACCACGTTTTGCTAAGCAGATACGGCTGTCTTCATCCAACAGCCTAATGCACAAGAAGGGCAAGAGCCATGGTAAGCAGAGGACTACCTGTAAACATGAATCACACTACGAGCCCCACCGGCACGCGGAGCTTTCCAAGTATTTATCCATAGATTTTCGAATTGTTTGCTCCCCTATAAAGCCATAACCTCATTTTAACCGACACTCAATCACTGTCTGACTTCCAAGCTTGCCCCTCCAGATCTTGACCAAGTTCAGCCCAGCCGAATCCAACAATTCCCAGAATTCCTTCTCGGAACGTTCCTTCCCACCAATGATTAGCATACACAGATCCATCCAGTATACAGTTTTATCAACGCCTTCGGGTTTATCTGGAACCACCATTTCGCCGATCAGAAGTCTCGAGTCGGGCGCCATTGCGTCTGCGATGTTTTTGAGGATTTTGCGGGCTTCGTTGTCTTGCCAGTTGTGCATTATTCGGCGGAGGTAGTAGATTTGTGCATCTGTGACGCATTAGCAAAACTCATCGTGACGAGCGGAGAGATTCATTATTACTCTTGACGGGCTGTGGTGTGAAGAAATCGATCACCATCTTCTCCACACCAGGGAGCTGCTCATCGGGAATGGCGTCAAGAACAGGTTTGCGATCTTGCAAAATGACTCGTCCCTTTGCCATTTCTCCACCCGCCGTTTCGATTTCCTTCTTTATCTGAAGTAAGCTTTGGCCTCTCCCACCAGCAACATCCACTATAAACGCCCTCGAAGGGTCTGCATCGGTTTCGAGGAGGGAAGTGAAAGGAAACATTCCCAGAACAGGTAGTGCAGCTTCCTGCGTCGTCATCGCCACATTGAATCTCTTCAATCGATCAGGGTGAGAGAGGAGGAATTCGTAGAATGTGGTTCCTTCAGCATCGTTTCCCCATGAGAATGGTGACTGCTTTGGGTTGAAGATGGAATCTGATTCGTGAGTTGCCATATATTCTGGCATTTTGTATGCCACAGGAGCAATTTCGTCGACGCTGAGCCAGTTAGTAATTTGCTCATATCTACCACAGGTGGACTTGCCATAAGTCCCAGAACTCAACTTCTGGCGTATCGAGATAGGCTAGGGAAAGCGGAGTGTGAGCGAAGACGTTATTCCCAAGTGCTTTCAGTATTCCAGTAGATGTGAGAATCCTCATCAAACGAACTGCATGAAAACAATCAGTATTGCATGCGATCTAAGCAAGAGAAATATACCCAGAACTTCTTCATTCTTCCCAACTTCAGAAGCCAGCTCTTTTGCTGGAATGCTTCCTTCACGCGGTATCTTTTGAAGGACTCTCATCTGACGCAGAGTACGGATTGCAGACGTTTCTGAGTACTAGAGACAAAGTATGTGAGCTCTACTCTGTTCTATCCCTGGCAGGCCACATTACATTCGTCAATTGTCGAAACATGGCTTCCTCCGGTGACTCCAACTGATAATGGAGGGCGTCCACCATGCCCAGCATCTCCACCCTCGCTAGGCGATCAGGCTTCTCTACATCGTAGGACTTTGCTTTGGCGAGCAGAGCTTCAATCGAAGCAATTAACTCAGCGTTGGACAACATGATTGTTTGCAGGAGATCAACAGAATAGATCTCCCCTGACAACCAATCGAGGCACCGGACCGATATTTATGTGCTCTCCCCTGATTCTCGCCCAGACGGCGTGGACTGGTTCGACTGCGTGGGGGCGGGGCAATCTCCGCAAACTGGGGCTTCCCCAAATGTGGCAGCCATCTAGAGCTTCAGCGTATTAAATTGGGGGAAGATCAACCTTGGAGGCGCGGAAGACGTGATAGTTCCCGGGAGCTTGCAGGCTACCCCCGCGAATGCCCCTGACTGGGCCATGTGGTTAGAGGGCTTCAGCCACGCTACAGTAAGGGTGCCTTGCGCAATATTTAGTCCCAGTGTCCACTTCAACAGGTTTGACGCTTTCCAAACGCCAGACGCTCATACATCTCTCCTCAAGCTCTAGACTCTGGATTGGATTTCTTGCCTAACCGCCAACTAACAAACCAGCACGATGGACGAAATCGGGCCAGATCACTTTGTTGTGCGTACTGTCCAACCCCCCCACGCTTCACTCCAAACAGTTGTGCTGAGACCCCATCATAGTTCGAAGACGAGGGTGCGGACGGCATCTCGTTGTGAGTCGCAGTGGAGCAATCATTGTCTCTCAGGAACTGCTATTAACATTTTTCAGAGCCGGAAGCTCAACAGCGTCAGTGTCTTCAAGTATCGTTCAGGGTATCGATGAATATGGTAGGCGGTATGCATCTTACGGGAATGTCGGTAAGTATCGAACTCTCAGAAGTTATGGGCTTACTGATCTCTTTCAGGATACGGCATGCCGATAGATGAGGATGAGTTGGACAGGATTGACCTCAAACATCGATTATACACACTTTTGTTGGAAGAGAAATTCTTCCTGGCTCCAATCGGACGAAATCCACAAAGGATATTGGATCTTGGCACTGGCAGTGGAATATGGGCCATTGATGTTGCGGACGCTTTCCCATCGGCGGAGGTCTTGGGAATAGACCTAGCTCCAATCCAGCCAGAATGGTAAGCCCCAAGTCAACCAGCAGCTTTTGCACCAAGTTTGCTGATAGTTTCCAGGGTTCCCACAAACTGCCGCTTCGAAATCGACGATGTTGAAGAACAATGGACATACAGATGCCAATTCGATTTCATTCATTCTCGAGATTTCTTGTTCTCCATCCGTGACTGGCAGAAACTTGCTAACCAGTGCTTCGAGTAAGCTAGCCACTCCAATTTCTTAGTTTCATACTGACGGCCCTGACTTCAGGTACACCAAGCCTAACGGCTATACCGAGCTGCAGTGTCTCCTCCCAGAACCGCATTGCGACGACGACAGCACACCCTCCGACTCAGGCGTTATAGAATTCAGCGAGAAGATCTGCGATGCTTCGGCACTAGCAGGCTGGTGCCTTCGAGAACCCAACCACTTCAAGACATACCTGCAAGAAGCAGGATTCGAGGACGTGACAGAAGTCCGCTTCAAAGTGCCGACCTCGCCGTGGCCCAAAGATAAACGCATGAAGCTCATAGGCGCCTTTGAGATGCAGAGCCTGCTGCAAGGAGCTTCAGCGTTCAGCTTGAGAACTTTCTCTAGGGCATATGGATGGACGCAAGAGCAGACGGAGTTGTTCCTAATGAAGATGAGAACCGATGTGAGAAATTTAAAATATCATACGTATTATGAGTTGTAAGTTGTCGTTGGATGAAGTTTGACAGGAGTGCTGACTGGCGACGCAGTGTTGTGGCGTATGGACGCAAGCCTGGACCTTCTGGGAGAAGCAACGATCTTCACGATTCCGCTGTGGACCTGGCTGCCACATCTCCATGATGATTATCTTCGAGATAGAGGATCTTATTCAACAACCCAGTCTCCCCCGGCCTGGAGCTGCCGCCACGCGAGAAAGCGCTGTGAACCTTCCTGGCAAATTTGAGAAAGGACCCGAGGAGGGAGGAAGTCTTGATGGGGATTGCCTCATGGATACGGGAAGCAGGCATGCATCGAATCTAAAAGGATGATAGCTGCAGGGCCTGCCATGCTTCGTTGCAGCATGACAAAGACGACATACCTCAGGCCTCCACTGCCATCAGTCATAGACAAGAAAGCAGGTGACACAGGCTGGTCAGCGCGTTGCAGACGGCTTACTCGGTTGAGTTCTCTGCATGGAAATCATGGCCCATCCTTGATATTTTCGATGCTGCCCGCCTTAGCAGGCTGCAAATCAAGCAATCGGCTTCACTTAGCAACTCCCTAAGCTACTTACGACTGGAAGGATCGGACTTGGCTCTCTGCTGAACTTTGACACGTGTAAGTCACGGAATTCTCTCAATTATGCCCCTAATTAGCGAGGAGAACTTATGTTAGCAAGATCGTGGAAAGGCGTTTTCACTGAGAATGGGACGCATTTCTCTCCTCCCACCGGTCATTATTTTTAATTTTAATGTCCAATATGCGAGGAAAAGTGAAGCTGCAGCGGCGGAAGATCAGCTGGTGGAATACCTTCCCTCCGGACCTTTTTCCGAATCAATCAAGTAGACTTTATTAGTATCTGTGGCTGAGTAACTAGCCTATGCTAATTATCGTCCCTTTGCTTAGAACCAGCACCCCATGGTCGCTCCGGCGTCCTCTCTTCTACGCCTCCCTAATCTATCCATCTCCTCAACCGAATCCCCAAAATCTCCTAAGCAGAAACACCAAGAGCGTTGTTGAAAGCGTCAGCGGTCGTGGCATCCTTGGTCGTCAACGCTGCAACGACAGCCTTGGCAGCCAGACACTTGGTCTCTCCCTCAGAATCCTTCGCAACACCACAGTCATTGACGAGGTTGTTGCAGATGGCGTTGGTGATGATGTTGGGGTTCAAGGCGTCGCTTTGTCCCTTGGCGACGGTTGGGTCGACTGGGAGGAAGGTGCCTTCGGTGGCTTTGCGGCCGGGTCGTCCGAATTGGAAGTCCATGGCTGGGTTGCAACTACCGAATAGGGCGGCGTTGGCAGCGCGAGCGGGGATGGTGGTTGCTGCTGCAGTAGCTGCTGCGAAGAGTGCGAGGAGGAGCGTCTTGGTCTGCATTTTGAAGTTGGTGGTGGGAAAAGTGAAGGTAGTCGGGCTAGCCGGTTGCTATTAAAGATGTATAGTTAAGAATGGAAGCAGTTCACAGAACTTTCGGGAACGATTGTATATGAATGTATGTGATGAATGAGTGAATGGAAGGAGTAAGAGAGCCGATGGCCTGACTTTATTGTGTAGACTTCTCTTGCAGGGGAGCTTAAGCCGGGAAACGGAAAAACGGCTCGCCGAGGAAGAAATGAGAAAGTCTCGGATACATTGGACGAACGTCAGTTTTTCTCTCCTATGTGGACGGGACGAAACCATCTGATCAAGGGGCCGCATTGATCTTTCGTCGATTTGGCGGTTGGGCTGAGCTTGGTTGTTCGGATGAAACCTTGGTAGTGGCGCTGCATCGGTTTGAAGTGCCGGATAATTGATCGGCTTGCCTCAGAACGATCAGATCGTCGTAATCTGATCGTTCAAGTTTTAGAGATCCATCTGATACGGTTCCGCAACCCGATATCAGATTTGGGAGCCACTCAACAGATACGCGCCCTGTCGATGCCTTGGCAAAGGCGGTGGCTTCTCACCCTTCCTGTCACGGCTAAATCAGCCTTATAAAAAGTTGGCTACCCAACCTGGAAAAGTATTTGGTCTAGGAGATTCCCCGGTCATTCCGCAATCCTTCATTACCTTACGGGCTCGGAGAGCTTGAGATGTCACCAGTGGCGAAGTGTTTCTGAGATCGACGCCTGATTGATGCCGAAATCAGGCGCAATGCAGAAGGAGGCCTGGCCAGGAGTACGAGCCCTTCGATGTCGCAAGACATCCTTTAGTATTTGCCGATATATGATACGCATGCTTATCTTCTATGAACTACTAAACCAAAGAATTGGGTCGGTTTCACTCAAGACTTCTTCAACCTCAACAGGTTAGGTGAATCAGGGAACATCCAGAAGAGGACAAGGACAATCTCGCTCAGTGGTGGCAAAGAGCTATGAAGACATGATTAGCAGAAATAGAAGCAAGTGTAGATATTCGATACTACCTTGAACTTGACGTGCAGCATGCATGTGATTTGAGGGGCCACAGGTCATGCACCAAAAGACACTAGCCGATGCTCTCCGTAACCTCCCAAACCCAGCTGGCAGGCTGGAAGTATCGCCATGTCCTTGCGGTCACCTGCAAATTATTTGCTCCTTCTTTGCCCGTTGTGCATCAGTTCCTGGTCCCATCATCGTCCAAAAACTTCCAAAAACTGACAACGTACTACTCCCTAGCACAAACACTCTGCTCTAGCTTCGTCCATCATGCTTGATGTATATAGAGTAGAATATGGCAAAGCAAGACTACAATTTTAGGCGTTGGAAACGATGGACCCGCATTTCCTTGTCGTGAGTGCATTGAAGGAAGACATGATAGTGGAGAGAAGTGCTTAAATCATTTGGGTAGGGGATGGTGGTGATGAGAAGAGGTGAATCTTGATCACTTGATCTGATTGTCAACACCAAAGAAAAATTCCCTCGTAATGAGGGAGCAGAATGTTCCAAGTGGTCCGGGACAATTGGCTGATCACTTGATCTAAACGCAAATTCACAATCACCAAGGAAGGCAATGTTCCAGATATTTCTCGTAGATTGGAGATGTATGTAAGATCTCATCCACACAAAGTGGACGGAGTGGAGGTCCTCTCAGCCCATCCCGCCATCTATCTCTACCCACCCATTTTCTTCGCCCAAACGAGTATTCCCATCAAAACGCCATCGCCATGCAATCAAAGCCTTTCAAGGGCCACCAAATCCCCGTGTGTAATATTAAGCGAAAGAAAAGAAAACATTCCTTCCCCAATGCAAGCTCTACGGAGCATGCTTCCCCAAACTCTGCAGGTTAACAAGCTCCGAGTACCTCCCGTTCTTGTTCATCAACTCCGCGTGTGTGCCATGCTCCACGATAACACCTTGATCAAACACATAGATGATATCCGCTTTTTGAATTGTGCTCAATCTATGCGCTACCGCGATCGTCGTTCTTCCCTTCGCGGCCTTGTCGAGTGCTGCTTGCACGACGTTTTCAGACTCTGAATCCAGGGCACTGGTCGCCTCATCGAGGAGAAGGATCTTCGGGTCGCGGAGCAGAGCACGGGCGATGGCTATTCGCTGTTTCTGACCGCCAGATAACATGGAGCCTTTTGAGCCGACCACTGTAGAGAAGCCGTCGGGGAGGGACATGATGAAGTCGTAGATGTTAGCTTCGCGACAGGCGAACTCGATTTCCGAGTCGGGAACGTCGTCGCGGTCGGCGCCGAGGAGCACGTTCTCGCGGATGGTGCCTTGGTAGAGTGTTGGTTCTTGGGAGACGAGGGCAATGAAGGAGCGGTAGTCGTTGAGGTTGAGGGAGGAGATTTCTTTGCCGTCGATGTAGATGCCTCCTACGAGCGGGTCATAGAAACGTTCTAGCAGGGCAATGGTGGTGGATTTACCGCAGCCGGAGGCTCCGACTAGGGCAATGTACTGGCCAGGGGAGACGGTGAGGTTGAGACCACGAAGGACGGGCTGCTCGGGACGGGTTGGGTAGCGGAAGTGGACGTCACGGAACTCGATAGTGCCTTCGACTGATTCGAGGCGAGCTCCGTCTTGAGACCAGGAGTCGATGGTCGGCTTCCGGTCGAAGAGGATCTTCAGCTCTTGTGCTGCTTGTTTGGCTTTGCCCATATCCGGCGCGAAGGAGAAAATCGTACCAGCGGACTGGGCGCCGAAGATGACGGCAGAGAAACAGACGAAGAATTGGAATATCGTATATTCACGATCAGCAATACGATTGCCACCATACCTGTTGATTGTTAGTCTTTGCTATGGGGTCTGATGAGATGAAACTTACCAAAAGCCAAGAGCAACACAAGCGAACATCAACGATTGCGATGCAGCGTACAAGAGCGAGGACTTCGAGACGGATTCCAAACTCTTCTTGGCCTGCACATTAATGGACTCGATGTAGATCCTAGAAACGTCGTCCTCCCTTGTCAAGGAAGCAACAGTGCGGATGGCGCCGGTTGCCTCGCAAGCAAAACTGGCACTCTTCTCATACGCTTTCTTCGCTCTGCGTCGAAATTGAGCCAAGAGCCAGAAACGGAAGAAACCACAGCAGAGGAGAACCGGAATCGCGGAAGTGCAAACGAGGGCCAGCTTCCAGGCAATAGCAGTTCCAACAGTGATTGCTGCAATTAAGGTCGTGATGACAGTAAGAAGAGTGCCAAGAGTGACACCTGAAAGTCCAGCCACGTGAGTTGTCTCAGTACTGAGGAAGGAGGTCAAGGCACCAGCTGTATTCTCTTCCTTGTCGAAGAACTCGATATCCTGTCTCAGCATCGTCCTGAAAGCTCTGTCTCGTACGCGGTGGATGAGTCTTTCGGAGCAGAAGGCAAAGGCAACACCTTGGGTACAGAATGCTCCGAATTGCACAAGAGCAAGCATCAAGTACATGAGTGACCAAAAGTCGACTTGGTGGCGGATTTCATGTGCTGCTCCTGGGATTACTGCACCTGTACGCGGATTGGTGAGTGGTATTGCCAAGGCGAGAATCTCCTTGGCAAAGAACACGGCTTGGGTTGGATTTCCCCCACCGCAAATGATAGAGAAGAAAAGTCCAACGAACATCAAATGGATTTCCTGCTTGTTGAACGAAGCAATCAATTTGGCCAATGTCCAGAGAGAATCCTGTTGCTCCCCATTGCTTGTGCGGCGCTGCAACGCCAATGATGATTGAGACTTCTCGGATTGCGTGCGACTCAACTTGTTCGAGATATTCTTGTCATCTGGATCCTTTTCGTAACCTCCAGTCAACTGGCGAACAAGCTCATCATCCTCAGCGTCGATCTTCCCCTGCTCTTCGGATGATACCTCATCGAGAGCAGCTATCTTCTGGGCTTCGACAAGGCCAGCATAGGCACCTCGCTTCATCAACAGCTCATCGTGAGTACCCTGTTCGACAATGCGGCCTTCACTCATAACAACAATGTTGTCGGCATCTCTGATAGTCGAAAGGCGATGGGCGATAGAGATTGTTGTTCGGCCAGCCGCTGCAACCTCGAGCGCAGCTTGGACCACACCTTCCGATTTTGTGTCGAGTGCTGAGGTTGCTTCGTCGAGAAGAAGAATCTTTGGATCACTGACAACAGCTCTGGCAATTGCAATACGTTGCTTTTGACCTCCAGAAAGTAGGAAGCCTCGCTCACCGACATGGGTTTCGTATCCTTCCGGTAATCCAGTGATAAAGTCGTGGGCATTTGCCATCTTAGCAGCATCGATAATAAGCTCCTTCTGCTTCTCCACACTCTCGTTCTCGAATTTGGTCCCAATCATTCCATGGCGAATGTTTTCGAAGATCGTAGTGCCAAAAAGTGTAGGCTCTTGGCTGACTAACGAGATCTGTTGCCGCAACCAACGCAGATTTAAAGTACTGACATCGTGCCCGTCTAAGAAAACCTGGCCCTTGACCGGGTCATAAAACCGCTCTACTAAGCCGACAATTGTACTCTTACCGGATCCAGAAGCTCCAACCAATGCAGTCATTTTGCCAGCTGGAATAGTCATACTGACGTCCTGCATGACCGTCACGTCTGGTCGCGATGGGTAGATGTGCTTGATATTGCGGAGTTCAAGGTTACCATCTACATGGTCCAGCTTGATTCCAGCATCCGAGGTTGGATCCAGAGGGGAAACACGATCAATGGTGTTGAAGATCTTCGCAGCAGCTGACATGGCGGTTGTGAATGCTTGTATGTTGGGGGCAACGTTTCCGAGCGAAAATGCACCAATCATGACTGACATCAAGATTGTGAGGATTTGAGAAAGGGTGATCTCGTTCTTCACCAAGAATCTGCTGCCTATCCAAAATGCGAGGCCATAATTAAGGTAAAGAATCAAGAACATGCCACCGACCATACAAGCAAGGACAAACTTGACCTTGTAGCCATATTTCTCGGCCTTGGCCAAATGTTCGTCATATTGGCGAGCAAGCTTGTCCTGGGTTCCGAAAGCAGTAGCATTTCTGATGGAAGAAATGACTTCCTCTGCGATTGTACCTCCCAGGGCATAGGATTCCAGGGATTGCTTGCTGAACTTGATAATGAAGGTGGAACCACTGCCCATGATCGCGGTAATTGCGAAAACCGTGGATGTGAGAATCAGGGTAAGCTTCCAGGACTTGATGAAGCCAATAATGAAGGCTGTGACAAAAGTCGCCACAGCAGTCAGAGTCAGTCCGACCTTCTCGGAAATCCCATCTTGAACCAAATTCGTATCTGCCGTGATCCTGGTGGTGATTTCTCCGGAGCCAAGCTTGTCAAAGAAGCCAATATTCTGCCTCATGCAAGCCTCGAGATAATGCGACCTGATCTTCCCACTGATATGTTCTCCCGTGTAAATGAACCCGACGGTAGAGATGTAGACTGTGACGAACTCAGCAATTCCGATGTATACAAAGTAGAGGACCATATGCGTGATCGTGTGTTCGAATCCGGAGCGGGAGGTGAGGCCTTGAAAGTATCCATTGAAATCGCCTGCCAGGTTACCAAAAATGACGGTCATCAGTGGCAACGCAGCTCCAGCAGCAATAGCGCATATTGCGCTGACAACGATAATTAGGATGTCCCATGCCGTGGAGTAGCGATATAGTGTTTTCCAACCACTTTTAACATCGGGAATGTCAACCTGTCTCCTTAATATTTGTGCCTCGGCTGGCGGAAGGTGGGCGTAGAGATCTTCATCCTTGACTTCAACCTTGATGTTAGAGTCCAACTTCGCGAGGGCCGCAGGGTCATCGGAAGGTACTTGTATGGCATCGGGTTCGGTTTTTTGTTTTCTCGTAGATTCGTGCTCGTCTGTCGAATCACCATGGCTTGATGTTCGATGCGATTGGCCCTCGCCCTTCTCGGACGGTTCGCCAGCCATGACTGGCGGCTATTGGGAGATAGTAATCGCAGAAGGGTTGCAGTACTGAATCGAGTGCCCTTTGCAGGTGTGTCCCCCAGAGTTCTAGGTGTTTTGGGTGTTGCTGAATTAGCTTGCGACTTGAAAGCGCAGTATTTACTTATGGCGACGCGGCTGTCAATAAGACTTTAAGTAAGGTTAAAGGGGATGCCGATGACGACAAGGTAGGGGCGAAAAGTCAAAGGAGAAGAGAGAATTGAAGGGAGTGCTTAAATAAGGCTTCTTGTATGGCGAAAGAAGAACACGATGAAAGCAAGAAGGTAAGAGGGCAGGAAGGCAAGAAGGCAACAGAGGTGGGAGCATTCTCAACCACAGTTATACAAGGCCGTCGGGACATTGACATCCCGCTGGCGGACTTTTGGTCGTATTCTTATTTCGGGCCCGAGGCATACGGCGCTAGCAGCCGGGCTAGCAGCCATCGAACGAACCAAGGGCCAAGTCGCATCGAGTCGACTGTTGGCGGAACCAAGAGTTGGTCTCTTTGTAAGGTGTGGTGCAGCCGTCTGTGGCTTGCCGGGTTTCGCTCTGCCTGTATTGACAGGGTACTGGCGGCGAGGATTACTTGCCTGCCTGTGGCGTGCTCTGGAACGTCATCTTGTCCAAAGCCACACATAGCACCAGCATGGGAGCAAGAATGAACCGTTAGAGCCCAACTTAGAGGCGACTCTTACGGAGTAGATTGCAATTGAGGGCTGCACAACAGGTGTTCGGACGACTCAATAGGGCCGCTGGAAACACAGCGAGCGCATCACGTCCATATCGCTGCCTTCTGCAGTGGGAAGGCAGCCCTGCAGCCTTTCCCATGACACACATGCTTCCTCGGATCCAAATTTCAAAAATAAGATAAATCGCCTGTCGGAGAGATCAAACTTCAAAGATAAGACGGAGTCGGCATTTCCACCCTCCTACCCCCGAGTCTGGACTCCACAGCATCAGATGTTCAATTGTGCGGACCGCCCAGCTGTCAATTTCAACATGCTTGCTCCCGCCCGAGATGAGGCCCGTCCAGAGTCCCCCCACAGTCCACTTCGGGAAAGCTCGTTGTTATCTCCACATGGAGAAGGTCTCGTCCAATCAGACTCCTCTGGATGCGATCCGAATGCGGTTTACGAGAATACGGCGTTCCAAAGCACAACACGCGGACGCGGACCCACAGCCTTGCCGCAGATGTGCGCTGTGCAAAAAAGCCATGTCTCCAGGTAGGCAGGCAGTCTGCGTGAAGTTTCCGACAACGTGGTTCGCCGCTTCGTTTAGCATTACCCGAACACTCGAGAGTTGAGTCACAGAAGAAAAGTTATGCACGCTGTGCATAAAGTAGGAGAATGCGAGCGTCCGAGGTGCTCTGCCTTCTATGCGCTTTTCCTTCGGACCTGCCCGTGCCGGGCTAAAAAGCTTCTTTCCATGGCCGAAATCCTACTGTACGGTATTGAGACGACTCATCGGTGTACGCTGACGCATCGGCTGCCAACACGAAGCACTCATATTATGAAATCGTTGCCCCTGTCTGTGACTTCTCATCGATACTCATTTTGTTCTGTTGCGTTTCCAATTAGGATTTCTGAGCAGATGCTGCTTGCTGAATTGTCAAATCTCTCCCTAGCTAGAACTACGGCTAGCGATCTTAACACCATGTCAGAAAACGGGAGGGGGTGATCCTCTCAGCGCTAGCTGCTTTCAAATGTGGACTAGCAATTGTGGGGCCGATACTATGTCAATTGAACATGGGGACAACAGTGGAAAGATTTCAGAGAAGACCTCGAGGTTCTTGAAAAGTCCGAATCCGACCCCGAAATGACCGAAGTTGACAGCATCCACCGCTGCAGAGGTTCGAGGACCACCGCCGATTTCAGAAATTGACAAAAGACATCATTGATCTAGCAGCGCCGTCATGCTGGAGTCCTCAATGCCCTCTTCTAAGAAGATGGTAAAGATGAGATCAGAATCTTGATCATGGAGTTCTCGCATGGCTTATCATTCTTGCATTGCTGATGAGGAGGCATGACTTCCGCGGCAATCTGTAGAACTCAAGATATCGGGCTTTTCAGACGGATATTCCAATTCCCCGCTGGCCCCGATGTCCGAGAAGAAATACGGTGTCACTCGTCTGAGATTGGTTGAGGTCCGGCACCATCATTAAACTCGGAGGATATGATGCATATTCCCAGCCGCCACAGTACTGAATTTGGAAACTCGGAAAGCCAGCAGCCTTCCTGACGAAGAGGGAGATTTCTGATGTCAAAGAACGTCACGTAGGCTTTCCTTGGAATCAAATGGATGCATCGAACGCGAGTGGGATTTGATGGTTCTTCTCATCTGGGAAATGGAAAGCAGGGGGTATGATGCAGAGTCAGGAGGGGCAACGACTCTACCAACATTTGCTTAACCTTCCTGATCTTCTTGCTCTCCACATGATCTCTGCTCCCTAAATGCGTGCCATCTAGTTGTCCAGTGTCCATTGTCTCAGGGAAAATATGTCAATGAAAGATTGTAGAAGTACTTGCTTTAATGGAGATAAATTTCAAAATCATGTTCCAATAACTGGTCTAGCATTGAAAGGAACACATGATTTAATGTGCAGCTTGGCCATGGAATGTTGAGAGCAGCACTCCTTGAGATATCCCACACGGCTTGGAACATTGAATGCAGCACTTTCGAATATCCAGCTGAACCTTGGAACATTCACAGCAAGAGATGAGCTGATTGTCCTCCAAAGGGGTGAACAATGGATCCTCTCTTTACTTCACCACTTGCACTTTAAGGTTTAGGACTTCCGCGGGACATTTATTCCAATCTACACTCCACTGTAATTGGGCAAGATGAAACCCACAAATTCTGTCTAGTCCAGTATCCCTGTTGAAGAATCTTTTGGGTGAGATTCAATTACAATGCTGGATGTGAATGTTCAGAGTTGGCATGAACGTTTATTCCTAGTCAAAGTTCATGCTTCTTGATTAGGATAAAAACAATGAACTAATTCTACCTAAGGATAAAGTTTCCATGTGAGTTTTGAAGAGGGGGATTTTTCTGGCAGCTTTTGGTAATTCCCGCATTCAACTTCTATACTTACCTTTATTCTTTAGAGAACATGTAGAACATTGAGACCCATGTCTACTGCATTGTTCTTAAGTGACCTTGAATATCTAAGCCAAGAGTTCTCAGTGGTGGATTGAATGGTTCATCACGTGACAAGGGATAATGCCCTGCCAGACTTGTTGCTTTCAATGTTTAGGGCGGTCTGGAACACTGCCTAAAGCAAACCCCATTGTTCTTAACTAATATGGAAAATCCACTAAGTCTGAACTTCAGCATAGACTTCAGCAGGCTGTAAATCTTGCAACTCTTAGACTTATCGTTTGCTAATGTTCAGCACATGCCCGGGACGTTCAGATTAATGTGTAAACCATTATCTCTGGCTCGTATGGGACATTCAAATTTAATTAACGTGCAAATAATTGTACCTAATTCACTGGAGCAATCAATTCTGATCCTGTTCAAGAATTAATTCACTCTTATATATCATGTGATTTTATTCGCTAGTGCCTGAGGACTCAAAAATTCCCACACCGAAAAGCGGCGAGTAATTTTCTCACCGAACAACACCACAGCTTCGTAAAGCGGCGGGCCACTACCTTCACCGCCCACTCAAAGAGCACCAAAATGGCAGATCGCTCCTTCCTTGCGCGTCTTGCCTTCCACAATTTGCAACACGGTTATGATGCCTGCGATTGTCCCAAAGAGATCGTGAACTTTAACGACCTTAGCAGCACCAGAGACAAGTCTTGCGACGAGATGGTGGGCAAGAAATCTGGCAAGGCGCTTCTGCGCGAAGAGGGTACGGGTTCTCTCAAGGATAGCTCACTGTATTGAAGCTCACACGTTCAATAGGCCTTGCGCGTACCGACAATGGCATGAAGCAGTCCAGCTGGCCGGAGGTGCAGATGATCAATCAGAAGAATTACTACACGTATGTGCTCGAATCCTATAGGCATTGCGCTACCACCGTTTGATTTGACATTGCTCACGGCCGCAACCCCCTACTCTTAAATTATGTACACCTTTGGAAAGAGCTGACCGTTCACAGTGATTACATGAAGAGGGACGAGCAGGTCCTTTCGTTTCGCCTTCGAGATGACGATAACCGCGAGAAGATGATCAAGAGCGCGAAGGACAAGGACCGAGCATTGGCGAGAACCGGCAACACGGACGTTCCTCAGTCTACAATGGGTGATGGCGACGTGGAGGATGAGGATGCAGGCGCAACTGACGGTCTCGACCCTTCCAAGATAATCGTCATTCACCCAGGAAGTCAAAATCTGCGGATTGGCTTTGCCAGTGATGCTCTCCCTAAGACTATCCCGATGGCAATTGCTTGCAAATGGCTTCTGACCGAATCCGAGGAATACGATGCACGTCCGAAGCGCCAAAAGTTAAACACAACACCCGACCAGCAGTTTGGAGAAGAGTTCACGAAGAAGGTTACGAAGATGTCCAGTGAACTTAAGATGGACATGCGAGCAAACAAGCGCAAAGTCCTCCCAAACGCAAAGGAGTTGGTGGTAAACTACAATCGGCGAACAGAGCCTGAGAAGATCCTGGAACACAATGATCCAATGCGAATTGAATGGACCGACGTCTCGAAGGATGATCCCAAGGACCCATCGTCTTATTTCTGTGGAATGCAGGCTCTCCGTATCCCCGATGACTCGAAGCCAAAATATAGGTTGTTCTGGCCTCTACAGTCTGGCGTATTCAATGAGGACGAGAAGGACTACCTCTCTCGCGATCATCTCTTCGGCGACCTCGAGTCTGTCATTGAATCCGCTTTGAGGAATGAACTTGGTCTGAAGCGCTCCAGCCAGTGGGAGGAATACAGTTGCGTCTGGGTCATTCCTGACCTGTATGACAAGCGCTACGTGGAACAAGTTCTGGATATGTGCTTGAAGGACTTCGAATTTAAGCAAGTTTCCTTCATGCAAGAGAGTTTGACGGCTACATATGGTGCTGGCTATAGCAGTGCTTGCATTGTTGACATTGGTGCTCAGAAGACATCGATGTGCTGTGTTGAGGATGGTATGTGCATCGAGGACTCCCGCATCAACCTCAAGTACGGCGGCTACGATGTCACAGAGACCTTTATCAAGATGATGCTAGCCGACCATTTCCCGTATCAAGATATCAATCTAAAGCGCCGCTACGACTTCCTTCTGGCTGAGGAGCTGAAGGTGAACTTCTGCACCATGAATCAAGCTGAAATCTCAGTCCAGCTCTACAATTTCCACCTCCGGGCCCCCAACCAACCTACACGGAAGTATCAATTCAAATGCTACGACGAAGTCATCATGGCTCTAATGGGCTTCTTCGACCCTTCTCTGTTTGACAACAGCGAGAAGCTTGCTGATCGCCGCAGATTGGTGGACCGCTCATACAACACATACGACGTCAACATGCCAGACGATCCCACCTCATCAGCCCAACTGGAGATTTTGACCGCCATCAAGCCTTCACTCGCCACTACTGCCATTGGATTTTCAAACGGCAATGGCGTTGCAGATATTGGCACACCGTCAAAGGAGAAGCTTAATCCACTCAACTTCCTCTCCCGTATGGATAGCGAGGCGAACGGTGCATCGCGTGTCACTTCTGCAGCTGGTTCTCCTGCTCCTGAAGGTGCCAACACCCCAAATCCGTCAGGACCGTTCGTTCAGGGCGCGAATGGCACGAATGGAGGCTCACCCGGACCAAGCGGCGGCATATTTCAGTTTGGGGGAGGATCTCACAACAGCGGCACGCCTATCCCGGCAGGAATGTTTGTCGATCAACACGCCCGAACTGCAAAGGACTTTGCTATCGAGCGCGATTCGGTTCTCCCCATTGCTCCATTGGATACCGCCATCATCACCTGTATCACTCACGCTGCCAAGAATGACGACAAGAAAGTTCGAGACTTCCTCGGTGGAATCATGGTGATTGGGGGAGGTGCTAAGACTCCCGGACTCGGACCATATCTCGAGGAGAAGCTGAAGGCTAGAAGACCAGATCTGGCGGACAAGATCTTGGTTGGTACGAGCCCCAGAGAGATGGATGGCCAAGTCGTGGTCTGGAAGGGTGCGAGTGTCTATGGACGAATGAGAACTCATGAGTCTTGGATTGGACAGAAGGAATATGAGATGTTGAGAAGCCGGGCCTTGTACCACAAGCTCATTTGGCACTACTAAGCCGAATTTCAAATCTCATTGATACAGGGCATAAGTGTTGGCGTTCAGGGGTTCATTTCTCAATATCGACGGCGTACAGGTCGATGAGATTTAAAGGACTGGCGTTTAGCGGCATATTGAATGGCTGGGTGGATATGTGTATGACTAGAATCGCAAAAAAGCGCGGCAAAAAGTGACAAAGATCGTCACCACCATTTGACATAGAGGAATGGGATAAAGAATCAAAAGGAGCCGGTCCGGCATGCATTGTGAAGTTGAAGTTCCTCCCACATCTGTTCGGGGCCCTGATCTAAGATTTGAAAGTCGCGCAAGATCTCTGCGTCTAGTTGCGTTTCATTGTTGACGTGAGAGCAGCGAATTCATTCTAGTTTCTCTATATTATCCAGCTCATATATCTAAGTCGTTCAATTCTCTTGAAACACTAGTGAGTTGCAGGATTGGCGGGGTTGTCATCTTTCCGCCACTCACTAGTTTCCATTCTTCCTAGGGCCGCATCTAGGCCCCCAACTTTATCTGAAGTAGATCTTTGCTTGGCTTGCTGTGTTGGCTAATCCATATCCCTGCATTTGCTGGCATCCCTTGTCCAGATCGGACTCGGTAGAGGCTTCTCCTTCCAAGTACTGGACGGAGAAACGTCTTGACCTAATTGTTTCTTGTTGAGTAATGGTTCTAAACTACCGTTATGCGGATAGTGGGATCGCAACGAAGCAATCGAAGGATGTTCATTCAACCCCTATTTGAGTTCAGCCTGGAAGGATCAGATTGCTGATATATGAATATCAATTTACTTTCGGCCAACTGGTCCGAGATCTCCTCAATCATGATGTGTATGTTGTGCCTCTCTGCATCCTTAATCTTGAGCTTTGGAATTCGGCGGGGCAAATAAGCCCTCAAGCGGTCCTGTTCATCAGAGGGGATCAGGCACTCCGACTTCTCGTCGGAAATTTACCTCCAATCGGGACTCTCAGTCAGACTCTTTGCTGTTGATGAGTATGCACAAGAGTACTCACTGTGCTTTCCCTTACGCGAAGGTTTGCTCTTGGTCATATGAATGGCATTCTAATTTAATCTAGAAAGCCAGGTCCCAATTTCCCATGATGTTGGCTTTCGATAGATTTGAGGAGATATATAATTGATGAACCTCCACATGCAACCATCCTCCGCATCACGATTCTGTTCTCAATCTCTCGACTCATCATGCGTTCAAGATTTGCCTTCACTCTTCTTCCTCTTACTTTGGTTGCTGGGCAACAAATTGCTACCCTTACCGCTGAAGTCCACCCATCTCTCACATGGCAGACATGCACAGCTCCCGGTAGCTGCACCACCAACAATGGCAAAGTTGTCCTCGACGCCAATTGGCGTTGGCTGCATTCCACTGACGGTTCTACCAATTGCTATACCGGGAACACTTGGGACGCAACTCTTTGCCCGGACGATGCCACATGTGCTAAGAATTGTGCACTTGATGGTGCAGATTACAGTGGCACCTATGGCATCACAGCGAGTGGAAGCTCCTTAAAGCTCAACTTCGTCACGCAGAGCGGACAGAAGAATGTTGGATCCCGCCTGTATCTGTTGGCGGACGACAACAACTATCAGATGTTCAATATGCTGAACCAGGAGTTCACATTTGACGTCGATGTTTCGCATCTTCCTTGTGGATTGAACGGAGCACTGTATATGTCTGGGATGGTGGCAGATGGGGGCATGGCTCAATTCCCAACCAACAAGGCCGGTGCAAAGTATGGCGTGGGATACTGTGATTCTCAATGCCCACGAGATCTCAAGTTCATCAACGGTCAGGTTAGTTGGCCCCCCTTCCTCACCTCCATCACTTCCGCTGACCTCTCGTGCACAAGGCCAATGTAGATGGATGGACTCCCTCCAGCAACAACCCAAACACGGGAGTCGGCAACCACGGCTCCTGCTGCGCAGAAATGGACATCTGGGAAGCCAACAGCATCTCCACAGCCCTGACCCCTCACGCGGCCGACACCCCCCAACAAACAATGTGCACAGGCGACGCGTGCGGCGGAACCTACTCCTCCTCCCGGTACGGCGGCACCACCGACCCAGACGGGTGCGACTTCAACTCCTACCGCATGGGCAACACCACCTTCTACGGGCCCAGCATGACCGTCGACACGACCTCCAAGTTCACCGTCGTCACACAATTCCTGACCGACGACGGGACAGCCAAAGGCACTCTGTCTGAAATCAAGCGCTTCTACGTTCAGAACGGCGTCGTGATCCCGAATTCGGAATCCGATATCGCTGGTGTGACGGGAAACTCGATCACAACCTCCTTCTGCGATGCCCAGAAAACGGCGTTCAATGACAAGAATGTGTTTGCGGATCACGGTGGGATGGCAGCTATGGGTAAGGCATTTGAGGCGGGCATGGTGTTGGTTATGAGTCTGTGGGATGATTATTATGCTCATGCTCTCTGGCTGGACTCGACGTATCCTACAGATGGCGCTGCCACGAGTCCGGGTGTTGCGAGGGGGACTTGTGCCACGACGAGTGGGGTTCCGAGCGATGTTGAGAGCGCGGATGCGGCGGCTTATGTCGTTTATGAGAATATTAAGGTGGGAGCGATCAATAGCACTTTTGGGTCAGCGTAGGGGATTTACAAGGTCTGCGAGTTCGGCAACGAGCACATAGTGCGAGATGATTAACCCTTCTGACTAGCGATGCGGGTAGTTCAATTCTTGGGAAGTTGGGCGGTGCACTGACCTAGGAGAGGGAGTAAGACTTGCAAATCGAGAGGCAAGGTTGGATTCTGTACTGTACATACTTACGATTGCAAAGTCAAAGAGGTCTGGGACTTCGAAGTTTTGGCACCTTCCGAAGCTTGAGAGGTCATGCATTCGGATATAGATGTTTCCCCAGGTGCTCAAGTGAGTCAAAGTTAAAAGGATGTTTAGATCATGTCGTACGATTGAGCTCAAGTCTGTCCGATGTCGACGGGAGGTGTCTGTAACTCAACCACGTGACTGCTGGCAAAGCGTGATTAGACCTCCCCTAAGCAAGCTCTAAGGCAAACTAAAATTGGCTAATTACGCACAACCATGAAGATTTGCTCATCAATACGCGAGCCCGTCTGTGGAACAGTGTCGTGGCGTTTGCGGTCGTCGGAGGCAGCCTTATGAAGCAGTTTTTCAGCAACTGAGAAAGAATCCCACTCTTGACCAACCTCAATTCTGATCTCGCTCATCCAATCAACTAATGACATGCCACTCGGTAACGACACCCTTGGAATCTCAATTTACTGATCACACATTTGCGGCTTTAAAATTTCCCACAACTTCCATCTCTGAATGTTGAACCACTTTCGCCATGACCTCCAACAAAGATACCACCCAGCCGAGTGAGACCACGCCTCTGATATCAAGTAGCACCTCGAAACCAAAGAAGTATGGAACATCTATCGTATATCGAGCGCTGGTTGCTGGATTCATGATTTCACTATCCTTCAGCATCACTCAAGTCCCGTGAGCCTTCCCCCACTTTCCACGTGCCTCAACTCGCCACGTGAGGTTACTCGGTAGCTCAGGTATTTACTTACATTCTCTAGAATCATATATGTCTTCCGCTTGATGACATGTGAAGCGTACTACACGAACCATCCACTCCCTCCGCCTGGTGGCGACCGTTGCAACAATCACCAGATCGAAGCCAGTACCGCAACTGCGGTCTCACTCCTTGGAGTGTCAACCACATTCTTTGGGGTTATAAACCTATTCATAACGGGATGGACGATTAAGAAACTCGGCATTAAGTCCTCTTTGATCATCCAAGTCTTCTGGCCGGCTGTCCGCCTCGCCATTCAGAATGTCGGTGTCCAGACTGGAGGTGGAATGGGGATCCTGATCATCCAATGTTCACAAATCATCAATATCATTGGAGGACCTGCCGGGTATCTCTTAACCTTGAACTCATATATCACAGAAGTTGTAGAGCATGAGGCGAGAACAGGAGTCCTGGGCCAACTCACCGGGTGCACGATGTTCGGCACTTCTCTTGGATACCTCATTGGAGGACTCCTCAGCGATATCTTTGGTATAATTGCACCATTCAGAGTCACTCTGGTCTTGTTCCTTATTTCTTGTTGCTACGTCTTCTTCTTTTTGCCTTGGATTCCACCGAACGAGGATATGGAGAAAAAGGCTTCAAAAAAGAGAACTGTCTTGAACTTTCTTGGTCCGTTGAAAATGTTTGCGCCTCAGAGGTGGGTACTGGGAGATGGAAGGATTCAGAAGGAATGGGGTACCTTATTGCTTGGAAGTGGGGTGTTTTTCGGTGTTCTGGCAACGAGCTATGTACCGGTGCTGCTTCAGATGTACTCGACCGACGTCCTTGGGTTTGGCACGACAGAGAACGGGTACCTGATATCGTTGAACTCTCTTATTCGAGGTATTTTTCTCACTTTGGCTTTTCCCAGGATCATCAAAGCTGGACGAACCTGGTTGGACCGCCGAAATGGAAAGAAAAGTGGAACAAATACACCACGAACTCCAGATTCAGAGGCTACGTTGACGGAGCCAAATCAAGAAATTGCGGTTGAAGCGATGGAAAGTGAAGAAGAGCCAAGGGAGACGCCGAAATCAGCGGATGATGATAGAGAGACTTTCCATTTTGATCTGATGTTCACAAAATACAGTTTGATCGCTGACGGCCTGATCACGGGAATCGCAACCTTTGTGACAGAAGGTTGGCAGATGTATGCGGTAGCTATGCTGCTTCCGTTTGCGTCAGGAACAGGATCTGCGGCAAAGGGCACGATTTTGCAGATGTGTTCTGCTGCTGAAAGGTCTGATGCATTGGGTGCTATTACCTTGCTTGAGATGATTGCAAGACTTTTGACGAGTAAGCTCTCGAGAACCTTTTTAATCTCGAAAGCACTGACACCGTTCTAGCAAGTGTGTTTGGTCTCATATTTGCGGCATTTGCGAATATTGGGCGGACGCACTTTGTGTTTACATGTAATGCTGTGAGTGACACCCCTGGATTTCAGGAAGAATTCTGCGCTGACTTTCCACGAGGCTGTTGCAACTTTAGGATTTATTATTTTGCTGTTCTGCAAGTTTCCACGCGAAGGGAGTAAGAGATATGTAGAAGAACATGATCCCGAGCCGGCTCCGGCATAGCCGCTCGAACCGGCAGTCTCAAGAGGTCAAGACCGCGACTCCTAGAATTCTTGAACTCGTTCATTCAGCGTAAACTATCAGGATATTCAATGAAAGATGCCCAAGGGCGGTCGATTTCGTTGATTGGTGATAAGACAAGGAAGCTACTAAACCCAAAAGGAAAGTGGCGCCTCCCGATACAACATCGCCAACTTGCAGCTGAGGTTTCAACGAAGCCTGAACGATGAAAGATGTTTTCCTTCGTATCGCAACAAGAGTCTGTGGCCGAGTTGACCTAATTGCCAGGACTATTCAATACCAATCCTTCCGTTCTCGCATTTCACCTATACTTCCAACCTTCTCAAGGCCCGACGCTCACACCACCAGCTTAGCCACAGCCTGATGCGCTGTTCGATGTCTGCGAATAATGTCCTCCGAACTCAAGCACTGGTACCTTGACGCGACAGTCCATAACGACCGAGTGGAGGAGGTCTACTATATATCAGATCCTGTGCAAAACGTTAGACGCAGCCGCCAGACCCGGGTATGGAAGGTAGAGCAACTCTTGGGCCACGGCAGCTTTGGACAAGTGCGCCTGGAAAAGAACCATGAAGATGGACAAGTAAGGGCCGTGAAGAGGATTACGACGACGAGCGCGACACTGAGTAATAGCGAATGCGAAAAGGAATTAAAGGCTCTGCTAGAGTTTTCCAAACCCAAGGTAAGTTGAGCCTACTATATAGGAACATTAGAAATTGGTTGTGGCTATCGCTGACGGTATATAGTTCAAAGAAGCTGCGGTATTTGTCGAGTTTTTCGGTTGGTTTAAGGATGGCTATGACATTTTTCTAGCTATGGAGTACGCCCCTCTCGGGGATCTCCACAAGAACCTGGTCGCAAATTCGGGGAAAATACCAGAGACCGAAGCTCGAGATATTGCCGAACAAATACTTTTGGGGCTGGAAATTATGCATGCCGAATCTTTTGCACATCGTGACCTTAAGCCACAGGTATTTTTACCTAATACTTTCTCTGGAACTTGCACTGACAGATTTTGATTTGTAGAACGTTCTTGTTATTCATGGACCGCCTCAGTGGTGGGTGAAGTTGGCAGACTTTGGTCTGAGCAAGAGATTAACGAATACTACGGGCTATAATACTCGGGCTGGTACTCAGTCATATATGGCCCCCGAAATTCTCGACTTTCTAAATCCGTATGAGCCAAGGTCGGATTATACAAATGCCGTTGATATATGGTCTGCTGGGTGCATTGTTTATCGTCTGATTACAGGTGTGGTCCCCTTTCCCCGAATCACCTCATTAATCAAGTATTGTGAGGATAAATCTTTGTTTCCTTACGATGCTTTGTTTGACAGCGGGATTAAGAGTGAGGGATCAAAGTTTCTTCGACAACTTCTGGTGGCAAAACCAAGCGCAAGACCTTCTGCAATCCAAGCCCTCAATCATAACTGGATATTTTCCGGTATGTCTTCGATTATTGTTGGATATAACTAGTTTTGTTAATTTGCTATGCTCTAGGCTCTAGTATCGAGAGAATGCCTCCTAAGATAATGTCTAGTGAACCACTCCTCGAGGAGGATTCAGGACTTTCTCCAACTTCTTCTGAGATTGGCTACAATACGGCTTCACATGCTGGACTCCAATCTGACCAACCGTTACTGTCCAGCTTCTCGCAAACGGTATTGCCGCCCCCATCAGCTCCCAAAATTTCACCCCCCTCTAATGGCACAACTCTCGATCCATATCCAATCCGCTCCGCGCCTATATATGCACAGGACTCAGATTCGCAAACTGCGTCTCAGAGTGGGCAACCCCAGTCAGCAATACTGACTAAGAAGACGGCCCCTCCTTTCGATCGAGAAACACACCCCACGGCGGAACCAAGATCTAGTAAGGCAACTGATAGCCTATTTAATTCATCGACTGCCAGCAATTTCGGAAAGGAAATGAGGAGAGCCAGCTCGATCACAAGGGAGGCACGTAGCACGCTCAAGGGCCATACCGGGTCCGTTTGGAGTGTCACCTTCTCACCAGACGGCAAGCTTGTGGCCTCAGGCTCTGACGACATGACCGTGCGGCTCTGGGACTCGGCCACAGGGGCGCCCCGCGGTATACTCAAGGGCCATACCAGCTCCGTTTGGAGTGTTGCCTTCTCACCAGACGGCAAGCTCGTAGCCTCAGGCTCTAACGATATGACCGTACGGCTCTGGAACTTGGCTACAGGGGCGGTACGGGGCACGCTCAAGGGCCATCTTAACTCTGTCCAGAGCATTGCCTTCTCGCCAGATAGCAAGCTTGTGGCCTCAGGCTCTAATGATAAGACCGTACAGCTCTGGGACTCGGCCACAGGGGCGCCTCGCGATACGCTCTTTGGCCATACCAACTACGTTCAGAGCGTCGCCTTCTCACCAGACGGCAAGCTTGTGGCCTCAGGCTCTGACGACACGACCGTGCGGCTCTGGGACTCGGCCACAGGGGCGCCCCGCGATATGCTCGAGGGCCATACCAGCTCCGTTTGGAGTGTTGCCTTCTCACCAGACGGCAAGCTCGTAGCCTCAGGCTCTTGCGACAATACCATACGGCTCTGGGACTCGGCTACAGGGGCGGTACGGGGCACGCTCGGGGACTATACCAACTATATTCAGAGCGTCGCCTTCTCACCAGATAGCAAGCTTGTGGCCTCAGGCTCTGATGATAAGATCGTGCGGCTCTGGGACTCGGCTACAGGGGCGACCCGCGGTATGCTCTTTGGCCATACCAACTTCGTTCAGAGCGTCGCCTTCTCACCAGACGGCAAGCTCTTGGCCTCAGGCTCTCGCGATAAGACCGTACGGCTCTGGGATGAGAAATGATAACCTCCCCTTCTATATCCATCATAATCAAACCTTGTTATATGCTCTTTAATAAATTCTTTTCTGCTTTGAAATTTTTCTGCTTTGGGATCGATTGCTCTTTCTGCTCTCCTTTTATAACAGACAGCGTTTTACAAGTCAATTCGCCACTTGCTCTATACTGTCGATTGTTAGGCTGGAAATTAGAACCTAAGAGCTTTCTTTTAACAAGCAGGATTTGCTTACCTAGGAGTATAGCACGATTTAAGCACTTTAGCCTAATAACCCATTTGCTACGTGCGCGTGTATCCCGTGGTATTATCCCGTATAAACCCCTTAAGAAAAAACGTTTCTGGAAGTTTGCAGAAGACCTATTCTAGAATCCTTATGTCCAATGGGACATTATGTGTTCTCGTTTAGTTTCTTTAAAAGCGCGAGGAACCTTCAGGCTTCCTTTGATTCCTCGCGCTATGTCTTGTATCTAGAATCAATACACACCTTGACTTAAACCCTCACGCCCTCCTGTGACTGAGGGAATGCTGAGACGGTCTGGAGGCCAGGTAGAAAGTCCCGGATGAGAATTCAAGCTATGTGAGGTTTGAGTCAAGGCATGTATTGATTCTAGATACAAGACGTAGCGCGAGGAGCAAAAGAAGAATAACGCGGGGAGCCATCCTTAAAGAGAAGATCGATATGACTCATCATGTGACTCGGGGTCACGTGATTTCGTGATTTCGTGACAAGCTAGGATCTCACAGTTAGGACGGACTCACATCTAGGGCGGGTTACCCAGCACTCCCAGAAATCTGGGATTCCAAGAGTCACAGGAAGGTTATCCAACGAGAGTTCTGCGTTGGGACAATGACGATGCATTTATGGAGATTAATTGAGTTGTGGGGACGTTTTCACCTTCGGTATGGACCAAAGTTGAGTCTGTACTAGAACTAGGTAGGCATGCAATCACGTAATGACCGAGTCTTGGTAATCTCGGAGAACCAGACAGAAAATCTCTGCTGGAATTTGGTCCAAAATGATTGCGCAGTAGAGACGTAAGTAATACTTCTGATGCATCCAGATAGCTGAGTTAAGCAAACTATGCCAGGTTGAAAATAATTTGAGGGGGTCATGCCACGTAGCGGGTCATTACGGTGCACGATAGGGACAACAAAATCTGCCAGCGATTTATTTTTAAGTCGGAAGCTGCCGCTGCTTGTGTCTTGCAAGGGCTGCTGGGTCTTAGACGGACTCGCCCAGGCTATAGCAGGGAGAGTCGCCAGATTGAAAGTGGTCTTAGGAAGCAACTTGCTGGAGCAGAACTGCAAGTCGTCCAGCAGCGTCTCGACAGCGCGGCCAGAGAATTTGAACTGCAGCAGCAATTGCGCCAAGCTGAGAGAGAACAGGACGAAGCAGCAGTCCAAGGTGGCTTTCAGACTCCCAGGATCCAGCAGGTCATCCACCGACGCAGTCTAGGCGATGTGGCTTTCATCCAACAACAGCAGCTTGAGAATTATGGCTTGGGGGTTGATCGCGCTCGCCTCCAGCGGGAGAACAGAGAGCTTGCTCGGCTGAAGAAGAGGAAGGAGCACAACGAGCAAGCCTAGAATTCTTGAACTCGTCCATTCAGGAGCTTAGAATTTTAGGCAGCTCGCTTGATAGTTCAGTGATTTGGTCGTGCCAGATGACGGAAGAGGGGCTTAGTCACGGCTTGGGGGAGACATGCGATTTGTTCCGGCTCAAGCCATCTCCCACAGCCTTGTATCACCCGAAGACCAATCACTCGCTATGAGATACGCCGGGCAGGCTTCTCAGCTCTGCCCCGCAGGATTCGACGCCCGACTGCTTAGCCCATTGTTTGGTGGTGAAATATCTGACATTGGAATATGATCTTTCTCCGAAGCTCCCCCTCTCACCAATGGATATCTATCATCTCTCTCGATTTAGCTCAGCTACCAACGTAACTATGCCTTCGAACTGTCACTCATCGCCATACTCTCCCTCTCAAGGAGAGAGTCGTCGGTATCCTTCCGCAACTTCGTACTCCGAGAAGGATAATTATTCTTCTTCACCTCCATCGTCTCCACCGCCGTCAAATTCAAACAATGATTCTTCGAGCGGGAGCAACGACCTCAGCTCACGGACCGGTCTTGCCTCCCTCATTATCGCCGGTTTTGCCACAGTCATTGCTACAACAGGGCTTTGTGTTGCGATCAAGCAACTTGTAATCTCGAAAGCGCAACTACGACAAGCAACAATTGGCACCGCTACAAATATGCCAGTACTGCGAGTACGAGGGACTGGGGGAAGTGTCGGTTCTGGGTCTCGTGCCACACCTGGAGGAGTTCAACGTGCCGGTGGAGCCATATCGGCCAGAGGAATCGAGGCAGCCAGCGCTTTAGGGGCGGCAGCGAGCTCTCTCATAAATGGCGCACAGGTACAGCTGAGCTCAGCATCTACCTGGGCAGCTTCCGTTAATTCGTTAGCTTTCCCAATGCCAACACTGGATTTCGACAACCGAAGCCTTGTCTCTCTCTTCGGAAACCCTTGGTCATCCCCTCCAGATGAAGGGCCATCATTTTAGAGGATCTTGAAGACAACCCTTTCAGCAACTTCTCTCAATGAAATGGAGTTACCAGAGCGGAGTCACTTTCTAGTATTGGCTCGGATTCTGATGCTAGCTCCATCAGTGCCACTAGTACCTACATGACTACTGAGCCAATGGAGGATGAGATTTGGGAAAGTATCATAGCTGCGAGGAATGAAGAAACGGGCCCCCATTCTTTGGAAATGTCGACATCGATATCATCTTCATAACGCTTTTGAATCTCTTTAGGGAAATGTCTACGTGTCCTTTCATCTGATTCCTAGTTTTTGCTCCAGACAACCCTTGGCCGCATTGTTTTGATATGGACTGGAAGAATGGAATCCAATCGTCAGTATGATAGAACTTGAAAGTGATCGGGTATTCAAGATCAATTGAATTCTGGGGAATTCTGGGCTTTTGACCAAGTACGACATCTTCATGTCATATCCCATTGTTTAGCAAGCGAAGTAACGGCTGGCAGATGCACTTCAGGGTTAGGGCGGAACTCTCTTAGGACTGTTCTCAATGTCATTATTCTTGTCGCTGTTAATATCCCTTTTGCTCCCAGCTTGCGCCATACCTTCCCAGAGCTCGAGTCGCTTTAGATACAATCTTTCGCACACATAGCTTTATGCTCTTGAATCGGTATTCCTTGACAGAAACAGAGACGTGCTTGAAATAAACAAATAACTGCAGTTGTTTTCCAGGCGTTCTAATCACTTTGAGAGGATTGTCATGCGTTGCGCGAATCGTCTATTGCCTACGGTATATCGTTGTTTGCTTGAAAGTGTCAGACCTTAGTCCGCGTACAATTTCCAGTTTTGGATCGTTTGAAATCTCACTGTATTTTATAAACGTGGGTTAAATAAGGGAAGGGGGGGGTGGAGGGATATTATAGCTCACATAGGACATCCGAAGTGAAATAGGGGTATCACGTGACTAAAAGAAAGTATTCGGCCCCGAAAGGAGTTGAGAATCCTCTGCATGAGATAAGAACCTGGAAAGTGTAAGTTGAGGGTTCTAGAAGGTTTGAAGCTCAGTTGAGGGTAGTTAAAATCACAAAGGAACAATCATTGGTAACCCACACTCAACTTAAAAGAACTCTTGCGCCCACGCTCTGTTAGCAATGGGGGATTTGTCATTGCAAACTCTATTGCAATGAGAATATGCGCTTTGCACTTAGTGTTCTTAATTCTCCAAGCGAAATAAGTGACAAAAAACTTTGTTTGTCAAGCCGCTCTTGTCGATGCCAATGTTCAGACAAAATCTAGCTCATTGAGAATAGACTTGGAATTGATCTTTATTAGAAAAAAGAGAATTCTCGCATGCTAACCCAAGCCAGAGGGAATGCAGAGTGCCACTCCACCTTTAACTGCGAAGTCTTCGAGTGTGTCCTGAACCATTAAGGGAATGCCTTCGCCAAGTTTCTGTGGGCTTTTGGAAGATCAAGACCACTTTATTTCTAGGCGTTGAAATCGACATGGGCATTGAAAGTATGAAATAGATGATGTAAAGAATTGCATCTTAGGCAACTGAGGGTGAAAGAGGTTTGGGGTGGGATGATGGCTTTGCGAGGATTTAAGGAGAGATTGCCCCTGCCTAGCATTGCCCCTTGATTTCGTAACAAAGCCTGCGAACTGCAAATGTCTTGGTAACTAGAAAGAAACCTATATAAGCAGCTGCAAGTTCGATAACCTTCGCCCAAGCAGACGAAATTCTCGAGCTGAGCTCTGATGTCGTTGCCCTTTGCTAATTTCCTCGGGAGGTGCCTTAACGCCTAGCTAGCCTGTCATGACCTATGTTATTTGAAAGCCGTTAAATTCTACCGGGGCTCTTGAAACGTAGAATCATTTAACTTTGTCTGAAGAAACACACTACTTCGACTGTCACGATATATTTTATGCCGAAGCTGAAGTTCAGACGAACTTCAGACGAACTTTAGGATATTAAAGAAGGACTTGTTGTGGATGAAAGAATGGAATTGGCCATGCAAAGTCTTTGGGAATGCTTGATAAAGGACTGAGGAGACATATAGGGTTCGACGGCGGGTAGGAGCATAGCCCTTGTCCAGCGTGCCTAGGGACACATGCACTGTATTCCCCTTGCTTTTAAAGGTAAGAACTGAATTTTCTGCGAGTTTACACTACGTGTCAAAGCATGCTTGACGCAATAAAGAAGTCAAAGAGGCTTGACCTCTCCTTGTAATAAGCGCGCAAGCCAGACATAGAAACACCCTGTTGAGTCCCTCCTTCCGCCTCTGGATTGTGATATAATGATATTGCACTCCGCACCCTAGATGCTGCAGATTTAAGGGGGGAGGAATGCCTTTGATTCAGAGGAATCTGCTCTTTATTCACCTTGCAAAAGTTCCCTCAATCCTTAATTCGACACTCCGCCTAAGAAAACGGCCATCTTCCACATTATTCCCAAATTGATACTTCGGTTGTCCAAGAGCTCTAACATATACCTAGCCAGATCTGGGAGATCCTTCAGGGGGGTTCGTCTTTGTTCTGTTGGATAGCAACTTCAGTGATTGCATCGTAGTGAGCATTATCAACTCCCTTGCCAACCTCACTTGATGTATAGAAAGGGAGAGGGGTATTATTTGATTCGCCTCTGACTTGGCTGCACGGGCAAGGGTAGCTAGTTGACATTACTCTCCGATATTCTTGCCATTACTAGTGCCGCAAATCAGTTCCAGAACCTTCCCGGCTTTGCTGGTGACACTCTAGTGTTCTGGAATAGCACAGTCTTTAAGGCGAAGAATTCTTTCCAGACTTCGAGACTGGCAGAAGCAAAGCCTGAATACTTGGTATTTACCAGAACATCTCTGAAACAATGGGCTCAGCACCTCTCAGAATGTGCCAAGCTATATTGCAGTATTAGAAAGTTTGAACCTGGCAATCCCAAGCCTTCTTGAAAAATCGAAGCCAAGAAATATCAGTGTGTCTTGTATCTCACAGAACATTGTGAAGTGAAGAATTTGTAATACCCCAAGTCCCTGAGGAATATCGATGTCACGAGCAACTCAAATGTACAGAGATGCTTGGAATATTCAAAAGTGAATTCTTGACACCCCTCAATTCTCTCCAAACAATGAATCCATCGAATTTCAGAATGCCCTACAATATATAGAACATTCAAGATATAAAGACTCTATAGTGCCTCAAGCTCATCTGGAACTTCGAGATCACGAGTCACTTCAATTGTTTCGAGGTTCGAGGACAATGCAAGTGGAGAGACTGGAATGTACCGAGTCCTCAGGAATATTGAAGCAAGGGTCGTTTCAAATGACCCACGATGGTTTGTGCAATGCAAGGTGAAGTGCTTGATAATATTTCAGGCCACGAGACACATTCACCCTCCCTGAATTAGAAATGTGGAGAACTTAAAAGGAATTGAGAATGTGAGGTAGAGGCATAGTTACCTGCGACGTTACTAATACTGAAATATGGCTTCTTATATTGCTATGTTACTAATAGTTTGACTTGCCATAATCTATGTCGTTGTTTTGGAGCTATATAGACAAGTAGGGAACTTAGGACCGGAAGGAATCGTGGTATTGGAATTTCCAAAACGGGACAGTGGGATTTGCAATGTGTTTGAGTGGCATTGGATATTGAACATGAGTCTGCAAGCCTGCATGTGGATATTAAAAGTAAGTCAATGCTAGACGTGAGCCCATGGACGGTTCTCGTCGAGGTATAATAACCTTCTCGACTTCGACTGCGACTGGCCCGCAATGCAGACTTCGCACTGAGAGGGACCGAGCTGGGAAGGGTCGAGCGATTCCTCTAGGTTATTAAAGGAAAGGAGCTGCTGCGGACGTGGGAAAAGTGTCTCGCCCTTATTATATAGAAGAGAACTCCTTAGCGCCTTTCGTTTTGTGGTGGGAATTAAGAAAGTCGGGTATTGTGAAATGAAAACACAAGCAATGACAACAAAGTTAAAAGTGACAAGAAAGTTTATCTTTCACGTATAAAGCAGCTTATATATAAAGACTCTCTAATATTAAGCAACGTTGAGCAAAGAGGACACGGCCTCTCACAGAATCTAACCCAATATAAAAGATAGCTTTAACACAACAACGCGTAGTGTGCAATCAATCTCTGTGGTCGGTAACTACATGCTCAACCCTACTAATAAGAGATTACTCTCCCCAGCGTAATTAAATGTAACAGTGGGCCCTCTTGGCCGGGGTGTTTTGTATGGTAGAATGCCTGTGCTCTGTGGACCCACTGTTACATTTAATTAGGGGGAGGAGAGAGTAATACGCCCTAAAAAAATTAAGGTAATTAATTATGTTTGGTTACAATTGTGACGGCTGGCATAACGGCATGATTTGCCGGGAATAGGGATTCGGAAACAGGTCTAAAACGGAACTAAGCCAGAAGGCTTGGCCAAAGCACTACTAAAGATCGAGGCATTCCTCCCTCCTTTGCTCTCTAGCTTAGTATTTTCAATACATGAAATTCATTGAACTTTGAGCCTTCGACCATTGCATTAATCCCGCCATTACACACGTAATTACTTCTCCTTATAATCTTAGATCTCTTTATAAACTCTTTTAAGCTTTTCTTTTTCTTCTTTACCTAGATTAAAGCTATTCATAAAACATTAATTAAATCTTATATTAAAGTCTTATATAATATCCTAGCCCTTAATAGCTCCTTTTATAAGTTCACGTAATTAAACAATTAATTCTTCAACTTTAATTATTAGGTTTCTGTTCTAATATAATATAATTTAATTATTGCCCGACAATTATAGCTAAATTGAATGATTTAATATATTGTAAGAGATAAACGGATATTTATATATATTTAGTTATTAGAGAGGGCATTATAATATACACTGCGCAGCTATAGCTTGCAAATGAAAGTTTGCAAATAAGGGCAAAGATAGTTCTTATTAATATAAAAACCTTCTCAACGTCGACCACGATGGACCCACGCTACCAAACCAGAGATCCTGGATTGCTGTCCCATCCAATACCAAGCCGGGATTGCAGGTTTGCTGCAGGTACTGTACTTGAAGGGAGGCAGCTACTATGGATATGAAAAGCTGTCTCAGATTCCTAGGCAACCTATGCATTCGAGGATCGAAGTTACGGAGTCGGGTATTGTACGACGAAAGCACAAGCAAAGTATCTGTTGGAAGGGAACGGAGATGTTTCTAGTTGTGGATTACACGCAGGTAGGCCGAGAGAAGGAGCTCGGCTCGGCGTTGAAGTGTAAATGCCGCCTCGTAACCACTTCCCCGTCATCGGCACACCCGACGTTCGCAGCGCTGCTGGGACGGAAGCGGGGCTGGTGGTCGTCACTGAATTTCAAGGTTGTGAGTATGGCTAGAGGTCAGTGTGTAGCATAGGGGGCGACAGGAAGTACAGGCTGGCCGAGAGCAAGGAATATTGATGGGAGGGAAGCGCAGGTTTTGGTCACCTCGACCCGCTAGAGAGCTTCAAGCTGTGTAGGCAAGCTCCCAAGCAAAGGGGACAGGATGAATGCTAAGGACAACGCCACAATACCTGACAACAAGCTTCGTCAAATTGAAAACGAAAAACGATGCCGAGACTTGATTTGCCGAACATAACTCTGCAAGTTTGAGCATCATGAGAACCCGAACCGGGGAGGGAATGTCAGGGCGCGAAAAAGATATCGATGCCTTGAAATGCGTGCGGAGATGATCTTCTTCGGCACCAATGTGTTTGAGATGTTTAATCTAGATACTGTGGAAGTTTGAGCATTTAGATACTGGGTCTGTGGTTCCAGAGTGGGGGTAATTGCAGCGGCAGGAACTCATGGCCGCATTTCTGAGGGGATTTGTTCTCTATGGGTGTATGATGATTGCAAGCTCACTCCCCGTGGGAGCGAGAGAAAGCAAGGTCTCCACAGCCAACACTTCAAGCGTCAGTTTTGGTCCCCGTATTGCTCCAATGGGTTGATTGCTTTCCAAGAACTAACGTCGGAGCACATCACGACGAAGAGCACCGCACGGAGTCTCTCGGCGCACTCCTCTGGTTATTAATTAGTCCTTGACACCGCGTCAATGCTGGCATGCACAATTACTCGGACCGAGTTCTAAGATTGGAGCATCAGGCTCACGGAATGCGATTTGCAAGGAGGATGGGATGGATATTTGACAGCAGTAATAACATTGACACCAAGGATAAGAGTGGGAGCAAAGAGTGGAGACTGCAGGATTTGAAAAGCAGGAGAGTAATTGTTGAGTGGCGAATTACACAGGTATAGCATTGAGACTCAGGTGTGGAGAAAACTCTATGCCTTCCCCGCTCCCGGCGACACAGGGGGGATGTTCGCAACAAGTGAAATTAAGTCTTTGCTTGAAGAGAGCTATCTGTGACGAAGCTGACTTAAGTAGTTGTATGTGAGGGCATGTGTCAAGTTTATGAAGGGAGACCTCGGTGCAATTCATTCGAAAAGGGGCGTGTTATTTGAGGCACGTGATGAGGGCAAATTCAACCACAAACGACAAAAAAGGTAACAGTACTTCGAACGCCAAAACTAAAAAATCCAAAATCACAACCCAAATTTCATCAAAAGATCCAGACTCTTCAACTCTTCAACAAACTCTCATCGACTCACTCCCACCAAAGATGGAAACATTCATCACATGACTCAACAATCAAAGTTAAAACATCAAACATAAAACCATATCTCATCCGATCTCGATTAGATCTGCGATTGCTACTTGCAACAAAACCTCTCACCCATCTAACCTATCGGGCCTCCCTCTTCTTCTCCCTTCTTCTCTTTCTCCCGGAGCATTCTGCTCGTTTCATCAGCATCAAGGTGGGCAGGTGGAGCGTGCTCCCCGTCCACAAGTCCATAGTCTTCGACAACACAACGGAGAAAAGGAAGAAGAAGAAGAAGAAAAAAAATGGAGAATCCTTGATGAACATCAGACTTGAGTCGGCAAGGTGCATCTCTCGCCTGAGAGAGAGGCAGGTGGATACCCGAAAGGGCCGACAAGGGGGGAGGGAAAAAGAGAGAGCTATGTTTCGGAATCTGCGAGACATGTTCTCTTGTGAACGTGGGAAGGAGGTTAAGCTTCATGTTCAAGCTTGGAACGGAGGCGGGCAGAAAAGGGAATCTGTTTCTGGCATTTGGGGAAATTGGGAAGGGTGATGGCCGCCGAGGTGAGTGCGGAAGCGGGAGCTAATCGTGCAAGCTGGTAAGGAGAGGAGGGGCAAGAGTGCTTTGACGGCAGGTGGAGGCACAACTGTCATGTTTCAGGTGTTGTGCGGTGGGCTAACGACAAAGAGAAGAGGTGTCTGTGTGATCTGGAACGGGAGTCTTTGATGCTCGGCGCCAGAGTAGGTGATCTTGAATGCATCAGGTACGCAGGTACGCAGGACAGAGGAGAGAGAGAGGACGCGAATAGCATCAACAAAGAAAGGAAAGGAAACGAAACACGAGATGCAAACAAACGAGATTACTTAAACGCTAGGAGGGGATGGAAATAGAGGCGGCGGTTGGCAATGACTCGGAGTCACGGTACCAGAGGCTGCAGATTGGTGCTGAGGTCACGATTCTCGGCCGCCTGCGGGCCTCGACGGAGGTCAACTCTATGTCGGTGAGGACGTCAGAGGACGGTCTGGATGAGGGCCAAAGATTTAGGTTTGATGTCCTGGTTGGGTGGTTATTTTGGATCTCTCATGCCATGCATCTGCATCTGCCTCTCGCTGCTCCCGCCGTTCAAGATCTGGGCGGTTCAGATCAGCGGCTTTGTCGGGCCCGGGGTGAGACAGGCGCCGTGGCCAATCAGAAGGAAAGAAGCCGTTGGGGGAGGGCCTGTTTCATGCTGGAGGTGCGTCCCATCCCTACCACTGGCCCTGGAGGCGAGATCCTGAGAAGCCACTCTGCCCAATCGTTGCATGCCACCCCAAATATATCCCCAAGTTGAGCTGCGTGATGGAGAATAAGCTCTCAAAGGATTCCACCCTGTGCGGCGACACGCTCGGATGCTGGTATCTCCATGAGCGACAATGATCCCATCCCCAGATCTCAGATCTATCCGCGGACAGGAATAGCCACAGCATGTTGCTCGCGGAACTGCATTCGCATCCGGCTGCCCTGCTGGGATTTAGCCCCATTGCTGATGGTTGGGTACAGAGAGCTTCCCCAAGCTGGAGCCCTTCTCCATGTACCGTGAGCGTCCCTGACGCGATGCAACGTTATTACCAGCGCCGTCACAGCACACCGCCACACCTGCCGTCGGGTGCTGACTGATACATCGCTGATGCCCGTGATGTGATGTCCGCTGCTGGCTCAATTGGAGCCTTGGAGGGCGAACTCGACGCGGGCGGCGGGACGATCAAGCACCACGCTTCACCCACGACCCTTGCCTTTGGGACCCCTTTTCTGTGTGCACAGGGACTGTATGCGGTTTCAGACTGCTGATCAAACAGGTACAGGCCGTGAGGTCCCAAGCGATCACGTTTTTTGACGTCTGGGTGTCCCCGAATGTGTGATCCGCTCAACGGGACGGCCTTGGCCCTCACGGGTATTCCTGCGTTCAGACAAAGTCCGCTGTGATGCCAACGATGATGGGGGCATTTTAGCACAGCCTCGTATTATTGTTTCTACCTTCTGTTAAGAGGTGATTTGCATGGCCCGCTCCAGATCTTCGTTGTGCTGCTGACCTGGGAAGGAGGAACATGCGCCATCAAAGGAGAACCTGGTCTGGCAGCATGCATCTTTACCAATGTGGCCGTGGATCCTTCAGGACCACGAATCGGCACCACCAGAGAAGTCAGACATGACTAAGTCAGCATGGAAAGGATAATAAAGACCATATCGAGCAGCAGCTAAGGCCGGAAAGCGGGGTTGTGTCTCTCAGGTCTGTGAAGTGTATCGATGGCGAAGAAAAAAGAACTGGACTCAAGGGGGTTTCCATCCTGGGGTCTCTGCTGCCGGGTTTGAATCTGCCCCAATCATGAGTAATGGATTAGAACGCATAGATCATGCCGAGAAGCGTGGAGGGCCCATGATTTTGCATGAATTGAGGATTGTGATGAACTTTGTTTACCGCGCTCCTGGGAGCACGAGCGAACACACTTCACCGCCGCGTAGTCCCTGATTCTGGAGATCTGAGGATCAGAACCATTCGAGGTCGTGGCTGCTATCGTTGGTCGGTTGTCTTGATGCATGGCCTGCGATTTTGAAGCAAGCCGAGCTCTCCCTCAGGCTCGTTTCAGGTCGCCCGCATCCCTCCCACTGGACTCGACGGAGCGACCAGCGCCACCTTCACTGCATCACGGCATCGCATCCACAACTACTGCGCGCATCGCGGAAGAGCGATCCTCTTCTGGCAGCTCGTGTCCAACCACTTCCCTTTAGGTTTTGGGCCTCTTCCCAGGACGCCGACCTCGAGGAGAGAGAGAGAGGGCATTATTCCCGACATCAGCTCGCTCCACAGCTGCAGAGCACAAAGTCGTCAACCGAGGGCCGGAGGGGGGGGGGGGGCATGATCCTCGCCCTTAACGGTCAGATCGGCCCCGCCGTTGGGGGTTCGAGAAGCTCTCCTGGCATTGATCGATTGATGAGCGACGGGGAGGAGCCTTGGGGATTCTCTGCCATCAGTAGCTGCTACCTGTGAAGAAGGTCTTATCATTATGCACATATCACCGATTCAGCAACGATGCAAGGCATAAATCACGCACGCTGTTAGCAACCGCAAGTACAATAACGAGCCGGCTCAGGGCCTCGACTGGATTTGGCGGATTTGCCGTCTAACGATTGTCGTCCATCAGTTAGTAAGTCCGCCCATTGCGGTTGAGCTCCACCCCGTAGAGCACGGCTCCAAGTCCGAAGTGAGCAAGCCGTGAGCGAGTCCGTGAGCAGCAAAAAGTGGCACCGGCACGGGCCTGCACGAGTCAACGGAAGGAGTTTCTTACGAAATCATATGATATTTCAATTTGCAGCCCGAGTTACGTCCAGAGTCCAGAGGCGTTCAATTTGTGCCCGTGGGTGCTGCGGGAGCGCGAGATTGATGGGCTGACAGAACCAGCTCTCACAGGCCCGCGTAAAGGTCATATGAGTGAGAGACACAAACGGAACGGGAGCGACGCCAGCACAGAGAAAAAACCGTGTTGTGGTGATGCAGCGATAGTCCGTGGTCCATGACGGCGAATTCATATCAGGGGAGAGAGGAAAGCAGTGAAGTGTGATAATAAGCTCATCCAGGGACCAGATCGGCATCGGATCATGCAATCAATTGCCCTCACTCACCGCCTCCTCAATTAAGCCCAGGACGGACTGAGACTTTAATATCTGCGAGTGCGACACGGCGACACAGTGACACCATTCAACAGGACACAGAACAAAACAGTTGTTCTTCGTGACCTCTTCGTTCGTGCCCTTCCCATCCACCGCAAATCGCCCCCTCCGCCGCCGTGCCCGCCCCGCTCCCGCATCCATCCCTTACATACCGTACCGTATCTCCTTGCTCCGCCAGCGACCAGCGACCAGCAACCTCAGCTCACTCCCCTTGAATCCAACCGCCAGCGGGACGTGGATAATTTGAATCTGCCCTCAGTGTTCTCTCAGCAGATCCGACAACCCAGTCGCCTCACCACGATTGATACCGGTATCCCCCACCCCCCTCCTCGCGCCAAAAGCAACGCGGCTACACAGGCTCAACGGGCCTGCTCTCACCCACTTCTTGCGTTGACGTCGACTTTGGGCCTTACCCCTGAAGACCGGCCACTCTTGGCTGTGTGTTTGAGATATTTTAAACCGGCTTTCTTTCGACTTGGGCGCGTGTTTCGGCTTCTCGCTAGCCAGCTGGCTACGGTGATTCGCGGGGACCCAGACGAGGGTCGCAGTCCAGCCCCAGGCCGCAGGACAGGGGCGAAGAAGGAAGTGCCTCCGCGGCGGCCACCGAGAAGAGAAGCGTTCCGCAGACGAACCAGCCAGGCCGTCAGGGAAGGTCAAGAGCTGTGCCCGAATTGGAGCGTTTGTTCGCAGATTACTAGAGTATTGTTCGCGCACAACCGGAGCGGACAAGACAGACCAGAACAAGGACCTTCGACAACGTGCGCACCGCTGCGCTGCCCGGCCTGCTCTGCTCTGCTCCACCACGGTCCCTCTGGTGGCTCTGCTCTTCTGCCCTGCCTGCCCCCCTCGTCCGCTCCCCCTACCCCCGTCCTCTTCTTCTGCTCGCTCGCTCGCGCGCTCTCTCCCTCTCCCCCTCTCCCCCTCTGCTCCCGCGCGGCCTCCCTGTCTTACCCTGCCAGCCAGACAGCCAGAGTCCAGACAGCCAGACAACCAGACAGCTAGCAAAGCGCTGCAGCAGCCAACACCCAACAGCCAACAGCCAGCCAGAGGAGACAGTCTGACGGACAGGCACCATCCCCTCCCCACGAAAGCCCAGCCAGCACCTTTTATCCTCACCCAGAAGAGCTGCACTGGCGCACGTCTCCAGTCCTCCTGCGAGTCATCCCTTTCCGCCAAGTTCCCTCCTCCCCCATCGTCCTCCTCCGTCTTCATTGCCTCGAGAGTCAACACCTCCTGTTCCCGCAGCGCTCCCTGCGAATATCCACTTCCACGGTCCATCGCGCCTGAGCATCCAAGCATCGGTGGCATCCCTCCTCTGCCGGCGATACCCCCCCTACGCGGCCTAGCCCCAGCCTCCTACTCGGACCACTCCCCCCCCCCCCTCCCAGCGAACAATCTGCCCCATCCTGGACCCCAGTGCCCTTCCCTGCTCCTTCGGCCCTGGCCCAGCGACTGCCCTCATCGAACCCTTTCCTCATAATCTCCCTGTTCCGCTTTCCAAAACGCTTCTCACACTTCGAATTCACGCTCTCTTTCTTGTCGCAGGTCCGTACCTCGAAGCTTCAGCTTCATCTTCCTGGCCCAGCAGAAGCACCACTCCCCGACCGAAAAAGTCACGGGCTACATACACCACGATCCATCAGCCTGTTCGGACGCGCGTTGCATTGCACGGCGGCTTTTCCATCGCGGCGTGCCTTTCAAATTCGGGTGCTTCCTTTTTTTATTTTTAAAATTATCAACACCGTCGAGCCGGTTTTTCTCACCCGAGTCGAGTTCTTGCTGGCCTCGAAACTCCTCGAACAACAACCGTTCCATCATCTGCATTTCTGAAAGATCGGAGCAGGCTCCCCTCGACACGAGAAAAGTGTCTATCCTTACGACACAGTACGACACTCGCTTCACCCGTCCATTTTCATCGACCTCCAAAGCCACTACTGCTTCATCGACGTCGCTGATCTGAACACCCCGACCATCATCAACGCTGATACCGTCCTTCAGCCTTACAACATTGGCGGCGTTTCAATACAATCTTGACGTGCTGACCATCTTATCAACATCCCGACGCTGTTCTGGGTCGTTGTTTCGACTCCTTTGAATGGCGCATATGATGTATTCCCAGCATCATGCGACGATGGCACCTCCGCAGAAGCCAGAGACCTTCATGTTGAGCAGCGAAGCTCAGCAAAGTTTGCCCCAAGATGCCCAGGTTGCGCTGCAACAAGTCGACAACTGTAAGTAAAGATCGTGGTCGCCGTCGATCATACGAGATCTTATCGCTGATAAACATCCGCAGTGAAATATTTTTTAATCTCTGCTCCCGTTGACTGGACACCAGACCAGTACATTCGACGATTCCTTCTGCCCACTGGCGAATACGTTTCTTGCGTATTATGGTATGTTGTCGACGTGCTCTCCCCCCCCCAAGCTTCGTGTGTTGACTCGTCTGCAGGAACAACCTTTTTCACATCTCTGGCACGGATATTGTACGATGCCTTTCCTTCCGATTCCAGGCCTTCGGCCGACCCGTGAAGAACTCGAAGAAATTCGAGGAGGGTATCTTCTCCGATCTGCGAAACCTGAAGTCTGGCACCGACGCGTCCCTCGAAGAACCAAAGAGTGGATTCTTGGATTTCCTATACAAGAACAACTGCATTAGAACACAAAAGAAGCAAAAAGTTTTTTACTGGTACAGCGTACCGCACGATAGACTCTTCCTCGACGCTCTCGAAAGGGACTTGAAGAGGGAGAAGATGGGACAAGAAGCCACCACCGTTGCCGTCAACGAACCCGCATTGTCGTTCGAATTTGATTCATCCCAATCACTCTTCGAGCAGCTCACCAAGGCCCAACAAGCCAACTCTTCCTCCTTCTCTGCACAACAGCCTTCATACTCCCAATCACAATCGCAATCGACGTCCCCAGTTATGCGAGCGATTGATTCCATGCCGCCTCCACAGATGATCCCCCAAGCCATGGCGATGCCCGAAGAGATGAACTCAATGGCCGCGTACCAACAAATGGCAATGGCCCCAAACATGGCACAGCAGGCGGTGAAGAGAGAAGATACCTTTGGTCGCGTTCAATATAACCAAAATGGCGTTCCCATTTCGCAGACACACCAACGCCATGCTTCCATGCCTGCATACGGTCTTGAGTACTCTCCCGCGCCTTCGTTTGTTTCATCCCACTACGAAGACTACAGCAACCGCGGCATCTCGTTCGAGCCCATCACCCCACCTCAACAAGCTTTAGGAATGGGTGCTGAGCCTGCATACATTGCAAACGAGGAGACTGGCTTGTACACTGCCATCCCAGATCACATGGGAGGTATCAATGGCCTTCCAGGAGTCATGCAGCTTCCACCTTCGAATTTGTCCGGTCCTCAATTCTCTCATGCTACGCGAGGATATGGTGCGAATAATGTCTATTCAGTCATCGAAGGATCACCGACCTACAAGCAAAGACGGCGTCGCTCGTCGATTCCTCCCGGAGTCGCCGCCATGGTTGCTGCCACTGCTGCTGGCCAGGCCCACACTGCCCACCGACCATCAGATCTGAGACGGTCTGTTTCCACCTCGGTTGGTCCTGTTGCTGAGAGTGACGAGTCTGGGAACAACTCGCCCCCTGGTTTGAGCTACAGCAATGGCATGCATCAATTGGCACAACAGCACAAGGATTTGATCGACATGTCCCGACATGGAACTCCCCTTTCCACTGTTGAAGACAGCCCCGCCATGAACCCGATGGCTCTCCAACACAACGATTTCAGTCAGTTGTCAAATGAGGAACTCTCAGGTGATGGTTCAATCCATGATTCCCCCCAAAGAAGACATATGCAAGGTCCAAATGGTGTCGTCCGAAGAGCTCGCAGTGCGACCATGATGGAGCTTGGCAACCCCTACCCCCAAAAGTCACATTCATGTCCTATTCCCACCTGCGGTCGTCTCTTCAAGCGTTTAGAGCATCTCAAAAGGTATGGTACTTTTTCTTTTTAATGGCTGGCACTTTCAGGCCGCTGACTTGTACCCCTCCAGACACGTGAGAACACATACCCAAGAAAGACCCTACATCTGCCCCCACTGTAATAAGGCTTTCTCCCGATCAGACAACCTAGCACAGTATGTCACATACACTCTTACACATCGCTGCACAATCACAACCCCATAACAAAACAGTAACTAACATGGCTCGAACAGACATCGCCGAACACACGATCGCAGTGACGGATCCGAGGGCCCATACGGCAGCTACAGTGGTGAAGAAGAAGACTACGAAGGCGAAGACCACCTCGGGTCCCTCGAGGAAGCGTCCCCGAACTCCGAGAACGGCTACCTTCCAAACAACATGGGCGGCTCCTTCAACGGTCTGCAAATGACGATGAGCATGTCAAATTCCGGCATGGCGGCTCCCAGCCAACTCATCAGCAACCACCAACTGATGCAGCAACCGATATAAGGTCCTTGGTGTCACTCTTCTGTCTTCGCTTCATGGTCTGGTCTGGTCGGCCTCATTTCTTGTATGAACTTTATTGCATAGCCTTGCGCTGTTTTTGCTCTCCTGTTCACACGGGTCAGCTGCTGTTATCTTTTGTGTTGCGTCTTACTTGCTTGGGGCTCGGGGGGTTTCTTCATGACGGTTACGATCTCGGGGCTTGGATGATCTCTTGTGTTTGCTGAATCGATGTTCGGGTGTGTGATGGCATTTACTGCCTGGATTTTTCTTTGCATGTCGAATGTGTGAGATGATGATTCATAATCATCGGAGGTGGAAACAAGGGTGGTGGTAGCATTGTCGGACCAGCGTGCTCTCTGCTGATGCGGGTGGAGCATATGGTCTCTAAGTTCGAGTCGAGAGTGAACTTGCATTTTGCATGGTGGTGAACCAGTCGCGGTGATGGCTGGATGGAAGGAAGGGAGGGAGGATGAACCTGTACAAATAAATGGTCGGATATGTCTTTTTTCTGTTGTTGGTTTTTTGAGGGAGGGTGGTGGAGGCGAGGCATTTGCGTTTGCGGCTTGCATCGAGATGTGAGATGTACTTGGAGAAGTGAACGAGAGAATATAGATTGCATCATACCCGCCTCGGCTTCCCATCTTGCGTTGGATTCTGAGTGATTGAATCATTTGCATGTCGATGAAAGGGGACGCGGCACATCTCATCCAGATCTCTCCGGGGCTCGCACTCGGACTCGTAGCACCAGGAGCCGACATTCTTTGAAAGTTCGAGTTGCTGGAAAGAAGGAATCCATACATTCTCTCCCGCTTCCTCAGGAGCTGTTCCAAGGGAACATTGTTTGCTTTGACAGCATGTAGGTGTTAAAAGAAAAGATAACCAGCCAGCACACATCATGCCCCCCGGCGAGCGCTTCATCCCATAACACCGTGATGACACAACGGTCCCTGAAATTCCGTGCCGGGGAGCCCCTTGGGATTTTCCGCACCTCTCGCTCTTCCTTCCCTATTCAATTCAATTGGGTTCGAGAATAGTGTCTCTACATACACTCTTCTTCTGATACGAACATGATCTTCAGGACACCATGTATCACGACCCGTGGCTGGTGTTCTGGTAACAGAATCAGCTGTATTGGGTGTGTATGTAAAACGTCTAAAGAGAGAAAAGAAGAGAGGAGCGGGGAGCTCGAGCTAAGTACAGGGTGCCACGCTAGGGCCAGGTCATGTGACGCTGACGTCACAACACCATGCACCAGAGCTGCTAGGTTGCCGGCAGGTACGGTATACTTTGTTATCTAGGAACAAACTGTTTCGTAATCCCTCTGCCTACTGAAGTGCTTCCTAGGTGCGTTGAGTAGCCGTCTTTTATATATAAATAATTTTCCTAGAATTCTTCCAAGGAAGACGGGAAAGTTGGTGTGTTTTCATTAAAAGAATGCAAAGTGCAATTGTCAAGTTTGATTGTTTGTTGTTCATTTTTCATTTTTCATTTTTCATTTACTTTATGCCCGGGATTAGAGAGATCATGTGTGGAGCAAGGCTTCGCTTTCTGTCTGCACTGCAGGTGGAGAAGTTGGGTGTGCATTTCCCCCGGTATTAGGGTTTCGTCGGGACTGGTTAAGGGATATCTGCAGGTCCGCAACTACCGTATACAACAGTACATCTTCGGCAGATGGGTTGTCGTGGCTTTGCCGAGATGGAGAGGGGGAGGGATGGTGGGTGTTTTATACAGACTGCCTCCAGCGCAGTAGCGCTTTTTGTTCAAGTGAGATTTGTCTCCATCCATCCCTTTTTTGGGGAGACCAGATTGGGATTGAGGTTGGTAGCAAGGGGTCGGAAGGGTGGTTCGACTGTATATAAATCTCGCCGTGAGTCAACGGTTCACCACGTCGGCGAAAGAAGAGCACGAGTCGGGCTTCAAGACCTCTGAAGGCGTCAGCTGCGTCAGCTGCGTATCGACCTCGTCCTCCCTCTAAGAAGTTGGCGAAATTCTCTTGGCTTGTCTGGCTCGCAGAGTGTACTGTACCGAGGGCCTGCTCGCATATAGATCATTCAACTAGACGAGAACGCTGTTGCTGTCGGGTTATTTCTTGTTGTCATTCCTGTACATCCAATATTAGCTTCTGCGCCAATCGCGTCTCTCCACTTGTGACGGCAATTCAGATATCCTGATATTAAAGGGGAGAGGATCAGTCTCGAAGTGAAATTCAGGGGCTCGAGAAGATAGATTCGAGGGTCATTGGGCTCAACGACCTCGCCACGACTTTATCTGCCAGTACTGAAGACCATTTACTTAATGTCTCGTCTTGCTTGGGATAATGAAAGGTCTCAGTTAATCAATCAGTGGCTGAATTCCTCCAAAATGTGACAATGGTCAGGTGACACGAAATTGGAGGTCGACCTACCCTACGGGGGGCATTAAAACGTCAAGTAGTATTTAACTGCATATAGCAAGAAAGACTGGAGTAAGACAGGTGATTGGTCAGACCACCCTGCGATTCTAGCTAGTTCGCCGATCAAAACCCTGGAAATAGGTGAGTGACAATTAACATTTATTTCCCACCTGTAGGTTGTATCCCGATGGTGCCGGCGGGCAGTCCATTGACAGGCGAAAGGCGTGCAGATCCACATCCTGAATCAGCAGAGGATAAATTCTACACCTGCTCTTTTCATAAGGATTCGTCTCGACTGAATCGTTCTACTACTGCAAACCATCTTCCTCTTTGCTCGCTTTTCCTCCTACTACCTTGGTCAATCCAAAGGCGGGGCAGAGTACTTCGTAACCCCCACCCCCACCATGGCGTCCACCACGACAACCGAGACCATCGCCCTTGAGCTCATCAACAACGCTGCGCGAGACTCGGATTCCGCCAGGGATCTTGCAGGTCCAGGAGCCTCAAACTTCGACCCCGCAGCGGACGCAGTGGTCGCCGAGAGCCGCATTGCAGACGCGGAGGTGCCCGACGGGGGATATGGCTGGGTTGTGATAGCCGCATGCAGCGTGCTCTGCTTCTGGTTTGTCGGGACGCCCTACTCCTGGGGCGTAATCCAAGCGGCACTCGTCAAGGATAGAGTGTCTACTCCGGCGAGCCTCTCGTTCGTGGGGAGTCTGACGGCGGCTTGCATTTCCTTCCTTGCGCTTGCAAACGCTCGACTCATCCGGAAAATCGGGGGCAGAAACACGGCGTTGGCGGGCGCGGCGTTCTTGGGGACGGGGGGGATCCTGAGCAGTTTCACGACGAGGAATGTGGGTGGGTTGTTCTTCACGACGGGGGTGCTGATGGGAACTGGCTGCAGCTTGCAGTTCATGGTATGCTGCATTCTGGAAGATTTTCCCCGACAATGTTCACTAATCCGAGTGGAAAAGGTTGCTTCGACCATGCCCGCGCAGTACTTCAACAAGAGACGTGGGCTGGCGAATGGTATCGTCTACGCAGGAGGGGGGGTTGGAGGCACCGTAATCAGCTTTGCCATGGATGGCTTGATCCAGAAATTAGGCCCTGAATGGACGTTCCGTATTATCGGGCTCGTGACTCTGGCAACTAGTCTCCCGGCAGCGTGGCTGATCAAGGAGCGGGCCCCGATTAAGACCACCACGTTGATCGAATGGTATGTTTTCCAGTCCGATTATTGGCAGTGGCTGACAAGACATAGGCGACTCTTCAAGAACATGCAGTTCACAGTTCTCTTCTTGGCTGGCGCCATTGCCACTTTTCCCTTATTCGTACCGCCCTTCTTCCTTCCACTTTATGCCGCTTCTCTTGGACTGTCGGCATCTGCGGGAGCTGGTATCGTTGCAGGATTCAACTTCTCATCAGCTGTTGGCCGTTTATGCTGTGGACTTCTGTCTGATTTCATGGGCCCAGTGAACACACTGCTTCTTTCGCTGATCTTGAGTGCATTGAGCATGCTCGTCTTGTGGCCGGTGTCAAATTCGCTTGGTCCATTGATTGTGTTTGTGATCATCAACGGAGTAGCTAATGGTGGATTCTTCAGTACCATGCCGACAGTGGTTGGAAGTGTATTTGGAAGCAGGAGAGTGGGCGTCGCAATGGGTATGATTGTGTCGGGCTGGGCTGGGGGGTATTTGATGGTTCGTACCCTCCGGATTTTGCTTGCAGGGCCACAAATACTGGATACTGACTGACCAAAACAGGGTGCGCCGATTGCTGGATATCTTCTTGCTGCATATGGAGGTGAACACAGCACGCTGAAGGCGTACCATCCCGCGATCTTCTATGCTGGTTCGATGGCTGCTGGAGCTGCTATACTAGTCGGTGTGGTGAAGGCGATGCTCAACAAAAGTCCCTTGAAGAAACTGTAGAGTATGATAATAACTGTGTTCGATCGGACTCAGCAGACTGTGAAGCTCTTGGCGAGGAGTCTTCAACATGGGAACTTTTGGATTCGATTTGACAGGATCGATTAAATATGGAATTCTATTCTTTGCCATTGATGACAAAAGACACCCAAAATATCAGTCGCAGAAAGAAGAAAATTTCCTGGCAAGAATATTTGTTCCAGCACTTACTGAACATTAACGCATGACGGAAAAGGGGTTCGCTTAAAAAAGGAGGTCGTTAACACGAACTTGACACGCTCGCGCGAAATGACGCGATCAATCGGACCCCACAGCCTCGCCATTAATAACCCTCTAACTTCCTACCCACCCAATCAGTTGTGCCCAAGTTTTGGATATGCGCTCTTGCATACGGTAGAAGTCGCAATGCCGATCGTATTCGACGACCTGCCAACGGAAATCCAGCTCCAAATCTTCGAGACCGCCGCGAAATCGCAATGGACGCCGCGAGTCGTCGAGATCTACTTCAAAGGCGGACAAATCTACTCGAAGACCCTACCCCCACCTCTTCTACACGTCAGCCGAACATCGCGAGAAGTTGTGCTGAAATTGTATAAACCATGGCTGCCGCAATTCAAGGGAATGGCGGTCAACGAGCCCTGGGAGAGAAAGTTGGGGAACAAGGCCGTAGATAAAATGTCGCGGTTGCAGAACGTATGTGTCAGCTTGGAACATGATACCCTCTTGATCAACGATAAGCAGTGGTCGGACTGGAAATTTGGAGCCATTGAGAGGGCGTACTTGCGCAGATTGGCGGTCAACCTTACAGGGTGGTTTGGCTGGTTCGGTCAGAGGGACCTGTACACGCAATTTACGCACTTGAAGCAACTCGATGTTTTCCATCGCGGCGGGGACCAGGAGGTGCTATTTTTGAAAAGGGAGACCATTAGAAAGGCCCTATCCGCCGAACAGAAGACCAACAAGAATAAGAGGAATAAGAGAAGATATATTGCCCCCGTTCTTGGTCGCGAGAAGGTACCAACAGCCGCGGAGTGGCGAGGTAGCGTGGAGCAATGGATCACGTACAAGTATCCGAAGGGGTTCAAACCTACCGTGCCCTCTCGTCGCCCAGGTTGTTCGTGGGAAGAAGAGGATACTGGAGGAGTCCAATCGATGACCGGCGAACCACAAGCCGCTCGGCGCCGACGAGGGCGCCCACGTCGAGAAGAGGTAGCTGGGCAGAACGGAGCAATGCCGGGTGGAACCAAGTCCTCTTCTCAGCGCAGTGTTCCTCAACAAGGAACCAAACGAAGCCGAGCAGAGTTCGATGCAGACGGTTTACCCGAGACTAAGCGTCCTCGTGGAAGGCCCCGGAAGGTGGCTGCTACTCGAGATGTGGGAGGCCAGCAAATTCCAGGACGACAAAGCTCACAAGTATCGGTGGAGGATATCTTTGCCAAGATTCGAAGTTATTTGGAAACATTTCGAACCCCAACCCCAGAAGCAGAGCCTCTCAGGAAGGCATCTGCTCCCCCAAGCCCGGAGACTACCTTCCAGAGCCCACTGGACAAATATGAATTCCTTCGCGAACTGACGAAAGACGGTCCGGAACCTCTGGAGATATCTGAAGAATTAGCTCCATGTCCATGTCCGACATTCGTGGATCCCCGCGTTGTATTTCAATGCGAGGGCTCGGTGGAAGGTCCAGAAATCCAGGAGACAGCTCTACCTCCTTCACCTTTCATTGACCCTCGTGCTGAATTCCAAGATCTGTTCGATACCTCCAACGACAACGCAAAGGCACGGGACTCGGAAAATCCGCAGATTCCAGAAGAGGATGACGTCCTCTCTTTAAGTGTCGAGAAGACCGGTCCTGCTTCCAAGGAAGTAGTCCTAGGATCCTTGAGCGGAGGTTACGGCTTTGAAAATGTTGTTGAACGTGGCGGCTGTTTTGGAGTTGGCAGTGAGCGAGACAATGACAACCACAATCACGGAACCGAGACTGTTTTTGAGATGCCCGACCTTCTGGCCGCGGCACTAGAATCCCCACTCCTGGACGTTCCTTCCCTCGACGACGAGGAGTACACTCCCAAGCAATTCATGGCAGAGCGAAGGACATCTAAAGGTCTACAGTTCCTGGTCCAATGGCGAGACTACCCGGAAGAAAAAGACTGGACCTGGGAGACGGAGGCCGCCATGATAGAGACCGCGCTTGATATGGTGACGGCTTGGCTAGCAAAGAGCGATGTGGAAGTGGACGAAGAGAACCCGATCGCCGTAGACTATATTGTTGAGAAGATTTTGGGTCGGAGGAAGTTCAGGGGGGTTGCGCATTATTTGGTCAAGTGGAAGGGATTCGAGGAGGTGAAGGATAGAACTTGGGAACCGTGCGAGAGGTTGAGCATCGACGTGCCGCTGCTTGTGGAAGCGTTTGAGAAGAAGAGGAAGAAATGATGACAACATTGCAATGTCTAAACCATCTTGGCTTTTGCATACCTTCTATTCATTCGACAATTCTGACATGGCGCATGGCGGCACTCGTTTCTCACAACCCCAACCTTGCCCTTCCTTCTCCCGGGTCCTGATGGGACAACTGACATGTCTCGTGTACCGTTACTCACCCGACATGGTGGGGTTTAGTTCACATCTCTTTGATGCACAATAGACTCCACCCAGCCGGATCCAGCTTGAAGTGAGTGCGAATGTGTATATACCCCCGTGACCCGCTTTCATGTGACTCGATTCTTCCATAAATCTTGAAGCTGCCCTTTGCAAAGTGGATCTTGAACCAAGAAGTCAAACAGCGCAATTTTGGCATCCCGCATCGCCAACCAGTCCATTTTAGTGCATGCTTCAATTAACGATGACACCTCCGAAGTAAACGAATCGGCTTCGAATGCCACGCCAGCAAGCAGGAGCTGGAAAGTGTTCACAATCACTCTCCCCAAATCAACCGAGTCTTCCTTGAAAATCTCTTTGAATTGAGAGAGGAAAGCGTCTGTTGTAGGTCCTTCATACCCAGATATGAAAGTGGCGTATAGTAACACCACGGTTGGGAATATTTGATTCAAGTGGTGTCGGCGACTTGTGTTGCCTGTTCTGTCGGGTAGGCATCTTAATGCGAAAACTTTGGCATCCGTTTCGCTGATAAAGGTTGAGCTTTCTAAGCGCTCTTCACTCGTGGAGCTGTCGCCTTTAATGACCGAAGTCACATTTCCTAGTCGCTTGAAAAGATCCGGGAGCACTTGGGTCATATCGTACCCTGGTGGAAGACGAGGGGCAGATTTTGGAACTTTATCCTCTGGTACTTGCTTTGAAGACACATCCGGAGGTTTGGGGCGACTGAATCGGCGTTGAGAGTAAAGATTACAGGCCGCAACCATATCAAGCCTGGAATATAGTCAGTGGGAGTTTGCGGAGCGGCGGATGTAGAAGAAATTGCCAAGATATCGTTGCGTATAGCCCCGGCTTCGATTTTCGGAACGCATCAACGCCTCCCCGAAGCTCAAGCATTGCCGTAAGTCCGTCCATGTGTATATTGTAATTCCCGGGACATCCGAACATGAGCTATATCCACTGTCAGCTGCATTCTCAAAAATATTTGGAAGGTGAAGACCTCTAATCCTGCAAGCAGAGCCACTGAGGCAATGTTGGAATCATCAGACGCGGCTGCTCGTTTTGAGAGTCTCTCGTTCACAGTTTTCACAGCCATCCAGCGATGTTTAACAGATTCTTCCGAATCTTGCTTCCCGCTCATAATTGCAATGCTGTAGAGGTCCAGAAGTAAGCAAGCGTCGGGTTGATCCGCGCGGAGATATCTCCGAAACAATCTAGACAATGAATCCCAATTGGCAATTACTTACTGACTGGCTCCTAGAGCGAGTACGACATGAAATGCCGAGGGGTGCTGAAGAGCAGAATCAAAGCTGAAGTTCTTGATGCCTTGAAAGCTGGCGCGAGACTCGGTCGTGAGGCTTCCAGGTGCATAAACGAAGAGATCTTTGCGGCGCCATTTCAGTCTTCTCCGTGCTGATGTGGACGGCATTCGAGACCACTTACAATGATCCAAAATAGCCTGGTCACGGCGAGAGAGTTTTACGGGGAAACATTGGAAGGGATCATCTCCTCGGCTCCCACCGCCAGACCCCAGCGTCCTCTTGAGAATCAAGTGTTCAATCACCGTCTGAGCAGGCCTGACATCCACCTCATTATTTGGTGGGGAACCTTCTGCCGAGGTGGCTGGGGATTGTGCTTTCTCTGACTGAGATCCTGGACTTGAGCTGCTTGTAGACCCGGCAATCTCTTTGCTCACTTGTTGCGCCTGTGCTTCTTCCTGCGCCTTCCTCCGTCTGAAGCCCCTCGAAATATGAGCTCGAGCACGTCTCCGTGCAGTCGGATCGCCTTGTACTGGTATCCATTCGAAAGGCTGGGGCTCCGCTGCTGAGTTCCGTGGCGTAACTGTCACTAAAGGGGCAGCATTGGAACCTTTACGGTTAGACTCTGGTGGACGAGCCAATCTAGCTTCAAAGAAGGTTAGAGGGAGTACACTCTGCGCCAATTGCTGCTCTGGCTTGGGTCACACATACCTTCTTTATGCCTCGTCATCATCGCTTGCTGTATGGCGTTGCTTTTTCAGAGGTTGCCAGCATAATTCCCCAACCCAAAAAGGCGCGTAATGAATACGTCCCCGCCTGTCAGCACCTCACCCATGCTATTTTCCTCAAGAAGAATAGCGCTGATTGCAAAGCTGGTCAGCATGCAACTCGTACCCTATCAGGCTAAGAATTCCCCACTGTAAGTAATGACAGGGGAGAACACGGGTTTGGGGCTAACTGGGTACGAAAGGGGGTCTGAAGATATTAAGGACACCCCCTATAAGGCGGTGAGAAGCTTAGACCAATCAAAAGCATAAAGTCCTGGCTGAAGTCCCATAAATTTCCTTTTCCAGCAGTGGCAGAACAAGGGGGGTGTCCTTGATATCTTCAGACCCCCTTTCGTACAAAACGTCGCGCCATTTCCCCACACAACCACCACCCCAACATAATCGGCGTCTCTGGTACTCCAAAAACAAGGAAGCACAAAGCGGTGTGGCTCTGATATGGATGTTTTGGAACAGTCACGTTGCAGCAAGTGGCTGAGAGTGCGAAGTGTCTGCGTACCGATCGCGTATCGTTCTCAGCAAGCCCGATCGTATTCACGGTTGGGACTCTCCAGGTTCTCGAACTGGTCTGTAGGTTGCTGACCTTCCATCAACAACCCCAGGTAGGAACGTACATGATAGTGGACTTCATGGTCAGATGTGGATGTGGTCGAAGCAAGATGTAGTGCGACATATTATACATATATTCGTCAGATATGTATGAATTGTCGGTTCGCTACTGGCGGCCTATCATCGCACAACTGTGCTCTTGTGCACCTTTTCAACAAGATTTCAACTAATTCCTTAGAGCACAAGGTTCAATTTGATGGTTTACTATTTGAATCTCAATTTAAGATGTACCAGCTCGTTGAGAACACTGACGTTCTTCGCCGTCGGCAGCAGCATGACTCCGGGCATGCTGCGCTTCGGACATGGCGCTGGGTTACAGGGCATGTAGTGTACTTGATGAGCATGAAAGGGTTGCAAAGATGATTGAGGGTGATAACGTCTCACGTTGTTGGGGGGCGATGTTGATCTTAATTTCAGTTGTGGTTGAAGTTCATGTGTGAAACCAAGAAAGGTAATCAAAGTTAAGAGTCCGCTGGCGAGATCGCCAGGCTCGGAAGTACGCAGGCATATTTCCAGCGGTATTTCTCAGAACAGGCCCAGGATATCAAACTTCTCTTCCGCATCGTTCTTCTCCCAACTCTATTTTGTATTCATGGGGCCAAAGACGACCAAGTGAAGTATCACAAATGGATCAAGCCACCAGCATTGTCCATTTCCCCTCCATTCAATCATGTTCCGCAAAGATTTTCGTACCATATGGGTAGGAGACGATGTTTCCCAGGACTCCCAATGTACGCCATCACAACCGCGCCATTGCCCGACTCATCCTCCAGGGAACCACAAGACAAGAATTACAGCTCTCCCTGGTATGCAAATTTATTTCTCGATCAGAATCTTTTAGCATTCGTTATTTTTTCGCGGGGTTTGCCTCCCACAGGTGACAGCTTGTAGCCCATTTCCGAATGCAAGGTTGCAATGAAGGACGAAAAGGAAGAACCCGACATTGTTCAACCGTCTCATATTCTTCGTCAGCTTATCTCTTCCCTCGTTACCCAGGCTACTGTATCATGAAAGGCGAAGAGAAGGAGTCTGGTGCTGCCCCCTCATAATTATATTTTCATTTCCTGCTTGACTTTTAACTCTCGCCTATGATGGCCGTGCTCAAGATCATTCTTTCTATCGCAATCGCACTCATATCGTGGCCAATCCTCAATCTCCTCAAACATTACATCAAAGCACGGAGCGTTGGCCTTCCTATCATCATAAATCCCATTGATCTCCTCAACCCAATCTGGATCCTCACTCACAAACCACTCTTACCCTTGTTCTAGTCGCTTCCATTTGGCTTGGTTGACTGGATAGTCTGCAGCGGGTTTGTGAGCGTGTTCCCGAATCGCCACAAGTTGCATAACAAACATGGACCCGCCTATCTCTTGGTGACTCCAAAAGAGATCGCCCTTTTCATTGACGATCCGGACTTGACAGAGGAGATCCTTGGAAAACGAAAAGACCTCATCAAGCCGGATGAAGCTGGCGAGGCATTGAATTTGTTTGGGACCAATGCCGTGACTCTCAATGGCGAGGACCGGGCGCGTCACTGCCGGATCACGACGCCGCCGTTCAATGAGCGCAATAGCAAAAATATCTGGAAGGAGTCCTTAGCCCAGGATACTGGGAGTGAGTTTGGTTAGATGTTTAGATCATCTCTCCTCCCTTTGCGGCGAAGACGGAAGCTGGCCTTCGTCAAGTGCTGCAGTCTTGGACATCCCAGGGAAAGGATAGAGTCTCCAAGACCGCCGGTGACTCTATGACCCTCGCTCTCCACGTTCTTATAGCTGGAGGCCTCGGGAAATCGTATCCCTTCGCAGGAGGCGTCGGAACTATAGCCGAAGGACACACAATGTCCTACCGAGACGCCTTGAAGCTGACCTTTCTCAATTTGCTGCCAGCCGTTATCCTGGGCTCATTACCTCCAATCCCATCGTTTATCCCCACCCAGAAAATCCGTGAGATCAAGGAGGCAGTCGGCGAGTTCAAATATCACATGAATGAGATGGTAGAAGAAGAGCGAACCAGAGTCGATAAACTTGGCTCGGAGAAGGACAACCACCTGGCCACACTGGTCCGTGCCTCTGATGCGGCGAATAAAGGAAAGGGACGAAGCAGCCTTTCTCATAGTGAGTTCATGGGAAATCTTTTCATTTACAACGTGGCTGGCCACGACACCACTGCAAATCCCATCTGCTATGCTATCTATATGTTGGCAGCGCAACCTGACGTGCAAAATTGGCTGGGCGAAGAGATTGATTCGGTCTAAGACTGTCTTTGCAGAAAAGGATGAAGTGGAGACATGGGAGTATGAGAGGGCGTTCCCCAAACTCAAGAGATGCCTTGCGCTATGGTTAGTCTTCTTTCCCTAACGGGCTACCGCTCCCACTGATTATCTCACAGTATGAAACTATGCGTCTTTACAGACCCGTTGTCTTCATTCCGCGAGCCACTAGTACCTAATCTATAACACTAAAGCTCAAAGGAAAGGAACACTCTTCCTCCCAAAACTTTCATAATCGTTACTACCGACTCATTGCATACCACTCCCACCATCTGGGGCTCCGATCCCTTGTCCTCCCGACCTGGTCGCTGGATATCTAAAGTTGGAAAAACGACAGATTCAGAATACGAAGTGATGAAGTTGGGTATCTTCCCTGGAGTACCGCACCTCGCTCCTGCACAGGAAAGAGATTTGCGCCAGTCGAATTCGTGGCTGTGATTGCTCACCTCTTCCGAAGACATCGTGTCAAGGCGGTTATGGAACCAGGGGAGAAGGAGGCGGTGGAGAAAAGGATATTTGAGGTCCTCGAGGACTCGTCTTTGGAAGTTACGATCAAGATGAACCATCCTGAAAATGAAGCTGGTATGGGAAGAGCAAACATGATTGAACCACCGCTTGAACGAGATATCTAGCTGTCCAATGCTCTCATTCTTATTTTTGTAGGTTCTAATTCCAGAGATGCTGGTCATCATGTGTTCCTTGGCGGAGCGTTCAGCAACAGAACGCCACAATTCGAATTTAGGCAGCTTTTCTCGAATAGGATGCCAACATCCAAAAGCACATCAGTAAATTTGGAATATGAGTCAGCAGCACACGACCAAGCAGCTTCTGCGGCAGCTGAGTAATGCAAAAGTTTGGCCAGCCAAATCCTGCGCATGCACGGCTGAACTCCACATCTGCAGGGCCTCCCTGCCCAATTCAACAGCAAGTATCATTGGGCAGTTTGATAAAAAAAAAACCTTGACGCCTCGGCCCGGACGGCCGTTTCAGGTGGGTTGTCCTTTATTTTTTTTTTCGATAAGAAGCGTCAAAATTCCCAGCTTTTCCTTCTTGGCTCTAATTTGAAGTTTGATTTCATACTCAATGCTTTAGAAATGGATGCCGCAACGGCGACAGCTGTGGCTGTAGCTGTAGCAGCTCAACTTTACATCTCCCCCATCCCAGAAGTCTCGACTATCAAAGTCCTGCTCACTTATTTCTCCGTTAATACTGCTCTTCTCCTCTACCTCCTCACTTCAACTTCGCAAATCGCATACTCCCTATTCCGCCTCACATTCCTGAACTTCATCTTCCTCTCTACAGCAATAACACTAACTCTTTTCCGACGCCTCTACTTCTCCCCCCTCTCCTCATTCCCCGGCCCTAAACTCGCCGCTCTCTCAAATTTCTACAAAGCAAATGCCTACCGCACCGGCCGAGGCGCTAAGGTACTCCTCAAACTCCATGAGAAGTACAATAGCGATATCGTGCGCGTTGGTCCCAATGAGTTGAGTATCAGGAATGTCGATGCCGTGGAGAAGATTTATAAGGGCAAGTATCCGAGAGGATCGTTTTATGAGGTGGGAGCGATTAATGGAGCGTATAATTTGAATACGCAGAGGAATTATGATGTGCACACGCCTTGGAGGAGAATTTGGTGAGTTCATCTGCAGTGTTGTGAAAAAGGGGGTTGCTGATGTGTGAGGTAGGGAAAGGGCTTTCGTGAGTACAGAGTTCAAGGACTACAATCCTCGTGTGGAGCACCATATCACCAAGTTAGTAGAGGTAATTCGGAAATCCGAAGGGCAGGAGGTTAATGCCATGAAACTGTTGGAGAATTTGGTATTTGACATGTGAGTCTGTTTCAAAGTACTTCGGTGCTGTTCCCTGACAATGTAGCTAGAATGGCGGATCTCAGCTTTGCCTACGATTCGGGAATGCAAGATGGAAAAGGAGACAACCAATATATGGACTTCACCCACAAGTATTTCCCCCTATTTCTTTGTTCCACACACTGAACTCCCTTTCTCACTGGTCGGGAGGATGAGACATCCTCCCGGCTCCCTGCTCTCCAAAAGAAATGTGTTGCTAATTCGTTCTAGGTACATGTTTGCCGTTGGGGTCCGTCGCCTCTCCTCTTTTCCATTCCGTCTATCACTAACACCAAAACCAGGTGATCGCCGCCCTCCGCCCTCTCTGCCAGCTCCTCCCTCTCCTCCCCGAAACCTCAGATGTCCGAGACTTCCGTCTCCGCGGTGAAAAACTGCTCGCAAACCGGCAAAAACTTGGCACCTCTAGAAAGGACATCTTCCGCCACCTCCTCTCCCCTGATCCTGTGACTGCTTCCAAATTCGATCAAAAAGATCTGAACTCCAACGCCAACCTAATCATCGTTGCCGGAAGCGATACCACGACTACGGCCATGACACAGATGTTCCGCATGCTGGCCAAAGACAAGAGAGTCTTGAAGAAATTGCAGGAAGAGATTGATGAATTCTGTTGTGAGGGGAAAGAACTGAGTATCCAGACGACGACGAATTTGACGTACTTAAATGCGGTCGTCAATGAAGGCCTACGATTATGCAATCCACTTCCTACAGGCGTGTATGCGGGCACTTACCCACAAGGCGTTGAAGTCGCGGGAAAGTTCATCCCAGGCAATGTGCAAGTAATGGTTCCCCATTTAGCGATTATGACAGATGAGAGATATTTCCCTAAAGGGTGGGACTTCATTCCCGAGCGGTGGACAGGGGAGTGGAGCGAGGGTGTTAAGGAGAGGAAGGCGTTTATTCCGTTTGGATATGGGGTGCACAGCTGTGTGGGGAAGCAGTTGGCGTTGAACGAGATGCGGTTGACGCTCGCGATGGTGGTGAGGGAGTTTGATGTTGTGCTTGGAGAGCGGTATGATGAGGGGACTTGGGAGGAGGAGTGGAAAGATCGTGCTGTGCTGCAGATTGGGAAGTTGTGGGTGCATTTTGTGGAACGGAGATAAGAATCGAAATCATGTCAATGCACCAGAAGACTGCTTTGTGATGTTTTGGTTTTTTGTTTGTTTATGTGACATTTCCAGTCCTCAATCCCAAAGAAATCCCCAAGGCACCCGTAAAACCTCTTGAAGAGGGAAAAGGATTACCTCTCTCCCGTCCGTTCCGACATTCTCCCATATCCATAAATCCTTCTCACATTCCAGGGTCCTTTGAACAGAAGTAACACAGCCATGTGTTTTGTTTGTTGTTGTTTGTTGGTGGGGGTCTTTGTTGTGGTTGTTGATTTCGAGATCATGATATCATCACGCCAGTGATGTTTGTTTTTGGTGGGTTTGCAACGAGAGTCCTGCAACTTCAGACGAGGAAGTATGGTGAGGTTGTTGTAGATCGTTTTTGGGGTTTGTTGGAGGAGGTTTCCCGATTCATTGGGGTATCGAATTTTGTTTGGTCTTGCCCGAGAAACAATTTGGGACGGTTATTTTTTGGTTTTTTGTGGGTGCCGACTTTTTGGATGGTCGGGCTTGAGGTGGGTTGTTTGGTTGTTGATTCGATGAATCGTTGCCGATCGTTTGGATGATCGGGGAGTGTTGCACTGCTGAGAGCTTTCTTCGAGGTATGCCGTTGGTTTTTTTTGGTGGGTGCCGACTTTTTGGATGGCCGGGCTTTGGTGATTTTGTTTTGGTTGTTGATTCTGTCGAGTTTCTCGATGAATCCCCTGCCGTTTGGATGACAGGGCGATGTTTTCCTTCTCCCGTATTGGATTTCTCGTCAACGGCCCAGTTCTTGCTGGTTGAGCTATCGAAACTCAGAGGTGGAGGTTTTTTTTGAGTTTTTTTGGGGTTCGGCAGTGGGTCTTTTTGGTGGGTTGGCAGACTGTTAGAATAGTCGGATGTTGTTGACTCGTCGTCGGCTCTCAGTAGCGTGTCTTCGTTGTTTCTCGGGTGATCTGTTGTTGCAATTTCGTTGAAACTGCAAAATTTCTCGTGCGTGGTGTTGTGAAAGGAGAGTCCTTTTGAATGGAAGATCTCGATTCGTTGTTGGTTGTTTTGTTGGTTGTGATCCGGGAGGTGAACAAGGCTATCAGTTTGATTGAAAGCAGTTGGTCAGATTGCCCTCAACCGAATCTGGCGTGGTGGTATCGATGATTCGTCGTTGAAAGCTAGGCAAGTCTCGGTGTCGATTCTGGAGAGGTTTGAAAGGCGCTCAGATCCCAATCAAATTTGTTCTCAGCCAGGGTCGAGGGTAGTTTCTCGATGCATTGATGGTGGTTTGACTTCGAGGTGCCTAGCTTTTTGGTTTTTTATTGTTGTCGATCCTCTGAAGGTATCATTCTAGAAGATTTCACCATAATCCTCGGTGGTTGTCTGAATCATGTGACTTTCGATGAGTGTTGGTGGTTGCGAGCGTAAAGCTATTGATGATGTAAGGATTTTAAGCTTTTTCTCGATTTTGTGTTGCTCTTTATGCATGCGTGCAAGGATCCTGTTACCAAGATCTCGGGGTCAGTACTTCTTTCAGCGAGTTTCGGGAGTAGTATGTTCCACGAGCTGTTGGAAATATTGCTACAAGAGGGATTGATGCTCTGAGAAGTTGGGACTTACTTGTCTGACTTCTCTCTCTTGGGTGCGAGGTCAAGTAGCAATTCCCAGAGCTTGTTTTTGATAGCTGCGTTGACTTCTTGTACGGTACCGCACGCGGTAGCGTATTCTGGATTTTTGAGCTTGATTAGCTGAAAGTCAACTTTGTGGGAACTAGGGCAAGGAAAACTCACGTTCAAATCCCTCTGGAATAGCCCCAATCTGCTGGGCCTGGCCCCACAATCCCTTCAGTCGTTTGACTTCTCCTACTTGGCGTTGGATGAGAGCCTCTTGTTCGACAAGACCGTCTTGGAGCGTGACCAGTTGCTGACAGAGATCTGCGTAGTAGGTGTCTTTTCTGATGGTGTGTTTGTATTCGTTGTCGACGACAGATTCTTCCCAGCAGACCTTTTTGTTCTGGCCACGCTTGGAGAGAATGGAAGACTTGGTAATTGGTGTGTCAATGTCCATGAGGTCGTCGAAGACTTCAGTCTGGACAAAGGTAGTGAAGGGTTGAGAATGCATCGTGAGATGAATGATACTTTACTTAAAGTTCGAGTGCTTGAAAATCAAGTAAAGTGAAGAGTAATAAGAGTTGTAGGTGGCAAAGTTCGAATGTTCGATCAGTGGAGATACAATTCTTGGGGAAAAAGAAAAGGAGAGTTTGACCGGGGTGGAATGTGCGAACTTATAGTTGAGAGTTTGAGCTAACATGTCGACTCACATGGCGTACCATATTCTTCTTCGGAGACAAAAAAACACAGCTATTTAAGCGTCGACCAGATATATCTTCATCAGGTCTCCCGAAATATTGCAGTCTTGACCCGAAATGGAGTGAGTACATCGAAGATTCTAGAACAGAAAATGTCGACATCCAGTGATGGGAGGCCTTGGGCAACGAAAGAGAACACAATGGTTCAGCTGCACCCTTCATGAATTTGAAAGGTTGAAAACCGATCAGACGACGAGAGAACTTTGCGAACGCTATCCAAAAATAAGTTGGAGTACCATTGTACGTGTGAAGATGGGAGAATAGGAAGATGATTCTTCCAGGAAGGCACCTCATGCAAAACTCGCGAACTTGGCATCTGATGCATCGAGAATCCGAAGAATCCAGTTCACACCCACGGTGGGTATTCGAGGGCATCTCAGCCAACATACCCCTTCACAACAGCCGATGCACTCTACTCCGATCTCCCCATGCTGCACGTCTTCTTCCGATGCTCTCACTGTAGAACCAGGACCGCCCATTCAGCGAAAACAGCCCAAGCAGATATCAGAACTCTAGAACATCCGTATTCATCCATCAATGGAACAGAGCGAAGTTATCATCCCATAGCGGCATTTTCACGGCGCTCCAAAGCTTGAAGGAAGATCCCTGTCTTCAATGACTCATCTCGTACTTGCAGGGATAGAATCGGCGCTTGCCACAGCAAATCTTCAAACAGAAAGAAGAAAAACTTCGAAAGCACACCCTCAACTCCTCCCAGTGGAACGAGTCTTCAATATGAAGCGCACAGCAAAGTACAAACATCACCCAGCTCTCCAAAACAAAAAATACTGCGAAAGCCTCAACACAAACCCACAGACCCCTATTCAGGAAAGGCACTTGCCCAAGTTGTGGCCGTGACGTCGAGATAGAGTTCGAACCAGAAAAAGAGAGCCATGTCTTAAATCCGGGGAAGCGCTAACTTAACCCAACAACTTCGTTTGACGGACGGCTGTCGATTTGCAGCCTTGCAGGGATGAAAACCACCATCCACGGCTGCTGAAATGTGGATAGAAGAGTAGAGGGTCGTCCCCCTGTCCTTGAAAGCTTCACTTTCGGTCCCATGGACCCAAAGCCGCCAGCTAATAGGGAGATTGGGAACGGTCCTCCAATCACCCGTCGCCGAGTATCCTTTTCAAAATCGTCACTGCCGTTTTCGAATTGTTAAATGGTTCGGCTGTAGGTTTGATGTGTTTGCTTCGGATTCGATGAAAGGAATGAAAGAGGAAAGAGAGGAAGGTCGACGAGGGTTGTCGTAAGACCAGCCCTCGCTTCGCTGCACTAGTCTAATTTGATTGCACGTGATACCCCTTTCCATTCGACGAGCTTTCGTGCAGATGAAGGAATGAGGAGTGGAGGGTTGATGCGTAGAAATTCTTGGAGACGCAGTGAGGGGGTTGTTATATATTGGTGGGTGAAACCAAGAATTTTTGGGCTGCTAAAGCGCGCTGATTTCAAAACAGACCTGGGGTCTCCCAACGAAACCACATTTCAACAACAGTCCAGTACTGCTCGTGCCCTTGCGGAATGGTATCTATCTGTCTACACGGGTATTTGTGCGTCAGTGCTAAAAGAAGATGCGAAATCGAATTCCAACAAATGTAATTATACACTCCATGGGCTCCCCACTCCCATACTGCAATCGCCGCGAGATACTCAAGTTTCCGTTACTTAGTGTAATTGCTCTAAAAGTTCCACTGTCACGAATATTTGACACCTACCGCATATCTGACACCTACTGCATAATCTGACAACCTCAACTCCTCTGGCGAAAACTTCTGATACCGGAGCTGGAAGCCAATGTTCTGGAAAGAGTTCTGCTGATTGGTTCTCGAGTTTGGCTCGTTCTCGATGAAAGGTTGGAATGGAGCGCATCTTGTGCCTGGAGCGGGAACAGTACTGAACGAGAACATGCTGAAGAGGTTTGACGTGCTTGTGGTGAAGGCACCAACAATGTGGGTTCGGTCAGAAGACTTGAAGGGATTGATTTTCTCTTCGCCAAAATCGACACTAAAAGCAGCGCTGGTGGTTGCTTGCACATTTATGGAGCCACATATGTTGGTATGAACTGGGGCCGGAGATGGAGCACCAAATAAAGCAACCGGCGGACTGCTCGCTGAAGATCCGACGGCAGCTGCAGAGCTGGCTGCAAGCACTGAATCGTTCCAACTCTTGATTGATGGGAACTGGAACGGCGAAGCGGCATGTTTGATGCCCCCAACTGCTCCGCTTCCAGCTTGAGGTACCCCATGAGTGGGCTTTACGGCAGGTAACCCGAAGGCATTGCCTTTCGTCTTCGCAGTCGGCTTAGCACCCATGGCAAAGACGCTCCTGCCGCCATCTGAAGTCACTCGGGCGCGAATCTTGATCTTGAGATATCCGATTCCCAATCTCTGCATGTCTGTCTCCTCAGATCCATTCTCACTCCGCTTTTTTTCCACGCCAATGATCGCGCTTGGGGCGAAAAGCAAGGCTTCTCCAACCCTAAGCTTGACAATCTGATTGAAAATATTCATCAAGCGGACTTTTGACTTCTCAGGAGAGTTTTCGTCATTGTCCAAGGAAGCAAGATGACGTCGTAATTCGCTGAGCCAATCCGGAGACGTGAATCGATGAACGATAGTCATGGAGCACAGATCGAGGAGTTTTGGGGAGATGGTCGGCTCTTGTGTGGAAATGAAAACTCGAGTCCCGAGATGGCGCTGCAGACGAATCGCAGAAAGGAGAGTGTTGGTCAACGAAGAAGCTTCGGCGCCTGCGTTCATGTACTATTTTAAAATCTGTCAGCAAGATGAATTGGAGGAAGTCAATACACTTACCTTGTGAGCTTCGTCCAAACCAATGATTCGTCCGACTGTGGTATGCTGTTCAAGGAAGAGGCTCAAACACATGTTAAAGAGGGCACATGCTCCCTCGGCCGTGACACATGGACATGAGAGGTCAACGATAGTGAGAGTTCCTGCCTTGATCGACCAATTACTTCCAAAGAAGTCGTTTCCTCCGCCACTCTTGGACTGAGCAGCAGGCTTCCCTGATGTCTGCGACCGCGGCATAAAGCTCTCCAAAGTTTCAAGTCGTTGATTCAATGGAAGCAGTTGAGCTGGAGTCATATCGCAGAGGTCCACTTGTCTCTTGAATTCGCGGTAGTTGAACCCGGCGTTGTTTTGTTGCGATATAAGACGCATATCGCGAAGAATCCTGCTGATTGCATGCAAGTACAATGGCAATTTACTGCCCTCCTGGTCTACTGCCATAAGATCCATCATTCTCTTGGTGTTGAGGTCGGTCTGGTTGATTCGTAACGGCTCGACAGTGACATTTAGATCTGCGTACGTGCGCTGTGAGGGTCGGTCAGTTGGTTCTCCAACGGGGTTTCGGGTCCGAGACTCACCTTCATGGTCTGGAGATTCGTCGGAGATACCAGAACTCTGACTTTGACGTTGGAATTGGTGGAGATATGGGCAGCTTCGCAAGGTGTACCTTTAACATCAGACGTGAAAGAATCATAATGGAACATAAGGCCCGCAAGTGGATTATCTAGCTTGCTGACATCCGACTTCATCAAGCAATTCTCCAAGAGACAAGACAGAGTATGACTCTTTCCCGATCCTTGAGAACCATAAATGAACGCGCTCGAGGGTGCCGAAATGTTGAAAAATAGGCGCGGATCCGCAGGTCGACTTTTGCCCGTGGCGTTGATATTCATTGCCGTATTCGAATCAAGGACGTCCGACATGCCAGCTAAGAAACCATACTGGCTGAAGAACTTCTCAGAATGGTCAAGGACCTTCTTGGTGTATAATGGCGTCCCTGATACCTCGTGCAAATCCTGGGAGACAGAGCCGGTGTCAAGAAGCTTCATGTGGGCAGCAAAGAGACGCGAGTCTTCTGTTTGTGCCATCGTAGTTTTGGGAGTAGTAGGTGCTGGCGTGGGAGTACTCGAAGACAGAGAAGCTGGTCCAAAAGGAGTGTGAGCCTGAGAAGTTTGAGTAGTTGGGCTTTGGAAAGCGGAGGAAATTGCTGCTTGTGCTGTCCGGCTCGTAGCATCTGTGAACAGAGATAGAGTTTTTGTAGCAGCAGACGGTTGAAGAGGTGGGTTCTGGAAAACTGGCCCGGATGGCGGTTCAGTAGCAGGAGAAGCAGGCCTTTGGAAAGCTAAAGAAGGTGCAGCTTGTGGTATAGCAGATGCGCAGAACGGCCATGACGGCCATGACGGAGCTTGAGACTGAGGTACTTGAGGGGCCGTGGCTTGGAAAGGTGATACCGATGCAGCTTGTGTTGTTGCCGTCGTAGCAGTGCTTCCGAAGAACGAGGAGGCTCCTGTAGAAGGTGGCATCGAAGCACTCGTCAACACAGAACCGAAAGCTGACGGAGGTACTGCTGTCGTCGCAGCTCCGAAGAACTTCGTCGTTCCTGAAGCCTCTGTCTTCACAACAGCAGAGCCCAAACCACTCCTTACTTGAGAATTCGGATTCGAAAACGCAGAACCACCAAATCCTGCCCTAAAGCCTGTCCCACTCACTTTTGCCATCCTGGTCCGAACTTTCTTCGGTGTCTCATCATCACTCGAGTCGTCGTAGACACCTCTGCTTTGTTGTCTCGCTCGCAGATCTGGCGAGTCGAAAGAGAAATTGAAGCTTGGCTTCGTATTCTCCGGTTTGATGGGAGGTTGTCCTTGTCCTGCCATGTTGGGCTGTTGTTGGTACAATACTGTACGAAAGGCGCGTCTCACCTTCTGACGCGTTCTAGGATGTGGAGGTTGCCGAGGGAAGAAATTTATGGGTTGAAGTTGTCCTACCGAGACGAGATCGGAGGTGAAGAGGGACGGTGACGATTCACCTTGTCGCTCCTTCCCTTCCTCTGCCGTGTCGTTTCTGAAATTTTAGCTTCGAAAGGTCAAGCACTCTGTTCCGATTCCGAAGATGAAGCAGACTGAACGGGGTCTGAATTAGGGAAGTGTAGTCTCGGAGGGAAGATGCGAAAAGGCACACGAAGTCACGTGCCCCACCCTATTTTCGCTCCTTTTCAACAAACCCGAGCCATTTAGGCCATCACATAGAATTCAGCAAACTCGCTTCACAAGCACAGAGCACAAAGTAAATACCAGACAGAACATCTTTTCTTCTCTGTCTCAAACTAAACGCCTTCCATCCATTTACGGATCGAAATCTATAATAACACAACAACATGCAATTACTCCCATCCATCCTCCCTCCCTTCCTTCCTAGCAATCCCAGAAGGTCCCAGCAAAGCATGCAAAATAATGCCCGCAATCACCGGTAATATCCCAGATCCACTATGTATAATACAGTCCCGTCCGCAACCCCCAGATCTAGATCCCAAAATCTCGCTCTCCATTTTGCTTTTTTCTCCTTTTGTCTAAAACTTCACGCACATGCCAAAGTCGGGTTAAAGGACGGCATGTTATCAACCCATATCCACATCTCCATCCGCCATCGCCAATCGTTGCTTAGCAGTCTTGGCTTTCTTTCCCACCTTCCTGGGTTTCTTGCCTTTAGGTCCGAGAGGCGCATCACCGCCCATACCAGGAATAGGGGTCGCTGCTCCGGAAGGTCGGTTGGATCCATCGTCGAAGTGGCCCTCACCTGCAACGGAACTGTTAGCTTCATCACAGAAATAGCATTGATCAGACTTACCCTCGTGATACAAATCCTCCAAACTCCCCGCGGCGTCCGCCTTCCGCTTTCTCCCACCCTTTTTCTTCACTTTCTCGGGCTCCTTTGCTTCCTGGGCTGCAAGCTCAGCTTCCTTCCTCTCAATCTCCGCCGCTTCGTCGTCGTCCACAAGCCACATCGCGATATCCTTCGTCCGGTTCTCCTTTGACCTAGTGTTGAAGTCGACACCGCCGCCGGATCCACCGGTCATGACAACCTTTTGCACTTCTTCTTTTTGCAATGCTCGCTTGCGGATACGCTCTTCGATCGTGCCACGAGTGATCATGCGGTAGACTGTAACTTGCTTGGTTTGTCCAAGACGATGGGCTCTGTCCATGGCTTGCGAATCAATTGTTGGATTCCAATCAGAATCGTAGAAGATAACAGTATCAGCACTGGTGAGATTGATACCGAGACCACCAGCACGAGTACTGAGCAAGAAGATGAAGATCTCGGGTCTTGTCTGGAAATCGTGGACAGTGTCTCTTCGGTCTTCGAGCTTGGTAGATCCATCAAGTCGGAGGTATTTGTAGTTGCGATAGGTGAGGTACTCTTCCATGAGGTCAATCATACGCGTCATCTGGAAGTAAAGCAACACACGGTGACCCCCTTCCTTGAGCTTGAAGAGCAGGTCGTCGAGCTTAGCCAGCTTGCCTGAATCAGTAACGAAGCGACGCATCGAGGGGACCTTGATGTTCGTGAAACGTTGTTTCTCGGAGGTTGGTGCAGGGAGCATCTTTGGCGGTGGATAGAACTGAAGCGGAACCCTGGAAGAGATCAAGGTCTTCTCCTCAAGTGGGGATGGACCATAGAGAGCCCGACGAACAGGGATATTGAAGAGGACGTTCTCCTTGTCAATGATAGCGCCACGGCTCGAGCAGACAACTTCAATAGGGGGAGCTGTGGCACCTGGTCGGCCACACTGCTCAAGTCGGCTGATGCCAGAATCTGCCCAGACGTCCTTGGAAACATTGAAAAGCTTGTTGAGATAGCCTTCATTCGTGACCCCAGCCAGTGGCTTTCGATCACTGCGATCAACAATTTGCAGAAGTGCCTGGGCAGGAGTGTAATTTTCGCCCTCCTCATCGTAGACGACGCTTAGAGCACCAAGGCTTCGGGGTTTCTGAGCAAGGTCCACAGCCCGAGAGAACACGTCCTTGCGAAATGCCTTCGATGCTTCATCAATAGAAGTATCTGCGAATCGGAGCCACGAGAAGGCTCGGTCGTCTTGCATGTTTTGGCGAATGTTCTCTGGCTTCCAAACGTTCAGTAGCTGGTCCAAGTACTTCCCCCTGAATCCAGCCTTGTCATTGTTCCGTCCAGGCATGTCGAGTCGGCCATCTCCGCGCCAAATTAGTCGAGGAAGTTCATACTCAATTAAATTTCGTGACGAGTAGCCAACATTTATATTAGGCCCTTCACGCATAAAAGAGGCGGTTTCGGCAAAATAGCCAAAGGAGAACGGCGACGTTGTCTCGGCTCGTTCGAACAGATCAGGATGATTGCAGACCTTTCGGAACTGCATGACCAAGTTCATCAAAGTCCCAGTATCGTTGTCATCACCAACGGTTGCCTTCTCAATGAGATCCATGATGCTGATCTGGTTGCGGAGGTTGCCATAGTAAGCTCGTTGACGATATGTGAGGTCGCAGAAGATATCGAGCTCAATCTTGTCGCCCAATTCCTTCTGCACATGCTTCTTGACACGACGAAGCATGAAAGGCTTCAAGATCATGTGCAGACGCTTGAGTTGATCTTCGTTAAGCTTGGTGTTACTTTGTGCGTGACTTTCAATGTCTTTGGAGAACCACTCGCTAAATTCGTCATGAGAATCGAACAAACTTGGCATGATGAAATGAAGCAAGGCCCACAGTTCTTGCATATTGTTCTGGATTGGCGTGCCGGTGAGTAGTAGGCGATTGCGGCAGTGGAAACCTAGAAGACTCTTCCATCTTGAACTCTGGGAGCTCTTGATAGCTTGAGCTTCATCCAAGATCATGTACTGCCATTTCATCTTCTGGAAGTAGTTGACATCTGAAACAACCAATTGGTAGGATGTAACTAGAACGTGGAAGGCGGCATCCTGAGTGTAGGTGATGTGCTTTCGATCCCAGAACTTTCGAAGAACTTTTCGATCCGCAGCTGTACCCCAATAAGGCAAAACTTTGAGAGTTGGCACGAACTTTGTAATCTCTTGCTGCCAATTGTGAAGTGTTGAAGCAGGTGCAACGACCAAGAAGGGACCCCAGATACCATGCTTTTCGGCGAGGTACGCCATGACAGAGATTGACTGGACAGTCTTGCCTAGACCCATTTCGTCGGCCAAGATACCATTGATACCCTGCTCGTAAAGATTGACCAGCCAGTTGAGGCCCTTCAATTGGTATTCCTTGAGCTGTGCTTGAAGCATTCTTGGTTGTTCGATATCGACCTCGCCCATTCCCGATGGATTCTGGAAGTTCATCTCTCCCTCCTCGTCCATTGCTGGGCCGTCGTCTGACTTGTTGAATGCCCTGGCTTTGTTTTGTGCTTCCTGGATCGCGTTTTGAGCATTCGCCATTGCTGCAGCCTTCAAAACCGAATCATCCTCAGCATCGAAGTCGAGGTCTTCAAAGTTGGTAACTTTTGCGGGAGCCACATCATGGTGGTCACCGATATCGAGTCGAGCATGCGAATCAGGCTTCTCTGCAACAGCAACATCAGGGTGATCAGTCGACCGCTCAACCTCATCAGTCTTGATCTTCTTCCCAATGAAATGCGAGTACAGCTCAGTCTGAGAGATAAGGAAGTTGAGTTTCCTCTTCTGTCTGTTAGCTTCTCGATCTGCTTCTGCCTTCTTCGCATTTTCGATCTCCTGCTTCTCGGCTGCTCTTCGAAGATCACGCTCTTCTCGCTCATTACGCTTCCAGAAGGACATCATCTCTCGCATGACACGTTTAGCTCTTGCTTGAAGATCCTTGGTTCCCTTGTTCGTTTTGAGTTGCCATCTTTTAGCTTCTTTCGAGGCCAGAATGGCAGTCTTCTTCAAGTTCGAAACCCTCGTTGCATAAGACTCTCCAGCCAACTTGTAGACCTTGTTGACATCCTTTCGAGCTAGGTCGCGCCAAATTTGATCGTAGATCTGATTATATCCCTTGGAAACAAATGGTTCAAACGTGGCTGGAGATTCCTCCCTGGACTCCTTGGGCTCCTTGGCATTCAACTTGATTCGAATCTTTGGCTCTTCTTTAATCGGAGGAAGTGCCGGAGGTTCTTCCCCGGCATCGATCGCAGCTTGGGCAGCTTCCGCAGAATCCTTCTCCGCTTGCTTCTGCTCCTTGGACTTTCGCGGTCGAGCACCTCCACGTTTAGACTTTCTCGCGGCAGGCTCTGCGTCTACGGCTGTGAAGGTAGACATCATACCGCCAGAGAAATTGGGCTCGAGAGGAGACACAGCTCGGATCTCTGGGCCTTTGTCACCCCGGGCCAGAATAATCTTGGTCTGCTGGGCCTTCTTCTCTGCCCTCTGAGCTTCCCTGAGAAACTTTTGTCTCTCTACCTCGTCTTCCGCCGCCTGCGCCTTGGCAAATGCGAGTTCCTTCTGCTCAAGGTTTGTAGCCACGGTCTTTTCACGCCGGCGCTTCCTCTGCATATCCTTCTTCCGCTCCTTCTCGGCCTGGACCTCTTTCTCTTGCACGGCCGTGATAGCAGCATCCGCATAAATCTCTCTGTATCGGACCTCCCCATAATCAGCATGTCTGCCAAGCTTGTTCGCCATCTTGTCTGTGTAAAGTGTCCGTCGTGTCTTATTCTTAGTGTTCTCAGCCTCTTCGACCTCAAATTTTCTCTTCAAGCTTCGCATCCTGAAAAATTTCTTGTCCGTCTCGAACTCAGGTATATCGACATCGCTAGCTTCGGCATCGAGATTCGCCATTATGGATTGTATCTCCTTTTCTTGCTCCTTCGATATTGGCTTCTGCTTCGGAGGAGTTTTCTTCAACTCGCCATTTGCTTTTCGCTTTGCTGGAACTCGCGATATGGTAGGTGTCGGTGCTGGGGCGAGGGAAGATTGTCTAGAGCTATCTCGGGACATAGGGTCAACGGCAGGGGCGGCAGGTATTGATTGTCGAGGGGTTTTTCTAGGTTTCGCGGACGGAGTCGGAGTTGGTTTGGGCACTGGATCGGCATTATTCGATAGAATGCTTGAGAAAGCCATTGGATCTGCTGGTCTGCTAGGGGTCTAGTAGCAAGAAGTAAATTAGTCAGGCCCAAGAAAATTTATGAGGGTGAAGATCACGTACGGCTGCAGCGGCAGGAGGTTCCTGCTTTATCACCGGCGCACCCAATCCCACGCCATTATGTCGCATATCCGGTGAAGTGACAGCAGCCATGCTTGGCGACTGTGATATAGAAGGGTGACCTAATGGGTGTGCATGCGAGACGGGCGATCGAGGTGGGAAGGTGGCCGCAACAGGAGAGGTGTAGGATCCGTTGAAGTATTTTGGCTGCTCTACAGAGGCTGATGGATAGATGTATGGCTCTCGACTCTGTGAAAAATTATGTCAGATATTGAGATACGAAGGGACCCTCGCACCCCGGGAAAATTGAAGGTTCATACCTGAGTTGAGCCTTGTCCTTCACTCCTCGCAGCACTTTCCGATGGCCGCCTTTCGCTCGAGTCAGAAGTCGGATCGTAATAGTTGCTGGTCGGTTTATCGCGCGGTGCAGGCTGGTAATCGCTCTGATATGCTGCTTGGGCCGTTAGGGTCCTTGGTGACGCCGGGTGGCTAGGAATGTGAGATGCTGATGTTGGCATCGGCAGAGGAGCAGGCGTTTGAGGATGATATGGGTTGCTGAACGGGGGTCGCGGATGATTTCCATTTGTTGGTGAGAATGGCGAATGGAAATCTGTTTGTGTCGGAGAAAGACGGTTGAAGGGTCGAGTGTTTGAGCTACTCGTTCCGTTCATACTTTCTCGCCTTGCGCTATCCTCTTCCTCTTCCTTTGGTCGTTGCATCACCGTACCGTGATAGTTCGAGTCCATCACTGCGCCTGCGTCCACGAGGCGACAAGATCTGCTGAATTACCGCTCCATAGAAGTTTTATCGCCGCCGCCGTACGATATAGTAGGAAAGACAGCGACCGAATTACTGGTGAAGCATCACGATCATCAATAAAGTCGGGTCGTTGATGGAAAGGAGGGTGGTGTTGGTGTTGGGCAGGGCAATGTTGATGGAAGAAGAAAGCCGGCTGATACTGCGAAAAGGTTTTCTTTTGACCTGGTGTTGGATCAGCCGCGCGGAGTGTTCTTAAATGCAAGGCGTAGGTTGCGAAAGGATCACGGCGGTGGAGGTTTAGAAAGTCGCGACGAGGACGCGATATGCGGGCGGTGGTTTATTCAGGTATGGTATTACGATGGGCAGCAGAGGGAGTGTGAATGGGGAAGGGAACAGGAAGTCATTGTTGTTGTGAACCCGTAGGCATTTGGGGGCAGGCACTTTTCGTCAATCGCACCCACGCGGACATGCGGTCTCATGGTTTCTGAGATTGCCTATTCTCGGAATGACGCCAGAAGTCGAGAGATATCTGTTCCAAAGCGGATCCCTGCAAATAGTATGATTTGGGCGAATTGGCTTTCTACTCGAGGGCATTTGTATTTTGTGATTCACGGTCATCAGGTCTGCACACTGATTGAGAAGGGGCGGATGGTGTGGGTGGCAGAATTTCTGAATTATTTGTTTCGCCAGTTCTCTCCGTCTCCCAGATCTTACGCACAAATTGGCGAGACTGTGGGAGGTGCATTGCTTAGCTCAAACTAGACTAGCGTGCTCTAGGCACAACTGGGCATTGTCCCCGGATGCTCGCAACCCCAGGAGGATGAGGGATGCAGTGGCGAGAGAAAGGTCTGGAGAAATGTCTGGAGAGTCATACTATGTATGTGGTTTTCGGGAAATCGATACTAGGGAGTCACTCTTCACTGTAAGTTCCGGAATGTGAATTGTGGAATTGCTCGCTCCTTCCATGTCGTGACATCAGCCCTGCAAGGTCATCTTTGTGCAAAACCCGCATGCCCCTATTTCGATGGGTTTCCTCTCGCACGCCCCGGCGGAAGTTGTCGAGCCGAGAGCTCATCGTTTCCCGCCGCATTGGAGGCCTGTAAAGCCCTGGATTGCCAATAAATGGAAATAGCATCAAAAGCTGTCCGAATTTCCGCATCGCTCGTAAAGCGCTGAGATAAACGTCACACGGCATTACAGATCACAAAACCCAAGAGCTATTTCAAAACATCAATTCAAGGGCGCAACGCCTCTAAAGCACAACAGTCTATTCCCACCATCAGCAACTCATCTCGCGGCAGTAGTAATGCTTCCTCCCAGCCCCTCGAAGTCATCAGCATCCAAGGTACCACCGCCGAGGTATATGCAATACCCACCAACTTCGCCAATAATGCATCAACTTTTTAGTTTGGCCTCAATGATACCCGTCTAGACTGCACCCGTCGACACCATCTTCTTCCTCAAATGATTCTTGTACTCTCCAATGCTGCCGTCCCACCTATGGATGGTCTTGTTCTCACACACCAGAATATCCTTTGCAATCTTGTCGAGCAATCTAAGTATTGGTTAGCATCATTCAGCAGCATCAGCAATGTAAAGCTTACCTGAAATCGTGAGACACAACAACAACACCTCCAGTGAACGCTTTGATAGCTTCCGCCAAACTGTCGATGGTGGGGATATCCAAACCATTGGTAGGCTCGTCCAACAGCAGCATATTCGGTCCATCAATTGCCAACAAGGCAAAGACAATTCTCGACTTTTGGCCTTCAGACAACGTGCCCATCAAAGCTGTCTGAGACTCTCCGGAAAGACCATACTTGCCAAGTTGTTGGCGCCAATACTGGTAATCCTGACTCTTGTCGGCATACTTGTCTCTAACAAAGTCCAGAGCAGACTTAGTGAGATCCAACTGCTCTGACGAGTGTTGAGAGTAGACACCCATCTTCAAGTGAGTGTGCCGAGAGACTTGTCCACCAGTTGGGGAGAGCTTTCCGGTCATCAAGCGAAGTAAGGTTGACTTTCCAACGCCATTAGGTCCGACCAAAGCTGTTCGAGAATCCATATCCACACCGAGATCCAGATGTCTGTAGAGATCGTCCTTGCTGTTGCCGGAGTACGAGAAAGTAACGTCGTCGAAAGACAAAACTGGCGGGGGAAGTTTCTCAACATCAGCAAATCGGAACGTGAAGACGCGATCACTCTCGACTGGTTGAATGAAGCCATCTGCCTCCATCTTGTCCAAAATCTTTTGTCGAGATTTGGCTTGTCTGACCAAGTTGGCATATGTACCGGCGGAGGCAATGAACTTCTTGATGTGAACAATTTCGTCTTGCTGCTTCTGGTAGGCTTTATTTTGGTTGACCTCTTGTTCGTATCGGGTCTTCGAGTAAGAATCGTAGTTTCCACCATAGTAGATAAGCTTCTTTTGTCGCATGTCGATCATGTTGGAGCAGACACCGTTGAGGAAATCCATACTGTGGGAAACGAGAACGAGGGTACGATCCCATTTCTTGAGGTATTCTTCGAGCCACACGCAAGCCTCCAAATCCAAATGTGCAGTGGGGTCGTCAAGCAGGAGGAGAGATGGCTTGACGAAGAGAGCTTTGGCCAAAGCCACACGCATACGCCATCCACCGGACATGTCCTTTGTTTTCTTTTGAATCGTTGTTTTGTTAAATCCGAGACCAGTAAGAATGAGGGAAGCGCGAGTAGCAAATGTTGAGGGATCCATAGTTTCCATACGCTGAGTGTGTTAGCAAAAGAATCTCAAAAGAGATGAGTTACGACATACCTCATACAGATCCATGAGGAGAGGGCTTTCAGGGCCATCCTCTTCCAGAATCCGCTCAGCCTCTTTGTCAAGTCTCTCCATCTCGTTTTCTGCCTCCCTCACGACCCACTCCAAAGCACCGAGATCACTGGGTGGCGCACCCTCGTTGAGGAGATAGATATCGACGTGGTCTGGGATCGGGAATTCGCGCTTGTCGATAGCCTTGAGGAGCGTAGACTTTCCGCAACCGTTCTCTCCGAGGAGACCGTATCGACGGCCATAGGTAAGTTCAAGCGTAGTGTCTGTGATGAGGACTCGACCGTGGAAAACCAGGGAGACTGAGGTGATCTTGACATCTCGGCTCTGCTTCAGCGAGCTGAGCACACCCGTCGTGACACGGTCGGAGAGACCATGCTTGTCCATTTGATCGGCTAATCTCTTGACTTCGTCCATCTTCTTTGCGGAGGTCGCAGGCTCGTCGACATCCTGATCGAGAGGGGGGGTCTCATCGCCAGCGACAGAGGAGGCGCCCGAAGCGGTCTTCGACCCTGCCTTTGAGCGGGAGGCGACGGTCTTCTTGGGAGCCTTCCCTTCAGCGGCTCTCTTGGCATCGCGAGCGGCCTTTGAAGCAGACACCATGATGTCGAATTCGAATGTGAAGTTGTAGTTGATTCGAGATGGTGCGTCTGGCTGCCTTCAGCAGGCTATCAGCGGCGGGGAAGATTAGGATTTTTTGTGGTGGGGGTTTTCAGGCTATGACGACTTTAGCGCCTCCAAGATTTGCTCTCTTAATTTGGGGTCAAGAGCCTCCGTTTGAAACGTGCAGGGAGGCGTTGCTATGGGAAAGAGGACAGTCAAATGAAGGGAAAAATCCTTGAATCAAAATCAGTTCTGTCGAGTCTTTCAGTCGAAACTCACTCTGGATTGCTCGCTAAAATTTTGCTAGAATGACTAGCATCACGTGACAGTCTTGGTTTCTCAAATCTTTGATCGATTTTGTTTTCATTCTCAATCCTTTCTTATGTTTCCTCATATTGGAATCGAAGAAATGGCATACAGAAGACCATTATCCACGGAGATGTAGGTGAATGAAGTGGCCTCGAGTCCAGTCCCGTCGATGAAATCTCCCGAGAAGTTCGGAAATCTTGCATGATTGAGAAGTAACGTTTGCACATTGCGTGACTGTTGGAGCCAAGTTTGGTTCTTGAATTTCGCTTTGTTATTCGTTCTACTAAATTTCCATGCAGTCGATTACTTGCCTATCCATCATTCAACTCCATTACTCAAGATTCTCCCAGGCAGCGTGTTGAAATTACAACCATTCCCATGAAACATGCGATGTGGAATTTTATCTCTGTGGATACTGGAAGCAAGACTGGCTGCAAATGGAATATCAAATTTTGTATCCGAAGTCTCAGACCTACTATGATGCTGGTTAGATCGGAGGAGCCTTCGAGTGAAGTAGTAGACTGGTTCTGCAATCCGCTGCTCGATCCATTGGTTCTTCTCACGGACACGTCTCATGGCCAGTTATTGGGCGGTATTTGGTTCTCACGAGAGACAAAGGAGCCGCTGAGAGAATTATGTACGTGATTTTGGTGGATTGGACTGTGCCCCTCTGATGTAACCTTGATCCTGTCTTCAAATTTCAGGCACCCGTTCACTATATCAACACAGGTACTGCCACTTTTCCAACCAAAATCATTGTTCCCTCAATCCTCTCTCCCGTTGCTTTTCTCTCCACGATATCAGAACTTTACATCGAAAACATGGCTTTCACTCTGGCGCAACAGATGGCACGAACCATTGGCGTATTCCAAGGCCTCCTAGCTTTGCCAATACTACTCTGGACCGCAAGTCTTGCTTTGCAACCGTTGGCTTACCCAGATAAATATATATATTACTTCACGTAGGCCTCTCTTCCCAGATCATACTCCACTTCGCGTGGAGTATTTGTATTGTACTTCTCGTTCAGTGATAACTCTAATTCTCTCCCCAGCGCATCGATGTTTATCAGTCTGTGTGCGGCCGGTATCACGTTCGCGGTCTGGATTCAACGCCGTGTCCCTATGACTCGGAAGGTCACACTGTACTTCGAGATAGCAAAATCCGGCTTTGCTACAGCAATCTGGTTGTGGCTGATCCTCGACGCCGCATTCGGCCCCGGACTTCCAAGATATTATTATGGAGATTACCCTAGGAAGCCCACGATCATTAGAGCTGCCATCAGTGTTATCATACTTTTGTAAGTTGCTTGCTTTGTCTCAAATTTTCAAACTTACGAAACGTGAAGAGCAAAGGAAACCAGCTGATGAGATCAACAAATTAAGCATTCTGTATTACCCGACTCTGGTTTGGGCATTCATCGATAAGAACATCCACGGAGATAGTGTCCCTACTCCGGAACGCGAGGAAACTCAAGATGAGGAGGTCGTAGGGGAACGTGAGCCCCTGTTGAGGTCATGAACGAGGGGGATGATGACAGGAAGAACCCAGACGAACCCGCGACTGTCAAATCTTGTTTTCTGAATGATGTCATCATTTATTCTCAACAAAGATAAAGGTTTCTTGTTTCGAGACGATCAAAGAGATCTACTTGGAGAGAGCATGTTGATCACGTGATGGGCATCAATGGCATTGCCTTTTTCTGAAACCCCTAACTCAAGGGTTATCAGCCGAAGAATCTCCCGGATTCTATTATTGTAGTACGGAGTACTGTGTAGTACTGTAGAACAAAGATCTCACAAGAAGCGCCCTCTCCACGTGGTGGCGGGCTTCGATCTCAATGTGAGACATACCTGTCTGTCGTACCACGCCAGCACACGGCACGCAAGGTGGAAAATGAAGGGCTCGAAGTTAATTGAGTCGCGTCACAAACGGCCGGACTCGGAATTTCCGAACTGTTGGCCCCATGCAAGTTGCAATTGGGCGCCTTTGGGAAAATTCTCCAACCTATTTCTGTTTAGTGTTTGAGTGTGGCGTGCTGGCTTTTCAGCTGGCCCGTTTGTCCTTCCCCTTTCCGTTCTGCCTCCAGAGTCCAAAACGCACAATGCAACCTACGAACGGACAGACAGATCTGCGTTTCATTGCGCCCCTCGACCTCAAGCTTTCTCGGCAGATCTCTCGAAACCCGTGGGCCTTGACTTCGGCCCTCTATCTCTGCTCACTACAGTACTGTAAGTACTGCAGTCGCATGTTCAGGAGACCTCCGGCGGTGCTGGGCTGCACGGACAGTGGTCGTTTGAGGCCTGCAAGGAGGCACCACTCACGATGCCGCCCCCGGCGAACTTTATCTGGATCATGCTTCCGAAAGAGCGCAAGATTTGCCAATCAGCATGGTTCTGGCGTGGGGTCCCCTGGCGGGGCAGGGAGCCTCCGTCGGAGAAGGCCTGTTCGAGCTTGCTGGATCCTTGGCTGAACCTTGCTCCTCCAAGCCGATTCGCATTTTGGCCCATCTTCACCCACATTGTTGCATGGACAACACGGTCAACACCACATGGCAGCCTCACCTCCATATATCCTGAGTATTCTCTGATTCCTCCTTTGTACTCTATTCCGCAAATGTTTATCCCCTTCTCCAGTGGAGCCAGTTCATGCCACCATGAAGCTTGATCCCGCATCCAAGACGTTGTCGCCATTGCCTGATGTTCTCTCTCACGGCTTGGTCGCGGTGTCGACCTTCGGTCTCCTGTCCTTCTTCTGCTCTACCTCTCTCTTCTTCTTCCTGACCTGGCGTCTGATTACTTGGCGATTGAAGAGCGGCCCGAACAATACTCCAAATCAATTCCTCCTTCTCATCTACAACCTCCTCCTCGCCGACATCCAACAAGCGTTAGCTTTCCTCCTCAACATCAGCGCTTTGCACAACAATGGCATCTTTGTGGGGACACCGACCTGCTTTGCTCAAGGATGGTTCGTCTCGACGGGAGATTTGGCAAGCGGCGTTTTCATCTGCGCAATTGCCTGCCATACGTGGATGGGTGTGGTAAAGGAATATCGATTGCCAACACCAGCCTTCTACTGTTGCATCGGAACATTGTGGTTTTTCGTATATGCTATGGCAGCAATTGGGCCCATAGTCCACGGCCGTGACTTCTACGTCCGAGCAAGCGCCTGGGTATGTTCCCTTCTCTCCCTCGCCCGCCATTCAATTCACTAACAGAATCAGTGCTGGATCAACGACGCCTTCCAAATCGAGCGTCTTTGGCTGCACTACTTCTGGATCTTCTGCTCCATGTTCAGCACCGTCCTTATATACCTCTACATCTTCGCATTCCTGCGCAAGAAAGCCTTCTCCTCAAACGACAGGACCAAGTCCCCACACGTGCACGGCGCTACGCCCCTCATGGTTCTCTACCCGCTCATCTACACAGTCTGCACCGCTCCCTTAGCAGCAGGCCGTATCTACGCGCTCGCAGGGCACGACGTCTCACTCGGTTATTTCTGCGCCGCTGGCACGATGATCGCATGTAACGGGTGGCTGGACGTGTTATTGTACGCCAGCACAAGAGCAGATATCGTGTTCAGCGAGCTCCCGCCAGGAGATGATACTGGTCTTGAGACTTTTGCGTTTATGGGGAGGGGCCATAGACTCGGCACAACGACTACGATCGTAGCAGCAGGCTCCTCACAAAACCGCTCAGTGTCAAGAGCAGCATCGAGATCAGCGTCACGGGCGGCACCAAGGGGAGCAAGCAAACTAGGGAAGAGAAGCGGCAGAGGAGGCAACAGTGGCGATAGTGCTGAGAACCTCTACAGCTTAGGAGAGATCGCCATCAAGGGCGAGGTGACCGTCAGCGTGGATGCTCAAGAACCCAATCTTGTGAGACATGATAGAATTAGTATGGACGAGAGCGCGAATCAGAGTCGGACTTTCGACGAGCGGAGTCATAAGAGTAGAGGCTCGAGGAGTTTGAGGAGTGGGAAGAGTTTTGATGATACGGGAATTCCTTGATTGGGTTGAGTTTTAAAATGGCGTTCTGGTTGGATACAATGGGAGGGAGGATTGCATATGGCGATTATGATACAATGGTCATAGATCTGGGCTCGATATATCTCGAATGGTAGTCATAATAGAATACATATAAAGTGAAGGATCGTTAAATTTCCGATCATTCATAAACGGTGTTTCGTATCAGCATTCGTCATGATGAGCAAGTTTGCTTGCTGCATTAGACATGAGAAATGGAGTCTCGCCTTGCCATCATTCAATCACTATTTATCTTCATATCATGCCCGAGCGGGACATAGTTGAAACTTCAGACATCTTAAAACCGCAAAGTTGGGATTTCAAGAGATTCGGGTAGCCCCAATTTCAAGCTCTCAAGGATATTCAATCTCTCTGAATCCACCCTTCCCCCGTCCCAACCCGCTAGACCTCGCCTCTACCCCGCCTTCCTAGGGAAAAAGCAACGCTCACAGCAATATCGCCCGTTAGTGCCCCTCTTCCATGATAACCACAGAGACAAGCATCCCTCACTGTGGACATTCCAGAATAAACAACCCATCGTGTTCAGAAGATTGCTGCTCCTTTACTTCTAGGCTGTCGATACCCCTCTGGGTGAGTGGTCAGTGGAGGCTTCCCTCCAAAGCTACGTTGTGGGTATGAATGTGAATGCTAGGTTTCAAAAGAAAGGGAGAGGGAGTGGGTGACAACAAAAAAAAATTCACATAAACCGGACAAATGGTTCAAGCGTTGAGATAATTTTCATCCCATCTATTCCGCTGCCATAATCTTATTCGCTGTCATTCTGTTGGGGACTGCCTACCTTTCGTTATTTCCCAAGGCTGCAAATAAGCCTAATCTCAGAGCAGTTGACCCATCTTAATCATTCTCTCTGTCGCTTTGTGATACTGCTTGGTGAAGTTAGCTTTAAATGATCCCTATGAGTCTACATTTTGGATGCAGCTTCTTCAAGTGCTGGGTCTGGATTGCTCCACGAATGGGCATCCCAATAAGAAATGAGCCTCCACAACAAGTGTAGATACAGGACCCAGATCTGAAATATTGGGAAAACTTGTCGTACATTGCGTATGGCATGTCATGTACATGGACCAACTTATTCTAGACTTTGATCCGGCAGTATTCGTAGTATTACAATACGGACGCTTCACTTGGGCAGTATAGCATACAAACGTCGGCCCGGCCTCGCAGTGGATCCTCCTAAGAAGTACTCGAGGAACTATTTGTCGCGTTGAATTGACGTTAGGGCGAGTCCTTGCCGATTCTAAAACCAAAGATTCGAAAGCCAGGTTGAAGTGAATTCCCATTGTCCCAGCTTCTCTAGTAAGATTACATTCCAAATTCCCAGAACCTTGCACCTGGAGCGACTTGTCATCATTCAATCTTCACGATATGCCCTTTCATTCTGTTCAGAATCATGCTCGCAACATTGCCCGCCCTTGGATCCCCCTCATCCCTAACCAGCGGCCACTCTATCCAAAAGCGCCCAACCCTCTCATATGTAACCTTTGCACCCTCTCCGTCCACCGCAAAATTCCTCTTCAAAACAATCCCATTACTCCAAATCTCCTCAATCTCCTTCTTGTCCTTCTGCTTCTTTTTCGATTTTGAATCCTCATACATCACTTCCCGGATAAGCTCAGCTCCAAACAAATTCTCCGGGTCAAAGTCCAAGATATCAGGCGCAAAACTCGCTTCCACCCTCCCCTCTGGCGTTTGAAGCTGTAAGATGAACTGCTGGTTTCCACCCGGGAAGATGTTTGTACAGTGGTAAAGGGGGCATTTCAAAATTAGATTGTCCTCCACCCTGGCCTCAGATGTCGCAGAATCTTCGCCGTCTATGCCGGTCACAAGCTCAGCAACTTTACTCCAAGTGCGCTCCTTCCCACGTTTGTTATCGTCATCTGACATTAGTCGTCTTCCAACCTCACCGTGGACAGACTGCCATGACCAAGACCGCGTACGGTGCTCTGATTGCTTGTTCGTCTGTCCAGATTCGATGAACCATAATGGGTCGAAGAGTAAATAGCGGCGCCATAGATCGTGCATGTATCTCAGTTCCTTATCCCCATCCTGGATTGCTTGAGCGAGACCTAGAAGGGCATTTGTACGATCTGAAGGCTCTGTGATTTTGCATCTGGTGAATGGGATGACTAGTTCCGCCCAGCGGCCATGAAGGTAGATCTCCCACCCTGCGCTGAGTGTCTTCTCTCTGTTGGCTCGAAGTTGGTGGAGAGAATTACGATACCCGTTGGCCGGATTAAAGATTGTCTGGAAAGCGTGGTTTAGGAGGCGAGGTTTTCTCCTGTGACAGAGCCACTGCTTCTCTCGAAAGGGTTGGCTAGCATTCGTCCCTTGTGAGGCGATATGTGTGTTGCATTCGAAGAACAGAAATTTGGGCCCGAAATGGATGATTCGTCGCGAAAGGAGCCGTTCTTGAAAGCCCCAGCTCTGCCAGCTCAAGTTCTTTTCATCGACCTCGTTCGTGAAAGACTTGAGATTGTGGGTTTGCCCCTGTGCCCGAACTGTCAAAGCATTGTTCTTTGAAAATTGCAGACAGCAGGGAAAATCTAGCAGAGAAGAATTCCGTTTAGTAAAACAGCCACCATTCGCATCCTCGGAGGATGCAATTGTGCAGTGCGCGTTCACAAACACTTTGCCCATGCTGTCTGGCTCACGCTTCTTCTCCTCGGGACAATCTTGAACAATGCAGAGGACGTCAACCCAAAAGTAGTTGAGGTCGAGCTGACGAGTGAGGTGGATGGCGTGTTGGAAAGTGAGCGGGAGCTCCTTCTCGTTGATCTAGGACTTCCATTCGTCTTTCTTGTCTAGGGTCAATTTTTGTGTCATAGGTAGCTTGTTTTCGTTCCGGCAATAGCTGAGCGCGAGGTATTTGAAATCGAGAAGATCAAACCCCGGGGAATGAGTCTCTTCTAGACGAAGCTCACCTGATACCTTGTCCCCAACATAGAGAGGAATTGTTGGCAGGTACGACTTGGAGGGTTTCAACACAGTTTTAGAACAATACGATTTGTGTCCCACTTCGCAGTCGGTCATCCAAGTTTTTGCAAGTTCGATACAATCGCCAGTCCAAGTAGGAACATGTATAGATGGGGATTGACCGTTCAGTTGTTCTGAAGAAGTAAGCATTCCAAGAACGAGAATCAGAGGGCGAAAACAAACCTTCCCTGATTTCCAATGCCTCGCAGAGATTACGGCGATCTTCAAGTCGTGAAGCATCACCATCAGAGAGTGATATGTAACAGCGGCCACTCTGCTCCTTCCGTATTGATAGCCATAACCACCGGTACGCGTCAGGAAGCTGTCGCTGCGCCGTATAAGGACCGGCTAGTTTAAGTCTCTCCTGCTCATCCAACGAATACCACAACACATGGCAAAGCTGACATGACCTCCTCGACGTACGAAAATCCGAGCACTGAACTGAAACGACCCATTTAAACCATTCAACACGCCTCGTAAAGAGGCAAAAGGATCCAGATATTAGACGGGACCGTTCGATAATATTATAGCACTCTTGACAGAGTTTGCTCGTCGTCTGGCAGTCATGAGAGCATCCAACTTCTGATAGTACAGGGGTTTTAGGGTCCGAAAGGCCGCTAAGTGATCTCCAGCCGAACGTCGAGGCGCAAGAGTCCACTTCTCCCAGAAACATGTGCAGCTGTTACGTAGGTAGCTAGGAACACTAAGAGCCCAACTGATGACCCAACCGATAGCCAAACCGGTGACCCAGAACAAGACTAACAAGAAAAATGCGGCCAGGATCCAAAGTATTGGACTAATAGCGAAGCAGATAAAGCAGCCTAATAGTGCGAGGCCGGGGTGAGCATAGGTGTCGAAAAGACGCTCTTGAAGGGAAAAAAGGCCAATTCAGGTGTGGAGAATGAGCAAAGCGGACCCCCGACCCACAAGTTCGCTGCAGTCCATTCGAATATACAAGCGAAATGGAGACAAGAGTTCAAAGCAGCTGTCGTGGGCTCACGGTTCGAGGTTGGCTGTAGTGATTCTCTTACGTGGCTCAGCCTCCTCTGCCACTGTTCTCGAAGCCTCGTAATTCCAGGCTCTGAACGACTCAGCCGCCGCCACAAACCCGAAACAAAACGGAAGCTGGGCGGCACTGGAGCCTCGTCCTGCACCTCGACTTGATGGGTATTTCTCCAGGTCCCCTTCCTTTCGTCTTGTGGCCCCCGTCAATCCAAAATGGTTGCCCCAGTCTTCGGATTCTCTGTCGGTGACTTCATTGCTGGAGGCCAAATCCTTATCGAAACCGTAAAAGCTTTCAAAGAAGCGGGTGGCGCTTCATCAAAATACGCGTCCGAGCTATCGTTCCTCAATAGCCTCAAGTCAACCTTTGATCACCTGGAAAGATTCGCGAGCAGCACAAGCTCTCCCCAAAGTAACGACCTGCTGCAGGACATCTCGAAACTACTTCAAGACATCCGCGAGCCTTGGCAGGAGTTCAGAACATTCTTGGATAAGTACGAACCGTCTTTGGGGGCATCGTCGAGCAGGTCGAAAGTTGCGAAGGCTCGGAGAACAATTCAGTATACATTGAAAGATATCTCGGGAAAGGTGGAAAAACTGCGTCGGCAGACGGAAAACCCCCTGCAAGCGATCAATTCTCTTCTCTCACTACACGTCATGTAAGTTTTCCGATGATGCTGTTCCTGCTCTTGCTTTTAGCTTCTTGCGAGGCCCCAACCCAACGCTTGAGTCTTCCTTGGAAGTTTCGATGCTAGCAAGACAATTTTTAGAACCTTGTGATTCTGAATGGAGTCTGTGGTTGAGCGTGCAAAGACCAACAGACCATCTTTACTGACCGAATATTCAGACAATCTCTCGAAGTGCTTCCAGGGCAACTCCTACAACCCGCACAGTGTGCACAGTTGGTGGAAGCTATCACACTTGGCATTACAACCGAGCTGGACAAACAGATCCGTGAGCTGAAACTCGCCGCCGATGAACATAATGTCAAACAAGACGAGCAGCTGCAAATTGTCACGACACTGCGCACTCAACTAGAGGAAAGTATCACAGGTGTACAATCGGTGCTCGACAAAGTCAAAGGCCCAGATTCTGCTGCCAGCGAACGCCATATTGAGCAACTAGATGCTTCGAGGACTGACCACACACGCGTGGATAAGCTTTCCGAAGTGTTGGAAAGCAGAGCAGATGAACTGGAGTCGGCGATGAAAGACCAGAAGCAACTCATGCTTGCACTAAAATCATTTTTGGAAGACAAAACCTCTAGGGCCGAATTTGGACTGAATTCCAGCCAGGAAAGTGTGCAGGAGAGCGAGAATCAAAATCCATGGCCCTCCTCGACGTTGTCCGCGGGGTACTTCGCTGCACTGTTGCTTTCGAGTGTGTTGTCGAGTGTCGCTGTGACTTCGATAGTGACTCGTAAACATCATAACCCCAAGGGAGCAGGAGGACCGGCATTTGTTCCAGCGGATCATAGTCTGCCTGGTCTTGGGAAGCTGGATAGGATCCAGGTACAGCCGTCGCTCATTCAGGGCTTTGATGATATGGGTTTGCCGCCGTCAGCAGTGCAACCCATGGCCTCCACACAAATCAAGCCAGCGTGGTCCACGACAGAGACCGTTATCTCGACTGCAGCAAAATCGAAATACACCACCTCGATGACGGGATCTTCGTGGGCCCAGGACTTCGCGGGAACGCAGAATGCAGTGCGGCCGCCAGGAGGACAGAAGTCTAGAATCGAGGATTATGAACCGAGTGGATACTACTCGGCGAGTTATGCACGGAGTGAAGGGTTGTCAAAGCTGAACAACCCAAAGTATGGCGTGGGTTATAATAAACCTCAGAGTTATGGCGTGGGTTATGATGATGAACCTCAGAGTTATGGCGCGGGTTATAGTGAACCTCAGAAGAGTTATAGCGCGGGTTATAGTGAACCTCAGAGTTGTAGCGCGAGTTATTATGAACCTCAGAGTTGTAGCGCGAGTTATTATGAACCTCAGAGTTGTAGCGCGAGTTATTATGAACCTCAGAAGAGTTATAGTGCGGGTTATAGTGAACCTCAGAGTTGTAGCGCGAATTATTATGAACCTCAGAAGAGTTATAGCGCGGGTTATTATGAACCTCAGAGTTATGGCGGTCCTGGCACCGCGATTCCATCTGCCCCTGATGGAGGGTTTGTCTGGGATGGTTTTGATGTTGGGGGAGGAGGCTCCTCGGGCAGCCACCCAAAGAAACCATCACCTCCACCACATCTCCCTGTAACGGCTGCGGAGGATGATTGATGAGAGTTGCCATAATAGCTCCGGATTTCTGACCCTAGTCCATCATAATTACTTTTCGAAGTGGGCGGCATTCGCGTGCAGTTCAGGGGATTTTATTGAGATTAAGAAAGATGGAAGAAGGAAAGTTGAAGGGGCTTGTTGAAATTACGGGTCTATTCTCTTTAACCAGGAATATCAGCAACAGAAAGGGGAAAGAGCAGTTATATCCACCACCGCCACCCTCCCGCAACAAAAAAGAAGGAAGGCAAAGCATCGGACCTATCGTGAAATCTCTACGGAACGCTCAAAGAGGAAGTCGCCCCTTGAAAAAACCGAAATAGGAAATCGCCGAAAACTTCTCGCTAACGCCAATTATTCTTGGGAAATCAATGAAAGGAGAAAATCCCCTGCCAAACCACTCTACTACCAAGTCTGTTGAACTCGGCCGAAGACAACCCGCTACCAGATTTCTTTATTCTCAGTGTATAGCGCTCTGTCGAGAATCAAGCAGTGTACGACCTCTAGTCCGAAACGCAGTCATCCGTAAAATCATCCACCTTCTCCATCATCACAACCTCAAAGTCCTCAACCTGTCCCTTAATAGCATCCACCTCGAGCGCCCCCACATTAGCCCTCAAACTTCTATCTAGCTTCGGGAAATCCTTGCACAACTCCTCGATAGCCACCGCGCGATCCTCCATCACATTGAAATCATTAATCACCTTTTTGAAACCTCTCGTTCCCGCCAACCTCTGGATGTCACCGTGCCAAGCTTCCAGCATCTCGCCTTGAAGGTTGTTGAGGGAAGCAGCGATGTGAACGGCGAAATTGCGCTGCTGCTTGAACTCTGCTGCGTCGCGGGCTTCGGATCTGGCTTCAGCGAGTTCGGCACGGAGGGAAACGATGATCTTCTCGCGAGTTCGTGAATCTTCTTCCTGGTCGGCGTTGCGGAGGGGGGAGAGGACGCGTTGCTTCTTTACTGAAGATGGTGTTAGAAGCTGTCCGTCACTTCGGCCACGCTTTCTGGCGATTTGATTTTGGGTGGTAGGCATCTTGGAGAGTGTTTTGACAGACTTTCCCGAGATTCGCGGCATCGGGAGATCTTGAAATGTGGTTAACAGATTTATTTGGAAATCTAGGGCATGTATTGTACCTAGGCGCTTGGTGGTCGATCTTGGAATGAGGTTGTATGCTGCAATACTTCTTCAGGCCCCCCTTGTTGGAATTTCGGATCCGATCTTAGGACGAAGTTGTGATATTGAAGGACTGGCTAGGAAGGTCTCGAGTAGGTTTGGCTTCCTTAAGGTTCGCGGTGCAAGGGCTATGGAGAAAATGACAGATTTTATCAAGAAGTGGCTCGAGAGCAGTGAGGATGTTCGGGAAGCGCCGAAGCAGGTCTTTGTTGAGAAGGGTTTCGAGAGCAACAAGTATGTTCTAGAAAGATCGAAGACGGTCCTTGACACGTAGTTTCTGGCGAGAAGGTGAACGTCTCCGGTCTGTCGAGAATCTTTTGAGGAGAGAACAGTTTCTATGCCCAGATATGAAGTGTCCAAAGCAATGCAGTCGAATCGAGGGGTCCGTTGAGGGGAAAGAGATCCAGAAGCAAGTCGGAGTTTAGAGAGGATGAACAGCCACGAGATGGAGAATCGAAGTTACGAGTTCTCGGCGTGTATTCATTTCGAGAGCGAGGAGGAGATGGAAAGCAATTTGATGTCCGAAAGAATGACATATTCACCAGAATGGGTCTTGCGGAACTGCCGAGGACCTGGGTTACGGAAGTGAAGGAAAGTGTCTGAGATGTTGAAAGAGACGAGACGGAAGTATTGGAACATTGGAAAGAACCTTCTTCCTTTGTGTTGAGTTGATACTTCTAGATACTTGAAGATCATAAGTAGCATAAGTAGCAAGGGTTCCTAGCATACAATACTTCTCAGCTTGTGTCACTCAAGTTGACGGTCACTTCCACAACAATTGTACTTTCTTGGAGATAATGTCCACTCGCCGTTGTGGAAGATCTTTGGAAGAGTAAATATTCTGCATTATTGCTTTTTCCGTCAGCTCGGAGAAACATCAAGCCACATCAACATTGCGGAGAACCCTGAAGCGAAATCCCCTCCTCGGGAACCTGCAGATCTTTCACCACCAAAGTTTCGACGTCACTTTCAACTCTGCTTTTACCAACCCCTCTTTCCCTAAAATCACAACACACCAAGATCAACAGTTTCTCACCGCCAACAAGATGTCCACCTCCGAATCAACCTCAACCCAAACAGCGCAATCAACCCACCAACAGCCTGCAATCGGCTCACCAGCCTGGATCCGCATCCCCGCCTCTGATGTCCCGCGAGCCCAGAAGTTCTATCAAGAGGTCTTTGGCTGGAAGTTTCACGATCACTCGAAGGAAGGATATGCCGTTAACAAGCTTGCTGTTTTTACGATTCCTGGTGCGCCGACTTTGATGGTAAGCTAGATTCCTCATATTCACTTTCTTGATGGCGAGTTTCATTGGGAGATGATGTTGATGAGAAGAGGTTTAGGGCGGAATTGGCAAGTCTGATGATGCTGAAAGGAAGGATGGAGGAATGGTGCTTTATATGAAAGTTGAGAGTGTTGAGGAGACGTTGGACAAGGCTAAAAGCGCTGATGGTGAGGTGGTTAAGGAGAAGTGGGTTGAGGGAGGCCATACTGAGATGGGGGAGTTTAGGGATACGGAGGGGAACTTGGTGGGTGTGCTGAAGTGGTTGATTTGATGGTAGGGCCTATGAAGGGAGGGTCGTCATCCAAAACTATCTGGTACAAATATGATGGGAGATAACTGGCATTAAAAGCAATAGCTGATTTGTTTTGGCGATAAAGACAACACCTCCAAAGGGGCAAGAGAAAAGTTGTGACCCATATCACGTGACTTATGAAAACACTTCCTGTCGGATATGTTAGCTTGCCCTGAATTCCTCCATGCAAACAGTGTGCTCCGGTTGTGGGCTATGAGGATGATGTAGGACACAGTTAACCACTATGCTTGTTGCCGAGTTCCTAGGACTCGTAGATGTCCTCTTGCTCCGAGAGAGTCTAAGAGTGTCAGTAGACCAGTCCGAGATCGTCTGGTTGTTATACAAGTCAATAAGAGGTCATCCGGTGTAGAGATCCGACGAACTACTGTCAATAAATTAGGCAGATTCTGACCCTTTCACAATAGAGGCAAGTACATGGAAGGACTGTCGGAACGTCACCCGCTGTCACAAAATCAGATATACCGAGATGTGATGTGAATGATGCCGGGGTAGATTTCGTCCGGACCCATACCTTTCTCAGTGTTCTTGCTTGTTGTCACTTTCTCTGTCCTTGTGACCGCTCAGTCAATACCAGTGACCACCAGTATATATCTCATAAAGCCAAGCATTTGCAACAGGACAGTTCAGCACATAGTATGAGCAGAACCTGCCACAGAACTGCAAATAAGTTGCTGTCCCTGGCACTAGCATTGCTATTACCTGGCACGATGTGAGCAAAAAGTTGGCTTCCAGTATTCACTCTCGGCTTTCAAGCACAATCTCATTGTACCAATCTTTTGGAACATTGAACTTTCGCAGATTCACCCCGCTCTTCCAGGATAGTCTCAATGTCCAGAACTCTTGGGGCATCGATGCAATGTGGATCAAATTCTATGAACAGTACTTGATTTTATGCGTCTAACGTATATGCTCCTGTCAAGCGAGGTACCAGAGAAAAGCCCCGCATGTTTATGAAAGATGAGAATAAACATGTACTGCAAAGTATGCATCATAACTTTCAGGACTTTGTTTGAATTCCAAAACGATTGGGTAGATAGGAATGGATACATGGAATATGTGTTGCCATTTTGTTCAGTTGGAATTTTTGATTACATGAAGCGGTGGGAGGGGGTGAGGGTGGCCAATCAATGTCATCTATGCTGACATCTCTCGAGCTTTATCAGGACTTTCATATCACTTAATTTTCGTCTGTTAATTCTCGAATGAACTCAGTTAGAACACTCATGTGAAAAACGGGACTCGGGCATGAACCTCTTTTCGAGACCGATGACCTGGCTGTGGAACTTGCGGGCCTTTCGAGCATGATCTTCATCCCAAAACATCTCAAAATCCAACCCAAATGTCAAACCTACTCAAACAACGATCACCAGGCCTGGAAAGAGCCCAAATCCTAGAGGCAAAGTGGAGAAGCGTCAATCTGACGGCGCGATCAACGGCGCCCTCACCAAAAAAAAAATAAAGTCCGTAACTAGCTCAGGCACACATTCGATTGGTGTTCGACGGCGTGAAACTGGGCGGTTCTGCTAAATATATATGGAGCGGCCGTTTCACGAGGGATCTGTCAAGCTTCAGATGATCGCATCCGCGGGTACGGGTGTATCCATGGCCTGTTACACTGGGAGAATCAGCGCTTGATGAAATCGCCACTCGTCCACAGGCGTCTCGTGTTTCCGCGCTGCTCTTTTTGCCGCGTAAGACGAGCAGAAGGGTTGGCTGGGAGGCCGCCGATGGGAGAGGCCCGTTTAGCCAAAGACAGGAGAGAAAATGTCTCGTTCCTGGGGGGCTCGTGGCGCAGAATGCGAACGAAGACAGAAGCTGTAAAATCCATTGGTGAGGGAATGCTGAGGAGGGTGGGAGGCGTCTGGAGGACTGGAGGACTGGAGATTCTTCTCCGCCAAATCTGTTGCTCGCCGAGTCGCTGGGTATCCGAGGGGCTGCCACGCTGATGCTGCATGCTGCCAAGCATGGACGAGGATATCGCCGTGGCAAGGGGCCATTATCCGTCGATTGGTGGCTTGCCTCATTCGTGCCTTTTTTGGCGGCTGCCCTGAGTGAACCTTCGCAGCCAAGGGTTCCAGGGACACTTGGAGCACGGCGCAACCGCATACATATCGGTAACTTCCCCGTTCTCCGCGACTCGAGAAAAGCAGAACGAACGCAGGCGCAACGGACTGCTCAGACTGCACCTCGGGCTGCACCTCCCACGCCACCTTCTGTTGTTGCATTCTGCACGATTTTGCCTATCTTGCGCCCTCAACCGACTCTTCCCTCGCCCGTCCCGTCAACGACCTCCGCTCGCTGCCCTCCATCGCCATCGCCGGGACCAATTCCCTTGCTCGGTCTGCCAGGGATCATAGTAGTATCCCTCTCCACGGCCTTAATTGCCAATAGCATTGGGCGACGCGTTTCTGATCCGCTGCGCTGCTCTTACCTTTTACTCCAGACACGAACCCCCCCCACTGTCGCTTCTGCCACTCGTTCGGTGTGTCAATATCTCGAAACCCGGCTTGGTCTGTCCTCAGGATAAATTCACAAATTGGGCGGGTTGAAGTTCTTTGGAACGGAGCCGAGAATAACAACAACAAAGCCCCGCCCGCCCCCTCGAAAGACCTCCGATCTTCTCGAATCCCCTCTCTCCACATCAAGAACACATCACGGACGGACACACGACCAATTCACATCCCGAAATCAAGCACTCGCAAAGATGAATATCAACAAGAAGCTCGACAGGGTCAAGCAGTGGGCCGGCGAGAAGATGGGCGCGGAGTCCAAGACCAACGTTTCCGAGGAGTTCAAGGCTTTGGAGATGGAGATGCAACTCAGATATGAGGGCATGTTTGCACTGCATATTCCCAGAAGGACAGTCGCTAACCGTCGCAGGTATGGAAAAGCTCCAAAAGTCCATGACCATCTACGTCAAGTCTCTCTCGAAGCGCAACGAAGTCGAGGACAAGGAGAAGATACTGCCAGTAGGATATCTGGGTCAGACTATGATACACCATGGCGAGGACTTCGAGCCTGATTCGGAATTTGGAAACTGCCTCATAAGTGCGTATATCGGCAAACGTGGGGGATTGGGACGCTGACTCCTCGGCAGGTATGGGCAGAACAAACGACAGAATCGCAAGAATCCAAGAAAGCTACGTTGCAAATGCTACTACAGGATGGCTCGAGTCTTTAGAACGATCATTGGCCATGATGAAGGAATATCAGGTAGGTGGTTTCGCATTAGGTTTCTGCAACCACTAATCCTTGCAGGCTGCCCGAAAGAAGCTCGAAAACCGCCGACTTGCCTACGATGCATCTCTTTCCAAGATGCAAAAAGCCAAAAGGGAGGATTTCAGAGTCGAGGAGGAACTTCGTTCGCAGAAAGCCAAATATGAGGAATCCAGCGAGGACGTCCTCCGACGGATGCAGGATATCAAGGAGGCGGAGGCAGATAGTGTTGCAGACCTAGGAGCCTTCGTTGATGCCGAGTTGGAGTACTATGACAGATGCCGCGATGAGCTACTCCGTCTGAAGAGAGATTGGCCTGCTGGGTAAGTTTGGTATCTTGATGATTCAGCCATTCCTGACGATCAATAGTCAGACCTCTCCATCGCGTGAGCAACGACGACAGAACCCTCGATCTCGTTCAAACACAGCACACTCTTATAACGAGAGATATACCAGCTATGAGGAGACCCCAATGCCAGAACCAGAGCTCCCTATCCGACCGTCCATCCGGTCGCAAGGCAGAGTCGCCTCCTCTTCACGGCTCGATACTCGTCTCGATACCCATGACGAATATCCCCAGGTCGAATCCCCGCAAAGACCAAACTTTGGCAGATCCACCACATTCCAAGGCCCAACTGCTATTTACCGTGCATCAACGCCTGTCAATGGTCGCAAAGCTTCCGTCCCTCCAGACCCTGGCGCACTCAGAGCACAACTTCGCCCTGCCAGCCGAATTAATACAAATGGTCCTGATGTATTTGGTGATCCATCTGACGATTCGACGATGAATAGCGGCAGCCCGGAAGATCGAAGTTACAGAGAGCGGTCCGTGAGCCCCGCCACATCTCAGGGGAGCGTAGCCAGCCGGACACAGACCCATTCAACCTTGAACGGCGCCACCAACGCCAGAAAAGGACCCCCTCCACCGCCCCCAAGCAGGGCCAAAAAGCCTGCGCCCCCACCACCGCCCATGAAAAGGGCAGAGATCAGCTCAACGAGCGTAAACCGATATTAAGCCGGCCGTTCAAAGCCATCTCCTTCAGTCACGCATCAGTCGTTTTTCTTCCTCCGTTTCTGTACAGTGGATCGCGCTCCCATTATCGACGCATTTAGATACAAAAAAGCTCAGCGCGACACGCAACGTTATTTCCAACTTTCATTACCATGCCAGGAGGCTGGCACTTGGCGAATCCGCTCTTTTAATGGAAAAATTACGAATACAACATTTTTGTGGTAGCTCTTGTTGGCGGGTTGGGTCTGGAAGGGTGGATGGATGGATAGCTATACCCGCACTGGCCTCTGCCGGTTTTCTAGATAAGACAGGCTTCTTTACGATTGTCGATGGATGTAGGATATTAAATTGGTATGCGATGGCATTCTTTGGCGCTTGGGAGACATGATTCGTGGCAGCAGTTTGGCTGGGCGTCGCCAGCGCTGTTGCAACGTTTAGTTGCTTTAGCAAAAGCAGAAAAATAGCGATGTTACATTCCAGATTTTCAAACTGTGCCTGCTGTTGTGAGTATTTTGTGCGTGATCTGGATTGTATTCTCTGCCAAGTGGCAAAATTTCCCCCTCGCCAGTTCTATCTCTATTCCAACACCACGTGGTTCTCTCCCAGCTTATCGTAGTTGACTGCAAGATATGGAATTCAAGAAACGAGCTCTAGTACGGGACTTCAGTGTTCCAAGTCATTCGGGACATTGGGAAGGGACGAAACTCAGCTGTTCAAGTATTCATGGTCCCTTTGGGCGAAACAGCGATCGAATGTTCTAAGATCTCCGGGGACGTGTGGAAAGGACAGGGCTTGGATGGTCCAAGAAGTCTTGGGATTTTTGAGGAACGCAGAACTTTAATATTCCAACGACTTACGGACCAATTCGAACGAACGAGATATGACTATTCCAAGAAACTCGCTAGACAATCAAATGCAGACACAGATCTCGAACACATCTAATTCTCGTCGCCATTCCACTTGGCCATCATCCAACAACCTTCCCCTCAGCATTCACAATCGGAAGTAGCCTCGGACCCCTCTCAACCCTCGTCTTGATAACCCGCCTCCAACCTCCTAATCAGCTCCTCTGGATCAAAGTTCCTCCCTATCGGATTCTCTGCAAAGAACGGACTCTTGAGAAACTCATTCGCCTCCTCAATCGTATTGAAATTGTCAACCTGGGTCTCGATATCATTTCCATCCGGATCGTGATAGTAGATACTCGTCGTCGGACCATGGTTAACGCACCAATATGGCTCTAAGCCATGGGCGAGACGTTGACGGTATGCAAGGGCAAGGTCCGTGAGCGAGTTGAATATGAATGCGAAGTGGAAGAGGCCAGCTGCGTTTGGATCTTTGGGAACACTGCCAGGCAGGCCGGCGATGGCGATGCGGTGGTGCTTTTCGTCCTAGGCCAGGAAGCAGAGCATGTCGTTTTCGTATTGGATTGTGGCTGAGAAGAAGGTTTGGTAATAGGCCTCCATTATCTGCATCTTGGAGGGCTCGGTCTTGAGGAATACGTGGGCGAGACTGATGGGCTTGATGACTGTCTTGCCTGGGTTGGCGAAGGTGGGTGTTGCCATTGTTACGTTGTGTTTCATGACCTAGAGATGTAGATTTTGGGTTTGAAGATTTTGATTTCTTGGAAAATGAAGAGCGGGGAGAAGAGGTTCTTATAATACTTGGGTTCGAAGTGCAACTCGTGTTCGCTGACTGGATCAGCTTGGGCAAGCACTGCGACGTGAGCCACCGGAAGTGTTGACTAAACAATGTCACTTCGTATCCTTCTCCATCAAGCATTCTCGTTGCGTTTTGTCATTTCGATACCGTAATGTGCATTCCAGCCGAAGGTCAGAATAGACTGTACCACGAATGTATCCTGACTGCCCAATATGCTGGATCTCCCTTTATCCCGCCAATCAGCGCTTCCCGTCGTCTTCTCCTAAAGCATAGCCATCGAAGATGGTGCCTTGGGACACCTTTGTCATCCAAATATCAACTTGTCAGCAACACTATCCTTCAGAACATGAATTCATGCCTGTTCAACACCATTTAGGTATTAAGGGGGAGAAAGACAAGCCCAATCGGCGCGAAGGATGAAGGAGGCGCGAGAATATATACCTTATCATAAGGCTGCAACCATCTCCAGAGCGCCTTGTAACTAATTGGCAACTTCGCCGTCCGCCCATCCGAAACGGGCTTTGCCAATTCGCTCGGGTCAATGACCTGTTTCGCCTGGAAATTCCCCCGATACTTCGTTGGCACATCGCTCGTCATCAATATCGGGCCGAGGTGGAAGAACGCAGTCACTTTCTGACATGCATTCTGGATAGTCCATGAAGGTAATTTAAGTGACGCGATGGGGAGAATAGGCGTGTATGCATGGATTGGAGTGAAGGGGTCAACGAGCGTAGCTGCTAGTCGGAAGTTCTTATTTGCTTCGTCGAAGGGAGCAGAGGAATCCATCCACATCGGAACCAGCGGCTGTCCGAAACCGACCGGAGAGGTTTCGGAGACGAGTTGGCGTAGGTCTGTGTTATTCGGGAAGAGCTGGTCAGTGAAATAGGTGCGGATCTTGGGGAAGTCAGTAAATGAAGATATTAGCTGGTCCAGTTGTTTGTTCTTGTTTTCCCCCGGCACGACGGCGGGCGGCTTCTCGAAGGGCTCCCGGCTGGGCCACCGATTCGGACCTCAGTGTAGACAGTACCATCGGGGAGGAAGAATTGCAGGCCATAATTCGCGTAATTGATGATAACCCAACCCCAGATCGGTTGTTCCCACACAATTGTTAGCAAAAGGGTGGTCCTTTTCAGGCTTGAAATAGAGAAGAGGAGCTATACCCAATCATTAACAGGCCCGAATGCTGTGGAACTCGCTGGATCTGGTCAAACACAAGAAGTATTCAGCTTCATGTCCTGATTGATACTGGGATTCAGTTGGAAGAACCACGAAAGTGCCTCCTGTCCCGTTGTCGTAAGAGGGATTGACGGCTGCTTAGGATCAGCAACTGCGGAGGGTCGAGTAATTGGATCCGGGTCACGATAGATAAAATTTGGCAAAAGTGTAGGAGCAGTTTTGGGATTCTCAAGAGCCCGCGATATATTGCATTTGGTTGATGTTGTCATGTAGGGCTGAAGCTTCCTCGTCCTTCAGACCGTAGATGTCTCTGACCTCCTTAGTAATTGGGAGTGCCGCAATCATGCTCTCGAGGGAGAAGATTTGTTGCGGAAAAACAGGAGTGCGGCCGGAAATAATTCGCTGGTCCTTCTGGTTATTTGAGTTCGCGTTGAGGTCGTCATCGATTTTGTACCTCACCACTTCATGGGCTGGAACTCCTGAGTTGAATGTCTCTAATTTCCATTTCTCTCTCTCCAAATGGATGTACAGAACTTCCCACTCCATGTAGAGCCTATCTATTATTAGTTCCGATGTACTAGACGCAGGAAGGGGGTAACTGACGGGAACCAAGGTTGGGTATCATTCCACGGCTACCGTCCAGGGGCAGATCGACGCTACTGTTGGACTCTTGAACTTTGCTGGTGTTGACTTGTGGAGATCTACATGATCCAGGTTATGGTGCTGAAGAACAGCGTTTTCAGTCTCAGTCCTGTATAATCCGTCACAGGACATATCCGGGATGTGTGTTTTGGATCACCTGCCAGATTCGTTGTGAGGCAAATGCATCCATATCTATGGGAACTAAAATGTTTCAAGCCGTGGATCCAGGACCAAACTAAACGGTTTCCAAGTTTCCAATTGTTACAATCACGTTATTAGCTTGGCTCAACTTTTCAGGAATCTGGGAGGTTTGCACTAGAAAGGGGCACGGATGAAATTGAGATGCTCTCAGTTTTCTTCTTCTTCTCAACTGAGCTCTATTGGTAGCAGGGAAGTGCTCCGGGAAGGTTAATGACGAGAAGTTGAAAAAAGGTTGACAAGCACTGCAGCACCCACAAAACATGACACGCAAAAGCATGAAGCTTGAAAATTACGGCGAACACAGGTTCAATCGCAAATTGTTTCGGGAGCTACAATTGTAGAGAGAGCCTCGCTGGAGTGCTCCGTCAGAGGTCTCCGAAGGTCTGACCATGCTCGATTGAGCTAGGTCTAGGGCAGCAATGGATGAGCTGCAGGTTCAGCTTCGCCATAGCACGCACCACGAAAGGTCGCAACCGACTGACGATGGCTGGCGCCATTGGCCATCCTGTACTGTGTTACATTTGAGAAGGAGTGGCGTCGGTGAGATGTGAGATGTGAGGTTTGCTGTTCTGCATAAAGAAACAGGTGACTGTGGAGTGACTGCGAAGGCAGGGAGGACTTTCCATCAATTCGCTGGCCAGGTAAGCCTTGCAGACCAATGGCGTACTAGTCAATGGATTCCGGAATACGGGGATTTGGACGAATATTTACAGTAAAGGTGAAGTTCTGAGACCGACGGAAATGTATTGGAAACGGCTGGTAGTCACGTGTAGATGCAGATTAGGGTGCCTAATTGGGCCTAGCTTTTTCATTCTCGACTATCCTCCTCCAGAAAGCTCTGCTTCTGCTCCTCAATTAACCAATATCATAACCTGTGTCGCTGCGGTCCACGACTGACAGGTGACGACCCGGCGAAGGACTTTGGCTTGAATCACAAGGGCTTGATACAGTGGATACGATCCTGAATTGGTGGACTGTTGGAAGTTGGAAGTTTCGAGGAGGGCATCAAAAAGCCAGATCGACTCATAAGACGGTAAATTCCCATCATACCACCCGTGACTCTTCCGGAGTCTCAGCCATCTCGTATCGCCCATGATGCCTTTCCATTCGGATTCACGCTCTCCTCCCGGTCTTTTTCACCGCCGGATCTCTGCAGCATGAGTCCTGCTGCTCCCCACGGCACGTTCCAAACAGCCGCTTCAGCCTTATGCCAAGACGTGGTCACCAGATAGATTTGGGCCAACCAGAAATACCCGATCGTTGGAGGAAGCCATGGCTTGTGTGAAGGTCTCAGCCTGGCGTCGTGCGTGATGTTGGGAGAGAACCACAAACTTTCAGAGGGCCGAGATGCATTGTGGGTGGTCAGCTCAATAAGGCTGGGAATGCCCTCATGCACCCTGCCCAGAAAAAATAAGTCAGAAATGGCTTTAGGGCTGAGAGCCAATGTCTCACCGAGTAGGAGCTGAAGGATTTCGCAAGACCGAATCCTGAGTTTGGCAAATACTCACCAATTGTCTATGTCATTTGTCGAGCCAAAGCTGTGCACCCCAGACTTTGCTATCCATGGTGCTGCTGGAGACGCAATGTCTTAGGAGCAGCTCAGAAGATCAGGAGATCCAAGGTCAGGATAGCCCGTCCGCAAATTACATAAATGACCGGGTGCTCCTAGGATATTGATCCCCACCGCTAGGCATCATCCTGATTCCTGAACAATGAAGAGCGACTCCAACTCCAACCCCCAAGACTGCGGTTGCGGCTGCGGCGGAGAAAAGAAAGCCACCTTTCGTTGTTTCAACAGGACGCACAAGAATGAGAAACAGCTTCGCGAGGCCGCCCCGCACCTCTTTAGTGAGGACGGAGAGCACGGCATCCCTATGAACATCCTCCGTATTCTCCACCGCCTCGATCACCACTCTTCGCTGCTCACCGACCACCCAGCAGTGGCGAGCTTCCTCAGGACGAACAAGCTCTCGGTTCCCAGGTTCACAGCTACCAGAAATGGCGCACCTCTCTTCTCAGGCACCATTTTCTTTGCTCAAGTCAGCTTCACCGTTGCGTCAACACTTCCCGCCTTGAAGGTGGGAGACGACGACATGAAGATGATGGTCAGATATGCAACGCTGGCTCAGACCCCAATCTCGTCTTACTGCGCCCAATACGGGCCCAACCAGTGGTCCGTGTCGCCGCAAATCCTCACCTACTCGGTCAATATCTCGAGTGCAAGCATCGGCAACAGCCAGCTGGCCGGTTAGGTGAACAACCTCAAGCAGATCAACAGTCTGCCAGAAGATTCAGCCATCTTCATCCCCGTCCCGAATGGCATCTCTGGAAAAGATATTGGCGAGAATTCGGGATACCATGACATGGCCGATATTCCCTGGATTGTGGCAGGAACTTGGTCCAATACTAGTCCGCCGCAGCCCTTTCAGCTCAGTGACGCCGAGGATTGCTACGCCATGGTAGTCAGTCACGAGATTGCCGAACTGATTGTTGACCCGAAAGTTGACCATGCAAATCCGGAGGTGTGCGACCCTTGCGACTTGAACTGCCACAACCTCTTCCGCCTCTACTTCGATGCTGCGAACAACTACCTGGGCTCCAACAACAATTCTCCCCCGGGCGGTTTTACCTACGCCTACTACATCTGCGCCATCGTTAAACCTGATGGTGCCGGCAATTGTCCTGCATCAGGTGCCGACTGCCAGTACCAGCCATGGGCGCGATCTCTCCAGTTTAGCATGGGCAAGTCGTCGTTCTCGAAAGACGACATCACGAACGCAACCTCATACCCAACTGCATTCTGGATCCAGGTTCAGGGTTTTACGAACGAGAGCCTCAACCTCACCAAGGCCAGCGACCTGCAAAAGGCGCCTAATCCGCCTATCACCATGACCCCAAGCTTCGACGAGTCGCTGAATGCTCCCAACAACCTGACGGCAGCCCAGATCAATACCATCAATGGCAACCTGCCCTCGGTCGTCTTCGGGCCGGCGCCGATTCTGCCCACCGACGCCTCATTCCAGAGCGACCCTCAAGTCTTCCTCGTTCCCTACACCATCAACTTTGGTTCTGCGAACGCGGTTAATGCACTGAATCCCGACCAATCTGCGTTTATCACTATCGACGCTTCCCTGACTGTTGGCACTGTCACGATTTCTGCCAGGGCCAACATCGTCATTTCTGCAGGAGAAAACCCGCGATTCGAGAACCTCAACCCGAACAATCCGACTTCGTTCCCTTCCTGGCTCAGCTTCGACCTTCGTTTCATCAAGGTTACAGTTCCTTCTACCGCCAACCGCTTCGGGGCCGCTATGTCGAGCAATCCCACTGATGCGCCCGGGTTCATCGCCTCCGTCATCCAGAACCTGACCGCCGGCGGTGGGACGGTCGGCGTCGAGTCCTTCGACAACCTGACACAGGACGAAGAGAAGTCCGCGCTCGAGTTCCTCCCCAAGGACAAGAATGGCAACGCTGTCTTCAACTTCGCAATTGCTCGGGTCAGGCTACTCGGGAACATAGCCGGTGCTGTGGCTAAATCCGTCCGGGTCTTCTTCCGACTGATGAACGCGCAGACCACAGCATCCAACTTCAACACCGCCACGGCATACCGCTTCTACAGCGACGGCGCGCTGAACGGCACCAAGCTGCCCCTTCTCGGCGTGCAGGACGGCGAGTACGTCACGGTGCCATGCTTCGCTACCCCGCGGATCAACTTCAACGCGAACACCAACGCCTACGTGCCCGTCAACATGAGCTCGCAGACCGACCCGCCCAACGTCCACGACATCAATGTCAATCCGGGAACCGAGGTGGACACCTTCTTCGGCTGCTGGCTCGACCTGAACCAGCCGGCGCAGAAGTGGTTGCCGGCTTCCGTGCCGGCTGCCAACATCGACGGCCCGTTTGGCGGCTCGCTGCTGTCGCTGAGCGAGGCCTTCGTGAAGGCGCCACACCAGTGCCTCATTGCCGAGATCCGCTGCGACGACACGCCCATCCCACCCTGGGCCGACACGTCGAACTCGGACAAGCTCGCGCAGCGGAACATTGCCTGGATCGACGGCCCCAATCCCGGAGAGTTCGACTCGCGTCGTATGCCGCATCCCTTTGACGTCCTCGCGTCACCGATAAACGCGGTCCAGCCGGACGTCCTCGTCATCTCCTGGGGCAATACACCACGGGGCAGCGTGGGCGATTTGTACCTTCCCGGGATCTCGGCCAGCGACATTGTTGCCCTCGCCGCGGCGCTATACGATCCGTTCGCGGCGCTGTCGGTCGTCGATGAGCACACGCTGGGGTGTCCCGCCGAGCCCGGCTCTGTGACCTTGGTTCCTCTTCCGCCGGGCTCGGTACGCTTCGCCGGGCTCCTAACGGTCGACCTGCCGGCCGGGATCAAGGCGGGCCAGCACTACAACATTTCGATTCAGCAAACGACTATGAAGAAGGCGATGACGGTGCCGCCACCAGATCCCCCTAAACTTGCCCTGTCCCTAAGTTCATCAGAAGAATCGATCACTTACTACTGGAGGCAGGCGACGGGCGCGTTCCAAATCTCTATAGTCGTCAGCCACAAGGAGGCGCTCCTCTTCCCGGAGCAGAGGCTCCTGTCCTGGCTGCGGTGGAAGCTGACGGTTGTCCCCGCCACGAGCCGTTGGTACCCTGTCCTTCAGCGCTACGAGCAGCAGGTGAGCGGACGGGTCAGCGGCTTCGGCGGCGACCCAGGCCAGGTTAAGGGAAGTCCCGATGGCGACCCGACCGGCTGTGGCTCTGGCGGCCACGGCCACCACGGGTGCCATTGTCACGACCACTGTGGCAAGGGCCGCGGGGATCATTGCAAGTGCAGGACATTCATGGGTAAGGTATGCCGGCTGGCGTTTGACGCGCACGGCGATCTGGTGGGCTTCGGCCTCCGGCTGTCCCCGCGGCGGTCTAAGCACCAGTGGTGGTGCTTGAAGGAATCCGAGCACACCGCTGCTGACGACGTCGAGGTCGAGGTCAAGGACGATGACGAGAAGTGCAAGGAAATGCACTTTTGCGTTAGGCCCGGGTGCCGGGTTAAGGAGCTGTTAGAAGGCTGCAAGAGCTCGGGGCGCACTCTAAACGTCTGCGTGAACCGTGATGGCGAGGAATGCGTTCCAATTGCGTATGAAATTGAGTGAGTTTGAGTGAGTTTGAGTATTTAATTTACTGCTTAATATGAATTGTCAAAAAGTTGATCCTAGCGGACGTGACCGAGGTCGGAATAGCATTCACTACCACAATACAAAGACAAGAATGTGAATGTACCCGGGTTTGAAGGAAATATGGCACTAGAAACACTAACCATTTACTCGATTATAGAAGATTATATATAACAAAATTCTTGGAATAGTAAGAGCTAGGCGAGAACTGCACGAAATTCTTTTGTATAATAAAACTTCAGCTAGTAATCTACCTAGGGGGGGGGAGTCAGGCACAACGACCGCTTCACCTTCAGACGCTTCACCCAATGAGGTAAGTTTAGCCGCTCAAAAGGCCTTCGCACTCGACGATAAAAGCCGAGCATCTCACACAAGGGTGCGAGTAACACAAAAGGTACCCATAAATCAGACTTCCCATGGAAGGATGGACAGGTCTCGAGACGGTCCACATCTGTGAATAAATATTCGAGCTTGGGGTAGGTAGCGCGATACGTGTGGGAGGAATAATATCGGAACGATGCTGCACGACATGCTATACGACATCCTAGATGTTAGGCAGATGAGTTGACAGTAAGATAAAACCCGACAACAACTTTCCAAAGGAAATAAGATGAAAACACGCTCCCCTAGGAGCAGCTTTGGTCCGGTCACTGAAAATCTGTTGTCACGCCCCCGATCGTCTCAATCCCAAAATTGCTGAGTGGAAGAGTACTAAACCTATGATAGGAGTAGGATAACTGTGTGAGTTGAAGCGCCATCATCAATGGAGAGCACCACTTGTGAGTACAAAGGCTGATCCTTTGCCGTCATACTCTGGGGCGTACCGTCTTTGAGGAAAGCATTGCAGCTGGTTGCTCCTCTTCTGTCAGATATATCTCCCCTCACTTGGAAGAGCATAACGGCCAGGCCCAAACAGGGACGAAGTCTGCTAGTGTGAATTTTATAAGTCCGCTTTCAAGGATGTCTCATTCCCAATAACTTTCTCTGCCCAGTTGGCGACAACCGCCCATTCTGAGTATATGAATAAATCAAAACGCTTGCTCCTCCGTCACAACTCTATGTGGATATTTTGCATCTCTCGCCAGCTTGCTGAATTTTTCTAGTTGCCTCGCGTGCAGACGTGGTGGGACCGGAAGCCACAATGGATATATATTCTTCCTGTGACGGCTGGCATAATTGCATGATCTGCCGGGAATAGAAAGGAATCAGGAAACAGGTCTGAAACAGAACTAAGCCAGAAGGTATAGGCAAAACAATACTAAAGGTCAATGCATTTCTCTCTTCTTTGCTCTCTAGCTTAGTATTTTTAATACATGAGATTCATTGAACTTTGAGCCTTTGACCATTGCATAGATCCTGCTGTCACACTTCCTATAAGAACATGCTTCCAAGAGGGGAGGAGTAAAGACCGAGGGAAGGCGAAAATTGACAACAAACCTTGAAGACACTTTGAAGGCAGGGAATATTGACAGAAGCTCTCATCCGGTTGTTAGATAGACGCTCTCAGTTCTTACACCCCAAAGATCCTCCCCTGATAGATGACTGTTGGTAAAGTTTTCAAGCCTGGAATATGTCTTTGCAGTCAAATCCCAATGTATTGACTGCGCTCGAGTATGCATCTCACACTCTCTTCCAGATGTCGCGGGAGAGTTTTTCGTTGGATTGTCACCCACATTTCCGTGCTATATATAAGCCCAAAGCTTTGCAAACGACTTGGCAAGTGATAAATATGACAAGAATAGAAGAACAAACGCATAAGGGAAGTTGACAGGGTTCCATCGAGGGAAGATAGCGAGATCTGCCAGGAGATGTCATTGAGACAAACTAGGAAAGGCAATAAATGGATATAAATATCCGACCACTATTAAACGAAAGAAATAACTACATCACGAGAGCCACCTACAAAGAATACATGGCCAAACGAGACATCGGCCATAACCCACTGAGTGATATGGGGCTCTGGAAAGCCTATGAGCTCTACCCGATTTTTGCTACTGTACTTGGAGGTAAGAGAGCCACATTCTCGGCACTGGGGAGGAAGTTCCTACATAAAGACGGCGAAATTGGCCGTGTGGTGGAACTTGACAACAAAGAGGATGGAATGGGATGAAATGCATTTATTGACAACAATTCTATTCAGTCTCTGGATACCCTCTGAATCTGCGTTACCAAAGCCCTCCCAGAAGCCATCCAAAGCACAAAAGAGAAATTTGGTGCAGGTCATATAGCGTTCAGGTTGTCTGGGTTTTCCATTAAAGCGCGGGTGGCTGACAGGGTATCTTCTAGTTGGTGTTGTAGTTCCTGGAGACTTCCGTTCCTTCCTCTCTGGTGGCGTCACCACCCGTCACCCAACATTCGGTTTCGATCAGAGGCTGGAGCTCCTTTGACTTGAGTTTGAACAGAAAAATCGCTAAGGCCCCCCATCTGCATTGTGTCGTGTCCTACCAACACCACTTATGACCGCCCTTAGAAATCTGATTCACCCCGAGCTCAGTATGAAAGAGGGCCACTTGGCCTATTATACAGAAGAGGCAAGATGCAAGATAGGTGATGCAGCAAAGTGATCTTGTAAAGTGTAAGATTACATTAATATACTTATTAACACTAATTAACTACAGCAAGCAAGCTCGCACGCTATGCTAACAACACGAGAAACGCCGCAATGAATGGGTATGTGGGTATCCAACGTAAGAAAGTGCCCCTTTTTCCTTCCTTCTCATTTTCAGGTACTCTTACATTACAGTTTCAACAAAGGAGATTGTTTTCATGTACAAGGTACTGGGTGGGTTATTGAGAAGCGCGAGAGGCTGCTCGGTCTTCGTCTTGGTTTTGATTCTGTTCTTTGTTTTGGTCTTCGGGGAGAGAGGAGGGGTAGGAGATTTCTGGGTCGGGAACTTGGATGTCGAGCTGAAGAAGGTTTATGTCAGTGATTGAAAATGGAATGAGGGTAGGAAGAAAGGGAGGAGAAAGACAAACATTCATATATCCCGTCCTCCTTAACGGCACAATCTTCGGTGCACTGCCAGGACCCTCCTTACTCCTGCTCTCCATCTCCCTATTCCAGTCCTCCAAATATTGCTCCACTTTCCTCAACCGTCCTTTCACAGCGGTAAACCCCAAATCATCCCAGATATACCCTGTCACTAGCCCCAGAAATGCATCAATGACGTTCCTTACGCCCCAAGGGTTGAAGGCTGGTATTAACTCGTTATTGACTTTTTCCACCAGCGTCCGGAAATCAGCTTCCGAGACACCGGCGGGGTCGAGGATCTCGGGGTAGAGGTTCGAGAAGGTAGGCGCCAGGTCACCTTCAATCATCCAGTCGCGGCGGATGCGGATTATGCGTGTTGTTTGGTAGAGAGGCGAGGAGAGGGGAACGTGAGGGTTCATGTGTGGGAAACATGGATGTTGGGGTCCCCATTCTTCCGCTGGGTTGGGAGGTGGGCCGTCGGAGCCTATAATGGAGGTGTTGTTTGATGATAATGCTGCACCGATGCCAGCGTCGAGAGATATTTGGGAGCCATTATGCGGTAATTCTGATGTTCCGCCTGGGTGGTATTGTGCATCGGGGCCTCGTTCGATATCGGTGGACATGTTTGCTTTGCCTTTTCCCTTATCAAATGTAAGACCTGATTGTGGTTGTATGATCCCAGAAGCACTTTGTCCTCTCTTTCCTGAACCTGTGACTTTCTTTGGTGACTGTTCCGCTCCTTCCTCGTCCTCGACAGCTCGCCCCTTCCCTTTATCGAGAATCGGTGTTACCGGCGAGACGGGCGAGACTTCACCACTTTTCCTCCGCGAAATATCAATGCTCACACTTCGAGGCAACGAAATGCGATTGCTTGTCTCGGCTGAACTTCCACTCCTCTCAACCTGCAGACTCGCCCTCGTAGACCCAGAATGTCGGTTCTGCCTCTGTTCCGGAAGCGTCAACAGCGGGTACTCTCCACCAGCACCAGCGCCTTCTCTTGGACTGTTAAGATCCGGATGCTCGAGCGGGATTGCGATCACCGCTCTATCTTCAGGCGACCTAGTTCTTCGTCCCGCCGCAGATCGATTGTATTGAGGATAGACTCGTGTCGAATTGCTCGGATTCCACAACCGCGCAGCGCTCGGACGCGGCCTTCCTCGCTGTGTGCTGTTGCTGCCAGAACGATGGCGAAATGGAGAAGCGAAATCGGGGTTCCCGCCGCCGATGAGAGCGTTGCGCAGACTCCAGCGCGTAGGACTGGTTATCCGGACGTGAGGGTCTGGAGTTGAGGCGGGGACTGGTGAAGGCGTGGGATAGGGCGGTTGGAAGCTGGGCGATGGGATCCGCGGATTGGCGGTTACGGAGGACGTCGTGTGCTTGTGGGCAGAAGAAGGACCTGCTTGCGACGCCGTTTCAACGGTGCCTCCACGGCGAGAAGGCTGCTGTGTCGGAGGTCGAGGTGCCGTGGCGGGTGTCGGTGTCGTCGTCGTCGTTGTCGTCGAGATGCTGGGGCAGCAGCGGCAGCAGCGATTGCGCGAGAGTGAGGCGTGTCACGGTTCGGGGTCGTGATAGTAGTGATGCTAATGCGTGGTGATGCACTCGGCCGTCTCCTATCCTGCTGCAGGAACAGGAACCGACACCGACGTTTAGCGAGATCGAGTGTTGAAGGCGACAGCGCTGACAAATCGCCCTTGAGACTGTTCATGCTGCGCGCATCTCGTGTCTGCCACGGCCGGCCCAGATACTGCAAATGGGCACAATTCAACGACGGAGACTGTTCTCAGACACGGAGGCAGCGCTGCGAGCGTGGGTGAGTGAAGATACAGGAGCCTCCGAAGTGTCTGGGAACAGACAGACCTGGCACTGGCCCATTGTATATATATATGTCTGCTCATGGCTGCCCAGATCAGGCGCGTCTCGCATCTCATCCCATCAAAGTTCTCGCCTCCCTCATTTCCCTGCTGCCACGCGGAGAATTGACGCAGTTGACCGTCACCGACCAAGGAAACTATGGAATACTCACAGGCCGTTCTTTACCCATGATCCCACTTGCACCCAGCGACGATCGTCCCAAGCCTCAAAGGGAGCCCGGTGGATCGCCACCACGCCTCGCTCCCCCTATCGCTATGGCTGCTAATTCTGGCACATCCACAACCTCACCACTTTTCTGTCGGATGCGACAACCGCTGCATGATCACTCACCGCGCAGACCCCTTCCCCCCGTCTCGCTTTGGGTAGCTTGCTTCCCGTTTTGCTGACCACCTTGTCCGAGCGTGCGGAAGTTTGCTGCAACTTGTTCTTCATGCGCTGCGCTGTGCGGCTCTCGCATTGAGTGTTAGCTCGCCGCTTTCGGCAACTCGACGGACGAGCACCCCTTTCCCCCTTTTCCCCTCCAGCCGAGAATCAAGGACATCCGGCCGGCTCAGCCTTGCAAGAACAATATATTTCGGAAATGAACTGAAACCTGGTCCTGGGAATTTTTTCTATTTATTGGCCGAAGTGTCGGCACCGACGTCAATAAAGATATTGACACTAGGAGTGCGAATCGGAATGACGCACTCCCTTGTTTTTTTCTGTCTATTTTTTTTATGTGAGGGTCGACTGATCAGATCGAGCGATTATTTCGGTCATTTGGTGGGAAATGGGAGGGTAAATGTCCGATGTGTACTTGAGTACAAGGTTGGACGTTGGAGGGAGATCAACGTTGATTGGAGGTGTGTTACTGTTGTGGGACGAGTAACTTCGAGGTCTCTGATCTGTCTAGTCTTCAAACTCTGGACCCATGATTCTTGTCTTCATTTCTTCAAGCATATGATACTCGTTCGGAGAGGAAAGAGGCCGTCGGACTAAAACGAATGAATTCAATACATTATTTAAGATTCACAATTCTGGATTCCTTCAGGAGCACATCAAGTAATTCTTCGATCAGATCAAAAAGAACTTATTCAGCCTTCCTTTTGGATATTTGTGACCCGAAGAAAAACATCGTTCAATTGTCTCATAGCATCCTTGATCCTCTGAAACCACGTTGTCCCCTTGTGTAAAGGGAGCGGACGCCTCGGATTGGACGCCTCGGATTGGACTCATGGACTCATGGACTCATGTAAGGTGATCATATGTTGCTGTGCTGTTGCCATAGAGGCTTTTACACCTAAAAGTTCAGCGGACAGGGTGTGCACGTGCTTTCACCAACAACGCCCGTCTCCGGCACAGCTGCACGTACAGGAGTCCAATCCGATGTGTCTACCCCCTTTATATTGTGGCTTCCGCTGCATTTGCACAAAATGCAATCCTCGGTTATTTGACACAAATGCATGACATCCCAAGCCACCCAGGCCATTCTCAATCTCATGTCTCCCATCCCCTTCAACTTTCATACTCTTCATCCCAACTTCACATCCCTATTTATCATTGACAACAAGCGCCAACTTGACAACCACCACCTCAACTCATGACTTACACCCGCGAAGGATACACCAATCATCTGTGGAGAACAAACCACTCATCGGCGAAGAATCAGCATAGTCTCAGCACGCAGATTTATAACAAGCTGGAGGTCGTCTCTGGACGCGCTGTCCCGTCACTGGGTTCCTGAGAAAGGAAGCATTGTACACCATGTTGCAGAGGAACAAAGTCATTCCCTAGCTATTTACCTTTATACTCTGTCACATATGACAAACTCCCTCTCCCCCACTTTATTTACTTTCTCTCTTAACAGATGGGGGGGGTAAGAAGAAGAAGAAGAAGAAAAAAGAAGAAAAAGGACCGGCCAGAGAAGGTTACCGTGATATCTCGACTGCTGAAATAACAGACGCTTGCTCATTATCTGCCACTCCTGACGTTGAGGGTTGGCGGACAACGAAACCTTATCACAGACGTCTTTTCAGCTGCGGAAGAAGAGGCGGTTGCAAAGACTGTACCACAAAGCCAGCGCCTTAGCCGGGGCGGACAACTGGAGACAAAGCATTCTTTCCTTCCCTTGTGCGTGAGCCAATGTCCCACGAGATTGGTGGGACGCTGCAATGGGCGTTGTAATATAATATGCATTGAGTGGAGGTGGAGGCTGCTTGTAGGTAGGCGTTTCAAGGAGACACGGGATTGGGATTGCTGGCGACAACATATTGTCTGGAAGATGAGATGGAGTGTTGTCAGTGAGCCAACTTCTGAAATCCGGATGAGGTCTACCTGCTGAGGATCTCACCGTCTTAGCCCTCGCCCGGAAACATCGCGGCCTTGACCTTGCGCACCTCATCACACACACCAGAGGAATGGAATTGGATGTAAGCGCGTGGGAAGAGAAAGTATGTTCAATAGAAGGGAGGCTGGTAGAAGGTAGGCAAGAAATCAAAATTATGTCATTGCGACTATGATTCTTCTTGCGCAGATGCGTCCACGCATCGGCTCAGTCTATCCCTCACAAGCCGTTCCATTCCGTTCCCATTCCTGTTCCTAATAGTCATTTTGCCAATTCTGTACATACATTCCCCGAAAGGAAGCGGGACCACTGCGGCCTGCTCGATACAAGCTCATTGAGTTTTTTTTACACTATACCACTTTTTTCCCCTCCTCTTCACTACCCCGCAAAAGCAGCCCTCCCCTCCCTCCTCAAATCCTCCAGCATGCCTCTTAAAGCCTTCATCGGCACCGGCTTCGTCAAAAACAGATCAACACCCGAACTAAACGCCTCCTGTCTCGTATTCGGGTTCGCCGCCCCGGTGAGGGCGATGAGTGCAACGGGTTCAAGGCCGTGCTCCTTTTCGAACCGCCGGATGTGCCGTGTCGATTCAATGCCGGACATTATGGGCATGGAAATATCTGGCGAGCGTCAGCTAGGTGTCCTCAGAAAAAGAGATGGGGGCGAGGGCGTACCCATAAACACAACATCAAACTTCCCATGCACCTCTTTATACGAATTAAACGCCTCCAACCCATTCGTTGCCGTCGCATGCTCGAGCTTCAGTTTCCGCATCGTCGCGATGAGGAGCTTGAGGTTTATCTCGTTGTCTTCTACCAGCAGGACGCGGAGGCCTTGTCCCTCTTCTACTTCCTCTTTGGCTTCCGCTGGGGGTATGGCATCAGTTGCTACTTCTACTATTTCGTTGTGGGTGGGAAGAGGTAAGGGGATTGGTGTTTTGGGGGGTGAGAGAGGGGTTTCGGTGACGGAGGAGAGGGTATTATTTGGTGTGGATATGGGTATCATTCTTATTGCGAAGTCGTGCTTTTCAGAGGTAGGAGGCAATGACGATGGTGGGCTTGAAAGAGGCGAGGCTAGGTCTGAGAGTGTCCGTTGAGGGGCTGGTGGTTGTGCCGTTGAGTCGAAGATCGTGAAACTGAGGCTATCTACACAAAATGCGTTGTGCAATATCTTGGCGAGTTTATGTGGCCCATATCTGGAATTATTAGCTTCACCGGGGCAAGAGAGAAGTGGATCGTCTTACGGTTGCTGAAGATAGAATATCTGGAAGAAATCATGAGCGTCCACTTTCGGACCTTTGTGATAGGTATTGGTCAGGATGATAGCCACTGACTTGCCGCCTCCAGCCTTAGCGGGTTCATGAGTGTGATGATGGTGCAATATATCTTCGACGGATTTATCGCCCAGTCCAGATTCCATAACAACGACGAGATCAGCACTGGATTCAGCTGAAGGTGTGACACCAGTCATGCCAAACCACTCGACCAACGTACTCTGGAAAGACGCCTTGAGGAGCATCGCTGCCTCCGATTCAGCGGACAGGATTCCATCTGGAGTCTCCGTGATATCAGGATATCTATCAAAGCACTCAAGACTAAACGTGAGCTGCTTTACTTTCTCCTTAACTTCACTAACGAAGTCAGGACCATCGAGTTTGGCTGGTTTGAGGGATGCCGTCAACGGTATCCGAACAACAGCCTCGGTGCCCGTTCCAGGTTCGGACGTCATTTCGATTCTACCGCCGAGGTCTTGTACAATGGCCTTCACGATGCTCAGTCCAAGACCTGCACCCATAGCTAATGAATCTTCTTGCGTAAATGGCTTATAAAGCTGATGATTCAAGAATTCTTGCGATATTCCTTTGCCGGAATCGTGAATTCGAAGGGTGAGATTCGATCGGGGCTTTCTGCTGCGCGACGATACGTCGTCCTCCAATTCCAGTGAGACCTTAACAAATCCTGTACTCGTATATTTCATGGCGTTTGAGAAGATATTCATCAATATCCGTCGCCAAGCACCAGCGTCAATCTCAAAAGTCCAGTTTGGGCGCCAGTCAATGTCCACGATGACTGTGACTGGCGACTCTTTCCATCCGATGGATGGTGGGCGAAAATGTCCAGGGGAGAATGCCTTCTTGCTGATCCTCTGGCCGGCATATATACTCTCAATAACTTCTTCGGACAAAACGCAGATATCTGCTTTCTCTTCTTCGCCATTGTCGACGCTTTCTCGTCGGTTATTCTTCTTTTTCTTCTTCGGCAATCTCTTCTTCTCCTTCGATCTCCGGTTGACTTTCGAGAAGTCAAGAACATGATTGATGGTGTCCAATAACACCTTCCCCGAAGCGTGGATATTGTTTACCATATCCACTTGGACTTCCGTCATCTGTGTTTCCTGCAGAAATTCAACACTAGCCAAAACTCCATGCAGTGGTGAGCGAAGCTCATGCGATATGCTCGATATGAAATCTGTCTTCATCTTTGACAAAACTTGTGCTGACAATCTTGCAATCTCTGCCATGGTACTGTTACCAAAAGCAGCCAAATAGGTGATATCCTCGATTGGACATAATGTTCTCGTCGGGAGCGTGGACCAGACCAAGGAGCCAGCAAACCACCGCTCTCTGTTTTGGTCCCACAGTGGGTAGAAAAAGACACTGCGAGCACCAGGAAGCGCCTTTAAAATAGCAGCAGCTTCCGCTTCTCTTGAGATCCTGTTTCGGCGAGATCTCTCTGCTGAAATGTGTTTCTCGGAGTCTGGAGTGGGTTGGGCGTCTTTCAAATTGACGGCGGGAATATGGTCAGATTCGCTGGATGAGAACGAGCCGTCTTCATCGAAGTTGAAAACTTTCCCATGTGGATATCGTTTCAGCAGCTTCCTTAAGACGAGTTCAGGAAATCGCTGGCGTTCCGGCATCACTGGATGACCCCGTAAACTTGACCGACGACGCGTGCTGAAGCCCAGAACATTGCAATACTTCTCAGCCGGCTCTGTAGCTTGTGGTGAAGCGTGGCAGTTATCCGGCATATCGGCCTCATCAGCTGATTTCCGAGCAAGATCGTCCTCACTACTTGTGACGGCCTTGTCAACATGAAAAGCCCCTGGTCCTTTCTCATCCATGACGGCCTTTTCTGCACTCCCACCGAAAGACCCGATGCTAGCATCATAATAGATCACACCCTCAACGCCAATGGATTCTCGAATGAGGTTAGCAGCTCGTCCAAAGACAGCCTTCACATCGGCGGACAGGAGCCCTTCTTGAGGCTCCTTGTGCATGTCAGATGTTGGGGCAGTCGGAAGATCAAATGAGACCGACTTCTCCGGCTCGGGAGTCGGATCCGTCATGGTATCATCGAAGGTAGTGACAGAGCTATTTCGTTGTTGCCATGATCGAGAAACAAGCGTCGTTTGTCCGGAACTTTCTGTAGCAGACAGCAGAGTATCTCTGGTAGGAATAGGGGGCCTTCCATCCGTTCGCTCGCGTAGCTCGGAAAAACTTGAGGATGATGGAGACTGCGGTACGGATATTTGGGTACTGTAGCCAGGCAAATTATGTAAACCGTTGTGGGAGAAGTAGTCCGAGGATTCTTGGACGCCAAATTCGAGGTCCGCGAGCTGTTCCAGCATGGAAGGGTTTCGATGTCGCTTCTTGACTGTGGCCTCCTGGAACTTGTGACCTCTTTCTAACCACCAGTCTCTTAATGTGGATTTCCCTTCAATGAACAAACCGATGGCCTTCACCATTCTCTCCGCTCGATATTGTTGCCTGTTGACTCGTCCCGCTTCCAGATAATCCATGACTGTCACTGCCACGTCTTGCAGAAACTTAATCTCACACTCTGTTGGCTTCTGCTGAACTTGGTCGTCAACCACAACATACATGCCAATCACAACATTGTGAAGCGGGGTTCGCAACGGAACGCAGGCCATAGCTCGTATCTTAGGTCCACCGACGACAACACATTTATCCTTGAATCTATCGTCCTTCGTAAGGTCTTCGATCAGGACTGCTGCAGGAGAATCCGCATCTGAAAACATTTTTGCCATGCCAGGGCCCATGCTATCTGCGTCCGGGCTGATCAGTCCCACGCCGTGCCATAGCTGATCCTGCTCATCGTTGTCTTCTTGTAGGGAAAGTGCTTGGCCTGATTCTGCTATTATGTACTGTGTGTCTCCAGCAGAAAGAGCAATAATACCCCGCTTCGCGTTCAATCGTAATGCTCCAAGTTGTGCAAACGCGGTGAGACATGGATCCGCGGATGCTCGTTTTGTTCTATTGTCGGATTCATCTTGGTTCGGATCTGGTAATGACTCTGCGGGCTGGTAGTATCTATCGCGGGTCCGTCAGTTGAAGAAACGTGGAAAGGATTAGTTATCTCCACTCACCGATACAGTTCCCGCTCGCAAGCCGTGACGGTCGACTTGCCCATCTTCTCGCAGGTATACATGTTGTAGACAGCTCGCAACGCGCACGCACAAATATGAATTCAATATGGTATATACATGACAATAAGAATACCCGCCGGGAGTGCCGCAGGAAGAGAGGGGCACGAATCCGAAGAGATCCGTTCCTCGTGCAGGCTCGCTGTCACTGCCCCAGATAACCCAGACCAGGATGCGGGTCCGCTGATTACGTGAGGACACAGCATGACTCTACCCCTTGGGATTGAGTCAAAAGCAGAGACTTCACTTACTTTTGTAGATGCAAACTGTTGCAAAGATGAGGAGGTCAGACTGAAGCGTCTAGAAAGCGAATTCGGTTGGCTCGAGAGCCACGCTGGCTGGTGATTATTCTTTTGTGCCCGCTGCCCTGTTTCTGCGACTTACAGGGGTTGTCTCACGATAGTTTCTGCTAAGGCCGCGTCACGTGCAGTCATTCCGTCCCCACTTCTGATCTATCTTTTGTGGGGTGGATGAGGGGTAGAATTGTAGTCCTCGATGAATATACCAAGGACAAAGGATGATGGTGACTTAGTGGAGTGTATTTTTAGAAGTTTCATGCCACTGTCAGTCCAGATTTTCACTTCTTTGATATTAGATGGAAAAGATCAATGTTCCACGGAAAGTTGGAACAATCGATAAGATTACGGCATGCAACAAAATTCCTCCCGCGGAGAGATCACCTTAGATATGATAAGATCAGATCAATTTTATCATGTTAAGAAGAAAACTTCACCCTATTATTTCATTTAGTATCAGACTCGGGACATTCATCCTCGGCCTACATAGAAGAAACCAGTGGTAGTGATAATATCTTCGATTCTGCTATCTACTGAATTATTATCTTGGAGGATTCTTTGTACATGTACAACTTCGAGCCCTCACAAACTCAATATGTACATCGAACTCCCCAAAGCCTTGCAGCTCCCCATCTTGCGGTCCTTATATATACATTTATTTCCCCCCCTCATCCTTTTCCTATCCCCCTGGCTATAAAAAACCAGCCGCAACCTGGTATCCCAACTCCACCTGCCCATTAATTATTACCATCTAAAAAGCAGAAAAACAAAATAGCTCGCGTAGGCACATTCATGAACAAATCCATCCCATCTAGCTCTGGGCCTGGGAGGCCCGGTTAGCTTTCGCCTGCATCTTCCTCAACGCTTCCCGATGCGCATCCAACATATCACCCCTCCTCATCCGCTCGTCAAACGCACTGTCTCTCTGATTCCGCATCCGCTCTTCCAGCGCCTTCCTCTGATCCTCCGCTTGCCGTTCCTGCCAAAGCGCACTTCGCTGTCTCTCAATCGTGTTTTTCGGTACGATACCGCTTTGGAGATCGTGCTGTACTGAGGCGCGCCAAGACGCGAGTTGTTGCTCCCTGGCTGAGGGGGCCGGTATGCCGGATTGCCGGCGAGGTTGGTGGGAATCGAAGGGGATGGGTCCTTGTTGGTATTGTGGGGCCATGGGGGAAGAGAGCTGTTGGAGCGAGGATTGCCTGATTAGGTTGCGCCGGGCGGAGAGCGAGATGTTGTCGTCGTCTGGGATAGGGGTCGAGTGGTTGTAGATTGAGCCTGCATCGCTGCCATTATGAGAAGTGGGACCGCTGTTGTATTGGGCGGGAAATTGTAGATAGGGATTTTGGGAAAGGAGCTCGGGGGTTGAGGACGGGGCGGAGGGGTTGCTGTAGTAGGAGTATTTGCCGCGGAGCATGGTGTCTCGTCTTCCGATTAGGGTGCTTGTTGATCCGTATGGGACGGTAGCTGGCGAGAACTTGCTTGATGATGGGTTGGGAGTCGTCGGCGGGAAGTTTTCCTCGATGGGCGATTCGACGATTTGTTGTGGGATCGCTGGACTCGAGGAGCTGCGGTATCCTAGGGATCGGCCGAGTGCTTGTTGTGAAAGTAACGACGGGAGAGACTGAATTGAGGGGTTTTGGGAGTGAATGTCTTGGTTCTGGAAGCTGCTGGGTTGCTCCGGAAAGGGATACTTTGACTGAACAGAGTTTGATCTTGCGGGGGCATGATTCGATAGCTGTGATACTGTTCTCGACACCGGCGCAGGCAGAGGCATAGCATTCTCAGCAGTTTGTTGAAGCTCCTCCACGTTCACTGGTGCAGCCACTTCTTGGACGGTCTCTGGGCGTTCAGTAGGATACTCTTCGAGTTTGAGCTCATCCACTTCAGGGGCGTCTGCATTACTGAGGTGTTTTGCCCATTCATTGGTTCTATAGGACATCACAACTCTTGATAGTTGAGGTGGTAGTCGATCCTTTGACAAACTAGCTGGCTTTGATTCAACGTGGGCGACAACGGATGGGGCTGGCTCGTCTTTTTCCTCCTCCGAGGATTGCTTCTCCACTGCGGTCTCTGGTTTGGGGTCCATACTCAAAGTCAAAAAGTTCTGGACGAGCGCCTCTCCAGTCTTGGCTTCTGCCGCCTCGGGCTTCTGACCCGCTGCTTCTTGCTCCAAAATGGCTGTTGCGACTGTGGCTGTGGAAATCGGTCTCGACTTCTTCCCTGCGTTTGCAACAGCAAGCGTTGCTGTTGGATTTGACATTGGTGTTGGTCCAGGTTGTTTGGCAGCGAAATTGGGAGCAGTAGACTCTTCAGATGGCCCAGTGGACTCCCTATTTTCAGGGACGTGAAGTCTTGACGATCTCACACTTCTCATATCCTCGTCATCACTCAGTCCGTCCATGGTAGCGGCAAGTGAGCTCCTTCGATCTTCTTCAATCGCTCGGGGGATGACCAAATCCTCCGTACTTTGGCCTTCTCCTATAGAAAATTGTTTCGAGTTCCTTTGAGATCTATGAGAAAGTTTTCGCATGAGCACTTGAGATAGGCGTTTAGAAAGTCGCTTTTGTCCTGCTTGTTCTTCGTCTGCGAAAGTTGCGATGGACGAGCGATCATCTTCCACCACCTCACCTTCCGGCACCTTAAATGGTAGAGCGACTACATCTGGTGATTTTGTTGGAATCGGGTTCGAACGTCGCTTGGAATTTCTTTTTGAGGGCCGCCGCTTAAGACGTGCTTCGCCATCAGCCCCAACGACCCAGATCTGCTCCTCCTCTATTGTCTCGCCGCGTGCTGATATCTGGCTGTTGCGCTTTGCTGGACGTTCGATGGGGTTTCCGTTTTCGTCGAGCTCCAAGGGAGGCTCCACCTCTCGGGCGACTCTGACCGTGACCGGCCCACCATGCTGACCGTTGTTCATCATCACAAGTCCAGGACCGTTCACCAAGGTAGGGGATGGTATTTCCGACATTTCAATCTCCTCGTCGCCAGACCTTCGGATTGACGTGACTTCACTCATTGCCCCCTTCTTCTGACTATCCATATCTCCAACCCCAGAATCTCTCGGCGTGGCTTTGACAGCATCTTTACTGCCGTAGGCAGCCTCCCATTGGCTTCTATCCGCTGCGGTTGCCTCTTCAATCCGTTTTCCTACATTTTCCTCCTCTCTCTCCAAGTTTCGCTCATCTTGTAATCGTTCAGCTGCGCGTTGTTCGCGGCGTTCCTTGATAAGCTTCCAGAGTTTCGATTGTGACAGGATCCCGGCAAGAAATATGATAACCATAGCAGCGATTTCGACTCTGATTCCCCTTGTCAATGGGTACGAGGTAGCTCCAAGTGGAAATAAGTTGGAGTTGAGATCCCAGAGATATGCCCAATATTCCTTCAGTCCAGCTCTGCTGAAACAATCAATTCCCAAAACTGTAGCTGTTGCTCCTCCAAATGAAACGAATATGATCAGCCCATACGGTCGAGTGTAGCGGGTGAAGGATGTCGAAAATGCCGCAAGCGTAAATGCAGCGATGAAAATAGACTTCCCGCTAGTGGAAGTTAACAAACCACCAGGCTTTAAGACCAACAACCACATGCTGAAACAGAAACCTCCGAGAAGACAACCCAGACCCTCGGTCATTTCTGTGAACACAATTGCGGCGCCGCCCAGGATTAATCCCGTCATAGCTATTGCAACAACGTACGCTCCTTGTATAGCATTGTTGACGGGCGGATTCATAACATATAGTATGAGCACCGTGACCGCGAGACTGGCTAGATAGGCCGCCGAGAAATAGATGTGTAGCCATTTGTTCTTGATCCCAACAAGTGTATAGGCAACTCCACTAAGCATCAATAGAATCCCGGCAACTGAAAGGCCTGGCGTGATCTCTGGTTGGAGGGGAAGTGCGTTCGGGGTTGCAGTAGCTAACACCAGTTAGCATAGGCGCATCCAACACCGGTTGTTAACTTACAATTGAAGCCAGAAAAGTTGAGATTGGCAGTCGGAGCCGGTCCGTTAATATTGGATGTGATGGCGGTGATGGCGGCTCCTGTCTGCGTAGCAGAGACTGAATTGGAAGTCGAATTTAAAGTTGCAGTTGCATTCGCCGTAGTAGTTTCTCCCCCTTCCTTTCCGCCATTGGTTCCTCCTGTTTGTGAGGGGGTTGACGAAGCATCGGCGTTGGTGGTCGTTGGCTGTGTATCACGTCCATGTAGATGAACTGCCCATCTATTTGCGACAGAAAGGTTTATACAGAAGCAGAGCAGTAACAAGACGAGAATCTTCGACCGCATGGCAGACACCATCGTGGCTATGGAGTACGCCCACCACACCAGAAGGTACTGAGCGTTCTACCGGTGGGGAAATCTTCGAAGAAACTAAAGAACGACAGGTCGAAGTTTTCAAAGTGTAACGAGCGTGGGTGGCATGAGTGCAGTGCCTGCCGGCGTTGCTTGCAGCCAAAAACAAAACACGAAGCAAAAGCTGATTGAAGAACTGAGGGGGGACGTATTTAGGGTAAGACAAGACGTGAGGAGAGAAAAGCTGGCGAGAGCCTTGGGTAAAAGATGCCGGGTCGCCGAGGAGGTTGGTCCACCAGGGGTGAGGGGCTCGTCTTCGCCAATGAAGGTCATGAGACGCTGGCCAATAATGAGACAGGAGCTTCAAGGAAATGAGATGAAAAGCAGTCAAAGCTTTCCTGGAAGAGAGGGACGCTGAGTACTGTCGGACGCACCGTGGGACCAGAAGATTAGGAATTTAGGATTAACCTTGGTGTGGCTCTCCGCCCAAACCTTGTTTCCGGCGGAGATCTGCTCCAGGGATCAAATCGAATTCGGCAGAGTTCGTAAAGGCCAAGGCTGGTCTCAGCTCCAAGAGCTGGTTACCAATCCAGCATCGCTTGACTCTCTTGAGTATCTGCGGCCCGCGTCCGCGCGGTACAAGTACAGCTGTCCTCGAACCGTTGTATCTCACCAGCCAGAGGTGTTTCAGTCCATTGGATGTGGGGATTACAGCAATGCATTGCGTGCCACGAGGGTGGTTGGAAGCTCTCAGCTCTCAGCTCTCGCAATGTCAAAGCCACGGCACTGCGGCAGGAGTGATGGGAATCATGGGATCGATCTCAGGGGCGGGGAATTCCCACAGGACCTTGGACGACGCATGACAAAAGGCAACCAATAACGCCGTGGGATTCGTCGACAGACGCCCTGCATCCGTGCTGGCGTCTGCGGTGATGAGATGCAAACTTGAAGGAGACAGGTGCTGTGGACGTCAAGCCGTTTCGAGAGAAGTCAATCCCGAAGCGAGATTTGGGGTTTTTTGGCCCGAGTGCCGCCCAGTGGGCACTGGGCTGACGAGAGTGCTGCATGAACCGGGATGTGGCTGTGGCACGTTCTCCGGGGGTTCTCCAGGGGTTCTCCTTTCTTTCTTCCGTTTTCGTTGCCGTTACTTTTTTGCTGCCCTGTCCGTCGGCGACTTTTGTTTTGTGCAGACACTGCCGAGGTATTATTAGAAAGATGTTCAATATTTGTGCCCGCATTCAGTGTCCAGCTTCAGCATGACAGCATCAGCTCTTGTCCTGATTCCTTGTTCATGCAATTGTTCACTATTGATTCAGTAGTTAGTGACGGCAACCCAAGAAGGGTCAAGATTCAAGATTCAAGAACCAACTTCCAAGAGCCTAAATCCGGGGATGGCAGGTTTAATTTCGGCGACTCGTTTCCCTTGCAAGCCTTGGCCCAACACAGTCAAGCTTCTGGGTCCCGTTTCCGCCAGCTTGAAGAGTGCAACCTTTCAACCTTTGAAGTTTGGGCGCTGACCGGCTCTGTGCAGCCGTGCAGGTCATAGTCGGCCGGGACTCGGGAGACTCGAGAAAAACGCCCAAAATGGGGTTTAATCTTATCTGACGCCATTGTCCTATGGGATGATGAAGTTCATGTTGATCTGGTGATAGTCTAGGTAGGCGAAGATCATAACGGTTGCGCCGTGTCGCGTTCCCCAGGCCATTTGGTGTGCTGTGCACCGCTATGGATTATTATTGTGGACCAAGTCGGGAAGCTGTCGACGTCGTGGAACAAAATCTGTTTATGCTCGCGATATCGACCCGATTCCCGGATCTTGAATCCTTCTAGACTTCTGATTCCGGGGCCAAGACTGGGGGAGATTCCAGGGGTCACCCACGATCCTGTCTTGTCCTGTATTTGGTTTTCTCTTCGATTTTTGCATATTCTTTCTCCTCTTCCTTCACTTCTTGTCGCCACCTCCTGAGTTGTCACTTGATCCTCGTTGATCGAGCTCCAAAAACAACTTCACCAAGACAAGGGAGGTTGGGTTCGATTCACAACAACTTGGTTCTTAACCCAAAATAGCCCGTCAACACGGCAGTCTGTCTGTTCATCGACGCCTCTCTTCCTCACGATTCAAACCTCTGCACTTGGAGAACTCAGTGACGTACGCTGCTCCTCGAAGCAAGATTCTCTCAGTATTGCTCCGTACAATGATATGAAACCACCCCTTACTTCGAGTATTGGGCGATCAGTGTGGCTGTTGTGAACTTCCGGCCTCACCGCTTCAACTTTCCCTCGTATCAGCCCACGCTTCAATCAATGGTTGGCCATGTTCTGAACCCCATTGTTGACATACTCGTGCCTTCAAGTGACGCTGCAACGCTGTCCAACCTCGTCGACCAAGTCACCTGCAGCTAGCCATATTCTGCATCATCGACATATCACATGTCCGAATCTCACAAGAGTTTCCGTCTTGTCACTGCATGACTTGTTTTTGTGTGCATAATCCTCCTATCGACCCTAATCATTTGCGAGCTGAGCCATTTCCACGTTATGTCGTCTCCTACAGTTTTGACAACCTCGTTGACATGATATTTAGCCGAGCACGTTGTACCTCTCCAATCTCCGTCTCATCTCACACATTTCAACCCTTGATTTCCGAGCTTCAACGACGAGGCCTTCCGCTCACCTTCGAGGCTTCATCCAAAAAGGCACATTGCAGGACGGCAGGTGTCATGCTGTGAGTCTCGACTTTAATATAAATAGATTACCCCGAGGGAAATCTTGGGACCGAATGGCTTTGCGATTATTCGGCTCGATTAAATGCCGAGTTCCTATCTACTGTTCTCTTGTTGCTCGTACGAGGAAACCATGCCTGGGTAACGTCTACGCTCCCTTCGTCTTTATCAAAGAGGAAAATTGTACGTTTGAGAGTCGACTTCCCTGCAGCTAATTGTCGGCATATCTTGAAAACGATTTGAGAAGGTCGAGTGATGCGTGGAGTTAGGAGCCATGAGTCTTTTTCTGTGACTTACATGGGCGATGTTCACAACCTAGCGACGCGAGAATTTCATGCTTCTCACTGCAAATCTCATTTAGATCCCCTAGCTAATTAAGCAGCATAAATTCCCAGGCGCCTTGAGAATGCAAAACTCGAGGTCCTCACTCAACTTTCGAAGGGGCGTTATGATTTATAGAGAATGACGAAGTCTGCAAAGCAATTGAATGCATAAACTCCGATAACCCAGATTCCCTTGCTATAAATTAAAGGCATGAAAACTACCCTGCTACTGGCATAAATTGACCCAGCATTCCTCCAAAATTCTGAGTATCTTAATCCTCTTCACGTGATCGATTTCTGAAGTCTTGCGACCCCTACCCTTTCGTGGATCGCGAAAGATCACGAACGCGGTCTACCAGCTTGCGCCCCAGTCGACAGCATCACTGACACACCTCTCCACATCCAAAATTCGATTCAAACCAACCCACCTTTGCTCAATCCACCACCCAGAAGCTTCAACCTCCTAAAAATCACAATGTCTTCATTCCTCCTCCGCCGCGCACCTCGCGCCCTCCCCCTCAGCGCCCGCACCTTCTCAACAGCTCCCGCGCGCTCCTCCTTCGCAAAAATGACCATCATCGGCCGTCTCGCAGACACGCCTGAGCGGCAAGCTACGAGCACGGGGCAGGAGATCTTGCGGTATGCGGTAGGCACGAACAGCGGACCGAGGGATAACCAGAAGACGAGCTGGTTTAGGGTGACGAGCTTTTTGCCAGAGGGACCCCACAGAGATTTTATTGCTAGTTTAGATAAGGGGTATGTTTTTCTCTATAATTTGTGTTTCTTTGGAAAAACTATGGATTGGTCGTGGGAAGCAAGAGAATTTGGGAGAATGACGAGGAGTGTTGAGAATAAGGGACGGTGTGGCTAATTGATACACAGAACTCTGGTCTACGTCGAGGGCGATGCCTCAATGTCTTCATACCAAGATGCGGAGGGCAAGACCAGAACCTCTTTGAACTTAGTTCAGCGTGAGTTTCTCCTCTTCTCATCGTCTACAACTCACTGACCCCTTTCCCAGAAAAACTCGAGGTCCTCTCGCCGAAGAAGCCTCAGCAATAGATGCTATGTCCATGCCACTATTCAACCCCTGCACGATAAAAGAAACCCGACTTCCCTTTGTTAGTGACGAATGAATATTTGAGAGTTGGCGGCGTTAATTACTGTACGAATTGCACAATACCTGTAAGATCGAGGGGGGGCGGGGTCTACATATCAAATACATCTCTTCTCACTTATGCTATTTCTATTCCAGTCCATAAGTCACAATCAAGAGCACATCATTTACAAGAAAGGGATACGTTTCGCTACTGCACAAGGTAAAAGTTCGCATTTTACCTCAACGCTATCGACAACAGAGAACCAAAGCGCAGAGCTCGATCAACCGAGACGGTAACAGTCTGCCTTCTACGCGGCCAGTTTCATGCCAACAAATTTCTTCGTACAACATTGGGTGCGATGCGATTCTCAATCTTTAAGACTTTGTTAGATTTTAGGAGAATATACAATGTGCAATGTCCCGACTTTTATTGGGACATCGAATTGAAATTTAATGCATTGTTCCAACTATTTCTACAATTTTCTGTCCGTCGGAGTATTTAGTGTTCAACAAGGTCTCCAACATAAGTCTTGGACATTTTGCTTGGAAAAGGGGGGCCAATGTCCAAAGCACGCGTTGAACATGGTCTATTGTTCAAGTTGTTTTTAGGCGTCTACCAAGACGGAAAACTCATTGTTCGAACTGGGCAAGGTGCAATGAGAGATGCCAAATGATGCTCCCGCGTGATCGAGACATTCTTAAATCCTCCCAGCACTCTACTTGAATGGTGATCTTACACACGGTATCCCTGCTCTCAATGTACTGCTCAAGAGTAATCCGGAACAATCAGAACCTTTGAATCTGAGGCTTAATTTCTAAATGCTCGAATACGACAAGAGTCAAAATCTCAACTTGATGTGCACAGTGTCCAACTTTTTCTTGGAACACTCAGCCCTAAAGGGCCCTGAAAGTCCGAGTCTATCTGGAAACATTTAATTAATCGCCGTTGCAAATGTTTCGCTGCAACTTGAATATTCGGAGAGTCTTGCGCGTCTTGCGAGTCGATCCTTCCCTCTCTCTGATACTCAGGGCGACAACTTGCAGCCTTCCTGGGTGGCCCTCCTTGAGGACACATTCCATACTCATCTTTAGCTGCAACTCAATCGACGCACTTTTTTCTTGGTCACACATTGAATCGAACAGGGCTTCCAGACCACGTGCTTCCCGTCATCTCCCTCGATCGCTGATACGACGACAGAAACGCAGAATATTCTTGAAAAATACGAATTCCTTGCCTGTCCGTGATTTTAGTGCTACTGAAGCGTACGTACCTGATTCTGTTGACAAGGTTCCGTTGAACATACCTTAGTATATCCCAATTCCGTGGTACCACGACTTTTTAGCGCCATAATTTTAGTTGACATTCGAATTTATACATTGAAACGATTCTAACTTATCAACTTCGATTACTCGTCATTTCCGACTTTATTCGACACTAATCCGTGGTTTTCTTGGTGTTGTCTCTAGTCAGTTGGGATCTGAAGGCGCCCCAAACTCCTGACAAAAAAGTTAGAAGCAAGCCCCTTCGAGAATCCTCGATTTACATTCAGCGGCTCCTAGCCAGGCTGTATCAAAATACCCCGTAAAAAAGAGTAACATAGTGTGAGTATGGCTTTCAACTCTCCATCTCACACGCCCAACCTCTGTTCAAGCAGTCCAGATCTAGTCAACCAGCATTTCGAACTGAGCTGCTGCACTTCATGCATAATCCCCCCAAACCTCCATCAAATATTTTCAACTCTCAAGCAGCCTTGAAATTCTTCAACAGATACTTCTTCAACAACAGATACTTCTTCAACAACAGATACTTCTTCAACAACAGATACTTCTTCAACAACAGATACTTCTTTAACAAAACACTTTACAAAGCAACATGAATATCTCTACTCTCCTCAACCACCTACCTGCAAACAAGGTAACCTTACCCTCTATCAGAGAATTGTCTCCATCTCACATAATCGAACAGCAACCATCGACAGCTCCGACCATGTCGCAGTATGCCCCTTCACTGAATAGACCTATCTATAATCCGAGCGGCTTCGGAATCGCCAGAGGTTCGAGAGAGGCTAAAGGTGTTAGCGCAGGCTGGCAGAATCCTTATGCCCAAAAGAAGATTACAGGTCCTCGTCGTAAGTTGCCCTCAATCCTCCCATACGCCTTAGAAACCAGAAAGACGTATGCTGACATGATATAGCCGACCTTGCTTTCTTTTATTTTTATGAAAGAGCTTCTTCTGAAGGACCCAGAGAACGAGAACTCCCTCCCGAATATAAGGAATATATTGACCGCCTGTGCGGGCGGCCCGCTGCACCTGCAGAAAATATGGCTGCAATGGTCCAACCTCCTGCGGGTCATCAGCACCCTGATGCTGCTGGAGTGGATGCGCAAATCGGGCAGTATACGGCACAACTAAATCTCCCCAAGAAGTCAAGAAAGAAGCCCAAAAGAAAGAACCCGTCGCCGTCAGCAATCGCAGGAACAAGCCAACCTGCACCCTCTCTCCAGTCGTTCAATGGCAACAAGCCGTGGGATCAGCCATCTCCTCATTGGGCTTTTAAGGGCAACTATGAAGCAGGAAAGCTTTCCCAGCTTGGCCTCGAGCCTGGCAACTGGGGAGAGCACATTGACATCATTGTTCCTCCCGGGAAGTGCCCACGAAAAGGCAACGCAGGCATTGCGGTTGGAGCCAACCGAAAACCATTTAACTGGAATTGGGGACTGTATACTATTCTCGCCAGGATCCCAGGTGGAAAGGCACAAATGAATGTCCTCTATGAAATGTGCCTAGAATGGTGTAGTGGCGAAGGCGGGCTAAAGAGATCGGGAATAACTAACCAGAGTTGCCGTTCTGCTCTTACCAAAGGGCGAGAGTTCTTCTCGAATTCGGAAGATGAAATGTGGCGCCTTGCCGATCTTGGTGAGGAGTACGCAAAGAAACCTGGCGGCAAGAAGGGAAATGGCCCCTGCGATTTGACAGAGAAGAATGGAGACGAGAGCCCCAAGAAAGCTGCTAAACGCCAGCAGTCGGACCACCCATCTCCCAGTGGCCTGAACTCCGATCAATGTTCGACACCGGCGACCTCCTTCTCCTCGTCGCCTCAACTTTCTTCTGGCAATGCCCAAAGCCTTCCCAGCTCGGTCTCGCCAACACCGTCGCCAACGGCAGGAAATTCCTCAACGGCCGCTCAGCGCACACGCCTCCCATCAAAGAGGAAGCGTGCTGAGGGAGATGACAATTCGGAAATGGCTGCCAAGGCCAGGCGTACCGAACAAATCGTAGAGTATGTCAACCAGTCTCAAATGAAGGAAAGATAATCAGCACATTCGGATTGCTGAAGACATCACCGTCTGGTAAGATGCCATGTAGCAAAGACTTCATGCTATGAAAGACTGCATGCTTAAAACGTTTCGCCATGTGAAGAATGTCTGTTTAAGGCTCTTCATAATTTGGATCACTGAATCCAATTTTCCTTTGTGCAGAGATGCGTGTTTATGTTCGTGTTTGGCTTTGGAAATGTAAATAGACAACAGCAAGTTAGGTTGATATCGTTCACTGGCAGGCGACGGGAAACATCGACTGTTACCATCTCGTGTTGGTGGGCTCTGGGCTCTGGGTCTTCGCAGATTGGCGTATTGGGACAGAGCGACTTCTGTCTTGTACAGGAGCGAAATATATCACTTTTCTTGTAAGGGCGCGTACAAACCAGAAATGCACGTCACTTCGCCCTCACACCAATCGACAACTATCCATGCTCCCAAAGCCCGCAGCAACTCCGCCCTCTTCACTCTTATCCCCCTTCGTCCTTAAAAGATACCCCGCCTCCTCATTATGAAACACTTCTCCCGTCCCCTGATCCCAAAGGCAGGTCCCATAAACACCTAACTCGCAGATCACACCTCCTTGTTCCAGAACTCCGTTGCGGAGAATGATGTTGTGGACTGGTGGAGGTGTGATAATCTCCATCAGGATATACGATTTCCAGTGTGTTTCTGGGAGAGATTTGAGGAAGGGTGGGATGGCGGTCCGGTAGGTGTTGTTTCCGCCTCCTTCACGTTGCGGCTTCAGGACATAGCCTTTGCAGTCTGAATGATCGGTGGCGAGCTTTCGGGCTGAGAGACCGGAGGGCGAGTCATCAAGGGGATAGATGTTTGTGAATGTTTTCTCTAACTCTTCGATTTCTTTTGGAGAGTCTTTGATGAAGCGTTTTAGGATAGAAGGTGTTTCTGGTGAGGTTGGTGTGGCGAGAACTTGTTGTACTTTTTTGGCTCCTGCTAGTTGGGTGAGGATTGTTGGACATTTGATGGCGTTTGATCGCTCGATTTGGAGGCGTGCTTTCCATGCCGAGTCATCGGGATAGTCTGTGGGTCCGTACCCGGCGCGGAAATATACAATAGCTACTTCAAAGACTTCTAAAGGATTACTAGGTAAATGGTACAGAAGCTGTCGTTTCGGGGTTTCTGCTATGGAAGTTCGTGAGAGAATTTCTCCGAATGGGAGACGGAAGACTGGAATTGGTGAGTTGTTTTGTTGCAATGCATACTCGAGATGTCTTTGGTCGAATATATTTCGTTCCGGGTCTTGGACCAGGAAGATGATGCAACACTCATGTATTGGTTCAGAGGTCGATCTGTATGTGTCAAACGCAACTCCTAGTCCTGCTGCAAGAGACTTTGTGCTTTCGTTCTCAGGGAGGTCTAGGTCTTTGGCCTGAAGCGAGCTTTCAAGGAGCGAATAGTCTAGAACTGAGAGATGTCTTCTAAGTGTCAATCACGTGACACGGAGGATAAAGAGGTAGCTCCCTGGATGACTAACTTGTGTAATCTTGAAGTCTGAGAAGATAGCCCGCCAAAAGATGAAGCAATTGTGTTGAATTCAACCTGTTTGATTGTGGGTGCGGCATCGGATGTGTTCTGGTGAACCATGTAGTCTGATCTGAACAGACCAAGCGAGAGGTTCTGAGAAGGCTTTAGCACATCAATGGCTTGAAGGAGCTGGACTATACCTGCACATAACCTTCATCTTTCACCTTCAAATGCACTTGCCATAATTGAGCTATGAATTCATCTACTTCAAGAATTCTGCTTCCGGTCAGCCCGTGAAATTGCGTCATTTAGAGATTGAAAATTTGCTGAGGCAGAGCAAAAGTGGAAGAAACTCACTCTTGGATGATGTTGCCTAAAAACTCTTGATCCTGTGCAATAGCCGCGTACAACTTGTTGTAGGATTTTTGAATAGATTTGGCTTGCTCAAAGCATACTCGAGGGAAAGGACTTGGAAATAAGGTGACTGGTGCGGTTGTTGCCAGGATTCCGTGAGGATCCGCTGTAGCTTTGACAAGAGAGACCGGCGGCCTCACAGCCAAGCCATTGGCTATTGACCAGTCTTTGACTGTCGAAAGAAGCTGTTCAGATTCTGAAGCCGTCAATTTTGGAGGGTAGTCGTCGTTCGAGGCTTTTCCGGAAGGCATCTCGATAGATCACCTCTCTGAAAAGTGAAAAATCGGGGTCTTGTTTTGCATATGATTCTGACCGACACTCTCCTCCCCTATAGAATAAGATAGGATAGTGAATCTATGTGGTATAAAAAGCTCATTTTTCACAGCCGATTTGTAAGACAGGTACCCCCTCCAAGAAGTGGGATAGGCTTGATTGGACATAGACTAGACCTATTTAGGCACGCTAAGATAAGACGGCTCTCGTATCGGCGGCAGTCGCGACTGCCTTCAGGAATCGCGTCAAAGTCAACTTCGAATACAACTTCAACCTTCTTCGACACGATCTCCCCTCCTTTAAGCCGCTCCTTCCATCGCTACACCAGCTATCGCTCATCTACGATACAATTCTTTCTTCCTGCCAACGAAACTCCATTCCTACAACATCTGCCTCCGCCTGCTTCGTTAGTTACTCTCTGTTGACTCGAAGATCAAGCGCTCCACCTTCTTTTCATGTCGGCTTCGTGATAACCTCGAGCCAACGATCTCGTGCCAACACTGAACGATTGGTCTCCATGTTGTCTTCAACTCTTCAAGCCGTCTTGAGAATTCCGTGTGGCCAAGTCTAGAGTATGTGAACCAATTCTTCCCTCCTCTCGAGAACCACTGTGCTACTTCCAAACTTGCCACATCTTCCAATACCTCCTCTCAGATCTTTCCCCTCCCTCCTCTTCTCTAGATCTGCATTGTGGTTGATTACCTTCGACTCACTCCTGAATCTATTCCTCGTCGTCATCTTTACCTCTACCTTCAAAATTCACACTTTACGATCATGGCTAATTTCACCTTTATAGGCCGAGGCGCTTCTATCGTCCTCTGGCTGGATCAGTTGCCGACTCCGCCGATGACTCCCGCCACGGCATCGCTTTCGACAATGGCTACAACTGGCGATTGCAGTGATCCGTGGGACTGGGACATTGAAAGAGTCGTTCAGGAGCTTTGCACTACCAATCGATCGTGGCAACCCCGATCCACATCCGTGACAATATCCGATCCTTCCTCACTAGAGCAAGCTCTGAGGCACCATGAGGTCAATGGCAGTGTTCTTCTGGAGCACCTCGACGATACCGTGATGAAAGAGGATTTGGGTCTGAGAGTTCTTGGCCGAAGAGCATTTGTTCATTCCGCCATCGCAGAGCTGCGTCTTTTAAGTGCTCAATATCAAGCGTATCAGCGAACCCACCATCCCGAGAACGTTGCGTCTTCTGCAATCAGTCGCAGCGTTCACGACTTTATGCAGCACTTTCCTGGTCACATTTCTGCCCCCGGCGTTCTGGTTGGACAACCGCAGCAACTATTCTCTTCTCTTGGAGAAGCCGCTGCGGGCAGTGGGGTTCATTTATTGAAGGCACCACCTCCATTTTCCGAAGAAACTGCAGCCGGCAACCGAAATGCATCAGGAGAGGACGTGTTCACTGATGGAGCTGCGAACAAGCGGCGTAAGTTGGATTTTCCAGACGCGGCCGAAGAACTTGAGCCTCAGTTTGACGATGGCATGCAAGACATTGCTGAAGACAACGCAAATGAACTGAACGAAACACCAGTTCCTACCATTGAGCCGGGAACAGTTTCTGTTGTTGAGGTCAACGGCAAAAAGAGAAAACGCATGGCACCAACTCTTATTACCTCCGCTATTGATTCGAACGGAATCCGAGAGCTCCCAACGGAAGCTGATAACATTGTCCATAACGTTCCCCAGAGCATCGAACCCGGGATTCCGTTCATCGGCAGTGATGGCAGGAATAGACTTGTGCCGGTCCCTGTGCCTCAAGCTGGCAATGGTCCTGAGATTCGTTTCAACTTTGAAGGCCATCTACCCACACTTGATACTCCAGACCACGCACCAAGCTCGGTCGGAGAGGCATCCTCTCACAAGTCTTCGAATGGGCGAGGCCAACCCAAACAACTCCCGACAGCCGAATCCTCTTCAAGAGGCTATCTCGGCAAGAGAAAGATCCCAGTCGATGCCCTGTTCTACGAAGGTGCTGCTGTTGGCAAAGAGCTGAACCTAGTTGACGACGCCACAGAGTTTGCTGAGCTTCCAAAAAAGATTGCCGCAGGCTGCCGACTCTATGTGCATGGTGTCATGCGACATTTCTTACGTGCAGAACGTCAAGTCTTTATGCGCGGCGGCAAGCTCTTCTCAGCCGTCCGTCCATATCCCGAGAAGCTGACACCAAAATTTCAAAACCCATCGTTTACGTTATACTTTGCTAAGGATGGCCAAATCCACGCTCGACGAGAGGAAGTGCCCTCTTGGCCAGAGATTGATCCAAGTGCAATCACACAGCAGCCTCAAGACGGAATTGATGAGAATAAGGTTACATTTAAGTCGCTAGGCCCAGAGTGGTTCAATTCATATGATAGCTTGGATCCCTCAAATCTGGAGAAATACATGTATCTTGAGGGTGGAGATAAGGTACTTCCTGCTTGGGGTGAATCAGACGAAGAGGGCGAGTATGATCTCGCCACCTGGAAGGAGATCGAAGAAGAGCGTGGTGAACTCCAGCGTGACGTTCTGTCCAAGGAAAAGCCTCGCATCAGCCGCGAGGAAATCAACGAAGCGGTTGATGAAGGAATTGCGGAACTTGTCGTAAAATGGAACGAGAAAACTCGACCCAAATGTGAGAAGAAGGCCTTCCGCTTGTGGAAAAAGTCACGACTTCAGGGCACAAAGCGGGAGCAGATCTTGGGAGCGCAGAAAGACCTCGACCACATCCTCGCACGTATTGCGAAGATGCGCATGGAGATCCTTCATGACGTTTGGAGAAGCAAACAGCAAGTCCGAAAGCAAACTCGCATTATGGAGCTGAGCATCTTTGCCCGTGAAGATCTGACCTTTAAGATCGCAACTCTAGAGCAAAAGACTGCACCTGAGAAGCCATTCCATACCCCATCAGTCGCAGCGCCAAAGAAGTCGATGGGTCCGAATAACGATGGAGAAGGAGAATCAATCGGCAGTGAGAGCGAAGAAGTCAGCTCAGACGATGACATGGATGATTTCGTGATTCCCGACGAAGCTCTCCCCACGCTTGAGGAAGAACGGCACGAGCTCAACCTTGCAGATTCTGAAGATGAGGGTGGGGAGGATGCAACGATGTCTGATGCCAGTATGCCTGATATCTCTGGAGACCTTCTAACACCAACTCGACAAATTCGTCTCGAAGTATCCAAGAAACGTAAACACTCGATTAAAAACTTGGACTCTGACATGGAAGATTACGAATTTCTCTCTCCTCCATCGGCAAACAATATCAGTACCCCGGACATCAAGTACGAAGAGCCGACGCTTCCAGAATTACCAGCTGCATCTCCCAACGCCGTCCCTGAAGTGGTTGATCTAACTATGCTCTCATCAGAAGATTCTCCAGCAAGACAACTTGTCAACCTCATCACCCCGGAGAAAAAGAAAAAGCCACTTGTCAAGTTGACATATCGCAACAGCCCCTTCAGTAGCCCAATCACATTATCAGACTCGAACAATGAAATATTTCCAACAGACAAGATGCCAGATCCCGAGAACATGCCGCCCTACGATGACCCTGCTGCCATTGCGAAATACAGTTACACGGCATGGGCAAGATCGTTTGACAAAGAACGCCTATTAATTAAGGTCTTTCATAGAATGGATGAAGCGAAGAGAGCCTCTTTCTTCGAATTCATGCCTCACGTGGCTGAAATAGACCTTTGGGGCAACATGGCGCAAGTCATTGATGCTTTGATCGCTGGTGATGGGCTTGTACAGGGCATGGATGCCGCAGTACGCGAGATCATTACTGGTTTCATCCGTCTGTTCGTGATGTACATGGATGGTCGCTACCACACCGATCGCAAGACTCTCACGATGGATAAGCTGAAGAAGGTCCTGGAAAATAAGACTCCCTTCTTTACGCCGTTTTATAAACTGTGCTGTCAGATGGAGAGCTATTTCGACCACAGCAAGCAAATTGGACCATCTCCACCCAAACGATCCATATCTGGCGACGTTGATGATGACGATGATGACGGAGAGCCGTTATCAGCAACCAGACGTCGTACTCGGGTTGCCACGTAAATTCCCCTGTTCCCCTTCCCTTTGACAATTTCTGACTCTGAGACAGGACGAGCGAGGAAGAAGTCCCTGAGCAAGACGCTCCTCACAAGAAGCGAAAGAAACCCATCTTTGAGGATGCAAAGGCTCGGGATTTGAGAGAGCTGAATCGAATGCGACTTGAAGAACAAGAAAAGCGACGAAAGGTCCTCCAGGATAGACTAGCCAACTCTGGACATGCAGGTGACGAGGGTCGAGGTATGATCATCATCAATGATGCAGCGGCCGAGGACCAAGGTTTTGTGATGGTGAACAAGCACATTTCCCGCCGCATAAAGAAGCACCAAATCGATGGCGTCCGATTCATGTGGAACCAAATTGTGGCACCTGGGGATGCAGCCATGCAGGGCTGTCTTCTTGCTCATACGTAAGTTTCGACTCCGCTTTTCCGTTGAGCTTTCGTTAATCAAAACAGGATGGGATTGGGAAAGACTATGCAAGTGATCACATTACTTGTTGCCATCGCCGAAGCTGCAGCATCCCTCGATCGAAACGTTTCGGGCCAAATCCCTCAGAGCTTGAAGGTCTCCCGAACCTTGGTCCTCTGTCCCCCTGGGCTAATCAACAATTGGATGGATGAGCTCTTGACTTGGATTCCGGACGATATGCTAGGAACCCTTAATCCCACGAAGGTTGATGCCTCGATCAAGCCACGCGAGAGGCTTGAGACCATTGAAGACTGGTATCTTGGCGGTGGCGTTCTCGTCCTAGGCTACGAAATGTTTCGCGCGTTAATTGAAAACAAGAAGGCCAAAGGCCGTGATACTGCTATCCTCACGGAGGACCAACACGAGCAAGTCCAGAAGCACCTTCTTGAAGGACCCAACATTATCGTCGCAGACGAAGCTCACAAGATGAAGAATGCGACTGCGGCAATCACTCTTACAGCGTCCAAATTCCGATCGAAGAGTCGGATTGCTTTGACTGGTTCCCCCCTTGCGAACAATGTTGAAGAGTACCACACTATGATCGAATGGGTGAGCCAGAACTACCTTGGTAAGTCTTGAGCATTCTATCCGCCTCGAGACGTCGTCTCCTCCCCTAGTCAAAGTGAGAAAGGAACTGATTGCCCCATCTTCTTAGGGCCAATTGTGGAATTCCGAGCCAAGTATGTCGAGCCAATCCAAGAAGGTCTTTGGCAGGACAGCACACCGTCCGAGCGACGAAGGGGTCTTAAGATGCTGGGAGTGCTCAAGGAAGATCTTGCCCCGAAGGTTCACCGAGCCGATATGTCCGTCCTTCGCAACGATCTACCTCCGAAAAAGGAATTCGTCATCACAGTTCCCTTGACTGAGATTCAGCGAAAAGCTTATTCCATTTACGTGCGGTCCATGATTTCTGGCTCTGCATATTCGCTCACCAAGGCTGGGGAAGTCACGCAAACGACGATTTGGCACTGGTAAGTGCATCCATCTTCAAGTCTCCTCTTACGCGCTCCAAAGGCCGGCATGTGCCGGCAGAAGATTGAAATTCTCTTATAGATCTTATCAATTTGTAGCCGATGTTTCTAGCAAACTCCCGATCATTGAGAAAGGACATTCACTGACCGCTATTAACTATAGGTTAGCAATCCTTTCGCTGCTTTGCAATCACCCAGAGTGTTTCAATGCCAAGCTGCACGACCGTAAGAAAGACGCACGAAATGAGATCGCGGCGGGGACAAATGCGCCGAATTCTCGCGACGGAACAGACCTTGACGAAGTAGCTACGGAACTCAATACCGCTGTCTGGAAAGTTGGCGTTTCACAGGATCTCATCAACGAGGAGACCAAGCTTTTTAAAGAGGAGGCTCCTGACATGAAGTCAATCGAATTATCTTACAAAGTCAAGATCTTGTGTCAAATTCTGGACGCCTCTAAACTGGCAAAGGATAAAGTCCTAGTATTCTCGCAATCTATTCCGACACTGGACTTCCTGGAAAAGCTCTGCGTTCGACAAGGACGAAAGTATGCGAGACTCGATGGCAGCACTCCGATGGCCAAGCGACAAAATATGATTAAGGATTTCAATAAAGGTGATACTGAGATCTACCTCATTTCCACGGCTGCGGGTGGCTTGGGATTGAACCTCCCGAGTGCGAACCGAGTTGTGATCTTCGACTTCAGATGGAATCCAATCATGGAAGAGCAAGCCGTGGGACGAGCCTACCGAATTGGCCAGACGAAACCGACATTCGTCTACCGCTTTGTTGCAGGAGGCACATTCGAGGACAGTGTTCACAACAAAACTGTCTTTAAGATGCAACTGGCATCAAGAGTCGTTGACAAGAAGAATCCCATAGCATATGCATCCAGGAAGCTCTCAGATTATCTGTTTGAGCCGAGGGATGTTCCCCAGAAGGACTTGACCGAGTTTGTGGGTATGGACCCTCTGGTGTTGGACAAGATCTTGGAATATCAAGAGGACAGCCCCGTAATTCGTTCGATCGTCCAGTCAGACACGTTTGAGCGCGATGACGACGATAAGCTCACCGCTGAAGAGCTGAAGGAGGTCAAGCAACTGCTTAGTGATGAGCAGCTCAAACGTTCCAATCCCCGTAAGTGGGTCGAGCTCCAGGCGCAACGAAGCCAACAACTTCACAAGGAGGCTCAACGACAAGGTCTTGCCCTACAAGCTCAGCGCGCACCTCAAACGAACATCGGATCCGCAAACCGACCACTTGGTGCAGGCCAAGGAATGCACCCCGCGATTCCTGCTCGATCAGCCAACGTTCAGCAGAACCCTTGGGGCATGCGTCCAAAACCTGACTCTGATGTAGTGATACCATCTGATTTTATCGTGAGTACGGGTGTACATCCAGCCAACCACCCAGCGCAAGTCTCCAATCAGTCTACTTCGCCGAATCAAAATCAAGTCGCAGGTCCCTTGACGCCAGTCAATCCCTCGGCACAGACCTCCAAGCCAGCTCCGCCACCAAATCAAGATCAAGCCTTTGGTAGAGCTCACAATTTAGGTCGGTATAAGACTCCTGTTTCTGGAAACCCATCTTACCGCCCAGGATCCCCAATCCACGGAGCAAATACCAAGGTTGGCAGTCCGCCGTTGGAGAACGGAAAGACATCATCTCTTCAGAAGTCTGTGTCACCGCCAGTCACTAAGACACTTCCACGCAATGGACCAGGCAGAGAGGAACTGGGTACTCCTGAAAGCCAGAAGACGGTAAGAGTGCTATCCTCGCCTTCCTAACGAATAGAAATCATTCTGACATTTGCCTACAGCTCTTCCGCGAAATCGATACGATCTTACACGAAGCTGCCAAACGAGCCAACGAATCAACTGGCCGCGAGACTACGATCCAGCGAGATGATAGAGTTACACTGATCTCAATGGCCATCAAGAAATTGGTAAACGGCCTGACAGTCAATGAGACATCACGAGAGAAAGCGATGCATGCCGTCCTCGCTGAATTGAGACTTGACAGCATCAAATGCCAGGCACTGCTAACTTCACAGCTAAGCGTGGACGACTTCGTTCGCGAAGTTTTGAGGTTGAATTTGCGCGTGGTTCCAAAGCCCCATCAAGCACCAAGCTCATCTAGCAGCAACGGTGTAGATGACATCACCCAAGTATGCAAATCTCAAAGCTCTCAGCAATCTCCGCCTTCCGTTATCGCCACTCTCATGCAGCCAACCGCTGAAGTTGAAAAGAGACCTGCAGACTCCCTCAATTTCTCTCTTCCTTCATCTTCAGCTTTCCAGACAGGTCCGGCACTTAAGCAAGCTCCAAAATCGGAATTGCTTGTCTCGCATGAGCTGAATGGTCCCCCCAAGGCCATTATTCATCAAAGCAGCAGAGAGGAACAGATTGGCCAGAACAAACCAGGAGAGCAAGAATATCCTCAAAAGCAAATGACAGGAGAGACATCTCAGCAAATCAAGCCTTCTGAAGTTCAGAATGTTGAGCAGACTGCCAATGAAGTCGCCATTCCTGATGACGCTCGTTCAGTGTCAAGCGACGGTCCTCCTCTATCAGAATCAATTCTCAAGCGCTTTTTCAGTGTCCTTCCTTCCTCGCTAACTCATCTCAATTTAGAGCGACATGTTTCTCGCCATGAACCGCCAGCCTCATCGCCAGGTTCAATCTCTCCGCACCCCAGTCTCCAATCCCAAGCGAAGCGGGAAGGACAGGTCGTCATTCCTAAGCTCACACCGCCTAGAGGATGAGATAGAGCTGCAAAAAATCAAGCGGAGAAGACAGCGAAAGAGTAATCAGATCCCGGGATGGGCAGAAGACAATATCACCCGAGCGAGGAGCGAACATCGTCGAGATTCTCGCGCATCTTCTCGATCGACTCCAACACGACCTGAGAAATAAGGCACCTACTTAACTTATTTTACTTCGATTGTACATAGTTCTTTTGCTTTTGCTTTCTTTTTGTGGCATCATCTTGACACATGTCAAGTAGCATCACGTGCATAAGGGAGGAAATTTGCGTGAAAAAAAGCATCATCAGAGCGAGGCGTTGCGGAGAAAGATACCATTGCTTGATTTTCGGGCGCTGGCGCAATTGGGTCACATCTCTTTGCTTTGCGTGGTTTTCACAAGGGGTTTGCATGGAATGGAGTTGCTTGCGATGACTTGTGATGGACCAAAACGGACACGGGAAGGCAGTGATGAATTGATAATGCAGGATGGATTTAGCATGAGGATGAAATTCATGTTCCGAATCCTTCCTTGACTGTCTCTGTGCTCTCCAACATCAAGTGACCCTAAATCGAAATACGTACGATCGTTCCTTCAACTAAATGGTTGAGGGAGCTGATCAGAAGTCTGGCTCCAAACAATCAAGGGAATATTTCCCTTTACTGATTCCATAAGTAATGAAAATGTCATCGGTCACAGTGGTAAAGTCTCAAACCACTCTGCTATTCCCAATACTCATTGTCCCATGTCAGTAGGGACAATTCCATCGATTCATGTCTGAATATTCCCTCGAATTGTGGTATATTTGAATCTATCAGTCCCAAGTTCACCTCGCAATGACCTCGGCACCATAGATAGCAGCGCTTCCCATGCCCAGGCCCCCCGCGGTGATCAGACCCCAAGCCAGTGCTCCCGCTTCCCAGTCATCCTCGGCATTCTCATCCCCTTCTTCCATCTGATCGCTTCCCGTCGGCTGATACGAAGCGTCATCTGCATCGTCGCCGTTCGTCGGAGCCTTCCTGGACGACCTCCCTTGGCGCTTTGAGACTGCGCTTGTCTCATCAAGGTCGGGCGTGTTGTTCTCTGATCTTCTGGGTCGACCGCGGCGGCGAGTCGCAGGTGTGGCCTCGAGTCTTCAATTACAATGTTAGCGAACTCAATAACCCAACTTTCCTTGGCACATTGAGGCTTTTCTGAATTCTTAATCCCAACTGTTGAAAATGGGTTACAAGTTCGAGTGAATTGGGGGTGACATAGCATTGTTGCATATGCGCCAATTGGGAGAAGCAGAACACATACTGTTTGACGGGTTTCTCTGCCTCTTCCTTTCTGCTCATAGACACGTCTCCTGGCTCTTTCTGTTTCTGCGGTAGGAACAGTACGCTTGATCCCAACATGTCAGCCGGATCAAGTCCACGAATCGCAGCCCATATGCCAAGACTAAGTCCTGACAGAAGAACATCTAGGTAGCAGGAGAGTCAGCAATTGCTCGATACAGATTGTTCCGGGGCGGCTGGGATATTATCTCAGGAGAATTTCACGAGACTGTCCAGAACAGGAAATGGTTCTCCCCCAACACCTACCACTGCCAAAAGCTGAGATTGCTGGGTGCTCTAAAACTGCACCAAATATCCGACTCAAAGCAGTGGAGCCACGATTCAGAGCCGAGCGGTACTCTCCCTCGAATGGATGAAGAAGGCTATGGCGATAATAGGTGCTTTCTGGCGTATTGTGGAAGAGTGCGAAGAACGATGATTTGACATGGAGAAGGGAAGAAATGGTCGAAATGGTTCGGAAGAGCGTTGTATATGTAGCGTGTGTATCGTGAGGATGGCTGTGAACATTACCCCAGGTTTCTGGAATGATATACGGAAGTGCCAAGAATAAGAACGGCAGAGCTCGTGAAAGCATTGAGACAATCATGAAAGAAGGTGTGTTCGAGGCGTATGGAATTAGGAACGTCGCTACGAAGTTTGAGACGAGCAGGAACAAATAGAGAGCCGGTTTCGGGACGAAGCCTTCTGGTTTGGTTGGAAAGACTCTCGCCACGAGCTGAGCGTATCTAGAAACTCGATCAGTCTGAGCGAAGCACCAACAAAGGGTTATCCTTACCTGCCCCAAGTTGGCACAGAGGATCGCGTCAAGTCCCTCACATTCTCAGGGAGTGGTACTGGGGTCAGTAGAACAGTGACAAAGAAGAGGTTTTGTGCATAAGAGAGATTGACCATCTGGGCCAGGGCGAGGTAGGCCCACAAGTTCGGAATCTTTCGTCTCTGTCCTTCTATGGCAAGGTAGGTGCTCCAGGAAACTAAGGCAAGGTTGATCTGCTGACCCCACCAGAAATAGCGAGCCTTTTCAGCAACTATCTCCAGTGCGTCCCGGTACAAAGGAGTATCGTTGAGCCATCTGACAATTTGAAGTCTTCCAGGGTGTTCGCCACCTCGAAGAGCTCCATTATCTCCGAAAACACTGGTCTCAGCGTCAGCTTTTGTTCTCAATAACCTCAAAATCGGGATTCCAAACCTATCAGGTAACTCAACTCCTCGTTCAGTAGCCCAGACTCGGTACGACAGGCTACTGAATGATACACCAAAGTACGCAGCTGCAGCCAAGCTCACGAGCGCCAACAGTGAAAAGGCCTGGACATATCCTTGCCGTAAGGGCTCACGGAATCTGGTTGCTGACGAAGGTGGAAGTGCAATGTATGATCGATACACCGTTCTCAGAACAACGACAGAAATATAGCTCACGGCGAATACATGTGTCGCTACCACCCCAGTTGGGAGATAGCTGTGGCCGTTAGCAAAGATGCACGAAAGCCTGAATTGTTTCACTTTACAAGCAACACTCTATACAAGAGGAGGTCTTCCGATGACTTTCCAGAAACTCGAGATGGGTCTGAAATATCATATATCAAATGTAATTGTAGAAGAAAAGCACCAACCTTGCCGTTGTTTGCAGCTCTACCGGCGCCATGTTTTCAGGAAGCACCTTCTGGACCTCTTTTACGACGATTTCCGGTACTTTGGAAGGCTTAGGACCGACGGACGGACAGCCGATACGTCTTCATAAAATGCTTCTCTCACGACCAGGAAACGGAAGTGCAAAGCAGTGTTTATACACAGAACTTGGAACGCGCCTAAAGAAGTTGGATGTCGTGGTTTGTCACGTGTTGCCCCACAATTTTCGAATGATGGACGCGATGCAGCCTTGCGGCAAGGATTCACGCTGTCTCAAATCAGTTGACACATTGACACTGAGCTCCACAACCATGAGATAGCCCCCATGAAGACGTCTGTATCCCCAGAGCTACGGCTATCACTCTCCCCTGCCATTCGTTTCCCCATCTCTACCCGCCGACGGTGGAGAAGATGTATCACCTAGCCAAAGGTCTATATCTGTACGCAACCAGCAAAGAAGGTCAATTCCCTTTCCCTCCCCCACTTCCCTGCCCAACCATAATCTGACAGCTGGCAGAATACTCCGTCCTCCTCCTCGGACTCGACAATGCGGGCAAGACTACATTCCACGAGCAAGTCAAGTCCCTCTTCCTACCCACCAACCCCGCGCCCAAACTCAAGACTGTGCCTACGGTAGGACAGAATGTCTCGACGATTACATTGTCGGATATGTACCTGAAGATATGGGACGTTGGGGGCCAGCACAGTTTGCGCAAGCTGTGGCAGAGCTACTACACTTCGTGTCATGCGATTGTGTTCGTGATCGACAGCACGGATATCGGGGATGGGAATCTGGAGCATGATAATAGTGGGCGACTGGAAGAATGCAGGCTTGTGCTGGAAGATGTGCTGCAGCATTCGGAGACTGAAGGCGTCCCGTTGTTAGTACTGGCGAATAAGCAGGATAGGGAGGACTGTGTAGAGGTGGTGAGGATTAAAGAAGGCCTAGTAAAAAAGGTCTTTGAGGGAAGCAAAGGGGCGAGTATTAGGGATTCGAGGGTGCTGCCTGTGAGTGCGTTGACAGGGACCGGGGTGAAGGAAGCTGTGGAGTGGGTGAGGAGTAGAGTGAAATGGAATAAGGAGGGGAGGCCGCCTGTTATGCGGTGATGCGTGTTTTGCGATCTGGCGACTTATAGACAGCGAGGCGTTCAGGGCGATATTTCGTTTTCAGGATAGGGTCATAGATAACGGGCTTGGATTCCTCTCATCTGAATCTATCCTTGAGAATTTGAAGGCTGCTCATTCCAGATTGACAACCGCACTCAACAGCCCGGTCTCCGTATCCTGCACGAAACCTACTATTTGCATCCCTTTGAAGAACGGACTGGCCCTCAAGATTTCCACATCCTCCTTCACACTTTCCTCCGGCGTTACAAAACTGCCAAATACTGCCCCATCCAAGACCTCCTTTCCTTCCATCCCAACACCCTCCCCAAGCACACTTCTAATTTCATCATCACTAGCAGTCTGCAGTCCACAATCCGTGTGATGCACCACCATGATCACTCCTTTCTTCCCCAGATTACCCACTGCAGAGAGAACCAGAAGTGTGCTCATAGCTGCGTGAACGCGGCCACCTGCTGTGCGGACTACTGTTGCTTCTATTTTCCCTTTCAACACAAGATCAAACCTATAAACAGAGAACTTACTATTCCCTTCATCCGTACTCATGCCCAAGAATTCCTCAGGAGTGACGCGGGGATCGGTGCAAGCCACTAACGTACTGCTATCAGTTTTATCCTCGTCTTGAGATATACAGGATACTCGGGATGAGATTGGGACCTACAGACTATCACAGTCCCATCTTCTCTTTCTCGGCCCTTCTTCTGCATCTCCTTGAATGGGATGGGTGGTTTGTAGTCTTTGCTTTCTGCCCATTGTCTCCATTTGAAGATAAAATCGTTAGTATCTTGCTTTTGTCTGATCTTGTCGTAACTTATCTCATCCCATTACAATTGGTTTCGTGATCGGAAGAGAAGAACGTACCGATTCTTAGCCAGATATGAGGCAATGCGAGGATCGAGCTCTCGAGTCATGTTCATCGACTTCATGGAAATACGGCGAGATGGGTAGTACAGTGAAGCGTCTAGTGAAGTGAGCTAGACGAAACTGAGCTGGAGATAGCGGCATGAGTGCTTATCTGAGTGCATCGAAAGGGGCGTTTTTAGTGAGGTTTTGGGTGTTAGTGACGGGCATGGTGGGGTGAAGCTCGAAGTCAAAGTTTCAGGGTCTTTTGTTCCCCAAGGTTTTAAATCTTTGATGGGTGTGGTTTGAAATTCGGGAAGTGAGTGGAATGGGGTTAGTAAGTAAAGTGGGACAGTCAACGAAGCCAGATCTTGAGAGGATGAGGTGTCATCAGGAAGTTCATTCCATTGCTAGGTCGTTCTATGCACGCCAAAGGCGGCATCATCATTAACACCGCCTAATGTTATAATCCGGAACGCCAGTCCCAAGTCCCATGCCCATCTCCCCGCCCGTGCGCCGATGCCATCCCAACCCATCATCTATTCGCAAGGAAGGACCGCTAAATCGACAGAGTTCCGATGCCCAAATCCGAGGACCGGAAGTATTGGGAAATTCATCTCTAAAAGCTCAGTGGCTCATCGTATCGTTCAAAAGGGAAATATGGTGTTGTAAACGACATAGTCTGGGGTATCCGGTGTATCACGTAGTAGAGGGTCTTGCAATCGCCATTGCTCACTCATTCCCTTCAACCTTCAACTGCCTCCTCTGACGAGCTCCTCTACTATATCTCGCTAATATCGTGTTTCTTCTAATTCGGCCGTTTCGTCGTAGAGGGCGAGTCGTAATGTATATGTACGGGTGTAGGTTGTACGCTTCAAAAGGTGCTCCAGTTCCAGTCCCTCGGGACGCTGGCAGCAATGCTCTCGGACAAGCCACCGGCTTTCCCAAACACATTGCTCATAGCTCCCCTAGGCTTTCCGCAGCTTACAGTCGGTGTGGCAGGCTCTTCGCTGTGCGAGCTCTCGCTGTTGGAACGGCTCGATCTTGCAATCTGCCAGCGACGATAGTCGGTCCAGCAATGCTCGCACGAGCGAACTCTCGTGCCCTTGGGATGATAATTCGCATCCTGATCTAGAGGAATTGTGTATAAGGAATGCAGGTCACAGAAAATATTTCCACAGCGTCGACAGTGGTGCCGTCGTGTGAAGTAGGTGAAATATCTTGTACAGGTGGTTTCGTCGCAGATGGAAGATTCCGAGTCAGGCTGCAGAGAGGAAATCAATTAGCATGAAATTCAAATAATGCGTAATAAGTGCGGTTTCAAAAAGGGAGCACAGCGAGTGGTCGAGGACGTGGGGGGTATGCAGGTAGAGCCGAATGGGCTGATGTGATGGCAGATTTTTGCTCAGGCGAGTGAGGTTTGCAGCCGAGCGATGCCTGAGAAATGTTTGTGCCAGGGGTTTCGCCGTTGAAACCAATTTTTTTTTTTTGAGCACGCGATGACCATCAAGGTATTGCGACATAGTACCTGACGGCCATATATATGCCTGCGGGCCCCCTCGTCCGAAATTTGTTGATGCAAGGTCGTAAGGATTCACGGTATTCAAACCAAGAAAGTCTGCTAACATACCTTCCAGTGCTCTCGTGTCGGCTGGGCCGTAACCTTGCCCAGTCCTTCCGTGCTCCACTCCGCCTCAGTTATTGCTCCTAAACCGAACTTTCCACTGTCTCCCGTCGAGAGTCTATTCAGCGTTCGTGCATTCTCGAGATCGTCGAAACTGTTGTTACCGCTCTGTGGTGGGGTCAACGGAGACTGTCTTGTCACTCTCCGCGGAGGATCGGTGGGACGCAAAACCGCTGGTACATAAAGTGGTGACTTTGGTGGACGAAGCTGGCGAGTATGCTGTGGCAGATGGGGAGGCAGGGCGGTTCGAGGAGATGTTGGGGAGGCGTTATTAATATTGGGCGTCGCAGTCGCAGAGTTGGTTGGGGAGATCTGCTGAGTCTGCGAGTTGAAGAGGGTGTACTGTGAAGGGGACGCTGTGAACTGTGGCACAGGGAATTCCGATGCCATGGCAGTCATGGGTTTCTGTGGAGTGTCGACCTTATCGTCGATTGTGGAGGAGGAAGAGCTCAGGATGGGCTGGTTGGGTTTCTCGAGAAACATTCAGTCGACTGAAAGCGGAATTCGATATCGAGAGAACCGGGAACTCGTGCATGAGAGGGGCCACACTTGTGCCAGAGCAAATGCGACAATGCCACAGTCGGGTTTCCGCCGCCAGCTCACCGAGCTACAATCACGTTGCGGGTATCGTAGGCGTAGTCGCTCCCTTCTGTCGTGCAGCCTCGCGGTAGCACAAACGAAGATGATAACTCTGGAAACACCAATGGGCCACGTTCCGACGGGCGGTGGGACTGTGGTTGTCAACGGCGAAGTGTGCGACGTTGGGTTTCTGTTACAGCAAAATATCGTGGCTTCGGTGGGTGTTCTATTCCCGGGCCGGCGCCGAAAGATGGCGAGGGAATGGGGAATTGATAAGCCCACAATCCGGTCGCAATCCGGTCAAATCCGGTCGCAATCTGATGTCTCACTCTGGAGGGTTCAGCGACAACGCGGCCGATGCGGTACTCGAAGGCTGCGAGGGCTGGTGTTGTCGAGAGTCGAGATCGCAGAGGCAAAGACGTGCAGGAGTGGAGGGTAGGTACATAGAAGTAATACCAGCACGCTCTATGATGGCACTAGGTTCTGGAGATAGCCCAAAATTATCAACCAGTTCGGTCTCATTGGCTGATGGCATGGATTGCTGGGGCAATATCGGAGGGAGGAGGACTCAGGGTGGTCTGAAGGCGCTGGAGCCGCTTTGGGCAACCCGAGCCTGCGATCAGCCACATTCAGGTGGAAGCAGACGAATGTCCCGTCAATTCCACTGCGTCTCGGGCCATCTTGTTGCGCAAAATTCAAGATTCAGGATCGATCCTGATATCACACACCACCGCATCTCAGCCGCATCGTCCTTCGTCGCCAGCGCCAGCCCATTCTCGTCGCGGCAATTGAGGCGGAGGTCTTTGATCGCGGCCGTTTTCTTTTGATAGACCGGGATCTGCTGGGAAGACCACTGTCGTGTGCTTGCGCGAAACTTGGCGAAGGCGATGTCCAGGGGTCCTGAGTCGTTGAACTGTCTCGCAGACTCCCTTGTCTTATCGCGTCACTTTCATTCGATTTTGATAATTCCACGGCACGGGCAGCGCCGCGGCCAGCCTTTATGACGGCGGAGGGCATTCTGCCCTGCAAGAAAGTCGATGCTCATGACAAAAGCGCAAAGGTATATTTGCACTTAGACCACATTTCAAGCAAAAGAATCCTACCCAACCGCAGGGCCCCCGCTGCCAATAGCCCAAGTGACTGAATTGACTTCTGCCCCCTGTTTGACAACCCTCCTCGTGATGAATCTGACTCGTGCAATGGACGACCGCCCAGGCGGTGAGGTGGTTGTGGAGCAAGTGATGGGGACGATTCTTTGATATAGACACGCCAGCTTGCAGACGACTTCCCGTTTCTCGGAGGCAAGCGACGATGCAGCTAAACTCAATCGATCTGCCAGCATGAACGCTCCGTCGGCAACGGAAAAATGAGGCAGTGGCTGAAAGGATGGCACCCCCGTCGCCGACAAACTCGCCGTCCAGAAGGAGAGCGATCAGAGCGATCAGAGCGAGAGTTGCACCTCTTCATCTACGTTACTATATGTGAGACGGAGGCATGCCCTTCGGTATCGTGGGGAAATTACCGGTATTGTGGGGAATCCAAGGGTTTGAGCGGATAAAGCAAAAGAAGGCTTGCGCAAAAGGATTTCTATGACTGAGGAGCAGAGTTCTCGAAGCATTCATCGTTCTAAAAACGTGGGAAGCCAGGACAGAAGAATCTCCTGTTCCACCGAGATGGATTCCATCCAATGGAGTGGTACACGAATCATTACTTAGAAAGCTAGATGTACGGGAGCCGCCCGAGCTGGGTCTCGGGGAGGATGTAATTTTACTGAGATGTGTGTCCAAAACAGAATCAACCTGAGGATTCTGAGGATTCTGGAAGTGGCAGATCCAGCGCTTAGGTTGTTGTATTGTGTAAGAGAGGTACATGCTTAGCTAGTTACAATTGCAGTGCAATAGTCTACCTTAAAACTAAGTTGTAGGATACATCCCCCGCCGTACTGTACTCAAGAGTACCGCTAGTCTATACTCGTCGCTCTTCCGGACGGAGTACCATCGCTGGCCAATATTTGGGTTATGCCTAACCCCAGGAATCACCGCGCTTGAGTCCTATAGTGTCTAACACGAGAAGGGTTTAACGAACGCGCCGACTCTCCCCCTTCATTTTCATCCTGCGGGCAAGCCCTCCAAAGGTCCAGTCCTCCTCTTGCTTCCGGGGTATTTGTCGAGGCCGGGGCCTAATCCAAGGGAATTAATAGAGAGGGCTGCTCTCGAGTAACCGGCAGAACTAAGAGCCAGTTTTCTGGTTGTGTATGTGGTCCCCAGCGCTTTAACCTGCAGTTGCTATTTGTAGTCGTCGCTCTCCAAGGACCCGTCCCTGCTCTACCCCCCAGCCGTGCTATAGAAACTGTGTTGGGTAATCCTTGAGCCCTCTCTCCGTCCAACAAATATATGTATCGATCGAGGGGTATAGTCGATCGATTCGAGGTGCGGCGATGTCGCCGAGGAGGGTATTCGATAGTGTCGTATTGGCAGACTGCCACGTTGCCTTTTGGTAGTAGTAACGAGTTCTTCTTCTCCAGGCTGATCCTGTCCTAAGGAAGCAGTATAATACCATAGGCGCAGGGTTGAAGGTTCATAGCGGACACCACGGATAGGTGCTGAGCCTTCGTCCACCGGGGGTGGCAGATCAAACTTGGTCTGAGAAGGCGGGATGGGATCAACAGCGAACTTCGATATCATCCTGAAAAAAAAAAGTTGCTAATTTGCACCTTCGTAGAAATGAGGGAACCAGGACGAAAGGACAAAGGAAGCAAAAGAACAATGATGGGGTAGGAGATGAATATCGTTTTAGAGACTGTGAGAATATAAACCGGTGGATGTTCCACTTCCCGCTCAATTGTGAGATTGAGTACTGCTGAGCTTCATCTCTCGCAAGGAGTCATCTGGCGAGGTCGCTGCCGCGTTACCCTGCAGTCTTGCGTGTATCTCGGACGAGGAACGTATCTGGCAATAGGTTGCACACGTTGTTCCTTGGAAACCGAAGGTTGAAGCAACGTTGGACGCGCCTCACGAAATGTAGCTCGAGGAAGGCACGCGACCTCGGTCGCATCCTAAGAAACTAGGTAAGGGTTCCATTTTTTCTCAACCAACCAATCATATGACCAGCCTTGTTTGTTCATCAGCCCTACCTTGAACAGGGGCTCGGATCAGCATCACTCACTCAACCTCATTTGTGCCAGAAGATTTCACTTGCCTCACGGTGGACATAGAAGGGGCACAGGATGTACTCAGTTCGATGGGGTATTTCGACCACGCCCCCTCCTTATGTGGAGACCTCGGACTCATGTGGCTAGGTGTTTCCCGTATTTCACAGTTGGCGCGATAAAATCCTTGAACTCTCATTCGTCCCCGCCTTGCGAGGCCGAGGCAATGCATATGAACATGGAGAGCTCATAAAAGGGCTTCACATCGTCTCAATCCGCCAGTAGTCATTGTCCTCCATACCATCGACGGTGCAAATTTAATGGCTTCACCTTCTTCTCTGTTCTCGTGAATCTCAAGATTCTCAAACTTCAAGCTTCAACTACCCTCCGACCCTGACCTGTGTGCAACATGGCTACCTCTGAGGTTGAAGCTCTGACTCCCCTTGCAACTCCCGTCCCAGATGGGCCCACCGAGCTACCCTTCTCCGAGCTGCAATGGTCTACTTTGCTGGCCATAATGGACACGGTCATTCCATCAATTCGAAGAGAAACGACGACAAACAACACGATCAACCAGTTAACCATCTCAGACGTCGAGTACAACAAAACCGTGAAGCACCTCAAGAAGACGTTGGCCAATTCGCCTGACAGCGAGTCTTTGGACGAATATCTCGACGAAAAGCCCTCTGATAATCAAAGATTCCAAGCCCTGCTACAACGAACGCTTTCCACCTTCGTCAGGGATGATGCAAGGCAGGGCTTGTCATTGATACTGACAACACTGAAGTAAGAAGATACTCTTCCTCTCCTTCACACGCGAAACCCATGGTTCTGCACAGAGAAAACTGATTTAATTGTAGCACTCGAGTCGGGTCTCTCATGCTCACTGGCTATGCTACCCCATTCCAAGACCAACCAGTTCATCTCCGCCAGACTATTCTCGATGGCTGGCGTGTCTCCTATCTCCCCCCTCTGAATGCGGTCCACAAGCAGATGACGCTTGTTGCGAAAAGTATCTGGCTCAAGACAAGTCCAACATACCACAAGCTCTCCGGATTCACACCAGTCCCAAACCACTACAAGCCAGGTTCTCACTACGAATATGAATTTCTGCAATTCCCTGCTGGATCTGGGCCAGAGATGGTCGATACGGACGTTGTAATTGTTGGCTCTGGGTGTGGTGGGGCGGTTTGTGCGAAGAATTTGGCAGAAGCTGGGCATCGCGTTCTGGTCGCCGACAAATCATATTACTATCCTCCGGAGCAGCTACCGATGTCAGAAGAGGAGGGTGGTATTCATTTGTTTGAAAATGGAGGAGTCGAGATGACGGATGATGCTTCTATGGGTATCATCGCAGGCAGCGCGTGGGGAGGAGGCGGTACGGTCAACTGGTCGGCCAGTCTTCAAACCCAAAGTTTTGTCCGAAAAGAGTGGGCACAGGACAGAGGCCTCACGTTTTTCGAGACTGCCGAATACCAGAACTGTCTTGACCGAGTTTGTCATCGTATGGGGGTTTCTGCCGAACACATCCATCATAACCATGGAAATGAGGTTCTCTTGGAAGGCTCGAGGAAACTAGGTTACCATGCCAAAGCCGTACCTCAAAACACGGGAGGAGCCACGCATTACTGTGGACATTGTACGCTGGGTTGTGGAGCCGCTCAGAAGCAAGGACCAGTCGTTTCTTGGCTACCAGATGCCGCGAAAGCTGGTGCAAAGTTTGTGGAAGGCTTCAAAATTGAACGTGTGATATTCGGCCAGGCCAATGGCAAAAAGAAGGCGGTCGGAGTCGAGGGGATCTGGACATCTAGGAATAAAAACGGCGGCGTAGATGGACCTCTCTCCGAACGAATCATCCGTAAGGTTATTGTCAGAGCCAAGAAGGTTATTATATCTTGTGGAACCTTGTGGAGTCCGATCGTGTTGATGAACAGTGGTCTCAAGGTAAATCACTTCCTCTGGGTAATAAATTAGCTGACAGGTTCAGAATAAACAAATTGGACGCAATCTTTACCTTCACCCTGTCAATCTTGTTGCTGGCGTGTACAAAGAAGATATCAGACCCTGGGAAGGTAACTTCCATCCTTTCATTCTCAAGTATGGCTTGCTGACGGACTTAGGTGGGATCCTAACCTCCGTCTGCTCAACATTCGAAAACCTTGACGGCCATGGGCATGGCGTGAAACTCGAAGCAACCTGCATGCTTCCATCATTCTTCCTTCCTACCATGAATTGGAACAACGGATTGGACTACAAGACACAAGCTCTGAAATTCCGACATACCAACGGATATATTTCCATCTGCCGGGATCGAGATACTGGAAGAGTCTACCCAGACCCAACGTCAGGAGTTCCTCGATGCCAATATTCGCCAAGTGCCTTCGACCGTGCACACATCATGGAGGGGCTTGTCGCTCTGGCCAAAATTTGCTACGTAACTGGCGCCACCGAGATCCATGCCTCCATCCAAGGTCTGAAACCATTCATCCGAGATCCCGATGAAGACAGCACGTCAGAAGAACAAGAGGACCCAGGCGTGACCAATCCCCGCTTTCGAGAATGGCTTGAAGAACTCCGACGTATTGGTAACAAGCCTCCAACGGGAACGTTCGCCTGCGCACATCAGATGGGAAGCAACCGTATGAGTAGTCGTCCGCAAGATGGGGTGGTTGATCCTAAGGGTAAGGTTTGGGGTACTGAAGATCTTTATGTTTCAGATGCGAGTGTCTTCCCCAGTGCGAGTGGAGTCAACCCAATGGTGACGAATATGGCTATCAGTGATTGGATCTCGAGAGGTATTAGCAAGGAGCTGAGGAGCATGAATGGAAAGGCCGAGCCGAGGTTGTAAGCCGAGGATAGTATAGCTCATCGTCGTCCCCCGTGTGTCTTTCCATCTTGATTGTATTTTGGCCATTTTCGCGAGCCGTGGTAGTTTGGCAAGTGCCTGGTAGATTCGTCCTTATGATCGTGGTCAACTACGACATACGTCGTGCCATCACTGCGTGTGAACTCGAGAGTCCTCTCCCACACGACCCCTCCAAGCTTACTCTCTGTCTTGATCCAGGGCGTGATAACCCGCGTATCTGCACCCACGGAATCCGGCGGCGGCTCTAGGTGGTCCTCTTCTGGCTCGAGCTCTGGCTCGGGTGCTAGCTCCGGTGCTGGCTCGGGTGCTGGCTCCGGTGCTTGCTTGGGTTTTCGTGCTCGCTTTTCCTTCTTGTCCTTCTTTGTTTGCTTTTTGGGGCGTGGGTCTTCGCCGCTGCCCTTTCTCTTCTTGGCGTGAGGGGTCGAGGAGGGTGCTGAGGTGGAGGGTGCTAAGGGAGAGGGAGCCGGATCCTTCTCCTTCCCCTCGAGAAGGATTGGGTTCATCGGAGCTGTGGCCTGCTCCTTCGCCTTCTCCTTCCCGAGGGTTGGGTTCATCGGATCCGCTGTCATGAGCGAAACTTTGAACGTCCGGACGAAGAAATCGATATCCTCGCTGCGCACGCCTTCGTATTTCCGACGAAAGGCTTCGCAAAACTCTTCTCGGTTGTAGTCGTCCTTCTCGGACGCAACCGGCCATTCCTCCAACGCCTTCTCCGGCACTACTCACTGTCAGTTGCTTCTCCTCCAAGAATCTTTCGAGATGGAAGTGGACTTGAGACGGAACATACTCTTCTCCACGGTAACTATCTCCCGTGTTCCCTCCGCAGACACCAACATCCACTTTCTACCCATCATAAAGACAGGTTCCTTAACGGGCTTTTCGCCCGGTACTCTCTGCCTTTTAGGCTCTTTCCTATCGTCCGAAGCCGTCCAGCGCGCGCTGTACGACTGCCGCTGGTACCTAGTTTCCCAGGCCGCTTTCGCCTCTCTCAGCAAGAGGGTCTTGGTGTTTTCGTTCATGGTGTCGGATGAGTAGAATCGAGGTTGCGCTTTCATCTGATTAGCTACGCCGAGTTAAGTTGGAGCTTCTGGGAACTTACGTGGAAAGGTTGTGTTGCTGAGGAGAAAGGAGAAAGAAAGAAAGAAAGATCGAGATTTGTATTTGTGGGCAAAAAAATTGCCGAGATCGCTCTGAAGAAGTGAATTGGAGAGTATTTTTGCAGGGCCGAGACTGATTGAAACTGCATCGCTTTTTGTCATGTCGTAAACCGATTTGTGTCAAGCGTAGCTTAAATGATTTCAGCCGACGGCTGTATTTTGCTATTTTGGGGGCCATAGAATTGATTTATTTACAATGTATAAAGCTGGGTTTTCTACTTCAAACGAAGTGATGCATGCTTCTTGACATAGGGGCTGATGTCAAGTAGAATATCACGAGTCTTTTGTTTACTTGAGTCGCCAGCTAGAATAGCACGCAGCAAATAATTTTGTGAGGTTGATATTAATAACTGCAATACAAGTCCATCAACATTACGATACTACGGTACTTGCAATAGTGAAACAATAATAGAATCTACTTCATTTCTGTCTTGTTGCTTTTAGCGTGTCGGTCACGGAGAAACCCCTTAGCGAGCCGAAATTCCAATCGAAATCTGGGGTGGGTCTCATATAATTGAATAAGCTCTTTTGTGTAAATGTTTCTACTTGGCATAGATATGCATGGCTTTAGTGTTTGCGCAACCTGGAAAATTGCCATCACTAACAGCCGATCCGGATCCCACCGGACTCCAAACGGGCATTCATGGCGGTCAGCTACCCGTCTCGACAGTGGTGGGAGGAAGTAATAGGTCGAACTCGAAAAGTCATATCTGAGGTACAGCGCCAGCATACTGGGGTGGCCTCCTTGTTGCCGAAACATCAAATCCAATATTTTTTTTGCAGTTTTTTGGCAACCTCGCTTCTGTTTATTTTTGCGCTTCACTCTCCTATCTTTTAAGCGAAAATGTTAATCACGTGCAGATGTTTGAACTGCGCCTTCCTCATCGTACCATAGTATTTGAGCAAAAGTACTGCTTTTGATTAGCAATTGCCCAAAATTGCTCCTGGTCACGAACTTTCAAGTCGTGGGCCCAGTTCCCTGGAAATTTCGAGTTTTGGCTCATATGGTGGATCTATTTGCTCTGAAGGTAGAGGTAGCGCAGTCTGCAGAATAATACCTATTATCGGCAGATCAACACAATACAGTTGAGTATCATCACCTTTTGGCCATCTCTTGAGTACACAAAGCGGCGCGCACTATTAGATTTGGATTCATAATCGACGGTTCAGTCAAGAGGCTATACTTGCAGATGTCGGAGAAGGAGAAGCCATGGAAAGACCTGCTTGCGCAAAAGGTATTCGGCTTCCCAAGCCCTTGATGATCTAAATACTCATCTTTACTTTATTAGAGCATATATATCAACTACCAAGTCCACCACTCATGCCTGCTACCCTAGCACTTCCGACGTCTTCCCGATGCCTCTCCTGCCAGTCGAGACAACAACTCCACCGCTCCAGACGCCCACCTTCCCTGACCTTCCCTCGAAGGTATATGCTGTCTTCATGTGCCGGACCTGGGTTTCGCGGGATGCTACAACCATGCAAATTTTGTTCAGAACATTCAAATAGATGTATTGGATATTGCCCGCGTTGTGGTAGCGGGCTCGGTTGTGTTTGAGGGTTTGGACGCGCAATACTTCCTTCTAACACGAGGAACGGGAGTACTCGTACACAAAGATACATCCTATATGGCGATTGCGTGGAGTCTGGTAGTATTCCTCAACCGGCTTTCACCAAGGGAAACAGTTGTCTTGTTTGTAAGAGGAGTGGATGGATCATGCATCCTACCTGCCCGCTGCTTCAAGAACCTTGCGGGCAATTGGCTGCATTTGACCTTCAAAGTGTCGATCACGGTCGACAAAAATCGGTGTGTGCAGAGTGTCTTTCATGTTGCTGGCTGGCAAAGGGGGGCTCGTCAGGATGGAAAGTTCTACGGATGCTTTGATGTGCCGGAGCTCATATCGAACTCCGAGGTCAATGCCTGGAGCTTGCCAGTCAAGCATCTCCTTTTCGAGAGATACTTAGGCGTCGTTTATAGGGAGATAATTTATACGCATCATCGAGGCATAGGTCGGAATTGGATGAAATGATTCCCGCCTCACAGCAATTCGTACGGTTGGCGACCAATGGAGGAGACTCGATGCCTCGATAATGGGCTTGTAAACATTCTCACATAAACAGACTCTTGGAGATCCCAGCACGCCGCAGAAGGCCTTGGAAAAGAGACGTCAGACACAGGAAGCGTGGAGTTGGTACTTGAGAGTGTGGAAGCGATGTTGGGTGGCAGAAAGATGATTTTAAAATGCCGAGGGGAGAAATAATGAATTTGAAGATGACACGAGCTCCCAAGCGGACGATACATTTGATTTCCTAAACACAATCTCCGGTAAAAGAAAATTGCAACAGTGAATTAGCATTTAAGACACGATGCTTCTGATAAATCTAGCCTTGCAAGCCATGCTTGTAAATTTCCCACCTCAACCGCCAGCTGGGCTTTTCCTCCTGATATCAAAGCCAACACTTGACTCGCAAAACGTGGGTCTTTCGGTCAACTACCTGGAAAATCAACGCATCCCGGAACTCCTGGAGGATGGCGCGTGTCGGCATCAACAACCAAGTTCTAGCGATCGTCAAAGCACATTGGCTTGGGCTCATGAGGAACTGGGAGAGAGCCGAAAGCTTCACCGAAACCCCCGATGGCCAAAACCGTAAAAAGGGAAAGCCTACTTCACTTTTCGGAATTTGACATGGCCTTTAGACTTGCAACCTTACCCTCCTCCACGGATTATTCGAGACTCGCAACGAGGAGTCTTTTCTCCAAATAAAAGAGGAAATGTACCTCGGCTATGGCCTCTTCAAAATCTTTAACAAACTCCATATCCAACTTTATTTTGTCTCTCCTCCTAGATAGACCCATGATTTGCTTTCAGGATACCTTACCTTCTTCAAATGGGTACAATCCGAAGCAATTAATATTAAGGGGCTTAAGCGAAGGCGAGGCCGCTCGGGAGATGTGAAACATTCGGCGAAACATTTCGCCGCGACTGAGACATCTCTAAAGCGGGCTGAAGCGCTTCCCTTCAACAATCTTCTTTATCAAGCGCATGAGAAGCCCATCACTATGCGGCTACTCAATGCATTGAGCCTGCAGCTCGAGGAATTCTTCGGTGACGATCCACCTCCCTATGCCATTCTATCACACAGATGGCAGGCGGATGAGGTATTGTTCCAGCATATTCAGAACGGCTCCGCACCGGAAAAGAAGGCATATGCAAAGATCAAGCTATGTTGCGACCAAGCTATGAAAGACGGCCTAGATTACGTGTGGGCTGACACGTGCTGCATAGACAAAAGCAGTAGTGCTGAGCTCACCGAGGCTATCAATTCGATGTTTCAATGGTATCAAAACGCCGCGGTATGCTACGCCTATTTGTCGGATGTAGAAAGCACAGATTCTTCGTATCATGGGGGGTTTTCCAAGAGCGTATGGTGGACTCGTGGATGGACACTGCAAGAGCTCATTGCACCTTCTCGCATTGAATTCTACAGCGCTAGTTGGGAGAATGTGGGGACAAAGGAGTCTCTGAAGTCACAGATATCATCAATCACGGGGATCGATATGGAGGCTCTTATGGGAAAAGATCTTCAAACTTTCAGTGTTGCAAAGAAAATGTCGTGGGCTTCGAAACGCTCCACTACCAGGATCGAAGATGTGGCCTACAGCCTCCTTGGAATCTTTGGGGTCAACATGCCATTGCTCTATGGTGAGGGGCAAAAAGCCTTCTTGCGACTGCAAGAAGAGATTTTGAAGCAGTCAGACGACCAGTCCTTGTTTGCTTGGAGCTGCTCAGACACCTCGTATCGAGGCATGTTGGCAAAATCCCCAGCTTACTTTTCCAATTGCTCTAATATTGTCCGGTCAGCCATGAAGCTCGGCCGTGCTCCATACACAATGACTAACATGGGCCTGTCTATCGAGCTATTCATGGCCCCATGGGCTATGGAAACGTATCTCGTGCTTCTCGACTGCGAGACGTACGGAATCTCCATTGCTCGAAAAGGGATATTCCTGAAATTGTTGCCAGAACGGGATCAGTACGCCAGAATAATGGTCAATGAGATGGACGTTGTGACATGTCCTCCGGGTTTACTAGCAGAAGGCACTTACATGAGAATTTATGTTCGGCAACAAATATGGGGCACCTACCCTTCTATGGATCGCATGTACGGATTTTGGATCCGATCCGTTCTTTCGACAAAGGTCGATGGAACTTTGAAAAATCTGGAGAAAATCTGGCTCAAGGGAGTAGTGTACTCACGGAAGTGGAGCGAGGAGAAGAGAATCCTCGAAATACCGACAGGATTTAGAGGCACTGCGGGTGAGTTGTGGTACCGCTCTGCAGACCTGGGGGACTCGGTTTTGTTACTGGGATTCGACGCCTTCTTTAATCCGGTATGTTCGCTTGAAGGCCCCTTGTGGGAAGATTCCCCAGTCGCCCCTATCATAAAGCCAGGGAGAGAAACTTTAGAGGAACTCCTGGATCCTTCATGGATGTATGTGCCAAGTCCCAATGTCCATAAAGGCTCCCGGCTGAAAGGCTTGTGTCGATATTCAGGTTGCAGCAAGATATCGATAAAAGAGGAGATGTTTGAAAATCAGAAAATTTGGGCCGTAGACATCGAACACTACGACAGTAAGAACCCTTTGTGGGAACGCGTTACGTGTGATGGATGTTCTGATGTAAGAAGTCACAATTTCCTTCCCTCTTTAGACTGTTTCTACACTAATCAGACACCAGAGAATATACGGACCGCGCTACAAATGTCAAGTCTGTCGTAACTTTGACTACTGCTCTAATTGTTTCTTAAACTCGGATACCTCCCATCCTTCACACGGCTTCAAGTTAATGAACAATGAGTAAATGAGTCCTCCGCAACAAGGAGGAAAGCTTCCATCGATCACTCAAAGATTAGAAGCTAGAGGAACTTGGAGCTTATGATTTCAGGGTACTAATGTTGTTTGAAATTGGTCAGGAAATTCTGGTGGTGTTATTGGTTGTCGTTGATTCATTGTTCCAGATAGAGCCGGGACATCCCAAAGGAGGATGAGCAGATCGTTCTTGGCCAAAGTTCCAAGATGCGAGGGAAATTGATAAGCGGCTCCCTTGCGGAGGAACAAACACGCCGCACTCACGTTCAATATTCCAAGTCAAGCGCAACATTTCAGGTGTTCCCAATGTCCAATCGACGCATCGTACATTCAAAGTCTACGATAATAAAATGTCCGGGAAATTCGAAACATTGAAGTCCTTCCCCACCAGTATCTACAGGTTCTTCTCAGGCGCATCTCCTTTACCATCACCATACTTCCTCACATGCTCCTTGCCGGCATTTTTATCCGCTTCAAACGCAGCCACCTCTCTCGAATCCATATGCTTGGCCACTTGATCTGCCTGCCACTTCTTGAACGAAAATCCGAGTCCCTCATGCCTGTAATCCTTATCATTTGCTTGATCCTTGTGACTTTGACGCGGACGAAGTCGCTGTGTACGGTTTCGGGATCTAGGGAGAGAGTGACGAGTGCGTTGATGGTGGTGGTTTTGGGAATGACCTTGAAGGTCCAGGACTAAAACCAGTTAGTTCCAGTCATGTGAGATGAAATTATGAGCAAAACGTACTTGTTCATTCTTGAATTGGAGTACTTCGTCGTCGCTGCGAACGACTTGGTAACCTTCGTTCTTGGACGCTTTGAAAAGTTTTGGCAGAGCAAACCACTGGCCTGCCAATTTGTAACTGCGACGTGGTGAGCTGGCTTTTGCGTTTAATCGCACGGAAAATCCTCCTACCGATCATTTGCATATACAAACTGATCATCATATACGCAATCAGGTGTATAACGCTCCACTCTCTCAATCGTCGGCTCGCAGCTGTAGAGAGCAATGATATCATCAAGAAGCGCTTGTCTGGCTTTGTCAAGACTTCGACGCTGCGCAGAATATTAGTGCTATAAATCACAAATATTCGAATGGAAGTGGGAATGGGGAGCTTCGAGGTTGTCTTGGGCCCTAGAACACATGAAAATAGGAGTCACGACAGCTCCCATAGACAGAAATAGTGGCCTATCATGAGGTAGACCTTACGATCTGGATGCCAATCTTTGGTCGCAGAGGTCTGGCGAACCTCGAAGTTCTCTCCAGGTGCTGAAACCGTAGTCATCTTGCGTAGAACGGATGTTGAGGTACTCAAAAGGGAAATATTTGCCGTTCGGATAAGTGATCTGGTGAGCACTTGGTGGTAGAGCTACAATAACGCAGAAGTCGCTGGTTTTGTATCCGTCATACTTGGCAGAATGTTTGTGTTGATTCAATTATTCCACCGTGACGTCGGCAACAAGCGTGAAATCGACCGGAACTTTCTCCTGGCAACAATCTTCGCCTTGACACATTCTGGAACAATTCTTTCAAGAAGCCTTGTCATGGGCAAAATTGAGGCACCCATTTTGAATGTTCCAAGTCTTTTTGAAAGCTGAACCTTGTTTGGACTCGGAATGAATAACTTTCCACCGCTATCAGAATATGTAGACAAGGCATGGAGACATATGTGTTCGTTCACGGTCAAGTAAGCAGTTGAAATTGTGATCCTTAAGTTGTTCTTTCTGTCCTATGTACAATTTTCCTTGACGGATTCAACCAATTTCTTTCCTTTTTCTTCTTCTGCATACCTTGATGTCCATTCCATATTTTCCATTCTTCTTGCACGAGCTAAAACGAGACAACCTTGAAGCTTTTGCCATCACTTTTGCCATCGCTTTTTTCAGTGTCCGAGCTTCCTCGGGATGTGGCGGGCCAGGTAGCCACTCCCCTTCATCCTCAGAGTAAGCCTTGTTCTCCTTTTCCAACTCTTCCTTGAATTTCTCATGATTCTTCATATAATTCTCAGCGTATTCCTTGGTCCAAGAGCAACTATCCCATGGCTGCTCTCCGTCTTCGGTGTCTTCGAAGGGGAACTGTGGTTCATACTTATGCTCAGGGAAAACGAGTTCATCTGCATTCTCCCAAACCTCTTCATCACTGCTTGTAATGCCTTCGGCTTCCTGATTCACCATCCAAGATTTGATCCGGTGGTTGAAACTCCATTCGCGGTCGGTCCCGGTCCAGTTACCGAAGTTGAGTGCTTCTTCGGGCGTGATTATGCGGACGCATTCAGGGTTTTCCTCCGCATAACCGGTACTTAAATCCAATCTAGAGTTGTATGGCATCTCTTGAAAGGACGCGATATCGGTGTTTGGCAGACCCCATGGGTCGTAGTAAGGAGGAAGTCCACATCGCTTTTCAACTCCCTTTTGGAGCATATACATGTTGGCTTCAGTCAGCTTATGATCTTCTCCGAATTGATGTCTACTGCTCGGGTTGTTGCTGTATGATGGCTGTGGTGATTGTTGAATCTGTGCATAGTCAACGGAGAGTTGAATATTACTGGCAGGTTGGCGTTGAGTTTCTTCCTCATAGGGGGTTGATAAGACCTCAGGCTGAGAAATCCTGGGCGATCGTGGCCGAGGCATGCTAAGATAGGAGAATCTGGCCCATCCATTTGGATGTCTCGGTGCGATGTGTTCAACTTGCTGGGCGATGTTCGACTCAAGAGGCAGCTCTGGGGAATATTGAGGCCCGAATTGTTGGACAGTGCTGGACTTAAGGGGCGACTCCGGTGCAAATGGCGATGTTATTTGTTGTCTGACAACTTTGGGATCGATGTGCGGTCCCGGAGGGTATAGGTGGGGTGTTCGCCCAAACTTGTTAGTGTAAAAGGGTATTCCTGCAGGATATTGCGGTTCAATTTGTTGGGCCATGTTGGACATAAGAGGCAAATCCGATGTATATCGCGGTGTGATTTGTCGTCTGAGGACATCGGGATCAATGTGCAGTCCAGGGGGGTAGAGAGGCGTAGCTTGTCCGAACTTTGTGGTATAGAAGGCAAGTCCAGGAGGATATGGTAGTGTATTTCGTGCCAACATATTGGACGTCATAAGAGATCCTGGAGGATATTGCTGTGCAACGCGTTGCGTGAACATGATGGGTCTTGATGATTGGGTTGTTGGTGATATTTCTTAACGAGTTTGAGAATATGATGAAAGTTGTATGAGAAAAGTTCAAACAGAGGGCAGGGGAAAGTCCTTCCTATACCTGCTTCTCCAGTCGAGATCGCAAGGGGAGCCCAGATGGAAATTGGGAGATACTTACTTTGCGGCACCATGTTCGATATTTTTGGCGAGCTATAATAGCCCATTGAGAACTGAACTTGTTCGGAAAGCCAGGATTGGAGGGGGAACTGAATCTACCATGGTTGGCATGTTTTTATGTTTTTAGTAGCATCGAGGACAGCACCAATTAACAGCGGAACCATCCGTCAAGGGTCCCAACTATTGAATTCTCTGGTGACTAGTTAGTGCGGGAGACGCCTTGAGGCAGCCTTGATTCAATATGAACTGCAGGAGCTGATTCAACCAACGTGGTTCATGACTTGAAATCAGAAGAGACAATTCTTCACAAGAAAAATTGAAGGCGAGGGGGTCGTTCTTGCCAAGCCCCTTAGCGAGCCAACCCCTATTTAGTTCTTCATTCGATAAGTCGTACCTGAAGTTTGTTAGCAAGACTAAATCAGTAAAGACCCCACGAAAGGAAGTTACCTTCACCTCGCTAGTGCGGACTCAGTAAGAGGGGTTCGTTAACAGCATACCATCCTGGCCAGAGGACGCAGAATGTCACGTGACAGAAACTATTACTGGATTGCGGCTGTCATCTCTTCTAGCACGTAGCGAACTAGGGGAGAAGTCAAGCACTCTCAGAAGTTGCCCATGCTTCTCTCTAAAGCGTCCGACTTGATTTTGATCGGACTTTGCATGATGAGTACTGGCTGCGTTCAAGTCCTTCCCACCAACAAGTGGCTTTGAGTTTCCAGATTGCCATTCTGCATTGCATCAGTGATACCGTATTCAACAAAACAAGCAACTGCAACGTGGTTTCTGCGTTGGAGAAATGAAATTTGACTTTGATTTATTATTAATTAGACATCGATTCCTACAGTCTCAAATCGAAAAGATCTGATATTCAACGTTCCTCACCAACTCTCCCTGAACCTCCAATGTAGCCCCGAAATTGAAGTGTACGCCCGCATTGGCAGGATGTATCAGAGCTCTCCTCTCTCCTTTATATCGTCAGACTTTTCGGCACTCACGACCTCCGCCTGCTGTTGAAGCCGAGTGTAATCCCCAGCCCCGTTGCAGCCATCAGGAACGTAGAATCGCTGGTCGATTCTGCCAAATACCATGATGCACAGTATGCAAATCTCAAGAGTGAAGTTGAACACGTAAAAAGATGCTTTCGAATCGTACCATCGTGGATTGGTCGCTGGCCGTGGGGGAGTCCATGCTCCACCGGCTTTGAATCCTGTGATCAACAACGAGAGAGAGGATGTCATTGCCAGAACAGCCGTCTTGCTGATCATGCTACCTTGTCCAAAGGTCTCCTCTTCCGATTTTGGCAACAAGTAAGCTGCTGCAAGGTGGACAAGTGGAAGGCAGGTGAAACAGAGGAGGTAGGTCAAAGCAGTGAGCTGGATGTCTCGACAGATCGACCGGGTATGTGTGTTCTGCGTATAGAGAGAGACAACCACGGAAGTGATGACCATCGCAAGGGCAGCTCCAATGCTGCAGTACAAGATCTTGTATGTAATTCGCACCACCGGATGCCATCCAATGCGAGGTTGCTTTCCTCGTAGAATTCGTTGTGCGAGGATCAAGTTGATGATGTAGATTATGAGTATTCCTGCATTTACAAAGATGTTTGCTGCGATTGCAAGGCCAATGCTGTGTTGTCGGTTTGCCCATGCAATGCGGAGAACCAAAGTGACGACTCTCGCCATACAGAATCCAGTCAGGAACATTGATATTACAAACTTGTGGTTCTTTCGGCGGTTCAATCGAAACATTGTTGAATTTGTGACGGCGAAGCATAGGTAGAGGAATGTAAAGACGGCGCAGATTGGGACATCGGTGGTGTTTGTTGGCAAGCCGCCAAATCCAGCACTGTTCGAAGGGTATGGACCTCCTGATCGCATCTGAAAAGAGTGAGACATTGCAGATTTTCAGCCCCCCTGATTGAAGCCTCTTCGACAGGTTGCACTGTTGCAGTCTGGGTGGTGGATTTGTGGTTTGGTGGAGTGGTTTTGGAGGAAAGCTTTCCGAAATATTGGGCAATGACCTTGGAGTTCTGTGGTCGAACCGACCACCTTATAAGGAAACCTCTTCATTATCGAAATCGATATCAAACTACGAAATAAACCAAAAAGAGAAGATCCTCAAAACAGGTCAGGTGGCAGTTGACCAATGAGAGGATGGGAACGAGCTCGGCTATTTCGGACCGGACGAAGTTTTGCGTCCGACGGACGAGCTCGGAGTTGACCTCGCCTCGCCACCTCGCTCCCCCCCTTCGCCTTCCCTTGCCTGATTATTGTTGTGAAGGAGAAATGAGAAATATGCCTGACCCACAAATACGAACATATGTTTGAAGTTGGAATTCACATGGTTATGCATCCCATTCAGTGAACCTGACGAAGTCTTGGTGCGAGGGCGACAGCCTTGCAGCACTGCTCATCACAATACAGGTTGGTTCTAGCAAGCTACAACTGCAAGGTTACTCATCGCCCAGCTAGTTTCCGAAGTCCACCTTCTCGGTATACTGTATTACAAGTCAGCAGGATCCTGACCTGGGTAGCGAATCCTAGTTATGCCGGAAGAACAGATTCGGGCAAGCGCTAGGAAAGGGACGAAGAGCTGCACGGAATGTGAGTGCATGCCGAAACGGTCAGTCACGGTATTTTGCTGAACATAAACACAGGCAGGCGCCGGAAAGTCCGATGCATTCGAGTCCCTGAAGACGCGCAAATCTGCAGATCATGTGAAGAGCGAGGTTCAGCTTGTATTCCGCAAGAATTTAGTTCCCAGCCCGTTCGACCATACAGAGTATCTTCACGACATCGTATATCCCAACTGGAGTCAAAGGTCGCCAGCTTAAGCAAGGTCGTGCGTGGTATTGAACTCAAGCTCGGGCATCAACCTACAGAGACCGCGGAAACCATTGCTGAGCAGTCCTCAGCGACAGATGACTCTGACGATGATCCAAACGTGTCGGATATCATCGAACCATCTCATCTCCGCTCGCTTTTCCAAAATGACTGGCTTAGTGTAGACAAGCAACCGCAGCACGAATCATCACAAGTACACAAAGCAAAGTCTACTGCAAATCTGACAGATATAGCGAGGCATGTGCTACAGAAGTTGATTCCATCAAAGCAAGAAGTTTCGGATCTTGCTAGCTCGGCATTCGAATGGCTTTACCTATTGGATGCTCTCTACCCACAGCCGTTAGCTGTCAAATCCAAGCAGGAAATGCTTGAGACTTACGAAGAGATGCATGCACTAGATGTTGATGCCCTAAGACTTGCATCGTGGCTGGCCACTCTCGCTATCACAGTTCAGCAAAGTCCCCAAGAGGGCAGCAGTCCACCATCCGAGCTCGGGAAGTACTACCAGAGATGGCTCGACTTTTCACGGAAAGTCTCCGACACAGTTGAGAGTTCAATTCTAAGTCATGATCCACTTCTAGGTACAATTGAGGGGCTTGGAATTGGATTGAATTGTTTTCGACTGTGAGTCTTACACGTCTTTTGCCAAATCATTATCTCAATAACAGCTAACATCAAATATAGTCTAATAATACAAGGAAATTTCCACAAGGCATGGATTCAACTTCGGTAGGTACTGGCGAAGACTGCCTTGCTTGCAAAGCCCCTGATTTTCCCTCCAATGGACCCCCGAACAGCCAGTCATACGAAAGATTGCTGACGGCGCTTTATGCAGGCGTTATATCGCGATAGCTGAATTAATGGGTTTGCCCAAGACATTTCAAGCAATTCAACTCAGCACCATTGCCAGAGGAAACCTCGATGAGATGCAGCGTCACAGGGTTCAGCTATGGGAAAGCATATGCGCGTTGGATCGCCTATTTGGAATGTTTACCAATCTGCCTCCAGGTACGACGAGATACCAACAAAATATGTCTAAGGCTTTAGTTCTCGATGGTATCGTTCAACCATGGGTGTATCTTACCAGATTAACCGGTTAGTCTCGACCTAAATCGTACCCATAGAGGCAACTCGCAGCTGAAAATCCGGGGGACAGATATTGCCGCCAAGATTCAACATCAGGACGAGATTAATACGATTCAAGGTTTGAGCAGTAAACTTTACGCAACTGCGTTGGACCTGGCATCACAGCTTAGGGCACTTGCAGCCAAGACCCCTGATCTTTGGTGGGTCAGATCGGATAAAGTGAAGCCAGATGATATCGTCCAGTTTATGCATCACGTACGTGACATTATCTGAGCCAAGCCTCTCCCCTTTCAGACGTGCCGCGAGGTGTTCTACTCTCTAGACATGTCTTTAGAGTCACGAACTTTTGAGACACTGTTTCAGCTACCGAATCTCTTCCAAAGCAGGCAATACTGACTCCAAGATCATCTAGTGTCTGCTCATGAGGGTTTATTTACCTTTCACAATGGAGCAAAACCCCAGCGAAGAGAATTATTCCAGTCGCCTGGCTTGCATGGCCGCGTGTGAACAAGTTGCACAACGCTATCAATTCCTGCGCCGCGGGCTTCCATCTGGTTTTCTTTTGGGCCATATACTAGATCTCCAAGTCTTCTCTGCGACAGTTGTGCTCCTCCTCACGACTCACGGCCCTCTTCCCGCGGATCTCTTCAGGTTTAGTAGTGATAAAGCTCGGATCGAGAGTGAAGTTTCACAAGTAGCCAAGCTCATGGGGGAAAAGGCGAATGATATTACTCACTCTCACTTTGCCCGAAATGGTGCTGCCACGATCTGCTCCCTGAGGCGGCTGCTTCAGCAAGATGACAACACTTCTCAAGAGTTGACGTTGAAAGTGCCGTTACTCGGGAAAGTCCACATTCGACGCAATGTTGGCGCATCACAACCGCGACAGGAAACGACGGCGTTATCTTCTATGCAGGCCCCATCACAACTAGGCCTGTGGTCTTCAAACGGGCAGATGGTGCCTTGTCAGTTGAGGGCTGCGGTTGCTCAAACTAGTGACTTCGTTGAACCGACTTTGCAGACTGCACAAGATTGGGAGTGGGATAATTTTTCGTGGTCCGTTGAGAACAACCAGCATGACTTTTTCCAAGATGCGTTGATGACGGATGACTTCGATCAATTTGTCACTTGGCAGAACACGGAGATGAACTTTCCCTTCAATGCTTGATCAAATTATGTACATTACGAACAATCAAAGTAAATTAGAGCTTTATTGAAGCCTCAATGATATATCCCAACGCCCTCACGTACGGAAAACTGATAAGCAATGATCAAAACTTCTGTCTTGAATGATCTCCAGTCTATTCTCATAGCCAAATTCCCGTTTCTTCTTAACTCAGTACCATGAAAACCTTCCATTCATTCCCATTTCTTCGTTCCCGCCGTCATTGCCTCATCCTCCACTATTTCTTTCCCACCTCCCCTCGCCATTTGACGATGTACCTGTCCTCTCAAACGGATGCTGCCCCAAATCCCTCTTCCATCTACAAAGTTTACAGATCTCCTCCCCTTGCACCATCTTCCCCTCCAATCTTTCCCAAAACTCCCTCAACCTCCCGTCAAACATCTCATGATTAAAGAAAGCGTCTCTACAATCTTCGTACTCGGCCATGTGTTTTGAATGCTCAGTCTTGTTGTCGTCGTAGCATTGATCGCAGCGACATTCTTTCCAGTCTCCGTGTGATGTGTCGAGGATTTCTCGGTTCAGGATGGCTTGTTGCTCTGCGATGTCGGTGGAGGAGTCGGCTGAGCCGCCCAGGCTCTTTGGTGGCGAAGTGGAGAGAACTGGGTCGGTTGGGTCTGGGGTCCATGGCTTGAGGTGTCGGCCCCAAAAGTTTTTGCTCAAGGCTGTGGTTTCTATTTGAGGTTGAGAAGCAGGTGTGGTTGCGTTTGTGGTTGCGCTTGTGGCCGAGCTTGAGACATTTGACCACGGGTTGTTTGTGTGGCTGGGATTTACAGCTTTTGGCTCTTGAGCTGGATTCTTCTTGATAGCGGCTACGACCCAAGGATTGTTGTCCCACGCTGTGGGTTGGGTTTGGGGCTGAGACTGAGGAGTGGTTGAGTTTGTGTTTGCGTTGGCGTTGTTAGACGAGTTTGCAACACTTGCATATGTCTTCTGATTTGTGCTGCCAGTATTTGCAGTACCAAGCCCTTGAGCTGGATTCTTCTGAACAGGAATCGAATTTTTCTTTGTTGGCGATTCTGAATTGTTGGTGGAGCTCTTTGTTGGCTGCTTGGATACGTGTTTTGGTTTCGGTGCTGCAGGTTTAGGCGGTGGAAGTGCTGGAAATTCCTGCTCGTCGTCCTTCTGGAGATGGTCAAATTTTGGTTGAGCAAGTGAAAATGTATTGTCGACGAGTCCTTCCGGATGATGTGCAATGAAGTCCTCAATCCAGGCGAGTGTTCTTTGTCTCATTTCGGCTTCTTTCCGGCACTCAGCAACCCAGTCGTCTTGGCCTTGGTTTTTCCGAGATCCTCAAAGACGGTAGTAGGTTTTGGGTTTCCACTGTGCATTGTGTCCCAGTTGCCAAGGACTGGGACCGGGAGAGTGACTTTACGCCAGTATGCCATTGTTGTTTTTCGGGTTTGTTGACGCGGTTCGAGTTGGCTGTTCAATGCAACTGATATATGTGCTCTGGTGAGAGTGTTTTGTCGCAAGGTTGAACAGTAATATATCGTAAGATTTGGTATGTGTGGATGGTTACAGAACCTTCTAAGCAGTCAGAAGGGTGGGTTTTAAAAAAGCCTGCCAGTCGACAACGAAATTTCCAACTACTTTGGTTCGAAGTACTGATTCATCCAATCTTTTCATCAGCCCAAACGAGCCATTCTTAACTCTTGCCTTCATCCATCTATTCGAATGCGGACAGAGTTCGCTGTGGGCCTAGTTAAAAACTGGGGTTGTGATATAACTTTGGGCCCTATTCCCGCAATCGTACCGTGGAACCACCGAAATAGACTTCAGCCAGATGCTCACAGCGATGGATCAGGAAGTAGAACACAATGAAGTGTTCTAGAATTTAATTCTGGGCCGCAAGTTTGGTTCGATGCAATAGATAGCTTGGCAGAGAAATCTTAGGCTTTGCCTGTGCTCTTCCTCGACCAAACCTAGAGTCAGTTACGAGTCTCGCTTAAAAAGGGGCAGAGTTTTTGGGTATCAAAGACGATGTATTTCCCCCTAAAGAAATGATAACTGATTCTCTAATCAGGGAGCGCCATTTGCACTCTCTAACCTGATTTTTCTCGATCCGCCATTTCAAGAAGATTCGGAGTGGTTTAGCGCAAAGTTCAAGTTCCTACGGGAACTAGAGATAGACCCCCCTAGACTCCAGCTTGCGGCAACGCTATGCCAACCCTAATAAATGACCCACAAAATATTCATACTGGTACATGTTCGTGAACTTGGCTGGGAAGCCAGAATAGAGAACAGAAGGAATGATATGACTCAAATTCGCAAAGGGACTGGCCTTGCCTTCGGCAATAAATTTTGTCTCCCACCAAATGCATATAATAATGTAAAACGGTCGTCTCTCGCAAGATTCTCCAGATATCTACCCACACACAGCATTCTTTGCACTCATCAATACATTTCAGAACTTCAGCAACAAAAAGAAGCAACCCGAATCTATCAATCACTCGATATTCGTATATATCCGGTCAAAATCCTATCAGTTGGAGAACGACATTCCTGACATCATTTCTACTTGCAGTCTTCATCATCCTACCTCTCCTACACGCCCGATTCCCCGACCATCTCACCGGTTCTCGAGCCCACTGGGACTTCTGACCTGACGAAGAGGAGCTCGTACGCTGCGAGAAATACCACGACAACCATCATCTACGACGAGTACGCAAATCTCGAACGAGTTTAGAACTTTAGACGGAACGAGCAACTTCAGGGCACTTAATCTCTCGTATAGAAATATAACAATCGAGATATATGCGTACTTCGACAAAAGACGACTCCTCCATACCAAAACAACAGCGGTTAGAGTCAACACCAAAGGTCAAAATGGCAAAAAGAATTAGACTTACTTCAGAAGACCTTGATTCCCCATCACCCAAAAGAACTAAGACAACACACGAGAGAGATGGGGTTGAGGTCTTCCAAGGCCAGCACTTGAATCCATCACCAACAACCAACGAACATTTGACGGGAAGCAACGATACCCCGGCATTGAACACAACAGAGGAGCCATCCTCAATTTCGCAACAACAACAAAACAAAGACGAAGAGAGCACATCAACCCAAGCAGAGCTCCGAGTATCACGAACACCAAACCCGGAAGGGGGCAGGGGGGCCCAGGAGCACCTACGAGCAAGTCCTTCCTTCATCCCTGAACTGGAAATGCCATCAACAGCATGGTTAACCATCCCACAACACAACAACAAAAAAATAATCTTCACAAACCCCTGCCACCGGCCATCTGCACCACGAAGAACATTACCAACGCCACCACCTGAAACTCAAACCGGACGGGCCATTAAGAGGAAAAGGAAAGCCGAGAAATCAAACACAGAACCGGGGTTTACGACCTTCGAGGACGACACAGCAACTAAGGACAACATCACCGAGTTGGAAGATGAATATTTCGGGGCTGCTATGGCTAGTGCTCATGACTGGGTGGAAGTTTATATCCAAAAAACGGCTTTTGCGTATGCCAACAAGATCGTGGATTGGATCTTGCCTGTGGCTAAGCATGCCAGTGAGACGACCGCTGGAGAGGAAGGCAGTACGCTTGAAAAGAAACTCTTGAAGTGGAAGACAGAGATGCAATGGAAGTGGGATGCTGCAAACCTAACCAGGGAAATGTCTAGCGGGAGGAATTGGTTCCTGGCAGAATACGTCGAGGAACTGGCGGACTTGGTCGACGAGACAGTGAGAGTTGGGGGCCTAGATGCAGTGGAAGTAAAACTCGAAACTCAGAAAGAGGTAGACGCGTGGGAAACAATGTCTATCAAAGTTATTGGCTACTGTCAAGGCAAGGGGCTTTACGGGAGGGGGTGGTCGGAATGGGGAGATAAGGACGAAGACAATTATGACCGCTTGGGACGCGTGTGGAAGAGGATCGTAGACTACTTTGCGGGAGATCTCTGGGAGAAGAGCCAAGATATAGTGTCGGATTGGCGGTGGCATGATGTAATGATGCGGAAGGTTTTGCGTGCTAAGAAAAAGATCCGGTATATTGAGACACTGAGAGCGCGCTGGGCGATAAGCAGTAACCACCCTTTGGCTGCCATTAGGACGCCATTGGGCGGAATCGCTGAGGAAACGGTGAACGGGCGAATTCAAAATGGTGAAGCAGGAGGATATTTCGAGGATGGGGTTTGGATTGAATGAGATTGGCCGCTATCATGAATCGAATGAGACCCAATAACAGTTCCACTTAAGTGACTTATCGAACGCTGTATCTGATACGCCGTGAACAGTTCAGTCGACAAGGATCTTAGCCTCCAGATCCGTGTAGTGCTCGAAAAAGGACTCGAACAACCTAACTCCATGCTCCACATCATACGTGCCTCCAGTTTCTCGAATGCTATGCATAGAAAGCTGAGCGTTGCCGACATCGATGGTACGTGTTCCAAGCGCTGCAGATAGCATGGGGCCAATGGTGCTTCCACAGCTGGAGTCGTTGCGGACAACAAAGAGTTGAAGAGGCACGCCAGCTGACGTTGTCGAGTCTTGGCTTGGCTTTGCTCTTCGCGCGACCTCCTGTAACAGAACAATGCCAGGAGAGTTCGTAGCATAACGTTGATTGGCATTGACCTTGATGACTGTGCCTTTGTTCATCTGTGGTCGGTGATCTGATTCGTATTTAGATGCATAGTTGGGATTGACCGAGTGAGCCATGTCTGCAGAAACCAAGAATGAAGTGGACAGAGTCTGTTCATACGCGGTAGAGATATCGAGCTCTGCCTCTCTGGGAACCTTTACGTACGAATTATCTGATGCAGTGTCATGGTGAGCAGGAAGCACTGAGAGACGACGAAGGACTGCTGGAAGTAGATTCGAAGCAGCGCCCTGAGCTGAAGTACTTCCAATTTCCTCGTGGTCGAAGCAGGTAATGAGACGAATGCTGGACTCATTTTCGAGAGCCGACGATGATGAGAGAGATTCTATGATTCCTTCGACAGCGCAGTAGGTCATCCCTAAATTGTCCAACCGCGCAGAGAAGATGAGCTCGTTGTTGAGGCCGCCGAGGCATGCTTTTTGGGTATCATATAAAACGATCTCAAAATCAACCAAGTCTTCAACTTCTGCCCCCGCATGCTCGGCAATGAGTTTGACAATATAAGGGTGATGGCGTTCAGACATAGTCTGGAGAGGTTGAAAGTCCTCTTCTTCCTTTTCCAACGCGGATGTCTTCTCATCTTCAGCTTTTTTTTCACCCTTCTTGCCCGCCCGATTCAACTCCGCCTCAACAAGACCAGCAATTGGAAAGAGCTCCGTCTCCTTATTCGGATTAAAGTTCGTCTCGCGATCAAGGTGGATTGCAAGGGTGGGGATCCTCAAAATCGGCCGGTCCACCTTCACGAGCTTCTGAATGTAGTTGCCCTTCCCATCCCTGACCATAGCTCTGCCAGCAATACTAAGATCTCGATCAAACCAAGTATGCCATTTCCCTCCACCATATGTCTCCACACCGACTTGCATGAATCCATGACCGCTCTTCTTGCTCACTGGCTTCAAGCGGAGGCAGCATGAGTCTGTATGTGCCCCCACCATGGCGATCGGGTTCCCCGCCTTCCATTTCTTGCCAATACCGAACGCGACGATTGAGGAGCCGTTTCGTGTAAGGTAGTATTTGCCGCCAGGCTGGAGAGTCGAGGACCAGCTGTCTCGCTCTTTAATCTCTTGGAATCCGGCCTTTGTCAGTCGCTGGACGGCAGAGTCAACGGCATGGTAAGCTGTAACAATCTTAGCAGATTTCAAGTCTCGGGGATGGAGCAGGATCACGTACGAGTTGGCGAAGCGTTGACGAAATCGATGAAGTCGTGTACCTTTGCAAGTGCCGCACTGATGTCCTTCGAAGCCATTTTGAGAGGCGTGGTGACTGAGTAGGAGCGTATAAAAACCTTGGGTATCTTTTGGCAGCTGAAAAGAAAGATCGCCGATGGCCTTGCAATCATTGAGTGGGGAGAAAGGTTGATGGATGTGCTCGCCGTGCTTCTGTGTCACGGTGCTGATAATGTGGGGTTCTGCCCGAATTTCGGTACCTTCCATATTGGGGAAGATCTTATCCACAACCAGAACCACTCCATATCTCAAGTTGAAATTAGGCTTGTACGAGCTGTATTGATCAAGTTCAGCCCTTCTTCAGGGTTGGTGATACTGACTGGTACAAGGAAGTCAGCCTTGTCAGCCTCGCTACCCTGAGGTGTTTGGCTGTTCACCGCAGTCCTCATTGGATAAACATAAAGCAGGGCATATTGGGTTTTGAAGTAGTCTTTCTGGGTAGTATGCCACCATTCTTTTACAATATGAGAAAGATTTTACAAGCCATCCCTATTTCAAGTTCCAACAATAAAGATATTCCAGACACGCTCCTTTCACCACTCCCAGGGTGCATGCACTTCCTATGCTTATCTATTCATCTCAAATTCGTCACCTCTCCCAGTCCATCGTCTCGTGCCAAACCTTCCAATGCCCTCGCTACCGCTCCGAACCTTTATATTCCCTTTCTCCATAATGATAATTCTCTTTTGGGATACCAGCCCAACCCATCAACAATATAACAACACCAATCCCAAAATGCTACGCCAACAAGAATGAAAAAAGAGGGTAAGAATAGTACTACAATCCATGCAAACCAATTGCTCCTCCTTTGCTGTAGCTCGCCAGCTGGTCGGTGATACCTGTACACCACAATTCCCAAAAGACGAAATCCATGTAATCATATCAAACATTCAAATCGTAGAACTCGGAAATGGCAGAAGCGCCCACTCTTCGCTTTTGGTCTTCCGAGCTTCCCATACAACCGGTGCGCCGGATAAAGAAATCCATCTAGTGAACTCAAACTTGCGGGAACAACATGTAACTTCCTCTTCTCTTTCCTCCAGGCAGATTTGCTGCTGAAGTGGCAGCCCTGGCCCTACCCTTGAATTCCTTCACCGAGCTCACTGTAGGAGCCGAGGTCTTTCTGCCGTGTATATTTCCTTGTCCCTTCCCGCCACTTGGTGAAAGGGGAAACGACTCCTTAACTGGGCTCAAATTTCCGTTCGCATTGGCAGACTCGTTGACCGAAGCTTGAGAGGCCGCGGGTGGGAAATGGTTTACTCCTTTGCGAAGTCCATCTAAGACAAGCGACTTGATCCGTCGATGCTGCAGCGATGCGAGAGCTGGTGCTGGACCAGAAACTTCAGGCGCTGGGGCTGAGTCCATGTTTGCGTCAGAGATGTGTAACCCAGCAACCATGGCAGAAAACTCAATCTCAGGTTGACGAGCGGTTGACGGTATAAGGTCAGGAAGTGAAGAAGCAGACCCTATACTGCGATGCTCCTCACTCAAATTTCCAGCGCGCCCAAGTAACATCATAGAATCCTGACTGCCTCTTGAATTTGCCCCTGACATGCGTGTGCTGGATGAGCTACGTGCTGAACCACGTGAGAAATTGGACGACCGATATGAGGCAGTACTCGAAGTGCCCTCGTCGATTGGGGAGATCGAATGTTGGTACGGATCTTGAACAAAAATAGAGGCCGAATCAGGCTGTGTGTTGTATTGCTCATGATAAATCTCATCCTGTTCCATTTGCAACTGAAAGTCAGTTGGAATGAGAAGCGTGGGTGAGAGATGGAAACCATGAGATTCTTTGAACGACGAGGCGTGCGAAGGAGAGCGCACATGGCTTGGTCGCAAGAAGTCAGAGGGAGTGCGTGGATGGGACGAAGCGGTTGAGGTGTTGGACATTGGCGACAACTCAGGTAGGTCGAATGGAGTGGGAGTGAGGAGAGAGGGTCGGAAGTGGCCGTGGTAGATGCGCTCCTCGTCTTGAAGGTGCAGCTCCAGTATTGGTTGCTGCTGCGGTTGCGCCTGAGGTGCCTCGTTGATAACTGTATCTTCCTCGACCGAACAGCGATCCCACTGGTAATCACAATCGGCCTCCACTTCATGCTCATAACAGTAATCAATATCGTCCTCCCATGAGTCGTGTATCAATTGGAAGCCCGGCGACAGTGGCGTTTTTCGGGGCACCACAGTTTCTCCAGAAGGCGAGCGTCCCAATGTTGTCGACATACGGTTCTCCAGCATATCCTTAGCCTGTTCGTACGAAAGTCGTCGTAGGGCCGGGACCGACTGGGACATTCTCAGCTCAGAGCTTGCGACCGAAACCCTCGATTTCCTAGCCACCACCTCTTCATCCTCTTCCTCGACATCTGCGAGCTCATAATTCCCGGTGAGTGACGCCGTCAACGGCCATGCCTCGTCTCCAGGGGTTGTCACAGCGTGGGACAATGGTTGGTTGGAGCTGCAGTCTTGCTGTTCATTCCACGACAAAGAGGGGGGTGCTGGGGATGGTAGACTGAAGGGTGCGGCTCTCCTGAATCCACCGTTCGTGTATGGGCGCTCAATAGTGGTGGTGGCAAGGGGGTCGAAGGTATCGAAAAGTATCGAAGCGGTCCGTGAGGAAGTCCTAGCGGGCGGTGCAATAGGACATGCGTGTGACAGAGGGGACCGTGGTGGCCGAGGCGGAGGACTTCTCAGATTGTCATGTGATTTGGCGTAGCTCATCACTCGCTGAGGTTGAGGAGGGGTGATCGACTTGCGCAGTACACTTCGCTGCCGAGGGCTCTTTGGAGACTTCGGAGCAGGCACTGGCTGTTCAGACACATCGATTGCTTCGGAAGAAAAGTTCTCAAAGTGCAGGTCTTCTGCCCGGATACCTTTCAGCTCGCCGTGAGTTGGCGATTGAGAGGCTCGGATGGCTGAGAACTCTGACACGAGTTGCATTCGACTTGTGCGTTCCAAATTCGGGAGATGGTCCTGTCGGGTATGAGTGACATGTTGGAAGTTGTAAGGTCCAGAGATGAGGTGTTTCCTCCGCGGGCTTCGTCCTTTGCCATAGTAGTGCTCCCTCGCCGATCCTTCCCCAAATGTCGACTTTCCAACAGTTGAAATCACAAGTGAAGAAGATGAACGATTCAAGCCCGCGGCATCACTATCCCTTCTCACTTTCCTCCCCGCTCTGGAAAATATCGAACCAAATAGTGCGACACTCTCCGGCCGTTCAGACCGAACTGACGGCATGCTGCTTGTATTCGACCGGTTCGAGGACCTTCGAGACAAGCTCGGATTATCCGTCGAAGGAGCCGTCGACTCACGGGAACGGGAGGAAGACGTTGCTGATGAGAAGGTATTAGTCCTCGAGTTATTGCCAAAGATTGAGCTCCTCTTCATCTGCTCAGTATAGGCACGTATCCGCTCGGGGGAAGGCGGTCCATCGATCGCAGGTTCAAGGAAATCTGGAGACGTTGTCGATTCGTTCTTCGCGGCCGATGAGGCGCTATCTATTTTAGATGATCTCGTAACGTTCGTTGCAGCGTGTAGGGAGGGGTATGCTGACTTCCCGCTTCCAAAACCGAACATATTGAATGCTGATAGATTACAGGAGCACCACCTGTTGACGCTGGCCAGACGCGAAAAAGTGGTCCCGGTGTGGATATACGAAGTATATAATATATTTAAGGGTTGATAGGTGTGCCAGGGTGACCCCGACCCAATATCCGGAAGAACTGTGTGGGTGATTTGTCGCGTGTCGGCTTGTCAAATTTAATAAAGTTTGGGTGCACCCGATGGCCTTTTGGAGGACAATCGGTCCGCACTTCGGGAATGCTGAGTACGATGTGGGAAACGTTTTCGTACATTCAGGTTCGTTGAAAACGGAAGGGACGGCCTGGCACCGCTGCTGTTTTTGTCCAGAGAAAGGGCTTCGGCTGGAGAAATTCGGATCAGCATGTGCCATCTATAATGATGATTTTATCACAAGGGTGTGGATCGACGAAGGTTTATAAGTAAAGAAGTTCCCCGTGATATTAACAGGCATTCGATGGGCCGAGTCTCGAATCGGGTCGAAGGGCAGAGGCGTGACGTTGGTGCCGCAGTCGTGGATTGTGTGGAGATCTGATATTGGAGAGGAGTGCAGCAAAAGGTGGTTGCGTACCTCAAATGGAAACTGCTCGTTTCAACATGCCATGCTGTCAATCACAATGCGTGTAAGTTGTGTCCAATTGGTGACTTTTGGAGGTATGGCAGGGTGTGGTGGTGACATTAGCTCCCTATACTGCCTTATAGGAACGCTGAAGCAAAGGTAGAGAGGCAGAGCAGCCCTCCTGGAAGGTGCAGGTAGAGTAAGCCGCGCTTCATGCACTGACGGAAGCAAGAACTGGGTACAAATCAGCTCGTCCCCTCTGGGGCTCGACGTGCAGGCAGAGGCTTTCGGAATACTTTGACAGTGGACGAGAGTATCGGCAGATGTTTGGGCAGCAATGCTGTGCCGGGTGGCCTTTGCGAATATGCTCCTGGGTCTGGAGAGATATACCCTCAAAGAGGGATCAGCTCCAAGGACCCTGACGAAAGGATTCAAAGATGTTCAGGAGCACTGGTACCAGGCTGTCCAGTGCACCTGGAATGTCTTCGACTCTTCACTTCGCCCTGGTCCAAACTTGACCAATTGGCGGACGCCCACCAGCCCCAGGAAGCTGGGATCTGGAGATGTTCTTTCTGGCAGGGAGCCCATGGAGAGAAGGCACAGGGAAGGAGGGTGGTAGTCGGATTGGCCAACCAGACCCCAGTCCGCTGTGCCCGCGGTGCCTGCGGCGACGGGGCCGTTGAAAGTTGAGCAGTTAAATTTACTACTTATTGACTGACTTAACTGGCATGGGTGTGAAGTGTGGTGGACCGGTGGTCCTGGTTGATGCGGAGGGGCACAAGTCGTGGAAGCGAAACCGCGGTGTTTGATGAGTGGCAGGGCAGGCCAGCATTCAGAAGAGCGCCAATCACAGCCAAACATCTGAGAAGGCAGGACAGCCATTGGCCGCTTAGCGAGGCACCAAGGGGCAGGGGCAGGGGCAGGGGCAGGGGCAAAGGCAAAGGGCCGCATTCAGGGGTTTTGTTCCCAACCTTCCACTTCTTCGCAGCCGGGGCACTGCAGCACGTTCCACGTTAGGTTCCGTTAGCCCTGAGTAGCGGCACCGAGGAAACTTTTCAACCCCCGTCCCCTTTTGGACCGATCATGGACGATTTCGCTGGACTGGAAGGCAGTGGAAAGCGGCAATATTGGGGCCACGATACCACCGCGATGGACTCGTCCAACGAGTAGCATCCGGCGGAGAGCCGAGGGATAGAGGCTGTACTGTATGAATTGCATTCATTGTCCGATTGCTTGATTGCTCGATTCCACGATTGATTGTGCCTAGGGTCCTCTGTCTCTGTCTGCTGGAAGCCACGTTTCTCGTGGCTATCAGACCATAGCGACTGTTCATGTCGCACGAGTGATGAGGACCCATGGACCATGGTGGGTGAAGCAACGGTTTGTCTCTCTCCCTGCTTACCGCATCAAGTGCTCTGCAGGAGAGCACAGATTGGCGCCCCTCTGCTCGGATACTTCTGGTGCATGCCAGCTATCCACAACTGGGCGATAGGGCCTCTCTAGCGGTGTGCTTGACGTGTGCGCCAGCATAAGTTCAAAACTTCGTGGTCTTCGTCCCCAGAGGCCCACGCCGTGGCGCCTTCTTCCCACAGCGGCGGTACCTTGCTGTACCTCACTCTACTTTAAGCGTGACCCCTGGATCTGCGCTTTACGATGTATTGCAAAGAGGGTGGAGTGAAAACCACTTCCATAAATCGTTCTTGCCGTGTTCGAGAAGCCACGTTCTTCCCTGTCACAATTATGGCGACGTGCATTCTAATTTCTTGAAAAGGCAGGGCTTGTGAGATGTATTGGCGAGGTACCGAACTGCTCCGTCTCAAAGATCGCGGAGGGAGCTTGGGCCCGCAGAACCCCACCAGGGTCCAGGAGTTTGCATCTCGTCAAAAGAGCCTGTCCCAAGGATTCATGATGGATCAACGCCCAGTCCTGTCGCAGCGATTACGTGAGGCTAGGCTAAATGCCAGTTGGTGAGGCCATGACCATGGGCACTCAGAAGCTGGACATCGCCTGTACCAGTCGAGAAGATGGCTTCCTCACGGCAGTCTGCAAGTTGGCCTCATGCAGACTCGAAGCCTCGTCGACCGTCGACGTGAAAATGTCGTCGCCTCAGGGCGACAAGACAGGCGCGGATCCTGTCCGCGGCCCACAGTTCCAGACCCGTCGATCACAAGTGATAACCTGGTGCAGCGAGCAAGGTGAAGCGAGTTGTGGGCGTCTCCGTCGCTTGCTAATGGCTCCTTCGGCGACCTGAAAATACCAGGGATTCTCTGTTTTGCAGGTGTGCTTGCGAACTTGAAAACGATCTGCCCTGGGAGGTTGATGCTGTGTTCAGTAAGTCACGCAGAAACTCGTGAGCTGTCCAATCAGAAAATTGGGCCCCTTGCCCTACCTCTTCACACGAGAGAGAGAAGTGTTCGGGACAGGCTGCGGACCGAATGACGAGGGCCAGGTTGAAGGGCCGTTGGGTTTGGTATTGGAATTTCCCTCTGACAGTGGAACATCTTACATGTTTTCTTTCGAGAGGATTAGTTCCTTTTCGCGACCACGGTGGTGGCTGGAATGCGGGAGGGAGACTTCAAATTAGGGGTGGCATAATTAAGGATTTGGCAGACCATTATGCATTATTATGTGGGCCCGTGGCGTGAGGGCTTCCCGAATAGGTAAGTCCGAAACCCGAGCAACCCTCGTATGAAGTAAACATAAGTAGGTTTCTCTCACATAACTCGAGATTTTCTTCCAGAAGAATACTTATATTTGCATTAGCCTAGCATACTTCTGGTACAAAAGTGGTATAAAATTATGCATTATATATTTGGCGCGATGATTATTATAATTAAGGCTAGGACCATTATTATTGAATTATTGAATTAAAATATTGAATTTTGCTTATCCCTACTTCGAATTCTTTTTTCCCGACTTTGTGGAATCCGACTCGACTCGTCTCTTGAGTCTTGACGTCGCGGCCTCCCGTTGGCAATCCCGTCGCACGTCCTTCCCCACGAATAGAAAGGGACCGCAGAACCGGATCGAATTGCGGTCTGGGAACCACCCGGATGTCCCAATCGAGTCAGGTAGTGTAGGGCAGAGTCCCGGGAGCCCAGCAGCCCCACCTAAACCACAGCCTCTACTCGTTCCGAACTTCAAGCGAGGCTGCTGAGCACACAGCGATGAAGCCAGTGCATGCGCCGTCAAACCGTAGCCTGATGGATGCACAGGCGGTGGAAAAGTCAAAGCTCGCCCAGCTGCAAGTTTTCAATTGGGACCCTATTATTATTATTGCAGCCGTTGATGTCAATCGATGCCCTTAACCGAACCGAGCCGCCAACCTAACCCTACGCGATATGAAATCAAATTTCGACCTCGATCTCGAATTCTCGATGCTCGCAAGCCACGGTAACCTCAAACATATCTCCTAGTATGTTCCACCCATCAGGAAGGTCTCTCGGAGGCTCGTCGGACCGGAGCCGTCCGCGAAACCCCCCAACGTTGAGTTTGAAATCGGCAACCTGGTCTGGCTCCGGAAATCTTGAAACGCCCAGTGCTTCAACAAGCAAACTTCATCCCCATGTTCTCCCAACTGCCGTGCCATCCCATTGTTGCACACCGGAAAGCTGCTATTTTTGTGCACGGTTATTTGCTTCTGTTTTAACGTCTGGAAGATCTCAAAACAGTCGGCAACTTACATCCCACTTCCCAAATCGGATCACCCCTACTTTGTCTGGGCTCCTCGAAGCTATCCAGACCTGACCCCACAGGCAGATCTGTCCCGAATGGGGCAAACTTGAGGAATACAGTAGGGGTTTATTTTCTCCTTTTCTTACTACGCGTCAGCTGACTCGCCTACCCATCCGCTCTCTATGGATCTCTCTCGCTCCTCTTCGGCCTTGGAAAGTTACGTAACCCCAAGACGACTTCTTGCGTGCAAGGAAACTTCCTTTATCTGGGCATCACTACATCCCCGCACACTCGGGGCATGCCCGGTTGCTTCAACTCAAACTCTCCTGTGTCCTTCCCTCAGCAGGCAATCTAACCTCAAACCCACAAGTTCTCCACCAGTGCCGGCTCCTCACATGCCACCTCCATCTTCCGAAGGCATAAACTTTCCATACACCCGTCCATTCTCCAGCCCAAAACATCCAACTGACTCCACCAACCCTAACACCGTCTTTGAACAGAGTTGCCTTCAGTTAATAACAAACACGAAAAAACAACAACCCGACCTGCCTGCAGCCACAGCCAAGCTTCTCAACTTCTCACTCGAATCTATTCAACCTTCTCAATTTAAGCCCTTAAGACATTTGGCACCAACTTATTTAGTCCCGCACACAAGCTCGAAACTAGCGGCACTAACCGCAAAAGACCACCAGTAAACTTCTCGCATCTCCCCCCAAAGTCTCACCACTTCAAGAAGTCAAAGTCAGTCTCAGCCCATCACCAACACTCACGTATGGATGGGAAGTACCAGCGTCAAAAGGTGACATATCACGCATCACTACCTGCCAACGTTTCCGCAGTCGCAGAAACGCCGTGATCGTGGGGGTTTGATACCTACTTAGAGTGCTAGTACACTTGTCAAGTCCAGTCAGTGGGGGCCTCAACGCCCAGATCCAACGCGGGATCTCTGTTGCGAGCGGCACGGGAATAACCTTCAAGCTTCCAGGCCTCGAAACACTGACGTTGAATCCTCCCCACAGATGCCGAATGCGAGTATCTGCTTCGTATCACGTCGTACTGAGCCGTGCCTGACTCGCCCCCGCTGACTCTTGATCCCGACAGCCTGGTACATACATAATCAATCAGAGACGGGACAGAAAAGCAAACATGAGAGGTCCCCGGATGTCACCAGTATCACCCTATCCACGATGAACCTTGCAATCAACTATCTAGCGTGTTCAAAAAGGAAATATAATCAGTTAATCAGTCAACCTGGTGTTGCACGCAACGCCTCATGAAGCATGAGGTGCTTGCGATAGTATTATCAAGCCTAGCACGTTTGTAGCAGTCAAATGGTCCCCGTCGCTCTGCCCAAGCCCCATTCTCATCCCTTCTACTTGTTATACACATTTTTGAAGAAACGCCAATCACTCCCGCTGTCCCAGACCCCGTTGTCGAGAATGCCAAGATCACCACCATGATCTCTGTCTTTGTTATTGCTGCAAAGCTGTGGACGAAACATCTGGCCGCCTGGAATGAACTGTATCACAACGTGGGCTCAGGATCGTCTAACATTTCCAGAAATGGAAATGCCCCCTATTCATCATCTGAATCCCCGTTGTTTCCAGAGTCTGCCATGGGAGTGTCGCCGTCTCCGTTTGCGGTTGCTGGGGAATCTTCTCTCGCTGGAGCTGGTGCCTCCTCGTCCTCGTCGTCAGAATCAATCATCGCTCGTCTGTTCTTGCGTTTGACCGGGATAGCCACGGTCTCTTCATCATCCACATCCATATCACCGGTAGTTTCGTTGCCAAAGACATCCGCATCCATCTCCTTTGCTGCCTCAGCAGCGCCATCATCCCCTTCACTGTCGCTCTCAACCACAATCTCGCTGCTCTTGTACTTGTTTGGCTTCTCCGCTTTCTTTGCCAATCTCCTCTTCTTCTTTGGCTTCTCGGAGTCGCTGTCACCACCACTCCTGTTTCCACGACTTCTTCTCTTGGGCTCTGCTCCGCTATCATCATCATCATCTGTAATGCCATCCTCGTTCTTCTTTTTGCGCTTTCCGCCGGCTCCCCCACCTCTGGGCTTCTTCTTTCTCTTGACCTTCTCGCCAGTCTCGCTATCGGTAGTAAGTTCAGCAGCTTCTCGAACTCGATCCTCTTCAGCTCTCAGTTCCGCAAGCTCCCGATCCTTCTCTGCGATCTTCTGTCTCTCCTCCGCAATCTTCAACTTTCTGTCACGTTCAGCCTTCTCAGCTGCTAATTTCGTCTCCTCACGTTTCTTTAGCTCTGCTTCTCGCGCGTCCTTTGCGGCCTTTAGCTTCTCGGCATTCTTGTCTTCGTACTCCTTCTGAGCTTGAATAGAACGCTCAAGTTGTCGACGCATAGTGTTTCGTGCCATGTTTGCTCGCTGTTCGACATCATGTTTCGGGTAGGGTGTCTGAGGATGCTTAGCAATGGCATCCAGAGACTCGATGGCTTCCTCGAGTCCTGCAGCAGCTTCCTGCACCTCTGCCAGTGTTCGCTGCATTTCAGGCATGTTGTAGACGGTTGTGGCAAGTTGAATCTGCACGAAGGCAACATTGAACTTGAAATGGATCTGCTCAGGGGCGATCTCAAGGGCCTGAACCCACATTAGCTTCGATTACAGGTAAAGGATGCTATAAAACTTACCTTCTGGGAATAATCCAGAGCATTCTTGAAGGCCTGCAAACCCTTCTCTGCCTTGCCCTTAGATAGCCAAGTTCGTCCTAAACAAGCTAGAATCTGGGCATCGTGTGAACGGTCCTTTGAGAGTGCTGCCTCGTAGTGTTCAATCGCCTTCGAGTATTGTCGTAACTCAGCAAAGATGTGTCCAAGATTAACATATACGCTAGGATCCTTAACAGTGTCTCGGACCTTGATAAAGATCGATAGAGCTGTTTTGAAGTCTTTCTTGTCTTCAACAAGGGCGATAGCAATGCCCTGTGCAGCGTAGGCGTTCTTGGGGTCTAGCTGTAGAGCTTTGTCGAAGAACTCAACGGCTTTGATATACATGTTGCTTCGTTTTTGCTTCTCTTGATCTGTTTCTCTCCGCATCTCACGGGCAGTCATGAGATACAAATTTCCCATACCAATCAGGGCATATCGATCATGCTTCTCGTAGTTCTGAAGAGTGTGCTTGTAATGGCGAAGCTCTGGATCCTCGGCGATGTTTCCAGCTCGTTTTCGAGCGTGGACTCTTCCCAAGTACCATCCGTACAATGCTCGGACTTCAAGATCGGCGGACGAGTCTTGGTAAAGGTTGTTCATAGCCTTTGGCCCATCTTCAGTTGGGTTCTGGCGAAGTGCAATGTATGCCAATCGAGTCCGTGCATCAGTGTAATCGCTATGGCGGGCAAGCAATCCCTCGTACACTTTGTTTGCCTCATCAAGCAGACCCATTGCTTCATATGTTCGACCAAGATTGAAGCTGATCGTAGTGACAAGAGCATCGGTATCCATATCCTCTTGTTTCTCGCCAACCTTAATACAAGCACTCAAAGCTACTTCGAACATATCTCTGGCTTGATCGAATTTCTCGCCCTGATAGTAGAAGCACCCCATATTGTTCAACAGTTGAGGTGGTAGGTTTTGTCGAAGCTCCTGCTTGAAAGCAGCCTTATCCTCGGAACTTTGAGGTCTCTCGTTTTCTGGAATCTGATCAAACTCGAGCTGTTCTACCTGCTGCAGACATTGCAGACTCTTCTCCGGTTGATCGGCTTCGTACAGGCGGGCTAGATTCAGAAGTACGGAAGCGTCGGGGACCAGGTTCTTCTTAGAGTCCTTCCAAGCTGTTCGTACGTTCTCGAGGTAGCCCACAGCTTTCTTGAATTCCGTTGATTTGTCCTCTTTGACCCCACTCTGCTGACTGGTGAACACTTCCTCGGCATATAAAGTGCCCAGCAGTATCATGGCCTCAACATTCTTCGACTGCTGAATGATCTTCTCAAGTCTCAATTTTGCTTCTCCAAAGTCACTCTTCAATACAGAAAGCTGGGCTGCTCCAAATTTGGCGGGAAGATAGCCACGGTCAGCTCCGCCCCTGGCTTCATCGGCTCTTCGATAGTAATCAGCTGCTGTCTCATAGTGGTCCTCATAATGCTCTTTTCTAGCGAGAAGATACCAGCCATCACTCGCAATGGCGTTGACGTCAGTGTATTGAATAGCTTTGTGAGCAAGAGTATTGACGTTTTTGAGATCCTTCCTCGACAAGAAGTATCCAGCAAATGTGGCACACATAAGAGGAACGCCTTTGTCAGCCTTGAAGGCATTCTGGACGTATTCAATCATGGCCTTTTTGTAGAGTTTAATAAACTCGGGGCTGTTCGTAGGCACATGGGCGCTTGCATCAAGGTAGAAAAGGCCCAGAAGAACGTTCGCAATCTTTGAACCAGGGCTGATCTCCAGCGCCCGCTCCCAGGCCGTCTTCGCATCTTCCTTGAAACCAAGCTGCCAGAAGCAACATCCAATTCCTATGCGTGGGTCGGGATCCACCAAATCGGGCATCTTGTGTAATGCATCTTGATAGCCCTCCAAAGCCTCAGCAAACTTCCCCAAGGAATATAGCGCCCTCGATTTCCCCATGAGTGCCAGCATATTCCTGCCTTGCGAGACTCGAATCGCATCTTCGAAGGACCTCAACCCAGATCGTAAGATATCCGCCTTCTCGGTGTCAATTGCACCGGGGGCAGCAGATTTCGAAGGAGGTTGGAGGGAGGCCTTGAGGAGCAGGAGCACACCGCGTGCCAGAAAAAGAGGAGGAAAGGAAGGGTTGATTCGTAATGCCTCATTCAGCGTCGAAGTCGAAAGTTGAAGGTAGTATTCCTTCGTTTTTGCTTCGGAGACTAGTGTGCCCTCGGGCGGTACTCGAGGAGCCTCTCTGCTCTTCCACAGATACATCCAGCATAGACACGTCAGCATACTGAGCTTCTCCTTCTGTCCGCCTCTCATAGCCTGCCCTCCCTTCAGCAACATTTCGATAGCATGATCGACTTTGTGCTGCTTGGCGTACGCCAGGGAGACCGTCATCCAGTATGTTCGCGCAGCTCCTTCGTTCTCCAGCAGAGTACATAACTCGGTAGGATCATCCAGAAGATCTTCGAGATCAACTTCGACTGCCTGGTCGTCATCTTCACCCTGAACGGGAATATCGATGGCGGAAGGGATGTCAGAGAAGCGTTTGCTGATCATCCTGTGTCCAGGAGAAACCACATCGTATCCATTCGATCCGCCATTGGCATGTCCGTTTGTGACCGCCGCCATTTCGATATGTTTCGGTTTGCGAATTGAGGAAGATATGGAAGGCGAAGCCAGAAGAGCTTAGGAGGGAGTCGAGACAGGCGCGTCGAGGCGCAAGAACTGTCGAGAAGAAATGTGTTATTCACAAGAGGGCAAACATCTGACCGCCGTGCTCAAGGTGATGAGTAGACAGCTGGAATCATCGAATTCGGTGTGCTAATCTGCGGTGAGCAAATGGAGTGCGTGAGGCTGTGGATGCGATATTTTGAGATGGTCAAATGCTTCGCGAGGTCCGACTTTAATCCTAGTTCGGCACTAAACCACTTTCGATTGCAACAACACCACGAAAAGTGAATATGACGATTTGAGCAGAGACGAAATAGATTCGCTCGTTCAATAGAACAAAATATTTTCTTGTAGTCCTGGAATGAGCAGAGCCATAATCCAATGGATGGAAATCACTATCGCAACGTATCTTTCAAGTGAATCTCAGGGACCTCCAGCCAAGCAAGATTCAAGGAACGAATGTACAGGAAACAGGGGTATCATCTTTGATACGCTACGAAAACATCACACCAAGCGAAAAGACGAGTAAAAGTGAGGTGCAGGCGGCACCTGCATAACAGCAAATTACTTAACACAATGTTCACGTTAAAGAGAGTGAATATTGAAAATTCTGAAATTTTATTGCACGTCGCAATTCTTATATAAGAGCGCTAGCAAAGAAACTAGCAGTGCTAGCGCTCTTATAAGAAGTGCGACATGCAACAGAACCTTCGGTCCTCTGGCTAAGGAGTGAATTAAAAAGATGAAAGTCACAACAAGGCATGAGATGAGATGAAAGGAAGAAATGATCTGAGGAAAGCAGTGTGCAGTACCCAAGCTCTTGATTTATCATTGCGGTCCGAATTCGAATCATCCATCACACACTTCTCATCCTTATTCTAATATTCAAAGATCATAACGCCCTCGATATTCATCGTTCCAAAGGAAATGAACGCAACATTTTGAATACAGCGCCGATGAGACTTCATGAAGATTTAAATTTTTGAATTCAATCTACTGGGATAGGGCTGAGAAAATCTGACTTTCTGCATCGCAGATATATGCATATTCAAAGTTCTCACGATCCAGAGCACCGGAACACTCTTCATACATCTCAATTGCTGATCTAATTAAAGTACAATCTAGGCATTTGGCCCATGCGAGTAGACAGGGTCATCACGCGACCCATTTTCTTCCCAGATGTCCTCCTCTCCATGTATAAACGCCATGATAAACCAAGCAGCACGCCCAAAGCCAACGCATATGCAAGTACCACCCAGGACACCTAACGCACCGTTGCAAATCACAAACAAGTCGAAGATATCCATCATCACCTAATCGTCATCACTCTGCACGCCACTGCTGCCACCATTTGCATACTGATCCTTGTTGAATGTGAGCTTCAACTTTCCGCTCGAAACGGCAGGCATTGGGGTTCCGGCACTGGTTGTGGGTGCAGTAGAATCGCCATTACGAGAAGAATCGTCAAGGTCACCAAGCTCTGGATGATCACTCAATTCTTCTTGGAGTTTTGATTCAAGGGCATTCTGGAAATAATTAGTCTCAACAACCTCGTTATAAATAAGTTCAACTCACCTCAATCGCGACGGCGTCTACGTAAATCAGACTGCCATCTTCGTTATATGTCTTAGCATTTCGGCAGAGATGCTGGACATCCTTCTTCAAGTCACCAAGACTGGAATATTCTTCGCTCTTAATCTTCTTCTCAATCATCTTCATGCAGATTGGCTCTGTGATGATCACGTAATAGTCGGGGAAAAGCTTCTTGGGCGGCAGCGCAACAAACGGCCCAATGATCAAGCGTGTGCCGCCTCCTTCTTCGTCATCCTCTTCAGAACCCGACTCAGCCGGAGACTCTAGCTTCATGAGAGCATCAAAGATCTTTCGCAAACTCTCTTGAAGAGTGGCGCGATGTCGAGCAGCTGCTGTATCACCATTAGATATTGCACCCTTGCGACCAGCAGGAGCACCACGCTTTCGCTTCGCCTGCGGTTCGTCGTCAGGCTCTTCGGCCTTTCGCTTATTATCAGCCTTTCCGCCCTTGCGATTTCGGGCCTTCTTAGGGGTCGGCTCAGGCTCCTCGGTGCTTTCGCGGCTCCCGGCTGGGGAATTCTCGATGGACCCGGGTATTTGACCGAGTCTCTTGAGTCTGTTTTGCTCGCGACGGTCCTTTCGAGCCTGTTTACGAGCAGCAGCGGCCTCAGGAGAATCCTCGTCATCATCAACAGCATTGAGCCATTGTTCTTCTGTGAGGCCATCGTCGTACTTGACTCGGGTCCGCTCACGGGCGCCACGACCCTTGATCTCTTCAGGTTCGTCGGAGATTGGATTTCCGTCAGACATGTAAATTTCAGGAAGCTCGCTTTCGGCCATGAGGCGTGGGATGCGCTTGCTGCCATGAGCCGTTCCGTATGTCAAGTCCTTGGCACGCTCCTCGTCCATCTTCTTGAAAACTTCGAGTTCGTCGTCCGAGCGAGCGAGAATCATGTTGAGATCTTCATCATCCATCTCTTCTTGTTCGAGAGTTTCAGCAGCTTCCGCCGTCTCGAGCATGACTCTCAACATAGCATCACGATCAGTCTCGGAGGATTTGTTGTCGAAACGACCAGCCTGAATGACTTTGCCATCCATATCAAGCTTGAATTTGGCTCGCTCTAAGATCTTCTCCTCGACGGAGTTGGAACTGATAAGTCTCAAAATGCGAACCTCATTCTTCTGGCCGATACGATGAGCTCGATCTTGAGCTTGTAAATCTTGATGCGGGTTCCAATCAGAATCGTAGATGATGACAGTGTCCGCAGTTTGTAAATTGAGACCAAGACCACCAGCACGAGTAGAAAGCAAGAACATAAAGTATGGAGAGTCCGGCGCATTGAATTCGCGAAGGAGGTCAGAACGATCGTCGGACTTTGTCGTACCATCCAATCGCAAGTATTTGATATCCCGATAACGCAAGAAGTCTTCCATAATGTCCATAATGGCAGTCATTTGGAAGAACATGAGCACTCTGTGGCCAGTCGCCTGGTACTTAGGCAGAACTCGGTCGAGAAGCTCGAACTTGCCGGCCGTACGCCATAGTAGATCGTTGCTCACACTCAGGGGGTTCATTTGGTTCTCAACCTCATCGAAAACGAATGGATGATTGCAAAGCTTACGCAATTGCATAATCATGTTGCTCAGACCACGAGCACCAGTTTTTCCGCCCTTGCCATCACTGACCACCAACTTGTTGTGGGTCACCATCTGCTTGTAGAGGCGTGCTTGCAACGAAGAGAATTTGCACTTGATGACTTTCTCAGTCTTGTCGGGCAAATCCTTTTCAACATCCTTCTTCAGACGACGCAGCAAGAACGGTCTTAAGACCTTGTGAAGACGACGAATGACGAGAATGGATTCTTCTTCAGTCAGTTCTATCTTATCTTGGCTACCGGTGTTCGCGAATGGAGTGTTGAACCACTCATCGAAAGACTTCACAGATTTGAAGATTGTTGGAAGGACGAAATTCAGAAGGGCCCACAACTCAGGGAGGTTGTTCTGTAGCGGCGTACCAGTGAGGATGAGTCGGTAGCGGGTGGAGTAATATTGAGTGAGCGTAGCGCTGAGCTTCGAGGAGGAGTTCTTCATACGATGACCTTCGTCAATAATCATGTGGATCCATTTGATTTTACTTAAGACAGGTCTGTCCTTGATGATGTACTCGTAGGTCGTGAGGAGAACTTGGAAATTGCCGTAACGGATCTGCTGCTGTTGCTGCTTTCGGGCCAATGGCGGACCCTTGTAGACGACTCTCGCAATAGATGGCGCCCACTTCTCGAATTCGAGGTTCCAATTCGTCAAAGTACTCAGCGGTACAATGACTAAGAAAGGACCATTCTGCTTCTTCTTCTCGATCAGGTACGTGATCAAACTGATTGTTTGAATGGTCTTGCCGAGACCCATCTCGTCTGCAAGAATGCCATTGAGGTTGTTGTTATACAATGAAATCATCCACTGCAAACCCTTCAATTGATACTCCTTTAATGTACCGCCAACCAAGATAGATGGCTGAGCGTTGACCTCTTCCTTGATACGATGCGCAACAGCATAGTAGTCAATGTTCTTCCTGGATGTCTCATTATCATCATCCTCGTCGTCATCCTCTGAGTCATCCATTAAGAACTCATCATTGGTCTCGCCTCCATACCGCTCAGCGGCCTTTCTCTGTTGCTCCTTGACGGATGCGGCAAGCTCTGACAGGAATCCATCGGTTTGTCGGAGCAGATGAGTAATACGAGTGTCCTTGGCTTGGTCAAGCAACTTCAAGTAGGCCTCCTCGTCGTTGGATTTCAAAGCTTGCAGACGTTGCTTGGCAGTTCGCTCGATTCTCTTCTGCTCTTCCTTCTCGATATTCTGGTGTTGTGCAATCATCATGCGGCCCAGCTTCTGCATCTTCTGTCGCTGGTTTGCCGCCGCTGTGTTAACTTCCCGAGCATGAGTAAGGACATGGTGGAGGTAATCGGTATGTCTCTTCTTCTCCCGAGTCTCACGAGCATCGCGCTGTTGCTTCTCAAGCTTCTCGGTGATGCGCGCTTCCCGTAGTGACTGCTTCTTCATTCGTCGATAATGGCTTCGGTTAGCGGTCATAGCCAGGTTGTCATATTGAATCATCTGGCGTCCAACTCTCTCTCGCAGATTTCTCTGCTTTTGATACAACCCCAGCATCTTCATCTCGATCAAAGCTTTGCGCTTCAGCGTATCTTCCGGGGTCAGGTCTTCATTCCGGACATCGATGTGGGCGATATTTGCTGGAAGTGACTTGAGCTCTTGCATTCGAGCTTGCATGCGATTGTATATAATGATTTCTCGCTCGGTTCTGAGCTTCTCGATATCCACACCCGATGGCATTGTGCTTGGAATCATAGGTCGCATCTCTCGCTTCTTGTGCGCAGAGTAGCTGATCTTGTTCGATAGTCCAGCATGGGGAGACTTGAATCCAGTGTACTCGTGCTCCTTCATCTTTGTGGCATCTTTCTCTCCAGTAGCAGCATCGACACCATTCGCAGTGGACACATCATCGGCCTTTGTGGCTGCAGCGTCAAGAGGTTGATCGGCGGGGAGAGGTGACTTCTTCTGCTGGGAAGCAAAGAGCTGCTGTTGCGTAGGCAACGGAATGCCCATGTTCTTTGACAAGCATTTGAAGGCATATATTTGGTGCTTCAAGATGCTCAATTGTTCCGGGGTGAAATATCCACTACCACCAGCTGTTGTGCGTTGCACAGCTCCCTTCGGTGCAGGTGTATTCGCAGCACCGGCGGGTATAGCAGAGGGGCCAAGAGATGATGTGGTGGGAGTTTGGGAGGTGGGTAAGGGGGTTGTTGCAGGCGCAGTGCGAGTGCCGTTGGCACCATTAGGAGCGGAGGTAGTAGCATTTTGTTGATTTAAGATCTGCTGCTGCTGTTGTTGAGCGAAGGCAGCTCGCTTTTGTTGGAACATGCGCTGTTGTGACATATTCGTAAGAATTTGGTGGAGCTTTTGAAGTTCGGGGTCCTTTTCTGATACGCCGGATTCCTTCATCTGCTTGTATTTCTTGGGTTTATTAGCAGACATTCCAAAGTGAATTGAGAGGTTGTGCTGGGTCTCTGGATAGATACCTGCAAAGCCTCCTGGAGGTTAAATCCTGGTGGAGCATTGGGAGCCACGCTGCCAGGCTGCTGGACAGCGGGAGCGGTCTGGACGGAAGCCATAGTTGCGAGATCTGATGTCTATTCAATCGCGGCGGACTGTCGTTGGACTTATGTTCGGCCTTTGCGCATATCAAGAACCAGCCTTGCGCATCAGGTTTGATGTAAGGGGGGCTTTTGATGGCCAAGTGAATGATGGGCCGAGGCGGCAATGACCAAAAAAGTGACGCGGATGCCTTCGGAGGGCAAAAGCAAGTGTTGTTGCGCGATAGAACGTTGGATCGCGTCCTGTGTTGATGTTAAACGACTTTTTGGAGATGGAATCAACTTGGCGCGATGTCCCTTCAGTCCTTCACGATTGATGACCGAATCGAAGGCTGGGAGATGTGAAAGGGCGAGAGGTGCAAATCGATGCCGAAATGGCGGTATGCGGCCGGTACGCGCGTGGAGCACGACGTGTTGAGTGTCGTTGCGTTTGAATATTGAGGTTGTGAGGCTAGGGGAGGGGGGTTGGCGACGCAGCTGCCAGTCCTCGTTGATGGATTTCCTCTGCTGTCGAAGGATGAGTTGCCTTTGCGCCCAGTTGAGCGCGACATGGTGACTAAGGCAGCGCTAAAAGGAGGCTAGCGCTGACGCTCGGGCTTTTCTCTCTCCCTGATCACGTGAGTATCCACCAACCTCATTGTCATGAAAGCATTTTGCTGATCAGCACAACAATTGCAGACTATTCGAGGCTGATGGAGTGTGTATGGTCTCCGGAGCATTCGATGCAATAAAGAGCTTTGCAGCGGAAATAGTTGCGCTTTTGCCACCTTCGGCAACCAGAATTGACCTCCAAAAACTCAAAACTTCTGTTGCACTTGTCACCAAACCACAGGACTAACTTGTCTTTTTTGATTTGTACATTTTATTGATCTCATCTTCTCATTGCATTGCTTTTCAACGTAGAGGCAGAACTATGGCGGTTTGAACAAGCAAAGACAGGCCGCTAAAGTCATATCCAGCTCCTCTATTCGCCTTTCCGTACCGAACTCGCCCTCTTCTCCAAGCTCTTCTAGGCCCAGCAGAGCACAATGCCTTCTGGACCTCCGGGTACCGTTCAAGGTCCTGGAGAAATATCTTTCCACCCCCTCTCCGAAAATCCCTCCTCATCTCATCACCTGATCTATTTCATCACTGGAAACCCCGGCTTGATATCCTACTACCACACTTTCTTCCAAACCCTCCACGGCCTCCTCAGCTCATCCTCTACCTCAACCTCAAACATCTACCACATCCACGGCCAATCCCTTGCCGGTTTCGAAGACGAGGCGACAAACCCTCTTATTACAACACCCTACAGCCTTTCAGACCAAATCTCGTTATCCCTCAGTACCCTCCAAGACCTCCGGATCCCCGCAGGGCCCAAGAAATCCCAACCCTACACAAGCGTCATCCTAATCGGCCACTCAGTCGGCTCCTACATCCTGCTCGAACTCATCAACCGCCTGCGGAAACCCTCCTCTCCCCTCAACATCAAAGCCGGGATCCTGCTCTTCCCAACAGTAACACACATAGCGCAATCCCCCAGCGGCGTCAAAATCAGCACTCTTTTCAAAATCCCGGACTTCCCTAGGAGAGCGAGTTTTGTGGCCAGGAACTTGGTGAGTCTGGTGCCGAGAGCTGCGTTGAGGTGGTTGGTGGGCCTGGTGACGGGGATGCCGGATGAAGCTGCGGAGATCACGACGGGGTTCTTGAGAAGTCGGATGGGGATTTGGCAGGCTTTGTGAGTTTTCCTCTCCTTCTTTTTGGTTTTGAGGTTGTGGGAAAGCGAGGGCTGATTTGGTAGGCATATGGCGAGGGATGAGATGGAGCAGATTACGGAGGATAGGTGGGATGAGAATATTTGGGGTGTGGAGCATGAAGATGTTGATCATAAGTATCGAGTCCCGAAGTTAATATTCTACTTTGGAGAAAAGGTAGGTTTTGTTCTGGGTGGCTGGTGGGTGAAAGCTGACGAGAGTAGGATCATTGGGTTGCGGACCATACTCGAGATGCGTTGATTGCTGCTAGAGGACGAGGAGAGGAAGAAACGAAGAGCTCGAAGCCGATTATGCTGATTGATGAGAATGGCGTAGATCATGGGTTTTGCATTAGACACAGCGAGAGCATTGCTAAGAAGGTCAAGGTGTGGATAGATGATATTATGTGAGAATAAAAATCGAAGCTGTAAATGTTAAGGTGTTCCAAACCGTGTTGGGACAATGGTCGAACAGGACTTCAAACGTTCCAGAACCTATGGTACACTCTCATAAAGATCAGAGGGATTCTGAGAAAAATGTTTTATTTCATTGTCCCAGATTACTTGCGAATAGCCAAGTCCTTAATGTCCTGGCATCTATCATACAATCACAGCTTCATCCTCTTATCCAACCAAGCTACCAAATCCGCAATGTTGACCTTCAACAAACCCCGGCCCTCCAATCTCTCCTTAAGATAGGTCTCGAAATCATTCACCTCCTTTGCGTTCCTATTAAACATGTTGCGAACCGAAGCATGTGAAACCTTTACGCTCTCCAAGTACGGGATGCCCAACAACTCGGAAACGCCGTTGGCAGTCCTCAACGGTGGGTCGATCGGAGGGAAGGGTAGGTGAGGACTCAGAGTAAACTGAGAGTATTGCTGGTGCCGATAGAACGTCGACCATTTGCTAACAGTAACCTCAAGCTCCTTCAGGTTCGGGCATATGCGGAGGAGAGAGATGGGGTGTGAGTCTTGGGGACCACGGAGATGGAACTTAATTCGTTGGACGTTCTGTCGGACGAATTCGTTTCTCGAGAGACAAAATCCCAATGCGCAGGTGCAGGAGAAGTAGAGAACGTTGTCCTGGTAGAATAATTTGAGGATTTCGGATCTAACGAGCCTGCAAGTTCCCGCGAGCGCCAGAACTTCCTTCATGTCGGTATTTTGCAAATCTTTTGGGCCTGCCTTGCAGTACCCAGTTGGGCATGAGACATAGTAGTGGGTGGCGTTGCCACATTGGTGTATCTGAACAATGATGATTAGTATGGCTTGATTGGGATCAATGTACCGCAAGCCCTGAGGCCATGAAATCAAGGAAAGAAACTCGATATGCAAGTACAATTGTAGTTGGCTCGCCAATTACCATCTCATATACTCTATTGCGGATGTGAAAGGGGTATTGCAAAAAGTTCACATTCAAGGAAAATGGTTCATCTGATCTGGTGTTAGTACATTTGGAGGTTCAAACGGGAAGACGGGGTTTCTTGCTTGCAATGTGGAGCATCTCCTCGCATGATTCAATGAGCTGAAGACACGCAGCTTCTTCCTCGGGTTTCTTGGCCATGATAGACTGACATTGGTCGATGAGGTATGCGATGGTATCGTAGTATGTGACAGGCTTGTTGTCGATGATCAACTTAGTATTAAATCGAAGAGCAAACGCCATCTCCTCCATCTTACCGTGCTTCGTCCTGTAGAAAGCTTCGAAGAGACCTAAGGTAACGGAACAGATGTCGATGCCACGGGGGATAACGAGACCACCGGGCGCCACGAGGGCTTGGTTGGACGTAGACGACATAGCTAATGGCTTCGGAAGGGACGTGTGTATGTGGATCACGGGAATATGTACGTAAAGACGTGGTGCGAAAGCAATGTAAAGGGTTGAGCGACACCAACTTCGAGGAGGTTTCAAGGCTTTGGTTGTAGGGTGGGCAAGGCTTGTTAGCGAAAATCCGCTATAAACAAAGCAGGCGGAGGACGGAATGACGGCGACCGAAGAACTTCGGCTGCAATACTTTCCAACACAACCACAGTGGAGTCGAGCCTGGAAGTTCTCCTGAAAGGAGGACAATAATAGACTTCCGAGGCATTAGGATAGGAAAGATTGATTTCAAGACCAGGGCTAACCTTAGTAGATCCTCGATTGACGCTCCAAGCCGCTGGTCGTGCCTCTAGCCATTCGATTTGATTTATTCCCCGCCGTCAATCATACACTCGACAGTATCCGAATGCAAGAGGGACGGAAAGCGAATGAGATCAAAACAGCCAAGCCATCATTGCCGATGCGCATGGAGATACGAGGAACTAGGATCAACTCCACTTTGAGCTAGACTGGGAAAGATTGAACAAGTGAAGCTCGTATAGCTCAAAATCAAGTTAATGGAGGTGCAAGAACCGCACACATTTTGGAAAAGCCCTCGGTCTAACGAATACTCCTGCTAGAGCTGGCCTGGCCATATACTCAAGTGTACAGACGAGTAAGGTCGAGACTCAAGGCCGAGTAGCACTCTATCTTCTTTGGGTAGTCTATGAGGAAGGTTTCTTGTGGCGGTACTTGATTCACAGATGCTGTAAGCCTCGGAGAGAAATAGGTCCATGAGACCAGAGCTAACAGGGCAAGAGGATGCGGGACTGGACTTCAGAATGCTTGCTAATGCCTCTATGAAGTGCATATGGCCAACAAAGAGAGGCCAGTCCATGATATGAACAAGCGTATGAGGATACTAGAGCTCAACAACATATGCCGAGGGGAAATTACAGACGAGAATCAAAGAAGCACCCGAACTTCGGCCCAGGTTGGAACTCTTTGCGACTGCCGATAACAAGAAAGCAAAGATAACACAATTGAAGGAATGTTTCGAGGTCTACCTAGTCTTCCTCCGAGCTGCATTCATGCAGGTAGCTATTCTAGCCTCGCAAGAGACGTTTCCTCGAAGCTCATCGTTATCCCAACAGACAAATTGCGAAGGTCCACCATGTAGCAAGAGGAGGTTCCGCACTCAAAGGTCGTTGGAGTCTTTCTAGTCTCGTACACAAGTGTGTATCCAGCTCAAGACCAGCAGTTAAGAGAAAGCTGGTCGAGCGAGGCAAAAGACAATTTAGGGAGCAAGAAGGCTGGCAAGTGTCAATCACTTGAAATATTGGCATCTTGTAGGAGGAGCCTGGATTGAGGAAGAGGATAAGGACTTATGAGTGCTATGTCACAATTTCCAATGTTCAAGTTCGTGGAGAAGAATCCCAGCGATGTAAGTCCAAACTCATGAGGACTTCACATGTCCTATGTCCAAGTTTTGAGGAGCCGTGTACCCAGGGGCCAGAAGACTTCATGTCCGGATGTATTTGACTTGGCGACATACACCTATGTCCAGATATCGGCATAGACCCAAGACTTTGGACTGTACATCGCTCACCTTGTGACACAAAACACGATCTCAGCCCCAATCTGCACAGAAATCTCCAGGACTTGACAGGACCGACTGGTCAGCAAGGCATCACAAGAAACAGTGCCTTGGCCGCTTGGTCAAACCGCCAGCTCGCCCAGGGCGTTCTCCTGCCCGGGCGCAGTCTTCACGAAGATGCATCTTGATAGAAGGAAGAAAGGCTTTCATTTTTTGAGAAATCTTTGATTCATTTGACGTCGGCATCTACAAACACCGTGTTTTGGGGGCCCGAGCGCTCGAGAAGACACCACGCACGACACCGCACGGCACCGGTCTCTTAGCGCGGCTGAGGTGGTCCCACTCATTTAAAGTCGAGTCTGCTCTGCAGCCTCTGCTCTGCATTGCTCTGCTTTGGGCAGGTAGGCACGAGACCAGACCGAAACAGTGGCGACAAGGAAACGCGGGACGACGCCGATGTTGGTGATGGATTGGACGAACTATCAAGAGCCCAGATGCTGTGCTTACACTGCACTGCTGTGGCCGAAACAATGCCCGTTTTCTGTGATGCGTGTCCCGTCCATGTCCTGCCCACCCATTTGGATCAATTGGCCAACCCCATCGATTGCATTGTGCCGTCTGGCTGGCGCTGTGCCTGCATATCTTTGCTCTGCCAAATGCGGAATCCAGCGCGGGGGTTTCTTGTCAAGCACGAAGGACAGTCGTCATCGCCGCTCTCCCGCACGGTAGGGGCCGACAAGGGCCCATGGCTCTCTGCAGTTGTTCAATCTTTGGCCTGGGCAGACCGCGTCCGCGATTGCCAAAGTGCCAAGACTCTGTTCACGGCCGTCCAGGACGGGGTGGGCGTCCTTTCCATGGCCAGTGTCATGTCCTTTCACAAAGCAAGGTCGACCCTCCCTCTTTCCTTATGGCCGCTCGGCCAGACATCCTATCAGCACCTTCACTGGCTTCAAAGACAAATTTGCAACTTCCAAGCAAAGTCGCATCCTCCTCTCGTCTCACTCATCAGGCTGACCCAGCCAACGAGAATCTCCTGATGCAGGGCATACTTCTCTGCAACCTCTGTTTGCGCTGCGATGGCTCGGTCGAAGCTGAAGCCTTTCTCAACCTACGAGCAAGTGGCCGTTGCAATTGAGCGTTTACTGCAGACGACTCTAGCTATCATCGCCCTCGGCGTTATCTACCGCTACTGCTGGATTGGTTTGTTCTCTCAGCTTCCAGTGGCCTTGCATTCTAGATGTATCTGCTAACACGTCTTCTTGCAGATATTTCGGATCCTTATAAATGTGGCGCACTTCTCAATAAAGGCGAATGGCTTGATCCAGGCCCACGATGGAGCTCTCACAATCCCTTCCAGCTATGGCAACCGCCAGGGTGCTTATTGCACGAGTACAAGAAAGATGACATCCGGGAATGCTTCGGCCAACAGCGGCTGGTCTTCATTGGTGATTCTACAACCCGGCAGATCTTCTGGGCCGTTGCAAAGAAGATGGACCAGGAACGAGCGGAAGAACAGATGGCCGATATATTGGACAGTGATTACAAACACAGAGACCTGGAGTTCACCTCTGACGGTGTCACAGCGCAGTTCATATGGGATCCGTGGCTTAATTCGACTGGGTCGGATGTTGAACTGAAGAATTTTAGAGCAGACCCTCGCCAAGAACACGGCGACTTGGCTAGGAGAAGTGCAGGTCTGGTTCTGCTTGGGGCTCCTGGATTATGGAATGCACGGCATGGCCAAGAAAATTACTTCAAGGATTTCCGAGAGTCGATAGACCATGTCATTCCATATATGGATCATGCTCCTATAGGTTCCGGGCTGTCAAACCAGCTTTCTAGGCCATTCCCAGTTCGCCAAACGTCGCCCAATTTGTTGCTACTGGCACCAGTTCAGGTCCCGCGGTATCAATACCTGTCTCCGTCGAGAGAAGAGACCATCACACCAGAAAAGATAGATGCGATGAATGACCTACTACAACAAGTCTCGGCCCATTCGTATGCTGATGTCGTGTGGAGCTACTCCTTGATGACATTCTCTGGTCGTGCGGAATATGAGGATAGTGGACTTCATGTGGTGGAGAATGTAGCTCATCGAAAGGCCGATGTTCTACTCAACCTTCGTTGTAACTCGAATGCTGCTTCAAGAGGCTACCCCTTCGATCGCACCTGCTGCAGCAACTACACTCACATGGCTGGTGTTCAATGGATAATGCTACTTGGAGGGATGTTTTTCCTACCTGGGTTATTATTCGTCCGTCGAAAGCATGCTGCTCTCAGGATTGGACGCTTCCTCCCCAATCACGAGACTATGAGTGCTATATCTTTGGTTGGACTCATTGTATGCTTCTGTTTTTACACAGATCGTACGCAGATTTTTGGGAAGTCCCACAAGCTGTTCCGACAGAGACAGTTCCTCCTGGCATGGGCCGCCGCATCAGCTCTTGGTCTCGTTTCAATAAGAAGAAGCAAATCACCTATTTCAAGAAGATCCTCTTCACTTACGCTTTACGACCGAGAATTTCTTTCTCGAGACCAAAGTTATGAATGGAAGGGGTGGATGCAATTCTTCATCTTGATCTACCACTACACACATGGGTCGAAGTCGCTCTGGATTTACGAGATCGTCAGACTCCTGGTTGCATCCTATCTCTTCATGACAGGATATGGTCACGCGCTGTATTTTCTGAAGAATGGTGACTATTCTCTGAGACGAGTTGCTACGGTGCTGATACGTCTCAACTTGTTGAGCTGCATCTTGCCCTATATGATGCGTACGGACTATCTGTTTTACTACTTCGCCCCATTGGTCAGTTTCTGGTTTCTCGTCATTTATTGCACTCTCAAGATCGGTCACCGCAATAATACCAATGCCGATTTTGTCATGAAAAAGATCCTCCTCTCGGCTATGATTACGACTGCTTTTACAAAGATACCCGGCCTTCTGGAGTTTATTGCATTTATGTTAAAATACACCTGCTCGATCTCCTGGAACGTAACGGAATGGCGGTTCCGCATGTATCTCGACATGTATATTGTTTATGTTGGAATGATTGTGGCTGTTGTCCTCCACCGCATGTCGCAACTTAGATCCGGCTCAGTTGGACCAAAGGCCACCTTTGACAGCATTCTCGAATGGACCATTAAACACAACAAGATTTTCAAGACCGCCATGGCCCTCCTCTCTTTGGGGCTACTACCCAGTTTCTGGCTCCTAACCCGACGATCTCCTAATAAACAAGATTACAACTGGTGGATGCCTTTCATCTCCTTCATACCCATTCTTTCGTTCGTCACGCTGCGCAACTCCCACCGTTTCCTTCGAAATTATCACTCCGGAATCTTCGCATGGCTCGGCCGCTGCTCTCTTGAAACGTACGTCCTTCAGTACCACATTTGGTTAGCAGGTGATACCAAAGGCCTGCTACGACTCGGGCTCTGGAATCCTTGGGTCGAAGCGGCTATGCTGACCGCGATCTTTCTCTGGCTCAGCTGGCTTATCGCCGGTGCGACGCAGACGATCACCAATTGGATCGTGGGGAAGAAGCCAGGAAGTCAAGGCTATGGTGAAGATGACACCGTCGGGCTCAAATACTCACCATACCTGTTGCCAAAGATGGCAGAAGGAGAGGGCACCCCTTCGAAGGACACGAGATTCGATATTGGACGAAGCAATACCTCTCGATGGTTGGAGAAGTGTGTTGTCCTTTTCAACGAGGATTTGAGATGGAGACTGGGACTTATACTCCTGGTTATGTGGGTGAGTAATGTCACGTATAGATGAGAAAAGGGACTGTCATTATCCTATGTAAACACAATGTGTAAAGACGAAAGACGCCTACATAAATAGATGATAATTGAATTCATGACTCTCAAACTTAGTCAGCGATCACTGGAATATCACCGCCGATTAGCAATTGAGGAGAAACAAGTGTTTCTAGCTTCGAACCAAATCTGAGGTAGAAGTGAAGAGCTTGAGAATGTTGGTCTAAACTCAAGGGACAGTCAAGCGACATTCCTTTTGAAAGCAAGTGTTCGAATCTATACATATAGCTCAGAGCTACCTGGTGTTGCCTTTCCTTTAGAGGGCCAAAGAGAAGGCGTTTAATCTGGCATGATGAATCAGGAGCGCAGCTTAAGCTAACTCCATTACTCTTAATTAACTAACTGCCAACACCCATCCCAGCCCCCGGCACATCCTGCCTACAAACTTCAATCAAAGCACTCAGCACCCTGATCCCCCTCCTCCGTTCCCCCCATGTCTTCAACCCAGCCAGTAGCTTCCTCCCCTCAACAAGAACCCTCATCGGTCCCTTCACACTACAAAGATTACCGACCCCGGTGATGTTAGCACGCATGCTAGCGCCCCTTTTTACGAAGAGTTGGACGAGTTCATCGTCTGCTGGCCGATCAAGCTGCATGGATGTCGGGAATAGAGATTCGGCTTCGTCGTCATCGTCCTTGTTGGCTGCTTGAGAAGGAGGGTGGGAGTCAGGCTTAGGTTGGGAAGGCGGTAAGGTGCGTGCTGCGAATGTGCCGTACGCCCAGAACGCGAGTGTGGCGAGGAAGACGGAGGATGGCTCGTAGAAAGCATCTGCCGAAAAACGGCGAACGTGCCAGAAGAGAGCGCCAGCGTGGATCATGGCAAGACGAGCTTTGTGCTGGTCTTCGACGGCCCAACGTTGGATGTGCTTTTTGAGGGTCGGGATGTCGAGATCTTCTTCAGTTGTTGGGAGGGGTTCGTTCGTCATGAGGTGGGCGAGTTGGAGGATTTGGCAGAAGGGTGTTAGGAGGATGACTCGTGCGAGGTGGAGGTGCAGGACTGTGGGGTGCTCCATTCCTGATGCTGCTCCTATTACGCTGTTTGCATGCCAGTGAAGGATGTCCAGGGAGTCGCAGGCTGAGTTGCGCCATTTGGAATAGGTTTGTATTCCTGGTAGCCAGACCGGCATGGATCTCGTGATGGTCTTGATGTCCTGTTTCTCTGCGGTGGGGGTCCACAGCGTGAGGGGTTGTTTGAAATATGATTCAACCTCCCATGTCCGGCGGAAGAGTGCGTGGATGCATAGGATTCGACTAAACTCGCCTGTAGAGGACCGGATGCGCTTTTCGACGTAGGCAAGTTGGATTGCTGCGTGGAGAGAGGGGTTCGCTACTTTGGATTAGTGCATGGTATTGTGAAATGGGTTGAAGTGCTTACGATCAGCACAGGAATGGAGCTGCTGCCAATCCAGAGCTGTCTGCGCTTCCCAGAGAACTTCTTGGCATGGTATTGGAACCCGAGCGTCTTCTAAGGACAGGAGAGGGCGTCTTTGGAAGTGGAAAGCCCACATACAGTCCAACCACTATTGAGATTTGTGAGAAATTTCATCAAATTAGAGCTAAGAAGCTTACCCATATGCAATAGCCTGTACGTCGGCGGCTTTCTGCTTCATACCATCTCCTCCAGCCATAGTCAATATCTTCCATTCCATTGTTGTTTGATTGGTCTACGTCTGAGCGTGCCATCGACCATTCCGTGCTGCAAAACGATGCGAGATCGCCGTGGTAGCCTTCCGCGATTTTCGAAAGTCGCTCATCGCCGCAGTACATCATGCCCACGCAATTTAGGAGACTGATTTGGGTAAAGTGTAACTTGGAAGGTCTCGGATATTCCCCATTCTCGCTCTAAGGTGTGGAGTTAGAAAGTAAGATGGCAAATTGAGGGAAGAATGAAGTTACCACAGCCTCTATTGCCCTGCGCAAGAACTCGTGTATGGCAACACTGAAACCCTCAGAATCTTCAATTTCAAGGTAGTGACTTCCGACTGCAGCCATAGCTAACATGAGGAGCCAATGAGAAGAGGATATATTGAAGGTAGCCGGATGTATAAATGGTAGGATTGATTCAAAATTGTCTCGGTAAAGGAGTATGCAGAGACTCAAGACCTGACGTGAAGGGAATGCAACATTGTAGAACTTTGAATAGTGGGTCGTTGCGGTGCATGTGTGAGTAAAGCTTTCTCTAATTTCGGTGTATGAACCTTGAGGGATTTGCTTAGTCTCTGCAACCTCTGGAAGGTCCCCAGTTTCTGGGAATTTAAATGCCGGGAAGGCTTCTTCGGTTCCAAACGTGGAAGCATGGGCGTGCGAATCCGAATGTCGATATGGTATCTTGCGAACTCGTGGCAATCTTGCCCCATCGCCGTCAACATAAAAGTGGCCGCCACTGTGTGTACTTTGCGTACTCGGGCTTGAGACATCCTGGCCATCTACAGCTTGTGACTGCCGCCCTAGCGGATCTCTTGCTCGGGGTGGAAAGTGTCGAGGCGATGTTTGATTCTGACCCGAGTTTGTGAGGGGGTATGTGATATTACTAGCTTGTGGAGTTTGGCCAAAGAAGAGAGAATGTTGATCGAAGGGGCCGAGGTCACCACCCATCTGGAAATCAGGCGTCCAGTTATCCGGGAGCCAATTGATCGAGGAAAAGTTGTTTTGATACCACGGCTCTGGTACCCCATTTTCATGCTGATGATGCTTGATCTCTGCGCGAGCGTTCATGTCCAAAGACCCAACATTGGTTGGTTGTTCCATGAAAGGCTGGATTGGTTCTGAGCTGGGAGGGATCTCCATGTTTTGTTGCTGACTGCGGCTGGTAGGGGAGGTGAGTGGCTGCGAGTTGTGGTGACCAGATCGACCAGGAGATATGGAGCTCGGCATCTGAACACTATTTCGAGCAAAAGATAATGCATATTCTGGTGAAGCGTGACTTTGAAAGAGGAAATTATTTGGATCATTTGTACCAGGAAGAGAATCGGCTGTTGTGGTGTGGATTTGCTCCTGATCTTGATTCATTCTCGGCGAGGCAGATGTATTAGACCAAGACATCGGAGACACTTGGGCCTTCGAAGAGCTGTGCTCACTTCTTGATGGCGTTTCTTGGTCGTCAACAGGTGATGTTGCATCCTCACCACCCACAGTCAACCGAGTTGAAGTAGCTCTTCGTGACCTGCCAGACTCTGGGTATTTGCAGTCGACTGTTCGTTTTTGGCAGCCTAGGCATGGAATACCACCACTGCATTTTCTCCTAGCGGCTGCACATGCTAGGCAGGCCCGATTTCCTTTTCCAAGGACACTCCGTTTGGGTTCATTGTGAACTTGCTCATGCCGTCTCAAAGCGTCTCTAAAAACCATTAGTGATCACGTGAAAGCACTTCGGTAAGGGTACTGACATTCTATAAAAGCCTTTACGGCAGTAGGAGCATTTGAGAAAGCGCTCTTTCATGTGACTCCTTGCATGGCGTGTTAAATGCTCAACTCGGCCGAACGTTTGCTGGCATTCAAGACACCGAAAGCGTCCGGGAACTGGGTGATTGGCCTGGCTCGCACTTTGAGAGCTGTTAAGACTGGCCGCTCCCTCCGCTTCAAAAGGAGTCAGCATAAGACGATTTCATCCGAGGCTGGGGCTCCAGTTACCCATGTGCACTCGAAGAGGGCTGAGCTGGCTGAACGGCGCAGTCGAATTAGAACTGTTGGAAGAGAAATCTAGTACTGGGTCAAGATCGTCTCCGCTGGATGTAGGAGAGCATTCTTCCTAGACAGAGATGCAAGCTGGTAAGCGCTGGGTCGGCTTGTGTGAAGTGGATTTGTGGAGTCGGAGGTGCGGTGTGGGGTAGCTCGCTTGCCGCCAATCTGACAAAAGTGGAAGTGATCGGCCGTGCCCAGCCAAGGAGTTGGGAGAGCACCACGTCTTGGCTTGCTGGGCGAACCCCGCGACAGAATATTGACAGTAGGCAGGCAAGCGTGTATGGCTTGGTTTTGGCTACTTTGAGGTTTTTGCTTGAAGCGGGAAAGGGTAAGGGTGGCGCCTTGCTCGAAAATTTGGGGAGAACTTCGTGCAGGTCATTTCAAAGGAACTCATATGTACCAGTACTGAATTTCGTTATCCGTTCTTAGTCTGCTTTTTCTACGAAACTCTCATGTTTTGAGATACATGCATTAACTACTGAGACTTGCCCATAAACAATACATGTCTGTGAACTATACCTATCCTAACCAACATAAAATTCAAAGGCGTAAGCCGTGGAGGTATCGGTTTGATAAACAGGGAAAGTGACACTATTCCCCGAATATGCGTGCGAGTTCCAGCCAAGATCATTTGGAGCATCAACTTCACCAAAATGGCCGTTGGAGGGGAAGCCCCATGTGTGAATGTTAAGTGATCCAGAAGATGGCAACCCCACAGACGACAGACTGTTGATTGTGATCTGCCAGGTTCCAGACGTAATTCGAACTCCAGTGAGGACTCTTACCATATCCTTGCCAACGGTAGCGAAAGTATCGAGTTTGAGGTCGGCTGACGGAGAGGTTCCGACGCGATATCCGGTCATGTTGAGGTTGTAATACTGGTAAACTTGATAGTCGCCATTTGGATAGTAACCCGTACCTGTTGGGCTATTCGTATTTGTTTTCGACACCAGAGATCCCATGAAGTCGTGCAACTGGGATCCGCTGAGCCAATTTCCTCGAAGGCCAACGGCATTGACTCGTTCAAGTTGGGAAATCCACCACGCCGAGCCGGCAGGAACCTGTTCAGGGAATGTGGCATACTCGTCGATGTTTAAAGGTTTGATAGGAAGCTTGTAGGTTTGAAGTATGCCAACTAGAGCACCGTATGCCCCTTCCATGTCTCCTCCTCCTCCTTCCATATGCCAGACGTACTCGTCAGGCACACTAGAGTTGCTAGCAACAAAACTCAAGAAATTAGTCCACCACGTGTTTGAACGGTCGGGTTGGCCTGCAAAAGCTGGTCCAATAAGTTTCACCGACGGCCACGCCTGCCTATTCAAATATTCAGTCAGATTCACAAACGTAAGCTTTAGGTTGAATGAAGCAAGACTTGCCTTAAGCGGTGGTATGTTCTACCCCACATCTGGATATACTGTGCTTGTGAGGCTTTCCAGAAGTATGTGAGATCTGGCTCGTTCCAAATATCGATAGACAGACCAGCAGTGGCAGAATTGGCATTCATATCCGAGATCCACTGTGTAAGGTAATTATCCCAACTGGTCCAGTCTCCATTGTCTCCAGGATACGGCGCAGTTGAATTCTGACTCCCGTCCGCCCCCCAGAGATCATGGATTAGGAAAATGAAGTTGGCGTTGTACTTCCTGGCTGTCTTGTAATTTGAAAGCGCAGATGCGAATCGAACCTATCTCAGAATAAGCAAGTGGAGTGAATTGTAAATCTACAGTGCATACCTTGTATTCCGACAGCCCCCAAATCCAGCCACGGCCTGGGGCAGCTACCTGAGCTCCTCCAGCCCTGGCATAATTAAAGCCAATGCCCGTGTAGAAGTGATCCGGTATCTGATTCGGCTGGTCGGGAATGCCATAGATGAAGCCGGAAGCCAGGTGCTGGGGCGTGCCGGTATTGTTGCCCAAGTTGACGGTAGACGTTACAGTATCCCGTTGCTCGAGAGGACTAGCAGCCACAACTGCCGCACAGAGAAGGCAAAGGAGAGCATGCATGATTGAATGCTCAATTCAAAGAAAGCAGGAATCAGTTGCCACTCAATTGAAAATGGGCAGCTTGGGTTTGAAGGAAAGCTTCGCATATTTATATATTACCTTCGGGAAAATACAACGTCTCAAGGGAAAATAATGTAGCGGGAGAGCCACAGACAAGGGGTAAAAGCCAATTAAAATTTCGTATTATTTGCTTTCTGGTCCGTGCCAGCGCGGAACACCCCTGTCTCGCTACATTATTTCCCCTAGAGACGTTGTATGCTTTTGGAAAGAGGAGAAATGATTAACTTGACTAAAGCACAACATTCGTCCCCACACAATCCGGCAGCGGGTGAACATGGGGAACTTTCCCCACGAACCCCAGATTTTCCGTTGCCATGTGCCCGGATATAGCTTTTGAGTACTCGAAGCGGATTGGTCCACGAGAATGAAGCATCAGGGGCTTTTCGAATGACGCTTGCGGAGGTGAGATGGGATTTCGGATGAAGAGGATGAAAGAGGTTGGAGTTCGCTAACCCACCGGAACGGCGACCGCTTCAGGCCAAGAACGTCATTCTTCCATCTCGTCTAGGAAGCTTCTCCTTCCTCTCGTCCACGATCATTGGAGCGCAAACAACTCTCTCCTCATTATATGGGATACCAACGCTGACATGCGCTTCCGCTCGCTACTTACGGTATCACCGGCATGCTCACAGGAGCGGAGCGAATTTCAGTCCGGATAGCCCCATCCGACTCGGTTCCTTTTGGCTTGTTCACGATTTGTCCATTGCGTAGAGGGACTTGGGCATTTTGAGTCAGAAATGAAGTGTTTAGATTCTCATCATTGTTCGATTATGCCTAACGTTTTCTACGAATCCCCACTCGCATATGCCCTTTTCCTCCACGGTTATCCCGCAAAGCATACGGTATGAAGTGCAGCTCATCCGCGCCGGACGCCTTCTCTTGCGTGGCAGATTTCAGACTCATATGGGGAGCATGGCTTTTATCGACATCAATGAATGACGCAGCATTGCGAATTGTCAACCCAATATACGGTTCTCCAACCTCGTCGGCCGCACCTTCTTTCTCCTCGATAGCCGCTGTGGGATCGAGCAGCAGGCTTTTGAAGTGGTCATCCACCCAAGAGTTGTCGAAGTCCTCGACGCAATATATGAGAGGTCCTCGGGCAAGTGCTACGATGTCTTGGTTTGTGTATGGATGAGGTGAGACGAATCTTGGCTTGAGTGGAATGTTCAATTCGAATTTTGGGTTGTGCTTCAGCCAATCTGCGGGAAGGGTCAAGTATCCTTTCTCGACATGCTTGCTTGGAAGACTTGGCGAGATCTGTGGTACCGTCAGCAATCACCTCGATTTAGAAAGGACAGAACATACCTCCCACCCTTCAGCCCAACCAGGGATTCGAAGCTTGATCGTTGTTGCGACTTCAGAAATACCTCGAAGAGTGAGCTCTATCTTGCCATTCCAAGGCCAGTTCGATTTCTGTTCAAGTTCGACCGTGTCTTTTCCAACAGAAATTGATAACTGAGCTGAAGAGTACATATGAACTTTCACCAGTACCGACTTTTTTTGCTCGTCAGTGTCAAAGCTCCACAAATACCCTCCAATGTACCCCAGAAGTCTGGTAACATTCGGTGGACAGCATGCGCAGGTGAACCACTTGGCGCGCTGTGAGAGGTGTTTATCGCTCGACGCCAGTTGGTTGACGTATGTGAACTGTGTTCCCTTGGCAGACATGCCCGTCATGACTGCATTGTAAAAGCATAGCTCCATGATATCCGCAAACTTCCCGTCCAAATCTATCTACTATGAATTAGCATGGTTTTAGAGTCATCTCGTCTCCTGCTTACCTGGAGCAACCTCTCTGCAAGCATCATAACTCCAATTGCAGCGCAAGTCTCTGCATAGCATCCGCCCTCATCTGACCCAGACGGCAGGAAGTAATCAAGTCCAAATCCCTCCCATTGCCCCATGGCTCCGATGCCCCCTGTCAAGTACATTTTCTTGTCAACCATGTTGCTCCACAGACGTTGCAAAGCTTTTCGGTACGAATCGCGATCGGTTTTGCTTTCCACGCGAACCAAGTCGGCTACTGCAGTAAGCAGATACATGGCTCGCACGCTATGGCCTTCTATTGTCTCTTGCTCGATGATCGGCTTGTGAGCTTGGTGGTACCTGCCGTGCAAGAAGTATCAGCATGAGCTCCCCCCAGACCATAAAAATACCTACCAATAAGCTCCTTTTGATTCCATGTACGCCGGTACCTGATGCTCTCCTTCTCCTCTAGCCTCAGCCTCGACATCATAGTAATGGCGTCCATATTGCCCAGTTGGATTTCCCCGCTCTGTTATAAAGTATTGCGCTAGGCTCAAATGCTTCGGATTGCCCGTCTTCTCATACAGTCTAAGCAGCGCGAGCTCGATTTCCGGGTGGCCAGGATAGCCATGTTTCTGCGCCGGCCCTGGGCCAAAAGTCTCGTACAGCAAGTCAACATACTTAACCAGCGGTTCCATCAACAAATCATTCTGGTAATGCCTGGAGTGAGCTAGTGCAGCTTCGATCAGATGTCCCGCATTATACCTGTCCTCAAATCAGCGCCTCTCTTTCCACCGATAATTACAACTTGGGGTGGGAGAGGAATCATACAATTCATGCAAATCCCTCAAATTCGTAAACCTCTTCGCCGGCTCCACAACCGTAAAATGGATATTCAGATACCCATCCTCCCCCTGCGCGCCCCTAATCATTTGCACCAGCTCCTTGACCGCGCCATCGATCTCCTCATTCTCCCCCTCTTCTGTCATCAGAAAGTAACAAGCTCCCTCAAGCCACTTCGCAACGTCCGAGTCCCAGAAGAGGTGGTTCGGGACGGGCCAGACGTTCGGCTTGTCGCTGTATGAGTCGTGCCATTTCAGCTTGAAGGCGTCGTAGCGCCCTGTCTCTTTCAGGACGTTGAGTTGGTAGAGGAGAGTGTTGGCGTATACAACCCCCCGCCGGCGACTGATGAAGGAGGGCGAGCTTGACGGGAAGGAGGTGTGAATGAATGTGATCTGTGGGTACGACATCGCTGCGATGGTGGACTTTCACCTCAATCCGATTCTGATGAAAATAATAATAATAATAATAAACTGAAAAAAAAATTGAAAAAAAAAACTCAATTGTTTGATTCGAGAAGAAAGATTTAAAGATCAGAGCGGAGAAGAGAAGAGGAATACTAGCTAGTACTCTCGTGTTAATAACCCCCCGAACGGAAAAATTTACTCGTGTGGACCTGAATGGAGCTCATAGTGGCGAGATTGTTCTTCACCCCTCCCCCACCGGAGTTCGCGCAGGAGGGCATCCCACTCCCACTCCCACTCCCATTCCCATTCCCATTCCCATTCCCATTCCCATTCCCACCCCACCTTTCACCTGCCCCGCAATCAACCCACCAGGAACGCATTGACCGGAGCTGAAGGAACCCCATAGTACCGCATCTCCTCACCCCATCCCCCCAATGTCAATTCGCATCAAATTAGGATCGTTCGTTCGCAACCCCCCTATTCCTAGACGAGCACGTGACACAACCCCTTTTCACGGCTACCTACCTTATGTATACCTTATGATCTCAATCAAGCCCTTCATGTCGGCTTCGGCACGGTCGTAAGTGGAAACGCGAGCGAGGCCTATTTTCGGAAACCGTGATTTGATTTGTATGCAAGGGGTGAGCAAATATCTATCTATATCTGGGGGGTGATGGCATTGATCTAATTTCAAACATCAGGCTGAACCGGGCTGTTTCGAAACGCGAGATTGGCGAGGCTGGCTGAGCAGTTCAAGCGTTGATGATTGGCCTCCCCTTCAACAAATGGGAATAAGTCAATGTGAGATACGTGGCTCACAATTCGAGAGGTCAGAGACGCGACTCTCTAGCACAACATCCATTCATCTATTTACAATCTCCTCGTTCTCTCATCTCATCTCATCTAGCAACGCACCGCTCAAAATCTACACCTCTCATGCCCGCCTCTCTCATCACAAAATGTAAAATCCAGCTCAAGCTCCACAGGGCTCAAGCCAAAACAACCCAAGGGTATCGCGCAATCAAGCCAAGCATCCATCCATCCATCCATCCATACAATCCATCTATCCATACAATCATCCATCCATCCATACAATCCACCATCCCAAAGGATGACCTTTTTTTCCATTTCTATTTCCATTTCCATTTCCATGCTTACTAAAACTCCCGCTAAATTCAAATCCCAAAACAAAATCATAATTGCAACAAAAGAAAGCAAGGCTTTGACAAGAACAACCCAAGATTGTAGCTCTCTATATAGAGCCTGGATCTGAGGGACGTTAATACAGAATGTACAATTTCTTTTCTCTTTTGAAAGGGAAAGCAGATAGAGTGGAGGACTATTTTCCGACAATGACATCCCCGAGGTATCCCACTTGATTCAAGAGCTGTTCGAGTGCGCTCATGCTCTCCGCGTCTGGGACGGGATTGGGGAGGAATGGCGGGGAGGCACCGAAGGTTGCCCGACTCGCTGTTTGGGTCAATTGCGAGAGCGGGGAGTCTTTTGTAAGGGTCTGCTCAGAGGCATATTGGTCTTCCGGGAGACTGTAGGCGTTTAAGCCTGGGGCAGGAGTCTCTGAGAGGACGGGGCTGTAGGTGAACTCATCTCCACTTCCCATGTCGGCAGTGAGATCATCGTCTTCGTTCGAATCTTCTTCGCCGATGCTGAAGCTGCTGTCTGTTGGCGACGTGATAGTCGTAGAGATGGTTGATGTGGAGAAGTGAGACCTTGGGAGGTCGGTGACGGAGACAGCGGAGCGGAGACGAAGAGGCGGAGGCATCAGAGGGAAGTCTTCAGGCAATTGTGGAAGTGGTTTGGAGGTATTTGTGGCAGTCTTGGCTCGGACCATTTGAGGGCGGGAGACGGATGGTGGAGGAGAAAGGGGTGTGAAGATGCCTTTCTCATTGATGGACATTCGGCTGAGTTGGCTGGCGAAGTTGTCATCGTCCTCGGCTTCCTCTGCAATCTCGTCTGGTATCACAAGCGAGCCCGAATTGTATGTGCTGCTCTCCTGAGAACACAATTGGCGAAGGGGTGAGGGCTCACGAGAGGGGGTCTTCTTGAAAGATTGAGGAGACACCTCCCGAGTATGAGGTACCGACTTGGCTTTCCTCATCTCATCCGATCGAAGAGCTAGTGAGGGCAAGCTGGAGCTGGCATCTGCTTGGACCTTGCTTAATGAACTCGACCGACCACGTCTATCAGCATCTTGATCCTTCGAATTCAACGATCGAAGACCAAAGAACATCCGCGGTGACCATTGAGGCTTTTCAGTTGTTGGTGAAATTGATCGTGCAGTTCGCTGCTTCGTGAGGACCGAAGTGGATGTGTTTAGACGCGGCAATTTGGGGGTTGGCGGTGGAGCCCGCGGCGTCATGAATTTGTCGGCAGGGTTCATGGTCTTGATGTCTCCATTCGTCATTGAGCTCATCGAAGCGCTTCGAAAGCGTAAGGGTTGGACTTCAACTGGTACCCAGAGAAGATTGACCGGTTGACCTGGGAGATACGGGCAAGAAGTAGTAAACGGGATCGACGCGTCGTAGTGTTCCGTTCCATCATCCAACTCGTACTATACATAAAAGTGAGTTTCTTTCTTGATAGTTTCGGATAAACTTATAAATACGTAGTAATAATATGTGGAGCCCATCTTCAAACCACCTGTTCGTTTGGGGCTGCTTCCACCATCCCCGTCGCAAATGATGTCCTCGAAAGAATAGCAACCACGCCATTGGCTCCGGCTTCGTCGGACATCTCGTTCCATCGGGTAATGTTTCGAGAAATTATCCCACGATCCGATTAGATGAACCGAGGTGGTGGAAGGGGAGGTCTGCCTATAATAGGGTTAGTATCTTGAAACACGATCGCTGAACAAATGACGGCTCGTATATTGTGGAGAGATGTAGCCGCGAGATTAGACGAGGGGCCGGCAGATAAAGATAGCAATCTGTTCTTCCGGCATCCAAATAAACATCGGACGGGCGGACTTCCCACCAATCGTAATATGATATGGGAATGTTTCGTCCCAAAGTATACGACAGAGATGAGCAATACGGCTGGGGACAACCCTGCGACGCCAAGATCTCAAAACAAGACGATGCTCGACTTCAACTTGCGTACTCGGCAAAAGTCAGACATATCAAGTAGACGCGCCGCGCAATGTCAGTGCCTTGAGTGACAGGTACACGAGCACAAAAGCATGCAAATCCTCCGAAGGTCATCCAACGGCTGACACAGCATTCCAATGCACGTTTCGCCTTTCGTCCAACGGCAAGATGCTAGAAACATAAAGAGCAGTGTCTGTTTCGTTTCAGGCAAGTCGATGGTGGAATTGCAGAGACCTGACTTGATCTCTACCAAGTATCTTCCTCGTCCATATTTCTTATGCACCGCCCCTTCTCGACTTTCTCTTGCTTCAAATCTTGGATACTGGAAACTGAGCTTCTAAAACACATCGAAATCTTGCGCAAGGGGTGGGATGCAAATGCGATATCCAAGTCAAGAACAAGGGGAACGGGAGTTTTGACGTACACCATGAAAGTTATCAGAGCTGTATCCATTATGCAGTATTATGACTCGAGACCAGCCCGAGGTGAGTATTGTAAAGAAAGAAAGCAGGAAATAAAGAAATAAAGAAGGAAAGGTAGAAGGCGATGACGTTCTTGGCTTTTTCTCGAGGGCGTGGTTATGGTCTTGTATCGGAGGGCTGCATGTTCTCGCAGCTAGCCGAGTGTTGGGGGCAGGCGTTGAATGGGGAACTTCAGACGGACCCGAGAAAGAATTACTCCTTGCTCGTCTTCAAGTATGTTTGGGATAGCCGCGAGGTTTGAGGAACGGCCCTGGAAGCCTCGTGGAATTGCAGTGCTGTTCCTTGGGCCAGTGGATGGGCGGGCTGGGATGCGAAAAGCGCCGTGATGGGAAAGGCCCGGTCTCGTCTGTCTCGTTTTAAACTTTCGAGCGCTTAAGGATCCAACGTCGAGAGATTCTAGAAATCGGTTGGCGTTTTAGGATTGCAGGATAGGATTCGAGGATTGATGCTGGGCTGGGGCATTGCTCGTCGCCAGAAGTTGGCGCTGATGTGGGTGACAGTGAGTTGGTTGATCCTCCTCGCTCAGGTTGCTGGAGGTACTTGTAACTTGATGGGGCGGGCTGCAGACTGCAGTAGCTGAAGGATGACCAACTGAATCCCGTAGCGTCCAGAAACTGGGAAATTGAGATGGCGACGGTGGAGCTAGAGCGAGAGGCCAGGAACAACCGGAGTGTCGGCACTAACGATGAAGATCAAGATGAAGATGAAGCTTTAGTGCGATCGAGTTGCCGGGAGGAGATCATTCGACAGGAGGAAGGCGCGATGATGGGAGAGGCGTGCTTGCAGTTTGTACTTTGTACTTGTACGGATCGTACTCTACTCCCTTGGTAAGATGGGGGGAGATTGGAAGCATTTTAATCCGAGAAAAGCTGGTGCGCTGGCGGATCGTCCGAAAGGGCTGCTCAGCAATCGTGACCCTGTTGCTGTGCGGTGCGGCTGCGTGTGATTTCCCAGATTTGGTGGTGCGGTTGCCGTGCTGCTGCTCACGATGTGGAAGCTCACCCACTCATCCGCTTTGAGCAGCAAGTGGCGCAGGCTTCCCGAACACAGACAATGGGGACCTCGCAGGGACAGGGGGCTGAACCTCAAACAATCGACGCCACTAGGCTCAGCTCGGCTAGAGGAAGCAACTGCAGGCCAATCGGGGGGACAGACGACAGCCACTCCAGGACCCATGGAGCATCGCGCATGATTTGGAGGCGCGCTGGGCTGTGGCCTTGAAGAGCGCATCACATCGCATAACTGGCTGGCCGCACGCAGCAGCATGATTATGTCTTTGGGTTTCGAACCATGATGTCGCCCATTGGTATGCATTGCTGCCGCTGCCGCTGCCGCTGCCGCTGCCGCTGAGGGATCAGCACGGGTGGGACCGAGACAGCCAGTTCTGTTCGAATTCCCTGATGGCCGCACTCTGAGTGTTTACTGTGGTATGCCCCTGATGAAGCGGCCGATGTTGGGGAGCGTCAATCAAACTCCTGGCCCCGGCCTTACCGTATTGTACGGCGCAGCAGGATCCGTGTGGCTGGAGAGCAGCCGGATAAAGACCGCCAATGCGCCACTGATCGGAAGACCCTGAATTTGGACCTCCCAGACCCCCTTCAAGTTTAGCCCGGGCGGAACTGCCTGCACTGACTGCACTGCCTGCAGCTGGCCTGGCGTGATCGCCCGGTAGCGAATCCAAGCTCAGCGCACCCTCAAACAACAACGCCCTTGATTGGCAGAAACTCCAGGGGAGCGCAGCCTTGAAGGCTTGAAGACATTCTACGCAGAGCCCCTGGAGCATGAAGCGAGATTTGTGCATCCTTGCTGACTGCCCCTGACCGCGAACAGAAGCCATCAGCGCGTCGAGGGGGAAACGCGTGTGAAGCATCATTTAAACTCTCACTCTACGGAGTACACGCCTCACGAGCGCAGCCGGCCCATTGGCCAGACATCTTGAGATTGGGGGGGAGTAGGAAGCATATCACTCGCCTGGAAGACGTGGGAAATGTTTCGGTTCAAGCTTCTTATGTCAGACACGGCATTTGCCAGCGGAGTGTGTTCGGCAACATGTGTGGGGGCGGCGTTGTGTCGAGATTCGAGGGTGCAGACACTGCAGATGCTTTCTGTCTTTCCACAACATGTACCGGGTCCGCCTTGCTTCTAGACTCGACGATGCCGAGGCTCAAAGTGTTGGCCAGAAACATGTATGGGGGTGGCATTGTGCTGAGCGATACAAAGGCTGAAAATGTTAGCTAGGTCTCGCGTTTTCACGAACGCGTACGGGAGTCGTGTTTATACCGAGTATCAAGTGATATGAAGTTTGAAATTATTAGCCAGAGACTGTCCCAGAAGAATGCATACTCACATGAGTTTCCGAAAGCACTTTCTTTGAGCCAAACCTTTTCCCTTCGGAATTGTCCCTCTTCAGACCAAATTCATCTGATCGAAATTATCTTCAATCCCATCTATTAATTTATTATGACATACAACGTTGAACGCTGTGCCCTTCACGCCGCAATCCTTTGTCCCTCAATGCAATTTTTTATTTTTTTTAAGACCGTGGCTTGGTGTCACGATCCCATCCTCGAATGATTCTTCAGGTGTTCACGTCCCACTCAGCCTCATGTTTCCCTATCATATCTCATAAGATCTTATCGTCAAGGGCAGACGTCGGCATATTGGACGGATGTTTGTTTATCCTTGACGATCCCGAACATCGGTATCGTTCCTGCATCTCGGGAGTTTGAATGAAAGAAACTGTTGGTGGCACAGGATCGCGTAAATACGCGTACCGTTTTATCCTTCTAGAAGGGCATTCTCGAAGTTTTGGAAGGGGGGGCATGAGAGGCGCAGCGTCAGGTGAGATGCTTTGACCCAGCACGTGTACTAAGAGTACAAGCTTCTCTCCTAGCATGAAAAATCGCAGAAATTCCAGAACCTGCTTGTATGCGAAAATTCAGTAGAAGGGCAAGCTTCTCGAAGTTTCAGAGAAGGCGGAGCCTTTGCAAGTAAACGCATGAATCATTCAGTCTCTCGTATGTCAACATGACAGCAGGCGTTTTCTCTCAGCATCTAAAAATAGACTATGGTAGTACCAGAGGAAGTGCACGAACCACGCCTTAGAGGACGTGGTGAGCGAAGAGGATCGTCGATCCTGAAGGAAGTATTACCTGGACAGAGAAGGAAAAGCACCACTCGAGCCAGGTGTTGTTTTCTTTGCAAGGATAGTGTTGTAGCCCGTGCAAGACGTGAGAACGGTGCCATCACGATCTCACCAGGTCAAAGGAGAGCATTGATGCCATGAAGTTGCAAATTGCAAACATTTATTGGTGAAATCTGCAATGGCTATGAAGAGAGCAGTAACGATCGAAACTCAGTGTGCATAAGCTGCCCACAGCTATGAAGAAAGCAGAAACCGAAAAACTTAACCTGCCACTGCATATCAACCTGCGCCCCGTTAACTCACAAAGTACTACTTTCTACCGATCATGTTATCAATATCTCCCAACGCCGTGAGCGTTGCCGAAACCCAAGAGCCAGATGCGGGTTAAAGAAGCAGCTCAGCTCAAGTCGCAGCCATCGGTACCAAGTCAACGTCACCATTCCGCTCAAAGACAACGTTCATCGGGATTTTATCACTCAGGAGAGCCCACGGAACACGCAATCCATCGCGCATCTTCCTCCAGAGACAGTCGGCTCAGCTCCTCCTTCCACACAAGATCTCCATCAACAAACTCCGCTGGTCCTTCGCGCGTCCATCCAGTGCGGAAGAGTGATAGATCCTTTACTGGAACCTGGAAAGCCCTGGTTCGCCGCATGTTCATGATCTCCCGTGCAAGATCACCCAATCTGGGGTTGCGAACGCCATGTTCGATATATGCCATCTGTTGAATCTTGCGAACAGTCGGGCGGGGAAGGTTGAGCCAATCTTCATGGAAACGCCAGGCCCACACCCCGCTGCGGACGAACATGTCGCGCGGGAAATTGACACAGACGATCTTGTTTAGAACACGCGGGGCTTGGGATCGAGAGTTTAAATCTCTCACTTCCCTCCCTTCACACCCTGGGCTCGTGTTTCTCGGCAAACATGAAGGATTGATGGGACAGCTGGCTGGTTGTCTGTTTCGTGAGTTTAGCGCCTGGAACAACCGATGGAGAGAGCACGCTTCCTAGAAGCCCTACACCACAACGGACCCTTCCAACCCTGGGTTGCCCGAGCGCCTTCAGCGAAGCCCGCGACCGCATGGAAACCGTATTGAAGAGGCTAGCAGCCAAGGGCAACCTCACTCCAGAGGACAGGGACTTGGTTTTACACAACATTCCTTCTAGAGGTTATAACCCGACGATTCCATCCTACTAGATCATGGCCCACGCTGCTCTATCTGGAGCAGTAAATAGCTCGGCCAATACCACTTACCGCGACGAGCTCTACCATATCTCGGGGATATAGTGTGCGGAAGGGGCTTGCAAGAGAAGGTCTACCCAATCAGATAGCCTCGCTGAGGCGTAGAGATGAAGCGGCCATATATTTCAAGTTTTATCATCCTCTCTTTCCGCGCGACGCAATGCCAAATCCGATCCTTCAGTTCATTGGGAAGCTTGACGAAAAAGTTGAACCTTCCTTCCTGCTGGGCGGTCGGCTTCGAGGAACTTCAAGCTGTGGAAGCTTTGCAAGAGTCAAAGACGGATGATCATAGTTGGAGTTGCCGAGGCCATTCTGGGAGGTAACTTCGTACAAGATGTAATGTTGGAATTACGAGGTTGCGATATTCAGGTTGTGAAGCTGCGGAGTTGAGATTGTAGAGTTGAGGTTGCGAGGGAGAGGTGGAGCTTGACGACCGACTTGCCCAACGCGACCGCAAGTGTGTGTATTGATGAACTCCTTGCCAGAGCAGAGCACTCGCAAGTGAACCTTGAGCTCTCATGTCTTTGTTGCGCATCCATTGGTTCCTTTTCTGGTTCCCTCCAGCACCGTTCTCCGACCCGCTTCGAAGAACCATTCTCACTCAGCTTTGCAACTCATCTCAACTCGCCGCATTCACTGCTCCATTTTAAGTCCTCGAGGTTTTGTTGCACATCGACTCAATGTACGAGGTTGGTTTGGGACATTGAAGATTGTCGATTCTGTATTATAGAGTTTTGTCACTGAGTAAAATCATTAGCTTTCACTTAATTTTTTTGCCTTCAGGTACATCATAGTCCTCGATGCCTTGTTGCATATCGACAGTGTACCAAATGCCCTGGTACATTGAACGAGTTCAAGTAGTCTGGAGTGAATTGAGTTCCAGGATTTTGTTGTACATCGACTCAATGTCCCAGTCAATCTGGTACATCCAAACTTCCGAAACACCACTTCATACTAGTAGCGAAATCTCGAGCTTCACTACTTCGTTGCACTTCGCACCTTCATCCGAAAGTACTCTCAAATCAAGCCTGAGATGGAAGGTGGTTTTTATCTGACTCGTTAAGATAATACCAAGCTTCCAGCGATATATCACAAAAGTCGTTTAGTCCCACTTTTTTTCCCCATCCGAATCCCAAATCAGCCTCAAGATCTTTCATCCGACTTGATGAGCTAAGAATGAGTAAGAAGCAGTAGCAAGTGATGTTCAACACAAAAGTTTTGTTGCACATCGATTCGGGACCGCAAAAAGTATCACAGGTACAGACTTCGGGACCGTGGAGAGTATATTGGGACGGACATCTCGGGACCGCAAATGGTGCGGCCGCGGACTTGGTTTGAACACAGCCAACGCGATTGATTTCGTCTTAAATGTTGATAAGGAGAGGGAAAGAGTATTGAGAAAGCGATTGGCTGTATCTCGTACGCAATAGCCGTAACTCTACGGACGTTAAGGTTTGAGAAGCCAGATCTAGCAGTGTCGTTTATCCCACCACTTTGTACTTCGTCCGAACTTTCGGCTCCTCCCTTTCTCGTCTCCCGCACGATACACTAGCTCTCAATACTTGGGGTAGATCGTCTATACAGAAGAAGGATCATTATTAATATTAAGGTATCCTGCACCTCCCCTCTCCGTCTCCCGAGACCGCTCAACGTCTCTAATGTACAAGTCAACATTTACACCCCCACCCTGAACGCCTATGTCGAATCCAAGGACCGCCTGCCAAAACACCACACATGCGCAGAATGCAAAAAAAAGAGAAGTTCAGTTCCCATCATTCGATTCGATTCAATCCCTCCATATGTTACAAGCCCTCCGCATTAATCGTTCGTCATGATTGAACCTTCTCCGCATCCATCTTGAACTGCGCTGATTTCTTCGATCGCTCGTACTTCGCTGTCGTGTCCCCGGTCCATATCGTGCCTAATATCCGATCCCAGAATGTGAAGAAGGGTTGCGAGAAGTTGGTCTTGATGCCCCAGCTCTGGTGGTGGATATCGTGGTATCCGGCATTGTTGCCTGTGAGGTGCTGTAATGGATCCCATGGAAGTGCGTATCCGCAGTGGTCATCCACGGTCTTGAATGTTGATCCAACGAAGAAACACATTCCTTGCCGAACAGTCATGCCAGCTACCTTGTATGCGATTCCTGCTCCGAGGGTATCGAGGAGGAATCCTTCGAATGGGTGATTGTAGAGGGCTCCGTACGCATAAGGAACGTAGAGGCGGTGGTGTCTGGAGTGGAAAGTTGCTGAAGCCATGTTAGACCGGATAGCCGGGGAAATGGGACTCTCGACTTACTGTAAAGCCACTTGTTCATGTGCATGGCACGATGGAGGAAGTACTGCCATGTATCGACAAAGATAATGGCTGCTGCGAATTGGATGATTGGCACAATGTACCAGTAAATGGCTGCAGCAGTAAAAATCTCCCAAGCTGCAAAAGCTGGAACCGGTGCCTCGCTAACAACATCCAATCCTACACTCAAGGCTGGGTATCTTCCACCAGCTAGAGCTCCCGCCAACATTGGATGCGATCCTGCAAGATTCTTGGAGATTGCGGTAGCATTGAGTCCGACTAAACCCAGGAGCTGCGGCAGAGCCCTCTGTGCAATCCTCAATCTCGTAGCCCAAGCCGCAATGTCATAGCTCTCCTTTCCAACCATCTCCGGTGGCTCTGTGAGTCCAAGCGACACCCCGACAATAGTCTGAATAACCTGCTGTATGATGACATCTCGCGCCACTTCGTACCTCGAGACATGGTTTCGATTCAAGATCTCGGCGGGAGTGTGCAGTCGGTATTGCGGGAATAGGTCATAGACATCAATGATGTAGAAGAACATAGAAACAGCCCAGTATGCAACAAAAGTAAGAATCAAGGAAAGCCAGACGTCCGGGATAAAGGGGACAAGAGGCTTCACTGGCGTGAGGTTGTAGGACGGTAAGGGAGGTAAATCGGACATGGCGGAAGCATTCGAGAAGAGGGTTATATTGGCCATTGTGCAGTCGTATGGCAGTTATCGTGGTGCGCACGAAGGAGTGTGAGACGTTGGATGATGGGAAAAGAAAAGAAGGAAGGGAAGTGGTTTTGTATGGGAACATGGAAATCTTCTGGCGCGGGCGCGCCACTTGATGCTCTCATCAGCTCAGCACATCAAATCTCGCCTAGTAAAGCCCGGTCGTCCGATTGTCATGCTGAACACCGGTATTTTCAGGGCAGCATTACGAAAAAAAAAATCGGAGTTCGCCAAGAGATCAGGAGACAAACTGTTGGTAACTGCTCTCCCAAGCTGTTTCAAAAGCAATAAGCACAATGGATGCTGACATGGTGCATTCTATTTCTCTGAAGTGACGCGGCTGCGACAGGCAGCTCCTGCTGAGGAAATTTTGCTTACTAAAATCCCGTGATCAGCCCGCTCTTTCCATTTCGGGTTAGGCGCTTTGCCCCTCCACCGTCGCAACTTCGTGAATTTTGAAGATGATCTCAATCTCTCCCCATTACCCGTTCAACTTCTGCCCAACTCTCGACACGGTCGAACCTCCAATAATCTTCCACCAAAACTACCGCCATCATGATCATTTACAAGGTCAGTTTCCATTGCGTTAATGCGAAGCGACCCCGCTTCTCATTTCCTAGGCTGATACCATCTTCATCTGCTTGTACAAAATGTGGGGGACTCGAAGACTAACTCTGCGCTTCGATGTAGGATATTATCACCGGTGACGAGATCATCTCTGACTCCTACGATCTGAAGGAAGTCGATAATGTCGTCTATGAAGTCGATTGTGCCATGATCACGCTTGGTGCCGTCGAAGTCAGTCAGTACAAACCACCCTCGAAACAGAACCAACCACACTGATATTGGATTGCAGATACTGGAGCCAATGCATCTGCTGAGGAGGCAGAGGAGGGTGTTGAGGATGAAGCCGTGAAAGTCAACAACGTCGTCAACTCGTTCCGCCTGAATCAAACCTCCTTCGACAAGAAGTCATATCTAAGCCATCTCAAGAGTACGTGAACCACTCTAGGAGTTTGGATATATTCTAATATGGCCCAGCATATATGAAGAAGGTTAAGGAGGCATTGAAAGAGAAGAATGCTTCCGAGGAGACGATCACCGAGTTCGAGAAGGGGGCCCAAGCATATGCCAAGAAAATTGTGGGCAATTTCAAAGACTACGACTTCTACATTGGCGAGTCAATGGATCCCGATGGAATGTAAGTTTTTCCTTCGACTTACAGGAAGCAGAAACTGATTATCTAGGGTCGTTCTCATGAACTATCGCGAGGATGGCACCACACCCTTCGTCACTGTCTGGAAGCACGGTCTCACTGAGATGAAGGTCTAGATGGATCTGGTTTGCGGTGTTTTTCTCATTCCCTGCATTGCCATGGTCTCTAGAGGCATGTTTCCGCGCCGTTTCCCCACGCTCACGATATCACTCCAGTAAATGAAAAGCATTCCCCGACCTATTCCTATGTGCCCAAATGACAAGTGTCGCCGTTCCTTTGAAATTCCCCGAAATCCCTTGAAAATTCAATCCGTATGATCTGGAAACCAACCAGAATTCATCCTCGGGATTCAAGACGTAAATGAAAAACATTCCTCTGACTTATTCCAATGTGCTCCATGACAAGTGTCTCCAATCCTTGAAATTTCCTGAACAGTCAATCCGTATGGCCTAGCAGCCAGCAAGAACTTATCCTTAATAGCCAAGCCATCACTTTCTCTCCAATCCTGAGATCGGATCAATCCACTTGAAGTCAGACTTGATACTAGCTCTCATTTCCGAAGCATCGCAGCAGCAAATCCATCAACTTCTCGTTCCTGCTTGAGGTATCCTTGCTTCATGCCATTGTGTGATAGAGCACCTTGGGCAGCGAGCGTTCGGAGAGGACTACCAGCAGGCATAACTGCGAAAATGAGCTCAATATCGCTGGCCGCGATTCTTGGGATTCGCTTTCCCAGCTTCGACGTCACCTTCGTGGGCTTTCCATCCTTGTACTGGAACTTGATTGCCTCCTTAAGTGGTTCATAGACGACTTCGGCGGCTTCTGCAAGGTTGTACTTATCCGCATACCGAATGAAGTCAATGCAGCGTTGCATAGCAGAAGCGCCTGTCTTGACGATCGACGGAGTTAGCAACTACAGAGAAGGGGCCGGCTCCAGCACTTACTTCAGTAAGCTTGATACTTCCTGGAGAGGTTCCACGCAGCATAAACTCAAGTAAGATCTCAAAATCTTCGATCCTATCCTCGGGGAGGTACAGTCTCTGCGATAGTGTCTCGATGAAACCACCGTTGAAGCAACTATCGAAGAAGTCCGAGTAGTGGCAAAGCAGAAGCTTTGGTAGATTGTAGTGCTTCTTGCTCGGACCGACGTAGAGGTCGACCCTTGGTCCAGAGATCATCCTGCTTGAGGTGAGTGCTCAGGATTGGAGGTGAGGGCTGCATCCACTTGCAATATCAAGTCATTGGGAATTTTGCGTAGTGAAGAAATGGTGACTTACGTGAGAAACTCCATCGCATCGGGCTTCTCGGCGGGTGCTCGACGAGGCATTTCGGCGTTGTAGCAAGGTTTTTTGATGTACGTGAAGAACGTTGGAAGGTTGTCCTTGCTCGTTGATTGAATCGCGCAGGAGTGTGATTCCTGAAGGTCGGGGAAGTTGTGGTGTTCGAATTGGGGTTTGAGGGAGAAAGTGGCAAGAGTGTTGGAAGGCTATCCTTACTCTTAATTGGGTTGAGCAATAGTATGGTTTCTGGGCATTGGAGAGGTTGTGGTGTCTGAGTTGATGTTTGAAAGAGAAGCCGGCAAGAGCTTTGGAAGGTTGTCCTAACTCTTTGGTTGAGTTGAAGTCGGATGAGATCCCTCGAAATCAGAAATGTTGGGTTGTTTGGGTTGGTATTTGAGGGGTAAGTGGCCGGATTGAATTGGTGAATTATGGAGTTAAAAAGAGTACATTTTGGGAGTGGTTCGCTTTCACCAGCAGTTCATCTTTGAAGGTGAATTGCTGATGGGGAGGGAATATTAGGATTGGTCGAGGGGAGCGAAAGGGGGGCTGGGGTGGGCTTCTGCGAGGTTAGTAAAAAGACAGAAGAGGTATCCTGAACTGGGAGAGTGGTCCGACGCAGACTCGGGTCAAGGAGTAAATGGGAGAGATCAGAATGCTATGGACAGGGCCCAAGAGTTCATTCTGCTCACTGGCTAGCATCAGAAACACCTTTTTGGGTTTTACTTCGTGTTGATTCCAGATGCAGCATCTATTTTGCTATGTTTTTCGCTCTGCCCTTATGAAGCCCAACAAGCATCCAGATGTAATCAAGCTGAGCAACAAAACTTGCGTTCCTTGATCGCCTAGTTCGACCTCCCTTTCCTATTGAAAGGATCTGTGCAAGCGGAAACTTTGAATCTCCTTCAGCAGCAACCTGATCTGTGTCAGAACTTCAGAAGCCCCAAAGCAAATCCTTCGCGCTCTCCCTCTTGCTTCCGAATCGTGTTCCCAGTTATGCCAGCAGTTGACAGAGCTGCCTTGGCGGTCAATGGCCGCAGAGGGCTGTGTGGAGGAGTGTGGTTGAAGATTGTCTCGATGTGGACAGGTCCAATCACAGCTCCTGATGAATATTTGAAGGTTCTGGGAAGAATATCTTGAAGAGCGTCATGAACAGTGGCGCTCGCACCGCTCATGCCTTATTCAATGAACAACATGCATCATTGTAATCCGGTCTGGCAGCTTTGGCTGATATTCAGAGCATCTGGTGATACGGACTCTCCCGAGAACATGTACTCCAAAAGAGCTTCCAATTCCTCTACCACGTCGTCCTCTAAAGTGAGCGTTTGAGTCTTGCCTTTTAAAAAATTGCCATTGAAGCAACGACCAAAGTAGTAGAAGTAGTAGCGGGGGAGGTTCTTTGGTAGGGAGTAACATTTCTTTCGGCGCCCACGTAGAAATCGACTCGAGGGCCAGACAACAATCCAGTGAGAAAGTAAGTACCGAGGGGGCAATACGGTTGGAAGTGGCACTTATTCAACTCGCTCCTGATTCAAGGGTTTCTTTGGGGAGCCTTGGGTGCCATGGTGTTAAGGGTTGCAGAGGTGAAATCCCACAAATTTGACAATGGCAGAAAGTGGAATTTTGAGAGACAGGGGGTTCGTACGTTATTGGTGGGTGGAGGTAACTCCTGTGGCTGATTTTGTAGGTGGTTGAGCTTCCGAACTTGTTTGAAGGAATAGATTTCGATCTCGAGGGTCAGAAATTTCCGAGTTGGAATCGGGTTTAGTAAATAGCTCAACATTAATTTATCGATATTTAAGGACTAGAGGAAACGTGAATATTTGTAGAGGCAGTTCGGGTATAGACTGGAAGTTGTGATGGTATTACGAGATCAGAGCTGAAAGCAGTAGCACTTGTTCCGAGCCCGTGTTGGCGTAGCGTTGAAAATAAGTATTCTCTTAATAAGATCGTTTACAACGATGTTTTGTTTATATATAAACCTCGAGGTGCTTTCATCTTATATGCACTAGAAATGTTTATACTCAAATCTTTGTAACTCTCGACTTTGCACTATGTTCCCAAACAACGAGGAGCTTGGTCACGATAATTTGAGATAATTTCCCGAAATGCATGCTCATATATTTCTCCACAAAATCTGTAGTATTTCGCCTGTGTTACTCATTTCCAATTCCCCTTCCTAAAGCGCTTCCTCCATATGAGACATCATCGTGATCGTTGCAAAAAAGAAGTTCCCAAAATCGCGTCTCATTTGCCAAATAATCCAATTCCTCTTATTCAGATTCTTGAGTGTTGAATGACCTATTACCACCTGGATTTGCCTCGCTTCATCGTGACGTCGAAATTTGCGCGTAGACAGTCAAGAACCTCTGCTGCATAACCGGGGATGCTGTACTCCTGGGATCTAAACTTTTGGATGTCCTCGAACGTATTTGATGAGTATATTTTGCGAACAAGCAATGTTCTGAGAGGACTCCCGGCAGGAAGAGCACCGAATACCACTTCAACATCAGAAACGTCAACTTTGGCCACTGAGTAACCCAAGAGCTTGCTAAACTCTTGTTGGGCTTCATTACTGATTTCTCCGAGCCCATACTTGTCGTTGTACTTAATGAACTCAATGAACTCTTTCTTATCTTCAATGACTGTTGAGTTGAGATTGAACTTGTGAAGGCTGCCCACGTTTTCCACCTTGCCATAAAGCATGAACTCTATCATAATCTCAAAAAACTCGACCCGATCCTCAAACAGCTCAAGCTCTTGTGTCTGCCCCTCTTTGAAAACGACGTTGAAGTACTTTTCAAAAAAAGGCGAGTAATAGCAGAGCAAGAGTTTTGGCAGAAGGTAGTGTTTCTTCCGAGGGCCAACGGAAATATCGACTCGAGGACCGGCGAGCATACTATAAAGGAAGTGTCAGAGGATTTTTGGAATTCTGTGATCCTGTTCACTTACTCGCGGAACTCAGAGGGAGAAGGACGTTTTGGCATGGATCTTGGTGCCATAATGAGAAGTTGAGAAGATGAGGTTCTGATAGGGGTTAGAGTTGTTTCGGAGCAATGCTACAGCAACGGCTCTTTCACTCACCTTGCGTGGGATGAGCATAAGCTGAGGCGGGTCTTGATTTCCGGTGTCAACTGTAGATTTTGACAAGCAAAGATGCGTGAGGTGGGGATCAGAAGATTGTCGGTGTTGTTGTGAGGACTGGGGTGAGGTGAGGGGATGCCGATATGGGAAGAGGAAGTAAAGACTTGAGCATCCGCTTCAACAATATCTATTGCTCTGCGTCGCTTGTCCACTGCCTGAGCCTGTTTATGCTGTTTCGTTTTAGAGCGAATTCAACAGGGGTTAGAAGGTGACATGCTCACCTTACTGCTAGAAAGCCACAGGTTGGTATCACCTCCAGGAGATTCAACCACTTCAACTTCGAATGGAAGCCCCTCTTATGCCAATCTCACACCATAAATGCTGCTTTCTTCTTCAAATACTGCCAAAGGAGATTTTGCCAATAACTGAGATCTCCACGACTTGCTCTCTCGGCCGAGGTCAGTTTCCCGAAAGTGAAACTGAACCCTGATATTGTATTAACACCAAATCCGCCTCACGTTCTGTACAACACGGCTTCCAAGACCAGTATTCTAGCTACGGCGTCATCTGCAATTGCCGCTCCGAAAAGAAACCCGTGTCAAGTTTCAAGTATGACAAAATCCCATCCTTAAAACTGTTTTTGGCATTTTCATGCTGATCTGACTGCTCAGCATCCTACTCACCACCGCCACCACCATCACTGCTAAAGGCAAAAACCAAGAGAAGTTTCTCATCTATAGAGATTTCGCATGCTACTACTCGCCAGTATTCGATGTTGCTTTCAACGATGATTCATCGAGGGCGAGAACCTGAACATAGCCATCAATGACTTCGAATTCCCCAACGTTTTTGGTCCGGCAATGGGCTGGTTGTGCACACAGAAGCTTCAGGACTCGATTGGAGGAAATCCCGCAACTCACGACCTTTACAAGCTCTGGGTTCTCGCTGACAGGCTTCTGATTCCGAAGCTCTAAAATGATACTATCCCTGAGATTGTCAACCAAAGTGCGAAAAATGCACCTTACTTTGCTTCGAACTGGATCTACAAAACCACCGCGCCGGACAGCAAGTTACGCTTCGCATTCGTTGATAAATGTGCTTTTGAGGTAGAGGGAACAACTTCGCCAAGTTTGCAAAGATGGGTATTTTATTACCGGATCTTGTGGCGGATGTTTTTCTGGCGCGGAAGAGCGGTTCCAAGACGCTCGTTTCTTGAGTTATCGTTTTCGAGAATCCCCGAAGCTGAGGGCTGAAGAGTATAAGGTGAAAGAGAAACAGTTGTGAATCATGGGCTGAGGTGAAGTGGACAACACTCCGGATACCGTGGCTGTGGAGTTTGGGCTGCTGGAGACCGATATCACTTCATATGCTGGGATGCTGTGCGCGTGAGATGCAACGCAAGGAAAGTAGAGAAACTCTTCCTGTTTGTATGACTGGGCTTCTTCACAAGAAAGTGAAGCTAGCTGTACCCTGGCGAGTAATGATTATTCATATGGACACCTCAGAGTAATTGAACCACATTCGAAACGATGCTCATGAATTCCCCAGGAAAGCTACGTAATTCTTCTCCACTACAGAGTCATTTCTTCGAAAGAGGTCACCAGGTAGGATCCAGCTTCCCAATCCAACTCTCGCCTGCAGCCCTGAAAATCCTCACCTCGCCACTAACCATATGAGCCATATTGTACTTTCCTGGTTGGACTCGTTTCTTGCCGCCAACATTTTGTTCAACAGCTCTCAAAACACCATCTGGCTCGACACCTGTGATGACAGCGGTATGATCCGGATCACCAGCCCACGCCTGCCCTCCATCTGGATACTTAAAATGGGCCTTGTAGAGCTGAATAATATCGCCCCGAGCTACGCCCGCTCCTCCGACCTTTCCTTGGGGTTCCGGGATCGACGAAGATGGAAAGTAGGAGTACACGAGGTAGCCATGAATAAAGCTCTGCGATGCCATACACGGCTCTTGGCCACGTGAAGAGCACTTTGCGGCAACCACCTTGAGGGCGTTATTGGCTAGAGTCCAGCACTCACCGTCGCCTACTTGCGAGCCCATTTGGGACTCGCTCCATTCAGCGACGGCATTAGAATACCTGGTGGTGTTAGCATGCGCTAAAAGTGTATGACCGGGTTGCATACCTCTCTCGACAAGATACCAGCTCACTTTGGCTGAGCTTCCTTGGAGGGGGATCATGCCTCTGATATGCTTTGACAGTCACAGTTGGATTGCTCGCATCCCAGGTAAGGTGGATTCTGGAGCTTGCCAACGTGGCGGTATTGCGAACGTGGGCCGTGAATGTATGAGTTTTTCGAACTCCAGAGCTAGACCATCCTGATGAAGATGCATACGTTAACTTTCCGCCTCGATTCATCGATGGTGGAGGGAAAGCTGGTGGCGATTTGGCGAACCATAAAGATTTAAGATCAAGATCGTAGTCTTTTGGCTCATGAGAACTAGTTGGCTGAGAAGTCAGCGGATGATCTCTATGTCGGTGACTTTGGCTGTGACCAGAGGTATGTGGAAGCAAGTGGTGATGTGGATGTGGTCGTGAACGTGAGCTTTCACTGTGGCCCGACGTGTGGGGACGCGAGTGAGGATGAGAATGGGGTCGTGATCGCGAACTCTCATGATGATGGTTTGAGGGGTGTCTTTGCTGAGAAGGGGAAATAGCAATTGCTAACTCTTCCAACAGCTCTGCTAATCTTGCATTCAGATTATAGGACATTTTCATTTTGATCTCAAAGATGTTCGGGTTGGAGGTTTCGAGATCAAAACAAGAAACTATTCTGCCTTAAATATTCCACTGTATTGGCAAAAACTTGAATCAGGCAAGCGTATTCTGGGAATAACATAATTTGCAACAAATTTCTGGAGTCACAACCAGTCCGGGAAAGTCATCAATAACTGCAAAGAAATACCAACGCACATAGGACTGCTGCTTGGGAAACCATAAAAATGTGCATGTCCAATACTAGTGAACAACACCTACTTGAGGTTTAGGTTTGCTGTTGAGAGGAATGGGTGGTGGGATCGGTTCCTGCGAAGCTGCAGGGCCTGCCAAACCCACTCTTTTCACGGGAGGTGGTGGCGGCTTCTTCTTTCCCAGAACACTCACATCTGGCCCACCGTTTGCGTGTCCACTAATCGTATTGTCCCTCATCTCAATTTGTGGATTGGTTGGTTCTGGTGTCTGTGTGTTGGATATTCCTCCATAAGTCCTAACTTTATCCGTAATTCCATATTTGGAATTCAACTTGTTCGCCGTTTGAAACCCCGATTTAACCTGATCTCCGTGTCGTTCTCGAAAATTGTTTGCTGTACTTGCTGCCGCTCTAGCATCACCAAGAGATACAGATGAAGGATCTTCCCGAAAGGCTGATGCCGTCCTTACAGCTGCTTGTTTCTGGGCAAATGTTGTGCCCTCGCTGGGATTTTCGGGCTTGGGTGAAGTTGAAGAAGATAAACGGGAGAAGCGGGATTGTAGTTCGCTCAGCTGTGCAGAGTTTACAGGTGAGGCTGCTGAAGTACGTGAAGGAGAAGTTGGGCCTGGTGGTGGCATGGGCTGTCTTCCTTTTCCAATGCCAAACTCTGGAACAGAAACGCCTGCAGCACTCAACCTGCTCATAGAACCCTGATTGAGTATGCCTTTATGAGAATCCGGCTCGTTTGTTGCTCCGCTATATGTAGGAGGCGGAGATATAGGATTTGAGTTCTGTCTGGGTGGCAATCGTGGTGGAAGGCCGGGCTTTGGCTTTGGCTTTGGCGCTGGCGCGGGACTTCTTCCATCTGCGCCGTCTCTTCGTCCTGGAGGCGGCGGCATATTCGCGGTTGATAATCCTGTGGTATCTGCTCGAAATGGAAGTGGAGGGCCTTTTGGCTTCGCTGCCTCTTCTGCTTCCCGTTGTGCCTCCTCCTCTGCCTGCTGCTTGGCATATATCTCGTCCTCCGATAAGGGTGCTCCTAACCCTCGAGTATCTGGCGTTATCTGATTCGGTAGAGCTGCGCCGCCATGATAATTGACATTCTTCGGAGGTGGTCCAAAAGCTGCAGGATCCTTCAGAGTCGACAATGGTCGGGAGACGTGATCGCGGGCTTTCTCATTGGGATCTTTCCCTCTGCCTATCCACCCTGCCACTTGATTAATACCTTTGTTGTCGCTCCTCCATGATTCCTTCGATGTCCCATCCTTTCCTTTCGGATGCCAGCCGCCTTTGGCGATTCCTTTGAAGTCCGGCATGGTTGATCTCTGGTTGAAAATGGCTGTTTGGTGACGTCGGGTTTTAGTGGGGATGAGAGCGCCCACCACAGTGGGGTGTGATTGTAGAACCCCCCCATCAAGGAGAGTTTAACGTATCCCGTTCGAACCCTTTCCGTTCTTCGGTCTTCCTTTTTTTTTTTTTGGATAAGTATACACCGGCTTCGAGAACGTTCAGCCCAAAGTAACCTATTACTAAGCTTTTCCCTTTAACATCGTCCGGTTTAGTATATCGACTGTGGTCGTGGTGGCCCGGAACCGAGTCGCGATTTTTACTTTAATCATACTCCCTCCTTTTCTAATAATCTAAACTTTCTCATTAGATCCTAATAATATGCATTGTTCCTTTTAAGAGCCACTCATAGAACTATATTAAATAGATCAGGCGGACTCTTCTTAAACCTAATGATTCGTATGAATAGTGCTAATATAGATTGAAAATACGGCGACCCCCTCCCTTTTCCTCTGGACCCCACCAGAATGCCCGCAAGAAGCTCGGCTAGTCACTCCAGTTAGGTTTGACTCGTGATAGCCGCCTCACTCACAGTCGGGCCAAGCAAGTGTCTCACTGATATTTCGCCGGTGGTACATCCGAACCGAACCCAGTCTGTAAAGTAAATTTAAATTAGCTAATAATGCAGGAGTAACAGCAAAGCGGATTTTCTTCCGGACCTACATTGGGTGGTGCTGGATAAGTGGACGGTTGCGATCGATAAAGAGGACTCGCCGGTGTTGCAATGACTGACCAATAATGGGGGGAAATATCGATTTTCCACACTTTGTGGGGAAAAGGAACCGTTGCTTAAGCGAAAGCTAATCCAGGATTTGTGTTCAACTTTATAAATTTAAATAAGCGATTTTTTTGCCAAATCTTATTCGAGGCCCAGGCAAGTCGTCCTCCCCGAACATGAGATTTATCATCACTAACAATCAAGTAGTGGGTACGTTGCCGTCCACACCCCATATAATTGCTTTGTCTAACGTTATGTAAAGCCTAATGGTTAAGGCGCTAGATTTCGGCTCTAGAGATTGGGAGTTCGAATCTTCCCTGGGTCGGATAATCTCTATGAAGTATTACTTCAAATGAAATTTTTTTGCGTTTCAAACCCTTTTAAACGTGTAGGTTATTTAGCCGAGACGGCTTCTTAATTTTAGACGAAAGATGAACGAGAGGGGAACAAGAGAGGGGCGAGGGGGGCGAGGTGGGCGAGGTGGGCGCTGGATGGAAAAAGTAGTTTCAAATTTTATATTCCAAGTCACACGTACTTTCTCAGTATTGCTATTCCGTTGCATTTAAATTTTGGCTTTGGCTCTTGAAAAAGGCAAATGTTGTCCCATCCTCGCTGCACGGCTTTTTGTAATGATTGTCTCAAGGTATCTGTGATGTTTGATACGCTACAGAGACAGTCCGTTGCAAGAAATTCGAGGAACAAAGTCCCCAACGTCCTTGAGACAGGCGACCAAAAAAAAGTGTTGCAAACCCGCAAAGCAATCGCTTTGTAACCATAAATTCGCATGTGGAGAAACTCTTGAACTATAAGGATTATTCATAAATCAATGAGAATCTACAGATGCATCAATTGCGGTGCTGGAGTTCGCTGCAGGTGTGGCTTCAGCCACAATAGACTTTCTTATCTCGCAGCAAGCCACGCGAAATCGGACCTACAACAAGAATCCCGGCTTTAATTTTGGTTGTGGGACTGAGCTTCAACTCTTCCACCTCTCACCGCTCTCTGCAGTCATACGAACAGGTACAGCACTGTTCTTCTGCTAGTGAAGACCATTTCACCTTCCACTTGATCAAGGAAACTCAATTGCTTCTCGTAACCCCTCGAACGGCTTCGCAGCCCCTCGATTGACTGCGAAGTCGAGATGTCCGCCTCAATACCAGGCAATCGAGAGCTCCCAGCTTCTCAGTATGATCTCAGCACATACTGGGGACGTGTGATGCACTCCGCCAACATTTCAGATCCCAGGTGAGGAGGATATTTTGTTCCCTTAAAAGGTGGTTCTGTTTATTTGAGCAAGCTGCTTCAAGGACGAGTGCTAAGAGTTCCCAGAACACTGCTCGTTAATAAAGCTGGTTTGGAGCATGCGAAGGGTCTGGTCGCCGGATACAAGCAGGGGAAGATTGGGGAGATGAATGCGGAGCTATGGAATGCGAAGAAGATTGTCGATTCTACTTTACATCCAGGTAGGTGCTGCTGGCCGCGGGTAGCAGAAGGTGCTGATTGTTCAGATACCGGCGAACCAGTCTTCCTCCCTTTCCGGATGTCATGCTTTGTCCTATCGAATTTGATTGTTACGGCTGGCATGCTCACACCAGGACTCGGGGTGAGTTGCTTATTTTGCCTTCTAGGAACTCAGTACTGATTTTATTGCAGACTACTGGCACACTCCTATGGCAAATTACCAATCAATCCCTTAACGTTGCAATCAACAATGCGAATGCCAACAAATCTACCCCATTATCCGTCTCGAAGATCACACAATCATACTTTCTAGCTGTTGGAGCTTCTTGTTCTGTAGCTTTGGGACTCAATGCCCTCGTTCCGCGATTAAAGAAAGTTGCTCCCGCCACGAAGATAATACTCTCAAGATTGGTACCATTTGCAGCTGTTGCAAGTGCTGGTGCGTTGAATGTTTTCTTGATGAGGGGAGAGGAGATCAGACAAGGAATCGACGTCTACCCAGTCCTTTCTGAGTCTGACAAGGCCAAGCTTGCAGAGGAAGGCAAGTCCGAATCTTCAGTGCAATCTCTGGGAAAGAGTAAGAAGGCAGCTACTCTTGCTGTCTCGGAGACTGCCCTCAGCCGAGTCTTGAACAGTTCTCCCATCATGGTCATCCCCCCCCTAATTCTGGTACGACTACAAAAGCAAGACTGGCTGAAGAAAAATCCAAGACTCACTTTACCTGTTAATTTGGGCCTGATTCTGACCACAAGTCTGTTTGCTTTGCCTTTGGCACTGGCAGCATTTCCTCAAAGACAGAGTGTTGATGCTGCGAGTTTGGAGAAGGAGTTCTGGGACATGGGTGGTGAGAACGGAAAGGTTGTGTTCAATAGAGGCATATGAGGCTGTGCACGACTTTGAACACATCTCCCGAACAACGACTTCGAAGACCAGTTCCCCGGATTTCAAGAAATACATTCAACCGGCAGCGAATAAACGGCGGTAATTTAGGCATTTTCACTTCCAAACTGCATTTTCGAGCATGGCGTTTTGATGACTGGGGGGCTCGCTGTAGGTTCACAGCAGACAAATAGAATTCCTAAATAGAAACTGGTCACGAAGCAACATCGAAAAACCCCGGTCCAAGATATCTGGACCCCTGAAATCACGTGCCTTGCCACATTCCATGCCCACCATGTCCAGCGAATGAGACCTCTGCATGAAATGATGCGACGATGAAGGCGATCACACTTCACGCGCTTCTATGTTAAGCTTTTCATAGAGACACTCGGTTTACTTGTAGCATCATTTGTTTCTGAGCCGTGGAGGACCGAGGACTTCGTTATGAACTTCCAGGAGGCGTAATGGCGATCCTGCGAAGTTCGTTTATGAAATTGCCACCTCAGAAACCCGATGTTCCCATTCGAGGAGGGGAGAGGGGTCACGTCGAACGCGTACAAGCTAGGCTTATCACGAAATCTCGACTGGTGAAAGTCGGAACATTGAGGCAATAATCGGATGAGGGGACGGGACAAGTTTGACTTTCTGTTCAAACGTGAAGCGTGCAAGAGATACATACCATTTGACGCGATCCGCTCGATTTCTTGGCGCCTTCGCCTTCGAGCCATTCCTGCTGTCAAAAATAAAGTCCGGCAAAATTTGAATCGAATCGAATCAATAGGAGGAGGAGGGCTGCAAGGCGGAGGAACGGCTTCGGTGCTTGGCTGCTGAGCTTACGACCAGGGAAATCTAGTCGCGCCGATGTGGAAGATCTCGCACTCTAGTGTCGCGGTTTTTAAGTCAGTCTGTACAGTATGTTTCTGATTATCAGCGCATTGGTCGAGTGAGGGGAACAGGATGGGTGGTGGTTGTCCGGGCATTGAGCGCTGGACTGCGCGGCCAGAAGAATACGTGCAGTACTCGTAGACGCTCTATGCGATCACAACAACAGATAGCCATGCCTCTCAAGGATGAGAAGGACCTCAAAAGAGTGAGGTGAAGAAGCGATTGCGGGAAAAGATAACTGAATGGTTGAATGCTCCCTTCCCCTCCCCCCAAGAACGTGAAGTTGCTTCTGTGGCCACCGCGGCGCGCTTGCCTGAACAGTGCCTCGCTTGAGTCCAAAGCCCGCCGCCCAACTTGACCTGCTCGAAAACTCGACGTTGGACTTCCACTTCAACCCACTGCTCTTCTCGACAGCGACCGGCCTTTACTCATCTGATTGTGACATACAACGATTACTGGCACAAGCAGATCCAAGATGGTCCGATCCTAGACCTTGGTTACGCAGCTCAGCATCTTTTCCGACGCGCAGCCCGGACGCCATTCACCAGATCCCGACCACCAGATCCCACAGCAACGGCGCAATTCAACCGTATCGAAGCCTCAATCCATTCTCCAGGGCTGCAAAGTCAATGCTGTAGACGCCTCCGCCATATCATAGCCCTGCCGGCGAGTTCAGGATAACGATCTCAGTCTTGTCGTCTGAGCCCTTCCCCGGGTTCGAAACGACTACATTTCTCGATGTCGACGCCGTCAACCCTGCCCCCACACCACCCGAACTACGGGTATTCTCATCACCAGAACTATCAATCGAACGGCGGCTATCGAGCGAACAATACACTCTTGAACGGCGGCAGCCGGTTGGGAGCGTCATACAACTTCCCGACTCCTTCGAGTAACGGCACTTCTTCGAACAGCGTCGGTGTGGCCGACCCCTCACGAGCAAGTCAAAACACGGCACACTCATCTTCAAGACACGAAACAAAACCCGCAGCTATGCCTATCTCTTCGTCGACCTCAGTACCAAAGCCGAATCCGAAGAAACGGCAACGCTCCAGAGAACCCCGGGAGCCCGATTGGCACAAATTCTACAAAAATGGCCTGCCCAAGGAGGTCATCGTCATCGATGACTCTCCCACCCCTGAGCCATCAGCATCTGTACTATCAAACACTCAAGCAACACGTTCAGTAGCTGGGGGAGGAAGTCGACATGCTGCAAAGAAGAGAAGACGAGATGACGTCGGCTCAGCCTATGATCCTGTATATCATCTCGAGCCCTCCCACTCTCTCAATCAGAGTCCCGAATACAAAGACTCGTCCGGGTCCACCATCTCAACCGACCGAACTACATCTGCTATCCACACAACTGCAGCCACATCCCTAGGCTCCCACTCTTCGAATGGGCAGAATGGATACGAGGCTGCCGACGTCCAGCCAGGTCAGAAAAGAAAGCGAACACAAACTCGACTCCAGCTTGCCAACGAGGCGAAGCAGAAAGAAATAGAGACTAACGGGGATGCGTTCACAAACTACAAGCCCCCGCCGAGACCCCCTATCAAGGCTCCGGATGTCCAGGTGAAGCAAGTGCCTGACGTGAGTACTCCAGTGTTCCACTAAAGAATCTACACTAACAAAGAACCAGAATTCATACACCAAGAACAGCAAGGTCGACGACGATGATGGACACTACATTGTCGTACCAGACACTGACCTGACAGACCGATGTGAGTGCCGCTTGCTCCAGTTTGCCGAAACTGATACTGACCATCATTAGACCAAGTGACCAAGCTCCTCGGCCAAGGCACATTCGGCAAGGTCGTTCAAGCCCGAGATAAGAAGCGGAATAAGCATGTTGCGATTAAAATCATCAGATCAGTCCAGAAGTACCGCGATGCTTCACGGATAGAACTTCGAGTCTTGTCAACTCTCAAGGCCAATGACCACGAAAACAGAAACCGATGTATACACCTTCGGGACTGTTTCGACTACCGCGGACATATCTGCATTGTCATGGATCTACTCGGACAGAGTGTTTTTGATTTCCTGAAGGGCAATGCCTTTGTCCCGTTTCCAAATAGTCAAATTCAGAGCTTTGCGAGACAGCTCTTCACTAGTGTGGCTTGTAAGTATCTTCCTTGACCCACGGGATATGCCAGAGCTGACAGACCATAGTCTTACACGATCTCAACCTGATTCATACCGATCTCAAGCCAGAGAATATCCTTCTGTGTGATAGTGCATACCAAGCATTCACATATAGTCGCAGAATCCCTTCATCATCTACCACAGTCAATCGACAAGCCGCTCAACGTAAAGTCCTCCTCGATACTGAGATCCGACTAATCGACTTCGGTTCTGCTACCTTCCAGGACGAGTACCACTCTTCCGTCGTATCTACTCGCCATTACCGAGCCCCAGAGATTATTCTTGGTCTAGGGTGGTCCTTCCCGTGTGATATCTGGAGTATTGGATGCATTCTCGTCGAGTTCTTCACAGGAGATGCACTGTTCCAAACGCACGACAATCTAGAGCACCTGGCGATGATGGAGAGTGTTTGCGGTACTAGACTGGACAGTCATCTCATTCAGCAAGTCAACACCATGGCAAAGAGAAACGGTGGAAATCCTGCCGCAAAGTAGGTTCCCAGAAGAGATTCTACTTCCATATGCTAACATTTTCCAGATTCTTCAAGCGATTAAAACTTGACTACCCTCAACCAGATACCACCAGAGCTTCGAGACGGTTTGTCAAGGCCATGAAGCGGTTGGATGTAAGCCAAGAAATTCCCAGTACTGACTGCAGAAACTAACAAGCAACAGGAAATCATCCCAGACAACAACAAATTCTGCAGAAACTTCCTCGACCTTCTGCAGAAGATTTTCGTCTATGATCCTGCTGAAAGAATTACCGCCAAACAAGCGCTTCAGCATCCTTGGTTCAAGGAGGCGGCAACACCAGATGACGGAACTGAAGCCACCAAAATTCGAATACAGAGACAGTTGCAAGCTGAGGAAGCAACACATGCTCCTCCACTTGCTGCACCACCCGCAAGGTACCGTCATTGAATGAAAATGATATATGGAAATGACGGCGTTTGGGATTTGGGGGAGCAACGGCATTGAAACAGCATTCTTAAGTTAACACTTGGATCACCGAATGTTGGCTCAATGCTAGGCGTGAATAATGTGTTTATTAAGGTTGTTGGTCATGACTTCACTAGAATCGCTTCTAGACAGACGTTGTGGATACCAACAATAGAGATTCGGGATTTTCAAACCATGCATGAGCCTCACTGCGAAAAGTTTACTGCGAAGAGCTTATCACGATGAGTCTATGATATACTGGAAGCAGCGAGGCTTTAAGAGAACTCCAACTGAATTCAAACGCTTCAAAACCTCGTGTTCCTGAATTGCATCTTTGATATCAGATTTCGATAAGCGTGATGACTCAGCCACCGTTAACTTTCCTTCAGACTGCTCTCGAATACTTCTAAATGAGCAATGCCTCTTAAATTCACTCCATGACAGGAACTCTCCCAGCTGCAAGGATCCTGCGACTGAGCAACTACCAAACAATAAAATCTCCCGTCAGTCGCATTTATCCAAGGTCACAACTCCCGCCAACCTTTCGAGCACCCCATAACAGATCAAAGAAACCTCGATATATACCTCTGCGCCGAATCTTCCCCGGTCCGCCTCTCCAGGGACAAACCCTCGATACTGATTATTTCATTGCCTTTCACGATCAAAGGAACAGGAGCGTCGGCGGGGAGGATAACACCAAGCTGCCGCCTGAGCACCATCTCTTCGCGGGATACAGTAAAATGAAGTGCTGGGTCCAGATTCTGAGCACTCCTACGGCGGATACACCTGGCACTACACTCCTCCTTCACTTCGACAGCAAGAGGTACTTGATTGGCAATGTGGCGGAGGGGACACAACGTGCATCGGTACAGAGGAAGCTTGGGTTGACGAGGGTCGGGGATATTTTTTTGACTGGCACGGTGGGATGGGAGACTGCGGGCGGGCTTCTGGGGATGATTCTCACTCTTGCCGACTCAACTACCACTTCCAATGAGGGGAAGAGGGAGAATAGGAAGAAAGGGAGCGAGAATAATGTGCCGGTGGAGAGGAGCTGGTTGAATGTACATGGTGGGAAGAACTTGACTCATTTGCTGGCGACAGCGAGGCGCTTTATATTCAGGAAGGGCATGCCACTCCTTACAAATGAGCTCACAGAGAAGGCGGATCTGAAAAGGAAAGATGGGGAGCCAACATGGAAGGATGATAGGATTAAGGTATGGTCTATGGTCATTACCCCCGAAGGTCGAAGCGCGAGGAAGAGAAGTCATGATGAATTTGCGGAGTCAACTCTGCTAGAGTCTGCAGATGGCAAACAGGAGACTCTGGAACAGCAAGAAGATCGACACGACCAGATGCGGAAAGCGGTTGTCTCTAATATGTTCGATTCAGACTGGCGGTTGGATGCTCTCATCAAGAGGAAGCTTTCTGAGGTGAAGAGACCCGCTGCAATATTTTTCAGAGATGAGAATGGCACGATCCAAAGATATCATGGCCCGACAGTGGACGAAGACCCTTCTGTCCCAGACATCGATGTACTTGTCCGGAATCCATGGCCCGGAGCAATGATCGAGACGCTACCTCCCACCACGCCATCCACAAGTTCAGTATGCTATATAATGAAGAACTACCCACAACGAGGAAAGTTCAATCCCAAGGTGGCTAAAGAGCTAGGAGTTGTACCTGGCAAAGATTTCAGGGCATTGACGGAAGGAAAAAGTGTCACGACTCCGGATGGCAAGATTGTAACCTCTGATCAAGTTCTGGCTCCGGGCAAGGAAGGTGGTGGATTTGCAATCATTGAATTACCAGACGAGTCATACATTGGACCGTTGCTTGCTCGTGAAGAATGGTCCTCGAAGGAGATCATGCCTGGCGTCGGAGCTGTTATTTGGATTCTTGGACCTGGCATAGTCGAAGACCCGAGGTTGCAAAAGTTCATGAAGGAGCACAGCGAGATGCAACACATCGTGTCTTCCAAGGACTGCTGCTCCAATTATCTCGCCTTGGAGTCTCCTGCCAGCGCGGCTATTCGATTGCACCTTCTTGACTCTGAACGCTTTCCGATCCCAGTGCATAGTAATGATGTGCCATTACCAAACGCTGAAGGCCCACGTCCTTATACAAAGGCAAGAGCTGGCCTAACTTTGCAACTCGAGCCCAAGCTTGAGATTCAAGACGAAACTATTATTCAACATCTTGACACCGCTGCCGTTATTAAGGAAATGCCGAAAGAAGTACTTAAACTAGCGAAGACAGCTCGTGAAGAAGTCAAGAGTGCTGAGTTCCAAGCCAGGCTCGATGAGAATCAGCAAGATATTCCCAGCAAAGACGCCGAAGTTATTACACTTGGTACTGGTTCCGCATTGCCGTCGAAGTACCGGAACGTGTCAGCCACACTACTTCGAGTGCCGGGTTTTGGCAGCTACTTGTTTGATTGCGGAGAGAACACGTTGGGTCAGCTCCGGAGAGTATTCGGCGACACGTTACCTGAGGTCCTCCGCGACTTGAAAGTCATCTGGATCAGCCATCTTCACGCCGATCACCATCTCGGTACAGCATCAGTCATCAGAGCATGGGCAAAAGAAACCATGAAGGAAGGCTCAACAAAAGACAACAAACTCATTGTGGCGTCTGATGATGGTATGATCAATTGGCTCAAGGAGTACTGCGAAGTCGAAGACTATGGTCAAGATCGAGTTGAGCACATCATCCTGAATCCTGCCAGTGGCTACGATCACCAATTCAATCCTGAGGAAACGCAAAGAGTTGGTCTTTCTTCAATTCAAGCTTGCCCCGTAGAGCACTGTCACGGCGCTCTTGCTGTTGCTTTCGCTCTCCCCAATGGGTTCAAAGTTGCCTACTCAGGAGACTGTCGACCCTCACAGCGATTCGCCAAAATCGGCGAAGGAGCAACTCTCTTAATCCACGAGGCTACATTTGACGATGAACTCCAATCAGATGCGTACGCGAAGAAGCATTCGACTACGGCAGAGGCATTGGCAATTGGGAAGAAGATGAATGCCAGACGCATCCTGTTGACTCACTTTTCACAACGATATCAAAAGATCCCGGTCATGGATAGTCATGGTGGCAAGGATCAAGTCGCTATTGTTGCTTTTGATTACATGCGGGTCAAGGTAGGAGACTTTGCCAAGCTGGAAGCCTTCAAACCTGCACTAATGAAGCTTTACGAAAACGAGGAAGCTTGAACTTTGAACGCGAATTCATTTCACTTCTGGCAATTATTTAGACTTGATTGAGTGTATGGAAAAGCGTTAGCATTGAAAATCATGGGCAAGGTTTTATTAAGTTACTGCATAGCATTAAGGTCACCGGTTTTGTAAGATATTGTATGTATTAGATGATACCAGAAAAAAATCTCTCTATTCAAAGAAACTGCTCAATATTCTGCCTTCTCAAGGCCGTTGGTCATCCAGCCAACTCGAAACTCTATCGGAAGAGAGTTTTGACTCATGGCCTCGTCGCTCGTTTTCTTCATCGTCCTCCTCTCCTATTCCCATCATGTTCCTGTATTGTCTTTCTTGTTCCTTTTTATAGGTATCAGCAATATTGGGTACGTCGGGAACTGAACTCGGGGCAACTACAGGATCACCAAATTGATTTCTACTGTACACACTTGCCGTGTACGTAGTCGTGGGTCTTGGTCGCGACGAAGCTGCTCGTGGAGGCGCACGGAAGGAAAGATTAGATTGTCGGGCGTCCGTTGTCCATGTCGACCATGTGCCGCGATCAGTTTTAGACCCCGGCGGCGGTGAAGGTGGTGGCGGCGGCCCTTGAAGGGGAGCTTGAGACGATGAAGCTGCTGTCGTGTTTGACCATGTGCCACGAGCGGTAGACTTTGGCGGCGGATTTGGTGGGCTGCCACGAAGATGAAATGTTCCCGTGTTGTCATCAAAAGACATCATAGATTCTCTGAATGCAGGGTGGATATCCCCTGGCAATGGAGTGGACGCGCGTGTCTGGGAAGCCAGATTCGTGCTCGACTTGAGACCACCAGTATAGTAGTCCAGAATCGAGCCCTCGAAGTATTGCTCGGCATTCTCATCCTTCTCCTTTCCATCCATCTCAAAGGTATCCTCCGGTGTTGCCTCCTCGTCTTCATGAGACTCGTTCATCGACAGTCTTTCTCCCTCAGGAATTGCTGGATCAACGATGCCATCTCTGTTGTTCCGTCGTGTCTGACGTCTCGCTTTCTGCATCTCTCGTCTGCACTCTCTGATCTCTTTCTCCAATGCATCACTATCTTTTCGAATAGCGATTCCATGGCCCGTTCCTTCAATCCACGCATCAACAATCTTGAGCAATCTCGGAACCGGAAGACGCTTCCTCCTTCTTCCAAGCATGGAGGCTCTGAGATCACACAGCGTCTGATGGTTCGTCCCAACAACTGAGAGGATACAAGCTTCGCAGCCTCCTTCGATCATCTCATGATACTCTTCCTTCTCATCGACTTTGAAGAGCGAACGGTAGATGGAGGGTGCGAACCAGAGACTGTTGATCCCATGGATTCGTTTCAAGAACGCAGCCAAGTTCGGTGGAAGACGAGGATTCTCGTCGAGACGCGCGAGTCGGACGGAACACTCGGCTGAGAGCTGAAGGAAGAAGCGGTGGATCAAGAGGGGATTGAGGCTTTTGTGTGCAGGGCAGAGAACAGCCTTCTGTGGTGACCTTGGCAGCTTCATTGCCATTTTTGAAAGGATATTCTTAGGTTTCTGGAGCGAAGAAGGAAGTTGGTTGATGGCATGTTCTTGCTCGCTGAGCCATTGCAAGGTTATTTTGGTTCGCCAACCAAGACTGAGCAGGTTGGCTAACTTCTCCGTGTTTCTAGAGGAGAGGCCCTCGATGTAGCGAACTGATGGCTGAGGCATTTTGATGGCTTTCTGGAAGTGGTTTTGGAAAGTATTGATTTCAAGAGGTTGTGTGGTAATGTTTGATCTTGAAAGGAGGTCCATATTGGTTTTAAAAGAGCTGGAAAATATCTATTTCCGTCTGGCGCTGTTTAGAAAGTTCATTTGAGCGGAAAATGTTCATTATTTAGCTTCCAGAACTTTTATCTCTTTGTATTTGTCTTACAACGCATTCTGTCTTTCTTTGTTATTGCTTGTCGTGGATGAAGCAGATTTCTGATGCGCACAATGCCATTATGCAAAGCGGATGTATTTCTTTACCTGCAGAGAGACTTGAACAAAGAAGTTTCTGACTCAAACGTTTGGAGTCAGCAGGAAATCTAGCTGCCTTACTGAGAGCCTCTATTTTGCTGCTTTGCAAACGCAAGTCCTCCAATAGAGGCCTCGTGCTTTCCTCTCGTTCAGTAATTTCAAGTGGCAAATCGCTCCACCCCTGCTTTTGGCTATTTCCGGAAATCCATTGTCAAGCAGGCAACTCTTACCCTTCTACATCTTTCATCAAGACTTGAACTTATGACTGGTTCCCGAGTGATTTTGAGCACTTGAAGTGTGGGTGGGATCCCGCTTAGCGAGTCTGAAAACATTTAAAAAAGTGGTTAGGGGTGTGAATTCTGCAGATCAGCAGAGATGAATATTGAATTTTATAAATTGTCCCACAATTTGAGTGAATTTGGACAAGAGGTGTCCCATTATTGTCAAAATACTTCTTTGCACCGAATAAATACTGGAAATTTCCTTTCAATTATAGACCAGCCAGATGATCTTGCTTAAAACCATCGCCACTTGAGTTTAAAAGCAGAGGTCAGCGCTGCCCAGAAGAACTGCTCTCTCCAACGGGAATTTTTAATTGAAACGTCAGAACCCCTGCCTATAACTATCTAACCTGAGTTTGAAAGCAGAGGCCAACCGTGCCCAGAACAATCCCTCTCATCACCCATAATATTTAGTTGAAAATGTTATTATGGCTTGTTATTTGTAGAAAACGTTTTCGCATGATTGCGGGTATACCCTCTACGATGTTATCCACAGCCATTTTTGTCCACTCTTACAAGAAGAGAATGCGGATTCGGGATCACCCAAATGTGTCGTGCCCAGCTCATGAGACAGCCGGGCTTCAGGAAGCATTCTTCAAGTTAAAATTCGAATAAGTGCGACAGGGCCTGCGCATTGACTCTCATCGCCACAGCAATCGGCGGGACTAATAGATAGAGAACTACGCTGTTGATCTGAAGTTCCTGATCACCGAACGACAGACATAATTAAGAGCAAAAATCCCTTCAAAATCTCTGAAAACGTACTTAGAGGCATGAATCAACTGAATTAACTATTAACCTTATGGCTGTATTTTCATTCAAATGTTGTGATTTCCAAAGTGTGCCGAGATTGAATTGTTCAGCTGCATCTCTGTTTTAAAATATCTCCACAACGCAACCCAATACTGCCAATCTTTCATCACATCTGCGATACTAGGGCTTGAGAACATCGTTTCTGATTTTAATCTCTCTGCTTAATGGAAGACTGTCGCTAACCACAGAGACTCGTACAAAGGAAAGGCATGACCTTTTGTCTTATCCGGAGGCAGTCCACGCTGTGGTACAGGACCCCATCTATTAGACCCATGCACCTGGTCTCAGAAAATGCCGCTATTTTCCAAATGCCTTCTTCCATTCATGCACATTCAATCCTTCACATTCACTCCTTCCCACATCACCTGATGCCCGTCCGCACGTGACGCCACTTTTCTTTCTCGTCACACACTTCACCATCATGCAAGGACCCGAAATCCACGTACCACCTCACACCTTCCAGACCACCCCCGCATAACACAGCTCACGTAATCCCCCGCACCATCTCATCCTCAATCCCTCTCCCTCTCATAAAACTCCCTCCTCTTTTCCCTCACCCTCTCCCTCTCCTCAAACACAGGCACAGGCCCATTCCTCCTGTCCCTCTCGCGTCTCCTAACAATCTTCTCCGCTTCATTCCTATCAACACTATCCACCAGACTCTCCTCATCCTCCTCCTTCTGTCTGTACCTGCTCCTCTCCCTCTGTCTTCTCGCGCTGTGTCCATTCTCCCTAGGGATCTTCTCCCTTACAACAACGACCTCTTCCACAAATCCGTCATCGCGATACCTAGAGTTCCTTCGGTCTCTATGCTTCTCTTTCTCTCGCTCCTCACGCACAGGCGCATCGACAAGACTATCGTCTTCAGGACTGTGTGCCCCGGCGCCGGATTTGTGGGATTTTCTTCGTCGGCGCTTGCTGGGCAGGAAGCGGCGGTAGAAGGATCTGCCTGAGCGACACGGATATGGATTAGCTTGGGAACAAGGCGGGGGCACACTGTATATTACGAAAGAGATCATGGCGATGAGAGTTTTGAATCTTGGAGCTATGAGATCTACGAGCTGGGGATTTTGGGGTAAGTATGAGGTATGAGGTCGACAGGACAAGAAGATCAAGCGTGCTGTAGCTGTGCCAGAGCCAGCGGCAAGGCTTCAGTCCCACTCCTTCACAACTTGGCCAGCGGTCGGCCCTTCTCAATGTGTCAAGGTCGTGAGCTCACCTTTGTTAAGCAGGATCAACTTTCTCTCGTAGGGGCCGAGGGGTTCCTCAACCATGGTTCGTTCAGGGGGTGCCTCTTCATCGGGGCCATCGTATTCCCACACCCAGCGACGTTCTTCTGGTGCACCCTAAGTTCATAATTAGATCTGCAAGAAACACAATATAAGAAATGCTTACCGCTGGAGCAGGCGCGCCGGGTCCCCAACTCGCATCCCATGGGATTGGATCATCAATTTTGGTTCTAGTTTGAGCAAGACGCCACATACCCTTTCGCTGAAGGGCAGTAGCCTTGTAAATGCCACGGTCATCGAGATCGAGGCCCTCGAGTTCCAGGCGGACACGAACGCAGCGATGGATACGCTCATTTGTATTGGTCATCCATTCGTCCGTTGGTATGCCAGTTTGCGGATCTGCACGGCAATTCATTCCTGGAGTGCGGATTCGTTTGCCCGAGATTTTGTACTATGAATTGTTCATCAGTAGTTGCAAAATTAGAAGGGAAAGACGGAAAAATCCATACAAAGCCTATCTCAGATTCATAGATCTCACCGAGTCCCCAAGGTCGGACCGGCTTATGTTTCTCGAAGACGGGTTCGATAGCCCACTGTTTCGTGACTGGACGAGCGAAAATGTTTGAAACTCTTGCCGGTAGCTTCCTTGGATTGTAGTAGTATCGGATGCTGTCAGCAAAAATCTGGTCGATATAATCAGACTGGAACGCGACCCCGATTGATGCGAGCTGATCCATCATCCAGGCCAAAGAGATATTGGCAATCTCTTGATCGTCATAACCGCCTCCTACATTCGAGTGTGCTCCGGGGAACCAAACTTGCCGCAAATCGACGGTACACTTGCGCATATCCATCCTCTCCCAGACAGCAGGACTGAATGGATTTCTGTGCTCGTCAAGAGCCAATGCTTGAAATGCGTGCCGAATGGTCCCATCGAGATTCGTGTCGTTGAACCTGTACTCCTTGGTAGAGTGGGGTAGGCCCATTCTGGCAAGCCAGGAAACTTGAGGAATACCCAGAGAGCCAACCGTATCCCAGACGGCTACAGATTGAACGCGAATTTTGGTTCCATCCGGATCGTAGACTCGAGTTAGTTCTTCCTACCAAGGGTTAGAGCTGCTATTCGCTAGTCTTTATTGTCCACTCACTGCCTCAAGTCTTCTCTTGTAGTCATGGGCTGCGCCAGACCCTTTAGGCTTGTTCGGAAAGGGGATGGTTGGGAAAATATCATTGTAATGAGGATTCAAGAAATTTTCATAATCCTTGAAGATGGGATAAAAGGAACTCATGCCAGTTCGTGTTAGAAGACCCATGGAACCTATCATTGCTGCAACACTTCTAGCAGTGAAGGCTCCTCGACTAAAGCCAATGAGGATGATATCGTCTCCAGGAGTATAATTGGCTGCTACGAAGCTATAGACTTCACGGATGTTCTAGAAATATATTAGGAATCATTTGCGAATCCAAGGAGAAGGAACGCTCACCTCAGAGATGCCGGTTCCGAGAAGGCCACCCCCAATAGCATCCACAAATCCCGGTCCCGTTCCGACTCCAGAATGATACTGTAGGAAAGAGTGTTAGGACTTGAGGTTCCGAAGTATCTTGTTGCACGGCCACTTACATAGATGATCTGAGGTGAACCATCGAGGCCAGCCTTCTTGAGGCCGCGGGAGATGCGTGTGACGTTGGATGGAATTTGAAGCGTTCCTGTTGGAACGTAGGGAATTAAGGTAGGCTTGTTGTATCCATCGTCACTGCACTGAATTAGCGAGAGGCACTTAACTAATCGAATGGTCTAGGCTAAGAATATACTTGAATTGATGGTAATAAATCGCCAGAAATGAGAAGTAATGAGACATGCTCAGTGAACACGGAGCCGTACATACCTATCCATCCACGTTCCATCACAGCAAAGCACCAAGCGTTTCTTGATATGAGCAGCTGAGGAAGACATGACGTTGCAGCGCCGCGTGGTTGGCTTCCTAGTAGTCAAAGACAATTTCCGAAGTTAAATCGCAAGGCTGGATGCTTAATCGCGAGCAGGCTCCGAAAGAGTGAAGTGTTCTTGATGTCTTGATGGAAACAAGGCTTCGAGAAGACAGGTGAGTAAAACCAAAGATTCAGGGGTTGCCGATAAGACTTATAACAGCTTTTGTGATTCACCAGCGCAAGATTGATATTCAGTGGAATGGCACTAAAACCTGGCAAGGCTTCGTGTCACTATGAGTGTGACCGATCTGGGTGTACTGATATTGGCGCGCTGCCGATTCTTGTGGCAGGAGGCAGGTGCAGCCATGCCTCCTTCCCTCAGTGCTCGTCGATTGTTCTCAAAAGTGTCTGGATTGATAGAATTGTGTGAAAACTAAGGCTTCGGATGTAACCCTCGTATCTCGTGGTGCAGCATCAGGACGAAAGCATGGCGAGGCTCGTCACACGATTTCCCTTGAGCGGTGTTGCACGTATCACATTGCTCCAGCAAGAGCGGAGCTTATGTGAGAGAGAGCATACAGAGGCTGATCAATGGTGATGATATGGGATGGAGGTCGGCGCAAAGAGCTGTGTTGTGAGAAGTTGTCGAAGATTCTTCGCTGTCTAATTTCATCGGCGCAGCCTTATTACTCGTTCCTCGGTCGTCTGGGTGGCTGGGGAGCGCGAAATGATTCGCTGCAGCGACATCCCGGCCGCCAATGTGCCCGGCTCCGCCTGAAATAGCGCCCTACGATGCCCGATCCCCTATTGGGCAACCCCACCCGCTGTCAAGCCGGGCTTGACCACGCATCCATTTTCAGCCAAAGACATCGCGCCACGACTCGACGCAAGCCTGGAAAATGTTGATCGGTCGAACGCCGCATGATATTGCAAGATATATCAAACATGCCATAAACGTCTTTCCTTGGAAGGCTGAAATTGTGAGAGAAATCCTTCTCAGTTGACGCAATTGACGCAATGGAAAGACCTAATCATCATTCAGTCGCACATTTTCTCTCCAAGCTTTCTTATCTTCTGCAAACCTCCAGGTGTCCAACGCTGAAGCTCTGCTGTTCTGGCAGTTCTTCCAGTCATAGATGCTCTTAGTTTTAAGAGACCTCGGGGTGCCTTTCTTGTTGAATTTGTATGAGCAGTTTGGTATTGGACCGTGGCATGAATACTCATATGTCCACATTAAAGGCATGCAGCATCCTATGAAGTCCTCGAACAACAGCTACACTTGCAGGAGTACCATAAAATAACCAAGCAACTATTAATCAGAGGCGATCAAGCAAAAGAAAGGTTCCAGAAAGTGCTGTGCACTTCGCCTAATCGACAAAATTCTCACTCGAGAAGAACTGCTTTCGTAACCCACAAAATGAAGGCTTAGGGTTGACGACAGAAGGGAAGGCCATTTCCCCAGATCAGAATAGACACGCTGAAGCGATTTCAATTGGGATTAGCGTGCGTTGCGAGGAATTTTCTCTGCATTTGGAAGAATATATAGAAGTTCATAAAATAAAAACAGGGAAGTTGAGGGTACTTCCGGAGTTTGGGACTGGAATTGACTAGTAGTGAGCGGTCCGTGCTAGGCTAAATTCCGGTGCTGGGCTGTTGCCGACACTTCATCTCCCAACTTCACCATTGTCCAAGCCTCATGCTTGTCGACAATACGAAAGTAGTAAGTATTTGCAAAACCCTTTATGGCAACTCCATATTCGAAGAAGCAAAAACAGGACCCTAGGATGCCACAATTACACAGAGCCCTCGAGGTACATGTCTTACCTGCAGATGGTCATGGGACCGGCCAAGCGTGGGGTAGTTTCGTTCGTTGACCCCTCTTCGTACAACACTCACCAACTCTCAAACACCCACAAGTTCTTGGCCTTGCAATGCTGAGCTCATTGCGCCTTGGGCATTCTCGCGATGGCTGACGAGCAGATGACGATTGACGCATCGATCAACGACTTCTTCCAGCGCTCTGGACTGACATCCCGAGATCGACTAGAATGCAACAAATTCATCGAGAGCCTCTATCCAGGCAGACTTATTTCTCCGGCATCATGCCAGGGCTACTGTTCATTGACCATCTTCGTGGGGGATGACACGGTCATCCAATTTCGCACTCATAGCTATCGTCTGGATCTGCGAATCACGGACGCTGCCCAAGAGGTTTATGGCACCTTCGCTCCCGAGACGACATATTTGACAACCTTACCAGAGTCTAGGCTGGATGTCTATCACATGGGAAGGATTGCAGGTGTATCTTTCAAACTCTTTCGGGCGAGTGAAGCTTTGATCGCTGGATCTACAAATCAGCGCATTGAGCTTTGCAAGGACTTCGCCACTTTTCTTGCTAAATCATGGCTCAATGGCAATACTGAAGACCTGCCTCTTGGCCAAGTTGGAAAGAGTCTCGTAAATCGCCTCAAATCCCTCGCTACAGACCTCCCGCCGCGATTTCAGCCAGCGGTTAGGGATGTGCTTAGAAACTTTCATAGAATTGAAGGTCTTCCATGGGTATTAACACACGGTGATATCGTGGCGGCGAATATCATGGTCAATTCCTCCACCGGGAGGTTGACGGGCTTGGTCGATTGGGCTGAGGCGGAACGATTGCCTTTCGGTACATGCCTGTATGGATTGGAAGAGATCCTGGGAGAAATGACCACAGCTGGGTTTCGATACCATGAGGATGCTGAGGAGCTACGAGCTCTATTCTGGACTGAGCTGCAAGGATGTGTTTCAGATTTGGAGCAAAAGCCGGTGCTCGATGCTGTGAGGCTGGCAAGAGATCTTGGGGTTCTGCTCTGGCATGGAATTGCGTTCGATAACGGGGCTATTGACCGAGTGGTACAAGAGGGCCGAGACATTGAAGAGATTCAAAGACTTGACGCATTTCTGGACCTAAGTGGGCATAAAAGATGTGGACTGGATTCCCAAAATGTGATTGGGATCAACACTTGATGCTTTTTATGGCCGAGGAATAAACAAAATAACACCTCCATCCAAAGACCTCTGCCTACGAAGAGACCTCCAAGGGAAACACCAGCTGCACAGAAACTCTCCCACCACCAAACCACTTGATCAGTGTTCACTTCAAGACCGCGAACCTCGCTGCCCCGGTCTGGGAGATACTTTGCGTCTGGGGCCTCCATCATTCTGTCTTCCAAATGCCCGTGGGGGATCGGGCACGAATGTGTGTTCAATGCGGAGATGAAACTGTGGCAATCCACTTTCCTGCCGGTGCAGGTGATCTAGAATTGGTCAGTCGCATCCGATGCCTAGAAGAAACACATGAGGACACTAACTTCTTTGAGATACGAGATGCATCATCTTGAGTTGCTGGTACGCAATGAATAGCCCGGATATGGCGAGAAATATTCCAACACCTCCAAAAACGATCGCAATTGTGCTATCTATAGCGACTACCAAAGTCAATTGAGAACGCTTGGACAGCCACCCTTCCAAAGTGACCGATTACTTTTGGAAGCAAGGAAATCGAATTCGGATGTGATTTATAAATACTTGAAGATAGACTTGGTGTTGAAATGGACATACCCATTTTTCCAGCGTTCAGAATGGAACTGGACTTTGTTTCAAAACAGAGCAGCTCCCTGGGGGCAGAGTAACTACGTGCTGGATCACTGCTTGGCCGTAGAGTGTTTCTAGAAGGCTCGTGGATGCTGCTCGCTAAGTTTGTTTTTGGGTGTGGTGCGACTCGCGTTTTGAAAGTTGTCTATATAATGTGTTAAAGAGGTTGATGATTGAGAAGCCGAGAAGAGCATTTGACGGAGGAATGCGATGAGACTCGAAACAAATAGTTTAACCTTTTTCTGTAAGGCTTTCGTGAGGGGCGCTGTCCCGCAATATAGTGGTATGTGGCGGTATAAGGAGTGGACGAGTAGAGATGCAAAGCTGGTAGGGAGGGGGCATGCCTTTGCATTATATCTATCGTCTGATCTTTCAGTTATTCAGGCATTGACATCGATGTCATTGGCCACTAATTAAAGGCGCGGTTGTTATTGAGCGCAGGGAGTCAGTCGAGCGTGTTGTTTTTGTCTAGGACAGTTCGAATTCCGACTTCTGGGATGGATCCGTTATGTGTGATCAGCCTTGCAGTGAATGGGAGTGGAATGGCATTTACAAATCAAGTAAAAAGTGCCCAGAAGAATCCAAACGTTCAATTGCTTCTAACTTTGAATTTTAAGTAATACAAGTATTTTTAGACCACACAATAAGGAAGGGAAACAACATATTTATATACGGCGCGCTGGCCAATTGTGCCTGCGACAGGCAAAAACGCGGCCTGGACAGATTTTGGTCGGGAGACGCGCCCTGACATGGGGGTCCCGCACGCACTTAACACGCATTGGACACGATAAAACGTGACTCCAGGTATGCAACCATCACCTTGAAAAGGAGACCTCGCAAGGCGGTGTGATGGGTTAGCGTGGCCCTAAGCGAAGCGCTAGGCTTGAACGCTTATTCAAGGAACCTTGCCAAACGTAGTTTCTTAGAAATAGTCCTCTGGACCCTACCTCTCCTCCAGGCCAATTCAATCAACCGGGTCTTCAGCGGCATGGATCTTGCTAGAAGAAGCAAGCCTACGATGCAGGACAGCGCCCGGCCATATCCTGTATCGAAAGCGGACCAATGGAGCCTCATCATTTACTTTCAAACATTGCAATCAATGGCTTGCTCTGCAGACTTGATTGAAACCCATAATTCGTACCATTGGAATCTGGGTATTGTACATATTAGGTCATAAGATATCATATCATAGTATAGTTGAAATATCTGATGAGATGACCTCTCCCAACTGTGAGCACTGAATACTTCAGTCGACACCCTGCAACCCAACCCCTCCCGCTCTCTTGCCCTTAACAAACACCACAGGAGGAGTATAATGTCTCCTCCCATTCACTCATAGATAACAGCAGCCAAAAACACAACGCCTACCCAAATAGCCGGTGTCCAATTCAGAGTCGTCAACGTAACCGGCACTGCAGACGGAAAGCAGCCGAAAACGATCACAAACCAGAATACAAGAACAGAGAACCATCAATCGGGATACCAAATCTACCTAAGGGCCGGCGGGCGGAGGGCAGTTCTTTGCCAAGGAGACGCTTGCGGAGAACGCAGTCGATGGTGATCATGTAGGTCAGGAGGGTGAGGGAGACGATAATGTTGAAAGCGAATGTGGAGCCAAGGTTGACGAGGCAGAGGATACCAGCTGCTATGGAAGTGAGATAGACGGCGTTGTCAGGGACATTGCGGTTGTGATTCATCTGGTAGTTGTCAGTATTCAGAGTTTAGCAGGAGCAAGAAGAGAGGTCAGCCTTGAAATCCACTTCGAAAATTGGAAGCACTTGTCACGAGAGAATACCCAAAGTTCTCTAGATGTGGTAGCTAAGGCTGTGATATCCCCAGGGAATACGAGGAAGACAGAATGGTCATGAGTGCATAAGCCCATGCGTTGGAGCCGGTGTTCTGGAAAAGGATCAAGTATGGGGCACTGGAGCTGGTGGCTATTGAGGTCTCGGATGCAGAATAGCACTGCAACGAGCATTACCAGACCCATCACCACGTTCAAGACGAAACTCCAACACATTGCGTGGAGAACGTTCAAAGATGCGCTCCCGACTTCTTCATTGAGTCAAGCACCAGCTGGATATTCGGTTTGAAGGATTTTATAGCCACGTACAGACGCGGACTGCGTAATCAGAGCCTGCAGACTGATTAGCAACTGAAATTTGGATTTTGCTAAGACTGGAGTTCATACCGAGATCGCAGTAGAGGACAGCAACTTGTGCAACAAGGCAAGAAGTTCCCTCATTACTCTAACCGCCATTATTTCCTACTTCCGTCAAGACCTGCTTTGTCGAATTCTTCAATGCCAATATTAACATAGTATATTGCCGGCGCTCGAACGCAAAATTTACGTTGTTGACTTCGGCAAATGGCTTCAATGAGAGTAGCCACGACGAAGACGGTGCTTGAGACACTTGGCAGCCAGCCTAAAGTTGACATCCAGCCTGAACGACTTTAGCGAGTGAAGTCCACAGCACCTTCAGGGTCTTATCGGCAGGGAAAGTGAGGATATTCGGGTACTTGCAGGAGCGAGTTCTGAAATCCAGTGGTGCTGCCCTGAAATCACTGAGATCGAGTTCACAGGGAGTTAAGGTTGTACTCCAGCCATACTACCACTTGTCGGAGCCATGCTCTCCATCCCAGCCAAATAAGCTACAATCATGCTGTAGCAGATCACTATGCCAATGAATACCCCGAAAAGATCACCAAAGCCACAACGTTTGAATCTGGTGGAGACAAGTCATAGTTTGCATCCATCATGACGGTTTGATCTTCCTGGCGGCCATGGCTTCTTTTGCCGGGCATCAGTGATGGGCAAGACAGTATGAAAGGGACAATGTAATACTGAGTAAGGCATCACGTTGATTTCGGCCTCTGGATGTCTGGTGAGGAGGACTAATACAAATTTTAATAGCCCTCTTTTCGGTCCGCGTTCACCAATTTCCCTATCAGAGACTTGATTTGCAGGCCTACGTTTACAATATCTGCCTTACCCTGGGACTTCTGCGCAATGTGGTTGGCCCTTGAGCGCATCCACTGCTCACTGTACCCCGACGGGGCAAGCACAGGCACGCCAACATAGCGCCGGCCGCAGTAGAACAGTCTGGCATATCTTAGCTTCACATTGACAGCACCTTCTCAAATTTTTCATTGGCGAGATACCTAAAACATAAAAGTCAATCGTAAAGAATTCCACTTTTAAAGGGCAGGGATTTCATGCGGTTGAGGTGAAGAGGGGCAAATTGCAAAATACCTTCGGTGCACGGCTCCGAACTCAACGATCGCTAGGCAGCTCATGACATTGGAATATCCCCATCCGCCCCAGTGGCATTTTCGAACTTGAACACCTTGTAGTACATCTTGTCGTCTCTCAAGAACACTAATCTGCGTGTGTCGTCTTTCTCTCTTCGTTGACTTCGCTCTCGAACCTCCATTCGTTCTGGGGTAAACGAACCCGGGTTGGCGATTTGGTATTTGGACAATCGAGCTTTTATGTCTTCATTACTGAAGACTGTTGGACTATAGGGGCCGCCATTCTGCATATAAGATGAGTATTTCAGATGAGGCGCTCCTAGACCAGGTGGCATGGTGTCGTAGAACAGGCCAAGAAGGCTTCTTGTCCCTGTGTTAGAGTCAGCATGTGCGTATATTGAACAATTGTAGAGACTTTTACCGTTGGAATCCCAGAGGACAAGCAAGACATTGTCATCCATGAACTTCACGTCTTTGATCCGCCCATCCCCAAGCTGGACCAATGCCGAATCGATGTTGTGGACTCGACTTATTCCATTTTCGATGAAGAATCCAAGACGGATAACCTGAACTGAAAAGATATTTAGTTTTAGATATCAGAAGGTTCACAACCCCGCATACCAATGTTTGGATAGCCTTCTGGCACAAACGCAATATGGGTCCGACAGGCAGACAAATCCTGTACATGTCAAACCAAGTTTCGCGATGACGGCTGTAAACTTACTACTGGACTCATTCTCATGTCAATTGGCCCAGCAGTCTCGGTAATCCCGACCTCATATACCTTTCCAAATAGCACGTTCCGTTTTTCTGCCTCAGCAATTTGGCCGAAAACGGTACTTGCTTGCCGAGCCAAGAGCTTGCAAAGGAGATCGACGCGGGGAAGCGTTTTCATGTATGGGAGCCCTCGCTCTTGCTTCTGTAGTTGCTTCTCAAGAAGGTCGTATATCGGCAGACCTTGCTCGGCATGCTTCCAACTATTGTCATGGTCTTCGGGTAGGGAGGCGTTGAAGTAAATCGCCAAGGGACTGTTAGTCAGTACAGTTTGCAGGTACTGCAACACCTTGCTATGATCTATCGAAGCCTCCTTCTCAACCTTGTCATCTTCTGGCGAAGCCGAAAAGTCTGATGCAAGCCTGTCTATCTCGTAACGTACCCAGCTTGAGAAAGCAGCGAAGAGATCAAGCTCATCAACGACCTGGATCAGAATTTTAGATGAGATGAGGTGCAGACAAGCGACCGTATCCACAATAAGATTAATCTGCTGAACCGTGAAGCCCACAGTCTCGTTTGAACCTTGAAATTTCGCAATACCAGCGAACCGGCTCAGAATTACGGAGCATCGGTCTAAAGCCGGAAGCATATTTTCGTGAACAAGGCGTCTTAGATTTTCAAGCCCGGTGGTGACAGCCTTATCCCATCGTTTATGACCCTAAAAATATCAGCTGCATGCCTACACATTAATTGCTAATCTCACTCTCTCGGATAGCTCATCCACAAGCCATTCCCGCACAGAAGGGTAAGTGTGACCTGTCGCAACAGAATGATACAATGCTTGGACGATATCGCCGTTGCCCTTTTCTCCAAGAGTTTCGTTGATATTGTGGAGGAACCTGCTTGGAAGCTCTTGCGTAGTCTTCCATTCACTAACCATCAAGAGCTGAACCTGATGAATGTATCTCAGAAGATTCTGGAACGCTGTCGACTTGGATGCGAGTAGAGATAGATATTCGCTGGACGCAGAAATAAATCGAAGATCCATGGGGACGAGGAATAGATGGTCGGAAGAAGCAGACCTCATTAACAAAGAGTGCGTGGAGTACTTTTCATGAGATGCGTGACGAGTAAGGTGAGCTGGGTTATAGTCGACAACCACTGGAGAAGGGAAAGATCCAATGACAAAGGAGTCATATATGCTGAGATGGATTGTTCCTTCTCTTGTGCCAACTACCATCACATCAACGGCATTGTTGTCTTTCGAATCAAATGGGCGGAAAATGGTATCCAGGGACTGCCGCGAACTGAACGCATCGTCCCTGTACTCATATGAGTATAGGACGCACAAGAAGAGCTCTTTAACTTACGAGGTTCCTGCTGTAGCAAGGACGCTCAGCTTCGGCAAACTAGTCTCAATGTCGATAAGAGACAAGTCTCGGGGTAAGTCCAGAGGCGTCTTTTCCTCAGAAAAGATTCCATTTGCGGTTAGAAAGCTGCCCCAGGAGCCAAAGCCCTTACCAGCACTCACAGAACTGGAGCTTTTGTTGGTGAGGTTGGTGGCCCATCCTAAGCACGTGACGCCGGATACCATGTCTCCAGCGGTAAATTGGTGCACAATTTTGCTGCTCTCGGCGCCGACCAGGCGGACGGATCCGTCACTCCAGGCAATAGCCAGCAGCTGGCCTGTTCACAGGTCAGCGTCTTTGACATTGAAAGCTTTTCCTGGGGATTAACGAGCCATTTGGTTTCCATCGAAGGCTTTCAACTCTCAGCTTTCCCGTCTTCTGAGTTGCGCCATACACCCGCTGACCATTGAGACGATATATGAAAACTTGTTGGTCTGTTGTAACGAGAGCAATCAAGTCCATAGACGGGCAGTAGGTGATAAGATCAGGATGTGCTGGTTGGTGGAGAGCCTTTTCGCCCACGGTTTGAAGAACCGAAGGCCGTTCCATGTTGCCCTTTGTGATTGTATCTTCGGGTCAATATCCTTGGTGATTTGGGAGGTTGGCACATGTTCAGTGTTCGGACAAAGATGGACCGACTCATTTGTCAAGATGCAGAACGCGTGGGAGGATGGAAAGCGCGTTGCTGGATCAGAACTTAAGCGAGGATTTGATTCGGTGGGATATTTCAATTTAGTTTGAACAGCGACACAAATTTTCTAACAGAATATGGATTTAAGTGATTAAGACATGATTTGACGTCTGTTTTAAGATTCTCTATTGCTAGTATAATCTCAACTAAGGCTATGGAAGCCACCTTATCCCACGCCATGCTCAAATGCCACAAGCTTGTCCCGTTGGCCGTCTAATCATTCGATTGAGTACGAATCCGTCACCGATTTGATCTCTTTTGAAAAGGTCACAGGCTCATTCATTTCGAGAAGGGTGACATCGGTAACCTATAAGGCGGTCAGTTATGCTTTGAGGCCACATCTTGGGGGAGAGACTTACATCAACATCAATGAACGGCTTCGTCTTCCGGAATTTTACCTGCATTGGGAAAAACTCGTTCTCATCTCCAGCTTGGGCCTCGAACTCAAAGGAACCCGTGGCATTGGAGTCATCTACTAAGCCGATCGTCCATTCCAGGCTGTCGCCGGAGACTTCGTAGGTAGCATCAAAGCTGGAGACGGCCGGCTCGCTGGTGGCGTAAGGAATTATGACCGTCACATCCTTCAAAGGATCTCCTCCAGTGAGCTCATACTCCACTGTGATGTTATAAGTGTCGTCTGATCCCTTGTTTACCCAAACGGTAAATGTGATTGGGACAGCGCTCGTATCATCTGCCTTGGGTGTCGCTCTCCATCGCAAAACTCCAACCGAGTTATTAACCGGAAAGCCTTTCGTGGTATTACTCATCTGAACCGCCTTAGAGCTGTTGAAAAGGCCCCGGTCCACATTGGGATGTGTGCGGAATTGAACACCGTGGCTAGGATTGGCCACAAGGTCAAGTTTGACTTTAGTCAAGGTCTGGTCAGATATTCGGAGTTGCAGATCTCCCTTGACCTCCATGGAATTTACGGATCCTTCTCTGGAGAGTTTTGCGTTTATTGTTTCTGCAATTGTGACATGGATCGCGTCTCGATCCAAAGACGACGACATTATAGAGGGTTGTGCGGGGGCCTGTTCAGCTGGCACTGCTGGGTGATTTGGCACCAGAGGCGATGCGGCAGTCTCCTCGGCCTCGGGGCCCAAATCCCCTCTAACACGCTCAAACATATCGGTAGTCTTCGATTTCTTGCCCAGCTGCATTCCCTTGCCCTTCGGAGCGGTTGTCCTAGCGAACGTTAGCATAGTTATTTAGATTACAATGGACAACACATACTTGAATGATTTATTCTTCTCGGCCTCGTAGGAGTCGTATGTGTCCGTAACATTGGATCGTGCCGGAGGAGTGTATGTCGGATATACTGGTGCCCGTGGTACGGCATTTCTGCCACTCCTTGAAACCTCCTTGCGCTGCATTTCCAGTTGCTTGGCCTTCCGTTTTCGCTCTTCTGTCGCCTCCAGCTCTTTGTTCTGCAAAATTCAGCACCGTAACCCGATAGATAGGGGGTCCCATACCCTTGAAATGATTTCTTGTATTCTCTCTTCGTGACTTTCCATCTCCAGGAACGTCTTGATCTGACCAATTGTGAGGTTCTCCCGGTATCCGAGAGTGACCAGCTCATCGAACGCGCTGAGCAGTTCGTAGGCATTCTTTAATATCTCTCTCTCATCTAAGGTCTTGCATGTGCTTGTAACAACTTGTGCAAACAGATGTAGGGAGTCGATGTCTTGAAGAATATTGGATTGGCGGTTTGTAATGAGGACCATGTACAATTCGTCCAACGGCTGGTACACGAAGCGGACATTATCTTGCTCAACTGTTGTGTGTTGGGTTCCAGTATCCGCCAGCTTGGGAAATGAGGCCAGGAGAGCCTCAATTCTCGAGCGCTGCATCTCTCGAAACTGCCTCGAGAGGACAGCTTTTCCACCCCGCGTGCATATTGAGGCGGCAAGGACGACCTAGATATTCGGATTAGAGGGCATTTTAGAGTAAGAATCCAATGGAATTTGCGCACCATGTTTGCGAAGGTAAAATTTGTCCTCTCAGAAACTTGTGGTGGGTTGAAAGTGCGTTCTGGCCATCTTCTTCAATCTGGCAGCTTTCCAGCTCGTCAGAGAGTGCGATCACATGATTCACGAAAACGGACAAGGCGTCTAAAATTAGCGGCATTTGGTGACTGAGCTCAAGGCAAATTGCATTGAACATTTCTCATCACCACCATCTATCATTCGCATCACATCCGTGTCCTTTCTTCATGACTCCGATGTTACTTTCCAAAATCCGATTCGTTTCTCCTCCTCCAAAAATCAACACCATACCCCACCGCTTTTGTTTGAGGACCCGACCTCACTTTTGACGCGGGCCGCTCTCGAAATACGCCCTTGCGTCCTTGACGCGTCGAAAGTGACACCTTTTCCTCTTTTGACGCCAGACTAAAGTACCACTAATCTCTTATCCTCGCATGCGGTCTCGAACCGCCAGACATTCTCCAGATTAATATTCTCAGCTTCTCAGCTCCCCGATCAACGTCTCGGTCTCGGAACGCATTCATATTCTGAGCTCCCGTGGTACGACCCAGGATCGCCTTTCACCATGGCTGATGATAGTATGGAGATCTCGTCGCAGCATGGCCACAGTGATGACGACGGCGATATTGACATTGATTTCGATTTCACATCTGCGCCGGTAGATGAAGATTACGTTTTAGAAGACGCTGCCTTACCTGCCGACGTTGGAGAAGATCTTCGCCCTCAACCTTCTCCCGCCATCGGTAATGACGACTTAATGATTGATGAGGATGTTGACTCATATCCAATGGATGACGCAGACCTGTTGCATGGCGAGGAGGGACAAATCCAGCACGAGGCATTGCCTTTTGATAATGAGAGCCCCTTCCACCTTGAGGAAGACCCAAACCATGGGCTTCATTTCGAAGGAGACGACTTGAATAGCGGGGCCGCGTATATGTACGGACATCAAGAATCTTCAGAGGCCCAGGTTGTGGAGAATGACGCCTCGGAGGGAAATCTCCTTGATGCTCCACAGGGGGAAGATTTGCAAGCCGCGGAAGTTGTATCAGTCCCAGATGTCGAGAAACCGTCAGCAGACGCCGCCCAGCATGAATCTCGAAGAGCATCGCTACTATATGAAAGTCCCAAGAGCGCCGTATCCGCTCCGGCCCCCAAAAGTCCCCCGGCTCCCAATCTGGAGCGTGGACCAACTTCCCCAACTCATACGTCAGAATACCACGAAACTAATGTAACATCCCCTTCACTATCTGGAGATGGTGGCAAGGCGGTCGAAGCTACATCTTTGGATACAACGACTCTTCGTATTTCTCCCCAGGATGTGATGGTTGTTTATCAGTCTGTGGAGTATGCCTTGTTCTCATCCTCCGAACTTGATGATCCAGATTCTTTCTTTCTTTCCGACACATCCATCGCCGACAAACCTCTTGCAGATTTGTTCAAAGCTATTCGCCAGGTCATTCAAGAAGATCTCAGCGAAGAAGACGAGCTCTGCATGGCGGTGGAAGACCTTGGTATCGAGACGGAGGAGGTCAGTTGTGCCCAAGTTGTCCCGTGGCACTCGAGGCTAACGCCTATGCAACAGAGTGCTGCTTTACTTCACGATGTCACACTAACTCAAATCTTAAATCTACGTGAGAAATTGCTACGAAATGACGGCGTTGAATCATCCGGACCTCTGTGCATTATTCTTGGCACCCGGACCAATTTTTCAAAGAGAATCGAAAAACTCACTATAGGAGTTGCGGAAGGAAAAGGTTTGTCACAATTTGTTACCTGGGATGAACACAGCGAGAGCATCGACGAATTAGAGGATGCCAATGAGAACGAAATTGGCGTCGAGCCGACTTCAAACAGTCAGGAACTACAAAATATTTCTTGTGGGCAGGACGCAGATGCACATCAACCTGCTCAGGGTGTGGAAAATGGTGCAGCGGAAGAGCCAGCACAAGGGCATGAGTATGAACCTGAAGCTGCCGACGATGCAAAGCCAGCTTCTACCGACTCAGTATCTGGAGATAGTTCCGTTCAGCAGTCCAGTGCTACAGATGCCAATCTATCCAGTCTACAGAACGCCAACGAGAACGGCAACGCCTCAAACGAGTACTTTGATGAAGATGACTTGATTGATTACTCCGAGGAGGAAGGAGATCGCGTACCTGAGGTGCAAAGGCATGCTAAGTCACACTCTAACCATGAAGACAGGACAAACCAGGGTATATTCAATCTCTTTCCACCATGTCTCAAACCAAATACATGTTTCTGTTCTAAATGTTCCGTCCTTTTACTTGCAGAATACGAAGCGATCAATGAAGATCTCCGTCGACGGTCCCTCTCAAGGACGAATGAGGACAAAGTTCCTGAGCAATCCAACGAGCAAGCATCCCCAGCTACCGAGGGTGACCATGAAGGAGCTTATGTCGAAGAAAGTGGTATTGAGTATGAGGAGAAGAATGAACACCAGGAAGGATTTCAAAATGCCCATCTAAACACTGGGTATGAAGATTTCACAACGGGGGATTTCGATGCTCCTGATTCTCTGGGACAATTTGATGGTGCCGGTCTAACAATTGATGAATTTGGCGGAGAAGGAGAGTTCGCCAATGACGGCGCTTTTGGCGACTCTTTTGATGTGTTCGGTACAGAAGCACAAGAGTATAATTATGGTGACGAAGGAACCTTTGAAGATGATGGCGATCGCCACCAGATTCAGCAAAACCAAGCCGACGTTCCAGGAACAGAGGTTAAGGGGAATAAGCCCGAACAAGTCGACACAGCAGAATCGAGCGTTACTGTGGACGCAGATGAAATCCAATATGAAGATGAGGATGAAGCAAACGGCCACGTCCCCGATAATTCCATTACTACCGCCGAATCCCACGAAACGGAACATTCGATTGGAGTCGAGCACGAGATTGATTACGAAGACGAAAATGAGGTCGACAAGGGAAAGGAATCAGGAGCCACAACACCTCTGGCGGCTCCCCGGATAATTCCATCTTCAAGTGGGAAGAGATCCAGAGGAGATGTTGAATCCGACGATGCAATGATCATGAGAGGCAAGGGTACGTACTGGGCTGTAAATCTAAAACGGCGGCGTAGCTGATTCCATCCACAGAAGCAAAGCGTCCTCGATCATGACAATCTTTTAATTTCTAGAGTCTTCACATGATGGCCGTCTTAGCCTTAGCTCCTGCCTCTCTGCTCTACATCATCCCACCCTCCAGACCACACTCTGAATCTGGGCAACGCATCCAGATCCGCCAGCTGAATCGAATCGCGGACGAGCCTACGCCATCCCTTGCAACCCACCTCGACTACTACTAACTTTCACATAGGAACGGACCGACGGTAAGTCTGAGAGGTATATCGGATACGCCCGCCCCTTTTCACATTCTCCCCCTCAAAAGCACATGATACCCCGTGATTCAGAACCTCTTCACACCCAGGACATTCTAGCGTTTGGCAATTTAGCATAGCACGGCGCCGGTCTTCTTTTGTTCACTCGCGATGGACGGGGGAAATGGGGTCGACCGTCTTCTGGTTCGGAAAGGAAAATCCATTTCGCTGCATGCTTCTTATGTTTCTGCCACAGAAAAGCTCGCTGCTGTGTATCTGGAAACCAGGGAGGCTGGATGTTACTGATCTCTTCGAAGGTGGATCTCTGAACATGCCTCTAATATTGTAGGGTTATGGCCGAGGAGTGTTGCGGAGGGAAAGCAGTCGTATAATAATTACAATAGCAGCCTCAAAAAAACCCCCTTCTTTGAACGTGATTCGGGGTCTTGAATTGCACACCAGACACTTCCGTACAATTTACCGTCGAAGTTTTACCCTGGTTCAAAAATCCGTGCTTGCAGACCCGCCCATGCGCGCGTCCTTTTGACGCCTGTCACAAAAGGGGTAAAACTTAAAAGGCCTGCAGATGCTGGGCGGAGCGGGCCTAACTAAAAATAGCGGGCATAGGAGACACGAGGCCGGACTTCGATTTTTGAACGTTACAAAGGTTCTTGTCTCACTTCACAGAGCCGCACGCAAACGCAGACTCTTCTCATTCAAGCGCCAGCACACACCTTGAGAGGATTTGTGGCCACAACTGACCTCAATCCTTCGAAGTGTCGTCCTGCCTCTATTGAATGCACTGCCTTCGGCCCCTTCAACGCGCCCTCGCCTCGGCCTTTCGATAGTAGATCTCATATCCGTGCAGGGTTCTGAAACCCTCCTATGACCACCGTCACCTTCAACTTGCGATCACCAGAATATTTTCGGCTTCGGCATATAGACGAGAGGAGATCCTAAGGGCGGGAGCCCCACGGCAAAATCCCGCGCGACCGATACCTAAATTCCTTGTTCTCTGGTCGAGCGGAAGAAGTCGATCGCGAGCGCATGCTCAAGACACATACACCTTGGATTCGATAGGAGGGGGAGTACGACGTCTGCGTGAAGATGCTGGAAGACAAGTACGTCAATGGTAGCGGCCTTGGTTCCCGTCGCGCAGAAGCGCTTTTACGTTAAGGCAAATCGCTGATACAGAGGTTGCAGATACATAGGCCTGGCGCTGGCCATCACCTCCACCATGGCGATAGGTGGGTGCCCATTCTGTCCTCTGCTGGGGAAAGAGACTGACTCGATATCACAGGGACGAGTTTTGTCATTACAAAGAAGGTAGGCGAAATACTGCGGCCTCGAAGACTTCCCCCGATGATCGTCTAGAGGATGAATGGATTTTGTGCTAACAAGCTTCGAACAGGGACTGATGGATGCGGAAGAACGGCATGGTTTTGAGGGAGATGGATTCACATATCTTAAGAGCCCAATATGGTGGGGTGGAATCATAGCATGTATGTGCTGCACGCCCCTCATGTCCATGGTGGCTTTCTAACACGAGCTCAGTGATTGTCGGAGAAATAGCCAACTTTGCCGCCTACGCGTTCGCCCCCGCGATTTTAGTAACACCCCTTGGGGCATTGAGTGTCCTCATAGGTGCCGTTTTAGGATCCTATTTCCTGAAGGAGGAACTGGGCACACTGGGAAAGCTTGGATGTGCGATATGCCTGATCGGATCCGTGATAATTGTGCTGCATGCGCCACCGGACAAGGAAATCAAAACCATTGATGAAATTCTGCACTATGCAATTCAGCCGTGTATTTCACCTCACTGTATACTTGGGGAGCTTCCGCTGACTATTCTCAAGGGTTCCTCCTCTTCTGCCTCACAGTTGCGGTATTCGCTGTGGTCATGATATATCGAGTTGCCCCAAAGTACGGAAAAAAGAATCCGCTGATTTACTTGTCAATTTGCTCAACTGTCGGATCTGTCTCGGTCATGTCGGTCAAGGCTTTTGGAATCGCTGTGAAATTGACACTGGCAGGCAACAATCAGTTCACGCATCCATCAACATATGTGTTCATCATCCTAACTGCTGTCTGTATTCTGACGCAGATGAACTATTTCAACAAGGCTCTGAGCCAGTTTCCCACATCCATGTAAGCAACGAGATTCTTGATACCAAGAAACTTTATTAATACCTGGACAGAGTCAACCCCCTGTACTACGTTACTTTTACTACTGCTACTCTCTGCGCCTCATTCATCTTATATGGCGGTTTCAACACGTCCGATGCCGTCAACACTTTATCACTTCTCAGTGGTTTCCTGGTCATATTTACCGGGGTGTACCTCCTAAACATCTCACGATCCGATCCAGATGGACACAAATTGATCGACGGGGCCAATAATGATGGAATTGCTACGGATATCATTTCGGGAACCTTGACGAGAAGAAGTATGCAGGCTCGAAGAAGCCTAGATCCTCAGAGGAGGAGCATGGGTAGTAATGGATACCCTAGGGGCGGTGACCGAGAAGGCTTGATGCACGCATTCGACGAAGAAGAGAATGTCGGATTCGACTTAGCAGATTTGGAGAGCGATAATGAAGACAATCCGCCCAAGGAGGCGGCCAATGGCAAGATGAACGGGAATGGCAACAAGAGGAGTTTCAGTGAGCCGTTAGAACAGGAACGAACGAGGAAATCATCGTCACGGTGACCCTGACGTGCTTGATTTCACATTTTGCATTTTCCAATATTGTATATGGGTCTATAAGCGGGTGGAAAGTTTGGGCAATGGATCTCAAGCACGGCTGCAGCATGGCCTGCATTTGGTTCTTCATAGCATGACTACACGAGGTTCGGCGTTCTGGCTGCTCTGTACTATAGGGGAGAGACATCTTGTATGATATATCTGCACACGCCTAGGTTTGCCCGGTATTGAAGGGTCGAGACTTTGGCCGCATCCTCAAAATTGTCATAGTAAAGATAGAATCTTCATCAGGTGGTGTTGAAATCTTAATTCAGCTTGGCCCTAATTACAAGCCCGAAATGCAATGCGCCAGACAATGTTGTCAAAGAACCCATGTCATCTATTCCTCTGCAGGTGCCTCCTCAGCCTGCTCCGTCGCACGTTGAGCCTCAGCAGCCGCCTGAGCTGCAGCAGCCTTCGCACCATAATCCTGGCTCATAGGTTGAACCACACTCTGCTCCTCCTTTGGCTCAATAACGGTGACAGAGTCTGGCAATGACTTTTGAGGACCTGACTTTCCTTCTGGATCCGAACCACGCATGATCTTGACCTTGATACCGAGAACACCTTGTCTGAGGAGAACGTGACGGGTAGCGTGGTCAATGAAGTCCTTTGCTGGCTGACCAGAGTGGATCATGAAACCATCAGTGAACTTCATGCTCTTCGCACGAGCAGCACGCAGCTTTCCAGAAACGACAACCTCGCAACCCTTAGCACCGCTCTCCATGATGAATCTGAGGACACCATAGCATGCTCTGCGAACCGCCAGACCGTTGAGGAGCTTGTATCGGAGGGACTCGCATTGTGCGACGGCGGAGAGACCACGGTTTTGGACCTTGGCAGCGTAGAGGGAGACGGAGTTCTCGGGGAACTTGAATCGCTTTTGGATGAGGGAGGTGAGTTCGCGGATTCGACGTCCTTGCTCGCCGAGGACTTCTTGGGTGTGGGTTGCGCGGATGATGATATCGGTGACGGTGGGTGTAACTCGGACTTCGACACCAGAGTATCCCTCCTCAGCCAGCTCGCGTTGGAAGAACTCGTTCAATTCTGCGTAGAAGACACCATCGGCCACGAACTTTCTCCGCTTTGAGCTGTCATGAGAGTCAGTTCATGCTCGTCTGGTAGAAAATTGAGAGATCTTACATAGCGGCACCTGGAACTCCGGAAGCCATGACTGCGGTTTCGTGGTGGGAATCGACGTTGCGCAAGAGGAGTTGGCTTCGTCGTGGATGTCACTCGCGATTGAAGTTGTCAAAATCGCGATTTTTGTGTGGGAGGGGCTCGGTTAGCACCCCAGTCTATAATCACGTGCCAAGTGTAATAGAGGGGGACCACCGCATTTCGAGTTATATTTTTCACCCATCTTCTTTGGGATTTTGAATGCTCAAAACTCTCTAGAAAATCTTGGATAAACAAACTTGTTATGATGAGCAAGCATGCCAGTTCGCAATTTAAAGTCGGATTTCCAAAAGTTGCAAAATACATCCTAGCTCTCTCTCAGCGCGCGCTGGGATTCGAAGCTAATCGGGACCGCAGTGCCGGAGTAAATTCCAAGGACAGCGACAGCGAACGAACTGTGGACACAACTATCCCATGCAACATTTCGGTGACTCGTCCATGTTTGGCTCGGTCCCTTTCATAAACAGCCCTGCCATGTCATGAATATTGATTCATGTATTCATTTTGATTTTCCAGCGTATCCTCATCCGCCCCAGGCAACATGGCTGACAAGCTCCGAATAACAAAGGTTGGTGTCAGGCTCCAAGCCTGCGCTCCTATATGCTAATACCTCCAAGGTCGAACAGGTCCAGGTACTGGCAGGAGGAGAGATCTCCTCAGTAACTCTACACTTGACACCTCACCATCTTATTCTTGTGAAAGCCGCTGCCCCGCCATCCCCGCAGCATTCTCCGAAGAAGGCCTCAACAAAGTCAAGACCACAAGAATCATGGATCGCGTATCCCATGATAGCTTTCTGCACCTTCCGCCCGACGCCGCACGGCTCTGGACTCTGGTCTTCGATACGCATACGAGGTCGCGACTTCAAATTTGTGACGCTTAACATTGAAGACGGCAAAAAGGCGAAAGACGTTTACGAGAGCATAAAGGGTGCCACATGCAGACTGGGTAGCGTTGAGAAGCTCCATGCTTTTGTTTACGATCCTCCACCGCCGGAGAAGAAGATGTCCGGTTGGGAAATATACGACGCAAAGGCAGAATGGAAACGACAGGGCATAAGTGACAAAGGCGTGGACAGAGGATGGAGGATCTCAAAGATCAACGTAGACTACGGATTCTCGCCGACATATCCTGCGTTACTTCCAGTACCTTCCTCTATTTCTGACAACACGCTTAACTATGCCGGAAGATATCGTTCGAGGGCCCGGATACCGGCCCTTACATATCTTCACCCAGTGAACAATTGTTCAATCACTAGAAGCTCGCAGCCGTTGGCTGGCTTGAGGGGCAACCGAAGTATCCAAGATGAGAAACTCGTTAGTGCATGCTTCTCTGCATCCGCACAGCCAGACGACGGCGAATACCCGTCCTCAACCCAGTCGAGGGCAAGCCCAACATCAAGTCAGCCGGATCTTGGATTAACAAGCACAGAGGGCGAACTTTCAGAAACAGAGCGGTTGGAGGACGAGCTGATATCTTCCTCAACAATGGAGGTACTCTCAGACAAACCTCACGTATATGGAGCTCAGCAGCACAATCTAATCGTTGATGCTAGACCCACTGTCAACGCATTGGCCATGCAAGCTGTTGGCCTTGGCTCGGAGAACATGGACCACTACAAGTTTGCAACAAAGGCCTACCTGGGAATTGACAATATACATGTGATGAGAGACTCTCTGTCGAAGGTTGTCGAAGCTATCAAGGATTCCGATATCTCAAAGTTACCGCCAAACCGAGAACAGCTTGCTAAAAGTGGGTGGATCAAACACATCACAGGATTGCTTGATGGGGCTGCTTTGATCGCGCGTCAAGTTGGGATTCAGCATTCTCATGTTCTGATACACTGCTCAGATGGCTGGGATCGAACAAGTCAGCTTAGTGCTCTTTCACAGATACTACTTGATCCATATTACAGGACCATCGAAGGATTCATTGTTCTTGTAGAGAAAGACTGGCTGGCATATGGCCATATGTTCCAGCATCGATCAGGATTTCTCAGCAGCGAGAAATGGTTTTCTGTTCAAAACGATGCTCTTGCAGGCTCCGCCATTCAACCAGGTGGTAATGGTGACGGGCGAGGTGACGCAATTGAAAACGCGTTGCTCAGTGCCAAGCGATTCTTCAATAAGAGCAACCAGAGCCAGGACACCATCGAGTCAGACAGCGAATTGGCATACGAAGATTCGCCAAAAGCTAAGAAGTCGGCAACGAAGGACACTCAAGCGGAAAAGGAGGCCACGAAGCCCAAAGAGACAAGTCCTGTCTTCCATCAATTCCTCGATGCTACGTATCAGCTTCTTTACCAATTTCCGACTCGATTCGAGTTCAATGAACGGTTCTTGCGCAGGCTTCTCTACCACCTCTACTCCTGCCAATACGGCACCTTCTTGTACAATAACGAGAAGTCCCGTCTAGATGCACGAGTTCAAGAGCGAACAGCTAGTGTTTGGTCGTACTTCCTGTCACGGAGAGCAGAGTTTACAAACAAGGATTGGGACGGTGGAGAGATCGATGATCACTTCAAAGGCAAAGAGCGCTTGATGCTCCCTCGATTGGACAAAACGAGATGGTGGAGCGAGGTCTTCAATAGGAGTGATTTAGATATGAATGGACCTACAAATACAGCTACAGATCGATACCTGGGCCCAAGAGAAGATAGCCTTCGTGTCGGGCATGGTGTTCTTACTGGAGTTGAGACTGCACACACAGCCGCAGGAGCTGGAACTACCCGACAGGTCTCAAACGAAAACCCAGGCAGAATTGCGAGTCTCAGAGAGGGAATTGCTGGACTTGGTATTGGAATAGGTAGAGGGAATTCCGGGACCAAGAGTCCAAACAACCCGACCAAAGAGGCCATGGCGGTCGAGATGCAATAGGATTGGATAAGTATGGGGCACAGGCGTTATGCAAAGGTTACGGCGCACATCATTGCAGGAGCTTGGCGTCACGGTAGAAGCGGTGCAAGTTAAGCAGTTCAGATGTGTTACGTTGTCGTGTCTCAGTGTAGAGGTTCATCATTCATGCAATCTATACTTTTGGTGAGCGATAGCACGCCGACTCTTCCCTCGATTTGAATACATGATCGATCATAAGAAGACTTCCAGGTTGATCTCTAAGGTGCTGACAGGATATCTAACCAAGATTAGCACGGTTTGTTCCCAAGAGCAAGGTTTGCTACGTACCTCAGTTCAAATTTATCGAGGACGGTAGGATGCAGAATTCCGAACTCGCCGATGCGAACTTGCTTCCCATTGAGTCGCAGATAAATCGCAGCAGCATGGCCAGAGAAGAAAGTAGGTTCGTCAATCTCCTCGATCCAATAGCCATCGGGCTTCGATGGGTCTTCTCTCACTTCGTAATCCATCTTCTTGCCTTCAAGACCCTCTTCGCGCGTTAAGAAGGCTATCTTGAGCATCAAGAGAACCCGATCCAACAGGCCATGGACAACCTCGAAACCACTTGTTTTACCATACCATGCAGCCGCGAAATGCCTCTCGTTCCTGCTCTTCCGCTCTAAGGACATGTCTTTGAAGGCTACGTCGGACACTTCGAAGACTTTAATGGGGATACTGTGCTTCTTGTTTTCTCGAATTGTCTTCAGGAGACCCGGCAATAAGGATGTCCGAACGACCTGGTACTCCGCTGTCTTGGGGTTTGCGAGCTTGACTGCAGTCTCTCCGTCGTCTTTCCGATTTAGCCAGCCGAAGTTCTCGTCGTGTGAACAGAGAATGAGAGGCATAACTTCACTCCAGCCCGCCATGGCTGCTTCCATTCTGACAATGTCACCGAGCTTGTTGATCATTAGAGGCTGGGCGATGGTAGAAGCTTTATTTGGCGATGTTCGGGGTAAGCTGTTGAATCCGTAGGCGATTGCTACGTCTTCCATGATATCGCACTGATGGAGGACATCAGCACGTGTTGGTGGTACCAAGACTTCGATTATCTTCTCGTCTTCCGAGGATGGTTTGGCAGTGTAGCACATTTTAGTGAGCCAGTCGCATATTTGTTGTGGTTTGGCTTCAAGTCCGCAGCAGCTGTTAACATAGTCGACTTCTACTTCAGCTAAACGCGGCTTTAGGTCAGGTGTTTGTCTGGTTTCCTGGTTGTGCTCGGAGATGATCTCGACAGGCTCGATTGTGAAGGGTTCAGCACAGTATTGAGAGAACATAGAGACCATGATGTTATTAACAATCTCGAGCTTTGTTCGATCCGTAGCTGTGATTTCCATGAAGACATTCTTGGTTTTCAGAGTAATCTTGGAATGGTTGCCGTTGATGATAGGGGGCAGGGAGCAGACAGTCTTCTGCGAGTCGAAGATGACTGGGTACACCGGGCTATCCCGAATGATATGAAGATACTTTCCAAGATGCTTATCATTCTCGTAGAACTGCATCAGCTCTTCTCCGTTCATCCTCTTAGTCTGGTTCAAGGGTATGAAGTTGATTTCCTTTGGTGGCAGAGCTTCGTAGGTGAACGGCCCTTTAAGTGTGTCCAAATCATGGGTACCAATTGAAACCAACGTCCGTTGCCTAGCAAGGTTTTGATGAAGCTTATCTTGAAGAGCTATGAAGGAGTCGTATGCCTCTTGCGTGAACGTGATATTCCGGAGAATGGCTCCTGACACGTATGGCCGTACTTTCATCGTCTCAGGGTGGATCGTAATCGTTTGTAACTTCCCGCTCTTTGGTGCAACCAGTCTATAATTTGGCAGAGGCGTCTTCTCTCTGAAAATATTGAGCATCAGAGCAATACCCTCGAAGCAGAGCATGTCATATCGGTTGGCAGGAATCTCAATCTTGAGTTGCGGCGCCTCCTGCTTGCCATTGACGATCGGTCGTTCGGAGTTGGAGGTATCTTCGTCAAGTTCGATGCCAAATTCGAAGCACAGTGTCTCGAACTCTTCGGTGGTGTATCTATCTAGAAGTCAGAGCTGTGCTGGTCTGGGTAACTCGAGACTCACTCTTGCCCGAGAGCTTTGTAGAGCTCAGCCTTGTCTACGTTGATCGTAGGCATTTTTCTCAGTCGCGGGGGCTCTGCCACCTACGCAGCAGCTACTTAGAGTGATCTCGAGCTCGAATTATCCTTAGATTTGTGTCGTGGAAGGTTGGCGCAAAGGACAGTATGACTCGGTTTTGGTTTCCGAAAAATTATTTGGAGTCACGGCAAAAGCGAGGCCAGCGTAGACTACTGGTGGGATAGCACATACAAACGGCTCGAGAAGTGGGAGGATATTTCGAATAAATATAGAGCAGATTTCAGAGAACTATCTAGTGATTGAATTCTATTCTTTAGGCTTTTCAAACCGAAATGCTGTTTTCGAACCCCAAATCTTCGTGTTTTCGAATGCCGGTGGCCCCCCCCCTGTTGGCTTGAACTCTGCTAGACCAAATTTGGAACCTTCATTCGTTCACACAGGATGAAGCATTTCTTGAATAACCACTCTTAATTTCCTCATCAACGAACTCTCCTGGTCCGCATCCGCCTGCACCTCTCTCCAGCTCTGCTCCTCAACCATATCTTGCTGTGCAGGTACGTCCAATTGAAGCCATCGCGCCCGTGCCGCCAACAGCCAGGCCAGCCTTCTTTACCCAACTCCGTCATTGCTCAACTCTATCCCCCCACCAACTCTCAACCTTGACGAGCTCCCTCACACGCCTCCATACCCTTGCTAACGGCTCGCGAAACTAGACCTCACGAATTCACGCTGTCCATATCACCCAACCGTGCTTCATCGGCCAGGAAAACCTACTGCAGGCAAGGCAGGCCAACACGCGATCACCCTTCTGCATATACCCAGAAAGTAAACAGGTCCAAGGCTGGCTGAGTTGACCTTCCCGCGAGGCTCTTTCAAACCTTCAAGACCCTTCGAATACCTTCACAATGTCTGACGGCGCGGATAAGACGGACGAGCTCTACCCAATAGCCGTGCTAATTGATGAATTAAAGGTACTGTTGCCTCCAACAACCACTTTGGCCGCAACCTGAGTTCAGCCGAGCAGGAGCTTACTTGATATGTAGCATGACGATGTTCTCTTACGATTAAATGCTATACACCGTCTGTCAACGATTGCACTCGCGCTGGGAGCTGAGCGGACCAGAGATGAATTGATTCCCTTCTTAGATGGTAAGCTCAACTCGCAGGAGCCGGTTTCCTTGTAGCTGCTAATGGCCGTCGACAGAATCCGTGGAAGACGAAGATGAGGTCCTTACTGCTCTCAGCGAAGAGCTTGGTAACTTTGTTGAGTATGTTGGGGGTCCCGAATATGGCCATGTTCTTTTGTCTCCGCTCGAGAATCTGGCTGCTATCGAGGAACTCTTGGTGCGAGAGAAGGTAAGCTTGGTCTCGATACACAGTTCTAAATCCTTTCGCTCATATTCCTCAAGGCAGTGGAATCTTTGAACAAAATCTGCGAAGAGCTCTCTCCACAACAAGTCGAAGAATACTTCATTCCCCTCACGATCCGACTCTCGAAGGCAGACTGGTTCACATCGAAAGTTTCAGCGACAGGTCTCTACAATGTCCCATATAAGAAAGCTTCACCCCCTATGCAAGAACAACTCCGACAACAATTTGGACTTCTTGTTCATGACGAAACGCCGATGGTCCGGAGACAGGCCGCAAATAATCTAGCCAAGTTCGTAAAGGAGATGCCTGCTACAATCGTCGTCGAGGAAATGATACCCCTTTTCCAACATCTTGCCGGCGATGACCAGGATAGTGTGCGGTTACTGACAGTAGAGATATTGATCGCCATTGCCGAAGTTGTGCCAAAAGAGCAACAGTCGAGTCATGGTGTCCTTCTTACGGCATTGAGAAGTCTGATTGAAGACAAGAGCTGGCGTGTCAGATACATGGTTGCCGACAGGTTTGAGAAGGTTTGCATGATATGCATAACGAAACGTATTTTGCTAACTTTCTGCAGATCGCTAAGGCAGTAGATGATGAAGTTGTAACAAGAGATCTTGTTCCGGCTTTCGTGAAACTTCTCAAAGACAGCGAGGCGGAGGTCCGGACAGCTATTGCGGGTCAAATTCCAGGCTTCTGCAAACTCGTCGATAGGACGACCCTCCTTAACGATATCATGACTACAGTAGAGGACTTGGTCTCTGACACCTCTCAACATGTTCGAGCTGCTCTCGGTACTCAGATCAGCGGATTAGCCCCTATTCTTGGCAAGCAAGAGTACGTATCTCTGTTATTCGCGGCTTATCTCTACTTACCATTAATAGGACCATTGACCACCTTCTTCCCATGTTCCTCCAAATGCTCAAGGATGAATTTCCCGACGTTCGGCTTCATATCATTTCAAAGCTGGAGCTAGTAAACCAAGGTATATAAATTCCGCAATACACATCATGAACACAGCTAACCTGATAGTCATTGGTATCGACCTTCTCTCGCAATCCCTTCTTCCTGCCATTGTTCAACTTGCAGAAGACAAGCAATGGCGTGTTCGATTAGCCATAATCGAATACATCCCTCTCTTGGCAAGCCAACTAGGCGTCAAGTTCTTCGACGAAAAACTATCTGCACTCTGCATGGGGTGGTTGGGAGACACGGTTTTCTCCATTCGTGAAGCGGCAACACATAACCTCAAGAAGCTTACAGAAGTCTTCGGGGTCGAATGGGCCAACGAGGCTATTATTCCAAAGGTCATGGCGATGGGAGCGCATCCGAATTACCTTTACCGAATGACCACTTGCTTTGCGATCACTGTAAGTAGCCCTACAATTTGCTACGTGGTTTTACGCTAAATTCTCTAGACCCTTGCACCAGTCGTCAGTTTGGATGTTGTTTCAAAGTCAATTCTTCCCATGATGGACAAGCTTGTTGCTGATGATATCCCGAATATCCGATTCAACGTCGCCAAATCATATTCTGAGCTCATCACGGTCCTGAAACGCCTTCCAGATGAAGGCACCATCTACTCACTTGAGAAGTCCGGAAGCTCCGCACCACCCTCAGCGAGAGGTCAAGTTCTCATTCAAGAGAGGATTCTGCCAAACTTGGAGAAGCTGCAGAAGGATGATGATGTTGACGTTCGGTTCTTTGCTACTACAGCAGCTTCTTCGATCTCAGGCGAACCGATGAATACATCACCATAGATGAGATAATTAAAGAAAGCAATTCGATGGGGAAAATGCATACAATTGGGTTGTGCCTGATTGATGGCCTTGCTGTTTGTCGTTCTAGACCGGGAGCAGAATACCAGCAGAGCCCTTTATTTGTTTTGAAGATCGCCTCCTTGCGTATATCATGCGTGAAATGGAAATGGAAAATGGAAAATTGCCCGGAAGTTCCAATAACTTCCCCTTTCATATGCACGTGACCATTATTCACCGCTCGTGAAATCGGTAAGAGGGGCATTTTCTGCCAATTCCTTGCGACTTCCAATGTTTGTGGCTGACCTGTGGGCGGTACGTATCCTCGCGCCTCCAGGAGCAATTGGTCTTCTCCAGCGGAGCTGCCACCCTTCATTCACCACCAAAAAATGGCCACCAACTCATCTCCCAAACCAACTCATCTCGAGCCCTCACCTCTCGGCACAAAAGAGTAGTATGTACAACCCCTCACTCTCCGTACCATGTTCTCGAGTTAACCCTGAACCTGCAAAATAGCTGGGACAACCTCTACACGGCAGAAATCACAAATCACTCCCTCGACCCCTCGGACGAAGGGACAATCTGGTTCGACGACTCGGCAGCCGAAGACAAGATCCTTGCCTTTCTGGGGGAGAAGATAGTTAATGAGGGCATACTGGGGGGTTGGGTGACAAGGGAGAATTGCACTTTCTTGGATTTGGGGACGGGGAATGGTCATTTCCTGTTTAGATTGAGGGAGGGCGATGATGAAGTAGTGGATGAAGAGGAAGGGCAGGGTGGGTGGGGAGGGAGGATGCTGGGTGTCGATTATTCGAAAAAGAGCGTTGAGTTTGCGAGGAGGATTGCAGGTGATAAGGGAGTTGGGATAGGAAGTGGAGAGATGGAGGTCGAATTTAAGTGGTGGGATGTTATGAGCCAGGATCCGGTGGCGGCCGTGCTTGAGGGGAGAAATGAGCGGGGGTGGGATGTGGTGCTTGATAAGGGGACTTTTGATGCAATTAGTTTATCTGAGGAGAAGGATGCGAATGGGAGGAGGATTTGCGAAGGGTACAAGGAGAGAGTTGTGCCGCTTATTAGAGAGGGAGGGATTTTGTTTGTTACGAGCTGCAATTGGACGGAGGAAGAACTGGTTACTTGGTTTCAGGGGGGAGAGCTGGAGTATGTGGACACCATCAAGTACAAGAGCTTTAGTTTCGGGGGAAGGAAGGGTCAGACGATAAGTAGTGTCTGTTTTAGAAAACATGGTCTCCGATAACCTTTTTCTTCAGAGCCGTTCCCGTGAACTGTTTCCGAGTGAAGAGGCAGTCACACTTATAGGTCGATATTTGGAGAGTCTGAGATCAGATATGCCAGAAATAGGCAGAGGCAGTATTGCTGCCAATCTCTGTTTTGCGCGTCTAAGCGTCCGACCCAGCAAGACCTATCGTACCGCTGATTGCTCGACGCTGCTACTCCAAGCAGCTAAAGGATTAGGGGCTTTCGGGAAACTGCAGGTGCCAGCACACCAGAAGCCGTCAAGCTCTTGCTTGAGCGTTGTGCGGATCCGTGCGTAAAAGGCAAGGGAATAGGCCGGGAGGGGTCGCTAGTTAAAGTCGTTAGATATCATGGGTTTGAAGGATCAACTTGTCGAATATCTTAGCTCCAAAGCGAATGCACACCTTACTGTGGAAGAAACGGTCTGGGATGAGAATTCAAATGAGTCAAGCCAAAATGAAGATGTCTAAGCTGCTTGGTATCATTCAATAAGTCTAAAGGATGTCAGACCACTTATGCTTCCATGGAGCAACTGGAAAATGAGTCAATGACAACCCCCCCTTCAATACATCGCCTCAAATCCCTTATCTCAAGGTTGCAATTAAACATCCCTAACATAAAGAGATAGGCTGCAAATGCAAAACAAAGTGTTCTGCTAATTGGAAACGGAAAACTCCTGGTTGCTACTATCGTGGAAGAAAATGAAATCATTTCCAAAAGAGTTGCACCAAGTCCCAATGTGACGATGAGAGCCTCTGGGATCACATCACATAGCTTGTGGGCTGGTAGTTCGCCCATAGTAGTACCCACGCAGCCCAGGAATCGTAAATGTAGGACAAGAGGAAAGAAATCGGGGCTTCAGAATCAAAACCTAGCTGAGAACACCTGTTTCCCACTTGCCTTTCTCTCAAATGGAGACGCCAAGGAGTCTCCATCCTCAGAGGATTTGTGTACAGCCATTCCCAAACACAAAGTACAATTGTGATTCTGATAAGAGATATGTATATTCCACCAAGGGCATATTTCAGATTGTTGGCATCAAGATATGCAAGGAGCGACGAATTGCCTTCATCGAGTGGTAATGCTAATCCAGGGCCAATAGTTAGATCTGGAGTGGAAAGGTAGGGATCCATTGGGAGGTCGAAATAAAAGCGCTCGAACCATTTCGACAAATATCGCATTGTCGTAACGAGTGCCGTGGCCAATGGCTGTGCTAAAACAAGGAGTAGACTCGCAAGCCTGCTCATCCGTTTAAGTCATGAGGTCCAGGTATGGGTTCTGGAAACCCATTGGAAGGAACAATAGGATCGCTCGAGAAGCCCAATATATTTCTCTTCCCTCCTATCAGAGTCACCGTCAGCAACTGTATTCTCGCATGTAGCATTCATCCCGAGCATAGCAGAAGTTAAGTAGGATAGATGACCAGGAGCATCACCTGGCCACGGTTCCATAACTGCGACTCTCAGACAGAGAAGAAACTAATATGTGAAGCTGATGATTTGGAGTAAGGGGTTACCGATGAACAACAGAACTAACAATATTTGTGTCCATCCTGACTGCCTCTTGAGTGTAGTGAGATGGCCAGTCTCCTCTTGCTCTTACTCCCTTCACCAACCGCGGCTTTCCATGATTCCATCAGGTGCATCTCAAATGCCAAGCGTTGTTCTTTGAATAACAAGCCCTTGGGGCCTCGAGAACAGAGAGGTCCCCCACGAGCTGGTAATCTAAACAAATCAAGGCCAAGACGCTAGAGAACTTCCAAAAACTCGTTCCTTGAGCCACGAAGATGGGAATCTGCAAGCCCAGAAAACTCACTGGGAGTTTGAACCGGAGAGTTCGTGCTTGGTAAACAGTCATTTTGAGATTTTCGAAGGTGGTCCATCTCTTGATTGAGTTCAGTCATTCTTCTCTCGCATCCTTTGGTCAGTTCGCGATCAGGGCACCGGTCCCTCGTATACCCCTGAAAAGCCTTTGCAACACTTAACAGGGCCGCTTCCACTCGGCCTTGGAAATAGTATGACCGGCTGAGAACCACAGCAGACAGGCAGGCCGTTACATGTTCCGAGTCATAAACGTCTTCACATATCTTTAAGACCTCCATTGTGAGTTCCTCGGCTTCCGTGAATCTGCCTTGTAGGTTGAAAATTTCGGTCAGATTTGCTTCCATATCCAAGTTCTGGGCACAAAATCAAGTCAGCATTGGCTAGATGCATATGGCTCTGGGAGAACAAGACATTCTCCTGGGAAGAAAAGCATGAGGCTATTACGGGAGCAGCAACGGGCTAATATAGCTCACGATGCGATGCTTCATCCCTAGCACCTTCGTACACCTTTTTATTGTTTCTCGAAGTAATTCTTCACTCTCAAAAATTCTTCCAAGATCTCTCAGCGCCAGTGCGAGGCTTCTTTCCGTAACCAAAGTCTGATCATATTCTGAGCCGAAGAACTGCTGTTGAGCTTCGTGGACTTCTCTTCAGACTTGCTCTGCCTTGTGACGATCTCCTTGAATTCTGTATAGATCCCCCAAAGTTGCGCGGGCTTGCCAGTAAGTGGTAACATTTGCACTCAAAGACGACGTTTGACAAGAACCAACAAAGCGGTCTCCACTTCATGGCATTGACCTTACGTTTTCAGTACTTCTGCAAGTTGCGTCTTGCACCTGAGCAAATTAAGATTATTTACAGAGAGAACTGCCCTATCAGTTCCTATCACTTCACGAAGCATCTGTTTGGCGGTTGTTGGGTGCCCGCAATGAAGAGGCAGGATGCAGAGCTGATTTTTAATTCAAAGAAACCTCTGGTCAGATGGATAGAAAATCTGGGAAGCCCTCGAATACGCCTTACGGAAGAGTTTCTCTGCCGTCGGCAATTGATCTTGTTGAACAAAACAATGCGCGAGTCCGCAGGATGAGGAAAGCCGTGCTTGGATCGGAGGTCATTCAAACGTTGGGTAAGCTTCAGCTCTTCCGTTTGTTTGTATCGTTTCTTCTGAATGTTCTGTATTGGATGGGACACTGCCGAAGCAGCATTTTGCCTGGCTATGGTTTTCGCCCAGCACTCCGAGTTGGGAGACTATTTGAAACTCGTGAGAGGCTGCAAGAGCGTAGTTTGGGGTCGGGCTTTGCCATTTGAAAACCTCCTCTTGCAGATTTTCACTGAGAGCATCTGTATTGAAAGCATTCGAGGCACGACTGTGGCCAAAGATTGGTGGCAGAGAAATGTATGACGGAAGGGTATTTCCTTCGATTGCAGCATTTGCACCACCAAGGCAGGTGGTTTTCCATTGATACGATGAGGGAGAACGAATATCTTGAATTGTGTCATAGCTGATGTCCGAAGGAGTTGATGGGGAAGCTGCGATAATATCAATTGAGGTCAGTGTAGGCATGTTGGCCTCTACTTACGTGAGGGTACACTAAAGTCCGGATGGTCATTCAAGTGCACCATTCCACACCCCTTCTGCCACCGTTCAAACTTCCATGGGTCCACTGGCTGGCCTCTCACACGAAATGCTGTGTCCTTGCCAATTGCCGCTCGCTGCTGTATCTTTCGGGCCACGATCTTCATCTCATCCCCTTTTACCTTTTTCTCCGATTTCTAATCTTTAATCTTCCGTTTCAGTTGTCTCCCACTAGACACGATCAGCGCCTGCTTCAATCATCGCCATCGTGGATGGGGTCGCCCCACTTGACGACAAAATCTCGCTCCTCCTTTAGGACAGCCGCAATAGCTTTTAGGTTCATTCCTTTTAATGTATACATGCCCTCAATAATGGGTCGATTCTGATCCCATTCTTCTTTCTTGTACCGTACTGTCTCAACGCGCTTAGGAGGAGGTAACATCGACGAGGCTGGAGCATCTTGGTGATCCATTTGGCCCAATCTTCCCAGCTAATTGTATCGGCCTCAGGGCAATGAAGATTTGAAGTCTGAGAGGAACAGAGGGATGAGCGAGAGTGCGAAGAGAGCCACGCCGGGATTTGAACGTGAAGTAGTTGAGGACGGTCATCATGCTTGCTCTTCCCTTTCTGGCACATTTTCGTGGGGTAAACAAGTGGATTGGATTCGGGGTTCCACCGAAGTTGTGCAGCATGCACAGCAAGGATGAGAAACCCCACGCTAACAAAAGGACCCTTTTGAGACAGGGGAGATGCCATGGCACAACGCCACCCGGGCCACTGCTGATCAGACATTACAAAAGTACCAAAAAACAGCCAACATCAAAACGGGATGCACGAGTCCCCGCGAGCCGCTCTCCTGCAACTGCCTTCTAACCCGGGCTCCAGTCAATTGGGAGCGCTGCCTATTCCCAAAATCTCACTCGCCACCCGCCAAAAGTACCATCTTCCCAGGATGGCAAACATGGAGGAGGCAAGGCGAGTGAAGACAAAGTCCTTCGACCAGCTTTCAGACAGACTCATCCTTTTTGCAAAAGGACCATAATCCAAAAGTACCATCTCCCCTCATACAGCTGATTCCTTGAGGCTCAATTGCTGTCTATAAGATCGTGACATGCCCTTCGTTCACCATGGATCTCGAGACTCAAGTCGCCAGCCTAGTTTCGTTCACGTGACAGGATACAGTCTGGATGTATAGGCCTTCACTGTTGTAAGTCTAATAACCGTGGGATGACATAGCGCTAATGGGAAAAGGATTACCAGCTCAATCTTTCGTCGCCCGATAGACTCGACGCCAAAATGGCATCTCTTCCCTCAACAAAGGACAAGAGTTCCAGCCAGAGCCCCCGAAATACTCAAAAGTATTCAGGCACTTCAGATGCTCACAATGCCTTTCCAGTTCAAACTCGCACCAAGAAGGTAGGCTCACGTTCTCAGCTTCATTTCTTCAGCTACAACTTTGTTGTGTTGTAGGATACTCAAGATCTCAACCCGCATACCGCCGTCAAAGTGAGAAGAAAATGGCCGACTTGGCCTGATCTCGACTCTCTGGCACAGAAGGCTGCCGATGTCAACAATCCTATACGCCAGAGCCCGAGGGGCTACCTGGCTCCAATGGAGCGTTGGAGAATGGAGACCCAGCAGCAAAGCCCTTGGAATAGTGTAGCTGCGGTCAATGTAAGCAATGCCAGGCGTCCTTCGGATTTGGGGGAAAGTCCCAAAGATGGTAGCCAGGGCGGAAATACTGACAATGGGACCTGGTGGCCGTAAGGGGCAGAAAGAACTGTTTGGATCAAGACGAATTGGGAGAATGGAGTTGGACTTTTGTCCACAGTACGAAGATTCTTTTTGCTCTAGGTGTAATGCTATCTCTCCTATTCGTTCATTTTGGGAACTACTGGGTATTCGGATCATCTGAGCTCTGCTGAGGTGCTTCGTGTCCTCTCGCAAATCGGTTTGTAAAGTGCAATCGATTCCCATACCTCGGCCGCCTCCATACTGTGACGGGCCGCGGTGCTTCCTCTACAGACGCCTGTGCTGCATAGGCTGTTAATTTCTTAATCATGAGCTTTAGATCAAACAAGATACTAACCCTCTAGAGCATGGCGGTCGTGGATAGACGTATCCCAACGAGAAGGTCTGCACCAGCATTGGTAGACAGGCTGTTTGTCCGGCCCAACTCGTACTCTGAAGACTTCTCCGTAAAGCGTGTCGGCATCGTCTTCTGCTTCCCATACCTTAATGGTGGATAAAGGCCATTCTGGAGAGTCCTTTCTGATGTATTCCAATCCTTTGTCAATATTCTTTGATACGTGACTAGCAGGACTAAATCGGGGAAGGGCTGGTTTGGGGTTATCCCAAAATTTTCGTTCCATTTCTCCTCCCAGACAGATGATCAATTGCTCTAAGTTCGGGATAGCCTTGGCAATTGCTGACATAGCAATGAAGGGGGTCGGGTTGATGCTTCTTTGATCTATGAGCCAGAAGCAGTCTGGTACAGCGAGATTCTTAAGGACCTTCAGCTGGAAGTAGCACGAGACTTTGAGGACGTCGAGTTGATATGTCTGGAATTGCTTGGGTAGAACGACAATATCACATATCGGGTCCCACATGACAATCTTGGATCTCTCTACTCGATCATAGAGATACCACCGGAAATTCCACGGCCTATAGCGTTGTAGGGCGATGAACCGTGATTCGTGGCATACTTGCAGAGCGGTGGGCGATTTGGGATCATCGTATGGCTTAAATGCGTAGACCGGTATGTTGGAAGATGGTCTACGACCTTCGACGAATCTGAGGAGGATATATTGAGGTTCACAAGTGGCTTCCCAGACCAGCATACGGATCTCCTTCGGCAGTCGAGTGAAGGGAAATGCGGGAGCAACGTCATTTGAATTTGAATCCATCTGGTAGACTCCGTACAATTTTTTTTTGGAAATGAAGACGAGTGTACGGTCTTTTTGCAAATGATGTGTGGTTATGATGAAAAGAAGGGTCGAATCATCATTGATATATCTCCGTGCACGGTCCTCTCGCCCAGGCTTGGCTTAAAAGGGGAGTGGTTCTGCTTATCGGTGGTCACGTGCCATCCGATAAGCGGCCAGGCATCAGTCGTCATTGATGCATACATTGACTTCCATCGATTGGACGTGGCAGGCATCCAGATAGAAATACACCCAAAGTACATTTACCCTCTCCATATGCCCTTGACCAAGGGCCGCCCATTCCAAACACTCCCCGAGGCTAGCCCAACCACGCCTTCACGACCATGGAGGAGAGTTGCTGCACATGTGCAACGCTCCTTAAGAACATATTATTACAATACGACGAAAAGAGTGAGAAACCGAAGGCCCTTGACCGGCGATTAGACTGCTGCGGTAGAGTTATTTGCGGGAATTGTATAGCTAACAACCGTCGATTTGCTACATACTGTACGAACTTTTTGTTTCCGAAACATCCACCGCCACTGACAGAAAACAGGTCCATTCTGTCAAGTTTCTACAACGCCGGCTCCTTTACCTCAAGGCCTCCGAGATCCGCCTTCTTATACCCCCCCATCTTCTTCGAAACTGTCACCTCCCTTTCAAGATCCGCCAGCATATTCCGACGAGCTGCCTTCGTACTCGTCCCTCACGAGCACACAGACCCCATCACCAGAGAAAGGTTCGAGTTTACAATCAGAAGACGTCCTGCACTTTTTAGACCACGAGCACGATAATCTCACCTCTCTATCTCTGCGGTATGGGGTGCCTATTGCAGCTTTAAGAAGGGCAAACAACATTACATCGGATCATTTACTGCTTGCTCGGCGAACGATCCTTATACCCGGAGAGTTTTATAAAGCAGGAGTTAGTTTAAGTCCACGCCCTATTGAAGGTGAAGAGGAAGAGAGGAGGAAAGTAACTGTAAGGAGATGGATGGTCGCATGTAAAGTCTCGGAGTATGCGTCTCCCCTTAATTTTCCAAACCAAGAGAGAGAATCGTGGCTAACGACCTAGCTTTTCGCCGGAATATAGATACGATGTGGCGTTATTATATTTAAAGGAGGTCGACTACGACCTTGAGGCTGCTATCGAAGCCTACAAAGATGATGAGAGATGGGAGAAGGAACATCCAATAGAAGCCAACGTGAAAGGGAAAGCGAAGACGAGGAACGATGCAGGTAAAAGAAGGTTCACCGAACAAAGACCATGATGATGCATCACCACAAACCAAGATAGATAGACATTTACTCTCGCGAGTTTCTATTTTTGTTATCATTAGTCTTGAAGACTGATCATGATTGCTTGATAGGTGCAATAGGCACCATGTAATTTACACATACACAACATCCAATCATCTCCATACGCCATTTAATATGCAGACCGAGTCCGAATATCCTGCAAGATTGTTAGCATGCAGCACTAGATGGGGTTACTGGAGGCAATTACAGAAATTTTTCGCTCAATCTCTCTCACTGACCGATCCAGCTCGCCTGCAATCATCTGTTTCTTATCTGTAGGTAAGAGGGTATATCTTTCGCACAAGTCACCATCAATGATCCCTTTTACGGGGACATAATAGCTTCGATAGATCAAGTGATCTCTGCCAGCTAATGGAGCATCTTCTGACCGAAGATGTTGTTCAAGAGTCTGGAAGAAATCGACATCCTCACGGCCGACGAAAGGAATGAGGATGCCAAGAGTACCTTGCAAACCAGCCCATAAAAGGCAGTCACGACCGCCAGCAACCAGGTTTGTCTTTTGGATAGCCATCGGGATGTCTTGAGGGAAGAAGTGCGCCATCAGGTTCAATCGATGCGGAGCGCCTTGGAGATATGAACGTTCGTGGACCAGATGTTGGCCAGCACCTTCTTCGTCTGCCTCTTCACTTGCCTTGGGGGGACAACGAAGAAGCCAGAGGTTGCCAAACTTATCGCCACCTGCAACCGTTTCATAATCAACCATAGTTGTGCAAGAAGTCCAACGAGCCACAGTATCATCCACAAACGGAATAAGCTTGTTCTCCTGGAATTTGTACACGATCATGAAAATGCTCTGTTGCACATCACTGACAACGATCCGGCTTCCTTGGGTTTGAAGTCCGACAATCAAGTTGGGTACAACCTCCGCTTGAGCTTTTCGGAGAAGTTGTCGCATACCGAGATCGTAAATTCGCAAGTCCTTTCCGACTCCTGCCAAAAGTCTTCCTTGGAATCCTAGAAGGGCCATTGGTGGTTCTTCGACTTTGGTTTTATGAATGAACTCGATTTCTTTGCCATTTTCATGGAACCGGTAAACGTGGATGAACCCAGCTGTTGATGTCCTCGGACTCACAACCATGTCTTTGCCTGTACCGATAACCAGGAAGACCTCGTCATCCTGGCTTGCAAATGACACTGTTGCTATGCTGACTGCTGCTTCGTTATCTTCGAGGTCAATCTTTTGAAGAACACACTTCTCAGTGACGGGGTCAAGGACGGAGATGCATGATGCCCAGTGACCTCTTCCTCGAGGGTAGCCAAATTCCTCTGCAGGAAGAACCGTTGCATCGCCATTGACAACTGCAGGATCTTCGAGTAATTTTGTCTTGGTCGCAGGAGATAGGATGTTATTGTCTGATTCGATAGTGTAGAAGTATGGGTGCTCGGGATGCTTGACAAAATGACGAGGGGTGTATGTGAGGGGAATCGATTCTTGGAGAAGATTATCGGTCAACTTCTCGATGGAAAAGATCCTGTTGAGTGTTAGCAAAGGCGCCCTCTGACGGTGCCCACGAGATATGCAAGAAGACAAGATACATCAGAAGGAACAATTGGATTTATAATATTAAATCCTCAGGGTCACGATGGACATAGGACAGTTTAACGATAAGAAAATCATCACAGTATCAACTAGGAAAATGCAAGACTGTTTAAGCGTACCTGAGATTCTGTCCTTGGATACCTACCATTCCTTCCGTACACTGCTCGCTGCTGAAGTTCCAGCCCCATTCAAGGCCAGGATAGTTCAACGGTGTAAGCATAAAACCTTTCGTGACAGGATCCGAATAACCAAGCCAAGGCCTCGAACTCAAAGCGAGCACAGCAGTTTGTCCCTGAACAGATACTCGGAAAAGTTTCGCAGGTTTCGGCCCAAGGAAGCGTGTCCGCGTATCAGAAAGTTCTCCTGTGACCTCATCCAAAACAGTTCGCAGATACACCCCAGAATATAGTCCAATATGAAGATAAAGAGTGGAGCCTCCTGAGGAAGAATCGGCCATGGCCATAATCGAGAGGGATGAGGGAGGTGATGTCAAGGCCTGGACTGACTTGTTTTCCAGAGTTGAATCCGGGTCGAGACTTAGAATACGAACGGTTGAGTCATCGCAACCAACAGCCAAAAATTGACTTCGGACTCGACCTTCAGGGACCTCACCTAAACTCAAGCATGTTACCGTTCCACTCATTTCTCTCTTCTCGTCGTATTCAGCAAGTGACCCATCGGAATCCATCTCAAAGTACACAATTTCGCCAGAGCTCAAGGCAACTGCAACTTGTCTCTCGTTTGTCGTTGCTGCAACAATAGAGCGATGTTGTGGAGCAGACCATTCATTGACACGCCTATCTGCACGAATGTGCCGAATGCCTTTTGGGTGGACCTGGATCAAGCCATCTTCACCAAGCTGTTGTACTGCTAAGGTAGAGGCAGTGGATAAGAACCCAGTATCAGTGACTTCTTCGACAGTTTCGCCAATGCTAAGCACAAGCGTTCCATTCGAGAAAGACAGAATGATGTACGCATCAAAAGTGTCATTTCGCGTAAGCTTTGTGGTCCAAACCGCAGATGGCACTCCAGGTAGCTCTGACTCCACAATTTCGCTGACATCTAAACCATGCTTCAAAGTTCTAAAGGTGCTACGAGCCCCGGTTCCGCATATCGAGTATATTTGTGGTGCATCTTCTTCGGTGAGGTTGGCTACTTTGCAGTCCATCAACGGATTCATTGAATCAATACTCTCGACCAGACTCAAGTTCTCCGCAGGGCGAGGATGAAAGTAAACCGGAGTATAAGGTTCCTTAGGGTCCACTGGAAAATTGTCGCTGATGAATTCGATTTCCTCGTCGTCGTCACCGAGCTTCTCGAACTGGTAAAATTGATGATTTCCGAATTCACTGGCAACAAATAGGAAACCACTTTTCAAGATGCAGAGACTGGTCGCAATGGGAACCGTGTCAAAATACTTGATCTTGAGGCGTTTGACTTCACCAGTTGGCTGGCCGTCGTCATCTTCGACCATTTCGATGGTAACCTTGAACAGGTCTCCATCTTCGGACTGCAGTAGGAAGAAGAATGCTCCAGCTGCGCCCTTGAGTTTGTGCATGACTCCGGCCACAATCGTCCTCTTCCGCTGCGGATCCTCTGTAGCGCCACGCCGCCTGGGTATAGCTACACGGAAAGCTTCCTGATTTGAATGTCGATATGTGATGTTGTCTTCGCCACAAACCAACACTCCACTGGGTCCATCGGTCCCTCCGGGAACTTGGAAAAGGATAGTAGCAGTTCGATCTACCGTATCCGTCCATTTTCGTACAACGTGGTTCAACCCGAGGTCCAACTCATAATAGACCAGACTCTTCTCGATTTCTTCGTAAGCCTGTCCAGTCGGATCCTGATCCGAATCTCCATAGTCGACCTCCAGAGCTGCAAAGACTGGATTTGCGTATCCCACGTCCAAAGCAACCAGTGCAAACACCAAAGTTTGGGGTTTATGCGCCTCGAGTGGTGAAGAGATTGTGAGCTCAGCCTGAGCATTGCGGTTCAAGACATACACAAGTTTATTCTTCTCCACTGACGAGATCAAACAAGCTCTTCCTTTCGGGTCCACCGCTAAGTATTGGCCTGGAATAACTCTTCGCACCCCGGATTTCCCAAAGGTCTCCAAATGCAATCGGTTGAATTTGTTCTGCGCAGGAACAAACTCGACGATGGTAATTCGGCCCGAGTCGGATGTGATGATAATGTAATCTATAAAACAGTTTTAGTAAAGTTCTTGAAAATAGTCCGAACTGTCCACACCCCTCGCTGCCGGGACGATTCATGATAGTATATCTCGAGCTGCCATCCATGCTTCAAATCACTAAGTGAAGCTCAATAAGACAAGACTGAATGACTCACCCTTATTGCTTCCAGCCAACCTAAATGCTGCTATGGCCCTGATAATCCCGAAAACATCGTGTGAGAGGGCTGTTACGATCTTCCCTTGAGAAGGATCTGGTCGGTGGAGGGTCAGACGAGAGCCTGAAGCAGTGACAATCTGCTGCTCCTTTGTTCCTGCAAATTGTCCGAGGATAGCTTGAGTAATGGCGGTTGGTGGCTGTACCGTCAGGCTGTACATGAACATGGATGAGGTTGTAGCCATGGCGTCGCAGAAGCGCAGAGAGCCTGCGCAGCTGCTTCGGGTGGAGGAGAGCAATAGGGACAATATGAAAGGTGTTTGGATGTGAATAGAGCTGACAAGGCAGCTTGTCGCAGCTCAAATCACATCGAGGCTGATGTGCAAATACCTCTAGCCTTGACAAAAATTAAGGTGAGCCCAAGGCGCTTGCCTACTCCGGGACTTAGCGTAGAAATTTAGTGGAGCTCGAACGGCTTCCCCTTCAGAGGGCATCCATCTTACAAGAAGCTTCATTTGATTTGAGAATGCGTTCTCCAGCTTCATACACCTGCAAAAGGTGTCTGAACGCACTCAAAACTGTTTTCAAGGTGCGACAACAGCCAATTCCGACAAGACAACCTGCACCAGGAAGAAGAAGCATATCGACTGCACCAGACAAGAGCTCTAGGATTTCTAGCAATGTGCGGACAAAGCAACAAGAACTTCAGAGGCCATTGATCAGACGGAGTGTGTCTTTCTTGGGTCAGCAAGGAGAAACCGTTAAGAATGAACCACCAGAATACCGAAGTCCTGGGGGTTTAGCATCAACTACAGTTCTAGAGACTGAAGGACGACCTCTTCTCCTTCCAAACAACCTCTTTCATCCGTTCTCAAGCTCACCATCACCGGAGATAAGACGAAGAGCTGCATTCATCAAGCAAAATGCCCACTGCCCCCACCCCGACCATCATCAAACCCGATTACCTACAAATCCAGACGACCCTGAAGCACGAAAGTCTGTGCAAGGAAAATTGCCGCCCGTGCACGTCAAATTTGAATGCCCTGATTGTGGAATACCAGTGTCATGTTCTGAAGAGCATTGGGCGGATGACTATGAGGCACATTTGGAAATATGCGATACACTCCGAGAGATCAATGAGGATGACCATGATTTACGGTCAGGCCGCTTTTTCCCTGAATTTGAGTACCCAGGTGATCAAATTGAGGAAGCCATGGTCAATATGACAAATTGGGACACCTTCTTATTCTCCAGAGAATTCCGGGCAATCAACGATGAACGGAGTCTGCGTCAAGCAACAAGACTTTTGACCTACCCAGTAACTATCGGGAGTGTTTTGCACGAATTAAGCCCGTACAGCATTAAGAAAGGTGGACGGTTGACTGTGGAGGGCCTGAAGAGTTTGAGTGGTATGCCCTAAATTGTCCTGGTTATAGTGTCTGGATCTGACACAATTCAGCTTTGCGATATTCCCTTCACCCACCCAAGTCTGGCGGTGGAGCTGATATCAAGGGACTCAGGCCAACCCCACCTCCTATGAGAATATTCATTCTTGGGGCCCGAGCTGAATCATCCCTTCCAAGAGAGGTTTGGGTGCAGCTGACTCACTTGTTCCCAAGAGTTGCTTTCCATCTGATATTCATTGGTCCCGAGAGTATGGCGAATAGAGATTCTGAGTTCCCACTTCCAGCGCGGACACCAGAAAACCCGTTCGGAGCCATAGTGGAAGATCGTTTAACCAATTCTTTGAAGATCAGCACTTTCGTCGAGTATTATCATACGCTGCATAAGGCCGGCCACTTCTACCCATACGATCCTTACTTTGACTGCTTCATGCTCTTTCATCCAGGACTTGGACATCCTGCCAGCTCACATGAATGGGAGGAGACGATTCCACAATTACTTGAGACGAAAGTCCCTATCCTTGTCACAGGATACACTCAATATGATATGGAGAGAGATATAGATTGGGTGAAGAAGACAGTTGGTGGAGAAATGGACCTTCTGATGGAGCCAGGAGAGAACCGTTTCCGAAGCCTCAGGTGGGATTTAAATGACTTGGATCCTCAAGACATTAGCTGCGGAAATTGGGGAATATGGGGGTTTAGAGGCAAGAGGCAAGTTCCCCTCCAGAAATCTATTCCTTGAAGTTACTAATCTTCTCTTAGATATGAAACCATAAGAAAGGATGCTGAGTGACGAAAGCCTTCTTTGTTGGGTATGAGATCTAATGTATGAAGTGTCAGACAAAATCTGACCATGCGACTCTTCCGTCTCCCTTCCACATGTTAATAGTTGTATGATTGTATGATAGACTTCTAGTCACAGCACTGGGTTTAGACCCAGTGCATATATCAGAGCTAGTCATCCACTCTGAAGAGTATCCCATTGCCTAGCCACTGTGAACGCAAGCAATCGATCCAGTATTGGGAATGTTCAAATTTGTGCTTGCGGACAATAAGTCATATCGGCAGCTTGACGCCAGACCACTTTGATACCGGAATTTTCTGTGGTCCTGTGACTTTGCGAGCTTTAGTGCGACTATGATGCAGTGGATATTTCCCAGATTTTTTCAAAACTTCTTTCAATCAACATACAAACTCCACTCACAAAGCAACAGCCCTCGATCTGCACAATATGTACGTGGCGAAGACACCTCTCTCCTTATCGACTACCGAGGTTCGACGATAAGCTCCATCACAAATTCAGATTTCTTGATCTTCTCTTGAAAAAAACAACAATGACTCTCGAGTTCATCTACCTGACCCGTCATGGAGTAAGTCCTCGATCTCGTATACTTCCGTATCCTTAGTCATTACATTATATTCGTAAGGACAATAATTTTAATATAATGATCACAGTTTCGATCTAATTGGGCTATCGACACGAAGACTGGTCAATACTCTACCTCCATTCCGTCACCTACTGGCATCGCCAGCGACCCCGCTCTCGCCGGTAAGTTTTAATATCTCGAAGCATTATTCTCGTCTTCCCAGTTCTTGGGATCTGTCTACTTCCTAGATCCCATATCTTGAGAGTATTGTAGAGCCCCCGCAACACTGACTCAACTTCTCAATTCACGTTCGAGCCAATACTGATCAGATTCTGGGTTTAGGTCATGGCGTCGACCAATCTCACCAGCTCGCTGTTCATTTGAAGACTCTTGATCCTGCCATCCAACGCTTCTACAGCTCTCCATTCTATCGTTGCATTCAAACCATCCTCCCGACCGTAGAAGCTCTCTCCCACGGCGTTTCCGACCCTGAGACTAAGAAGATCCGCGCTGAGAACGGCCTTGGTGAATGGTACGGCTTGGCTCGCTTTGATCACCCCTCCCCCGCTGAGCCTTCACTCTTGAAGAAGTTGTTCCCTCGCTTCGACGAGGGGCACAAGGTTGTGATCAAGCCCAGCACCAACGGTGAGAGCATTGACAACCTCCACAACCGCGTTGCTTATACATTGCATCGGATCATTGAGCAGTGTGATAAGGAGGGCGTCAAGGCGATTGCCATCTGCACTCACGGCGCTACGTTGATTGCCATTGGCAGAGCCTTGGTGGGCCGAATGCCTGAGGATATTACTGAGCAGGACTTCAACCCGTTCACTTGTGGTCTGACGACGTTTGTCCGGAAGTCAAAGGAGAATATGGAGACTGGTGTCAAGCAATGGAAAGGCCCTGAGAGTGAGATTCCGGCGGTTAAGTGGCGAGATGGGATAGGAGTTGGTGGCGGTTGGACCATGACTGTTGACGGCGATTGCAGCTTCTTGACTGATGGAGAGGAGCGGGGATGGTAAGTTTTACGTCCTGATTTGATTCCCAATTCGAGGTAACTTAGTTACAGGCGTTTCTCTGGAGACGAGTCTTTTCTTCCTGCGAAGGATTCTGCGAAGGGCCAGGATGCCGGTGAGTTAGGAGTAGTTGTCGAAGGAGGAAGTCGGCCAGCCAGCCCCGTCTTGTCAAGGATGGCTCCTGGAACTCCCGGCGGCCCCTCGAGCAAAAAGAAGACTCCTCTGAGCCCTCTCAGTCCATCCAAGCTTTAGGACTCGTCAGGACCTCAAGCACATTCACCGACCAACCACCACTGAAGGAGAAATTCCAGTCATTCCGTCTCTGGTAGCTTGAGTTCGACCAAATTTCACTTGCAATCAAACCCAAATCAACGTATTTCCGAGCCTTCCCTTCTTCTAAGCGTTTTGCATACGTCTGCATCAGGTCTTGCTGCACATTCCAGTGCTTTTCATAGATGTAGGATACCCACGGCGAGCAATTTATGATAGAGAGGCATTTTAGAGCCAATGAAGACATTTTCTGAATCCTTCAAATTCCATGCATTTAGAACTGTCTATGTGATCAATTTCACCTCAACGCTGTTTCAAATATGAGGGCCTCGCGGCGCGGTTCATAGACCTAATAACCAGCCGGTTCAGGCTTCTCTGGGAAGGCTGGGACCTCCATGTTTGACAGGCATCCTTGCTTCCAGTGCGAAGGAGTATATTTATCCACAATCGTCTTAAATGCTTCCTGAGGAGTTATTAGTCACCTTATTGAAGGCTCGGAAAGTAGTACTTGCCAGTGTGCAAAAAGACTCGTCGCCATCCAGGTGCTTCCCTGCCGCTTTACACCCTGGAACTGTCACAACCTTGTCATTATAGCGTATCCTAACGTAGTAACCGTCCAGTTTTGCTCGATCCGATTCCTTGAGTGTCTCGACTTTTTGACGAGCAATTCCCACGGGAGCGTTCTTATCACCATTCATGCCGGCCAAGTTGCTGTCGCCAAATATTCTCTTATACCAGCCTTTTCCGACTGCGGCATCTCCAGTTGTCACAGCTTGTGCCGCTTTTTCGATTGTGTCTTTGCCTAACACCTGAGAAGATTGATTTGTTGAATTCTTGAATAACTCAAAAGCAATGTCTAACCAAGAATATTTAATTAGTTTTGCCAAAACGGGTAGGGGGTTGGAAGTTTCAAAAAGGCTTTCTGGTCCGTCTACTCTCATGGCGTATCCAAGTCGTAGAAAATTCGTAATAGTTTCAATGTGGGAAATAGAGCCCCGATCAAGAGGGAACTTACGAGATGTGTAAGGGGGCCAAAGCTCGCCCTGGAACGTTCCTAGACTAGCTAGGACCCCAGCCAGAGTTGTATCGTGACATCCACTGAGGCCAAGCTTGATAGATTGTTCCCCGCCCCTTCCACTTCCCATTGAGCCATCCTTTCCACCAATCTCAAACAATCCGTCGTTGCCATTTCTCTCCACGCTCCCAACCATACGTTCAACTACATCTCCCATCAATGAACCAATGCCCAGAGATCGATATTCTTGGGATTCTTGATAACCACTGTACCATTCTTCCACGCCAATTTTTTCAATTATTTTTCTCCCCTTCTCGTCGTAGAATTCTTTCGGCAGCCTCGTCTCTGGACCATGTGCCAAGGTTGAATTGATAGTATCCATAATTCCGGAAAGTCTTGGATGAGAATCGACAGCAACCTTCTTGCTGGACTCTGGCATCCACTTGCTGAGTAATTTGTTCAAGTACTCCATCTCACTTGTGTTATTCCATCGATCGGCAGTACGCTGAGCAAAAGCCCGGGAAAGTTGAGCGAATCTCCTGCAATTAGAGTCGTTCGGAAAGAGGGTCTCATCCGCTGGGGCTCGCAGTATAATTGAGACGGCTGGGAAGGAACTTGCTCTTGCACTTGAAGGGTACATGCCCCAGAATGCTTGTTGCAGTGATTCAAGAGCTCGCGGGATCGGGGTAGCTCGCAAATAAATCATATCCGCGTCGTTGATGATGGGAGGCATGAAGTGCAATTGATCAACGTAGAGATATCGGAGTCGTCGCCCAAGGTTGTATGTAGTTTCTCTTCCCAAATCAGTCAACTCGCCCAGGTTGCAGATGGAATCGACTTCTCCTTTGGGCCCAGATGCAATAACGGGTCCATCGTCACCGCCAAAGGTCTCGAGACGTCTTCGCCACTGTAGAGGGGCCCATTTCTTCTCACTGGCTTCTCTCGTGGCAGAGACCATCTGCCGGGCAACGGAGCAGTATGGCCAGAAGGCAACAAGACCGGCATTTTGAAAACGGGCGGATACGGGAGAACGTTCGCCATGCCGCAAAAGGACCTGGACGAGCTGGAGTTGCAATCCCGGAGGGTAGAGCTTGTGTAACTCGTCCTCCGAGTAGGGAGGGCGAGGCTGAAGGGTTGTCATTATGCTTTGGAACGCGACTGTCCACAACCTGAATGCGAGTTCGTGTCGAGTTGACCTGGGGAGTGTTGAGATCTTCCCACTGGGGAGGCTTCAGCCCCGTCAGTGGCGCCTGCAGGGTGGATGACAGGGATCTTGCATGGACGACAGGGGGGTCCAAGCTCGTCAAAATCGAAGCTCTCAGAAAACTGCAACCACCCTTCACCAGTTAACCTACTCGATGTCCTCGACCAGAACAGAACAACGAGTGGGATGAATCCCTCTCATATCTGCTTGGCATGCCGTCGAAGACTGGGCGCATTGCGCCCTCCCAGACCTGTCCAATGGCGGCCTCGAGGAACATTCACCTCTCTCAGCAACCATACCCGAACCACGACCGATGAGAAAGCCACAGAGGAGCTCTTGAACCTTGGGGAAGAAGACAGAACTCGAAAGGGCACGCACCCAACAATCATACCAGCGGCGAACATACGCGTGCCGCGCCAGAAGCAAAACAATCGTCCTAACGATGATCTTGAGACGCTTTTCGAGAAGAGTTTACATGCTCCATCTGCCTCCGAAAAGGTGCCTTCCCAGCTGACGACCCCTCTGGAATCCTACAAGAATGCCGAGACGCTGAATGAGATGCTTTGGGGATCTGCTCCTCTCAGAGATTCATGGAATTTTTTCGTCGAGCATTTTGGCCCTGACGTGGAAAAACTTGCCCTAACATCAACACCATCTTATCTGAATAAGACTGCGCAAGAACTATTGGGACGAATCATCCATGCGAAAAAGAGCGATCCACTATCAGAGAGATTACCTAGCGTTACGGAGGTTTCGAGGGTCTATTTACGATTATTAATACTATCTGGTGAGGATTGGAGTGAGATGATGTTTCCTCTGCTCGAGTCTATACTCCGAGTTGAGCAAGCTCCTTCAGCGAATATCAACGAACGCCTCATCGCCGATACGCTCGGTGCCTGGAATGTTGTTTGCCGCCGGCCAGGAACATACCACCACTTTCCGCCTCTGGGTTCGGATTTAAATTGGTCCTATGTGCCTTACGTCTCGTCTGGGGACGCGAACCAAATGTACCGGAAGCGAGGACCACGAGCAGCCTTTGGAATACTTACTCCTTCCTTGAAACTTCGTCATCTGCAAAGAATTCCCATTGTCGCACTTGCGACGTTTACCATCCTCACGAATAATTCTACTGTTTCCAAAACACACCTAGAAAATGCTTCACCTTTCGTTTCCTTATTAAGCCAGATAATCGATACCCCTGGTCTCACTCTCAATCAAGTCTTTGACAGAGATGACTGCCCAACCATTATTGCAGAATCCATCAAAAGCAATTGGGCTGTGATAAAGGAGCGGGCATCTCAAATGTCGGAGACTCTGCCTGAGCCGGAACGGCCAATAAACCGTGGGCAGTCTAGTCCGGACGACGAGTACAGGGTCAGCTTCATCAACAAACGGCTTCAGTACTCATTGAAGAGAGGAAACGTGCGAGAAGTCAACGAACTATGGTCGGACGTAGTGCAGTGGCCTGTGAAGAAGACCGACTTGCCTCAACCCTATAGTCTGAAGCGTGGGACCTTGACGCAGGAACTCTGCCACTTGTTCATCTTGGTCTACATGTCCCTTCGCCAACCGAATATCGCAATCGACGTCTGGAATCATATGTTGAAGTCAGGTCTACAGCCTAACCTTCAAACGTGGGACAATATGCTCTCTGGCTGCAAGGCCTCTCGAGACTGGAAGACTCTCGAAGTTGTGTGGAAAAGAATGCTGGACTCAGGTGCGCAGCCAGATGTCGTCTGCTGGACGACCCGTATCAGCGGACTCATCGAGGGGTTCCAAGTCAACCTTGGAATACGGGCTCTTGACGAGATGGGCCGTATTTGGCTTAGGACAGCGAGAAAGCAACACCCAAAGATGGAATTAGAGCAACTGCAATTGTTGCCCGAGGTCGACGGCGCCGTGAAACCCACAATCGAGACTATCAATGCTGCGGTAGCTGGTCTGTTCAACAAGCATAGTCCCGACGCTGCACATCGTGTTCTAGCCTGGGGTGGCAAGTTTGGCATAGCTCCTAATCTAATAACTTACAACACTTTGTTAAGGCCCCTCATTCGCAATGGTCACGTCAAACAAGCAACGGCACTTCTGCAACAGATGCAAAAAGCGGGTATTCAAGCTGATGTTGCGACCTTCACAACCATATTGGACGAAACTTTCAGATACTCAAAGCATAATACTGCTGAAGAGCAGAAAGCAATAATTGACTCTGTCTTCTCTGAAATGGAAGAGGCTGGGGTAGAGCCGAATTTACACACCTATGGTAAAATTATATACGAACTTCTCCAAAGCTCGCATGGCGATATGTCGGCCGTCAATGCCGTGATGGCACGAATGACTCAGCGGGGATTGGAACCATCTTCACAGATATATACCATGATGGTTGGGCATTACTTTAAACAAAGCCCTGTAAACCTCGATGCTGTTCGAGGCATCATTGAGCGTGTGAATATGGTAGAGGGTAGCACAGACCACAAATTCTGGGATCGGGTCGTTGAAGGTTATGCTCAGGAAGGAGAGACAGCACATGCTCTCAGAATTCTTGGGGATGTGCACCGTGCAAATCAGAAAGTTGGATTTTTGGCCATGCGGATGTTGTTGTTTGCATTGGCGCAGAACCAGGAGTGGGATGCGGCGAGGAATTTGGTGCGGAAAGTATTCCTTGATACTGGTGGCCCCCGGCCGGAAGGAGCACATGTGAGAATAGGAGAGCAATTGTTCTGGCAGCTCGCTACTCAGCTGGTAGATGATTTGGCCAATGTATGATATGCTGACTAGATCGGGGAATGGCATATACATGAAAGTTCAGTTTCAGTACGAGGTGAAAGATAGACATCCGGAAAGTTTAGAACCTTTCGACAAAGAATCGAGAATAGCCGAGGGAAGTCATGAAAAGGGGCTCGCTCGCTTGCAATTGCAGAGTGAGATTTGAAAGCCGAGTCTAGCGTGGCCTTGAGCCAAGAAGTAAGTGTATGAGCTGGAACAATCGGGCATCAAGATGATAGAAATTTGTCTCACAACAATCTTCCGCGCCAAAGACAAAATCGTACGATCCTCATAGCACTTTGGGGCATTCAACATATCCATTTCACATCAATCATTAAAGCAGAGATATCCAGTTTGCTTCCGTCGACCAGTGCAAACCATATACTTGTTCCTGGTATGCCTTACCCAAACTCCCAACTCCAAACAAGCAGTCCTACTAGTCTTCATCCATCGGGTCGCCTTCAGCACCACCAACCATCCCCACTACTCTCTCCAAATCTTCCACCTCTCCTTTGCCAAGCTTCCTCCCCTTTCCTTGCCACTCTCCATCCCTCACTTCACCCATTTCACCCAACTCGAGGCCCCTGACATTTTCCAAATGCCTCTTCGTCTCCTTCTCGATGAACTCTAATCTTTCTTTTCTCCAGGTCTTCTCCTCTTCGCCAAGTAGGCCCTGTTTCCCGTTTCCATTCGCTAATTCATCCAACCTCGGTTTCAAATTCTCAAATAGGCTTTTCAGCGCTGGCAATTGCGATATCGCAAAAGAAGCCGTAGTTGTAACTGGATGCGAGACATCGCCCGTGATATCGCCCTTGTTCTGCAAGAATGCAAATGCAGGATACGTCTCCTGCGCCTCTGTATCCGGCTCTTGCTTCGGCCTCTGAGTCAAAAGCAGCGACTTCAGCTCCGCAATTGTTGCCTCATTCTTTGCTGTCTCAGCCAACAGCAACGAATGCAATTTCTGTGTCTCCCTCAACTTCTTCCTTTGTATGGTAACCGTCTCCGTATTCGGCGCATCCTTATCCTCTACAAAGGTCAACCCCTCATAATGACTCAATCGCACCCAATCCCTCACTTCCGGCGGCACGCTCAGTATATTCCTAAAGGCCCATAGCTCCAGCCTATCGAAGTTCTTGTCTATTTTCGTCTCGAGTAATGTCTCTAGTTGGTGGACCCCATTCTCAATCTCGTGTTTCGCAGCATCTGCGATTGCTTTCGCTGCTTCTTGAGCTTCGGGTGTGGTTTGAGGTGGGATTTTGAAGCCGAGGTCGGATGGATTGGCTGCTAGTAAGCCTTTCTCGACGGCTTCTGTCGCTTTGAAGGATAATGTGATTATCGAATTGACAATGTCGTCTATTAGAGCCTGCGAGGTTGTCAGTGAGGGCCTCAGTGCTGTAGAGAATAACTGACCGCCGGACGGTATGAAAAGTGTTCTGTCAGTAACGTGACATCTGTATTAGCTGGCGCGCTCATCATGTCCAGAATTTCAGTCTGAAAAGGTTTGTGCTGGGAGGTATGCTGGAGACGGAGATATGTGGCTTGAATTAGAATCGGCGAGATATTTCTAGCGGCCGCGGGCTATGCCGTGGTAAGTATGCTGCTACAGCAACGAGTTGTTGCGAGGTTCAATGTCGTTGACTTTGAGGCTCAGAGAATTCATGTTGATATTCACTTGCGGGGGACGCGCCAAATCGACAGGGGTAGCTTAGCGTGATTGGTCACGTGAATGGCACGGTTCCCGTCTTAGGTAGGTTTGTGAGCATTTCACGTCATGCTTCCTCTTGCTTCGTTCCTCCTTCTCATCCATCCATTAGTCTTCTGTACTTTGAAAAGCACCACACTTTAGATATTGCAAATCTCGTGAGAATAGAACGAATGTATTCTCAATATCTCTGATTGTTTGTCTTTCTGCTACGTCTTCTGTTTCATTCACGCTACCACCAAACACCCCCACGAACTCAAGATCTATGAGCATCACAAGGATATCGATAATCTTATGATCAACATGTCTTAGCTATGCGCAATGCTCGCAGGGAGCTGTATCAACTTTGTGGTCCTATTATCCGTGATCCGAAGCGAGGCCCTGAAACTGGAACGCTCAACGGGGGCGGAGGCTTACTCCTGTAGTCGCTACTCCTGCATCCATCTCCTCAATGTTGGTATTCTAGACCAACCACATCGCCCCCATCGTCACTTGTTACCAGAAAGAAACCTTGGGAATGCGTTTCCAGCGACCAAAGACACGCTCAAGTTGCGCCCCAATCTCACTCCAGAGACCGGGAAAAGATACCTTCCTTGAGTGCAAGGACGACAAGTTATTCTCGGACGGGCCATGATTTTGATGCATCGAGGTGTCCCGAAGTCCGGGCTTAGTTCGAGGATGATAGGTTAGAGTGGAGCAGGCCTTTGATAATTTCCATTGTACTATGTTCCTACATGACAATGATGGTACACAATACAATTATTCCCTTTCAGGACTGGTATTTCAGGCTGTTCCCACTCACTAGGGAAGCGAACCTCTGATGAACGGGGCATGCTATCAAGTTGTATTAAAGCGAGAAAGTTTGGACGTAAATTCATCGAGGGGCATTCAGCTCTCGGTGTTCTAAGTCTCGCTTGTATGGTTCATCCATACTCAAAAGAACCCGAATCCAGAAATCAGATTGCTTGAAAAGGAAGAAGAAACCGAGAACATTGGACTGACAGTTAAGACCCGCAATAAGAAACAATTGGAGGGGTATCTCTCTTTCTGACCCCTCTCCACGAACTCCTACCAGACATGACTGTCCCAAGGAAGCCGACCACGGGCCCCCATCCCATCTCTAAGGAGCCGTTCGAAACAGATTCCAAAAGACCGTTCGCGAAGCTGCATGCACCCCTCGAAACAACATCGTAAAAAATCGTACGATGTTCCAGCCTTACAGTATCGACGCTCTCGAAGAACCCCCTCGTTTGATCGTCGACAGCCTCGTGTAAATCCTTTCTCCACCCCCCCCCCCCCCCCCCCCCCCCCCCCCCCCCCCCCCCCCCCCCCCCCCCCCCCTCCCATGCACGTTTCGGAAAAGATACAAGGGTACAGTACGCGAGCGTTGGAAAAGATGGGATGAAAATTGATTCTTGGCATTAGCACGACGACCGATCTATCATCAGACAAGATATGATGTCGCACAATCTCATTCTCTACTACTCTCTCAGGCAGCGATGTCATTTTGGAGTATCAAGGAATGTCACTTTGTATTGCTAGTGCAATCGGGCTCCATCTGATACTTGAACAATTGTGGCTTAGTAGGGTCTTTGGCTGGGTAAATCGGATGGTCGAATTCCTCATGCATTAATTGTCCTGCTATAGGCAAGCTACCCAGATCGGGGAACCCTGTCATAACCTTTCTCACTTTCTCACTTTCTTTCTCATCTCATAGACATAGGCCTCGATAGTCCTGAATATACCCAGTATTGTACAACCAACCATGACCTTCCCGTGTAATTGAATCCCTAAACGCCGTGCTAGGCCACACGTTTCAAGGCAAGATGTTTGAAATGAATCCCGTCTCTAATGCTTGCTTATTCACCGAAACATCTACGGTTTTTCAAAGAACCAATACCTGGGATCACTATTAGTAAAAGATTAAATAAATGTCGAGGTGTAGAATGACTTACTCCGAAGCATATTGAACCTCGAAAATTGCAGGCATACCTGCACAAGTAGCAGGTGGGTTGCCGCCGGCAGTGTTGACTCTGTATACTTCCTCCAAGTTGCCAGTAGCGCCATCTCTTGTCACCAGCTTCAGCCAAGCAACAGAGCCGTGGCCTTGGCCGCCTTGTCCAACAGGAGCACCAGATGGAGCAGGTACTGTGTTGTTCTTCATGCAAGGAGCGAAGCCCAGACTCAAGGTTGGAGTGTTGAGGTCGAAGGCTGGGGTTGTTGCGTTAGAAAAGAAGTGGTGTCCGCTGATGGTCAGGTAGGATGGCGAGAGGGTGGGTTGGTCATTTGAAGTGAGGTTGAATTGTAAAGCCACATTGGGAAGGACTGTGAGGAGGTCGGGGTAGGTTGAAGCCACGCAGGATGCGTTGAAGAGGGTTGCAACCGCACCGATGGATACTGGTGGTGCAGTGGCGTTTGTCTGAGAGCAAGTGTAGTTCTGTATGCCTCTTCCGATTGCAACGTGCTTCAACTTAAGTCCATCGGACACGCCTGGGAGAGGTGTCGGAGCTAGAGGAATTCAGTAAGCGGCTGGCCGGATAGTCTATCCACACATGGTACCTACAGGCAACTGGTAAGACAGCGTTAGCCATGTTGCAGACAGGTGCTTGTGACATTTGTCTCCCCGCTTGCACTTTTTGTCCCAGCATTGAAAAATAATCAGACAACACTTTCATCTCGGCAGGTCGCTCGGCGGCTCCAGGAGAGTATGGGAGAAATGGAGAGGCGAACGCAACAGCGCACAGCGCCGATGTAACCAGTACTTTTGAAAACATGACGAAAGTCGAAAGGGTTGAAAAGTATTAAAGATATTAGGTAGAGGAGGGGAGAGGAGGGGGGAGGAGGAGGAGGAGGAAGGACGTTCAACGTGCTGGAGTCACGACAACCAAGTGGAACAAAGATGGGTATGATCTACTAGATATAAGAAATGAGATGAGATGAGATGATTCAACCGAGGGCGAGATCGTTTGGCATGCGCACAGATGGTGAGATGACTGGCCGACGGGGTTTGGGGAACTTGGAACACTCTTATACTGGACATCCGCGTCCGTCCAAATGTGGCCAGGACGGGTGGCTGCTGAAAATAATGTCAATGGCGGCAGCGGTTGGAAGCGCGCTGGGCGATGGAGGCCTTCCAGCGGCGAGAGGCATTTGCCGGCTGCTGATTGGATGCGCCGAGATTAGGCGTCCCGGCGGGGGCCTTCGGTGTCGGGGGCGATAGGCCAGGGACCGCCCGGACCTCAACGGCCCCTGTCAGAGCTAAAAAGAGCCCCGTAAACGGGGGGTTGGGGGCAGGGGCATTTAAACGCCTGGCCTCGCCAAGGGGCCGCCACTTGCGTGCCCAGCCTTGGAGGGGGGAAACCTCTCGCGTCTCGCACTACAGGAGATGTTCGGAGTATCAAACAGACGATCCCCTCACCCCCGTGGGATGTGGAATCGTCGGCTCGAAGGACTACGATACTGTACGTACAGTAGCGACCAGAGATTCCAAACTCGCGAGAGCCGAGACCCCAAACTCGGCCTGTTCTTGGCCTCATCCGCGGGTGGCGGCAGTGGCCGAGCGGTGAGGTGATGCTCAGACCGCTATGGATGCCCAAATTCTGTTTCAACCCGCATGTTCTTCCGGACGCTAAAATCTTGTCAGACGCTGTGCCAGTACTGTACTGTACTGTACATAGTACATCGCTTTCCTGCACGCTTAGGCCAAACCACCCGCGTCGAACTTTGATTGGCAGTCCGGAAGAGTGGCAGGTCGTGCTGGCCTTCAGCGACCCTAACGTCGCGGCCATTCCAGGAATGCTGTCTCGCGCTTCAAGATTGCTCGACTTCGAGACTTGACGACAAGCCCGTTTCTTCAACTTGACCTTCCATGGCGTGTGGACTTTCCAAGTGGTCCTATAGCCGCGATTGTTGGTAGGTTTCCTCTTCGACCCTGGCCCAATAAAGTTCGAACATTTGAGTTGGCCCAAAATAGAGACGTTCTTTCATAGCCGAGCGCGTAAGGCTTATTTTTAGAGGTGGAGTGCGGGTGAGGCTCCGTCCAGGGATCGAACTGGGCCAATGAAAGCCCCTCCCGGAGCTCATCGCCCTTGGCATGGGCGATCATCAGATTGCGATGGAATAACCGATAAGAATGATCGTGTCGCGTGCCAAGAGAGAGCATCCATCAATAGCAAACCTGCTCGCTGTCTAAAATGGACTGAGTCCTCTCTCTGAAAATGCTTCTGGAAGTTATTGAACAACTCGTGCCGAAGTCGGGGCTTTGGATGTCATGTGATCGAAGACTCCTCAATTCCATAGGGACCAAAGTCAATCTTGTCGTGTCGAGATTGGTACTGGCTGGTCCAGGTCGATCGGCTTCATTCACTGTGCGGTTCGGAATTGCTCTCAGTGCCGGATATTCATATGGAATTTCCTTCATTTGATCCCGACATCCCAAGGACCTCCCTCACTTTGTGTAATGTGAAAATCTTTCTCGGATTGAACCGTCAACCACATGCGAACAGTAGGATCGAAAATAAGTATCAATGTACTTGAAGGCGCTTTAGAGATCAAAAATAGTTGGAGGTCGGTAGGCCAGGTCGTAGTGAACTGCAAACCCATGTAAACAATCTCCCCCGCCACCGGACACTTCTTACCCGCTTCTATTCTCGAACCCATGACGAATCTTGTAAGGTACGAACGAGAGACCCATCGGTGAAGCAGTCCGTGCGGACCTGGAAACATACCAGGAAATCTGGCCCTAAAGCTTGTATTATAATGGCACATAGTACAATATCCCACCGTCTCAATGCTATTCCGTTCCTTTGAAACCCTCTTGATGCCAATCGCCATGAGCCGAGTCGGCTCCAGCATTCGCAAGAGGACCCGCAGCAGCAGCTATGGCTGCTTGGCCCAAATGACTCCCATGTGCCTCCACGTCCATAGTCCCAAGCCAATACAGCGAGAAGAAAACCAAGAAATGCAATGCAACACAATATCCCGCAAATAAATTTCGACTCGTTCTAGTCGCCAGCACCATTCTGGTTATGGAGAATACTATACGTTCGGGAAGGCTCATACGCTTGTATGCTCGAGCTGACTCCCGCCCTCTAAATGCCGCAAAAGGAGATATGTTGGACTCATATGCCGAGCGATACCGATCTAGAGCCAGCCCGGAGGAGGTGGAATTGGACATTTGAATTGTCGACGGATTTGGGTTTGTCGAATATGCTGATGCAGAAGAAGCTGTGGGCCCAGCTCTGTTATATGTGGAAACGTATCTTGTCTTCTCATACAAATTGAGATTGTCTTTCTGCAGAGATGCGATTTCTTGACGTAGCGAAGATACTGTGCGATGACTTTCCGAAAGCTCATTCTCAAGCTGAGTATTCCTCTTCTTGAATCGATCTCGCTGAGCAGTGATCATTGGTAAGATGCCTGAGCCACCCCCCACGGGTTCGCCAGACCTCAAGGCTTCAAGAGAAGTCGTACCCAAAGAAGAAGATCTGGGATCAAAGCCAGAAATGATAGATGAGGTTGGTGATACCCTGCCTTTCCGTCCCATATTTGCCGAGGACTGTGGGTATCGGCTTACGTAGGTGCCAGCAACGGATGCACCCGAAGGATACGCGTTTGCAGTGTCATGAACATTAGCAAGGTCGTTCTCCAGAGTGGCGTTTAAGTGCTGTGCTCTTTCAAGCTCTGAATTGGCCTTCGAAAGGTCCTCCTGCATCGACTGGAGACGGCTCTGAAGATCCTGGTGAGAGACTCGCAAGATGGTTAATTCGTCGCTTAGCTTCTTGTTTCGTGCCAACAGCAGCTGCTCCAGCGTATCGCCCTTGCCCTTGGCAGTTGACCCATTCTCCGAAACACCTTGGTTAGAGGGCGTGGCTGGATCTGCCAATGCTGGGTCATCGTCGTCCCCAGTCGAAAACTCAATGCTCTTCAAGACCTCAAGCTCTTGCTTCACATCTTCATAGTCGCTCCACTTTTGTACCTTGGCTTTCAGCACATCACGCTCCTCTTTGAGCATTCCTATCTCTCGTTCCAGGGACCGCAATTTCCCATCCAATTCACGCTTTCGAGAATCCCTTTCCACTCGAGCAGCATCCAGCTTTCTTAGAAGTGATGAGTTCTCAGACCGCATTCGCATGTAACCAGGATCATCCTCCAAGCTCATCGCCGGTTGGCTTGGTAGTTGTGATGCCGACTGTGCCAATTCAATCCGAAGTTGTTCGTTTCGTGCTTCGACCTCTGCTAATCTTACACTTGTTCTTTCAAGATCTGAGTTGACCATCTCCAATTCCGCACCAGTGACATTACCACGACCACCTGCTTCGTTTTCTGACTGACCGAGTCGTTGGGTGACTTCGTAGCTCGCCTTGATTTCATTGAGAAGTCGATCCTGATTCTCGATTTTCTCTTCAAGCAACTTCTCCTTGGCCTCCCAATTGTCCTTTTTCTCTTCTAAGACCGCTGCCCAGGAACTCTCGACCTCCTTGACTTTTGTTTCTAGACCTTCTTCTATTGTTCTTCGGGCCAGCCTCTCGGCCTCTAATCTCGACTCTGTCTCTTCCAACTGAGAGGTAAGTTTGCTGACATTTTTCTGGAGGTGTGCGTTCTCCGATGTAATCTTGGGAAGGGTATCTTCGGAGAGTAGGAGGGAGTCAACGGATGCCTCCAACAACGGATAAGGATCGGGCGCTTCGGATAAGGATGAATAGACTTGCAAGAAGGCGGAATTTGTGGACTTCGAGTGATTCGTGATAAGGTCAATAAAGGTTTGGTATGCTGTGACGATGCATCAGCTTCCATTTTACAGCTCGAGTTTCAATCAACACCAACCTTTCAGCAACCCTTTAATCTCCCCTAGCTTGGCGGAATCATCAAGCTTCCTGAAATCCTTTGTCTTTTGTGCCAGGTCTTTCCGCTGCACTGTAGAATCTCGTTGATACTGAACAATTTCTGAGGCCGTGTTGTCCAGAGTTGAAATCATAGAAGTGAGGTCAATATCTGCAAGACGTTAGCTTATGCAGAAGTACATAACTATTGATGCGTACTTCGCCAAGCAGATATCGCTTTTTGGAACTTGTTGTCTCCTTCTTGTGCTGAAGCTCCACGAGCTCCATCATGATTATTTGAGGTTGGGTTGGAGAGAGCCACTGTCTCCGCGAGGGCGCCGTCTGCAGAGTCCGCCATTGTGCCTGGTGCTCAGGAATGGAGCATTAGATAGTCGTTGCGATTCCACGTGTGCCAAATAGCTAGCTGGCAGAGAGGCTAGTTATGGTGGTTGCTTCGTGTTCTACCTGTCTCGAAGTTGAGGCCACTCTCTCAGGCACAGCCGAGCTCCTGACGAATCCCTGCTCGGACCATTTGGAGGCAAGCGCTACCGAGGAGGCTTTATGTGACTCTCAAGACTTTCACATCCCCTCTACAACACCAGACCAGCAAGTTATAGGTGCTCTATTTTGCAGCTACTACCCAAGCCAGAAATACGCTTAAAATTTGCATGCTCCTCGGGGGCGGATCTCCAGTGGCGTCGACCTCGCTGCAAACTCCCCAGAGATTTTCTTTGTACTTTCGTATCATCCCTTACACATCGTCCTCAGCTTCACTACTTCCCACTGCCTATCCCATAAAGGTACATAGCTGAGATCGAGTGGCCAAGTCCATAGAGGTTGTGCAAGAATATCGTGCGAAGCCTCCCAGTGTGTCCTGTACACAAAATTCACAATGCTTCGGAGAGGGTGCTCACTCAACTTTCATTGCTCTGCTAGCTAGTGCTCGTGAATGGCTAACTCGTCGCGTGAAGTTGCAAGTTGTACAAGCTGTACTTCGCATTCTTACAGAGGTACTCGATGAGTGAAAGCCTTCGAAGATCCCAGGCGGTTTCTCTGAGCTTCAGCTCGGGTCACGCGGAGATTGACTCATAATTCCACTTTGATTCCCCAAATCCCGATGCTATTTGTTGGGGGATGCAGGACACTTGCATGAAACAATAAGACTCTCAATGGTGGTTGTGCGAAAGGCTGTTGCTGCCTGTTTAGTTGCCTGGAAGAGAGCTGCACAGCCTACCACACGGAAAAAGTTAAGAGAGCAGAAACATCAGCTGAAATCTTTTTCTTCTTCCTCCTCCTCCTCGTTCTTCTTCTACTGAGAAAAGAGCCAGCTTCTAATTTGTTGTAATTGAATTCAGATTCTGCTTATTCTTGAGAAAATTCACGCTGTACCCAACAATTACCCAGCAAGTCACGATCGTCGGATGCAATGGCAACCACAACCGAGCACCCTGGAGACTTCATTCTTGAGGTTTCAAGTACTGGCGCTTCTCTTATGACGTCGTTCACCAAGTTCCTTACCTACCGCAAAGTCTCGGACAATAGTCTTGAGAACCTTTACGCAACCATCTCAATTACGACTTCTTCACTCCGTGAGCTCGGCAGTATCATCAACGATCACGAGAAAGACTTCTCTGTTAAAGACGAGATAACTAAGCAAATCACGCAGAAGTGCAAAGAGAATTTCGACAAACTCCTTGTCTTCGTCAATGAAGCGGTTTCCCAGGGGGTCTGGAAGCAGGATGGAACGATTGGCGGAATACCCGTGACTTCGGAAGCAGATCCGTGGTTTTTGATCACTCTTGGAATTGGCGGCGGGGACGAAGCCGAGAGCTTTTGGAGGAGCTTGAATAATGTGAGAGACACACTTCTCAGACTGAAGGATACTGTCAAGTACATGATTTTGAAGGATCTCAAGGAGAAGTAAGCTAGAAGGTTCTTTTTTTCTTCGGGAGAAACAACTAATTTCACTACAGGAGTCTGCTCGAGCCGGCAGAGGCGGAAGAGTTGGAGCAGCTGACAACTTTTCTACCTCATCTGGTTCAGAACTTCGAAAAGGCAGAAAGGGGGGAGAAAGAAGCCGCCGAGCTCAACTTTGAGAAAGAGGGTGGATCACTGCCAAATGTGAGACGCACCGACTCCGATGGGTTCAGTGATATCACCTTGCCGGTGAACAATGAAAGGGGTAGAGGACGCGAATTTGTAAAGGATATTGATTGCGAGAGTCTCTATTCTGACAGATCATTCGGCCCTCGGTAAGTTTACCTCGACAGATTCCGATGAATATGAGTTGATCCAACCATTCAGACCCTTGCAGGACAATGAGGTTGTTTACGAGGAATGGGTGCTGCAATATCATGGCCCAAACCGAAGGCCCGATTATAGCCATAGTTTCCTGGGACTCAAGATCAAGGGTTTCTATGAAAATCCAGGGTTCTGGGTCACACATCCCGAGCTCAGGTCGCAGACGGAGATGAAAGAGCAACACTTGTTCGCTGCTGCTGGCATGTCCGCTGCGAAGCATACGGATGCTATTAAGAAGGCAATCCGAGTGATTCCTAAGGACGGCGGACGTCAGATCGACACACTGGTTCAAGAGCGAACTGGATATTGCTCCGATGAGACAGTCAAGCGCCAGTGGTCGGTTGTGGCATTGAAGCCTCAGGAGAAGTATCCGTACAGCTCGTCCAAGAAATGGGGCAAGGATCCGTTGAGGACAAACTGGTTAGTAACACTCAGGGGTGAGACTGTTGATACCGTCGAGAGACATCAACCTTATAGAGGAGAGGATCCTTGGAGAAAGAGAGATTGGTACCGAGAAAGATCTTTCAGCCCCCGACGCACGTCTTACAGGGAGGACCGCGCCCTCGAAGTGATGCCCCGTCGCCGATATCGACCAATTGTTCGAGGGGAGCGCCGTCCAATCGACCCATCCTGGACCCGCCAGCCTAGAGGCGATGCAGTCAATGAAAAAACTCAGACTGGCACGCTCGTGGTAGCCAAGCTCATGAGCCAAGATGAAGCTGAGAAGAAGCTGGTGAACATCTGGGTTGAGATGAACAAGGAGGCCTCCGCCGAAACGGCAGCTTGATAACTGGCACGAGCAACGAGATTCCTTATGATACTGGACGTTCTTTGCATGTTTCTAAATGCTTTTCTTGGAAGTTGTCTTTGCGCCGAATTTGCGAGCGAATTTGCGAGCGTATGTGTTTTGGTTTGCTGACGGCTGACCAACGACTGATGACCCTGTTCTTATCACCATAGCTTAGTATTTCCAAATTGTAGGACCAATGCCATTGAATATCATGGCTAAATGGACCGCGACGACTCAACACCTCCTCGTGGTGCGGTCTGTTAACCTGTAGTAATCGGTCCACCGATCATTCTATCTCTTTGGAGAAGTACAGGGCTAGGATTGAGTCCCGAACTGGCGACAATGATCGAATCTCCTCCTTCACCGCCGCCACCTCTCTGAATCGAATCGACTCCTCCCCTCGACTCGAGATACGCGTCTCTTCTATCGTTTGTTGTCGACAAGATACGCCCGCCCGTCTCTAATCGACTGAGACTTCATATGAAATCGGCACATTATTCCATTCATTCAACGAAGGACGTCCGACCCTTTGCGCGCTGATAACGCGTACCTTTAGCCGTGGTGGGGAGATATCGTGGACACATTCTAACGGGCATTTCGCACTTGGGTTTATTTGTATTGTCAAGAGGCTTAGGCTATAGAGGCATTTGAGGCATGGAGGTTATATATAGCGTGTTTGCAGACGAAAGAGACCTTGGTGGAATGGTTTCTGTCCCTCTTCCTTCAAGTGTCAACGTCTAAGGCCCTAGTCCGTCCTTGGACGTTAAACTACTCTTCTTGGAGGAGCGATATCAGAATTGAGATTCAGAAGGGGAGTTTTCGGGCTTTCTCCCGAGGCGGAAGGCCTGGAGACCCAAAGGAGGTCTTGCTAGGCTAGCCTGGGGCTGGCGTAGACCATCCCTTTTCGTGTATCTCCCCAGGTTAAATAATGATAATTAACCTTAAGCTCGACTATCATGGCCAAACTGTACCCCATATGCAAGTGAGCATTATACACCAAAATATAAGGGATAAATGTCCTGCAGTACTTTGGCGATATTCAGGGGCTCCCTAACTAACAAGCCTGCTCCCTCTCATAAGTCTGTGTTTTTTAGGCTTACAGTATCCTAAAGGAATTTTGAACTTTCTTAATTCTTACTTATTCGAGCATTGGCTTTCTAATTAAAATAAAGCTGGAACCAAATATATTCCTCGAAGATTATAAACTTTTGAAAGCTATTATTACGTTATGCTTCAGTAGTATTCGATTTAGAACTGTGATTGAAATTTGAGGGAAAATTAAGCGATAAAATTAGCCTGGAAACCCCGACTTTCGGGCTATCACGACCCTAGAGTTGGTGTTCTCAGTGGAAAATAGCTGTATTGGGTGTGTGGTTGTATTACGTCTAATGAGAGAAGAAGGAGCGGGGAGCTCGAGACTAAGATACAGGGTGCCGCGCTCAGAGGTCATGTGACGACACAACACGGGCCCAGCCTCGTAAATTGTCAATACACGGGAGTCCTGAACATTATCACACAAAATTACCCATTGACTCCAAGTGTGCTAAGTTCAATCTAGATATTTGTATCTTAAGTTCTAATTCTTATTCAAGCAAAGCGAATTTGAAGTTATAACTAAACAAGTCAAGAGTGAGCTCTGGGCAAGACCCAGACGCTACTACTCTCCAAAACCGTACGCGTGGAAAGGGTTCGAGCGTATGGCTACTGAAATTGGCTGACAAAGCACGCCTAGGAACTCGACCTTGTGTTCGAACCTCTTTCAAACTTACGGTTTTGGCAAGTAATTGCTGTCTTGTGAGAAGGCGCCTGACCAGACTGAGTTTGCGCAGGCTGGAAACCGGAGGATTACCTGAGGTCTACCGTCAACTTTTTATGTGCCAGCTTCCTGCATTGGTTCTTAGACTCCGTCCAGAAGGGCTCACGAAAGTTGATGAAGGAAAAGAAAGATAGGGAGAGGACTGAGAACGAGGCTGTCAACTTTCCATTGCATTTTAACGAATTAGCAGACAGCGGTCCAGAACCCACTTTGAACGATTCTTCTGATGGTAATGACAACTTACCTTCCTGCTTGAACAAAGAAGAGGAACGAGAGGTTATCGTTATCTCTAGGGACATCACAGGAGATACCAAAGATCGGTAGCAAGATGAGCCGAACGATACTGAATCTCTGAATGAGATTGTTATGGTCGAGGCGCCAAGTGACATAGAAGTTATTCAATTGAGAGATGCGACGCCGAGGTAAGAAATCACAAATATCTCTCCTCCCATCAATTAGTGAGTCCACTAACAATATCTAGAAGCTCTCTCAATATCGAAAGTATCTATGAAGACTGGTATCTCCAGAATAAGCCCCTAAAATATCAGGAGCCAGACAAGCTCATGCTCTTTTTACAGGATGAAGTTCGGTTTCTTCGATAAAGGGTCAACAATTGACTATTAGGTCGTCTATTTCCCCAAAGGTAAGAAAGTGCTCAAAAACAAGGCTTGCTCGTCAGCAGCCAATGTAGGAACAGCTTCACCTGAAGCAAATGACAACAGGAGTACGATCAAGAATTTGCCCAAAGAGGCGCGAAGAGAGCTTATCAAATTGCTCAATGACAAAAATGAAAGACCACACCCACCTGTTAAGCAGACTCCCAAATCAATATTTCCCTTCGCCAGCCGCAAGACCAAGCACCCCTCCCGTTAACTGGTGGTCCTCCGTGGCGGTGTCATTGAATCACCCTCAGAAAAGGCTCCTCAGACTCCTTCTGAACGCAAGCCGTCTCTTCTTCCTCGCCGGCATGGCAATGCATGGCGCTATGCACCATGGACTGACCATCTTCTCTATCCTATTTCAAGTAGAGAGTCATCAAGCAACGTGTTATCTAGTAGTTCCTCTGATACTTCAATCTCATTTATGCGCGAAATAACGCGGGAGAGTCGTCTCCACGGAAGCACTACCCGCGAATTCTTACACGAAGCCGAAGAACGAGAAAACGTCCTGAATGCATAAATTTCGACTCTCCAAAGATGACTCGCCGATGCACAGCGGGATAATTGGCAAGTGGACTCGAGGCCGCCGCGGACACCAACCGTTGTGGAGGAAAGGCAGAGGAGCGGAGATTGGAGTGCTGAGGCAGTGCATTCGAGCAAAGGAGCAAGGAAAAGTGGCCATAGAACTGTTGATCCAAAAGCGTATGGGGACGGAGGAAGAGATGAGAAGAAGATCGATCGCACGCATGCAGGAGGAGGAAATGGTTGGCGATGGGGAGGCAGAAAGACGGATGGATGATGGATCAGTTTCTACAGTAGAGGCATTCGTGAAGGGGTTTGGGGAGATGGAAAAGAGGTCTGGAAAGGGGAAGGAGTTTCCCATCTAAATTGCAAGGCAATTTTGAAAGTTTGTTCCTGAATTCAAGTGTGGTGGATGAACTTGAGTTAGAACTATTGGATGATCAAAGCCTGCTCTGATTGATGTTTGCTTTGTTTGTTCAAATCCTTTCAGATCCCTGCCTCGTCTTCCGAAATGGTAGCCTGCTGTGCTCTCTAACCCACCATAACCTCGCCCCGGAGACGTCTAATTGCGTGGGCAGCTGACCTGAGATATGCGACGATGATAGCTTGAGCACGAATTGCTTCAAAATGGGGCCACGGGATCCGGAGGAACCGACGTCGAGGAAGAGGAAGCGCCCAGCCCCAGAAATCGGTCCATTTGTCCTGCGAAGCCTGCTTGAGGATCTGCCATTGTCCGCAGACGGAGACAGAGATGATATTGAAATCAATTGTGTAGAGTTCCTTGGTATGTAATACAGAGTGCAAATGGTCTCTGTTACGTGCAATGCAAGCCAAGCTGACCATACCCAGACCGGAACCTCTATGTTGGTACATCTGCATCTGAAATCCTCCACTTCTTCCAAATCCCTCCAGACCCCGAAGATGCATCTGCGAAGCCCTCGTATATCCTAGCGTCAAGACTTCCCCCAGCCTTTCACGAGCCTCCAACCTCAGCGCGGCCAGGTGTCCAGCAGATACTCCTTCTCCCCAAAGTCAATAAAGCTTGCATATTATGCAATTGGACTGTCACTTTCTACTCCCTGCCAGAACTCAGTCCAGTTTTTGGGACGACACAAATTCGACAGTGCAATTGGATTGGTGGCATAGATCTCAATCTAGATCCGCGTGGAGCTGAACAGGATGGCAAAAGCCCCGCTGTGACAGTATTGGCGTCTCAGAATAAGAGGATACGGGTCATAAAGATCAGCGAAGACCCTCGCGGACTCAGAGTAAGTGTAAATATATCATATAATATCGCTAAGCTCAAGCTAACTATACAAAGGTGATTGACTTCCCGGGGAGCATGATATCTGTCCGTCGTGATTCGTTTGCCTGTGTAGCTGATGCTCGTTCGTACGCGCTTCTCGATGTCGACCGTCTGCAAAAGATACCCCTATTCCCAATCTCCTCCTTGGATGACTCTCCGTCGGGCAACGTTGGTGGCCACATCGAAGATATATCCGGAAACTCTGCTGGTGGGCTCTCACGAAGCACATCTTCAGCTCAAGGTTATCCCGCAGGGCTTTCCGATGACCGAGGACATGGCCGCAGCACCAGCCTAGGTGCGTTCATGAGTGGTGGGTCCCGGAGACATGGACCAGCTGGAGGCAATGATGAAAGATCTGGTCGCGAAACTCCGGAAGGAATATTTCGAGAGCGTTCTCCTTCTCCAGCTGTGGCAACCCTTCATGCGGCACAATGGGACTTGAATTCTGGTCAGAATGCTAACAAACCACTTCCAATCCCACCAACGGTCTCAGCAACGACTGAAGCGCCGCCGCCAGGTTCTGTTCCTACATCTGCTCCGGTATACCTGAAGCCCCATATAGTATCTCCCACTCCTCAAGAGTTTCTGCTTGTCACTGGCACTGGACCACGAGATCCAGGAGTTGGCATGTTTGTCAACCTTGATGGAGATCCCACACGATCAACGTTAGAATTTGACAAATATCCTGACGAGCTAGTGGTAGATGGACGTGGAGTCGGAGTGGATCCGACTCCCACTACTATGGATGGCGAGGAAGAAGGATTTGTTCTCGCCTCCATGGCCAGAGATTTTATGGAGGAACAGCGGTACGGTATTGAAGTTCAACGATGGGACCTGGACCCTGGTGAAGCAGAAACAGAAAAGTTTTGGCTAGAAATACCATCACCAAATGAAGCAGAACAGACGGCGAGAATTGGGCTCCGCTCCGTTGTCGATTTAGGAGATATCTATTTCGACGAAGTTGTGGACAGGCTGCGCTTGAAACGCTTTCAACCTTTCGCGATTAGGTCAATGGATGCCTCTATCCTGTCCCTGCACAGCGTTGACTCTCGCACTGCAATGTCGTTAGAGCGTGTTTCCGGTGAGAGAAAACTATTTGAAAGCAGTGATTCTCTTCCGGAAGGCTGGGAGGAACATCGAAATGAAGAAGAATTGCAGTTTGCTCAAAGACTGGGCCATTGTCGGACTCACTTAGTTGCATGGTCTGGAAAGAGCATTTGGTGGGCGGTCAGGAACCCTCTGGCATTGCGTTTGGATTCAATTATCTCGGCAGTGATTGCTCCTCGAATCCCCAACGTCCAAACATATCCTTCACTTGATCGCCGGAAATTGGTCGAGTTGATCAACTCAATAAGAGGTCGCGAGGCCAAGACCGAGACCGAATTTCTCACGCTGGGGTATATCAGACAGCGAGCTGGTTTGCTGCTGTTTTTGAGTGGATTAGACGCCCTCGCAAGCCCACTCTCAGAACTTGAATATAGAATCACTGAAGACGCGCTGCTCGAAGGTGGTCTTGACCCTCGTGTCATTCTCGCCCTCGTCCCATATCTTCGAAACGAGATCCTCGAAGGGAGAACAGGCATCTGGATTCATGGAGGAGTCAAAGATGTGGCGGACGGCTTCATCACGAATAGCATTCCAACAGATAATCCAGAGGTGATGGCAGACAGCGTTATGTCTGACCATATCCTACATTTCTTACGAAGATTTCTCACTGCTTGGCGGAAGAGGAAGGGCTTTGGCAGCATTGCAAACGAAAACGAGGTGTTCAAAAGCGTGGATGCCGCCTTGCTGATCGTCCTTCTCCAACTTGACCAATCTTCCTCTCCTAATGGGCCCAAAGAAAATTCGGTCAGAATTGATCTTTATGCGCTAGTTGATGGTGGAGTTGATTGCTTCGAGAGGGCTATTTCTCTGCTCGAATCTCATCACCGCCTCTATCCCTTGAGCCATCTTTATCAAAGTCGTAAAATGGCCGGGGAAGTTCTGGCAACATGGCGCCGAATAATTGAAGGAGAGACTGATGAGGGAGGAGACTTAGGCGACGGAGAGCAGAGAGTGCGATCATATCTTGCTAAAATTCGCAACTCTGCCTTGATAGAGGAATATGGCGTGTGGTTAGCTACTCGGAATCCCAGACTGGGCGTGCAAGTCTTCGCTGAAGATCGAAGCTTGGTCAAGTTTCAGCCAGCCCAAGTTGTCCGAATCCTACGTGAAGGAGCTCCTGGCGCTGTCAAGGACTACTTGGAATATCTTGTTTTCGACAAAAGTCACGCCGAATACATCAATGAGCTTATCGCTTACTACTTGGATATTGTTATGACCAAGGTCGAAGAATCGAAAGAGGCGAGGGAAATCTTAGCGCAGACGTACGAATCGTATCGAGCACTGCGTCCTCCGAAACCTACCTATCGACAGTTCATCACTGACAATATGGTCGATGAGGAGTGGTGGCACAGCCGCCTCCGGCTTCTTCAATTGCTTGGAGGTAGTCAAGGAACAGCCTCGGAGTATGATGTTGCTGCCATCCTCGCCAGAATCGCACCATATACTCGGGAACTTGTTCCCGAAGTAATCATTCTTGATGGTCGGCAAGGTCAGCACGAAGAAGCTCTCAAGCTTTTAACTCATGGCCTCGGTGATTATGACACAGCCATTAGTTATTGTTTGCGAGATGGTTCAAGCATCTACCATCCCATCATCTCTGGAACCATGGCTCGGGAAAGCCTTCCAAGTCATGAACAGCAAGCGAAGCTCTTCAACTTCTTACTAGCAGAATTTCTGCAGATTGAAGATGTCAGCAATCGTATTGAGCAGACAAGCAGCCTACTCGAAAGGTTCGGCAGCTGGTTTGACGTCGGGTACGTCCTTAGGTTGATTCCCGATTCCTGGTCGGTGGAGCTTGTTTCTGGCTTCTTGGTCAGCGCTCTGAGGCGGATTGTAAGAGAGCGTAGTGAAACTATGATCGCGAAAGCCCTGAGCGGCGCAGAGAACTTGAAGGTCACGGCGAGCCTGATTGAGGAGATCGATGCCGCCGGGCCTTCAATCGAAGCTGAGAGCTGATCTGATCTATATGTAAATATGAATAAATAATCACGTGATGAGTCACCATATGGAAGAAGCTCGTGGTTGCATTCGGGTGCTCTTCTGGCATACTTTATGTGTCAAGCACTTTTGGATGATGAAAGACAACGAATCACAGGGTCGCAGGATCTGTTGCACATCGCTACGATGTTCCAAAGGCTCTGTCTGGTGCGATGACATCGTCCGGAAGTTGAAGATGTGATTTCTCTGAGCTCGGGGATTCTACACATCACTTACTCATTACCATCTCTATTTAAGAACGCTGGTTTTAGGGCTAAAGCACAAGAACCTCACTTCAAAGCTTTACTATTAAACCCTCTCGGGTAAGTAAGAAAAACGTGTTCCCAGGATTGTCCATACTTATTCAGTGACATGATTGATTTATCTCGCTGCTCATCACTCGCCAAAACCTCAAACTGGTTCGACTTCCCAAGCCCAACCTTCTCATATAACACCATTCCCGTGACTTTCCTCCTACCATATCCGTTGTCTCTCTCTCAATTTAAATCCGAAGTAGACTTATACACCTTCCGGGTACCTCGTTGGTTACACTTCTGGACCTATCTTCCGAGTTCGAGACGGAGCTTGATCTGATTCCCATTCACAACATATGTATGCACAAACGTCTGTATATTCAAATGATAGCTTTCATGATTCGTCAACCCATCCAAGCGCTTGGCCCATCTTGACTTTCTGACCTTTCTCCACATTCCAATTCCATCCGCCTTTTCTCTTCGTCTTCTCACCCATCCAGCCTTCGTCGAGACTTGGTCTTCGTCCCTTTGGTGCTTCGAAGACTAACACAACAGTGCTCCCTAACTGAAAGCCGCCCATCTCCTCGCCTCTCTTTAAAGCATGACCATGTAGAATTGGGCTTGCTGCCTCATAAGAAGCTTCAGCAAAGCCACTATATGGCTCTCCGCGCTTCGCTGCCTCCTCGGCTGCTCGGTCAGCCGCAGTGTCCGTCGTCAAAGAATTCGTCCGAAGCTCTCGATCGAAATTGACCTTGATGGAGCCAACATTGGTTGCTCCGACAGGGGTGAACGAAAAGAAACCCCATCGCCATCTTCCTAGCAGCACAACTCGCTCATTCAAAGTAAAAAGTCCGGGTAAAGTTCTTTGGAGGTAAGGCGATACAGAGTACAACTCTCCTGCAAAGTGCCGACGCTTCTCTGCAACCCAGGAACACGGCGAGTGAAAGCGATGGTAATCGCCAGGTGCAAGATAGACAACTACGTAGAACAAAGCGGTTTGATGCTCTGAAGTAAGTCGAGAATACCATGGCCTTTCTCCTAAGGCGAGATCTGCTCGAACTTCAGCTTCCGAAGAGGCTTTTGGTGTTGTAGATGCATCTTGGGCTTTCTTGGATTTCTTTTGTGGTGGCCCGGAAAACAGATTTGGAAGTGTATATGAGATGCCATTGACCTGAGCAAATTCCTCATCTTGTTTGATAACATCTTCATCGCCATATTTGTAAGTGGCGACACTTTGTTGATGGTTGTCGCCCTTGGAGGCGAAGATTTTTGCTGGATCTGAGGGATTGGGTGACGTTCCAGGCTTACTAGTTCCAAGAAGAGCATCAAGACTGTAAGTCATGCCTTTGACTTGCTCTACCTCTCCGCTTACAATTGCCCCGAATTGAAGAACTCGGCCATCAGCTGGAGAGAGCAGAGCATTCGGGTTAAGATCAAGGGGTCGAACTCCGGGTTTTAATGTCCGATAAAAGAAAGATGCGAGATTTGGGTATACATGAAGATCAGGTTCTGATATTTCGGAGAGACTAGACTATGGTTAGCTCAGAAACGGAATCAGAGTCGTGAGGAGAGTCGCACTTTACGCCGAAAATGAAAGAATATAACTTGAAACCAGGAACTCGTAAATAGTATGGAATCTCGAGTTCGTTGAACTTGCCCCATAGTCTTGATATAGCCTTTAAAGGCAGGGTGGACATAACTTGAACTTGCCTGGCTGTTGTCAGCCGCTTTTACTCTTGTTCTGAAAGAAAATACGAACCATGGTCCACTTGGCCTAATCCGTTCTCTTCTCTTTGGTCTCTCTCCTGGACCTCCTTCCCTACTCTCTCTACCAGAACTTGTAGTGGCCACATATCCCTCATCTTCCCATTCCACCTCTCGCCTTAATCTTTCCCGCTCATTGACTTTGTAGAACTGGACGAGACCGAGAAAACCTATTCCAAGGCCAACCGGTATGGGATACCATTTTATCTTGGTCTCACCCAAGGCCTTCCGTAGTCGTGTGCCAAAGGAATCTTTGTAGCTAGGCTGCTGACGATATAGCTTTGTCGAGGAAGAGAACAGTCGTGAGCTATGGCACCGACAGGCACATTGCTGTTGTGATCGCGAGAAGAGGACGGGTAGTCGGTGTAGAACCTGGGATTGAGCAAATATTCGAGGTCCCACTGACGTTGCCAACGGCTGGGAAGCCATTTTGAGGGGAAGGATAAGGAATTTGGACGCTTGTGCTAGACTTGCCGGTCATGGATGAAGCTGTCTGATATGACGATTGTGGTTGCTTTTGCTAGTCATCACAGATTTTGCCAATGCCGACAGCCGGATTGGGTCACCGCCTGACAGGGGTTAACTACGAACCACCTTTCATCAGCCACGGAGCTTCAGACGGACAGCAAACAGCTTTCCAAACATCCTTTATGTTTGAGATGTTGCCGACGTTCCCTCCTTAGCTCTGATTTTCTTTCCCGTACCGCAAAATGCCCTTGTGACAAAGGGGTTTCCCTCCAGACAGCTCCACTGACTTCACTTTGTGTCGGTCATCACAATGTCGGAACCTGCTGGCGCACCCGGTGCATCCGATGCCCCGACTAGAGATGAAGAGCGATTAGAGCCGTTGAGTTTCACTCTTCAGATTATCTCGCCCTCCATTGGCGTCACTGGTCCCCTCTGCTTTCCCCTGCTACCCGCCACAGCGACAGTCAAGCAGTTGAAGGCAAAGATTCGAGATGCTCTGCCCTCGAAGCCGGTCGATGAAAGCCAGCGGCTTATTCATCGAGGCCGTATGCTTGCGAGAGAGACAGAGACGATGTTGGAGATTTTTGGCCAAGAGACGGTAGCCAATCTATTTCCCTCCTGTCAACACTATCACTGACGCATCTAGCTTGCCAATCCCGAACCCCAAACTCTACATCTAGTGCTTCGGCCTACAGCCTCAGAAGGTCCATCTACTCGAACTCCTGTCCCAGTTCCAGCTACCCCCGCTCAACCTCCGAATCTGAATCCTATTGCGCAACAATTCCCACGGCCCCAGTCTACGCCTACAAACCCGATTTATGGTATGCATGCCCAGCAACCTCTTCCCGGCTTTCAGCATGTGCAGCAGCATCAGGTCCTACACCAAGTTGAACATATCCAGAATATCATGGCTCAGAGGCTTCAGCAGTTGCAGCGGGAAACTCAGCGGTTGCATCAGGAAATGGGGTTGCTTGATCAGAGAACACGTACACAAGCCGTACCAGGATCTCTCTTTGCAAGCCAGCAGCCTCCTGCTCCACAAAATCCAGCAGCAGCACAAACTATATTCCAACCTCCCTTGCGCCAACCTCCAGCTCCCCCTGCTTTACTCCAAAATTTGATCAACCAACAGCAAAGGGAGCGTGCCGCTGACGGTCGTCAAGGTGTACAAGATACCGGTGGAAATCCTTCTACCTTTGGCCCTGCTCCTCCATCGGTGTCTGGCCGCTCAAGCCCAAATATCCACCGGCCCGATCATACGACCACGTATACTCGAGAAGGCGTTGGTCCCAACGGAGAGAGATGGCATGTGACGGTAAATGAGACAACTACCACTGTCCCTATTGCACAGTCGCAACCGCAACCACATCACCATCATCATCACCAACACGGTGGTGTGAATCCTGCACTGGATATTCAGGCAGTCCTGCGAAATGCAGACAGATTCATGGCCGCTCAAGGAGGGCGAAACAACATGCAAAGAAGTTCCTCCGTCCCACCTGGGGGCTCAGCTCCATTTGCTCCGAGCATCACTCGACCGGGGACGCCTGGATCAATGAATACCCCTGCTACAACAAGCAGTTCCCCACCAGCCTTATTAGTTCCGAATCCCCCCACTTTACCAACTTGGAATCCAAATCATCAACTAGCCCCTTCTATTCCCCAATCGTCAAATGGACCTGTGGTCTATATTTTATCCTCTCCTTCCGGACCTCGAGCGCTGCTTGTTAATAACGCGGAAGCTTTCTTTACCCCACGCCAGCATTCGAGACGCCATCAATCACCTGCTACAGGTCTTGGCCAAGCAAGAGCACCAGTAGGCCCTGCAGATTATCGTATCAGACCTGCCCAACGGGCTCGGCGCAACCACCAACAGCAAGACGGTGCTCCACTTGAGCCTATAAATGCTCCTCATGCTAACCCGGGCGGCGGAGCGATGGCCGCACGGGTTGGGCCCCTTCTCTGGCTTGTTGTGCGTTTGATTGGATTTGTATGGTTCTTTACAGCCGGCAATCCTAGCTGGACCAGGTGGCTGATGGTGAGCGGACTTGCATTCGTCGTATTCATTATCAACACGGGAATCTTTAATGGAGTCGCCGAGCAGGTTTGGGGTCCTGTTCGGAGGCATCTTGAAGGCCTGATACCTCTCGCTCCTGAGAACCCTCCTGAGAATTTCGTCGCCTTAAACGCTCGAGAGCTCAATCGGAGGGAGGAACTACGGAGAGTGGCAGCCGCAGACCCACAACAACCTGGTGCGGCAGCCCCGCCGGCAAATGAAGTTCCACAGCAACGGCGTCGGCCAGGTGAACTCGATCCGGCCGAGGTTGCCGCACGACTACTCGACCAACACAGACAAGCTAATGCAGGATGGCTAATCACACAAATACGACGGGCTGAGCACTCTTTACTCTTGTTTCTTGCTAGTCTAGTCCCAGGAGTGGGTGAACGACATGTCAGAGCTAGAGAGCTTGAAATTGCTGCCATTGAGGAAGAGAGACAGCGCCAAATTGCAGCCGCAGAAGCGGCTAATGCTACTGAAAATGCGGATGGCGAGGCAGTTGGACGAAGCACAGAAGTTGCGGGCGAGAACAGCGAGCGTGTTCAAGCTGAAAATCAGGATACACCCGCTGTTCGACCTCTTGTTGAGGTCTAAGGAGGACTCACGTGGCGATGAGGACTATGAGACACACCTTCTAAAAGAAAAGCATAGCTTAGAGACAAACGACAAGAAGCTCAATGTTTGACTTAATTACAAACGAGCTCCAACAGAGAGAACTCGCGTGACTTTCATCTGAACCTTCCCTCAAACTCAACCCAATTTTCCTCTTAATTTTTGAACAGATTAGCTGGAATTTTTTGGTGTTGTTGCCACGAGGTTTGATTTGATGTGACTCCATATCTGGATTGATACAGCCAGGTCCCTTCTTGGACTCTCAGATTCCACGTCACAAATTCACAAGACGTACAAAAGGGAGTTTTCTTATCATGGAACAATAATGTATATTAAGAGTAGAAAGGGACTATATGCTATGCAACGCTAAGTGCAATAAAAAATGTCTTTCATTTCCAACTTGAGCACGCTCAGAAGGGCAGCCCAGGAAGGTGGAAATTATCAGTCCAGCTGATGCTCGTGGACGTTTTGGGGCTTCTGGGACTTCTTCGTCTCTTTGGCTCGGGCTCCGGAACCGAGTCAGACTCCGATTGCTTGCGCTTCTTTGGGCTGAGGGGTACGAAGTCAGCGTCCTCATGGTTGATCTTCTTGGGGCTAGGATTCGAGGCTGTGCTTCTAGTTCTGCGTTTCTTAGTGACCCGACTCGTGATTATGTTCTGTTTTCTTCGGCTCTTGGGGCTTGAAGATGAGCCAGCGCTCTCCTTTCTTTGTCTCTTAGGGCAGGGGCTGGAGGCAATGATGTTGTCGTCGTTCTCTACCTCGGCCTTTCTTTTCTGCACCTTTGGCTTAGGTGCAACCAGGCCCAGCATTTTGTTCTCCTTGAGTCTCTTGGCGTTGTCAACGCGCTTGTCGAGATTATTCTTGTGGATGTCAATACTATTGCCTTCTCGCATCTCTCGGATTTTCTGGAGATGCTTTGGTTGCTTCTCCAGGTGCTCGTGAGTGAGGGCGGAGCTCAGAGTGTACTGGTAGTATTCCGCCGGCCGTTGTCCATAGACTTCCTCTGGTCGGGCGGGTGTGAACTGTTGCCAAGGTTTAGAGTATCCGATGAAATCTCGCACTATTCCTGCCATGCTCTCATGGTCGCGTGTGATAGCCATCCTGTTCTTCCTTTCGCGGAAAACACGCGTATCTGGGAGAACGTTGAACTCCTTGCAGAGTTGAGGAAAGTCGAGAAACTTTTCAATGCAGTAGAGGTGGACGTATCCCGCATTGTGGAAGGGATCTGTCTTTCGCTTGGTAGAGTGCTCCTCGAAGCATATACGGAATTCACCCTTACGGATAGTGCGCAAATGGTCAGGGCAGTCGGTAAAGCGACATTTGTCGGACATCTTATCGGGATAGCGGCGTCCGCTGTCGGCGGGAACAGTTTGGACCCAAAGCTTGAGTCCAGATTTCTTGGGATCGCGGTGGTTGTGGAGAGGGTGCTTCCCGATATACTCGACGATCTGGCCCACCGTGAAAGAGTAAAGCGGGTTGAGCTCGCCATGTTCGGTGTACTGGAACAGTTGGTCGCCAGTGACAGAGTTGATGGAGCCCCAAGAAGCAGGTCGACACTGAAGAGGTTCATAGAACTCTGCTGGGTTGAAGTTTCTGATGTTGTCTGGGCGTTTGTTGCCTGCTTTCTTCACGCGAGCAATCCGTCTTGGAGAAAGTGATGGTGCTGGAGCAGGCGATGCCATGCCATTTTGAAGTGCAGCGACAAAGTCTTGCTGTTTCTCGCGTTGCAATTGTTCTTCAAGTGCCGATTGAAGTTGTTGTTCAAAGGGAAAGTTGACTCTGTCTATGACTCGGAGAGGGGTGACTGGGCTGCTGAAGTGGTTGAGGATGTCATTGAGGTACTGGCGTTCTTGCGCGGGGTCCAGCCCAAGGAGAGCAGGGTCGATTGGGGTAACCGTAACAGGCTGACCCCGACCTTGACGTTGACTGACGCCCGAGGGTGAATACATAACGGTAGGGTTGGTGTTGGTTCCGCCATTGTAGTCATCCCGAAGATCGAAATGACCTTGATCGAAGCCCGAGGATGATGTGATATCGGCAGGATTGACGTATAATCCGCTCGACTCACCGTTATAATCATCATGGTATCCAATCTTCGGTTGAAAGTTTCTATCCATCAGCTCTTCCTCAGGATATATGGATGGTGGCACAATGCCATCATGCAGCGGTCCGTCCTGGTAAATGCGAAAGTCGAAGTCGTCGAAATTTGCGGTCTCCTCGACTAAAGAAGGGACCACAGGAGGGTAGTTGTCATTGTCAGAGCTTGGGAGATCCGTGGTGTCTTCAAAAAAGGATTCGTTAAACTTGTCCATAATGGCTATGCAATCTAGCAGCACAGCTGTCTAGAAGAGAGTAGAGTCAGTGACGAGAAGAAGTAGTAAATGACGTAAATGACACGATCCAGTCGTGATATAAGAATGAGAGTTGCTGTTTCAGATAGTGAGAAGAGAGCCGCGGGAAAAAGTAAATGAATGAAAAAGGATGAATACAATGGGGATTATGATGTTCATATAGGAAACTCGATTGGCAGTGTGGCTTCGATCTTTCTTAGACTCGACAGCTTAGAACAAGGCAGAGGGTCAAATTGGTCAAAGGAATCCAAAAATAAGTTCATAGACAACGAAATTGAGATGCTAATTCGAATAAAGACGACAAAATTGGAGAGCAATTCCATTGTCCCCTGATATAGCTACGAATTCAGGCTTCAGATTCGCTGCTTTGCCCATACTGATGGCGACTTAATGTCCAACAGGCTTTCGACTTTGAGGGAAATCTTGTTACGAGTATTTCCCAACAAAATGCCAATTATTGGGAATTAGACCACTCGGCTTTGCCAGATAGGAAAATATGGCAGACAAGAATCCTCGACAAGGACGAGTTTACCTAACTAACAAAGGAACAACTGCTTTGAACATGGCATTCACTGCTACTAGCCATTTATTCCAAATTCAGTGGGAGGTTCACTTCATTGTTTCATTGCGTGCAATTGATAAATGCACCAATCTGGATTTCCCGCAAAAGGCAAAAGTCTCCGGTCAAGTATTCGAGTTTCGAGGTCTTGGTCACGCTTGTGACTTATGAGTAAGCTTGATACAAGATGTCCGGGGAGCACAGCGAGGGCCATTCTCTTCCGGGAATTTCGTGAGGCTAGCCAGAATTGAAAACAGTTTCTCCCCAGGAAGTGATTAGCGAGACCTCAGAGTCTGGAACCTCCGCGTGCTGATTGAATACTTGTACAGAAGTTAGCAAACATATCAATGATTAGCAGTGGTGATGAGATTGCAAATTGTGTACGCAAGTCAGAAGGTCTCCAAAGGTACGTCCACATAATTTTTAGGAACAGGTCTTGGTTCATCATTTTCGACCACAAAAGCGCAGGAGATATTAAATATAAACTCACAAAGCTACAGCCGTACTAACTTTGACTAGTCAGTTCAGGAATGGACCAAAGAGACAAAGACTCGCAATACTGTCAAATTTCCAATTGAAAGGCACTGGAGAATTTTGCCTCGGCGCTCAGTGGAGTCGAGACACTCAACTTTGCCTCTTCATCTGAGACCTCTCTAATAGTGGCACCGGCTTAGACTGCTCTCAAGTCGAAACAGCGCACGGCACAAATGAGTCGACATGCTCTCCAGGGCATAGAGAAGGATCATTGCAGTCGATGGAAGCGTAATTGACGAGATAAATAGATGACTTGTAATTGAGTGATATTTCGGAATAAGATTGTTGAGGAAGCAAATGTGTGCACGAAAGAAAGAAAGGGTTCTTCACTCCCGGAAGTGGCGTTTGCTCTAAACCGAAACAGGCACAAGCGCCCTGGGCTGCAGCATCAGGTTTATCCGGACAGGAATACGAAGAGCCAGCCAAGGTGCTGTCGTGAGCAACTCTTAAACCTTGGCCATGACCTATTCTGCTTCTTGACGCTCGTTTTGATACTCTCTTCAATCTGGATCCAAATCGCCAACTCGAATACATGCTTTCGAGTTCGAGTACCTAAGGGCCCCCTAAGTCTACCGATTCTCATATAGCTTCGTCGCATTGGGACTGGCGGTTGAAGCCCTTCCCCGTCTTTGGGCATTGCCGAGATGGAAACAGGGAACCCGGAGCTGCAAGACAAGCTACAACAGCTTGAACTTGAATTCGAGGCAAGTTGCAGTGTTTGTAAAGGCAGGAGACGTGTTTTGGGTTTCGTCGCGTGCCCGAGTGGGATGTGCGCTAATACAAGTGGAATGTTGGGGATGGACACCAACCTATGAACTCGTGCTTACTTTTGACATTAGGAGGGAGACATCACTGAGAAAGGGTAAGAGTTAACGAAAGTCTGCTGTGCTGTCCCTGCGCAGTCGATTCCCTGCGAATTGTGAAATTGTTTCTGATTCAGCTCTGCAGATACCAAAAACGACGAACCCTCCTACTCTCACAATATCTAGGCTCGTCTGCTGTTGCAGCGGAGCTGAAAGGTTTACGTATACACTCTCCCGACAATACTGCACATCCAATCAACGATGGGTCCCGAAGTGCCTCGCTCGCGGCTCTCAATGCGAACTCGACCGAGAATTACGGCTCTACACCAGAGGTACCCCCTCAATCGCCTGCCAGAATAGGTTCTTCCCCAAATTTGGACACAATGACGAGCGATTACAGCAGCTTTGGGAATAATCGAGGGCAGGGAGGAGGATTTTCCTATGCTGGTCCGCCGAAAGCTCTGCGGCTCGGTGTTCACAATCCGGGACAGAGGCCACACTTATCCAGCCATGACTCTCTGTTTCTACCAGGCACTCCTGCATCTGGGGGAAACTCGATCGAGCCCACCATGACAATGGCATCCTCAGTCTCAGGGGCGAATTATGCTTTCAATCCGGCACAACAAGTCGGTTACGTTGAACAACAAGCAGATACTTATGAGAGCCAGGCTGGAACAATGATGGACAGGAACGGCACCATGTTGGGCGAGTCACAACAGGGCTATTTCTCTGACTTTGCTGGTCAACAAAGCTATGACCATGGGCCACCGAACTCATATGGTGGAGGGCCACATCGGTATTCCTCAAGCGACGCCTTCTCTCCAACGGCTGCGATGGCACCACCGATGTTGAGCACTAGCGATCTTCCTCCACCCGCTGCACTAGAGTATCAAATGCCGTTGGAACCGCGAGATGTCCCTTTTGCGGTCTATGACCCCCAAGATGAGAATACGCCCATGTCAAAATTCGATAACATCGCAGCAGTATTAAGGCACCGGGCCCGAAATAATGCCAAGGCGCCAGCATACTGGGTTTTAGACGGCAGGGGGAAAGAAGTCTCCTCAATTACCTGGGATAAGCTGACAAGCAGGGCTGAAAAGGTCGCTCAAGTGATCAGGGACAAGAGCTCTTTATATCGTGGTGATCGGGTCGCCCTGATATACCGAGATACGGAAATCATTGACTTCGCTATCGCTCTGCTCGGTTGCTTCATTGCTGGAGTAGTAGCTGTTCCCATCAATGATCTGGAAGACTACGCCAAGCTGAATATGATTCTCACATCTACGCAGGCGCATCTTGCGCTCACTACCGATAACAACTTGAAGGCATTTCAGCGAGATATCACTACGCAGAAACTTAATTGGCCTCGCGGAGTAGAATGGTGGAAGACCAACGAATTTGGAAGTTTTCACCCGAAAAAGAAGGATGATGTGCCGCCGTTGACAGTGCCGGATCTTGCTTATATCGAATTTTCGAGGGCACCGACAGGCGATTTACGAGGAGTTGTCATGAGCCATCGCACAATCATGCATCAGATGGCCTGCCTGAGTGCGATATTCTCGACGGTGCCGTCCGGTAGTCAAGCCGACACGTTCAATGCTGGTCTTCGAGATAAGAATGGCAAACTGATGGTCAGTCAAAGGGGAGGGACTGAAATTCTGCTATCTTACCTGGACCCTCGGCAAGGCATTGGCATGATCCTAGGCGTGCTGTTGACAGTGTACGGAGGGCACACAACTGTTTGGATGGAAGGCAAAGCCGTTGAGACCCCTGGACTTTACGCCCACATAACCACCAAATACAGAGCCACATTGATGCTTGCAGATTATCCAGGTCTCAAACGGGCAGCTTACAACTATCAACAAGACCCACTTACCACCAGAAACTACAAGAAAGGTATGGAGCCGAACTTTGCTCATGTCAAACTATGTTTGATAGACACTCTGACCGTGGACTGCGAATTTCACGAAGTTTTGGCGGATCGTTGGCTCCGACCAATGCGAAATCCTCGAGCCCGCGAGTTAGTTGCGCCCATGTTGTGTCTTCCAGAGCATGGAGGTATGGTTATTAGTATGCGTGATTGGTTAGGCGGAGAAGAACGTATGGGTTGTCCACTGAAGTTAGACATGGGCTCAGACACTGCGTCGGAAGACGGAAAAGTGGAAGAGAAGGAGAAAGAGAAGGAAAAATCCCCAGGGGCTGGTTTTGGCAGCTTGATCGGAGGAGGCACTACGACATCCACTCAAGAGCAAGGTAGGACAGAGCTAAGCGAGGTTCTTCTAGATCGAGAATCGTTGAAAACGAACGAGGTTGTGGTCATCGCGACTGGGGAAGAAGCGCGAAAGAAAGCGAGCAGTGAGCCAGGGACAGTCAGAGTGGGAGCTTTTGGATTTCCGATTCCAGACGCGACCTTGGCAGTTGTCGATCCCGAAACTGGTCTCCTCGCTTCGCCGCATTCTGTGGGTGAGATTTGGGTCGATTCTCCATCCCTTTCGGGGGGCTTTTGGGCCTTGCCAAAGCACACCGAACAGATATTTCACGCGAGACCATATAAGTTCGAGCAGGGTGACCCTACGCCAATGATGGTCGAGCCTGAATTTTTACGAACAGGTCTGCTTGGGACAGTCATCGAAGGCAAGATTTTCGTTCTTGGTCTGTACGAAGACCGGATACGACAGAAAGTGGAATGGGTTGAACACGGCCATGAAGTTGCTGAGCATCGATACTTTTTCGTTCAACACATCATTGTGAGCATCATGAAGAATGTCACGAAGATTTATGACTGCTCAGCTTTCGACGTCTTCGTCAACGATGAACACCTTCCAGTCGTGTTGTTAGAGTCGAAATCGGCTTCCACTGCCCCGGTAACATCCGGAGGCCCTCCACGCCAACTTGATACAGCGCTTCTGGACTCACTTTCAGAAAGATGCATGGAGGTTTTGCTTCAGGAGCATCATCTCAGAGTATATTGCGTCATGATCACAGCCCCTGACACTCTGCCAAAAGTTCTCAAGAATGGGCGAAGAGAAATTGGTAATATGTTGTGTAGGCGAGAGTTTGATCTCGGCAATTTGCCCTGTGTACACGTCAAATTTGGCGTTGAAAGAGCCGTGCTAAACCTCCCAATTGGGGTGGACCCAATTGGAGGTATCTGGTCACCCATCGCCTCACAGACGCGAGAAGACATTTTGTCACCTGGGGACAAGCAGTATTCGGGTATCGATCGCCGAGAGGTTGTCATTGATGATCGGACGTCGACTCCTCTCAACAATTTCTCGAGCATTGTCGATTTGCTTCAATGGAGAGTTGCACGCCAAGCGGAGGAATTATCCTACTGTACAATTGATGGCAGAGGCAAGGAAGGCAAGGGTATTACATGGAAGAAGTTTGACACAAAAGTCGCTGCGGTCGCCATGTACCTCAAGAACAAGGTCAAGATCCGAGCGGGCGACAACTTAATACTCATGTATACGCATTCGGAAGACTTCGTCTATGCTGTACATGCGTGCTTCTGCCTTGGAGCAACAGCTATCCCGATGGCACCCTTGGATCAGAACCGTTTGAATGAAGATGCCCCGGCTTTCCTCCACATGGTAGCTGATTACAAGGTCAAAGCTGTCTTGGTAAATCAAGATGTTGATCATCTTATGAAGCAGAAGACGGTGTCGCAACACATAAAGCAGTCAGCGCAAGTATTGAAGGTTACAATGCCGAGCATTTACAATACAACGAAGCCGCCAAAACAGAACAGTGGATGTAGAGACCTCGGCCTGACGATGCAACCAAGCTGGGTACAACCTGGCTATCCCGTCTTAGTATGGACGTACTGGACTCCTGATCAGCGTCGCACAGCAGTCCAACTTGGCCACGACACTATTATGGGCATGTGCAAAGTGCAGAAAGAAACCTGTCAGATGACGAGTTCAAGACCAGTGTTGGGTTGTGTTCGCAGCACCATGGGTTTGGGCTTCATCCATACATGCCTTATGGGCATATTCGTTGGTGCCCCCACATACCTCGTTTCTCCAGTCGAGTTTGCACAAAACCCAATCTCGTTGTTCTTGACATTATCGAGGTACAAAATCAAAGACACATATGCGACGCCCCAAATGCTAGATCATGCAATGGCCATCATGCCGGGAAAAGGTTTCACCTTACATGAGCTTAAGAACATGATGATCTCTGCTGAGGGACGGCCACGTGTGGACGTCTTCCAGAAAGTGCGACTTCACTTTGCCCAAACAGGACTCGATCGTACGGCCATTAACACCATTTATTCCCACGTCCTCAATCCTATGATCGCATCTCGATCATACATGTGTATTGAACCCATCGAACTCTGGCTGGATAAGCAGGCATTGAGGCGTGGGATGATCTATCCTGTGGACCCTGAAGCTGACCCAAAGGCTCTTCTGGTTCAGGATTCTGGCATGGTGCCCGTGTCAACCCAGATAGCGATCGTGAACCCCGAAAGCCGAGCGCTATGCCACGACGGCGAGTACGGTGAAATCTGGGTTGAGTCGGAAGCTTGCGTGAAAACCTTTTACAGATCTAAAGATCCATTCGACTCCGAGCGGTTTGATGGTCGTACACTTGACGGTGATCCAATGGTTCAGTATGTCCGTACCGGGGATCTTGGGTTCTTGCACAATGTTAGCCGGCCGATTGGCCCAAATGGTGCGCAGGTTGACATGCAAGTGCTCTTCGTCTTGGGTAGCATTGGTGAAACTTTTGAGATCAACGGACTCAGTCACTTCCCAATGGATATTGAGTATTCAGTTGAACATTGCCACAAAAGCATTGTGCCAGGGGGCTGGTAAGTTATTCTCCTAAATCGCTAAGACTCGACTAACATGTGTAGTGCTGTCTTCCAAGCTGGTGGACTCATAGTAGTTCTCGTCGAGGTAGGAAGAAAGGCGTATCTTGCTTCCATCGTTCCCGTCATCGTAAATGCAATTCTCAGTGAACACCAAATCGTTGTTGACATTGTCGCGTTCGTCAACAAGGGAGACTTCCCAAGATCGAGACTTGGTGAGAAACAAAGAGGCAAAATATTGGCTAGCTGGGTCACACGAAAGATGCGCACTATGGCACAGTTTGGAATTCGGGATGCCGACTCAGGTCTTGCTGACCTTGCTGAAGCTCTGGAGCCACGTAGTGGTATAGCCAGTATCAGAAATGGGAGCGTAATGGCAAGTAGTCTCCGGAATGTGGAATCAGCTCCACAGATTCGGGAAGAACGCGAGCTTGAGCGACAGCAAGTGGGAGCTCGGAACAGTTTTGTCCCACTTCCGACTGGGATTTCCGAAATGCCGGCCCAGAATTATGACGATTCAATCGTTGGATCACCTAACAAAGAGAACGGGGCCTCCACAAAAAGCGATGATACCCCAACAGACACTCGAAAGAATCATTTCGAGCTTCCGAGCGACGACTATGACCCGGAGAAAAACAACTTCTCGGACGAATTTGAGATTCCCGGATTTTCAAAGACGGAGTCTCTTGATATCTCCCCACCTCAGGTTGGGCCAAAGCCAGTTTCGAGTCACAGAATCAGTCTACCAGCAGTTGAGGGAAGAGAAGGCGATCTGTGGACGTTGCCAAGCCAGCAACCTCGTAGCGGTTTGAGAGTACAAAACGGATCGAGTGATGAAGATGATGATTCATGGGAACAGGATGCGATAATGCACATGAATCTTGCAGGGCGATAATTGGACAAGGGATGTTGGAGCTCTGCATGACAAATGGATAGATGAAGCGTGATGCTTTGATAGACCATCCGTTGGTGGTCATGGTTTTGATTCGATTCATGGCGGGGTGTTCTTTTTTATCAAACGATGCATGGACGGGGTCGGAGCATTATAGTTCTTTATGAAGTGACAAAAGGGCACTGTTGTGTATAGTGGTGGTGGATCCAATAATGATATAAAGAGAATTTCTTGTAGCATTGTGGCCGAGATCTTGATAGTACCACTCCAGGTGATATCCTGATGGAGAAAATCCTTCCATTCATTTATGGAGATTTAATAGTCCCATTGACTCCCAGAATTGAATTTCCGGAATATTTGAGAAGCAAGGATTGAAACTAGTAAGATTGAGACTCACTCGATTGAAATTTTCGGATTGCAGGCATTGAAGGCTAAGCCGTTAACGTGGTGCTTTGGAGGTTGCCTTGACAAACTGAAGAAGAAAAATGAGAGGGAGAATGTTTTACATCCTTTGGTACATCCACATTCCACATGAACGAACACACATAACGTCACAAATATTCCCTCTTTCTTGGAGCTTTCCTGGTCACCTAGCTCGGGTCGTCCACTCCCACTCCCACCAGCGGCACCACAGTTCCCAGGCCCTGTCCAGTGCCAGTCACGTGCGAATTCCCCGATCTTCAGCAGCTTCCCTGTCTTTAGGTAACACCAGTGCGGGAAGCCGCATCAAGGCACGGCTTCGACTCACAAACTCGTCTGCCGTCGCCTTTGTCTCTACAAACCCTTGGAGAACGGATAGACTAAAGACGAGTTCGCCATGGCCGGGGCACCGGGGAATGAAGTGGAAGTCGAGGCAGAGCAGCTTGCGTTGCAGGTCATCGTTTTGGTAAGCCAGCACCTTCCCTCACCAGCAGCGCTCACTTTGAGGGTATTCGCATGAGAGTGCCGGAGTCTTGCGTCATGAGGGATTAATGCGGCTTTGCGCATCTTTCCTTTCTTTTGCCAGACAATCCCTTTGTTCCATGTTTCCGCTGTTGCGGCTCTCTACAGGGCTGAGAAGGTCACGTGGCAACGCATGTGGACCCCGATCTATTATGAACGAGCCATGGCTCTTTCCTGACGGACAGACAGCACAGATCTCAATGATGAAAGTCAGGTTGACTAATTCGCTAACAAAGATGTGTACAGGGTTCGGGAGGCGGACCAGTGGAGGACAACATTACAGCATTCCTGGTTCGATCCACTGCTGTCGGCTGGAAGAAAGGATGCTTGCTTGCAGTTGATGCAGGTGTCCATCTGGCCGCCATTGCAAAGATCCTAGAACGCCATAAAGCGGATAGATCAGGGAACGATGAGAAGCAAGCCGTCACCTTGATTGATGGACCCTTCGAAGGCCTTCAAATCCCTCACTCCTCCGCCAGTGCAAATGCAGCACACATATCACGCACTCTTGTTGATACTTACCTCGTGACACACCCGCACCTCGACCATATCTCTGGATTTGTGGTGAACACTGCCGCTATGCCCGGATCTCGTCCAAAACGTCTTGCTGGATTGCCATCTACTATTGAGGCTTTCAAGAACCATATTTTCAATAATGTCATCTGGCCAAACCTGTCGGATGAGAACAATGGCGCTGGACTGGTGACTTACATGAGATTAGTGGAAGGTGGCTCTCCTGCTCTTGGCGACGGCGAGGGCAAGGGCTACGTTGAAGTGTGCGACGGGCTGAGTGTGAAAACTTGGGGTGTTAGTCATGGTCATTGTATCGAGAGGCACAGTCATCGAGGGTCAAGTTTTGGGCTTGGATCAAGTAGTTCTCAACTGGATGCTTCTCCACGGCAACGTACTACGTCCGTATCGCAATCACAGCTTCAGCCACCCTCTCGAACGAGTTCCGGATCAGGCTTCATCCCGGGAGAACTACTGAGAGTCGAATCTCAGGAGCGGATATGCGTTTATGACAGCTCAGCGTACTTTATTCGAGATATTGCCACCGGCAAGGAAATTTTGATGTTTGGAGATGTGGAACCAGATACGATTTCCCTATCGCCGCGGAACATGCATGTCTGGAGTGAAGCTGCGCCAAAGATCGCATCCGGCCATCTAAGAGGGGTATTTATCGAGTGTTCTTACGACGACTCTGTGTCCAACGATTACTTGTACGGCCATATCGCCCCTAGATTTATGATTGAAGAGATGAAATGCTTGGCCAATGAAGTTAGGAAAGTCAAGGAGAACAAGAAGAGGAAGCGTGAGGGCAATGGGGACGCTCTTGGCAACAGCCGTCGAAAACCGACTCGAGCAGTCAGAGACTTAAGTCCTCAAGTCAGTCCACGATCAGGGCGAACTCGAAACTCCATTGATTTTGAAATCATGCAGGCTGATGGACAGAACGAATTATTGAAGGAGGTCGATGAAGAAGATACCATAGACCAAGACCATTCTCTGCCAATTCGAAGCTCCTCAGAGTTGCCATTGAAAGGTCTCAAGATCGTCATTATCCATATGAAGGAGAAACTCAATGATGGACCTCCTGTTGGTGAGCTAATTCTGAAGCAGCTCCAGGGTTACGAAGCACAGGCACGTTTAGGGTGTGAATTCGTAATTTCAAAAGTTGGGGACGCAATGTACTTCTAAGGCTGGAGTTTCCCAAGAGTACTTTGGAAGACTGAATTTGCATGAGATTGGGGGGCTGGAGTTTTGCGTGTTAGGGAGGCGGCAGAGTTGATGATTTCTCGGCGTGAGGTGGGTGGCTATGCGTTGTGACTGGGAACCAGGCGTTGGTATGCTCTCCTTGATGTAGTTTATTAAGTCCATTGAACTTCACCCTAGGCCTCCTTTGTCCACTCCAGGCTCGATGGTCTTCACGCTAGTGGAAAAAGGATCCTGAAGTGTCAAGATACGGCCCGCGGCGCTGTCATGAGTGGATCTTACTGGATGCACCGCTTTCAATATCCTCGAAAGTTCCTGTCAGCAACTCATCCTGCAATGCGCTCAACAGCATATATGATTCTTAGGAGTAAAAGGTGCCGGCCTCTGCTACTACAGACATCATGACGATGCTTTCTCCAAGTTGGTGAAACGCGTCAATTAGCGTAGAGTAGCCTCCCACAAATGGTCACAGTATCAAGAAGACACCGTTCATTGTGTCCTGGATGAGGGATGGATGAAGGGTTCTGAGTGAGTAACTTCGCACGATTATTGGAATAATAAGAGCATACAACCATTGGACTTAGAGGCGAAAGCTTGATTGCACTGCTGAATGAGAAACATCCCCCCTCGATCATTACAGAGAGATAACCTCCCGTGACCTCCAAATTCGGGAACTAAGAGGTATGCACCGTATTCATGCCTATTCGATCGCAAGTTTCCTTCTTTCGGCAAAGCTTTAAGGATCTAGGAAATCGCTACCAAGAAACGGGGTTAATGGAGGAAGAGCCCACCGGGACAACGTTGACATCACTTGCTCCTCAGAAAACTGGCTCCTGACAACCGCAAATTATTCTAAGTTACACCTATCACCTTTTATAACACTCGTTCGCTCCATAGCATTCGTTCAACCCCTTGTGACCATTGCTATCCACATACAACATTTGTTCTCGCAAACAGCGATCAGCAACAAGTAACAAGTTCAAGCCCTATGAGAATCGTTTCATTCATTCCACGGCAATAATCATGGACCGAACAGCTTCACCTGCGAACCGCAGACGGGCTGCACGGTATCTGGCCCATGCTCGCAACGAACTGCGGTTCCACGCCGTGAAGACGGGAAGGAACAAAATAATTCCCCAACCAGTTTTTCTGGAGATGTTTGGGGAAGAAAGCGACGAAAATATCGATTCCGACTCCGCCTCGTCATCGGATACAGACACGGCACTGACTGATCCTGACATCGATGCCTATATGCGTGATGCAGAAGGCACCCAAACGGGAAGACCAGATATCTCGGCGGACAGTGCGAGTAAACTGTCACAGGTGGAACAAACCCATGTTGAGCACCTCAACTTCATCCGTGATACGACGGAAAGAATGGACTTGCCAGAAGATATACATGGGGAGGGAGACGACGAGGCTATGGAGGCTTTCCTCTACCCGGACCCAATCCCATCTGAACTGGTTCCGCCTCCGACCCCAAGACTCTCTCACGTGGACCTACCTCTCCCTTCCATCGAGACCGATACCCCCAAAGGCAACATCAGAGAAACACGCGATTGGATGGAAGAATGCGAAGGAGGAGACTTGTCGAACATCATTCACTTGATACCTGCCAATGGCGACGGGCCTTTGTTCTCGGGTGAGGGTCACTTAGACAACAATAGCACCGGCCACACAAAAGATGTATCAATACAAGATGATGAAGATGGAGACGTGTCAAATGCCTCTCCGTTCTCCTTGATAATAGATACATCCGAGATGGACGCACTTCAGCCAGAGCCTGAAGACAGAGACTTGTCAGGTACCCAAGGACGGGTCAGGGATGACAAGCAGCTTTGGGCGCCAATGATCCAGAATGCCATGCAAGCAGAAGCGTCTCTCAACAATCGTACTCAATCAGCTTTCACTAGTCAGACACCTGGCTTGGGTTGTGTCGCAGTCCATATGGATGACTTCACAGAACCCCGCGTGACTGATTTGCCAGGCGAACCCTTATCCGTGAAGGCTACAGCTCTCGAAGAGGACGCTCCCCAGTCAATGGAAACAGTTCTGCGGGAACCTGAAGACATGGGCTTGTCTGACATCCCTCTCCCAGTCAGCGGCCCAGAGGTCCATGCTGCCTCGCTGACCAAGGGATTCCCCACAAACCATCCTCTACCCACTGCTCTCAATCAGATACCAGGCTTAGGATGCGCGTCAGTTCATACGAATAACTTTATCGGATCCTCCATGACTGGTGTGAGAACCGAACTCTTACCTGAACAGGCTCCAGCCGCGGAGCCTGCCACTCATGCTGCATCATCAGAATTCACTGAAGAGGAAGAGGTACCCGACCGTGTCCTCGAACTTTTCATGGAAGATCTGGAAGAGATGGAAGCTAACGTCCTCGCGCAGGCAGAAACTGAAAGAAGACTACTGTGTCGGAAACACAAGGCGCTGGCCTCAAACCATCATTATACCTGGGGATCCCCGTCATCCCCAGCCACGCCACGCCTAGAAAAACGGGGCATCACTCGCATGAAAGGACAACGGCCATATACAGAGAAGGAATTCCAGGCTATTAGGAAATTGCGGAAAACGCTACCGCCCTGGAAGAAGCATGCGGTTTGGAGCAGAAGTCTCTTGTGCGTAGAGACGAGATTGGGTGGAGAATGGGGCCCGTTTCGTTCGTTCCATACTCGAAGGGGACCGACAGGCGGTGATCCACGCCTCCCATATTGGAGACATTGCAATTACTGTGGTAACGGTTGTAAGGCTGTGTGAGGCAGGTACTGATGGAAAGGACGGTCGTCGTTCGTTGAGAAGGACATTTTTCTGGGATTATGGAAGATAATGTTGAATACCCTGTTGTACTTGCATTAGTGTCGTCGTCGCCGCATCACGGGCAAGTGATACCAGCATTGTAAAGTAGCTTTACATAGCGCAGCGAATGATCATATTTTACCTAAAACTTCCAAACATCAGAAGCGTAAGTTTGTAGGAGCTCTATGAATGGGTAAGAAACTCAACGTAAGAGAAAACGATCTCCAAGGCCTCGCCATGTATTCTCTATTTTCAATCTTGTCCATTAATTTGCCAGGCAGACCAGATGCAATAGCATCTACAAAGGAACATGATATCATTGTCTTGTCTCTCGTTCTCGTCTGTGTATTCCCTGCTATTTATACTGCATCCTCACTCATCACTTCCCTCCTTATGACTCACTAACACGTTCGCTCCTATGGTGCTTTCTTATTCACCCCCTCCAGCCCAGCCAGTTCAGCAAAGTCAAAAGCCAAAGATCGGACCTCAAACCCATCATGCATGTATGCAATCCCGATAGCAAAACTCCTTGCGCCGATCCGATTCTTCGCTGCTGGACTAATGGACAACCAACAGATAAAGTAAAGCACCCGCCCACGCTAATAGCTCGCAAGCAAGATATCCCCCAACCCAAGCCAACCCCAACACCGTTCAAGCCAAGCAAGCCATGCCATCCGTATCTTATCTCAAGCGAGCGTGCGCTGCAACTCAGCTTGACGCTCTGGTATCATCTCTGTTCTGTCATGATCGTCCCCCTTGCTCTCGTGATCTATGACTGTCATTCCTTTCTCTCTGGCTACCGCTCCGTTCCCGGGCCCGATCCTCTGCCACTGCGTCATTATAGCTTGGTATTGGTGGCGGAGTGCTTTTCCTTCGTAGCATGGGCGTTCGCTCACTGTCGCTGCTTCCTCGTGGACTATTGGAATTTGAGGGGAGAGGGCTTGTGTACTCTGGGGGTGGCTGTGCTTCCTGCACTCCTAGCCCAACATTCGTGGTGGTTGTCGTTGCTTGTTGCGGCTGCACCACCGATTGACTTGATTCCCCAGGCTCATCATTTGACGGAATGTGGGTGAGATGTGCCAGAGAGATGTCGGTTGGTGAACGGACGGGTCCGGGACTCGTTGGTGGACCGTATCTGAAGTTCCCACTTCTCGTTCGGCCATGCCGTGGATCTGGGTAATGCCCGTGACTGCTTTGAGCTCCTTCTCGTCCGGCCTCAAGCAGTATACTTCCTTGCTCGCTCCCATATGGTGGCGGAGGAGCCAAACTTCCAGTCATGGGAGCTAAGCCCCATTTCTTGACATTTGCTTCGATAAAGACGAATCCAGATTGTCCAAAGTTGACATGCACAGTGCAGGGCCCATTTGCACCCACTGCTGGAAAGAGATTTTGTGATTTCAGCCCGTGCGCCACATCTTCCAATTTCTTGCCATTTCGTGTGAAGAATATCGTGCCTGTTCGAGGTCGATATCCGACGCCGATGACATCTCCCTGCACAATTTGTGGTCCATATGCTGGCCCGTTAAATGGCTGATTATATCTTCGATGTCCGGTAGATATGTACGCAACTGAATATTTATGCCAACCTAGGTACATAATCAGTATCAAATTCTAAACATTAAAAGTATGCCCACGTACCAGGTAATCTGAATAAGGGATACGGCTTCGTAGCCACCCCTATACTGAGTAATGTTGATTCAGGCTTGTCATAAATCTTCGACTCCCAATAATAAACCTCGTTTTGCTTTGGTACGGGCAGATTCGTCAAAGTTGAGCATTCCGAGTCAAAGAACTCGATTTCAGTCCTCCCCTCCACAAAGCAATTCGCAATCTCCAGCTCCGGCTCGAATTCCCACGCTGAGACACCCTTTTCTTGAATTGCTAAGTACTGTGACAGTGAGATATCCGTCGGTAATGAGTCTGGAGGATTGGCCTGGATGAACGCTGTAGGCAGACGTCAAATTAGTATACGCTTCACTCCGAGGGAACCAGGATATGATGAAGTGTAAATGTACCTTTGGCTCTCAGATATTCTGTCCGCTGCAAATCATCCATCTCTTCCAGAGCCTCCGCCTCCTCCCTCATATATGCCTGCTCGTCGTCATATTCACCCGGTCTCCCCAGCCGGTCCAGCAATATGCGGCCACTGCTCGTATACTTGAAGAAGTAGACGATCAGGAATATAAGGGCTATTAGAATGGCACTTCCAAAAGAGCTGAGCAGGCCGATCACGACGCCGTTGATGGTTGAATCATTGCGCTGCACGTGGATGTCGCCGCTTGGAGGCTGCCACAACGGTGCGTTGGTCGACTCTGGGCTCGAGAGTAGTATTTGCAGGTTCTCTGGCGCATCTTGGGATAGAGGCGTTGGTGTGGGTGAGAGGAGAGAAGTCATGAGGGTCGTGTGCGTCCCCCGCAGATGTTCGTCCATCATGCCGTCCTGTCGTCCTTATCGCACCCTTCTCCGTCGTCGTATGCCGCTCCGAGGATACAAGATGACCTCCTAGAGCAGCGTCCGTGCCGGCGTTCTCGGCCAGCGAGGCAGTGCCAATCCACTTGGAGTTGACGGTCGTGGGAACGGGTATCGTGATTGAAAGATGAGGTCTGGAGGTCGGCAAGTGATCCGCTGCAGAGCAGTTGCAGTCTCGCCTGGCTCCGCTCGCTCGCTCGGACAAGGGCCTTGGTCTGATGCCTGCCAAGGAGCTGTGTGGCGTCAGAAACAACACTGGCATTCGTCGCCGACTCTCCGCCCCCACAGAGAGTGACCTCCTCTTACGTAGCGTTACGGAACGAGAAGAGGGAGAGGCGAATGTGCGCAATTGTCAGTCGATTCTCACCACCTCATCTTCGAGAGTCACGGGGAGAAATATTCAGCAACGTTCTTGACCGCTTGTGTGCCTGGACCGCGTTTGTTTTGCGTGGCCAGGAGGATTTGCTGTCTGGTTTCAAAAGGCGCCCTGGAGGTGTATCAATGCCTGTTTCATGCCTTTATTTGAGGAGCATTGCACGCCGCATCTGCGCTTCGGGGTGCCTTTCAAAGCGAGACTTGAACCATATATTTGGTGAAGTCTTGACGATCATTGATTGTCAATCTTCGATATTGTCTTGGAGTTTAATTAAATGACCAGGCGGTGAAAGCCCCCTTTCCTCACTCACTACACGTCTCACAGTGATTGGAATCATCTCCAGATATAGAGTTATGCCAGCAGAGAGTCACTTCTAGTTGTTTACATTGGTTTAACTAATAACAAACAAGAAGTTGGGGAGATTTGAATGACCTTGGTCTTAGGTCATTAAGATAGCTGTTAAGAAAAGGATAAGTTCCAATAGCTGTCAAGAACCGAACACTATTGAAACTTATGCATTATTCGCGAGTAATTCGGAAGTGCAGATCTTGTTCCAGTATGAGAGCAGCTCGGACCATTACCGTTGGTTCGTGAAACATATCCTTGTGAATTGCGCTCTTTGGTATCTGAAAGTCTCTAATGAACTCGTGCTGTATCATCCGTCATGAAATTCATTCGACGCCTCCAAAATGCAGATCTAGAAAACAACTCCATGATATGACATTGTCCCAAAGCGCAAGGAACATCAGCCTCGTCCCGTAAGGATGTAGCCGTCCTGTGAAATCAAGTCGCCATTTCCACGTCCCCGTCTCCTCCTTGCTTCTTCTTGTGCTCCTCAGCCCGCGATCTAGTTTTCTTCTTAGCTTCCTCGATCCACGCCTTATAAGCCTCCGGCCCCTCTTCCAGCTTCTCCGCAATAACACCCTTCAACACCTCGCCGGCAAATCCCACGAAGTTATGCCTCCTCAAGGCATTCTCAAATTGCCACCCGTCTCTCTTCTGTTCCTCCCTAAACAGCATCTCATGGTCACCAATCTCTCTCGCCCCGACTCTCAGATCTCTCACCATCGCCAACAAATTAAATCGGATCTCATTTGCAGGGTATCTCTCTATCCTCCTTTGCAGAACCGGAATAACCTTCTCGGGAAATTCCTCAGACGTACTCGCACCATGTGCAATCGGCGCCGGTTGCAGTCCATCTAATTCGTAAAGAATGCCGTTGATCGGGGTATAGGCAATGAAGTGATACACATCGTCGTCGTCAGTAGCCGTCCGTTGCGTCTCGTCAACAAACGGGCTGCTCTTTGCAAAGCTGTTATGCACATCCCTAATCAACTCGCTATTACTGAGCGCTTCGCCACGAAACTCAGCCGGGAATCCTGCAGTAAATTCCTTGAAATCTCGCAATTGGGTCCCGACATCGATCTCGCCGTCCTTGTTCAGTAGCACCGATAGAAGAGCCTGAGTACCGCAGGCATTCTGTATTGTTTGCGCGGCGAAGAAAAGGTTATCCGCGGCGGCGTAGTCGTATTGGCCGTCTTTCGGTGTGCCGTCTGAGTTGGGCTTCTCGCTGGTAGGGTATTTGAAGAGGAATATGACGCCGTAGACGGGACTTAGTTGGCGGAGGTATTCGGCATCAAGGGCAATCAACTCTTCGAATTGCACATCTTTGACGCCTAGGTTATCGAGCAGGAAGGTGAAGACACCCTAGAAGATGTCAGTGGGCATTCTGGGGGCGAGGCGATCCAGAGGCAACCGACCGCATCCGACTCGACTATGATGACGTTAGTCAAGCATTAAGAAAGTTGAGAAAGGAAGGAAACCAACTGGTGTTCCAGCCTCCACTCATTTTGGCTGTTGCGAGCTTCGTGTTATGGTTGCGAGATTTAAAGCTTGGAGAGCTCCAAATTATTCCAAATGCCGCGATATCGCCAATGTCGGCTACACGTGACAAGACGGGGGTAACATCGAAATTGGTGTAAAGGTGAAAGGAAAAAGCGTAAGGCTTAAGAAGTTGATCATTTTATTTCTACAATTAGAGAAACAGAACTTAAATATTCTAACGTCTCCCAAACACTCTACAGGAGTCAAGTATAAGAGTGCGACAATGCGAGTATTTCTAGCGGAAGCATTGGCAGTGTTTAACCTGATTTGGAACGTTGAGACTGAGTGTCGCCTTGTCTGTCCCCTTGGCCCAGGTTAATGGAAAGTGAAGATCTGGAAGACTACAGGTCGGATCTGTAGCTACGGGGACTGAGCAGTTCATAGTTTTCTGACCCTATCTAGAAAGTGCCGTTCGTTCTGACCTTCACGCTAAGTCAAGTAATGAGGGCACAGACTTTCAACGTAAACACTTAATTCTTCTATCCATCATTACTTTAATTCCCTGATGCTTTCAAATTCCCATTACATGATAGCCGCTAAGTCTAACGCCGCTAATCATTTTCCCGCAAAAAATTCAAGTCAAGCCTCAGCGGCATGAGCTCTTAAACTCCGTTTCCATGCAATATGCGCTGGGGTATCGTAAGGACTGTGGCCGTAAGGAACGTGGGTATCATAAGGAGTGTGGGTATCTATCGTAAGGACCGTGGATATGATATATTCGTACAGGAATATCATAAAAAATTCGTAAAGTTCGTGATGCCGTGAGGCATTGTAAGAAGCGCCGCCAAATAGTAGAAACAGTATTACCGGGAAAGAGATCCGTAAAACTCATCCCATGCGCGATTAAATTAAGTCGTAAATCATAAAGCGGTGTTGTCGAAAAGTTTTTGAGATATTAAATCTGCCGGCCTTTTCCCTTTCCCGAGGATGAGTAGGCCGGAGAGGGAGCGCGAAGATGCGGAGGATAGCTGGGTACATGCGGTGCTTGCATTTGTAGCATCTGCTGCTCAGGAGTTCGAGGCTCGAATTTGATGTGCTCATCTTCAAGCGATTGTGGCTCAAACTTAAAAACGGGGGTGGTCCTGGGCGAGATGTTAAATCGTTTCGTCCGTATTATATCCACACGGTCGGAAGCACAAACCCGCCGAAGTTCGAGCCAGGGCCCTGTTCATACTGTTCATAAAGAGCAAAATCCTCTCCATGATCACTGTAAACAATGGATCCCTCCCCGAAGTTTGATGATGCTGGGCTATGGTAGCCTCCAAAACCGCTGGGCGACGGGATCCCGAGGTAGTTGTTGGTATAGGGGTCCAGGGTCAGAGGGCTGATGGCTGTCGCAGACATTGAATCGGGCGCCAGACTCATGACATGCTCTTGACTGTATGTGAATGCAGGGTTGCCATATGGAGAGAATGACAACGTCGTTGGATAACTCTCTTCCATCGTGTAGCTGCTGCCACCGAAAGTTGGGAAGGAGGCAGTTCGCTCAGGCTGAATCCAACCCATGCGGCCCCTGAACTTCGATACCATATCAATCGGATACTCCATGAGGTTGAGGGGAGTCTGCATATCTGCATCATATGTCTGAGAGACATTGATAGAGAAGAGCCTGCGAGCTATCTCCTCGATTGGGCCCAACGAGAGGCTCCCAAAGTAAGCCGCGCCAACTTCAGGGAACAATGGCTCGACTACCAATGCTACCGTGTAGTAATGTGCCAGAATGATCAGTGCAGAGGGAGATCCCCGTGTTTGTTGCAAGAACATGACCGGAAGCCAGAAGAGCCAAGCCCGGAGTGGATTGAGCATCTCAAATCGCTGAGCTGCAGTGTGACTGGGAGACACCTTGCGAACGCCACGAACGAAAGTCATGAGCTGCTGAATAGCCTTCACGTCTTCATTGTTCTCCTTCAAATGGACCTCGACTTTCTGTAGCTGTGCATAAGCCCGCTGCAGGGCTTCCAAGTCTTGCTTGCGTGGATTGCTGAGCTTCTTTCCGCCAGGGGCCGGCGATGGAGGTGCAGTCGGGAACGTGCTCTGTTCCGCGATAAAATCTCCGAATTGCGACTCGTTCTTCCACGGCTGCATGGCATCAATGACCTGTTTGACGGTTAGCTACAACAATCCAATCCTTGCCGTTGGACAACATACCGAGGAGGTCCCGTGCATCAACTGTGTCCAACCACGCCTAGATACCTGTCAGTGGAGTGTTACTACATACTATGTCAGGCTGCACTGACCAGTCAGTTGCCTGCCAGGACAAGAGGAGAGAAGCCGCAAGCACAGCATCTGAGTTCTGTCGCGAGAAGGCTCCGATGGCTTCGTGGAGGCCCTTGAGAGCAATGCCGCGATGCTCGTAGGCCATGTTGGCAGTAAGGGGGCAATCCGTCAACCACGCCAAGTGAGTTGCAGACAGGGCGAGCAACGCATGCATGACAAAATCGTAATCAATCCCGATCTTCAGGAACCTAGATGTTGGTAAGCGGACTGCAGCTCCAAAGTAATCCTCTCAACTGGCCACTTACAGTGGTATCTGGCGAGTCCAGATGGTGAAATTACTAGCATCATGGATACCAAGTTCACTGGAGACGGAGGCCACATGGTGAATGAGACGGAGGTCCTCAAAAGACAAGTATTGAGGAGATGGCGCTGGGTATATGTAAAGATCTGGGAATGGAAAACTCCCAGTCTGTTGCCAACGTTCAATTTCTGCCTCAATCTCTGGGGTCCAAAGCAAGTCTGCCTTTTCAGGAGTGACAGCTCTTTCTTCTTGGGCTGGCATATCCATGTATGGACAACGACAGTTGTGCTTCGTGCAATTTCGGCTACCTTCGAGGTCAGATTGCTCATGTAATGTAGATCAGGACGGAGGAAGAAGAAGCCTACCATTGGGGGAAATTCTCGTCACAACGTATGTGTCTACGCTTGCAAGTTTCACAACCCTTACGAGATTTGGTATGGCTTCGAGGCTGTTAGTATTTCTCCAGGTGAGGATCCAGACATAACATACCTCCGACGGGGAGGTCCACCACCGGGGCCAGCCATTTTGGATGAGTCGGTTGAGAGAAGATAGAAAACTCCGAGGCTTGAACGAGTGAAAGCCGTCGAAGAGGTTTCTGATCTTGGGGGGATCAAGTGGGGGTGGGCGGGCGCGGCGGTGATTTGTTTATGGGTGAGAAGTGACAACCGGATTCAGGAACAAGTAGTCTCATAGACTCCGAGGCTGCCGGGCATATGTAATCTTCAGATCGGGAAAGCGAGTGTGGTGAGGCTGCAGGAGCGGCCCGGGTGACGGTAGCTGTGATCTGAACAATCTGTCCAGGACAAATAACCATAAACGAAGGATTATGTCTTGAGAGCCGGGAATAATCGATCGATGGAGAATTGTGACACAGGTATATCTCCCGAAGGCTTGCTGTATATGAAGGTTGTGGGCTGCAAAGCGAAGGAAAGGAGCCAGCGAGGGCGTCCAAGAAACACAAGCGAATGTGGTGGTGAAGATGGGCTGAAGGTCGTCTTTCTCAAATCCTACGACACATGTTCGACTGGCGATGAGGTGGATTCTTGTAGTCAAGCAGACTGTGCCGGAGGTTGGCAGAAAAATCCACAAGAGGCATAGCGGGTGGCTGGCGCTTGGCCGTGCAGGCCTTGGGGGGGGGAGGGGAGGGGGTAGCGTTGTGGTGGGTGAGGCACGAGCTCTGGACGTGACCGCGACCCACCTCTGTCAGGGAAAGGGTAGCGTGTCGCTGTTTTTGAATATTTTAAATCACATTATTATCACAGAGGCGATCTTGGGGGCGCCAGCTGTGGGTTTGACGACCACTCGGCGAGTCGGAGCACCAACATGGGCGCTAGGGCGGTGTGGCAGGACAAAGCCAGAAGGGGGACCGTCGCTAGACGTGGCGCCAGGAGGCCATTTTAGGCTCCAGCCAACTTGCGCGTGAAAATAACATAGCACAGCACAGTAGCGACGAGCAGGCCAGCCAGCCCCAAGGTCCAAATGCGTTCCCCAATGGCGGCACTGCGTTCGGCAATCGACGAAGGGCAAGCTGCGGCGGCGAGGTGCTCATTGTCGTCAATACTCGAGTCGAGTCGGCCGCAGCGGCGGAGGTCAGAAGACTGAGGTGGTGTCTGGAGAGCAGTACTGTAAGAATGAAGCTCCCGACGAGAGGGAATGGGTGTGCGGAGTGCGGGGTGCTAAAAATAGCCCACACTGGGTAACTGGGCTCGCCCGGTTACTCCCGCGCTGATTCGCTGAACGAACAAGTGAGAGGCTGGGTAAAAGCAGCGAGCGCTGCCGAGGACTGGCACAGTGGCATGCAGGGCAGGGTCGAGCAGTCAACTCACCACCTCGTTGTTTGTTCCGGACCCCGATCAATATGATTAATGATTGAATGCCAACCAGACCCTACAACGCTTCACCACCGCCCTTCTGTCCCGTCTGTGCCAGTGCTGGTCGCCCTTGCAAGGAGTCAAGGGTTGCAACGTTCTGCAGCATTCTGCATTCTGCAGCCGTCCCTCTCGCAAGCCAAGCATTGGAGCTACCTAACGCCAGTCAGTTCTGAGGCGGGTTTTGCGCGGCGAGGCTGGTGAGTTTGACTTGTTTGGCGTGTCTGTCTGTCTGTCTGGTGCTCATGCTCATGCTCACGCTCCAGTAATGTTGGGAAGCCGTCCGTCTGTGCTCTCTGTGCAACATCACCGAACCAGTTGGCGGCCCCCCCCCTTGTTGCTGCGCCCCATTCGATCAGCCGTTGGGAAGGGATCAGTGATGCGCTCGCAAGGTCCCCGTCGCGCCGAAAGTGTAACGAATGGCTGTCAGCTCTGCTATGAGCACCTTGTCGCCTCGTGTCCCATTTTGTACTTTTTGCGCAGCCCGGTTCGACGTCACCCCACATCCGTGGGCTGGTTTCATGAGAGCTCAAGCACTAGAAAGCCCAATAATAATGCAGATTGATGGTCATGGAAGGGCCCGTTTCGAATTGTCCGAACAGGGGAATTCTGCGAGATACAGATCCAAGCACTTCATTGGATAAGAGAGCCGCGAAGTTAGGACCAGGACTCCGGAACCTTATGCAGTTTTGACATGCCTTTTCGATATCATGTGCTCTGTTATGGTTAAATATTGTGCAAACACCCATGTTTTTCTGGCAATCCTTGATGCCTGCTCCGCGTTGTTAGCTACACGCTTCTCGGGAATAGCGACATGGTTGTGGATAAAACGTGAAGATCCGACAATATCTTGATAAAATTGTCAATCGTCGATATCTACAATGCTTCAATGATGATGCCTGCGATTCGAAGAATTAGCAGTTAGCTTTGACATCCTCGTCAGAGCAGTTAGTCATCTCAACCGTTCAGATTTCCAGTCGAGGGGGCGTCTACCAGGGATTCCGGCTCTGAATCCCTCAATTCACAACTACTTTTTGTGTCTGACGTTCATGCGCCAAGGAAATTGTCCTCCCCCTCGCTTTTGTGGTTCTCGGAGTTTAAGGTTTCCGGGATTCGGGAAAGAGGGCCTTGGGTTGAGCCTCAGTTTGATACCGGTACTGGGTGTGGAGGCAAACCATAGAAAGACCCTTGAGACGTCATAGAAGGGCCGCAGGACTTTGGCCACCTTCCTTCTCATCGGCTGATTATTGATGCCTCCGTGCTGATGAGTCAAAGGGTTCTTGTCCACTTGGATGATGCCAAGAGCGTCGGGAATCAAACATCGGGTTGCTTCGCCTCGCAATATCAAGGGACTTTCAGGCTCATCAGGTCACCCGGAAGTTGGGGGGCGCCACCTGACTTCTGTTTCAGGTCCGTCATCTTCACCCTGATTGGTCGAGCTGCATGACATGGTGAGACGTTAACCCCATTAGGCAATCGACGCTAGGGACCTGCTGCAAGGCTATTTTGGTCCGCCTTCTGGAAAACTTCAACCTTCGGCATACCGAATTCATAATCAGACTGAAGGATACAACGTAGTATTTGGCTGAGCTGCGCTGTGTGCTGGCACGCACGGGTAACGCCGAAGAATATTGACATTGTCAGATATGATCTCATGGATGCGCAGCTCAGGTCGCCTCTTTTTTCTATGAATATCTTTGGAAAGAAAGAGGCAATGAATGGTACTCGGGGGCAAGGAAGTTCACCAGTGGAGTAATGTTGATGATTGAACCGGGACGGGTCTCAGTCTCAACTTCTCAAGACCTTCATTCCATTTCGATACACTTAAGCTTCACTCTCACTTTGAATTTTGAAAGTTGAAACTCGAAAGGGGGCGTTGCGAGTAAGGTTCCAGGGAAGGAACAGCGGCTCGCTGCAGGATCGCCTTTGTTCAAGTTCATGAAAGACATTGAAAACACATCCCTGGCGACGGTTCTCCATAACGTTGATTTGCATGCTCTGTCAAAATCTGACAATCTGTGGAGTACTTGGTTGTACCGTATACGCAGTCAGTATCTGATGCCCTCGGTAGAAGCATGGATGATTGGCTGTGGAGGCCTGGAGGTGTTGAAAAATGTGCGCACCCGAGGTAAGGGCTTGAAGGCGGTGAAGGAAGCTGTAAATGGCTCCGAATAACTGACTTCGTCCCTAACTCCCCAACTTGGTATGGTGCATCGCTGAAGCGTAATATCCACGACGCAGGTAGGCTATTCGAACTGGCATCGAAGCTGAATTATTGAGGCATGATTAAGCGTGTCAGCAAGGTAGGGTTGAACTGTAGTTCCTAGACCGGGCCAGGGATACACCAGCCTTCACAGTGCAATCATCTTGAAGATCTTGAGTTCTGATGCCAGAGTATGAAACGGCCGGAGCGGCAGAGGCTCCTCAAAAGCAGACCCTTGGACCGTTGACATTTCCTGTTGCAGCAATTGAAGGAGATCGCTTGGGCAAGGGTCCCCTGGGCCGACGGGAGTGGCCCTTTCTTGAGAATATTCGGCGCGGAGACAGTAATCTTTTTGGCCTCATGCAGCGGGATGACATCGCGGGTGTGCGCGGAGGCGCGGTCCATTCTCTTGGGTCTTGACTCTTCATCACCCACGAGCTTTCGAGAGAGAGCCAATAATCGCTCACTCGGCTTCGCATCCCCTCCATCGAATTCAACCGACAACTGAGACATTCCGATGGTACCTTGGTCGACACACGGCGTCATAACAGTACGAACTGCGAATGTTGGCTGCTCGCATCAACACGTTGGCATCCACGGATCCAAGGCCGAAAAGCGGTGAGAAAGAGACACCAGCAGACCAGCAGAGCGTGACACAGCGACAGACTGCATAGACCGCCAAAGCTTTGGCCTCACCGCGGAGGAAGAGACCCTCTCTCTGTGAACTGTGGTGCTTTTTCCTGCTTGACGCTGCTACGGTAAGAGGTGAGGTGTGGCAGTTTGTCAACGGAGGAGAGCTGGACACGTTGTGGGCGCCCGTCTGTCCTCTTTGGTACTAGCGCAGTGAGCCTTCACCGTTAACTTCCTTCCGTGCCGAGCCCACCTTGGCTGGCCTAAAAATAGCAGCACTGGGACAAACGCTACGGTTCATATATCCGATCTCCCAAGTGTCACTTTGTCGAGTCCTCAGTCCACCATCGGGCCATACTGTATACCGCGGAGATACAGTCTCCAGTCCGGTGGCACTGCTAGCCGAAACCTCCCTCGGCCTCCCCGACCCCCTTATGACTGCTCATTGCCTTCCTTGACCGCCGACCAGAACCTAACTAGACGTCACAGCATCAACCCGACAATCCGCTGAAGAGTGACGGGGTCCCGAGATGTTGTGTTCAAGCTCAGAAGATCAGAGGGAATGCGCAGCGACTGGCACGGGGTCGTTATGGCTGCATCTCTCGGTCAATTCGTCCCTTACTGTACTTTACAGTAGGTTCTTCCCCCGCTGGTCTTCCTTGGGAGCACTCTTCTGTAGCCACTGTTGGATCATGTTCTCAGGCGGTTCTGACGGCCAAGGTGCTCTCACCGTCTCCATCCTCCTCCTCCTTTAAATAGCAACATCATCACAATCACCCGCCTCACATATGCCATGCAGATGCAACGTGATTCGACCCAATTATCCCACCTCAACTCACCCCCGCCCTGCAACACTGCACAGGCTGTATAAATCACAGAATCTCGAAGCATCGATTCCTCCTATGTCGCCCTTCACACGCAACCACTTCAAGCAGCCGAGTCTCCAGGAAAGAGCTGGGATTGGCCAGAATCGCCCCAAATGGCAAACCCGAGGAAGTTGCCACCGGTAATCAATCCTAACTGCGGGGGATCAATCTTCCGAGCACATCGGAGGCAATCAATTCCTCTCCAAGAGAGATCCTGCTCAAGCTCCGCCGAGTCGAAAGCTGTTCTTCACCCTGAAACAAACAAATTGGTCTAATGATATCTCCCCAACGCCTAGCCCCCAAATCTGCCTGCTTGGCGAGGTAAACAATCCGAAACTGGCAAGTTCGAAACGAAACGGTCAAACCTTCGATATTGCAGTGCCCTGTTCAAGCTTCGGAAGGCCAAGAACTTGATATTGCTGCACATAGGTTATGTGACTGAGCTCTTACACGTCTGAATCGCATTCTCAAATTCCGTGCCTCTGCCCTACTTCTTTGGTTCGGACGCAAAAGTGGGACATTTGAGGGCTGGTGTCTTGCAGAGGCTTCTTGTTACCCTGAAGGAAACCCCCAGGTCAGATTTTGTGGGGTAATAACTCAAGGCCTGCTTTTGGGCCTGTTTCACCGATTCCCGGTCAACGATCAAGTGTCCCAATCATCTTCCCTCATCTGAACTTCTGCCTTCACAAGGCCAAACAAATAAATGAAGGGGAAAATCCTCAGTTATTACCCAGCCCTGCGGCGCGATGTCAGACGAAAAGAAAAGGCAGCCATTGGCCCATTCGGCTACTTCTTTCTCTCCTCTCTCGGCGAGTAGATACTCGACCAATTTACCGATGCTGAAAGTGTAAAAATATAGCATTGGGGGCGCAGAAGCAGGAGCGTTTCTTTTCCTTCGAAGGATGCTGCAAGCCATCACCAGCTGTTCAAGGGTGCGCTGGCCCTATGAGACCGTCGTCTTGAGCGCTGTAACGGCACATAAATCAGATGCCTCAAAATACAGTTTTGCTTCTTGCTGTTCGTTGCTTATCCCCGATGTCGCGCTTCCCACTCTCAAATCCCCTGAACAAGGCTGAGCAGTCCTACAATATCTCCTTGACTTTACAATATTCCCGACAAATAGCTCCGTTTGTCAAGTCAGCCAACCTGCCTCAGACCTCTTTTCTTCTTCTCTGGTAGCTCTGTTTTGTGAGTGCAGTGTGTAGTTTTGAAGGCTTGCGTCAAAGTATTGGCGCAAGATGGGGCGCCATAATCGAAGGAAGTCTCCGGACGCAGAGGTGGAGGGCTGTGGGATGCAGAGAGTCCTTTGTGGAGGCTGTGGAGTGGGGTTTGCGGCCATTCAAGGTTTGACAGGTACGGGGTACCCTGAGCTGCTACATTTGATAGGCCTGGCTGGCAACTGAGAATAGGTACAGCGGGACAATTGGATATGGGTCTACGAGACAAGACTTTGTAGAAAGCCCACGGGATGCGTCGATGTCTTTGAAACAGCAGTCCATGATGCGCCTGGCAAGTGTGTGATATTCGTGGCCATTTTTCAATAGCTGCTCCCCCACCTGCAACGCTGCAAGCGCTTGTGGTGCATCAATGGAACACCCTACCGAAAATGGTTGGAACAAAACTCCACTGGAAATCGGGAAGCTCATGCCGCAGACAATTATTGAACCCATTGAGATGATTAGCCTTGATTTGGTTGTCGATTTGTGCTATTAATACGAACTCAGGTGTTCGGCTATCCGAAGTCGCTCAGATGCACAATCGGACTATTCAGACATTGCACAAACGAAGTCAAACGCTCAAGATCTTATTACTAAGCTCTCATTCCATGCTATGCAACCGAGCCTACGGCTTCAACTACCTACCTAAGATCTAAACTACTGTTTGCTCAAGTCATGGGAAGTCCTCCCATGACATCTCTCCAGTCACATCCCTCGAGCAAATGCCTCCATGCGTAACAGCACAATGTCCTCCTGCCGTCTAAACTGCCGTCATCCCATCACTTCATCTCAATCATCACTGAGTGATGGCCCTCTCGCTCCCAATCAAACGAGAAAAACGGTGTATCTATCTAACTGTCTTAACCATCGCTCGCCGCAAACAGGCAACGCTTCGCTGCAAATGCTGCACCGCAAAAAAAGGAACTCGACGAAATTCAACCGCAAATGCTCGTTTTCAGTTTTGCTGCCCTCAGTGATGATTGATTGCTTGATTGACTGATCCTCCATGTGCCATGCCTTCGTAGATACAGTACCACATCGTTCTTCCAAGTGTAGTGCAAACTCAAACTCTCTCACCTTTTTGCGCCTGCAGTCCCGCTGTGTTGCTGCTTTGTCCCAAGGAAACACGGATCTTGCTTTGCTTTTGCTTTTTTACAAGTTGTAGACGGTTCGAAGATTGTTCAGATCTGCTGCTGAAATTAGGGAGCCGATGTAGGGGCTGAACTCGGGAATGAGGGATTTGTAGAGATCAAGGGTCTGTTCTCATGATTAACTTTGATCTTGAAAACTCGAAGGGGGTAACCTACGTGTTGGAAAAGCTGTTGCAGATCAGCTGTTAACGGTGTCTTGAAAGCTTCTTCCATCTTGTATCGAGCAATCGCCGTGCACAAGCGACCGAGATCCTTCTCCATCGCTTGGGGATTACTGACGACGATCAAGCAAAACCCTTTGAAAGCGGTCGCCTTTTCCGACGTGAATTCGACAGTGTTGATGGACTTGAGGAACGGCTCTGAAAACGATGCCAAATGCGGCGCCATGATCCCAGAGTTCTCCAGGCCAAGTCGCCCAAGTGCGATTGCCGCATTTTCGAGAACAGATTTAGGAACCTCTGGATTTCCTAGGATCTCGAGGAATCGGTGGAGTAGCTGCTCAACGTAGGGTGCCATAGACTTGCCATGCTGAATTGAGATCTCGCCGGCGGACCAGCAGGCATTGTTCACGACGCTAAACCCTGTCTCGATCTGTTCGTCGATGATAGAATCCAAGTCGAGTTGTTGGATAAGTGTCGGCAGCAGGGTAGCCAAAAAGGGCGCAAGCTGAGGGAATACGTACTTCGCACAGTCCCCCAGCAGCGCGTAGGATGATTGGCGAACGTCGTTTTCAGGGTCTTCCATACAAAACTGAAGTAGTTCAAAAAGTCGAGGTTGTGAGCCGGATACGAGGGCTGCGGACTGTTTCCCATCCAGGGCCTGAATTATAGCGCTTAAAAGGTCCAAGCTCGTTACGAGAAAGTCCTTGTCAGGAGTATCTAAAATTGGGTTATTGACCGCTGCGACATACTCTTCCAGGTTTTGACGGATGATAGTTATGCATCTGGTAAAGACGGGTTGCGCAAATGGTGCGAAAGATTCGGCCAAAGCGTTCGCGACGTACGATAGGCACTCGAGAAGGGGGAAGAGCTCTCGTGACTGGTCCGATACCTTATGCCATCGATGGATCAGCGCCGGCATCAATAATTCAATCAGCTGGGGTTGGGCGAGCCCATGGCCCACATTCTCTGCCAGGGTTTGGACGCAGTCGTACAGGATGAACATGTTCCTGTCCTTGTACTTTTCAAAGCAGCGGACGAATTGGCGAATAATTGGCTCACAGTACGGTGTGATCGTCGTTCCTGCTTTTTCTTCGAGGTGTGCAAACGCTGAAGCCCCCGCTTCCTGCACTCTTTTGTTGGAATCCAGCATTTTGGTGAGAATGCCCTCCATCATGGGCTCGAAGAACTGGGCTCGCAACGCCGGCGTACTCAGACTGGCACCCCACGCTGAGTATCTTCCAAGTGTCCAACAGGTGATCTGTCTGACAAGGGGTTCGGGATCGTTGAGGAGAGATATCAGGTACGGAACCAAATCAGGAAGATGAGGCGTTACAACATCTATGCAGCCCTCTGCCACCGCCCCGAGTGCCAGAACAGCAGCCTCTCGGTATGGCCACTCGGGATGCTTGAGGTTGGTCATCAGGTAAGGCAGAATGGTCTCGAAAACTGGTCCTCGAAAGTCCGTTGCAAACACATCCAAGGCGGCAGCGGAGCATTTTCTAAGATTCCATCGGTCCTCAGGGTTTCCATCGTCATCATCATCGAATTCCTCAATTTCACCTTCGTCCAGATCATCGTCATCCTCCTCCATGCCACTTAGTTTGACGTAAGAACCACCATTTTGGCCATTCTCGTCGACCTCTTCTCCGTTCGCGAGAGTTCTGGCACTCTTGTTCTTAGCGAATTTTGGTTTGATGTCCTCAGCACGATCCTCCTCGTCAGCATCGTCTCCACCACCTTCCAGCATGGCGATGTCTTCTTCGCTGTACACCATACTCTCCAGGAGAACAGGGATGATCTTGTTGAGGTAGGGGCCAAGCGATTTCCAGAGCTCGCTGTGTTCTCCTACGGTGAGCCAAAACTCTGCAGCATCACACGCCAACTCCTCATCCTCAATCTTTCGCTGCTGGGTAATCATATAATCGACAAGACCAGAAATATGCGGTAAAATCTTATCTGGCCGAATCTCCACGATTTGTACGAAGGCTCGACAAACCTGCCGCCGAACATCTGAGGAGGTATCGTTGGCAAGCTGGAAGAGCCGGTTGAGAAGGTCATCGAGTGAAACGAGAAGAGCTTGGGGTTTTTGAGGGATGAAAACATTAATACTCGCAAGGGCCAGGGACCGAATCCTCGGCTTCTCGTTCGCTGTGAAGGATATAAGTTTCGGGATGATGTACGCAAGGGGTCGTTGGCCTTGATAGTCCTTGTCTAGCATCTTCTTGTTGTCTTCACAGACTTTCCCTAAAGCCGACATTGCCCCCTCCTGTGCTTCGGGAGAGACTACTCCAGTATCATTCCCAACCAATGCCAATAACTCTGGCAGCAGTTCAGGCCACCCAAGAATACCACCACGGTTGACAATTTCCGTAATAACATTTCCTGCATAACTTCGTATTGACTGATTTTTGTCCTGTAATGCTAATGGCACTGATTGTCGAACAAGGGCAAGGGATTCCGGTGGTATCGATTTATAACCAGTCCTGATATTGTTTTTCAGCATTACAGCTGCTGCCGACCTGACTGCATGGTATTCTTCAGGAGTATAGCTCAGTCCAGGGGGGACTTGTGAACTTGAAAATAGGTACGTGAGATAGTTGTTGATATCGGGGGAGGATTTTGCTTGAGCAAGCATCTAGATGAATTGCCACAAAATTAGTAAATGGTTACTTTGTGGATCAATAATCTGGGGAAATATAATATCTTTCAAGTTCCACATACAATCTCAGCTTGCTTTTGAGCTGTCTTGTTGTGCCCGCTCAGAGAATCCTTCAGACATCCTGATAATTGACCTAACGGCTCTTGTTGCGGTTGCCACGCCATGATCATCATCTGGCTTCAGAGCCCTGTCCGTCAGTCTTTCTTATGGCGTTTCAGTGGTATGCAGGTACGCCGTCGAGATAGAATTTGCGCTGCTAGGTGGCACAAGATGACTTGTGGGACATCAGAGTTCAGTGTTGGTCGACATGGTACCGTTGAACGCCTGGAGGGATCTGGTAAGCATTTGAGTCTGGAAGAGCGTTCCGCGTAGTTTGAATGCACCAGAGGCGCTCCAAAAATTTTGCTGCTCGTACTCACTGAATGGCAACTGATTCCTTGGTGGTAAGGGAATATGTTCCTTTGTGTTGGGAGAGCAGGGCAGGGCAGGTGGAGTGGTTGTGGTTGGATCGTGGCTGTTTGCGACCGGGTCGCCGCGTTTAGGGCGAAAAAATAAGAGAGATCGGGTCCTCAAGCCCAGGAGCGTGCGATTCCTCAATCCTTCACAGACGTGGATTCGGAAGTAGAAGGTTGGATGGGGAGATTGTGGAAGGAACGATTCAAGTCGACGTTGCGCTCGCCTGCGCTTGGTGGTGGGGAGATTTTCGGGTCTGAGATTTTCGCGAACCCCAGATGCATTCACTTTGCCACCCTTTCATCCTCTGCTGTATCAATCAACAATTAAATATGGAAATTGATCATGAACATTCCGGAATCAAGACGTTTGAATTAACTGTGTGTAAAAAAAAAAGAGACTTACTGCATTTTGGGCAACCCTCCATGAACAGCCGAGATATTTTCTTTCGGTTTTCAGCGACGGGTTTCACTGGGACATTTAGCCCTCAGAAATTAACAAGTTTCTGGGGTGCAAGCCGTCCCCAACGTAAATTTCGATTGTAAGAAAATATGGCTATTCACTCAGGTTTCAACTTGCAATGCTCTAAGATTAAAAGATTACCATGAAGGGTTTAGCAGATGAGAGCAGTTTAAAGGTAGTAAGTAATCTGCCCGTACGATTCTGAACACTCAATAATATAATCCTAAATTAATTAGAATTATAATGAACTTAAATTTTCCGATTTATCTCCATCTAATTTTTGAGTGACTTCGGGCCTGATATGTTATTACTTTCATCTAGTCATATTGAAGAAAATTAGATATTGGAGCATCTCCAAGTCTTTGATAGAGTCAGGCAGCACGGATACATTCGACTGAGTTGAAAGTAGCCAAGGCAATTATGCTCTCGCTATAATGTGTTCCAAATTTGGCATCAAGTGGATGATCGTAATTGCTCACAACAGAGAGGCACATGAACCGGAAAGACTATTGTGTCCAAATATGCGTTACGAAGTATTCCTTCACGAGAACCTATTTAAGATCTCCAGCTGGCTGTGCCTTTACTTTCCACACGTCTTCCCGCCAGGAGTCCCAAAACTCTACTTCTTGTTGAATAAGGGTGCATCCTAGGTGTCTAGTTTCACTTCCTATTATGAAAGGGGGATTGCCACCAAATGGGTCACACCACCAATTTGTGCCACCTCATTGTCTATCCGGTCCCAAAATAACAAATGGGATCAGCTGGAACATGCTTCTCGAGACGAACAATGGTTTGAGCATATGCTGTGCTGAAGTGGTTGAGCATGATTTGGAGGTCGTGGAAGACCAGACGATCTTCCTCGGCCGCGGATGGAATTGTTAGAAGCTGCCCCATCAAACAGGTGTTTGCTCTGAGCACCGTCCAGCTGAATGGGTAATGGATCCAACGACGAATTTAGCGATAGACCTGGCAGCCTCAATCGTAAGTTCAACAAATCGATGGTGGGTACCTCGTGGAACAGAAGGTAGGACAATCCACTAGGAGGAGTTTTGATCTGGCCGAATTTGGCCAGTTCATTTGCTTCAAGGCTTCATCATAAAAGACCGGATTTCATGCCAAGTCCAGATCTTGCCTAGCAAGAAACATTGTGCTCCACGATCTCCAGATCGGTTGAGACATGGCCCATCGATGGCCCTGCCGAACCTTCTTTGGAGGATCTGGCTGCTCATGTAGCACACTGAACAATCTACCCAGGGTTGGTCTGCTACAATTTTAGAGCAATCTGACATCCAAATTAGAGTCGGAGTAAGCAGCAACGGTATTTCGAGATCCCTCTCGAGCCATCACTTTCGAATGACGATAGCACCCATGGAACGGCCTTCGGTCGACATCGGTCTTTCTTTCGTTCAGCTCCCATTAACAAGTTCTTGCACCTCACTCTTCCGGACTTCATCCATTACAACCTCCACAACCTTTTTGAATCCTTCCATCTCCTCATCCACAGTACCGCCCAGTCCAGCGCTCGCGAAGCTTATAGAATTTCCCACATAGACCGGTTTTCCCGTTCTCCGTGCAAGTAGTCTAGCTAGGCGGGTGGTGAACTCGATGGAGGATTCGTAGGTGAAGAGCGGGGTCGAGATGGTTTGGCCGGGATTCATTCTCTGTTGATGCTGTCAGCTGTGAAATTGTTAATCATAGAAAGGAAATGTATTTTACATCGGGGAGGGCGTAAACGAATGATCCCAGGGGTGCGGCTCTCGAGGTGTCGCCATTCATGGCAGTTGTGAGGAGGAGGAGGGATGTCGCCTGGATGGTGAGTCGAATGTAAATTCTGGTGTCTGGTGATTTTGGGAGAGGGAACGAGAGTTCGATGGGCCTCCCCGATGATTCTACTATTGCTGCATCGACGTTGGCCATTGTGAGTGTTGGATTGGATTTCAGTTGTAAAACGATGAGCTCGGGCTCACCCCTGTCGCATCCACGTGATGTAGACTCAGCATCGTGGAAAATCATCCACGCCCTTTGAATTCAGCTTCACTCTGATCTGGAGTATCAAGACCTGCCATATCATTTGCCACCGTTTGGACTACTTGTCCAGTACTGGATGTACTTCTACATTTACATACAATAGCAAAACTGGCCTTGATAACCCCTACAATTCATGGATGCAACCTCACAGCTTTCATCAGATCAAAATCCAAGTTCTTGGAGCCCTTCATTAAGCCACTTAATATTCTCCTTGCTATCTCCAGGACCACTGGCCCAATGGCCCCAAATGCTAGGGGAGACCACCATCTTTACGATCCCGTCTTTCATATTTGCAACCTCGATTTCGGAATCTTCGGGTCTGTATAGCCACTGTCAGCGGGCTTTCTTCTTCTTCCGCTTCCTGCCCACTGACGGGAAATACAAGTTGTCTTCCCAGATAAAACGAGTGTTCTTGCTTTGATGGCCTGCATGGGAGCTCTGAAGTCCTCGTTGTAAGAGTCCTGGTGTGAAACATCTCCAGATTGCCAAGTATAGAGCATCACCAACAAATTTTCAGGATCTATATGGCATCAATCTCTCGCTCTGCGCTTTTCGAGTTGTTCATGCCTCTAGACAAGCCCAAGTCTCTCAAAAGTTTTTCATAAAGTCCTCGAGATCCTTGTATCCGAGAGAGCTCTCATACAACTTCCCCCGGTAGAAGGCTTGGTTGAATCCCCAGCCAGCATAAACTCTACAAAAAAATTCAAGCCAACTTCTTTCTCTTCTGCTGTCCAGGTTCGATATTACTCTCCCTTAGGGAGAATACAATCCTTGGATGAGCCTGCCGTAGAATATTTCTTGGCAGCAGGTAAAGCAGACGTTCACGCCTGCAAGGTAAACTTGGTTGTGCAAAGAAGTCATTGCTGAACCGCAGAACGGAACAGCGATTTCCATTAATTCAGAAAATTGAGTGGCCGCCTGGCCGGCGTTCATAGACCACCCAAATACCGCTCGAGCATGATTGATACCTAGGTGCTTTTGTGACGAGAGTGTGTTGTGCTTTCACACTGTCCTAGAATGTGATTTTGGGAAACGGCTTGATGCTGGAGTTGGAAGGGGATGTCGATTGTCCATTTCCGAACAGAGCGGTAATGATTATAAGGTATTTCTTGGGAGTTCAAAGTTTAGTCCTCTGCTATGAGCCATTTATTGTCGGCTATGGCTTTGAAACATCTGTTAGCCAAGATCCTCGAAATTGAGGGGGACAAACATCCCGAGTACTAGGAAGGGTAGATGATTGCTGGTGATTTCGGGTCTCCAAAGCATTTGTATGCTATTTCAGCGTCTGGAATACTTTCTCTTGACTGGAAATTCCAGTCTCCCGGCTTGTAAGTCTTTACACCTGCCATTTTGAAGGGCTGATGGATAACCGGTCTTGACGTGAGAAGCGAGCCTTTTATACTTTTCTTCTAAGCAGCTTCTGTGGGATCCTCCTAGAAATCTTGTGTTACCAATGCACGCAGAATCTCCAATGGAGATGAATTCTTTTACTAAATTAGTGTTACCAATCTGGTGGGGTTCGTTGAAATGGGAGCCGAGAGTGCATAACCTTTTGAATTCTTGATGACCCAATTCAAATGAAATGAAATGACGATCAGACAAAACCAGAAGAAGACAGTCAGTTGCATTGCAATTATCGAAGTCAAAAGAATACCTCCTTGCCTGCAAACGCAGATCCTTCCAACTCTCATTTTGACGCTCTTCAGTCCTCACCTCCTTATCGATAAGACTGCGGGGTTGGCTGCCACGTGACTGCTGCTGGAAGCGCCACGGCCTTTCATGACGTCTGCCCAACAACAACAAAGGTTAGGTTCGAAAAAGTGGATTACCGATAGCATGTAAATAAAATACTGCAATTTTGCCAAAGGGTCTTGAACAATCTTACCGCCATTGACATCCCGGTTGACTGTCTTGAATTCTCGGTACGTAACTTGCCATTGGCTCTTGCTTAAGCTAACTGTTAAGTCTCCCGCATTCCTTGTGTCGCCTCCGGAATCCCGGTCGAACCTTCCCAACATCAACAACCAAAATGTCTCGAACAGACGCCGAGAAGCACATCCAACGCAACCCGCACCCTGATTTCAAGAAGGTCGAAAGCAGCAGGGAAAACTGGGACGACTCGCTCAAATGGAATCTCAAGCAGACAATTAAACCAGACTGGAAGTACGGAGACGGAGCGAACGATGGGGGAGCAAGCCTCAAGCTCCCACACATTTCCATTGATCCTTACGAGGAAGGACGTCCGGCTGTAGCAAACTACAAGTTATTAATCTCCGGTATCATTCCGCGACCAATTGGCTTCATCAGCACCCGTTCTACAGACGGAAGTTCCACGAACCTTGCGCCGTTCAGCTACTTTCAGGTCATCAACCACGATCCGCCGTTATTTACTGTCGGATACGCTGGGGGCTTTGATAATGCGAAAGACTCGTTGAGGAACTTGACGGAGTCTGGGGAGTGTGTGATCAACATCATTTCGGAGCATTTCATAGAAGCGGCAAACTCGACGAGTATCAATGCGCCTTATGGCGAGTCTGAATGGAGCTTAAGTGGCTTAACCCCAGAGAAGTGTAAGACGGTCAAGGCGAGCAGAGTCAAGGAAGCCATCTTTTCCGTAGAGGGCAAGTTGGATTTCACGAAAGAGTATGAAAGTAAGGCAACTCCGGGCAAGAAGACCGGCGTACTTGCTGTGATTGAAGGGACGCATTTCTGGGTCAGAGAGGATGCAGTTAATGCGGAGAAGAATTTGATTGACCCTGCTGTAAGTTTGCCTTGTTTCCTGAAAGGGATTTGATGCTGACCATTTGTAGATTTTGCGACCCATGAGCAGACTGGGTGGAATTACTTATGGAAGAACAACTGAAGGCGTGGAAATCCCAAGACCCGATTGGGAAGAAACCGTTGTCAAGAATGAGGAAGCAAAGAAGCTCGTCAAGCCAAAAGTAGATGGCCAGTGAATAATTATAGACATTAGAACAGAATAGAGTCCAAACTTTCATTAAATGATTCTCGGCTCTTCGCGGAATTTGTGATGAATAGATGAGATTCTCAAATCTGGTTTACTGCCACGTCTTACTGCAACAGACTGAGTTAAGATTGAGTTGAATGTCACCCATTAAGTGGAACCATGGCTTTGAAAAGCGGAAATATTTAGACGTCCGTTTAAAATGCAGTCATAAGCGGCGGCCGAAATTGGCCCATTTTTCTCTCCTCCCGCTAGGTAGGTTATAGTCGCTAGTGCAATCATGCCTCGGCTCAGGGAAGCCTGCTTACCGACACAGCTCCCTGAAGTGAGGAGATTAACAGCTTCCTCCAGCTTTATTTTTCTTACCTTCACTCGATACCTTATCTTGTCCCCCCCAAAAAGGACTCAACATCTATCTATACTTCATACATTGTTTCTCGCCATTTCATTCAATCCCAGCCTTGCGTAGAAGTCAATTTGTCCATCATGTCTAAATACGAGACCGAACTGCACGACTTCCAAAACATCTTCTCCCTCAAAGGAAAAGTCGTAGTCGTGACAGGCGGATCTCGTGGCCTAGGACTCCATGCAGCATCTGGGTACATTTTCCTCCAACGCTTTCAGAATTCCAATTGCCCGTTCGTCAGGAAACTAGCTAACAACTCTTCAGATTCCTCCAAGTAAGCTTATTTTATACTATTTTGCTGTTTTCTTCTATGAGAGCTCGGAGCCCTAAAGTTCATGGGATCTGGCATGCGCATTTGCCTTAGGAGCTTGGTTCTCAACTTCTAAGCTCCCTATCAAAATTTAGGAGAACTCCGTACTGATTCGATGGTTAGGCAGGAGCTTCCAAAGTCTATATAACTTCCCGCAAAGCCTCCGCCTGCGATTCCGCTGTAGCAGCCGTAACCAACCCATTTCTTTGTTCCATGCCCCGAGCTCCCTCTTTCACTGGTTGGGAGAATGAGACATGCTGCCGGCTCTCTCCCGGCTCCCTTCCCTCCAAAGAAATAGGTTGCTAATTCGTTGAAGCTTAATGCCCTCCCCAACCTCTCCCCTGGCGCAAAATCAATCTCCATCCCAGCAGACAGCGCCAATATTGAGGGTGTGGAACACCTGGTGGAAGAAGTGATGAAGACGACGGATCATGTTGATATCCTGTTCGCCAATGCCGGTGCTACCTGGGGTGAGGCATTTGATACTCATCCAGATTCCGCTTTTGGGAAGGTGATGGATTTGAATGTTAAGAGTGTCTTTAATACTATTAGACTGTGAGTGGCATTTGTGAGACAGGGGGAGGATGGTGCTGATGAGATTGGAGATTTGCGCCACTGCTACAGAAGAAAGGGACGATTGAGGATCCTTCGAGAGTTATTATCACCGCCTCTGTTGCGGGGATTGGAATTGGGAGTCTAGGGAAGACCGCAACATTTGGTTACTCTGCATCAAAAGCAGCTGTAATTCGTAAGTCATCTATTTATTTTCTACCAGCAAGAATTCCTACTTCACCGGTCTTCTGGATCTGCCTTGGAAGAGGAAGGATAAATCTTGGAATGTGTCAACACTTGGAAGGCATTCACAGGAAAAAGAAATTGATGAGCAGCTCGGGGGGGCATCCTTTGGGACCACACGCGAGACAATATCTCTAATAAGCATTAAGCGACACTAATTCGAGCTTTATGTTACAGATCTCGCGAAAAACCTTGCGGTTGAACTTGGACCCAGACATATTTTAGTCAACGCAATTGCTCCTGGGTTGTTCCCTAGCAAGATGGCTAGCGGACTCATCAGCCTAACCGGAGGAGAGGAACAATTGGCAGTGAGTAATCCAAGCAAGAGGCTTGGAAAACCGGAAGATATTGCAGGCTTGGTGGTGTTTTTAAGCAGCAGAGCTAGCTCACATGTCAATGGCGCGACGATCACTGTTGATGGTGGTGAGGTGTGGGCAAGGGGGGTTATGGTAAATGCTACGAAGGAGGACCAGGCCAAGCTTTGAACCTGTATTGTACGAGGGACAAATCCGGTCCGGCCGATACATGGCATAGCCTAACTCCTATGGTGACGTTGTTATCGTTTCCTAGCTACCCAGTGACTAGCTTTGAAAGTGTTTTGGAGCATGCTTTCGGGATCTTGGATGTAGGGTGCTGTGATTCCAAACTCCTTCTTCTCTATATCGAAGCCGAGTTTTTCGATCAACGCCACCACTTCGTCGTCTGTCAGCTCTACTGCTCCTGGATCTGCAATTCCTGTGAGATTTGTCAGTTCGATTCGCACAGAGGCAGACTTCCCATCTCACCCTTTCCATTGTTATTGTCAGAAACAGGGTCAGAAACTGAGTCCTTTTCACGTCCATGTTGCCCAGGAGCATTGTTCTCGAAGTGCCACAGCAGCGGCCCCACGTTTACAAACAGCCCGCTAGGCCGTAAACAGTTCTTGATTGCCTCGACGTAGCGTATGATATTCGGTGCGGTGTCTGGAAACCAGAAGTAAGCAATTGCTCTGTCTTGGTTATTCCAGGGCGAATAAAACGCCCTCTCTGGAATGAAGAAAAAGGTACTCTTAAATAAAGGAAATGCATTCTGCCCACTACTTACCGAGGAAGAAGACCGTCGCAACTGCATCAAAAGTGTCTTTGCGGCCCTTATCTCCATACAAGAGCAAGAAGTCTGATGCACTCATGCTCATTTCTCCAGCAAGTTCCACGCTTCCCAATGTGGTGCTCGGGTGCAGATCTGGTATTTCGACCGAATTGAGGTGGTTGGCCCGGTTTCTGTGATTCGAGAACGAATGAACCCATGGAAACAAGGTATGTGCGCCGGAATAATGACAGTGATTGAGGATGTACGAGCTGGCAAGAAGCTGATGATAACTGATCTCGTTTCCTTCTGTGTCAAAACCGGCACAGCATAAATCAAACACCAACCGAGCAAGTCCAGCACCCGGTACAAGCACTCGCATTCTTGAACCAGAACGAGCTGAGCGTTCTTCCTTAAGTGCTTTCAACACAGGCTGGTAACAAGTTTCACGTTCCGCATTGCCTTCTTCAGACCAATCTCGATAAAATTGTCGAAGAGTGCTTCTCGCTTTCTCCAGATCAAGAGATGTTGCCTTTCCCCGCCAGTCAATTGGAACAGGTGGATGGGAAGAACCAAGTTGCTGTGGGATGCCAAAAGATTCAAGCCCAGCTTGCCATATTGCAAGAGATAGTTCTGCATTCTTGTCGATTGCATCGTCCACAGCGTTGAGGGTGTCGAGGTAGGAGAAAGGCGGAGCAGCCAAGAGTTCTAAATGTGCTCTTGGCAGTGCATAGAATGACTGTCTCCTGAGATGCGTAGTGTTGAAATGAGCAACTTTTGCATACTGGCTGCAGAAATTAGTAAAAGGTAGCCCAAGATATCGAAGAATTCCGGCTGCACATGCCATGTTTGCCGTGCTTGATACTTGAGAGGAGAACGTCTCGTTTATCGAGTTTTCCAACAGCAAAGTATGTCAAATATTATACTGTGAGAGTTACAGTCTCTAACAGAGGAACAGTATGATTTTTCTGACAGATAGAAAAGCAAAAGATGAGTTGATCCACCACAAGAAGCTGAAAGTGAAAATATATTCACTTACTAGAACGAATCCAGAGCAGCAAAAAGGACTCTTTGCTCATCAGGATCCTCATACGTCTCCTTATTCCCCTCCCAATCTACATTCGACATTCTGTCTCGAACTGAGATATCTTCACATGCAAGTCATCTGGATGTTGACCTAGATAACGTACCGAAGTTGTTACATTCCAAAGGATCCTTGGAGGTGAATTTCCAGGGAGGGTATTTTTAGTCATCGAGGCGCTAATTAACGCTAGCTGTGGACCATCCAGTTATCTTCGACCTTGAATCGAAATACCAAACACCTTCAACTTTCCCTTCATTCCTTGTCAACACCGTCTCGCCTTCAACTTTGCTACCTGCCTCGCCATCGAGATGGCGGCTTCAGGTGGGCAGCTTGGTGTGACAGGTCCTCTTTCGCTTGCTCTCCCTACGGATGCTGACCGACGAGCGACCGAAGCCCTGGTCGACGAATTGAAGAGGCAGAACAACTACGAAAGTGCAACAGAAACTAACAAGAGGTATGTTACTCGTCACCCTACATTATTTTCTCCTCCCCTCATACTGTTGGCGATGGATGGGGTGCAGTCTGCTGATACTATATTTCTTTTAGATTGGCCGTTCTCAACTCCCTTCAACAAATCGCCGAAGAGTTCATTAGACATGTTGGGAAGGCGCAGGGTTTATCCGACAGTCTTGTCAAGAGCCTAGGCGGGAAAATTGTGACCTTTGGAAGTTTTAAGCTTGGTGTCATAGGACCAGGCTCGGATATTGACACCTTGGTTGTTTGTCCATCGAACATAACCATCGAAGATTTCTTTGCCACATTCCCCGAGATTCTCCAAAAAATGGCACCTGAAGGCTCAATCACCGAACTCACGCTCAAGCCGGACGCCTTTGCACCTATCATAACTCTGAAGTACAATGGAGTCGATCTCGACTTGCTTTTTGGCCGAATTGCTATCCACAACCAAATCAAGAAAGATCTCGTCATGACAACCCCAGATCTTTTGCGAGGTTTAACAGATCAAGAAGTTCGTCAGTTAAATGGTGTTCGAGTAGCAGAGGAAATGCTCAGTTTGGTCCCGGAGCTAGGTGTCTTCAGAGCCGCCCTTCGTGCAATTAAATTATGGAGTTCGCGTCGGGGAATCGCTGGAAACATTTACGGATTTCCTGGTGGTGTGGTGTGGGCTATTTTGGTGGCTCGAGTCTGCCAACTCTATCCCAAGGCGGTTGCTTCAACCATCGTAGCAAAGTTCTTCCAGGTCATGAAAAGATGGCAGTGGCCCATGCCGGTGATTCTGAAGCAGATCGACTACACTACTCGGATTGGCAATTTGAAGGTCTGGAATCCCCAGGTATGTCCCTATATTACCCTCGAACTAAACCTGTCTAATCTAGATATAAGATATACCCTGGCGACAAATATCACTTGATGCCTGTCATCACACCCGCGTATCCTTCCATGTGCGCGACTCATAATATCATGAGATCTACGAAAGAAGTCATAGATAAAGAAATCAACCGGGCTGGGGATATTGCAGAACAGATTATTGTAGGAAAGGCTCAGTGGAAGGACCTATTCACGAAACACACATTCTTTACTGCCGATTACAAATACTACCTCTCCGTCATTACAGCTAGCACGTCTGAAGAAGCGCAGCTTCCATGGTCTGGTTATATCGAGTCAAGAGTTCGACACCTGGTGAAGCTGCTTGAGGACCACCCGTCGATTGCTTTGGCGCATCCATTCAACAAAGGCTTTGCACGAGTCCACAGATGCCAAAACGAAGCAGAAGTCGAGAAGGCAAAGGGTGGAAGCCTCGAACATCAGGCGAAGGATATTGCGACAGCTACCACCGGCCATGGCCTTGCAGTTGGAGCCTCATCCAAGACCGATTTGGTTAACGCAGAGCAGAAAGCGGATACTAATGGATCTGTTACGATGGTCTACACCACAACTCATTACATTGGCCTAGAGTTGCACCCAGGTATGTATCCAGCCTGTCCATAGCTAAGAGTTCTACATGCTCTAAATTGGTACTCGTTGACAAGACCATTCATATCTCTAACCCTCCGCCTATGCGGTCTTCGTGTGCCGCCCATCTGCTAATTTGTCTAGGTGTCAAATCCCTTGACCTTGAATTGCTTGTTGCACGATTTAGGAATGAGCAATGCTATATCTGGGACAAGTATGATCACGAGTCCAACGCCATTTGTATCATACATACTCGCAAGTAAGTGAAGCGACAGGCGGCTTTTGCAGTGATATTTTTTTGGCTCACTGAATGTCAAAATAGTTCGGACCTACCCGACGACTTGTTCGAAGAAGGAGAAGTGAAGCCCACGCGCAAGCAAAAGAAGAAAACGACTACGAACGGGGCTTCAAAGAAACGTCCTGCAACAGAAGTATGTAACTGGCCGTGTTGTCCACGAATACTTGACTCTGGTCACGGGACATTCTATACTCGACTTGGTCCCATAGTCTTTGTCATATTGCAACACTGACTTGAATAGGACCCGAATCAAGCGCCAACAAAGAGGCAGCAGACGCAGCAGACCTCTGTGGTTGCTGCTGGATAACTCTGTGCGAAGCCACCCGCCTTCCCTTCCTCCCTTCTCGCATTCAGCGGCATCTAACGGCAGGGTTTCAGCGTTCTTCGCTCACGAAATCTCCGCAACCGATCCGACTGCTAACAAAGCATCTCCTTTACTACGACATTCCGACTCGTAATGATACTAACACCAGCAGCAAAAATCAAAATTTGGCTAAGTGACATTTCAGCCTTCCCGCCCACCACTTTCATGCACGGAGTCTCGTGACCAAAAGAACTTGATATACAGGCGCGGGCTATCTTCCAGAAGGAGTTTGAGGTCAGTTTCTTGAGCATGGCGTTCATAGAGAGCTTCAGTCAGCATCATGACACCGTGGGGATGGGCGAAACGAGGTCTTTAGAAGGGCACAAGCCCGTGTATCTAGCGACCAATACAATTACAATTTGGCGCCACGAGCCTCAAACTATTCGCAGCCTTCTCTCGACCCCCATTTTGAACGTGACAGAACACAAGGTCAGCAGACGAGGCCCTCGCAAAAAGCCTTCTGGTGGCGGCAAAAAATGATAGTGACTGGCGGGTGCATATGTTGCACATAAAAGAGCCTGGTTTCCAAAATGCCTGAGATGAAGAGTGCAGTCAATATCAGACTTTCGATATCAGAAGTTGTTGCAAACTGTGTATCCTATCCTAATAATTTCCTCTTCAGACTGCGACATAGCATGCGAAAGAGTTAAACCATACGTCACTGCGGCCAAGCGAGCGAGGCGCTTGTGGAAAGGGGAGATAGCGTCCTGAATAAATTCCTTGGCAGCCTACTGTAGCTGAAGCGGAGAGCTTCCTTTTCTCCCCAATGCGTTCACACGGTAAAACTTTTAACCAACTTTGTTCTACCTTCCACTGTCCAGCGAGATCTGAGAGTTTGGGTTAAAGTCCTTCCAATTGTAAGCGCTGACCCCAGCCCACCCAGCCTTTTCGCCGCCACAATCCCCGTCATCCTCCTTCAGCCTCACGACATCACCGAAAGTGGCTCCCCCTCCTCTGCGTCCAAGAGCCGCTGGCCACTCTCACCATCGCCAGAGTCTATTTCGATACCTGTTTCCTCATACTCGACAGCGCGCACGCGAAAGGCTCAGGAGCTTCCGTTACGATACGCTGCCTAAGTACAAGCTTCAAGCACAATCCCGGATTTACAACTACATTGTGTACCGTCATAACAGGCACCAGGAAAGGAAGGCTTCAGGGAAGCGTATTGTTGATATTGTTCGCAGACGAGGTCGCAGGATATTTGGTGCGCAGATCAAAGACAATGAGAGTATCATTTCAAGAGAGGTGACCATGTCTGGTTCTTTGACCAGCTTTGGAGGTGAAGGCCGGGAACGAGGGGCACGGCGAAAGAAGCTTGCGGGGTATCTACAAGCTGCGAAAGAGATCGGACAGTCGTATCAGCAGTCATACCAGGAGAAATGGGGTTCGAGCAACAGGGATTTTGACGACGATTCCGTCACCATACCCGGCGCCTTCCCGGATGCTGCTATTGCGTCCCACGGCGACGAGCAACTTATTCTCTTCCCTTCATATGCGAAAAGGCACACCAAGGAAGCTCCGAATCCGGAGGCTCAAATGGTTGGGAGTGAGAACGAAGATGTACCTCAGGACGCCGAGTATTGGGCAAGAGAATGGCAGAAGTTCGACGATGATCGGGCGATCGTGGATGTGGACGTTCGAGGCTGGATCTACTCCCCACACAGAGGTCCAATGACCAGGAAGAACAGACTTCTAATAGGGCTTGCTCGACAACTGAGTGGGATACCTGCACCCAAGCCCCCAAGTAGAGCCCAAAGCCCAGACTCAGCTACATCGTTAAGAGTACGGCATAAAGAACATGAGGCTCGCCGAGAGGAGGAGAGTATTGCACAAGAGGCGGAGCAAATTTTAAGGAAGGGTCAGGGAGAACAACAAGTTGCCGCTGAGGGCGGCTATAGCGAGAGACCACAGTACGACTCAGACATGGAGAGTATCTATGGAGACAGGGGAAGATCTGGATCACATACTCCGTCTCGAATTGATGATCCGCCGGGCCCCGGACGTCTGCACAAACGAGCTTCATGGAACCAGCCATCGGATATGTCACCGCAGGAGCTGTTCGCTGCGAATGCACATTTGATGGCTCGTTTGAGACCTTTCCTAACAAATCCATTGGTCTCCTCACCGATCACGGTGTTCTTTTATGACAAGCAGACTTCTGTTTCTCGAACTGTTATGACAAACGAAGCTGGGCATTTCGTTATGCGGGCAGCTCTTGAATTTGTGCCTACTCACGTCAGAGTTTTGGCCTCCGAGTCACTATCAGCAACTGAAGAGGTCAAGATTACCGAGCTCAAGGGGGTAAGTCTCATCAGTGATGTTGATGATACCATAAAACACTCTTCCATTGGAAGCGGAGCGCGTGAGATTTTCAGAAACACCTTTATTCGAGAGCTTGGGGATCTTACTATCGATGGTGTGAAAGAATGGTACAATACGATGTACGACATGGGTTGCAGAGTACACTACGTGTCAAACTCGCCGTGGCAACTCTTCCCAGTCTTGGCAAGTTATTTTTCATTAGCTGGCCTGCCTCCGGGGTCATATCACCTGAAGCAGTATAGCGGAATGCTTCAAGGAATCTTCGAACCCGTCGCAGAGAGAAAGAAAGGGACACTTGAGAAGATCATGAGAGACTTTCCAGAACGAAAGTTTATACTTATTGGGGACAGTGGAGAAGCAGATCTTGAAGTATACACCGATGTGGTGCTGGCCAATCCAGGCAAAGTGCTCGCTATTTTTATCCGCGACGTCACGACACCGGACACTGCGGGTTACTTCGACTCGGCAATGGGTCCTCTCAGTGGCGACCGCCGAAGAGAAAGGGGGCCCCCTTCGAGAGCTCAATCCGGTAGCAGTCGGACCACCCAGTTGTCAGAATCATCTGATAGACCGGAGCACCGCCCAGTTCTTCCGCCAAGGGCAGCTTCAGAAGCCAAGTTGCAAACAAGTGACGGCCCAGCGATGGGGACATTAATCGACTTTGACGATGAACCTGAACAATTAAATGTTCATGAATCTCATCGTCGTGTCTTGCCCCGCTCTTCATCGACTTTCGAAGCACTGGATTCGCCAAGGAGGAGGTCAGCACCAGACGGCATTAGCTCGAAAGTGCCGCCCCCTCGCCCCACCAAGCCTTTAGCCCTTCGAGGAAACACAAATCCCGTCTCTGCACCTGCTCCACCAACGAGCAGGGGCAGTCCTCCACCACCTCCTCAGCCGCGTCGTTCAAGGCCCTCGGAGAATGGCCCGTCACACCCTCTGTCACAAACGCAAAGCTCTACAGACCTCCAGGATCCCAATCAAGGTTATGTCTCCAGCACGCGTCAAAAGGTCTCAGCAGCCTATAATTCTCTGCCAGAGGTGAGATCATACATGCCCGGACGCATAGGTTTATCCCAAGGAGCAAAATCGGAAGGCCCGCCCTCGCCCAATAACCCTTTATCTGAACCACCTCCACCTCCCCTACCCCGCAGAACAACAGGCTCAACAGTTAACTCAATCACAAAACGCATGTCCTGGAACAGCACCGACACTTCCGATGACGAATCCTACAGACCCAACTCCAACAGTAACGTCCCCATCAACAAGAAACTAGACATGTGGAAGCGGAGATGGCAACGCGCAAAGGGTATACTCGACGCGCAAGGTGTCGCATTAAGGGGTTGGAGGGTTGGAAGCGATGTTTGTATCGAGGCGGTGCAATTAATTGAGAAGACGTTGACTGAGATGAACGTTGAAGGCTATGGACATGGGAAAGGGAAGACCGGTGTTGGTGGTGGAGAGGTCAAGGTTAAGGATTTGAAGAGGTAATGGGAAGCACAAGACTTTCGGTTACGCTAGCGGTGGCCAATGTGGGATAAAGTGATGTTAACACGAACATATCTAGATTAGCGATCCTTTGAATAAATGGACAAGGCTCCACTTTCGAACCCATTTTGATTCCTACAAATCCGCTCCTCTCTCTCCTGCTGCTTGAAATCGGGTCGCTTTGCTTACTCAGGAGAGCCCAAAAAAGCGAGCCCAAGCAAAGTTGTCGAGCCCCTTGCAGTATTGGGTGCAATGTTCTAGAGAAGCTGGAATATTTAATATAAAAAAAGGTTGATTTTGCCAGACAGTCGAGGGTTCTCAATAGAGATGAAACTCACTTTCTGTGTTTGGTTTTTGTAACTATCGTTTCTTATTTTTGGCTTTTTGGCTGTCTATATCTGTATCTTCGAGTGAGCATCACCGTCGAGGCAACATATAATACCCTCGCTAGGGATGGGGTCTGAATCCAAGCACAGAAGCATTACGAATACAGAGCTGAGCTTGATCGGGAGCGATCACCACGTGGATTTTGAACTTTCGGACAAGAGGTGTGTTCGACCTCTTTGTTTGTGAAATTTTGTTTTTGCAAGTTTTCTGGGATTTTAATGTTTGTTATGCTTATTGAGGGGCTGTGGTGAAGTGGGAGAGAGCCTCGACTGCCGGCTTTGAGCATGGGAAACAAGGCTATTTTGAGCTGTCTGTATAAGTGCTAGGCTTTACTTGAAAGACCCACTGATTGAAGCTAACACTTTCAAGTTGGCCTTCTTTGAGTGACTCTCGCACATACTTTCTAATTTCTCCCCCTGCTGGAGTTCAATTTGGAACAAATTATCCTCGAATATAACTCATCCGTGGTTGCTATTCACGCAGTATTCGCCATTCATCCTAACTCGTGAGAATGAAACCCTTCACTCATGGGGGCACCACTCATATCAGTATATTGCCGGGGACCCGGTCCCTGCCCTCCAACAGGCCGCTGATTAATACCCCCAGTACTAGCACCAACTCTTGCACTCCTGATGGAACATTCAAACTTCCCTTATTGGTTCCCCCTAATTCATCAACCCCCTGGTGTTCACCCCCTCGCCCCATCTGCCAAAACTCAGGACTGGTAGGAGATCTTCCAACAGCTCTTCGTTGCGCTTCCAGCTCACTGTAATTACAATGTAATGGGCTAGGAATCGACGACCTCGATTGAGGTAACTGTGTATAAAATGGAGGCAGACTTCGAGACCTAAGACGTGTATTCTCAACATACGCACTTTGATTCCCATCAGCCGGCTCCTCTGGAAATACTCCTGTACGCGGAGAAGGAGGTTGCATGTAAGCAACCGCAGGCTTCGGCGTCGCTCCCATCTTTGGAACACGAATCCGATTCTGATAAGCAATAGTTGCTGCTACTGCATCCGCTTGTTGTTGTTGCTGTTGCTGGTTTTGAGCAGTGCTATGGCAATGGCTTTATCTTGTCTTTGTTTCCGGAGGCAGAACGAGACGAGGAACGAGATGAAGGCTATCAATGCAATGCCGCCGATCACGCCGCCCACGATAGGACCAGTGGGCATAGAAGTCTTAGTGGTGGGGAGACTATTCTGACCAGCTCCTGGGGGAAGTAGGACGGTTCATGTTGCCCCAGGGTTGGATGATTGTTGGGTAACCTAAATAGTTGTGGCTGTGGGGGTTATCTGAGATGTTCCGCCTCCAGCAAGGACGATGCGCGTTGATTCTCCATCTGTTGCACTGGGAGGGAGATCAACAAATAATTTGTACGAGGCGGTTGAACAGCCAAAATTCCAGAATGTGTAGTCAACTCCGAAGACGAAGTAGCCGCAATATGGCACCGTTGCAGGGCTACAAAATACATCAGCTGCTGTAGGAGACTGATGAAGGATCTTACGAGTATATTTGGCTGATAGGAGGGATCTCGGACCAGGGATAGATAAAACACTCTGTTCAAGTTAGTCACTTTCCTCCTCAAGTCACATAAACCATACCAGTAACCCAATTATAAGCTATACTCGTCTTTCCGCACCCGTCGTAGCAATAGCCATTCGCACTCGTGAACAGACAAGTCTCATAATTCCCGCACTCCGGTTGCCCAAAGCCTGACCCGAAATCAGTAGATAGCCTCATTACTTTTTGTCATACTGACCCTCTAGTCCATTCGGTAAATATATTCGTCACATCCGTGACATCCTTCTTCTCCAGCCTTCTATTCGCCAGCTCCAAAGACGGCGGCTCAGTCGGTAGAGGCAGCGCGAAAAGACGCTCTCCGATCCCACCCATGGTTTGTGAAGGCATCGCACCAAGCACGGCTCTAGTAGTAGTCGCTGCCAGCGCTGCAACGACTGAATACTCCATCAGTGCCACAACCGCATTGTCACGACTTGGTGCAAGAGAAACGAAAGCACGCATTTGCCTGTCCACGTTCGTACATATGTCTGCTCAGCTCATGTTGCGTTGAAGCTTCCCTTCCAAAGGAAGACGCTGTGCGGTCCGCCAGGCAAGAAAACACGAGTTGTGGGGCTCTCCATAGAGGAAAGAATCCATGATTGGAAGAGGCGTGAAGGATTCAATTAGCGAGCCTATGGTCATCGTGAAAGAACAGAGATGACGGAGTGGGCAGTTGGGAAGGCTCTGCAGGTTGACGGGACGCCACAAAGTCGCTCTACCGACATCAAAGGCGAATAGGCATCGACTTCGACGCCGAAGCCCGACCGGAGCATTGATAGTAAGAGTGTTCAACTACTGGGTCGGGATTCTGGTGCGAGGCAAGCAGAGGCCAACAATCTCATGTATTATTATTAAACAAAGAGGGGGGAGAGAGAGAAATCACGTTTCGCGGTTAGTGCCAAGTCCAGTAGGGACAATTCCACTGCTCGGCCCCCTCATGTTCTTAGGGGCTTTTATACTTTCAATAATATTTCGATAATCCCGGACGCTATAATATCTACGTCTTCTCTTCTCAAAGTCCAGATTATTCTCTAACTTTGAGTAGGGACAATGAAAATTAGTGTTTCTTTTTATGTCCACCGCGAGGTTCTGTTAAGCTTAATTCTGTTTTGGTCGTTCGATTCCAAGTATTTTGCTTTTGAATAGAATACAGTCATCAAGAAGCTGAATATAATTGGCTTATATTCTAAGCCCCTAAGGTGGTTGTAAAAAATTCCGGTCATGCTTGAAGAAATAGAAGGTAGAGGGTGTAGATGATCTCACACCAGTGTCTTTTCTGATTGAGCCATAAGACCTCCCGGATCTCACCATGTCCGCCCAGCCTCCCCCGGGCGTACTGACACTTGACGTACTGACAGTATCCATACTGCTCTCCCTAACCATAGTTGGGGGTTCTAGCGGATTCTTCCAAACCCACTCCCACCGCATCCCATCCGTAAACACTAGATCCACAACCTCACTAAGCGGAATGCTTATCCCGAGCTCTTGTGCACTATCTTTCTGGAAGGCCATATGCCGTTCCTCGATGGCCCAGTATTCCTTGATCATTCTTACCCCAACCTCGCTGTCCCACATTCCTTCCCGTCTCGGACATCGAGTCAACAAGTCCAAGGCTTGGTTGCGTAGGGGGTGATCACGACATCGACAGGCCACATAGTAGAGCGGGCCAACTATCCCAAGATCCGTAGAGAAATTTAGGGCCGGCTTTCCAAGTTGGACATCTTGCTCTGTTGCAGCAATTATAGATTTGCATAATGTAACCACAATCCGGAAATCGTTTGTTAAAGGTTCAAAGGTAGTAGAGGCGTTGATCGCTTCGCCGATAGGTCGATCGTCGCCAGGACCAGGTGAAGCTTCTGCCATAATCTTCACGATTGTTGCGTGTATTTTGAGGACTGCGGCCCCACGAAGCTCTCTGCCGTTTAGGAATTTGGACTTGGCCGCCATGAATTTTTCGAAGGCGGGATTCCAAGCATGAAGTTTGGTGTAGTATATGTCAAACATCACGTAAGACTCAGGAGGTTGTTGACTGATAGGCAGCTCCCCTGTTTTATTTATGAGCAAAGTTATACATTTTTGTGGGGAAGAGCTTACCATCGCAAAGATAGAACACTCTGAAAAGGCCATCTGCTGCTTGATTCAGACACGTCCGCGCATCTTCCAATGTCTCAAATATTTCAGGTACATCCTCATCCTTGGATCTGACATATGATAACCGAGACACGAAATCTCGTCGAATCTCAGTTGTTCTTGTGTCAACGTATAATATGGACTGGAGACTAAGCCGATTGAACAGAGGCCCGAGACTTTCTTCGACCATGTCGCTCTGGGCCGCAGATTCAAATCGCAAGTCACGGAGGATCTTTAGCCCACTGTGCAGATGAACCATTGCGGAGGTGAAAAAGCCCCGCAGACTGTCGAAACATACGAAAAGTATGCACGACATCAATGCTGTCAATGGGTCTTGCTTTTCATTGGCAAGAGACTTCCGTAGGTGCCCAATCGCTTTGGTATACTGGGAGACTGCAAAGGTAGGATTGCTTTCGTTGACATCATACTTCAGTGTCCCATTGATGTATTCCTCGTGCAAAGCCCCAATCCCGATTACCGCATGTCGTAAAGCCGGTTCTGCAGTGCTTGCTTGCAATATGAGCTGCTCCCAGAATGAACTGCTGTAGAAGCCGGACAGTTCTACTGCTGTTCGATTGATGAAGTATTGGAATGCCCGTTTCTCTTGGCCATTTCCTGGCGTGTGTGTGTATAACCGCTGGATGACTCCCAGGCGCCTGTTGTCCAAAGGTTTTAAGGCAGGCTCAAGGCCGTAGCCATCGCAATTTCGTCCGGTCTTCGAGCATCGTAGGCAGCTAGGCTTCGTCTCATCGCATTTTATTCGTCTTATTCTAGCTGAGCATCAGAATGGCCGCCCACAATAACTCTTAAGCTTCAAGAGCGGGAAATAAGCTTACTTGCAAGTCTGACAGCCGCTTCTCGTCTTAGGCCCGCATTTTCTTTTCTTCGAAACTACAGTAACGGTCATGTTTGACATAGAGGGATCGTTCGTCACGGAGGTATAGCAGCTGTGAAAGAACCTACCTGCTCGGATACCAGGGAGCGAGGAAGGTATCATAAGATGGAGCCAGACAATGAAGCACACTGAAGACTGCTTCTCTTTTCATAATGACGAAGAATGTGCGGCGTAGGCTGCAAGTCAGACGCAGGGCTGCGCATTGACCGTCGAGTCGCTGCAGCTGATTCGTATACGAATGAGCCACCACCACAAGGCTGACACAATAAATAGCGCTGTGAGTGGATGCTGAGATCCACTCTCGAATCCGACAAATTTTTGAACCCGACCTGACCAATAGTAGCAGCGCTATTAGTATGATGAGTAAGCAGCTCGCTGCAGCCCACCATGGCCTGGTACTGTAAGCCACAGCTCCGCCCCTCTATTTTGAGTTCAACTCCTACGCACCCCAATGGGTCAAGTACAAAATCACCGAGCGGTGTGCCCGACCTTACGGGATGATATCTTCTTGAAACCTTATTTGGACGAGAGTTCAGTTCAGCTATGGTAATGTCTCATTACCTCTGTGAATGTCCTAAAGCCATCCGAGACGACCACTGCCGAGATGACTTACTCCCCTAATATTTACAGAGAAACAATGCTTCGTACAACATAATCCAATCCACACGTTTGTCTCGTGAGCGTCTCTGATCGTACAGCGTCGCCATCTCCAAAAGCCGTCAATGGCATTCAGTTCCGAGTAGCCTCCAACGCAGCCGTCAGGGGCACGACTCGCAGACTTCTCCCTCTTTGCAGAGGAGTTCCCATAGCCTTCATCTCCGTCGGCGACAAGGCGTCTTTCCATTTGCGGAAGACAGCCCTCATGTCCTTCGGAACACCTCCTAGCACAATCGTCGTCACCGGAACAAATGGTCGATCCTCCATACCCGCTGCAAGAATGCCATACTCCTGCGCAAACATGAGGGAGTGCTGGAAGGCTGAAAATTGCGATTGCGCCATCGAACCCACAAGAATGTAGATTTCGAAGAATGCATCAAGGATGTAAATGCTTTCAGGCTCTAGGTCATGGATGCAGAATGGACTGATCTCTGTGATCTTGAACCCTGTCAGCGTCGTCGTCTTGCGTACAATATATCTACGACTTACCTGCTCCTTGGCAGACGAATGCGAGCGAAATAGTCGTGTTGAGTATTTGGTGTAATTCGGTTTGAGCCTCCAATGATCTGCGGACTTGGGAATTGCAGTATCATGTGCTTTGCCGACGAACATTTGCAGGAAGGACGCCGGCTCTTTGCCATCCTCCACCTCCTCGATCTCCCCGGTCAGACCGAAATCCATCCCAATAAGTCTAGCACAGCTCAGCTCCTCGATACCACTTCCTTTTCCCTTCCACAAATACGACTTTCCGGATTGGGTGGATATGAGATACGGAAACCCAGAGCACAAACTGCTGGGTAGGAAATCGACTTCGTCAAAGACGATCTGGCCAAGGTGCTTTCGACAGCAAAGGATATGGGGCGCAAGAGAATCGTATCTGTTCGCAGAACCTCTTCGAACTATAATGATCCCTCCCAAAGCGTGGAAAAATTCGGGCGTCTCCTTGCCTTGGCAAATTTTGATGAGTTTGCCGCCTGCACTTCTGGCCTCCTTTTGAGCAAATACTTCGGCTTCCTCCACAGTTCGGTCCAAGACTTCGTCTCCGATCCAAAAATAGAACTCTGTTGCTTTCTTGCCAGCCGCATTGCTAAAAGTGTGGAAACAAAGGTAAAGATTTCCTTCAAATAGGATTCGCTCTTGATGATTTGGTACTTGTTGCTTTTTACCGTCAGGGGAAAGTTGATACAAGGTTGATTGCAGTGTCTTGATATTTCCTCTTTGATCGGGTCGAGAAGTCAACACTGCCGCTGTATCAACCTTGTATTGAATCGACGATTTGTTATCTCTAAAGAAATCAACAAGTAGTTTTGATGCCTCCGAAGTCTGTGGCACTGGGCTGTCATTTGACTTGGTTGGCGCAATGGAAGGCATAAGGCCCGCACTAGGAGGCGGTGATAATGGGCTCTTGGTTGGTGGCGTTGGAAGCGGTCGAGTTGCTCTTGCATCTCTTGTGCTCTGGATACCAAGACCTATGGAACCCCCCTTGACAGGATTTGTTGGTCGTAAACCGGCATCAATCATCGCGGCTTTCTCATCATCATGCGTCGGAAGCTTGATAGGTGATCTGGCACGCGGTTGATTTCCAGTTGTCTTTGTAGGCGAGGGTCGATCCCATAACGCAGCAGCATATTTGACTGATACGGCAGAATCCTTGTAGCTCGCCTTGCTTGATTCGAGATCATCTACGTTTCTTCTTGGAGTTTTGGGATCAACTGGTCCAGCACAGGAGGATTCAACCATATCTGACTTCGCAAATGTCATAAGAGACGGTCGAACCTTTGTGGTCTCTTCTGATTGCAAAGGGAAGCTTACTTTTTCCTTGGATAAGAGGGAAGGTGATTTGACCGGGGTGCTGGGCTTTGGTTTGGTGGGTGACGTAACTTTCGTATCTGACTTTGTCTCTGGTAGCTTCATAGGGGTCTCGCGGAAGTTTAATTTGGTTGGGGACAGTGGCTCAGAGACTTCTGGTTTCGATTCCGCCCCGTTCATGTCAGGAGCCTCTTGCAGAAATTGGGACCGTCTTTTCATGTCAAGCTTGCGAGGTGACGATGGTTGCGATACGGGATTCTCAGCATCTGTTTGTTGCTTTGCTGGGACATTCTCGCTTGGTTTCGAGAACGTCCGGGTCTCAATTCGTGGCGGTTTGGGGGTCAGATCTTCACTTGTCATTGAAGTTGGTTTTGTCTCGTCAGACGCCATGGTAGCTGAGAGTGCACTAGAGGGTGCCTTTCTTCGTGGGCCTCTGGCACGCCCCTTGGTCATGTGTGTGAGCTGTGGACCGGAATCTGGAGCCTCCGTATTGGACGTGGAAGTGCTCATGCTCACTGTGCGTTGAGAAAAGGGACTCGATGACTGAGAGGGATCATTAGCCATTGACGGGGGTCCTCTTGCCAGCAGTCCTGCAAGTCCAGGGTTCAATCGACCAGCAAGCTTTCCTCCTGCTGGCTCTTTCGGCTGAAATTGACTTGATGCACTCTTTTCATTCACGAACGTAGATGCCTTCGCAGATTCCTCGGTTTTGCTCTCTTTTGTGGCCAAATTAGAAGTGACAGGGTCTGCTTCGGCCGCAATAGATCCAGATCTTCCAAGAGCTCTCCGTTTGGCTAAAGCTTCGGGAATGTCAGAATCGTGGCTAGCAGAACTTTCAGACCTTGTGACACCCTTTCCTTCGAGTTGTGCCCTCTTGAAATCTTCTTTCTTCTTCAAAATAGCTTCTTTGAAATCATCCTTACGTTCGGTTTTCTTGGGACCTCCGGTAATGTTCAAAGCAGCCTTCCCACGAGTGATATTGTTCTTAAGTTCGTCAGGTGCAACATAATTCTGTGTCTTGGTGCGTCTCAGCTGGCCAAACACGTTCTTAAATTCGGGCTCAATCGAAGTGCTTTCCGATGGAGCCTGACGAGCTTTTAGATTTGCACGAAAATCTTTCCTCGGGGGAGTGTTTGGTTTGACTTTGCCGGCGGCGGGCGAGGGCTTCGAGATAGGGAGTGTCGTTGAAGCGGCAGTGTTGTCAACATCGTTTGACTTTGTAGAGTCTTTGCTTTCTTGAGAAGCAGTGCTGTCAAGACGGTTTCTCGTAATTGCCCCAGAAGAAAAGCCCGTTGGAAGTCCTCCTATGCTCAAAGGTTTTGCAAGTCCACCTGGGGGTGGTGATCTCATCAAACCGCCAATGCTAACTTCGTGTTTTGGTCCAGTTGGAGGGCTTCGAGAAAGGTCAGCATTGCTTTTCTGTTTCGCTTTATTGATCTCCGACATCCAAGCAGGCTGTTGAGACGGCGGCGCGGCTTTTGGTTTGGGCTTAGGAGATTCGGGTTTGTTCAATGCGCTTTCAAGCCAACTGGATTTTGTCGGACTCCATCTCCTCGGGTCCATAGTCTTTGAAGGGCTTGTAGGGGGTGTTGTTTCGGCCCGTGTTGGCGTCTCGGTAGAGGCATTTTCTTGGTCGATTCTAGTTTCCAATGGAGTCTGCGTCCGTGAAGCGGGAAGAGAAGGCTTTGCAAACGTATCGCTTGCTGTTGACGCAGTAATACAGCTTTTCATAGAGCTGGATGTCCCAGGGCGTTCTTGAGTGATGGTATTATTGCTGTGACTCGACACGGGCCTCGAATTGGGATGGGGTGAATTGTCTCGACTCAAGCTGCTTGGTCTAGAGCTCCCTGCTGAGTTGACGCCACCCAGAGCCATATTGCTGCTATGATCTTGGCTACTGCGATTACTAGCAATCGAATCGCCCCTCGTGAGACCTGCTGGCGATTGTACGCTCCACCTCTTCACACTATCCGATCTCTTCATGATGGCACTCTGAACAAAGCCTCCCATTCCCTTCGTAGGAGAAGCCGGCCGTTCAAGTCTTTCTGGTGAGATTCGGCCTTGTGATGGTGACATAGCCAAATTACGGCTCTCAGAATTCGAATCTCCTGGAGGTTCGAGTTTCTGGGCTGGAGTCAAGGTAAGTGGAGAGCCAATTCCACCCGAAACTCGAGGGCTAGCTTGATAAGACGCTTTTGAGCCACTTCCAACTCCTGCACTGCTTCTCGATGGAGAAGAAGAGCGGTCCATCGGTTCATCAATAGCTCTCTCGGGTTCTGAAGACTCTCTACCCATTCCTGGCATTTGTACCCGAGAGGAATTAGACCCGTGATCCGATCTGTCCTCGTCCTCCACTTGATTCCGTCTGTATGCTTTCGAATTCAATCCCCTGTCAGCAGTCTGCCGGAACCACGCAGGATCTTTGGACGCCAGTGATTGTGAAATTTCTTCCCGAGAAAGCGTTGGCTCTGCTGTGGATGCCGGTTCAGGCGTAGCTCTCGGAGATCGCGCAGCGTTCTCAGCAGCTACCATTGAGAGTGGCCGACTTCTTGGGCGATCCGGGGATTGGGAATTTGGGCGGCGCTGCCAGGACAGCCGTGAATCTCTCGAGGGCATAGCATTTGATGGTGATGCTTTGACTGAAATATTCCTGATAAGATCGGACTCCGAGATAACGCGTTCCTCATCAAACGGTGCAGTATTTTCCTTTGTTGGGGAATTCGTGGTGCCCGCCAACCTATCCATCTCATCACCAACCGCGGTGTCGCGTCGAGACTCGGAAGCGCATTCGGGGTTGATCTGGGGAGACAAAGACTGGAAAATGCCACTGGCTTGGGCCGCCGAGATTCGCGATACAGTTGGGGTATTCGCAGGAGAGGACTTCGTAGGGGAAATAGATCTGGCACGCTCTGAATAGTGGAAGTTAGCCAGGGATACAAAATCAAGGTGAGCTGTCACACCGGGATCCCACTGCAGAGGAGAGGTTCGGATTGACCTACCAGCGCGGCGTGCCTGTCGTTCTTTTCTGCCCTGCAAGATCTCCTCCTCGAGCCTCTTGTTGCGCTCTTCGTCTTCTTGGTCTCGCCTATCACCCAATTCCTTGATGCGCTTTAGAAAATCGTTGACATCCTCACCGCTGTCCGTTGCTGTTGGGCCGGACATATTGACAGAAATGTTCCCCCAAGTACTCAAAGCCTGACCATGCACAAGCCCAGGAGTTACGAATACATGGCCGCCCAGCGGGGTAGGAAGTTAGTTGAAATGGAAGAATAATCTACGAGAATACGGCTATTATGCAGGTGGATCCAGAAGCTTTTTCGCTTCTTCTCTAGGAAGGTTTGAAACAGGACCTCTTCTGCGGCCACCTGTAGTGCTATTTTTTGTAGAATTGATGAAGCCAAACATTACTGCAGATGGTATGATTGAAAAATGTTAACTCAATACCAATACTTTCTTCCTTTTTCTTTGAGATTTCTTGAAGCTCTCAATGTTTATGCATCTAGATGCTTTGTGAAGAACGCGCTTCCCTGCAAGTCCACCAGCAGCCACACCAACAGCCAAAACAAAACACCACCACCACCACCAATAAGAGCATTCTAGTATAGAAACAATCGAGCCTTGGCGTCTTGCACAACCCATTCAAGACCTTCTTTAAGATTCGCACCCGTAATCGCACTACATCGAATGATGTGCCACTTGTGCGTCTTGATGGCATTCAACTGGAGCCCCTGCATTCGGTTAGCCCAGCCGCAGGGCAACATCGATAGAACCAGACATCTTGGATTTCTGCTTCATCCATGCATCCATTAACATCTGTCTTATTAGCAAACACCAGCAAACTTGCCCCAGAAAGTCTCTGGCATTCAGGTCAGCCATGGATCTTGTGAGACCGCTGCATGGTCAAACCTCTTCCTGTAGAAGGCCATGGAGCTCCTCCCTGCAGTCATCGATTCGAAGTCGATCAGTGGCATCCACCACCCAGATTAAGGCATCAGTCTTCTCGAAGTAGTTCCTCCAGTATGATCTGAGGGTCTTCTGGCCACCAACATCCCCTGAGCTGGTCAGCAATGACACTAGTCGAGCAGCTGGTGCACCTACAGATATTAAGCTTATATCTTGGGGAAAAGTCAGTATGATATAGCGGCAGTGAACCAAGCACTTACCCGCCATAATCAATAGTCTTGATAATGAAGCCCAGTGTTGGGCTGACTGTATTGACATCTTCACCCATGATCTTCTTGACTATAGTAGTCTTGCCGGCATTGTCCAGGCCGCTAAGCCATGTCAGCAGATTCCATCTGTCCAGCAAGAGAGCCTACAGCATCAAAATTCGCATCTCCTTATCCTTCAACCTTGCTTTTCGCAATATTGACAGCATTTTGCCCTTTTGTAGGAAAGCTGTGGTGGGCTGTGTATTGTTGGGCAAAGACTTCGTCCAACTCCGGAAGTGACAGGGGGATGGGATACTCCATCAAATAGCATCACGTGATCATCACCTACCCCCAACCTAAGTCGACACTTGACCGAGAATCCTTCTTGCAACCTGAAGATACTTCTTCACGAGCGATACAAGCTTCATCTTTTGAGATCTAACCATCTACCTTCCGTCTCATTCCGAGGGTTGTTTTCATCAAAGCATCTGGTACAGACCTTGACCCCTTTGCACGCTTTTACCTTTGCCCACTTGGACTGTCACTTCTGCTTTTACCAAACCCTTCCTTGACAGTACCTTCTCATCTTGCCATCAATTTAACCATCTCATTAACTTATTCGTCTCCATACGACCCTGTTCCCTTCATTTTGCAACCATCTTCCACAGAAGGCTTCTGCCACCACATCTTCGCATCTTCACTATTTCTCCACCCGGCCCTCGCCTCTTTAACAGCACAGCATCGATACCAATATAGGACGCTCATTGGCTCTCCACGCGAGGGTGCTTTGACCCACAATATCGGATCTAAAAGTGAGTTCATTCAAGTTTACCCCTCCCCTCCTTCTCCTCTATCCCTCCTTGCAACCTCCTTGTCACCTTCCACATATCAAGATACTATCACAATATCACAATTCCCAAGTTCCTTTCACTCCCCCTTATTGAACAACTCCCCTATCCACTCTTGCCGGTGAAGCCAAACGGCATCATGTCCGACCAACGGCTCACCTCTGGAGGCGGGAAGGAGAAGTACATCCCGAAGAGAATACGCTCTCAGAACAACATAGTTCCTACTCAGAATAACGCAATCCCTTTGTATGATAACACTTGTATTAGTAATCACAGATGAGAGCTGACAAGTCATAGGTACGACCGACCGGAAGCAAAACCATATTTGATGACCGTCGAGAGCATGCTTGAGAAGTCAACTGGCACTCTACAAGATTCGACCTGGGCTCCCCATAACCAAGCCGCCAGACAAGCTTTTCAACAGCACTCTGCTAAGGCTCGAGCTAGACCAGCCTCTCAACAGCACTCTGGTACTGCTCAAGGCATGCACCCTTCTCGACAACCGTTTGGTCCTGGTCAAGCTACACAAGTTTCTCAACAGCCATCTAGTCCTGCTCAACCTCGACAACCTTCTCGACTGCACTCTGCTACTGCCCAGAAGATGTCACCAGCCGCTCAGATCGAGACTTCAAATCCGGCGCCTTGCGGACATAGCGCTTGGAACACCGAGGCTCCAAAGCCAACTACTATGGGACAAGTCAAATCAAGCTGGGAAAGCCAATCTTCTCGGCCCGGCAAGTCACCTTCGCATCAAAATCACTCTCATATCTGCTAATGCTCAAGTAGCTAATCCATCTGGTGAGCCCGTTGCATCAAGCTGGGCAGTTCAACAACCTCAAACCGGTAATTCACTTGCAGATCGATATCACTTCCATATCCGCTGACATTTCTTAGCAAATCCAAAGCCCGAGGGAATGACTTCAATGGCTGTTAAGGCTGGTCAGCCACCCTCAACAGTTGAGCGAAACCAATTCCGCATTGCGGCCCAGAAATCTTATGTCCCATCGCATCTTCGAGGAATTGAGCCCGAACAGGAGTGGGAGGTTCCGCCAAGCACTCAAGCACCGGTTGCTGCCCCCGTTGCTGCCCCAAAGCCAGCATCTATTCAGAAGACTCCTGCCACCCAGGATACTGATGGCGAGGCATGGGCCCGAAAGATGGGTCTTCTACCCAAGGAGCCGGTCACTCCAGCTAAGGCTGCGACAGATGGCGATGAGTTGGCTCAAAGGATGGATCGTTTGCCTGAGACGACTACTCCAGCTACGGCTAATACCGAAAATGAAGAATGGGCTCGAAAGATGGGTCTGCTTCCCAAGTCAGCTCCCGCAAAGCAAGTCCCAAACGCCCACCAAAATTCTACCAGCAAGGTTTCCCAGCTGAATCAATCCTCTGGCCATGGTCCGAAGCCAGTCTCGAACTTCGGCGCTGTCACTCAGAACAAGTCGAGCAAAGTCGCTCAGAATGCGCCCTTCAATAATGCACGATTCCATCTGAAGCAAGATAGCACTGAACACTTCCAGAAATTTGTGCAGTCCTCAACTGTCACCAATGGAAAGAAATACACCTTCAATGGACCGGCACCAGCAACAGCAACTGAGCAGCAACAGAATGCACCTGTTGGCAAGGGGACCACTCAGCCATCTGGCAGCCTGGCTTCTGTTCCTCAGCAGCAACGGGGTACCCCACCTCAGTCTGCAAACTACAGTCAACAACAGCAACGCGGTCCTCCCCCTCAACAGCAGCGCGCTCCTCCTCAAGCCGCTTGCCCAACTCAACAACCGGTTCACAGCAACAATGAGAACAGTGCCCCTTTTGCTAAGCAGGATCCCAATATGATGTTCAGTCCTAGCCAGATAGCAACAGCCATTCCGAGTATTGATAAAGCGACTGTCAATCAAACCACAACTGATTCTCTTCGTGTCATGAAAGGCCCTTGGCCTACAATTCCATCCACTGATGTCAAGTCCTTCAACGAGAAAGTTGCTCACGAGCTGAACGCAACCAAACAAGTTCCCGCCAACATTGCGCCGTTGACACAGGATGCCTTGGTCACAACAACAGGGTTCTTGCCTCGCGACCACAGTCTCAAATTTGAGGACCAGGTCAGCGATGATGGGGTCGTCGAGGAAAACAGAAAGGAAGGTATTCGGGCTACCCAAGGAATGGATGCTGCGACTCAATTGCTGGACTGGGACAAGAAACGCTGGGCTCCTCCGCCTTGTGACTGGGAGAATGACCGAACCCGGTTCAACGATAGCTTCATTCCCGATTACATTAAGGAATGGCGTGGCGATATCCCGTGTGGACCCTCTATTCAGGTGGATACTACTCTTGATGAATTTAAAGGTGGTAAGTGTCCCATCAATAATGATGTCCTTATCGACCCCATCGAACAACCTGAGTCTAGTCCGGGTATGTCCATGACAAAATGGTTCATATTTACACTGGTGTCTTCATGCTAATAACTTCTAGATATCGGAAACGGTGAGAACGAAATGAAGAGACTTCATCAGACATCACTTGTTGATGCCAACAACTTCCGCGCCCGCGAGGGAAAAAAGCAAAGAAAGTCCCAAAGCATCAGGGCAGCCGCCGATAATCGTCACCTCGAAATTGCAATGGCAGTTGATGAACCGAATCCATTCTCTCCGAAGATCGATATGTACGTCCGTCCAGCTCAACAGAAGGATGCCCAGGACATCGTGAAGATCTACAATCACTACGTGATTAATTCTATCATCCCTGAGGACCAAGAACCGATTTCGCTCCTAGATGCACAGGAACTTATTGAGACTGCCAAGAGAGAGAAGCTCCCATTCGTGGTCGCCGTCAAGGGCCGAGTTCCACCGACACATGATGCGCAAGGACGAACTCGTTCAGCCAAAATTATCCTGCCACAAGTCGAGTCAGTCCTCGGGTTCGCTTTTGCAGAGCGCTTCAACTATGCCTTCAGCGGCTCTAACCGAGGTCGATCCCGTGGTACTGTCACCATTCAGCTCTATGTTGATCCTACAAACACACGCAAGGGCGTGGGCCGCAACACACTCGATCAGCTCCTGCACTGTATGGCCACTGCCTATTCCTTCAAGAACGCTTGCCCTTGGATTAATCCCGACAATGACCCAGTTCATGAGGCCAACGGTTGCGGTTTGATTCACCAAATGATCATGATGGTTCCTGTTCTGAAGAAGGATGATCCGACCTTCCCTTGGCTGAGCAATTTCCTTTACAACAAGTTCTGGTTCAAGGAGGAGAATCGCATGAAATCGGTTGCTCGGAGTTCCATTCTCCATGGCACTGGGCGAATGTTGGACATTGCTGTTCTTCAATGCGAGCTTCTTCACGAGGGCGAGTTTGATGCTTTTTTTTAAGGATCTTGCAATGTTGAGCGTTGACTGCAATTCGTTTTGTGGAAAATGCTACAACCCCGATATCCTCCGTTGACTGCGATTTGGTTTGTGGAAAACGTTACAATCTCGATACCCTCCGTCAACTGCAATTTGGTTTGTGGAAGACGCTACAATTCCCATTTTCTCTTTTCACTGCAATTTGGTTTGCGAGATATGGATCGACCATCGATGATGTGGCCTGCAATTCGGTTTGTGTGCAACATTGCTTATCGATGTTCCCTACTTCGATTTCTCTCATCTGGCTCTTACCTCAGTCATTGCCTCGCAGCACTTGAGCAAGCCTCAGATTCTCTTCTTTCCAATGCTTATTTTCCTCTCGACGATTTCGACGCTGCGCCTCTCAGCAACACTTGATGATGCATTTGATGCTGCTTGTCAACGCTTCAGCTAATTAGCGATGCTCGTTCGGGATGTTGAGCGCATAGTTGATTTCTTTTCTTTCCGTGATATTATGAGGCGCTCTCTGGACAAATCATTGCATGGTTCCGTTCAGGAGTCGAATGGTGGATGGCTATGCTGCACAAAAAGATTCCCCATTTCATTTCTGCCATAGAGAGGGTGCAGCCTGTACTTAGAGCAATAGAATAAAATTCAGAAAATCTGGACATGAAGTAAAAAATGTGACCTTGTGAAATGACTACGATGTACCCCACATTTAAAAAGTATTTCCCGGTTTGGCGATTTTGCCAGGCGGTGAGAAAAAATGTTTAGTTTCTGGGAACAAACCTTCAATCTCATCACAGTTCTAGGCGCAGCAATCCAACATGGCGCCCTCTACGAAACGAAATGCGGAGGATGGTTTCATTCTCACGATCTCAGACAATGAAGATAATAACGTTCCCGAAGAAGAAGAAATCGCTTCGTCTCCCAAACCATCCTCCAAGAAACGCAAACGTGAAAACGAACCCTCGAATTCTGCTTCGGTGAAGAACAAGAAGGCGGGGAAGGGGAAGGGGAAGCGGAAGCCAGAGGACGAAGAAGGGGAAGAGGGCATATGGGGCGCAAATGATGAGGATGATGGGGCTATGGACTCAGATTTCGAGTTCGTGTTGGAAGACGGCAATGATGGAGCCATAGAAGAGTTCGACGGCTGGGGTTTTGACGGTGTGAGGAAGGGCTTGGAGAATGGGGTAGGTGGTGATAAGAAGGTAGTGGATATCGACGAAATTATTGCGAGGAGGAGGGAGAAGAGAGGCGAGGGAAAGATTGAAATAGGAAAGGCAGACATTGAGAAGCACGACGCTGAGAGTGGCAGTGACAGCCAGGCAGAAAAATCTGAGGATGAAGTAGATGGACTACAGTTTGGTGATGAAGAAGACGAATTTATGGCTGAAGATGGCTTTGGTATGGGAGTTGCTTCTGATGAGGAAGAGTCTGGCGACGAGAACGAGGCCGAAGGATTCGACGATGAAGATGCAGATGGCCAAGAAGGAAATGACATCGAATCAGTGGCTAGCCCAGCTCCTCACCCAGACGATATAGCTGCAGAAGGCTCTTCAGATGAGGACGAAAAGGACGAAGATCTTGAAGAGGCAGCTCGCCGAGAAGCTTTCTTTGCTCCTGAAGAGAAGCCTGCCAAGGGTGCCAAAGCTGCAATTTCTAGTTCTTTCCAAGGCATGCCGTTATCTAGACCGATTCTCCGTGGACTTGCTGCAGTCGGATTTTCACAGCCAACACCTATTCAAGCCAAGACCATACCAGTGGCTCTACTAGGAAAAGATGTGGTTGGTGGAGCTGTCACTGGTTCCGGGAAGACTGCAGCATTCATTGTTCCAATTCTTGAGCGCCTTCTATATCGGCCTAAGAAAGTCCCAACAAGCAGAGTTGTCATTCTCATGCCTACTCGTGAATTGGCAATCCAATGCCATGCTGTCGCTACGAAACTCGCAAGTCATACCGATATCAAATTCTGTTTGGCAGTTGGTGGTTTGAGTCTAAAGGTTCAAGAAGCAGAATTGCGGCTTCGCCCGGATGTTATTATTGCAACACCAGGTCGATTCATTGATCATATGCGCAATTCGGCAAGCTTTACAGTGGATACTCTCGAGATCTTGGTGCTTGATGAGGCTGATCGAATGCTTGAGGCTGGATTTGCGGACGAGTTGAACGAAATCTTGACTACAATCCCTAAGTCAAGGCAAACAATGTTGTTTTCTGCGACTATGACTTCTTCTGTCGACAACCTCATTCGAGTAGGTCTCAATCGACCTGTTAGATTACTAGTTGATGCACAAAAGCAGACTGTTGGGACCTTGATCCAAGAGTTTATTCGTCTTCGGCCAGGACGGGAAACGAAGCGTATGGGCTACTTACTGTATCTCTGCGCCAATATCTATACTGATCGAGTCATTGTTTTCTTTCGTCAAAAGAAGGAGACCCACAGAGCACGAGTGATCTTTGGACTTTCTGGTCTGAAAGCTACCGAATTGCATGGTAGCATGAGCCAAGAGCAGGTACGTAGCTCCTTTTATCCTACTATTACCTCCACTGACTATTCGACAGCGTATCACAAGTGTAGAAGCTTTCCGAGACAGCAAATCGTCATTTCTCCTAGCCACCGATCTCGCCTCCAGAGGTCTCGATATCAAAGGTGTGGATACAGTCATCAACTACGAGGCCCCACAATCCCACGAAATCTACCTCCACAGAGTCGGACGAACAGCTCGTGCTGGACGTCAAGGTCGTGCATGCACCTTGGCCGCTGAGCCAGATCGCAAGATCGTCAAAGCAGCAGTTAAGAGTGGCCGGGCCCAAGGGGCCAAGATTGTCAGTCGAGTCATCGAAGCTTCTGAAGCGGATAAGTGGTCTGATAAAGTTGACGCTATGGAAGATGAAATTGAGGGGATCTTGAAGGAGGAGAAAGAGGATAAGCAGCTTGCGCAGGCGGAAATGCAAGTCAGGAAAGGAGAGAACATCATCGTTCATGAAGATGAAATTAAGGGTAGACCGAGGAGAACGTGGTTTGAGAGTGAGCAAGAGAAGAAAGCTGCTCAGAAGGCCGGGAGAGCGGAATTGAATGGTGTGGAAAGCGTGATCAAGAAAAAGGGCGGCAAGCTGAGCAATAAGGACAAGAAGAAATTGGATGATAGAGATGCCAGGATGGGAGGAAAAGTCTGGAAGAAAGGCCGAGCCGAGAGGGATGGGAAGGGGGCACTAGACAAAGCCAAGAAGGAAGAAAAGGGCAAGAAGAAAGTCCGGGGTGGTAAACCCGTTTCAAAGATGAGTAAGGGTGGGAAGTTTGGTAAGAAACGGTAGACAGTGTGAGCCAGAATCCCATCTCCCTGGTTTCTCAGCCAACTGGATTCGCTACATGATAGGTGCCCAATCTTTTTCATCAATCACAAAGACAATTCTCAACCACGTCTCAGCCCTCCGTATCTAAGCTCGGGGGCCTTCCAATTATTGTTCGCGACCGAAACTTTGTCCGCCTCGCTACACCAGTAGTCTAGGGGTTCCTCAAGTGCCTAAACACGGTCTTCGCCCGGCTGAAGCTCTGGGTGCCGATCTCCTGGCACGCAGCCAGGTCCTTCAGCGAAGTCGCGATGTTCTGGTAAGTACAGGGAAATTCTGACCTCCGCAGGTGCTGGTAGGCGTGGCCGTCTTCGTTGTTCAATACCATATGGGGGAGTGAAAGTAAATGGCACTTTCAACCGACTGTCCCCAACTGCGTACTGACGTGGCCAAGACTGTGGAAAAACTTCAGGGGATCGAGCGCAGTGCCACTTTTGAACACCAAAGCATCCTTCATATACTTGGTATCCGGGGCCAGATTATTCAGAATTCTCAACAAGTCGTCATGAAACGCTTCAGTCAGCTCTTCCAGGAAGAATGAGTAACCGAACCATCGAATGAACAGGGCGTCGAGGGTCGGATTAATGTATATTGGTCGGCGATAGTCCGCATCCCATTGCTCCGGTGTTGGATGATCTGAGCCACGCAACGCTAGCCGGTAAATCTTCAAAGTCTCAACACGGGATTTTCGACAGACATGCAGAAGGACTTGGGCCGGTAGCTGGGAAATAGAAGATCGTCCGCAGCAGGGTTTACAAATCAGCTCGACGACTGAAGCTACTGGCTGAGAATAGTTCCAGATTTTCAGAAATATTTTAGTGGCTAGCTTGGGGAAGAGCGTGAACGTCTGATGCGAGCAGTGTGTCAAAGGATTATTCAAGTTATTCGAGTTATTCATGAATAATTCATGAATAACTTGAATAAAATAAGAGTAACGAATATCTTAAATAATTTGAGTAAAATAGAATAATTATTCATGAATAACATGAATAACCATGAATAACCACGTGAAAGTCACGTGAAAGTCAATTAATTATAGTAAATTGACATATATTTAAATTTAAAAAAAGAAACTAAGGTATTTATTAAGCAGCCTTATATAAGCTAAGCTAATACTTATATAAGGCTACTTAAATGCAGATTTTCTATAATATATAAACTGATTATCGCTAACGTTCGATCCGCTTACCAAGCGCTACTACCACCTGATTGGGTAGCGAGGTGGCGCTAGGTGCGGGCCCCCCCGGAAGCCCTACCCGATTAGGCTAGCTCAATCACGTGCATAGATCACGTGCGTCATTCAAATTATTCATGATTATTCATGAATAACTTGAATAATATATGAATAAAATAAGAGTAACGGCCGTTATTCTATTCTACTCTATTCATTTGACACACTGGATGCGAGGTATCGTCTTGATTAGAAAGGCCGCTTTGTTGAATCGATATGGGCTCCATTCGTTTGGCCGCCTTGGGTCCATTGAGATATGAGAGTTTCTATTTCAGCCAAAGATATCAGCCATTGTATCCCTCGCAATAGATGAATTGAACCTGATCGTAAGCCAAGGTGCCTTCATCGAGTACTGTACCATGCTTCGAAAGCGTCCGCCAGTGTCGGTTCTTGCTTGGCGTTTGCCATTATGCTTGTAGATGGCGGGATGTATGTGGTAGTCTGAAGTTTGTATTATTAGGAGGAGGAAATTACGTCACAAGAAAGTCGAACATTCGCTTTTAACGGTGGAAAGCGACTAACGATGCTATCCCGGTCAATGAGAGAGCGGCTTGGACGAGAGACAGCTGTTCAGGTCCATGAGCCACATCTCTTCCCAAAAGAGGAACTCGCGAGCGTTATGCCTCAATCACTATATTTTTAGATCGACAACAGCCACAAGCTGAGCCATCTAGCTTGGTATAATGTCCCAGAGGAGTACTGTACAACTATAGCCAAAACTGTAAAGCCTTAGTAGGTGTCACCTCTATGCATCTTTAAACTCTAGCTCCCAAAGAACAAGGGTACGGCGAGAGCTTCTTGGCTACATTAAAGCTTTTGTACCTCTATTGTATATTCAAATTATGCAGTGTGAAACAGCCTTTGAAAGTAATTCTCCATGAAGGCTATCAATACACCACGTCCACTCAAACAATAAGCCAGGTCAGTCCTACTGTACTCCTAATAACAAATTTACTTCTCTATAATTCTGATGTTCCAATTCAAGAATAACCGCACCCCAATATGCAACTCAATGTCTAGGAATTGTTTAAAACAATTAAAACCCTTCTGTCCTTGATATGCAGGGACTTTCTGGAACAATCCGGCTCAAATTCAACTCGTTGTACTGACTTCGAGCAGGACACTTGTCCATTTGAGAGCTTCTATTTATAGCTTGTGCATCGAACAATAGAGATATAGATATCGTGAACTTCCATTATCTCATTATTCCAATTCTTGTAGAATATTCTCCACCCCCTCCATCTCCCAATGTTCCGGCTTTCCAGGCTACAATCAACCCTCCTTCCCTCTCCATTGTTCATTTGCTCTTTAGTACAATGGAGTCGAATGCTGGCATTTGCCAGGTAGGATCCATCTGATGAAGAGAGACAAGTCCGCCAGGAATGAAGGTTGTGACCAAATTTTCAATCCCATCTACTTGCGATGGGAACCAAGGATCCGCCGGGGACACGCCCCGATACCTCGTAACTGCCGTCTCAATGCCCTGTAGCTGAAACCCCATATCGTATAGGTTGTCCAGGGACAACGGCCGGGTTGCCATTGCTGAGCTAGGATGGTTGGCTAACGGTGACGACTGACTGGTCATGACAATAGAGAAGTTATGGACGGAGGGGAGACAACTAAGTGATGAAAGGTCTATCCATGCCCGATTCATCACCCAGAAATCACTCGCCAGATTCCTGATGACAGAAAGATCCAATACCGGATTCATCCAAGGCGTCACTTCATCCAAAAAATTTCGCAGAAGGGTGTTGTTGTTCAATCTGACCGCATGTCCTTATGAACAAAAAGGATATCCGATGGAAGGTCAATATAGATCGCAACACCAGTTTTCGCAGCGTCTAAGACGAAATATGTTCTGATGAGTTCAACTCTTGCTTCACGACAATGAGACGACGTGTTGGTAAAACATTTCCTAGGTGATTTCGAGGATGATTGGTCTTCGGGCTTGACAGGCTTCTCTCCAGATATTTCGTCTGAGCTCCAATAGAAGCAATGTGAACACGGCAAGATCTGATAGCACTGTAATCGCTAAAGAAAAAAATATTAGCTGAAAGCTCAAGAGAATGCTAGAAGCAGTGTCCCAGAAAGCCCTGAGACATTAACAAGAAAGGCAGTCGCAATGTGCATGGAAACCAGGAACAATTATCCAGGTCACAGACATTAATGAACCAACTCCTTGAGTACATTGTGCAATAAAGGAGAAGCGAATGTACCAAAGAAAGTGGGTGATTCTTACTGGGTCCAGCAGCAGCATTACCTCTTTGACTAGCAATACTAAATCTATCAGCTCAATTTCCTAAGAAGCTCTTGTGCTATGTTCCTTGCTCTACTTATATTTACCACCAGTTAGTTACTGAATCCTGTAGATCAGTGAGGGTTAGCATGTGCTCCATGTCCAAGACAGGAGTTGTAGATTGGGAGTTCGGAGGAGATCATTGTTCAAGACTGGCAGGAGAATTTCGGGCAGAGGCCAGAGCGGTTGCATCAGTCTTGCTTGTCATTTTCAGCGGTTGCGGTAGTTGTGATCGAGGCTGTGATGCTCGAGGAGAGAAGGTGCGACCAAAGAGAAAATTACAATCCTAACTAAACAACCCTATCATCGACTTCGCTACTGCCGCTTTGGGGAAAAAGCTAGCGGATTGAATTACTGTTCGGGCAGCGACAGCACTACGCAATAAGGAATCGTATCGGTCCTTTACCCACTCGCCGGATGTTCCAGTGCTTCCTTCAATAATGAAACTGTTGTTGGTGATGGTTGGCAATCTACTAACAAGAAAGGAAACGAAGTGCAATAATATTGACCCAGAGAGAAACAGAACAATGCCCTACAGAGAAATAGTACATTGAACCAAAGGGAAATTTAGAACGAGTTCAATGAAACAGTGCAATGACCCGGAGATGAATATTACAACTTGCAGATGTATACTTAGGCCGCAAGGAAGCCTGATGGCTTGAAGAAGAGTTTTCTTGCCCTATATAAAAAGAAGTGATTGCGAAGTCGAAAATCCATATTGACTGCTGTGCTGTGGTGGGTTGCGAATTATATCCCACGCCCTGGCTAGCGAGCCTCTATAATAATCTCACAGAAACCGCGGAACTTACCAGAGCCAACCCTTCTTCTGTTTCTTCTCCGCTATCGTCTCCTTGTATTCATTGATGATCTTCAGAGCTTCGTCGCCTTTCGGGGCCGTAGTCAGATTCTCATAGCCGTCCTCGGTGACAAGAATATCATCCTCAATTCTCACACCACCAATAGGATAGTACTTGTCGAGCAAGTCCTTGTTGATGAATTTCGCATACCGAGTATCCTTCAAGAAGAGATCTTCTAAGGCATATCGAGAGAAGTAGCTGCCACACATAGTTAGAATCAGAATGGAATAAATGATCAGATCAACTTACATTCCGGGCTCGATGGTGATCACCATATTCGGCAAGAGAGTCGTCCCAGTAGACATGATAGGATCCAAGTCTTCCTTCAAATAAGCCGAGATCCAAGGATTGACCGACTTTTGCCCGGAGAGGAGATTGAGTCGGTCACTTCCATCCCCAACATCGTGAACCTCGAGTCCAACATGATCTAGAAGAGTCAGAAAATGCACATGGTTGGAAGGGGAAAAGTCTCACGCCCAAGACCATGGGGGAAGAAAGCTCGCCAAGCACCAGACAGCAAGAGTTCCTCCGAGCTTCCGTTTTGCAGGAGGCACAGTTTTACGAGCCCTTCAATAGCGACTTTGACTGCATTTATCACGATAGTCCCAAAGTCAACACCAGGTTTGATCATTGCGATACAGGTTTCTTGCATCTCTGCAACCAAGTCGTATATTTCCTTTGCCTCAGAACTGAACTGACCAGAGATGGGAAAGGTCCTGGTGACATCGGAAGCATAACATTTCCATTCGGCTCCTGCATCAAGGCAAACAAGTTGTCGTCCCTTCAGTGGCTCATTATTCGCAACGTAATGCAAAATACTTGCATTTGGCCCAGATCCGGCGATTATACCATAAGGTTGTTCCTTGGCCTGTTCGGAAACGCAGGTCGCCATGAAGATTGCTTCAATTTCAGCTTCGTTATCGAAGTATCTGATCCCTTTCAGGACATTGATGTGAGCTTCGGCACTAATCGCATTCGCTTTTCGAATCATCCTGATTTCGTAAGGATCCTTGATAGCTCGTGCAGCGTTCATGGCCGGCTTCAACTTTGTGAACTCAAAAGGGAATTCTCGCAAGTAAGACCGTCTGCCATCGATCAAAATCGCTTCTCGTGCCACATTTTTGGGTGTTTGATAATGATGAAGCTGATAGATCTTATCTCTTTGATTGTAGTGAACGAATTTGGTCAAGTAGTCACCCAAAGTAGTGATGTACCGTACATCATCGAAGTCATATTCAGCTTTGACCTCTTTGATACTCGGTACTTGTCCGTTGAAGATGACGAGGCTTCCAGTGTTTGGCGGTGGAATCCATGCATAAAGCGAATCTCGATGAATGTCATAAGTGACAACAGATCCAGGAAAATTTATGCCGCTCATGTAATAGAAATATCGACGCTGGCGCCAATGGACGGGCATGTCTGAATCTCTACCATCAAATTAGCAACGTGTTTCTTTAGGAGGAGAGTGCGAGGAGCGAGCCGGGTGCATGAAACATCTTCCCGAACAGTGAGGTGAGGAGCTCGGGATATAGGACAAAGAAATAGGTTGGTTACTCATAACTTTCCTCCCGAAGGCCGGGAAGGTAAATTAGGCCAGATTTGACTCGGAGCTTCTGGGCCACCAACTGGGCGTGTGGCTTTGCTGCAAAAGAGAAATATCAATAAGTCTCCTTAAAATTGGGCAGTAAGTGAGAAATCAAAGTGCGAAAGTGGGACATTCTGTCCCGGAAGACATTATCCACTCTTGAAGCGCCGTAGAATGCAACTCTCTTGAAAGGGCATTTGCTACTGACCCGGATATTTCTCTTTGAACTTCGGCTTGAGGTTTACGGAACTGGCAATAATTGGTCAACACTCGATGAGGTGCAGGACTCCAATGCTTACACTAGGTCCTCAAATTCCTCGAGGACTATGCTGCAACCACTTGACCTGGAGGACGGTCTGTCCCCCAAATCCTTCACCTCCATTGAACCCATCGCTGATTGTAATTTGTCCATACTGATTGTCGGTTCAATGCGTGATTGTTGATGCAATTGGATAATGGAGGAGGTTGGCATCAGAGGCCGGGCCATCACCGCTAGTCCCCTTTGGGAAGGAGCCACAGGCATCACTGGCTCGCTTGCCTCTCCACAGCGGTGACGACTACCGTTCACTTTAACCTTCAACATCTTCTCCAGCAGCTGCAGTGTAGTGTTGTGTCATACCAAGGGACACGCTGTGAAGCCACATGGACGGTGTCTATCTGCTCAATGGCCGAGCTTTTTGGCATTCAGAAAGAGACGATCCCACCCTTTTGCTCCTTATTGCATCGAGAGAGTGAAGTCTCTGGAACTTTGAGCGGGCCTGTGGCAATATGATGATCCCCTTTGTCTCCAAGTGGAAGTGCAATGACGAAGTAGCAACGGAAAGAGTGCAAATCCCTTCTTCTAACGCGATTGTATGACACCAATTGACAACCAACTGGAGGTGAAAGTTCTGGGTCGACGGTCAGTGAAAGCCTCAACGGCAAACCAAGAAAGCACACTTCAACTCAGTTGCCAGAACACACATAGTCTGCTCATAGAGCTTCCTTGATGTTATCTTTGCAAACTCCATTCCCATCCTGGAAAGTCTCTAGTCAATGTACCGACTGAACCGATTGCCATTCCGGCAGTGGATTCTTCCGGATCAAATGGGTACTTTGGACAACGACCCCATTCTCAACATTCCGCCGCCATTGTACGCTCCCGGTATGGACGTCAAGTATTCCTTGAGGTCAATTTTGACGGATGGGAATGGACTTGACGTGTTGATCGATCCCAGTTCATCGCCAGACGATATTGAAGTTATTGACCTTGTCAAAAGTCGGACCTCTCTCGATCTTGGCCAATACTAAGCTGTGATTGCCGCCCTCACTCGTGAATTCGCACAGACCCAAGGCCCTCCTGGCACAGGAAAATCTTTTTTGGGTGTTCATTTGATGAGAGTTTTACTGGAGTCAATGTCTGAATCGTGACCGATTATTGTTGTGAATTAAGAACTCCAGCTGTTTGAACCGTAGCTGAACATTGATAGGTGTTATACAAATCATGCCTTGGACCAATTCTTGAAACATCTGCTGGATGTTGGTATCGAAAGGTCCTCAGAATCGGCGGTTCAAGTAAATCATCTCGTCCGTGTAAGCAAAGGTTGCATATTGCTATTTGACTTGTCTCGTCACTGTCACTCAAGCCCTTCGCATCGGACCTACTGGCTCTTCAGTCAGGATCTCGGGTGGTGCCCTAGGGCAACTGTGCGTGAATTTCTTCAAGCTCTGCAGAACCTTCGTTGCTACTTGCAAAACTGGGAATCTTCCAAGACTTGCATTAGAGACAACCTTGTACTTCGCAAAACTCTCGAGAACCTTCCAAAAGTATAGCCATGCTCCCCAGCTGGACCTAAAGATAGCCAACGATGTTGTTGCCGTGGCGAAAGGCTTTTTGACGTGTGCCAAAAAACCGTGCCAGCAGAAATGTCAGAATGCGGAGTTTCTTGGAACAATATGGTTGACTCTCTTTGCAGGCTGCTATGGTCAGCTGTCGCGGCGGAATCGCAACTCACTCAGGACATAGTACGTGATATTCTCTGAGCTCAAATTTCATCTCCCAGTTGTTTTGCGCTGTTTCCCTGCCGTTTCAAACATGCCTTCAAGTGAAAAGACTCTCGAAATATAGATCAACTTTTCCCCTTCGCTTGCTGATCAATTAATACTGACTTCGAGAAGGTTCAATTGTGTTAACGGTCACCCCGTAAGTGAGATCCGATATCAGATGTCCTACCAGCTCTCTGAACAGCAAATAATATGCCATAGTTTGCAATCGGCGAGTGTGGGATGCCAATGGAGCTTGCTCGCGGTCCAGAATGTGGGTGCTGCCGTTGGACGACAGGGACATCGGCCTGTGGATGGTGTAACGAGAGCTAAAAAGATGGAGAATTGAGCGCGTACATTGTACTTGACATAAAAAAGGACTCTCGAATCTGTATTTTCCTTGAGCTTGTGGTCAATTAGGATACAGTGGGTAGGTAAAAGCGAGCCCTTTTCATTCGCTTCGAGTCGTTTCTGCCCTAGCTTCCTTCCAAAAGGGAAGCGAGTTTATCTTATAAGATGCCTCGTGGTGGACAGGAAATGTGCTACTAATTTTCAAGGTCTCAAGTCAACGTTGTACATTTACTTAAACTCGGGAGGGCTAGCAATCGGATATTCAAACAATTCCGAGACAATCGAAGAAGGTGACTTTGAATAAACTAGTACTCAGGGAACATTCGAAGTGCAAGTATCTGAAATGGTCCACCTTAGGGTAGAACATTGGAAATTGAATTCCGCCGTTCTTGTCGTACACCGCGCGGATGCACATCAGGAAACATCACCAAATATCAAGAAGCGCGAGCGAAGAGATTGGCACCAGCATATAAATCCTTCATTCGGCAGGGTATATGACAGATAGCTACATTTGCGCAAACGATCTTCACAACCACCCCTAAATACATTCCACCATTGCCATTCCGGAACAAGCTTCAAATGCAGTTGGAACAATGCAATGAAATGCAACAAACGAAAAATGCAAAAGCCTCGCAATATGCTAATGCAAATGATCCATGCCTGCTGAGAAGAGAAAAAGATCGATGCCAAATATGAAGACTGAGAAAGGTAATTGTACATGAGTTGCGTAGCAATAAACGTTAGGCATTACGGGTTCAGTTCTCGAGAACATCCTTCTCCTCCTCGGTCGCTCCTGCAGGTGTTTCCTTGTAAGGAAACGTCTCATCCTTCTCCCACATTGCGGAGGGTCCTTTGTAACTTGGTTCCTCGATTCTTGTTCGTGGCATAGAATCCAATCCCGTTGCTCCACCCGAAGGGCTTTGAGCAACATAAGTAGGAGAAGCAACACCCTCCGATCCGTAAGGAAGTGGTCTCAGAGGGATTTCCCGCGGATGGACACCATCCTTGCCTAACTTATTTGCTAACACGTCCGACTGGCGCCGCGCGAGCTGCTCCAGTTGGACCGCCGGATCCTGCACAGAGTAAGAAAAAGACCTCACGCATTAAGATTGATAGAAGTACCCAGTCCTCCTGAGAAGGTACTCCTTCCGCAGCTGGTAGCTCGCCATCTTCATCTCGTTCTTCGCCCCAGAAGCTGGGTCTGCGGATGGGAGCCGGGGTAACGGGCAAACTGGGCCGTTCAAGCTCTGATGGAAAGTCCGTGAGCTTCATGCTCTGCCTTCTGGCACCCGGACTGGACACTTCTGCTATACCTGAGCCATACCCCTGCAGTACTTGGATGTTGCCCTTGCGATTCTTTTGCAAGCTTCCGATGTACCGCTCGATCTCAGGGATATCGTCCCAGGCGTTCCCACGGGTATAAGTCTGCCAAGGATCAGCAGGTGTGAGTTGGATGGTTGGAGTGGTGGGTGTGACTGGTGCGCTTTTGTCTTCAGGTTTTTCTTCATCGGTTGGCGCTGGGCCTGGGTCGATAAGGCTTGGGGGTTCTGGCACACCAACATCATTATCTTCGGGAAAAACTCGACTCGCTCTAGGTGCATTTAACTCCCATGGGAAAATTGGTGCTGGCTTTTGGTAAGTCGGGGTCTTGGGTACTTCGTAATACATATCCTTTGGTGGATCAGGATACCGTTCTGGGGCTTTGAATGGCGTAGGATCTGCAGACATGTCATAATGAGTTGCTGGGAAGTTGGAGGCTTCTGGCATGGAGTCTGCTGGTGGTGGGCCTCTGTTTATTGTCAGAATGAGACTTCAACGAATTCTCTGTACAACTAACCTGCTGGCATCCCAAGGAGCATAGGTGATTTCGGGTTCGGGGTGGTATTCAGGTTCTGGCGCCGGTTCTGGTTGACTCTCCGCCTCCAGATTCGTTTGAACTGGAGAAACATAAGCTTCTTCCACTTCTTCCGGGATTTCGATAGTCTCATGTAAAGGTTGTTCAGCGCTTGGGTGGAATATCTCACTGTCGCTCTCTTCGGGCTGATGTGTTGGTGTAATCGTAATCGCTGGGGCAACGGGTTGGAATTCGCCTTTCGTATGATACTGGACAATTGTTGATGCACCTTCCGGGGTGCTCCTCACGGACTGTTCAATGTTAATCAAATGTCTAAGAGAGGACAAACGATCACACTCACGGATTCTCGATAGTGTCGGTCATAAACTGCCCACCATCTGCCAACCATTTCGTCATACGGAGTAGAGCCTCTGTTTGCATCTCTTCCCTGGTTCCAAGGCTTGTTTTGGCCGATGAAGTGGGTCGCACTAATACTCGACTGGAAATGCCGGTACGCTGGGAGGTATTGGTAGTGTGCCGACGGAGTTACATTGTAGGTGAAGCTTAGGCGATTGAAATTGTCTTTGAAGTGCATATTCAATAGACCTTGGTCTGCGCCATCGAAAGAAATTCCCCGTTGTGCCATTGCAAGCAACGCGTAATAATCTCCCATATTGGGTGTCAAAACCAGCAATCCAGTATTGAAAAGATCAGGCCATCCGATATCTGGAGCTGCTGAAAATGGATGTGACAGATCAAACAATTCATCTGGCGCACGAAGAGCAACCATATCGGCATCCATGTACACTATCTTTCGAAATTGCAGCTGCTTCCATAATGCGATCTTTGTAAAGGTTGAATGTAGGTCGAGGCGACCCATGAGAGAGAGGTTTGCTTGGGATTCGTTTACAATTCGCTCGACGGGAATGATGAAGTCGAATAGAGTCTGCAAGAATTAGACAAATCAATGGGCTTGAACTGTTGTGGTTCTTACTTGAAGTTGAGCCATGGCATCTGCTGATACAGTGTCGGTGGTGACGAGCACAGCTATTTTCTTGGTCGTGCCAGCATCTTTCAAGCTGTGTGCCAACACTAACGCACCGGGTCTGACGCTTCAGTAAGTATGTTTTCCCGCGTACTGGAGGCATTGTGGGTTTCTTACAGGTACGAGTCCGAAAGAAGCACCTAGAGCAATTCGTCAGTAACTAGACTAGGTATCATAAGTTGGCAGGAGCAGAGCAGCGCATACCGTCGCGTAAACATCTTCTCCTTCAGAAGCCATTGCTTCTTTCTTGTTGCCAGGTAACGATTCCTAGAAGGAGTTCTTCTCGAATCACTGGCTAGAATACGACCAAAGCAAAGTGGTTGAGGAAGGAGATTGCAGAAGACGGCAGCTTGGGGCGATGGCGGGACCGGTTATTATGGATCGCTTGGCGGGGGAAGCTCGAAATCAGGGAGGGGAGGGTGGTGCGTGGCTGGTGATGGACGGAATGGCAGACGCATAAACTCAAAATGCGTGCATGCTGCAGCTGGAAGAGACCGTCATGGCAGATTTGAAAGGGGGCGACGGGAATAGGAAGAGAATGAACATCTGAAGCTTGAGAAAGTCGATGTTCCAGATAGTCGTGGGACATTTGAAGATTGGAGCTCTCGTGCAAGCCTTAGACGGCACAAAGGTTCCCTATGACGGACGTTGCGCTAGAAGCGGGTTTGAAAGTTCCATCCAACTTGGTTCTCGGTGTCATTGGACATCTCCGCGCAGTGCTTCCATCCATCCTATCATCGCACAGCGGCAAGAGCTACCCCGCGAATCGTTTGCATATCCTTTCCGCATGGTGCGTCTCGAAGCTGCTCGTCCACCGTGTGACTGCTCTGCTCCGACCTCCGGCGCCAGCGTGGGATGATGGGATCCAAGAAGGTATTATAGCTGCTGCATCGCACTTTGTCTGCATTCTCCGCCACATCGGGCCATCGGGGAGTTCGAAGCGAGCGAGGGGCAGTGGCAGATGCAGTGCAGTTTCTCGAGGCTTCAGCCTGGCCAGAAAACCGTTGGTGGTTGGAAGACACTCTGAGACACCAGCCAGCCAACGGTGCGCAGAACGGTCTCTGCTCAGGCACCCACGCGGTATCGCTGCACATCTCTGCTGCACTCATACGAGCTCTGTCTGCACCCGCGACAAAAAGCACATTTATTGCTGCGTGCAACGCTGCAGCTCACCACACCCCCTCTATCGAAGCATGGAGTCCATGCAGAAGCTGCATCAAAGCTCGACACGTGACTCGGAGACGATGGATCTGGGGAGGGAGAGCATGAGCTACGGAGAGGAACACCTGGCGGAAGGTGGATCAGCGAGGACGAACACTATCCAGACGAAGGGTCTCTTCAACTTTATGGACTTGCCTGTAGAAATTCGCGTACACGTATGTCTGACCAAGTACTTGGCAGCGTTCACCCCATTTCTAGCTCTCTAAGATCACTGTGATACGATACTGACAAAGTATAGATCTACGATGTTCTCCTGACATCTCCTGAAGTCATCGACATTGGCTCCCAGAAACCGGATTCATCCACCACAAACAACCCATATCCTCCTATCGCCATCCTTCGAACCTGCAAGAAGGTGAATGAAGAAACAACACCAATTCTATATGGCAAAAACGCCTTCACTATATGTCTTCGTGAGCCCCTTTGCTCGCCCTTACTGCATCATTTATCACTAACGCCCTCTCAGCCAACGACCCAAACCCCACGTTCCTACTCTCCAAGTTCCGCTGGACGACCCTCCGCGCCCTAAACTCTCTCACGTTCACTAGCAGTAATGGGCCGGCTCCCTCTCCCTCTATTGTGGGGATCGAGTCCCCCTTTTCAGAGCCTGGCTTTCATTGCACGGGCGCCGACATTCTCGCACGCTTCACCCTTTCTGATTTCCGTTACTCTCCCGTTGGACCCGACCACTTCATGGCATTGAGCATCTCGAATTGGGTCAGCACGAAGGTTCTGGGGGCGCAGTTGAATGCTATCCAGAGGGAGTTAGAAGTAATGATGGGGCCTTACGATAATGTGCTCGCTGCGCTTGGGGGTCCAATTACCTGAGAGCTTTAACAAATAAGCATAGTGGAATTATGTTTACGACAGAGAGGCAGACTGTGGAAGTCTACAGCACTCAATGTACGAGGTCGGTCTAGTACAATTAGATTAATAAATTGTGTCAAGTTCTTGGTCCCTTTACCTAAGTGGATCCTGGGCCGCGAGGTTCTGTTTCTCATCGCAATTCCCTCGATACATTGAGACCTCCAAACTACAGGAGAGCGATTGGAGACTCGATGAGAGCGTCCAATCACTGTACCAAAGTACTTGGGTACATTGACACGATTTGCAACGAAGAATTCAGATTCACTCACAAATTGAAATGGGATAACGGCCGATTTTGAAAGCATGATTCACTCTAGGAATCTTCAGATCAAATTCAATGTACGAAAGTACGATGGAACATTAAGTCGATGTGTAATTTAAAGGGAGATAATTCACTCTTAGTTTCGAGACGGTGAACACGAGCTCAATGTACCGCAAAGCTCTACATATTGAGTGACATAGCCGAAGCTAAGCACTTAGGTATCCCTTCCTCGCTGGGAACAGAAAGCGCGGCACACATTTCAAAGTACCAGTCAAGTTGGACATTGCAAGTGCTTCCTCCCTAAATGCACACCTGAATTATAGTATGTTTAAACACTACTCCCCTTGAATGTCTCGAAATTTCCAGCATACCAAAGTTCTATCACATATACACGTCCAACTTGAGCTGGGATATTGTAAATCAGTGTTGGATTTCGTCTCTACCGCGAGCCTTCTCGAGATATCCTTCCATCCACAAACCGCAAATCTTAGTTGCAGCCTTCACAAGACTCGGAACAACTTTTCTTGTGCTAACACTGCTCAGCTATTCGTCAAGTCTACGCGCCGAAGAAGGATTCGAAGGAAAACAGGACAGATCAGACCACAGGCCATGCTATTTCCCCTCCATTTTGTGTTAGGGAATTTTCGACCCATCAAAGCAACAAACAAGCAAGCCACTGCGCGACATTTGTGCAAGCCCTCCAAACCCTTATCTTCTCTAAGCCAGATGCTCTCACACGTGGCCAACGACCAACAAGCGGGAAGATAGGGCCGTAGGGCTGATATCCTGGCCGCTTAGGCTTGCCAACCCAATGCCCAACTCCAACCTCCTGCTCGCTATCTTTTAATAGGCACTTGGCGTGGCTTCAAGGCTGCGTTTCAGGATCATCACACGGCGTGAATGTCTCAGAGACTGGCAAACCGATTGACACACATTTCGTGAGGGCATTCAGGATGATGTGCCATCCCCATTTCCTTGGGGCAAAAGTGTGGGGGCTGGTGCATCTGCTTCGTAGTGACACAATCTTGCAAAGATGAGATTGTGAGCGTGATTGGGAAGGGAAGGATGTTGCCGCCTTTCTGACTCCTGCGTCCTGCGAGATGGAAATGATAGCTTGCGCAGGGGAGAAATTTGGAGAAGAGTGTGCCAAGTTCAAAACAGCTGTCTAGTTTGAAGAGGATCTGACACAGCGCTGAAAAAGCCATTTCATTCTTATCCAATTAAAGAATTCGAATGGAATTTCACGCTCGCAGTAAATGTACCACGGGAATTATGCGCCTAGTCAATTTTTTTTATTCAAAAGGAGTATACCGCTTCCAGTCATTTACAGTGAATGACCTGCCGCCTAACGCCACAAATGCATCAATCGTACAATGGATTTACGAGCCTTCTGCCTCGTCAACCGTGTCCTCCACCGTTGCAGCTTTTGCCTTTCCCTTTTCTTTTCTATGTTGTTCTTCCTCGGTCTCAGGTTCAACAAAGGACGACGGCCTTTCGTCGACCGACACCTCCCGTCCCTCCCGAGGCAGTGCAATGCTTGAACTCGCATTATCGCTATTAGCCGCTCTGCTTGGAGCCGAAAATAACTGAGAAGCCCCCCAGTTCGGCAACACAGAAGAATCCTGCTGTGCAGCGAGGGCTTCCAAAGCAGTGCTTGAATCGGTGGTACTTTGGTCTTGTATTGAGGTATGCAAGACCGGTGCATTCAATTGGTCGGCTGCGATCGAGGGCGGAGTATGAATGGCGTTGGTGTCGGACGAATCAACGGATGACGCCTGTGAGTGATTCTCGGGATTAGTCGTGGGTGTGGGTGTCAGTATATTATTAGAAATTCCGGTCATAGGGCTGACTCCCATCAGTGAAGTGGTGGCTGTGGGGGCCGCTGCTGCATTTGCTGCAGGTCTTTGGATAGGTACACTCGCTGCTGGCGGAACACCCGTTAATCCGTCAAATCTTTGCAGCGGTAGCAAAGACCACCCTTCCGGGATTGTGACCCCAGGGGGAAGATCAGCACTACCTGCGGGTATAGCTGCTGCGTTTGATCGCGCCCCGTGTCGTTGCATTTGGGGAACTGGCATCGTAACCACTGGAGCGTGTCTGCCGGCTAATGGCCCTAACTGAGGCATCTGGGGCATTTGGAAATTTGCTGTCAATGAATCCGCTTGCCCACTCTGTATAAGTCGAAGCCTAGCAAGCTCAGCCTGTAATAGCTGTACTAATTGGAGCTCCTGCTGTGTGATTTGCAGACTCCTGATTTCTGCCACGATTTGCTGCTCTACCTGCTGCAGGTGATCCTGCAACGTGCTTGATGTAGAGGAACTTGCTCCTCCTTGAGCTGGTTGTTGCGGTTGAGGTTGGAGTCTGCGGGGGATCCCTAATTCTAATCCGTAGACCCGCGGTCCTCCCCCTGCGGCATTCTCCTGACCCGGTTGAGCACCTCCTAAGCCTTGTGCAAGATCTTGAAGGTTGGCCTGCCCAAAACCAATCCTTACTGGCCCAAGATTGAGCATTCGCATACCTCGACCAGCACCGCGATTGGCGGCTGGAGGTGGTGCTCCAGCTCCGTCCTGTTGACCGGGCAAGGCAGGTTGAGCTGCACCGCCAGCCGGGTTGATGTTTGCTGCGTCTCTCTGTGCCTGTTGTGGGTCGACGACAACGCTCCGTCGGCACGTTGGACACATTTGTTGACGTTCGAGCCAGCTCTTGAGACAGCCGAGATGGAGGATATGTCCACACGGTAGTTTCTTCGGTCTTGACCGTTCGTTGACTGTAGTTGCAGGTCGAGCAGGTGGGATAGCGCCCGGTGCTGCAAGCGGTGGTTGGGGATTTGTGACAGACCAAGGCCTCATTTCTTCTCTGCAGATAATACATGTATCCTCTCTCTGGATGTCTTCAACTGTAGCATCCTCATATAATTTGTTCATATCTCGTGTAGCGCGGCGATACTTCATGAATGCAGTGAGCCGTTTGGTGAACGACCGTGCGGTCAAAAACAGATCACGCATGATATGAATCGGCAAGCCGTAGAACATGAGAAGAATAACGAAGAATGTGACGTAGATGCCGAGTTTGACGAAATCTAGATAGTGAGCAGAAGTGAAGGACGAGGCTAGAAGAGCTGACTTACCTGTGATAAGATCAAGGGTCAACACCCAATGGCCCTTAGTTTCCCATCCTGGAACCTCAATATCCATCTCATCTACATCATCCTCAGAAGGTAGCGGTTCATCCGAGGGAACGGCATCACTTCCTTCACCAGCTGCAGCTACTGCAGCCTCTCGTTGTCTGATCATCTCAGCCCTTTCTTCTCTGACCTCTCTTCGGCGTTCCAGAAGTCTCTCTTGGGTTTGCTTCTTGACGACCTTGGCCTCGATCAAGGATATGCAGTATCGAAAGGATGTTGCAAATGACGAGGTTGTCAAGATGGCGAATTCGAACAGGAACATGACCATCATGTTCGGCCTTGCCTGTTGGATTACGGTGTTGATAGTGTAATTCATCAACCCCAGGTCGTAAAGAACTGACATGCCGAGGGAAATTGTCAAACGGATGTGGAAGAGTCGTGGATTCGCAGGGGGTTGTTGCTCGAGAACTTCCACCCTCCCATCCCCAATCCATCCCCACACCTTGCCCGTCAATAGAGCAACAAACATCACCAAGAACCAAGCCCCGACTTCCTCCCTGAATATCGTCATGGCGAGACATGTTTCCGTAATCGCAAACCAGGCCTTTTCGTAGAGCTGCTCGATTTCAATAGGTCGCAGTGCTCCATAGCAAAGCCTTTGAAGTCCGTACATAAAGCTGCCATACATGAAGAGGATGAGGTTGATAAGTATCTACCAGTCGTCAGTCACTTGCTCTGCGAGGAGTTTCCATTGCTAACCATCAGACACAAATTGCTTTGCGCTAGATACACACATGCCGAATAGAAATTTGCCCTTTGATTGAAGGCAGAAACAATCACTCCTCCTGCCAGGGCTGTGGAAACCTGAGAGCTGTCAGTCACGACGGTTTGTTGAAGCTTTATGGGGGAGGAGCGCTTACCCCAGCATACCACGCGAGTCGCCCCATCGTCCTTGTGCGGTTCGTTCGATTGGATTAAATGCAAGCAGTAAATGTCCTTGCTGCCTCTGGGGACTACGTGCCCATAGCTGTTTGGTGATGGAGGCGTCCGTTCGAAAAAAAAGCTGGCAGAAAGCGCTTGTTCGATGTTGACACGGTGACTTATCGCATTGAAGCTTGGTCAACCTTGCGCCACATCTCCACATCGGCACCGCCGCGCCGAGATGCCGACCTCCTGGGGCTTCTGAATATTCATCTTCCACTTATCTCATGTAATTGTATCAATCCTATAGTTTATCTCGATTTTTCTCTTAATGTACATGGTATTACGGTACTGGGACATTGGAATCCAGAAATACAGTAGGATTCTTTCATTAAGGTGAGATTACCTCGGAAGATTCAGGAATCTCTTCCCGCTTACCAACTACACGTGGCGAATTGTCCCGAGTATGCTTCAGTACAGTATCATCAAACATTGGTCTTTCGGGTCCTTCATCTCTCGTAGAATCACCTTTCAAAGATGCCACCACTCGCTCCTCCTCCTGTCCTCACTCCGGACCTGTTAAAGTCGATACGTGAGCATCCAGACTTGCCCCCGCGAACCTGGTACATCATTGCGGCTACAACACTGACTATTCTCAACCGTCCTGATGAAATTCCGAGAATATATGAGCATGCTGCCACTTTCGGTCCTAGAAGCACAAGCTCGAGGCCCGAGCAGTTGACAATCCTGAGGAGGATGAGAGAAGCCTTAATCAAGACAAGTGCGGTGGGAGGAGTACCAAAGGTATGAGTTGGTGTATTGCTTCACGGCTTTCAATATTCTAAACGAAGCAGATTATAAATTCGTTATTGGCTCTCAAGAAGGTCTCCCCACCTGACTTACAAGATCGCCCCTCGACCCAGTCGCCAACTGAACGCAGGAATGATTTCTCAGATGACCCATCTCGGATAGAACAACGCGGGCGAGACTTCTTTGGAAAGGTGTATGGTAAGGTTGCAGACCGGGTCCTGAGTCAGATGGACAATTCCGGCACTGAAGACTTGGGATTGGTGGCAAGACTAATGTATAGTCATATCTTGAGCAACACATTAGTGTTAAGTGCAGCAGACACCAGCTTTGTCATGATAGCCGCTCTTATACCTCAAGACGTATGTCCCATGTACTTACGGAAGCGACTCAATTAACTTTAACAGGTGAACCCGCAATTAAAGGGACATCTCAAGGGCGCGATAAATGGAGGGGCAACTCTAGAGCAGGTCCGCGCTGTGAGGAAGGTAGCCATACAGATCTGTCAAGGTGCGGGCATGACGCGACTAGAAGACTCGGGGGTTGCTGGTTGGGGTTGGAGAGAAGACGTTGCGAGCATTTGATAGTCTGAAGGTCAGTATGTTAAAAACCTCGAAGCGTTTTACACATGCTGAAGAAATTTTATTGTGAAAACAATTATGCCGAAAATTCAAAATACCCATCACATGATCCGTGGCGTTCGCTGAACCTATTCAGACTCACCGAGGCGGGTTATTTGAAGTCAACCAACTTTGGTGTAGTGTGATGACCTGTGCAGCATACGAACCAACTGCCATATCTGCTTCGCGCGTCCGTAATTATTCAATTCGCAATCGCCTAGATTTTTCGTTGCGAACCTATCAATCCTCATTGGAGAGTTGTTGGACGTTGAGGTCGTCAGCAAAGGTATGGTCACATGACGGAAGACCGCTTGTTCAATTTTGCGAGGATTCCTGAGCTTTGTGGCTTCGTTGCTCTTTGTCTTTCCCCTTCATTCTCAGATCTCCTCGCAGCCAAGCTCAAAGCCATCCAGTGTCGTCTGGCATGCCCCAAATGCCCCTTGACCCTAGTTCCAGGGAGAAGCCGCTGCAAAATCTATTTCTGGTCATTTGATCGATCGCATTCAATATTCAGTTCCATCCCTGTCGTGGATCGCCTGCTGGCCACAATATGAGCCTCATATATTGCCTTTTCTGAGCGCCGATGAGCGGTTTGATTTAGCCAGAACCTCCGCTTCTTCATCCATCCACAGACCCTCGCCGCGAATCGCTGCACATGAGGTTGCACAAGGACGCCACGATATGCCACACGGCAAACTCCATTCTAGAAGTTCTCGAACTTGGGGGCCAGCAGACGTGCAAGCGCCGGAGCTCTGATCCAGACTTCAACATCGCACACAGAGCGTGCTCGGTCATACGATTCTGAGACATGGACTATTCCCACATGCGAGAACTGCGGGAGGCTGGGAGCGTTTCGAGAGCACACATGCTGTTGCACGACAGGTTCTGGAGGTTCTGGAGCTTCTGGAGGTCCAGGGAACGAGATCCATGATTCCATGGAGGCGGTTGTGGGATACGTGGCGGGCCCTTTACCCCGCGCGCCAACACCAAATCGGGACGGATTCGCTTGAAAGTGCTTATTTGGCTGGAGAGTGGAGACTGACTGGCCTTTGGTGGCCGCACTGACCAGGGGTCGTGTTGCGAATCTGGACTCTCTGCGGGCGGGTCTGCGCTTCTGGCCGTGCCTGGCTCGCTGCCACTCGCGAACCGAGATCCACGGCGCAGAGATAACTATTAGTAGTACAGTATCAACAACCTTTGGCGGGCGGGCTCGGAATACACGTATCCGTCGAGATCGAGATTATGGAGACGAGGAAGGCTCGCCTTTGTCACGGGAAGGGTTGCGCCGGCTCTCGCTCTCGCACTCGCACTCCCACTCCCATGTTGGCTTCGGCCAGGTCGCCGACCTGCCCTGTTGAGGCACCGACAGATGGCAGCACAGCATAGCACAGCACCGTGCAGCGCAGCATGGCAGTCTGGCAGACCATCGCTGGCTCTCACGTGGCTAGCCCCAGAGTCGAAGCGATTAAATTGATGTTTCGCGGAATCTGGGTGCAGGCACTGCAGGGTGCTCGTACCAGCCCCCTGCGGTTGATTTTACACTTCAGTCCGGTGGAAAACAAGCCTAACAGGCCCACCCAGCGTTCGGTCTCCAACCACTCACTTCCAAGCAAGGCCCAGGGGCATGTAAATAGAGGGTATGTTCACTTCAGACAGCGCTGCTGCTCGGGGTATCCGCGAAATGAGCTTCACAAAATTAAGCATCAAGCATCTGTGCATCCTGGTATGTTTGGGGCCGCCCAAAGTACGGGTGCGCGAAGATCAGGGACTCGCGTAGCTCGTGGCCGCGTCTGTGCTTGCCAGGCGGGAGCTTCGGTCTCGGACGAACCCCCCCCAGGTTACACTCGAGGGCGACCTTCTGAGTGGTGTTTCCGCACATAGCGACTCTTGAGTGGCTCGCAAGGTCACCCTTTGCAAGCAGACCCAAGCCAAGACCCTCAGTCAAGTGTGGACGCCCAAGCCCCTGATTGTGGCCCTGGTGACTGATTGAGCAGGAGCCAATTCGCCAAGGGACGACGAAGGGGGAGACCAGACGAGACTCGAGAGTAGCGAATCCGTGATACGACTTACGAGCCTATTTTCAACGCGGAGCAGCTTTCCTCCAGAGGACCGTTGTTGTCTGTCTGCCACCATGCGCCAAACGAGGTGGATGCTCGTGCTTGACTTCGCCCCTTGCGTGTCGACGTCGCAATCTTGGAACCATCGTGGAATCTATTTTTGGCCTCAAATCTTTTGAGGCTCTTTGATGGCAGTGCATTCTCTCGTACGAGTAGCCAACCGCACAAGAGTTCTTCCCATCACCCCTTTTACGTGACTGCCCAATGGCCCTGGTCTTCCCCCATCTCCCCAAACGATCTCCCAAATGACCCCCCACTTTGGCTGGGGACATGGGGCGCATCGTGGTGCGAGATCTCCAAACGTTATTTTGTTAAGCTTTTCGACAATTTAAATCTGCATGTTCGGAGCTATCGAAGTTATTTTTGAACTTCTGAAGCGACGGAGTTGACTACTTTGAGATTCGTCCCCATAGCAGCTTCACCTGCCCCACAGACGAACGATCTCCTGGTTGCAACCTCCCCAACGTATGGTGGCCTGGCTTAATGTTCGCAGCTGTCTGAAGCTTACCACGAATGTGAGGAGATGATCGCTAGTCCCATGTGGACATCTGGGAACGAAACGACCAATAGCAGGCGATGTAGACTGTGGAAGTCCTTGGCTCCGAAGCAATCAAGAAAGAGGTTCAGTTCTGCAGGAGACACTGCCGAAACGGACGCCCAAGATTCACATGGAAGCTGAGGAAGCTTTGGGGAAGTCGAAACGTTGCCCTTCGCTGGCAAATCTCACCGCATTCCTGGGTACGACCGTTGGTAGTAAGTTGGTACGATATGGTCGCCATCATTTGTCGGCGCAACCCACCGGCGGAATTATCTGCATGCAGTCATCCATCGTCTTCCAAATTCCAAAGTTCCAAAGGAGTTCAAACCTCTGCCCTACGACTTCATCGCGTCCTGTCATTGGCTGCGGGGCAGGAATGAGCGGTGACCGATTCTCCACATTGGCGCAGGCGGGCTCCCCGAGTCTAATCAACTCCGGGCCATTGGACGAATCTACTCGGCAACGCGATCTACCCTAAGCCTTACCATCGCCGAAGTCACGAGCAGGGATCGAAGCGCACGGGCCACAAAACCACGAGGGGCCGCCAAGGGGGCACTCAAGATGGGGCAGGCTGTGCCAGCCAAGTAGCACTCCCCAAACAACCTCCTCGCAGGGCAATAGTTACTTTTAGAAAGCCTGCAAGGTCGGGTGGGTGTGCTCATCGGCCGTCATGAGACGCACGAGTTCGAGTTCTGAGGGTCATCGTAAGTGCGTCCATCCAGCAGGATGATGGCAGCCCGAGTTCGTTCCTCTGAAAGTATCGAAAGCGGGCAGGTGCATTCGCGACCTTACTGTACTTGCAACCACACGAACTGTACGCGCTTGAGGATCGGACGGCGGGACAAACCTCAAAGAGCTTTTTGAAAGGGCAGTGCGAAACGACTTCTCAAGCTCCTGTACAAGCTACAGGACCAAGTTCCCTTTTCGCGCTGGTGAGCCCCTGGATTATGACATGGCAGGACGTTGATCGTTCCACTGTTACACTTTAACGTTCCTCTGTTTGAGAACTTAAACGAGGAACCAGTCAGTCTTCGAGAGGGCGGGCTTTGGTTTTAGCTTCTGACGCCAAGTCGACCAGCAAATCATCCGTCGCCAGGCACAGCAACCAATGAGGGGGTCTCCTGATCATAAGGCTGAAGGATCATTTACTCATATCCGATGTGGTGCATGCGAAGACCAGGGTCTCGACGGCCACAAGTGCAAAAAGGGATTGGCAAGAGACAATCAGTGTGTGCTCGGTGACCAGCACCGGACAGCCGTTCAAACTCTCCCCAACCTCTGGGGGGCAGCGAGTGTGGGGACTGCTGCAGGCCCCAAGGCAGCAAAATAAGGGGCAGCCTTGAACGGTAGGCGGACGTTTTGTTGCGGTGTACGAGCAGGAGAGACATCTTAAATCTGCCTCGCCAGATGGCGTCTGCCGCTCCCGTCGTCAAATGGGAACCAGAGAGAACCGTCTCCCGGACTCTCCACCTCGAGAGGAGCCCCAGGGGTAAGCTCTAGAATGACCTGGCAAGCGAACTGACCTTGCCACGACCAAACAACACGAGGCCCGATATAACGCAGGTATTTGCATAATCCCGATGACTGCGACCAGGACTTGTGGAGGTGAGTTTTATGCTACTTTGAGAAGTAACCTGTGCATCTAGGTAGGCTTGTGAACAATGATGTGTAATTTCTTAGAGCACAGCCTCGTTTCGCGGCTGTGCCGCATTTTGATGCTATTTTCGCTCTTCGCCTATGTGCGTATGTTAACCAATCAAGCACGCTGAGCCACAGATCCCGCCCCTCGAACCCGGTTCACCCGTCATCGCGGTTGTTGCACCCCCAGCGCAGTCGGGGTGGGGATGCGCCGGTGTTGGAGGTGGTGGTGTTGGTGAGCGTCTGTCAGTTCCGAGACTTGGTGTTGCCACGGCCAGCAAGCCTTCTGGAGCCTCGGCGGCTTGCCCTGCTGCTCGGGGTCTTGCTTTTTCGATTTCAGATTCTGGAAGGCTGTCTGGTACCTGTCCATCAGCGCCCAAATGCGCTCGAACAGAAAGGCCTCACTTCAGGCAACAAGCAGAGGCCAATGCCTCGGGAAATCAGGGCTTTTGGGGTCCCTGTCGAGACTCGGTCTAGAGCGCCGATAACCCAGGAATTCGGAAGGACAACCGACTCCCCAGGCACTGCAGAAAGCGATGATGTAGGACGATTGGGAAGCACGGAATCGTCCACGAATAACCTCACATCTTCGCGTGAAGGTTCTAGCCACCACCATGTTGTCTGAGAAAGGAACAGAGAAGCGAATGGTGACGTGCGCCAGGCTAGCGACTCGCAAGTCTCCCCAGACGCGCTAGCCAACTTCGACGTTGCTGGATTCAGACGAGTGGATCTGCGCCAACTTCCCAGATAGGGCTCTGCACTGCGCGATCCCAGAGTGATCAGAGTGATTCGAGTGATCCCAGAGTGATCCCAGAGTGATCCCAGAGTTCTGGCGCGAGAGGCACATGCTCCGGTAAGCCGCTGAACCCTCCCATGATCTGCGAGCACGGCGCCACGCAGTCCATTTCCGAGTCCGCTGTTTCTCGGCTGTCGTCTCTGTGCGAGTGTGCGTGTGAGTGTGCGGGTGCGATGGCTGCGGGGGAGGGTGCTGGTTGGCCGGCACAGCGAGCTCGTTGTTTGGGGGCTTTGGGGGCTTTGGGGCTTGCTCTCCTGGACTCCTGGGCCACACCTCTGCTTCACCGGACAGTCCGCTGGGCAAGGGCCCCAATGATGCGCAATTCCCCTGTCGGATCCCTGGACTTCTGCACCCAAAGAACCCTCCAGCCAAACAGGATCGAGAGGGGTTCCCAAAGCGGGTAAGGCTATACTTGTCGGCGACGGTGAGCTTGGGAGACTGGGACGGCGGAAAGCGAAAGCCACTCCAGCAGACCCGAGCTGTGAGCAAGCTGTGAGGCCGCTTTCGTTCGCGTGCTGGCTGTGGAGCAGCAGCATCGAAGCATCGACACCGCATCGCACCGCAATCTAGCCGGATCAGCCACTGGCGCATCGCGCTGCTGCACCCACCAAGGCCATCGAGGGGGGCATCCAGGAGTCTCCATCCCTTGGGGGTACAACAGACGAGGCAGGGATGCAGAGGGTGGGTTTGCGCAGTCGGGAGCAGGGGCCAGGGCCTCCCGTTCTTCGTGCACCAGGTGCACCACTGGACCTTAGGACTACTGATGTAGAGGGGAGCAATATTATAATCCATGAGAAGCCCCCAAATCCAGAGTCCTCTCCTCCACCGACATCCAAACACACCGCGGCCACTTTGGAGCAAGGCGGCGATCAGCGTTGACCTACCTCGTCTTACCGCATTGTACTTAATCTTACCCCTTCTCTCCAACCCATACTTTTTCCGGCTCTCCACATCAGACCCTCCATATATATTCTCCGCGCCTCGCCCTCTGGAATCGTTTTCCATTCTTGTCTCAGATCATATCAGATCAACACTCAATCCTCCCGGAAAGGAATCTCGCTACCTCCCGTGCGGGCTTCCTCCAGCCAAGCTTCGTCACCTTCTACAAGTACCAGAGAATCCGCGAGTAAACTGGTGAAGGCCGTCCTTGACAACAGCTCCCAAATATCGTGGAGTTTTTCGACACTCGGAGGTACGCACCCCAGCGTTTACAATTGGTTTTGTCAAAGCAACATTTGCTGATAGGTGCCACAGCCGGTGAAGTGGTGTCGGCCTAAGACACATTTCAGCCATCACCGTCTTCAAACTCCTGCAGAATGGCTTCTTCGATTGCCGATCATACATACCATATGTTATCGCGTCATATGGGCAACGATAACGAAGAGATCGACTTCCCATTGTATCCAGACCCGTCAAACATGTTCGCCCAGCCTTTCCAGTTTAACGGGCCGCAGAGCTACAACATGGATGCCTCCTACTCGTATCCAAGAACACAAGAAGGGTATCCTGCCAGCACTGGATTGAGCTCCTCTACCATGTATGCCGAAGCTCCTCAGTACGAGTCGCCCGATCTCCGAACCGCCCCCTCGAACCACTCGACAGCTTCTGGACCATCGGCCAGCTCCTCAACAATGGGCTCACCACATTCAATCCACGGGCACATTGTCCCAGGGCCCGAGTATGGCCTCGGCCTGACTCCTAGCATCGTCAGTTATAACGACTATGGCCACAACGATTACACTTTCCAAGTATCAGGTATGGACGACCAATTTGCACTAGAATTCAATCCTACCAAAACGAACACAAATAGCTTTGTCGGTGAGTGTAAAAACATCTCTACATCTACACCGCGCCAGCATGGTTCAATATCGTCCAATCCCGAGTCGTTGTCTTCTTTGTCTACTTTTGTCTCGTCTCCTGTAACGATCGACACACCGACCCCGATGCGGAGTGATTCAAGGCCAATGGCTTCGCCAATTACGCCAGCGAGTGCCACGAGATCTCCGGATGAATGTTTCAAATCCCCTTCTGTTTCTGCTTTTTCTCCTTCATCTTCGCGTCGACCTTCGCAGGCCTTCACCGCGCCTTTTTACGCCCCATCGAGCACCGCTGGTCGGCCTCGTGACACCCGACTATCTCCTATTTCTTCAAGCTCGCAACCTTTCACTTCCGAACAGTCTCCGTCCTACACAACATATCATCAGTCTCCTTTCTTTTCTCAATCTAGTGGCAATTTTGTACCGCCTCTCGAATCATCCTGTCGGTTTCCTCTGTCAATCCAGCCTCGTGCTTTTGCGCTTCAATCTGTTCAGAACAACCTACTGACCGAGATTTCTTCAGACCCATTGATTCTCCACCCACCGTATACCGGCCGGCCTTCCTCCGCCGCGCAATCCATTGAGGCATCTGCGTACCCACTACCACCTCAATATCCCGCCTCGCCTTCCTTCTCGCAAATGTCGAGAAGCCCACAACCTATCAAGCAAGGTAGTCAATCACCTTACCCCAGCCCATATGGCTCATATCCATACCCACCACCCCGCCGACCCTCTCTTGCTTCCCATCAATCTTTCAGCAGCGAAAACGGCAACCTCAGCGGCGAGGAGTCGAAAGAAAAGGGACGATGCACTTACCCAGAGTGCGGGAAGTTATTCAAGGACTTGAAAGCCCATTTGCTCACCCACCAGAATGAGAGGCCCGAGAAATGCCCCATCCAAACATGCGATTATCACATCAAAGGCTTTAGTCGGAAGTACGACAAGAACAGGCACACTCTCACACACTACAAAGGCACCATGGTATGTGGTTTCTGCCCGGGTTCCGGATCTGCGGCAGAAAAGTCCTTCAACCGCGCAGATGTCTTCAAGAGACATTTGACTTCCGTCCATGCTGTTGAGCAAACACCGCCAAACAGCCGAAAGAAGACGTCCGGCAACATTAATAACACCAAGAAGCTCTCAGGATATGCGCCAGATGCCACTGGCAAGTGTTCCACCTGCTCGGGCACCTTCTCGAATGCACAAGACTTCTACGAGCATCTGGATGACTGCGTTCTTCGAATCGTGCAACAAGAGGAGCCTTCAGAGGCAATCAATGCTGCGCGCCTTGCAGAGGTTGAACAAGATCAGGCGGTCCATGAGACCCTCCGCAACAACGCCCTGCTAACCGCAACCACCAACATGTACTCGGCAGAGGAGGATGAAGATGGAGAGGACCTCGAAGACGTGAACGACGACGATTTCAATCTCCGCCCCAAGTCCTCGCGAAAGGGTCGGGGCCACCGCAACCCTGCAAATGGGGTACAAAAATCTCGAGGACTCACACACTCGAAAGGCGGTGTGACACTGAACACAAAGGGTCGCAAGAAGCGCAAGGACTACCCATCTTCCTGGGGGTGCCCAGCTTCACAAATGAAAATGAAGAAGCGCGTTCTCTGCGTGTTCGACGGGCAACGTCGTCTCTGGAAAGATGACATGATGTTGGACACGGACTATGAAGTTCGCATGAAGCTCAGTGACGGGAAAGCATACGTCACTGACCTCGATGTCCAATCTATGCGACGAGCAGACGCCTTCCACAACTCCACTGAGGAGGAGAAAGGCCCATGGATCGCTGATGACTTGACGGGAATGGATTTGGAGAAGCTAATGGAAGTTCCAAGCAAGCGCGAATAGAGTCGCCGCCTTCTCTCATGAGATATGGAATATGTGTTATGAAGATACCTTTCTTCGTTTATACCAAATTTTTTTTTTGACGACATACTTTTTTCTTTTAATTGGCGTACGGGTTCTGGGACGGACGATACCATTGCAGAAGACAAAAGCTCTATTCCAATTTATCATCATCAGCATGCATGCATGAGAGAGTCTGCTTCGTGGAGCGTTTTTCAGCGCTATGGGTCTCTACCTCTCTCTGCCCTTCTCATCTTCAAGACAGTGTTCGGCCGCCGGCCGGTCCGTATCATGTATGTTCGCAAATAGCTAGCTGTTGGCTGGGAGGAGAAACATGTTACTATTAAAGTAATTATAAATGAGAGTCAAATCTTCACTACCACCATCGTTTCAAGTCTTGTTTGTCGTGAAGCCTGACCGTCTGTAGTGGAGAGCTTGAATGGATTGAAAGGACAGACAGAAGACACAGACACAGCAGCGAAAGGCAAAAACAATGGCATGACGCCATGGCTGCTTCTCTTTCTCGTGCAAGCCGCTAACGCTTTTCGGCATGATGAGGGGTCCCCCGGGCGGTCAGGGCCGGCATAAAAAACACTTTTGTAAACACTGCATCAAACACCCTACCACCAACAAACCAACAATGCTGACTGACAAAATCCGCCTCAGCGGCTCCGAATCCAATGACATAGAGGATATCCTCTCTTCCTCGCTGGGGGTGATCTTCCCAGACGACATCACAAACCAACACGGTGACCGAGACAACAACGTAATCTACCTCTCCCCGTCCTTCGGGCCCATCACCCTCACCCTCGCAGATCCGCAAGGGGAAGATAGTAGGAAGCTGTTCAGCCACTTTCTGTGGAATGCCGGGTTGCAGCTTGCGGAGTTCATCGAGGAGGGAGATGTGCAGGGCAGGGACTGGAGTGTGGATGGCGAAAGGGTGTTGGAGCTGGGCGCGGGGACTGGCCTGGCGGGGATTCTGGCGGGGTTGAAGGGCGCGAGGGAGGTGGTCATCAGTGACTATCCTGCCCCCGAGGTCCTGGAAAATCTCAGGGGAAATGTGGAGAGGAATTTCTTGTCTAGGAGAGACAAGACTGGCGTTGGCGAAGTGAGAGTTGAGGGTCATGAGTGGGGGGTCCTTGATGATGCGTTCTCGAAGGAGAACAAGGAGAGCTTTGGAAGGATCTTGGTCGCTGATTGTTTGTGGATGCCGTGGCAGCATCTCAATTTGCTGAAGAGTATTAGGTGCTTTATGAAGGAGGGTGGGAAGGCTTGGGTGGTTGCTGGCTTTCATACCGGTAGGGCAAAGATGAGAGGGTTTTATGAAGAAAGTGTGCTGGTGGAAGCAGGGTTGGAGATTGAGAAGATTTGGGAGAGGAATGCAGAAGGGGAGGAAAGGGAGTGGGTGCTTGATAGAGGTATTGAGGGTGTGACTGAGAGGAAGAGGTGGTTGGCAATTGGGATCTTGAGAAGGAGAGAGGGATGATAAGAGCTTTCAAGAAAGAGGGGGTCCCCAACGAGGGATGTTAAATTTGAAGATTACAATCTGGGGGTCACCTACAGGTTTCGTGAAGGTATGTCTTAATCTTTCTTCATTTCGTGAGCAATGTAGCTAATTTGTGTGTACAGTAAGTTCAACATTCTATTGAGACCGGGCAGGATGCACTCTTGCATCTTCCGTAGATTCGCCAGTCTCAATATTTGCTTCTGAGGTCACAGATTCGGGCACCAATCCGCAGCTCGGCCACGCCCCGAAGCAGTCACAACTCATCAACCAGTGCGACCACGCATCTGACCTCGCCGTCCATCCAATCGTTATCTTTAACCGAATTGACAGCTACCTCCCAGCTCTCCTCCGAGTCCACCTCGATCATCCCTTCTGGAGTCAGGACCTTGACGCTGCTGGGCTTTTGGCCAACATCATCCAAGATGGTGTGGATGTACTGAACCAAGCTAGCGAATCCGGGACATGATGATGGGTTCAAGAGCAACTGTGGCTTAACTCGCTGGCCGTCCTGGATGATATTTACGTGGTATCTGAGACCCGTTTCGTCTGGCTCTCCAAGGGCGAACTCGTTCACATGTCCAGTGTGCGATTCCGATATGCCAGCCGCACCTCCTCCTGTGTAGGTTTCTTCAACATTATAATGGTACTCATCCAGCTTTGGGTCGACGTCAGCATCAGCAGATGGCGAGATGGCTCGGTGTCCACGCTTTCTCAGGGGAGTGCCTTCTGATGGCGTAGCTGAAGTCTGATCACGTTTCCGCTTGCTATGCGTCTTCTCGCCTGCCTTTCGTTTTTCTTGTCTTGTCTCCAGAGCATACTGCCGTTGGCGTTCGTTCGTTACCATGCGACGTAAGAGAGGAGTGACCGCTGTTACGAGCCTACCAATTATCAGCGACGGTCATCTAAGTAGTAGGAGACACGACATACTTGTTTCTGTCCTGGGGCCACTTATACTTTCTTTCCAAAAATCCTGGCGAGCCCACACCGAAACACTTTTCACCCCAATGCTCATTCTCTAGAAACGACTCCACTTCTGCAAAAAGCTTCAATTTCACCAAGTCAGGTTCTCCGGTCTCTTTGGTACCAACGCACTCTCTTCGGTGAGGATAATTCTCATCAAGCATATATTTCTTTGCAGCATTCTGCATCTCGATAAAACGATCAGTTGCTACTTCCAGAGAGGTAAACAGTCTCGACATTGGAGGGCCTGTGGACACCATTAGTTCTGCTCTGCACAAGGAAGGATTGGACTAACGTGTGTATTTCTTTGAAGCCTTTGATGGACGTCGGAACAACGCTGCGGCCGAGTGAACGCCAAGAGCTCTTGCTGCGGCAGTACTAACTTGGGGTTGTTGGAAACTATCCTCAGGAGCCGACACAGTATTGTCCTCTTCACCTTCGGGCGATTCGGGTCCCCAGATCTCCCGTTCTCGAGCCAACAGGTCTGGATCTTCTGGAGGAGGGCTCTTCTTTCGCCGCTTATTGGAAACGAGACCATAGCTATGTCCATCTTCCTGCTCAGCGTCGACCTCACAGTTACGCCCGCGCGCCGTACGCTTGCGCTTTGGTCTTGGCTCCGGGTCAAACGTTCTCTTGAAGAAACCATAAGCGTCTGATTGTCCGGTCTGCGCAGCATTATCTTCCTCGTGGCTACCCTCTGTTCGGGCTATCTCTGCTCCTTCAGCCGTCTCAGCAGCGCGTAACAGACTTGCGAAATGGTCGTTGGAGACGGATGTGGGCGCATCATTGCTCGGTGGATGCTCGAACGCAGCCAGACTTCCTAGCAAGGCGGCAGATTCATCCATGTCCTGATAACTGGTCGACAGCCCTGTGGTGGGGTAAGTATCAGAGAATGAGTATTCCTGGCTGGGATTTGCACCATTTGACTGCATGTTAGAGCCCATGTCGGTGAAACCATACATGCTTGCTTCATCGGCAGCTCCATTTCGGGCAAGATCGCGTAGAATTGCTGCTTGATCCGACGGGAAGTCAGAGTGATTGCTGGTGATGTCGGGCGCCATCATTTGTTGTTGACCAGGTGTGTTTGTCATGTTTGACAAGATTGCACGGATCGAGGTTTTGGATTTTGCTGCGTGACGTCGGCTTCCGGTTCTCCGCGCATTCGTACCCCATCCCCATTCCTCGACAAACAAACATTTAGCCTTTCGATTCTTATCGATACCGAAACGTCAACTCCGATGGGCGTACTCACCTTATCGTCCTCACGATGATCACAGAAGTCTCTTCACCAGTCGGTTCCGAGATTTTCTCTCTCGTTGCCCTGCTGGTGATCAGCTTAGGCGTTCTACTCGTCTTACGACATTACCTCCCCCTGCGAACGACGCCAGCATATCTCCTCGTCCCCATCTTCTTTGCGCTTGGCTTACCAGCAAGTATCATATTACTTGTGCCCATAGATCTTGCATCTAGCGCAAGGGACCAAGATGCAGGCAGTAGAGGAATATGGCTACCTGATCGGGTGCTTTTGGTGTCATGGCGTATCAGTTACTGGTTGACATTCGCCTTGACCTGGTACATTAGCTGGTCTCCCGGTGTTAATATTGTCTCTAATGCTGTATAGGTTCATCCTCCCTATCTTGGCTGAGTACGCAGATGCTGGATACCGTGAACCAAAAGACCGCCTGATCTACTCTTTGCGCTCCAACGCTCAATATCAAGCGATGGTTTTTGGAGCTGGAATCATCGGAATAATATACTTCTTCGTAACTATGGGTGCCTCGCCAACGTCTTTCAAGGCTTTGCTGATGGCTTTGGCGTATTGCTGGGGTCTGATACTAGCAATTTACCTTATGGGCCATGGGTTGGTTGCGATACCTAGACGACTGTTCAGAAGCGCGAGTATTAGTGGGAAATTAAAGAGGATACAAGGGAATGCCCCGAAAATACATGAAAAGATGGAAGATGCGATCCACAATCTTCAAAATTTAGAAGCGCAAGTCGCTGCTTTGGCACAAAGGAAGACTGGTTCCGCCAAAGATTTTAGGGACTGGATCGAAGAGCTGGCCGATGAATCTCATCTCCCTGAATCACGGCCTCGAACCTTGACTCGCAGGATGTCTACTCCCGAGGTCACTGTCCCGAATGTTATTACAGAACGATATTTGGCCGACCTCAGCAGGAAGCTCATGAGGGCTCGACACAGCCGCACAAGATATCTCGATGAATGGGACCGCTTGTTACAAGATGCTACGGATACGCAGGCTGTCCTCGATTCAGCGGCGTCTAGGCGAATCGAAATCGGCCAGGCATCGCCGGATTCATCGATCTGGGAAAAGACCACCCTCTTCACCCCATACACACGATATCTCTACAAGTACTACTTCGTTTCGTACTTCAGAATATTCCTGGGGGTGTTCTTTTCCTTGGCATCGTTTTGCATTGTCTGGTCAGAAGTTATTAAGTCGATTAATCCCTTATTCTCGGTCATCGCCGTCACTGTAGTTCATCATCCCGATAGCGAGCGTGGCCAGATTGGATTTGCCGGACAAGTTATAGCGTCCTGCTGGATACTATATATGTGTGCAGCAGCTCTCACATCTCTGGCTGAGGTGAAGGTGTGGCGGGGCCGAGCGCTGGTAAGAAGAAATACTCATGGTGAAAGCGCGATGTGGTATGCCATGCAAGTCGCAAAGCTCTCTGTACCGTTAGCTTTCAATTTCCTGACATTCCTCTCACCGGATGTTTATGACACAACGGTGTTCTATAAATTCCTGGGCCAGTACATCAAGTTCACGCCACTAGGACTGTGGTTCGATTGGCTTTTTCCAACCTTCATCTTGGTGCCTGTTTGTGCAACACTTTTCAATCTTTACGGAAAAGTGAAGAATTGCATCGGATTCGGAGGAGTTATTGACGATGACGACGAAGATAATGAAACTGGATATGGGACTGGTTCTTGGCGGGAAGGACGGGATTTGATAGAGCGAGAGTTACAGGGCCACTCTTCTCTAGGACGACTTGGGGCTTCGGGGGGGATCAGAAGTCACGTTCCCAATAACCCCAACAACCGGACTGCACCAACTTTGACAGTGCCTCCAGAGGAGAGACATAGAACACTGGGCCAATCCACAACATCTCGACCCGGCGTTGACCGTCAAGCACGTCAGGAAGTGGAGCCGGGAGACGAGAATTTCTTCGAGGCTTTCGGGCATCGGGTGAAGAACACCATTGATACGATTTCGCCACCGAAATGGTTTCAAAATGTCGGAGAAAGCATTAAACGGCCAAAGTGGGTGGGAGGTAATGATGAAGCAGAATCAAGTCGTAGTGGTAGTGATTTCACCCGCTGGTTTGGTGGTGGTCGACAAGAGGGACGAGTCCGATTGTAAATTCATGTTTGAGTACGAGTTCGCGCATAGCGGGAGGAGTTGGCTAATAGACTTGGGTAGCACTGGGCTTACACGCCTGATTTTCGTTAATACATAATATAGCTGAAGACTGGCGCGGTGTCCAGCTTCAAGTGTGAGTTTTGCATGAACTGTTCCACGAGTATTAACACTCCAGTTACTGTGTAAATTGAGACGTAAGCAATGCACATTATGGTGTTAGACAATATCAACTGGACATGTTGTCGTATACCCATCTTAAGGTATTCTGCTTTCCAACAGAGATGTCGATGAACACCGTGCCGTTCGGATGCAAGACATCCCATCTCCGCAGTGCCATTTCGCTGCCGCCTCCGCGAGAAAACCTTCTCACCGGCCAAACCGATGTGCATCTTAACCTATCATAGCCCTGTCATAGGCAGAGCCTTGCATTGCATTAGGCCAATTCTAGACCCCGCCAACACGACCCACTGCTGCACTGACAAGCCAAGCCTTTGGACGGCCGATGCCTTTTCAATCCCGCTGCGGCGTGAGCTCCCTTGGCTGGAGGCTGGAAGGTGGGGTTGGCTTGTTCTTGTCTCACTGCATCTGACTGCAGCTTTCGCCGAGTAATCTCTCTTTTCTCTTCCCTCTCCATCCCACTTGGTGCCATGGACGTGGACTTGCTCTTTTTTGCCCCCTTTAGTTGCCAATACCCATTTTGCGCCTATCGTTATTGTTAAAGGGACGTCTGTTGTTTGGCGACGGAAGATGTGTGGCAGGCATGGACGATTATCTGTTTGAAGCAAACGTCCGACGCTGCAAATCAGTCACCGAGGTCACCACGTACCTCGAGATTTTCTCGTACTCTGTGAGCTCTTCCTACCAGAACACAGTCACATCCGCTAATGGGAGTAGGATGCATCGTATAACAGTGTTGAAGAGCATCCACTTACCCCTGATGAGTTCGAGAACTACCTCCATCGGCGGGTAAGCTTGCGCCGGAGGAAGTTTGAGCTGGATAGAACACTGACACGAGCACTTACAGGGCGCATTCGCTCCGCCGACACTACCTGCGGGAGTTGTGCAATTGAGTTGTATAAGATTAGTGTACGCAGGATGCAAAATTGCTTGGGGGGTGTAGCTAACCATTCCCAGTCTCCAGCAAGAAGCAAAGCACCCCGAAACGTTCACACCCCACGTTATCAGTCTCAGACCCGAGGTTTACAAATCGATGGTAGTGGCGATGAACCTGCCATACCGAGCAATCGAAAGCACGAGCGTCGTTGGGCCTTTTTTCTGGGCTGCTTGGGATCAAGATGAGATAAATCCACATCTGCGTAATTCAACCCAACATGCTCCCCCAGTTAAGATCTGACACAGATTCAATAGAAATTGTCTTCCGGAAAAGCGATGTTCGGAAGAAGGGATATACGAGGGGCTGGGAGTTAATGCTGTCGCATGATGTGAAAAACGGCATTACTACTGGATTTGCAAAAGGAACCCCGAGCTCAGATATGATGGAGTGCATCAAGCATCTCAAATCTTGCGTACTGCAAGTTGGACACCCGATGCTACTTCCTATCATCATCTTCTCCCACGATATCTCCTACAAGACGGACATCAAGCAACGAGACGCCCGTGATTGGCTCCGGCGGCTCGAACATGCTGTCAGTATGCGGAGTGAGATCGAAGAACGGGAAGGGTACGTGAAAGAAGGAGTCGTGGACCTCGATGCCATCAACAGAGACTTAGTGGAGTGTCATTCTCAAGTGCTGTGGAAACGACCAAAGGCTTACCTGGAAATCCTCGCCTGCATCGAGAGAGCCTGCGACAACTTTTTCAAGAAGTTGCCAGACGAGAGGAACGACACGGAAATGAAGAAGCTGCAGAATAGTATGCTTGGTCGCCTGGAGTTTTATAGGGTGAAGTTGCAGGGCATTGAGAGTTATGCTTACACCACTTTGCAGCGGTTGGAGATCCAACGGAGTGCAGTACGCAACACTTTCCTTCCGGGGCTTGAAAAGTATGCTGATTAAGAACAGCTCTATAATATCATAGCGCAGAAGGAAAGTAAACTCAACTTCCAAATGGCCGGAGAACAACGCAAAATCGCGCACTCCAGCAAACGTGACTCCGCAGCCATGAAATGGATCTCTCTCATTGGCGCTGTCTTTCTCCCTGGTGCGTATCTCGCGTCCGTCTTCTCGATGACCTTCTTCAACTGGGGAGACCCGTCGAAACCCGTCACGACATCGTTCTGGATTTATTGGGCAATCGATATTCCCGTAACGGTCGTCATTGTTGCGGGTTGGTATGTTTGGGAAAAGAGGAGGGAGGCCAAATACGACCGCGAAGACGCAGATTTGGAGAAGGGAAGTGAGGATATGGAGAAGGATATTATGGCGACCATGAGGAAGAGGACGATGAGTAAGGTCAGTACGTGGGATACGAAGAAAAAGGAGTAAATCTACGCAGTAAGCGGTAAGGAGGATGGTTTCGCTTGGATTTTTATGATTCTGAACGATGTGATGATTGACGATGAATGAACTTCACGAAATAAAGAAAATACACTGGGATATATAGAAATCTAGGGAAATGAAAAAGCCATTGGACTACATATGGATTGCCTCGAGGATCTTCTACGTTTCCTCTTTCTCTGAGCGACATGTGCAAGTGAATGGTGCTTTAATACCAAGGTTTGAGTTGCGTCAATATATACAGCGAGGAAGCTCTGAGGTTTCAGAATCAATGACCCTCGACGATAGCATAAGGGCGAGAAGCAATACTCGGCTCTTCCTCATTATCCCTTCGCGGCATTACCAAGCGACATAATCCTCCTCCTTGAAATTGCCTACTCATCTCTATTCTCCTTTCCATCAACACTTGCCCCACCAGCAACACCGGCAACAAATTCTTGATACTTAAACACCTCTCCTCTTTTGCCCATGCCACCTCCAGTATGTTTTCCGAAAGCTCTCCTTCCAGTGAACCCATTCATGACCTTGTCGATTTCTCTCTCCGTCAAAAGCTTCTCTCCGGGTTCTGGTGCAGTATGCAACAATGCATCTCGAAGTTCAGCGAGGTCCACCTGTCCGCTATCATCTTCATCGAATGCCGAGAATGCGGAGAGAAGCTCAGATGATGGAGACAGCGAGACCAAGAGGCCCGCGAGAGAGCTGAGATAAGCTGGTAGTGTGACGGTCTGAGGCGTAGAAGGTGGGAAGAATGCCGTGATATCTGAAGCGTTCGCGGACAGACCTAAACAAAAATCAGCATCAAGCAACCTCCTTACTCAAGTCGACTCACCCAATTGAGTTAGCATGTCAGCAACATCATCTCTACCAACCTGCCCATCACTGTCTCGGTCTAGAGTTTGGAATCCCTCCCGCAATTCCCTGACCTGAGCTGGCTGTAGCTTGGAAAGGGCATTATTGTCCCCGTTATTTCTCGTGGTCAGCATGCCTCCAAATCCCGGGCTGCCATTTGCACCTCGGGTCGGGGAAGGCTCTCTTTCCCTTTGCGCTGGTGCAAGGCCTCGTGGTGTCCATGTATCCCCCTCTGCCACGGGTGTGGAACCCCGACCTAGTCTCGAGGGTGTGGTGGATGTTGTGGCCATTTTGGTTGGAGATGGATTTGGTGTTGATTGTCGCAGAGGCGATGGAGAAGCCGGACTCTCTGGTCGACGGAATGGCGATGCGCGAGGTGAGCCATATGATAATGGCGAGGGTTTGTATGATGCCTGAGCATTTGGTTAGTTGGCGTTCTTGAGGAAGTCGCGATGCACCGATGTACCATGGTCGATGCTTCCCTTCCCAGTCAAAATCTCCAAATCCAAATATAAACGACCCTAAATGAGGCAATCGATGGTGGAGAATCGCGCAATGGTAAAAGCGATGCGACAAATGAAGGCTGACTATCACAGTGATCTTCTCTTAAAGTTGATTTTCGATGTAAACAAAGCGGAAGGCTTAGGGCAAGGCTGCTCGCCAAAGCCCCACGTGGGTTTCAAGCGCTCTGATTGGCGGTTGCCGTTCTCCCTGGCTCAGGGGTAAACCCGCAAACCCCACGCGAGAAGATCAAGAAGCGCCCGAACACCAGAACACAGAACAGCCGTCTTCGACGCAATTACTCCTCATCCCTCGGAATAGTATCACAATCATCGACCCTGCGAGTATGGAACCCGAACCGTGACCAGAATCGCCGGCCGCGCACAACCCCGCCCTGGGACAAAACGAAGACTCTCGAATGCACGGTTCCCGCCTAGATGCTTGTCAATAAACCCTGAAAAAGCGGATCGCGTTGCAGACTGGACCTATCCTGAAGGAGCCCCTTCCCCTAGTGTAGGGGGCCCAAGCCAGAGCAATCATGTCTTACCCTTACCCATACATTTATCCTTTGGCTCAAAGGCCAAAGGCAACCACCACCAGGACGGCAACGGCGACCAAAGGAGCAGCGATGATGCCGCAGCGTCCCACAACGAGGGGGACAACGGGAACCACAGAGACCACCGGGAGTTCCAATGGCAGCGCCCCTAATCGCCGAACGTCTCTGTCATCCTTTCCCTCTTCTCGATCCCCATCAGCAATGTCCAGACACTCGAGACCGTCGAGATCCCCCAATCCACCCATGATTGACACTGACCGCACCTCCGATCCGAGCTCGAACTCAAAAACGCCGTCTAGCGGTGTGTCCTCTCAGCATTCCTCCCTCTCGGCCCTTCGAAAATACAATCCAGATGCACACCCAAGGAGAAAGCTGCGGTCCCAGTACCCTAGAGGGGAGACGGAGAATCATGTGGAATATATTCTTGTGGCCTCGTTTGATATCGATAAGGGTCCGATAATGGAACATCAGTTCCCTGTTGCAATCACAGGGGACGAACACATGCTGGCAGAATTGATGCTCCCAGATCAAGCGCATGTGCGTAACCAGGATTGGACAATTTTCTTTTTACATAAAGATACAAGTCAAGAGGAGGAAGAGACCGAGCTGAAGGCAGAGAAAAAGAGAAAGCGGCAACGAAGAAGAGACCGGGCTGCTGGCCTGTTAGAGCCTAACGATGTCGAATCTGGGGACGAGCTTGAGGTCGGTGAGGAATCAGCCGAGGATTCAGACGAAAGCGAACCGGAGGGAGGAGAAGGACCACCGTTGATATATGTACTGAATCTGGTGAACACGAAACAAGACAAGACTGCCAAAAGAGGGGCAGTGGTGAAGGCTATGGCGATTTGCACCAGGCATCCTTTCTTACATATATATAAGGTCTGTGCTCTGGAAATATTCTTGAACTACACTGACACCCAAGCAGCCCTTATTATTACTAGCCCTAGAGGAATACTTCAAATCGCCACATCCAGCAACGCTGGCATTGTTGTACGAAGCCGTCAATACCATGGACTTATCCCTTATGCCCAGACTGACTCTGTTGGAACGATACCTTCTACAGGCCAGCGATAACAAAGACCTCTTTGTGGAGAAATTCGAACAAATGATTCAGATGAGGATGGCTGAAGAAAGAGGTGAATCACCTGAAAACGTGACAGCCATGTCTGAGAGCCCTGAAAAACGAATGGACTTGACCAGAAATGGGACAAAAGCACACGTCGTTGCACACGGAATGTACTCTGTGCCGAGGGACACTCACGAATTTGAGACGAAAGTAATGTATAACGGCATTCCGATCCCGATCAAAGTCCCTGTAGCAATCTCCCCCGAGACTGTTGGCGACTTCTCCTTGATCAAACTTATTCAAACCTTCTCCGATCCACATACGAAATCTCCACAAGCATTTTCCCTTCATCCACATCTCACAACTAGTGGCGCCTATACACATCCTATCATCGTCTTGGCCAATGCCATGTTGACCCAAAAACGGGTCATATTCCTGGGTCACAACCGTCCATCTGGTGAAGTTGCAGAGGCTGTGCTTGCGGCTTGTGCGTTGGCTTCAGGCGGTATTCTTCGAGGCTTCACTCGACATGCTTTCCCATATACGGATCTTAGCAAGATTGATGATCTTCTAAAGGTTCCTGGCTTCATTGCCGGTGTTACAAACCCCACGTTTGAGAATCATCCAGAGTGGTGGGATCTTCTTTGCGATTTACCAACGGGTCGGATGAAAATCAGTAATAGAATCGATGGCGCGCCTCTGACAGAGGGATTGGCCAACTTCCAACAACAAAATCCTGGTTACGTGGCCGCCGTGAATACAGCTGCAAATGGTACAGCTTCCAATGATCCCACAGGTGATGCTACTTTCATGAGTGACGTCCTTCGCAGTGTGGCCGCTCGTCATGGGGAGGGTGTCATCCGTGCAAAGTGGCGAGACTGGGTTGAGAAGTTTACAAGGGTCTCCGCAGCCTTCGAAGAGACGGTTTACGGGGCCAGTGCCCTTTATATCGGAGTTGAAGAAGCAGAACCCGGCAATGAAAATGTTAGTGGCCATGGATATGTCTGGGGTGATGAACCATCGAAACTAAGAGAGCTGGCTGGCGGGGTCCATCGCATTGAAGGATGGAGAAACACGAGGAGCTACTTCAGCTTCAAACAGGTACTATGATTCCAATTTAGCTAAACCGCACAGCTGACTTCAATCAGGACCTTGCCCAACTCTACACTTTTCGCCCGTTGAAGTCACTCGATCTTCACCATTTGCATGACCGTTTGCGTTTGACGAAACTCTCGCCAGGCATCAGTAGAGAAATTTACATGGCGTTGTCCAAGTATACTCATTCATACGATGAGATCTGCCAGCTGCTCACTGTCGCGCCTGAATCTCATGCTGGTTTGTTCTATGTAGCTTTGGGGTTGTTTCACAAAGATAGGGATGTGAGATTGAAGGTCGTTGACTTACTGGAGAGAATCGCCGAGCATGAAGCAGGTCGACATTGGTGGAAGGCTTTGAGTCGCTTTGAGAAGCTGGCCTACTACCGAATACGACGAGAAGCGGAAGCGGAAATGAAGTCCAAGTTAGGGGAAAAGGAGAGCCTCGGCGTCGGTAATGGACAAGCAATGATGGTTGAGAGGAGAATCTCATGAGCTCACGAAGCTCTGGGAGCAGTCACGATTTATGAGGCACGAATGCTTTGGTGTTGCTGCGCAACATGGCATGCTTAAAGATACCCACTAGCTTTTGCACATTTAGGGCATTTTAGGAGTCACGAAAACTAGGTGTGCGGTCGAGGAACGAAAGACACCTCGATGTATATTTCATTCTATAGCTTTTGTCTCGAGGCAGTGTCGCTTCTATAAACATGAGCATAGATTCGCTCTTAAGATAATAGAAAAACATACCATGCTGCGAACAAATACTTTGCTGCGTGATTGACATGATCCGTCGAAAATGTCGAAATAAAATAATAAGAGTGGTCATAACCCTATTCATCGTTAGTACTCTGAGATCTTTTCTGTCACCTCCAAGGTTAACACTCGCATCCTGATACCTCAAGACCAAGCCTTTATCATTCCCACTCTCCTTCGCCGCCTTCTCAAAATTCTCAGGAAGCAATTGACCTTGCTTATAAAAGTTATCCCCAGTCCCAACATCAATCAGCGCCTCAAACGTCCCCGCCTTACACCCCTTAACCAACTCGCTCGCATCATGTTTCTTCCACGTCTCTCGATCTTCCCCAAGATACCCCTTAAAAGCCTTCTCCCCCCAAGGACAATTGCTCGGGTTCGCAATCGGCGCAAAAGCACTGACGCTCTTATACATCCCAGGATTCTTAAGGAAGAGGGTCAGAGCACCATGGCCGCCCATGCTGTGGCCTGTAATTGAAACGCGGGAGGGGTCTAGCTCGGGGAACGAGGCGAACAGCGCTTTGGGGAGCTCTGAGGTGATGTAGGATTCCATTTTGTAGTTTTTGGACCACGGCGAGGCAGTTGCGTCGATGTAGAAGCCTGCGCCGCTGCCGAAGTCGTAGGAGTCATCTTCGCCTTGGATTTTGAGACCTCCTGAGATTTACTTGTTAATATTGGGGGTGGTTGGAGGAGACAATTGGGGGCGCGGGGGGAGGGGTCGAATGTGGGGCTTCGTACGAGGTGAAGTGTCTGGGTAGACGATTGCTATTCCCCTTTGGCTGGCTCCGTACTGGAAAAAGCCTTTCTCAGCACAGTTGTCGCCGGTGCAGGTGAGTCCTGAGAGGTAGAACAGAACGGGAACCTTATGTGCGGTCTTTCCAGCTGAGGGGGGGAGGTAGACGTTCAGGGCCATTTCGCAGCCGGTGGTTTGAGCTTCATGTGTCAGTTTGAGCAGCTTGCCGCCGAAGGAAGCGATTGTTGCCGTGGTTTTGAAAGACATTTTGGAAGATTGCGAGTTACAAGAGAGTGAGGATCAATTGAGAGAAAGAAGAGAAGTGCTGGTGTTTTCGAAAGGTTGGGGAAACCTTCATGACGTTTTAGGCTTTACGACCCCTCAACTGCCCCGCCGTCGAATGGCGCTCGTCTGGACTCTGCATCCTTGTTCGGCACTCCAACCCACGAATCCATGCAGGCTCCGGAGAAGTCACGGCAATTCGGAATCTTTTTGCACCCAAAACGGCAATTTACGCTCAAGATGGGAAGTCTGTAGTTGAAGAGCTCTTGCTATTGAGTTACGGAAGTCTCAAATTTCTCTCTCCAAAACGCCATTTTATACGCCAACCCAAGTACCCTTGCTATGCAGATCCGCCAATTCTCAAAGACCTATTCTCTCACTGCAGGAGTTCTTCGCAAGTCCAATCCTCATACCTTTGCCAAGTTAGAATTTCAGCTGCACAAAGGCTCTGCACCACTCACCAGCCATCAGGCATATATCTCCGCACAATCAGGGGTATCTTCTTTTCTCTTAGCTCCTTGATGGCAATCTGAAGTGGATCCGTCTCTCCCTCCAAATCGACCAGAACAGGTGCATTCATACTGGAGATTCTCCAGTCAGTAAATTCCTCCCAAGTTTGTCCTCTCACTATTCTCAGCCTGTGAATACCAACCTGATCTGCAGCGCCCTTGTGCCTAGAATCCGAGCTCTCTCGTACTTCGTCATGTAGGGTGTAGTCGTCCGCTGATCATGGGGAATCTTCTTGTCCTTCGGCGCCTTCTCTCCTCCCTTTCCTCGATTTGCAGCAGCAGCCGGATCCCCCGAGACAACAACACCACGATCGCCAGTAGTTAGAAGCTGATCGGGATTTTGCCCCACTGCAATATCGTCGACTTGGCCGTTGGTCTCGACATCGGGGTCAAATGGCTCCGCGGGCTCATCGGGATCGTATTCAGGCTCGGCATCGTCGTAGGCTGGGGAGAAGCTGTGTATTGTCCAGTGAGTGGATGTTTGGGAATAGAACGTCTGCAGCGGCCAAAAGCGCTGACTCACCCGCCATCACCACCGTCCTCGTTGTCTGACATGACGGTCAAGAGGATCGCAAATGCTTCTAGATGATTATGACAGTCGTTAAGAACTGTAGGAGCTTGATTGCGGTACGACTATGAGGTTGTTAAAAATTGATTTGCGCCTTCCAGCCTCAAGAAATTTAAGGTTTAGCGTCACTCTAGCGCCAAATCTCGCCAAGAGTTGTTCAGCCCCGCAAAAATAAATCTCGAATTCTTTCCTAACAGCTCCAAAATATGTTCTCGCTGTCTCAACCTTGAAAGTCCTCAGAAATGGCCACCATTTCGAAAAAGAGGAAGGCGATGAGCGGCTTGAACGAGTCTGCGAAGATGCTGCGTGTTGAAAACACACTCGAATCGTCGAATAAACTCCATCCGCCGAGTCGTCTGCTATTGGAATCAAGCAAAGCCGACAAAAGCTCTTCGGAATTGGAGATCGATGACGTGGAGGATGGATACAAGAAAAGCGATTCGGACTCTTCCGATGAGCACGAGACTGCGGACACGCCTGCCACTCCGTTTTCTCCTGCCCAAAAGAAGTTCCCATCCGAACTGAAAACCATCAAATGTACCTGGGAAGGCTGCGACAAGAGTTTCAACCGGCCGGCCAGATTGACGGCTCATTTTCGATCACATACTAATGAGCGACCGTTTGTCTGCACCTACGAAGGCTGTGATAAAGCTTATCTCACGGACAAGCATCTACAAACCCACATCAAAGGCTCCCACACCCACGAACGTTCATATCACTGCGATTGGGAGGGGTGCAACAAGAGTTTTCTCACATCGACCCGTCTTAAGAGACATAAGGAGGCACATAAGGGCCATGAGAGATTTCGGTGTACGGCTTATCCGCCTTGCAACCAAACCTTCAGGAAGCATCAAACTCTCCAACGCCATATCCGCTCGGAACATCTCGAGCTCGCTCCGTATCCGTGTACCTACATCGATCCGATCACGGGCGAGGCCTGCAATGCCGGATTTGACGGATCAGTAGGTCTCCGCAAGCACGAAGAGCGTGTCCACGGAGCCGCCCAATTCTTCTGCCCGCAATGCGTAATTCCAGGAGCATTTGGCCCAGATGGAACACCCATACATCTTGGTTTCACCACAGATACCCAACTCCAGTCTCACGTCAAGAAAGAGCATGCCAATTGTCCATTCTGCGACCTGAAGTGCTCCAGTCAGCGAGAGCTGCAAAACCATATCGACAGTCAGCATTCTGGCAAGTCATTGGAGGAACGAAAGAAGATATCCTGCACATACCTTGGTTGCAACAAGAAGTTCACCAAGCCCGGAAATCTCAAGATCCATATCCGCACCGCCCACATGGGAGAACGTTTCATTTGCTGTACCTTCGACCTTAGTGATTATCCGGATGTCAGCGACTTTAACACAGCAGATGCTTGTGGGAAGGACTTTGTCTCCAAAGCCAGTCTGGTAGACCATATCCGCACTGCACATCTAGGTCTCTCGAGCATGGTTAACGCAAACCGGAAGAAGTCGGCGAAATCAGCTGCCTCGGACCAAGAATTTGGATCAGACGATGACGAAGACTCAGAGGACGAGTACGTTGAGCAACCAAAGAGAAAGACCAAGAAGCGAAGCGAGAAGCCAAGACAAGTAGAAATGGATGACATGCACGGTTTCCCAGACCACAATCCTTCATTTTCAGCTTTCGAAGGTGCTTTCCAGCCCCTTGATCGAGACAACCAAAGCTACAGCCCAGGTTTCGGCGGAGAAATGGGTGGAGAGGAGGGAAGAGAGGAGATTGATGCATTGTACGACCAAGCTGATATCGATTGGGAACTCCAGCGACGTGCTCTTGAAGGTGGAGCCTTCTGGATTGGTGCTGAAGAGGCGCAGAAAAGTTTCAGGGGGGATGCAGTGGATGAGTGGACGCTAGAGGAAATGGAGATGAGAAGACTGGTGGGCGATGATTAGGTAGCTTCCTTGGAGGCATTCTGGGGAGTATTTCGCCATCTCGAGCAATTACTTGTGTTGCAGACGAGATTTTGGAAGTTGTATGCATTATGAAATCAAGAAGACAAAAGAAAATTTGCAGATAGCATTAGAAAGCGCGCTGCAGCGCTCTGACCTGTAATGAGATATCGCCTCAATATACCAAGCTTTCTGGTACAATGAGGCCTTGTCCATCTAAGTCCAGAGTGAACATTGGCTTTAACCCTTCTTCTTTGAACGTCCTGAAATTTAAATACACTTAGATTATCCTGGTAGTAGGAGGTGAATCTCCTATCTCGAGTCTCGATGTTGCACATAGAGTCCCAGTAGCAATTCATCACATCGCAAAGACACCGGGGTTCATTTCAATGGCGATTTGTGTGAGTATTAGTACAGTAAAGCCTTTCTAGCAGTACCCCACACCACACAGCTCACACTTCACGCCTCAGGCTCGTTCTCATCTGAATGCATCACAATCCCACCAGAGCAGTGGTTTACCACTTATAAACAACTCCGACAATCATAACGTCCGCCCAATGCAACAATCAAACAGCTCTTCCATGCAATCATCCCTCTGCCACGCCTTAAAATTATACACAAAGGTTTCTGAAGACTTTATACAGTGAAGAGGAACCCCTCCCATGCAATGCAAGAACCCGAACAATAACTTCCCATGACACGCTGTCTGGACCGTGATGAATGGAGAGAGGAGAGAAGAGACCGTAGCGAGCCTCACCATGGAGTCGTGTCCTCGGACAATGCATATCTTGCAAACGAAAGAATTTAGTTCTGCTGGCGCATCAGCTCCAAGAGTCCATTGGCAGCACGGCTCTTCACAACACTGCTCGTGACTTCGTTCCAGATTGGACTGCCCAGTTGGGGAGGGTGGAGCATGCCTTGGCGTTGACGTGGGAGGATAGGGGTAGTGCAGCCTTCATTTTCACCTCCACGCGTCGCGTCGCTGTCCTTGGTTGGGGAATGCTTGGTGATTTCTAGGTAGGGGGGTGGCGAGGAGGCGATTCTGGCGTGGTTTACTGGTCTCTTCTCTGCAGAAGGTGTTTGGATCTGCGCCTCTGGCAGGATAGTCGAGCTTGAAGGGAGTGGAATACGGCGTTGCGAGGTGTTGGCTACACGTGGAAGGCGAGGGAGTTCTGGTGATGTGGAACTCAACGTCTTGATTTGAAGGCGAGATAGAGGGACGTCAATTTGGTTGGTTCGGACCTTGTAGCTAGCCAGCTTCAATCGCAGCCTGAGCGCTTCAGCTTTCTAGGAGAAGGTCAGAACTTCCAGAGGTAAAATAACTGGATGGAAGCTTACCTCGCGGATCTCCTCCATCGTCAATGGGACCGAGACAGAGCGAGCGAGTGTTGGGACAAGTAGTGCAGCAGGGAGAGGAACGTCATCGGGCTCAGTGATGGTTGTGTTCTGCGAGTCATCGAGGCCAGTTTGACGCGAACCTAAGGAAGATGCTGGGGATGAAGCAGCAGACGGCGAGCTTTGAGTATCATGTGCCACAGTTTGCTATCAACAAAATCAGTACGGGGTTGCTCGCTAGTCAACATTCTTAAACACATACTCGCGATGGTGGGGATTGAAGGACTGGGGCATCATCAATGCCACTCCGGAAGGTTTGTCCGCCTCTTGGATCGGGTAGAACTCTTTCGCTAACAACCTTAGGTCTAGAAGTCGTCTTAACTCGCTTGCTTGGGAGTCCGTCCGTCGAGACATCCGAGCATCTCTTGTTGCTACCCATCCAAGTCTCCTGGCTAACCGCAGCTCCCCCCACAGCACCCCTCGCATCTTGTCTACTTTCTGCTTGGAAATATATATCTCCCACGTTTCGCAGCTTCACAGAACTACCGGCTTCGAGTTTGGATGGCTGCATAGCAGCTCGGGCAGTGGGTGTGTTGACATTGAGGTCACTGAGCACACGACGCGTGGGTGTGGAGGACGCCATTGTTCCGGGGCAAGGAGAAACCTAGGATATTCGAGTTTGTGAGGCTGGGGAAGGTGCAGTCTCGAGCAAACTTGTCGTGAGGAAGGCGCGTTTGTCCTAAAGCGCGACGGGGTGAGTCTGTGTTCGCGGGGCAGTGAGGCATGGGACTTACTTTTTCTAGAGCAAATAAAGAGCCTGTTCAGTGTCTTTACTACAAGAAGAGGAGGTAAAGATCTCTTAATTAGCAACGCCGTTAAGAAACAATCGGTGGATGTTTGAGTCGCGTCAAAAAATTGTTGGCGGAAGTCTTTTGGTCTCCTTCGCGTCGAGGTCGATATCAAAGACAATCCCAGCAAGCCATTCTTAAGCGACCAGAAGCCTCTGTCCGGTCCCCCACCGCTACCCGCTGACCCTTGCTCAGTACGCTAGCGGCCACACTAAGATCAACACTCCAAACAGCCGTCAAAAGCAAAGGGCAGTCAAATAATAGGGGTCCATGGGGCCAGGATGCCACCGTTCTGTTGTGAGATAGCCAGGAGCAATTCTGAGGGCGGGGTTTCATGAGAGCCATCGTGTCAGGGAGATTTCTAATATAGCTAGCTAATCTTGAGTAGTCAGGGGATAATATCCCGCTTCATTCATAGTAGGAAATGCAGAAGAACTCCCATATAGCCATGGAAAAAGATAATTTGGAATCCCAAAATCCCCCTCATGCGCATCATAACCCCATCCAATAGTATATCCCAAATAGTACAAGTCCCGTAAAATCAATCGTAAATACACAAGAACTGCTGTGCAAACTCAACGCCGATTACCGGTAGGCCTATTCCATACATTCCCAAAAATAACTGTCCAATTGACGGTATGACCCTAACGCCTGACGTGCTTTTCCATGGTATATCTTTCCTCAGTCCTTGCTCCTTCCCGCATTTTTCATCCATGCAAAATAACTCCAAAATACAATCATCTAAACCCAAAACACTGCCTAGTCGGCTTGCATAGAATAAAGGGAATTATCAAAAGAAAACGGCTTGTCCAATGCAGAGATATCCATCATATCATCCCATGGCTGCAAGTTGACCATTTGTTGGTCATCATCAAACATCGTCAAATCATCCACACTATTGACATTGTAGCTGTTCATGTCGAACAGCCCATCAGTTTCGCTCGGGCCAAATGGCATCCAGCTGTCATCAAAGACATCAAGGTTGATATCCAGCCCAACGCCTTCTGAGATGTCAGTATTAGGTTCGGACACTCCGTCCTTACTCGATTCCGGCGTGTCGTTGGGGGTGATCGAGCGGTAGACGTTGAGATCCGAGATTGCCCCACCGGCTCCGGTCTCGAATGGTTGGAAGCTGTGCAGGAGGTCATGAGGATCGATAGTGGCATTTGCCCAAGGAACCAAGGTGGAAGTTTCCTGCGGCGCTTGGTTGCCCAAATCCTTCTGTCCTACTTGAGGTTTTGCAGTTGCGTCCTTTGCTGCACCATTTTTTGACTGAGTGTTAGGTCTGGCGCTGACAGCGCTGCCTTGGCGATTCATAGAAGCTTGTCGGTTCATTGGTGTGCCTGCTGCAGGAGTAGTTTCCGTCTTTACATTCGGCGTCTGCCCTTGTTTGGAGCCACTTGCAACCATCTTCGTTGAATCCTGAGTGGATGCGACGGCCTTTTTGGCCTGCCCTTGAGAATCTAGACCCAAGATAGCAGCTAGGTTCTCGTCGGCATATTTCAGAGGGTTCTCCAGAGGCCTGATATGCTCTTCCTGGGTATGGCGCTTCAGGTCTTCTTCGTTGTCAAAGCCAACGGTGTGTCGTTCGCAATCAGGCTCTGAGCAACATAGTGAAGGCTTTAGGTGTGATTTCGAGTCGACTGGTTGCCGTTTCACATCGGGCGATGCCGCCTTGGGCACTTGAGGAGAAGATGTAGAGCCAGGAGTACCTTGGCCAGGGGCAGCTGTTTGCTTTTGCTTCTTTCGAGCAGGTGGGAGCTGCAAATTGTCTTGCGTGACGGTCGATTTGCCAATGTAGGATGGTGCTCCATGAGGCGAAGTTGCTCCAAAATGAAACGGAGCTTGTTGTGTTGTTGGGGCTGCCGGGGTGTGAGAGCTACGGCTGTTCGATCTCTGATGCAGCTTATTCAGTTGTTGCTGTTGCTGCTGTAGATTGGCCGCATTCAATGGAGTTGGCACACTTGGAGCCTGAGCAGACTGTGAAGCCTGAGGCGTTGGTTGAGTAGCAGACGTCGAGGATGGTTGAGATTTGGCTACCTCTTGTTTCTTCATATTGGGGAATCTAGCACTTAGATCTGCTACCATACCATTCAACATCTGTCGAGTGTTCTCAATCTCTTTGGGCATGACAGAAAAGGTGTCTTTGAGCTGCGTCATCGCGAGACCATCACGAAATTGCTTCGCAAGCCGCAAGCGCTATATTGTATCAGCAGTAAACTCGAACAGTCCAAATAATGGTGGGTAACTTACAGCCCGGAAAAACGCCCGAGTCCGCACGTCATCAAGTGTAACTAAATACCATCGTAAAACGACACGTCCAACATTGTTCAATGGCGGGACTATCGCTTTCAACAGCTCTTCCGTAGATGCCTTCGTATCTGGATCCATAGGGATATCAGGCAGTGGTTCTTTGCCCCGTTCCTCTTCTTCCCTCTGGATAGCCCGATATTTGGCTTGCTGTTCTGGATTTGGTTGACCAGCACGGTTGGCAATGGATTGATTCGCCCCTTGTTGGTGGCTTGCTTGGCTCGCTTGCCCTCGCATCATAGCCTCATATTTCTTTCGGTTTTCAGGGTCGAGTGCAGCTACTTGCTCTCGACTTAGATTTCCACGAGCCTGCTGGTTTGGTTGTTTAGGTTGCTGGGTTTGCTGAGGTGCTGGCCGAGGAATCTCAACGACATCGTCGCTACTCGCACGCTTCAGATTCTTGGCTGGTGGGGCTGGTGATGAATTCCGTGCTTGATTGCGGCCGGCTGGTGGCTGTGGGCGAGCAGCACGAGATGCATTTGCAGCGCTCGCATTGGAATTTGGCAGTTCAGGACCTGGTTGAGGTTGTTTTTGCTGAGGTATTTGAGCTGGCATTACTGTTGCAGCTGGTATGGCATTATTGGCATTCTGCAGTGGTTGTCCCGGCTGCTGAAGTTGTTGCCCGTTCTGCTGATTCATACGTTGCTGTTGCATTTGCATTCGCCTCAAGGTTTGTTGTTGTTGAAGCTGTAATTGCTGAGGCGTCATTTGTTGCTGCTGCTGCATCTGAGCCTGTTGATTCCTCATGAAAAAAGTACGGATCTGCTCATCGGTTGCCTGAGCCATCTTGCCGCTGGGGTGATTTCGAATATTTATGATCTCTTGGGGGGTCGGTCCTCGAACGCCCGGTAAAGGAACATTCATCGGGTTCGGCACTTGCATTGGGTGCTGACCCATAGGAGCAACTGGAGCTGCTAACCCTGGAGGGGCTGTCGGCATACCAATCTGACCACCTGGGCCGCCTGGTTGCACTTGTCCTGGTTGGCCCTGCGCCTGATTTCTGCTCCTCACCATTGTCTGGTAGTGTAGCTTTTGAAGTCCTTTCATCGATTCAAGCATGTCCGGTCCCAAACCTGGACTTGACGCAACCCATTGCTTCAATTGTCCCCATTTCTTGACTTCCGGAGGAATACCTTGCGGCATGGAAGTATGGCCTCGGAAAATAGGCGGAATATCGAAAGTATCCATTTGGGCCATAGTACGCTGCTCATTGGGACCCATGGTTTGCTGCATGGCGCGTTGTTGCATGGGATTTTGTCGCATCGCGCTCATTTGTTGTTGGAGGAGAAGTTGTTGTTGTGTATTCATGCCAGCTGTCATGTTCTGAGGAGTTCGTTGGCCTGGATTTGGGATCATGCCAAAAGGGGCACCATTTTGGGGATTGAATTGGCCAGGCTGTGGAACTTGAGGACCCGGCCGGACCGGACCGTGTACTTGCTGCATTGGCATTTGTGGCCTTCCCGCGCTTTGCAGATTGCCATTGAGCTGTTGTTGCCTTTGCTCGTGCCATTTATTTACTACCTCATTCAACTTGTCCTGGGGTAAGGTAGCTAGACGTTGCTGCTGTTCTGGGGCCATATTGGCGAACATGGTAGCAGTCAAACCTCCCGGGGGAAACACGTTTCCTGGACCTTGTGCTCTCTGGTTTCCTTGTATGAACCGTGGATCAAGTGATTGTCCAAATTGGGCGTTCGGATTCACTTGTGGCGGCTCGGGGTTCATCTGTTGAGATGGAGTCCTCAGGGGCGTATTAAGCGTACCCATAGCGGGGCTCTGTTGCGGTGGCATCGGGCCAGATCCCATTCCGCCGGGTTGTCCTTGGAGGCCAAGCGCCTGAGCTTGTTTTTGAGCATTCATTCGTGCTTGAACTTGGGACTGCTGCTGTTGCTGCTGCTGTTGTTGTTGAGCATGCTGCAGTCTTTGTTGCTGTACTTGCTGGGCATTGAGCATTTGTTGCTGTTGCTGTTGCTGAACCCTGGGATTGGGGTTAGCTGCCCCTCGCTGATCGTTCATATTCATCGCCTGGCCCGGCATGACGCCTGGTTGTGGGGTTCCATTTCGAGGGGCAACGCTCGCTGGTACAACCATTTGCCCGGCTTCCTGCGCTATTACACCTTGTTGCTGCTGCTGAGCGGCGAGATTCTCCATATTGATGAATGATGCGAAATCTCCATTGCCGGCCATCGACGTCGGTGGTTGAGTCTGTCCATTCAGCGGACTTGGATTCATAGACCCTCGCTGTTGCATAGGTGCTCCACCAGGAATGTTCGCTTGTTGCGCAAGCTGCTGCGCTTGTGCCAGCCGCGTCTGCTTCTCCTGGCGTAAACGATGCATAGCCTGGTTCCGATAGTATAGAAAAAGGGGATCGACGCCTTGTGCCTGATACTTTTGGAACTGTTGCGGATCCATACGTGATTGTAGTGACGCCCTCGTGGTATTCTTCTCCTCCTCCGATGCCTGAGACATCAGCCTATTCGTCAGATCCATTACCAATGCAGTATCCTGTGCTGACATCTGTTGTTGACTATTTGGTTGCCTCCCAGGAACATTTTGCTGCCCCTGTGGCGGTTGATTCTGCTGCATAGACATTTGGAATTGCTGCTGCTGATTGGGTGTCATGTTCGGAGGAAGCCCTTGGTGCTGCATGCCCATTGGGGCCTGTTGCTGAGGTTGCTGTCCGGGAAGAGGGGATGCTTGCATCTGATGTTGAAGATGTGAAAAGCCCTGTTGCGCAGGTTGGGGGGTGGGCCTCGGGCCCTGGCCCTGGCCCTGCATGCTATTCTGGTTCATCATCATCTGTTGAGCCTGGACAGCTTGCTGCGCCTGGGCCTGGGCTTGGGCTTGGGCTTGGGCCTGTTGATTAATAGACTGCTGCATGTTGGCCTGATTTTGATTCCGTCTCTCCATTAACTGCTCCAACTTCATCTGAACTTCACGTTTGTATTGATCCTGCTCTCGTTAGCGACGTGTCTCACCATAAAGCATTCCTCGCTGCACACCTTATTCGGGGACTTCTCGAAGATTTCTTTCTCGAATCTGATACCAATCTGGATCATTCGATTCAAGTCTGGAGGGTTCGGCTGGCTTTGGCTTGCAAGACGGAGATTTCCAATTCTGACAAGAATTACGTCAGTCCAAAGTATGAAAAGGAAGTTAAATGCGCTTCCCACACCCAGAAGAACTCACAAGTTGAATATCAGCCCCATGCGCTCTTGAATCTGCACTGAAGCCTGCCAGCCGCTCAGAGGTCCCGTCTGCTGGTTAAGGGTTTGGAAAATCAGCTGCTGAATCTGACCGGATGCATTCGGACCTTGCTGCTGACGTTGCTGCTGCTGCTGTTGCTGCTGTTGCATTTGCTGCATCATCTGCCCAGGTCCGCCCATGCCCATTTGTTGTTGGAAGTTCGCCGCCATTTTGAGAGCGGGCGTGGCAGCGCCACGCTCCTACAAAGAGGAGGTCCGACTCGAAAGGCTCGCGAACCAGCCCTCGTAGTGAATATCGAATGGTACAATCAGTCCGTTGAAGATGCGTAGAAGTGGTGAGAAGGTCAAAGCCTAGATCCAAGGGGGAGATGGAGCGGCAAGTGTGTAATCGCAGTGACAATAGACGGGCAGCCGTGAAGTGACATGCAGGAAGCCTATACCAGTTCTGTTACGTCCACATGAGCCAGAGCTTGTGCTGCGCGAGAATTCTGGTATTGGAAAATCGTGGGTTCGTTTGCGACGCAGAATGAGGTGTTCGAATCGATTGGAGAGGAGTGTGAGGCTGTATGCTGTAGGCAGACGGCGGGACGAGCGACGAATTCTCTCGAGGAGGAACTGCGGGCGCCCGAGATGTCCAACTCATAGAACGATCGGAGATGGGAATGGGAAGAGATCCACTGCAGCGGCGGATGTGCAGTGGGAGGGCGACAATGTAATGCGTGCTTGGACAAGATGAGACAGACTGATGAATCGCTAAACGCAGGCTAAGTTGTTCCGGCGAGAGGACGAACAGGACGGGAAACGAAACGGGCTCGCGAATACGGCGGACAGTCCGGTGCGAAGGTCGAATCGAGGGTGATAGCAAGCCGGTGCCGATGCCAGTGTCGGTGCCAGTGCCAGTGCCGCCGTGCGAGGAGAGTGAAGGGGAAGGGGATATGGATGGATTGTGGTGTTGTCGATGAGACTGCTGGACAGGAAGTTCAAGGACGGCGCGCAGCAGGGGAGCCCAAGCGGGCGGCTTGCCAGGACTGGCAGTGGGAAGCTAAACTACGAACGAACAAGCCAATATTTTCATTTCGCTGCAAGCACGCACATTGGCTGGCCAGCTGGCCCTGGCACTCGCCCTCACCCTCACTCACCCTCACTCACCCTCGCCCTCACCGTCACCGTCACCAGGCTATGTCGAGCAGAAATACTCAATAATCAGTGCTGCGCGAGATACAGTATGAATGACGCGATGGCCTGTGGGGTCTACGGATTCTACGGACGAGGGAGAGGCAACAATCACCACACTCGCTCACTCACTCACTCACTCACTCAGCGCAGTGCGCGGCTGAAGAAGATAAGAGAGAGCAGCGCTGTCGAGGACGGCGAGGGGAATCGAATCGATCTTCGCTGCTGAAAAGGGTTTCAGCTTTTTGCGTCCAGAAATCCCCCGAGACCTGTCACGCCGAGCAAAAAGAAGTGAGGCAAATTATTCGCCCCAGGACTCGCTCCCCTCTGCGCCATTGGCCATGGCGAGGCCAGTCATTGCACTCACCCCCTCCTGACACATCTGCTGAGCGGGCAGTGATTTATTGCAGCCTGATTGCCCCGTTGCTATTGTCTTCTCTGCTCTGTTCTCTCTGCGCTGCTCTGGCTGGAGATCCGATGCCGTCCGCTCCCCAAGGCCAGCGGCGTCTCTCGAAATGATGGAGGCACATGCGGCGCGATCAATCGAGGAAGGGGAGTGCCTGCGCACGCACGCCAGTGGCTGCCCCGGGGTCACTCGGAAGATGGAATGGGGTGTGGGATGCAGTGATGCCGGTCTCGAGTTTCGCAATCATCGAGAGATTACTTTCGTAATCTCTGGACGACAGACTGAGCTGCAAAGATCCTGACTGTACCGATCGCGGCCCGGATCATCGTCCCAAGCAGAGTATATCTCCCTGTGTTGGAAACCCGCCTTGCGTTTGAAGTCCTGCTGCGAGAAATGGCGGAGTGCGACGGGCCTGCGCTGCTCAGGGCGATCCAGATCCTTCCTAGCATGCATCGCTGTCCATCTCCCATCTCCTCGTCCCATGAGCCACCCATGTCTGAATGATCGACGTGCGGGACGCCCTGGAAGCCCTGGAAAGCCCTCGCACGCAAGGACGCCAGCGTGGCCAGCACCCAGCAAGGCTTAGAGGAGTGCCGTCCTTCGTACGGTATATTTATCCAGGAACGACACCGCCAGAGACGCAAGTCTCTCTACAACTTGTCCCATGGCAGTGCACACCGGCGGGGAGACCTTTGCAGCACAGCCAAATCGTTTCTTCTGGACTCCTGGAGCAACGTCCGTCAGCGATCTCGAGTCCAGGCTCCCAGTCAGTCTCAGCCCTCCATCTCCTGTTAGCGTTTGAGCAGGGGGCGTCTGCCGCCGGTCATCGATTTGGGCGACAGGGCTGCGCGCGAGCAAGGCCCCTCACTGGTCTGTCTCCACCTCTGCCGAGCAGCCCTCCCCTGGTCCTGGTCCTGGCTCTGTCTCCGCGTCGCACGACGTACCACCAAGTCTCAAGAGACCGCTGTTCTGCATCTTCGACTTGTCTTCTTGCAAAATCTTCGCACAATCTTGCTGAATGAAGTAGCAGAGTCAGAATCGAAATCGAGTGTTCTTCCAGAGCGGCAGCGGCAGGCAGCGGCAGTCCAAGTGGGCTCCCAACACGGGAACAAGCGACCCCTCAGTGGGGCAGAACACGGGCAGCAGGGAAAGGGGTTTGTCACGTGTTTCCAACCCGAAGCCTATCCGGCAGCAAGGCTACTTCATCCAATCTCCCTTGTTCGATCAGCCTTACCATCCTGTAGCACTTACGCAGACCATTCTATGCTGTCATTGTGAAGTCAAGGCGAATGCAAGTAACTTCACTGTTTGCTAACTGTTAAACTAGATTAATCCAGGACAGATTCTGTGAGATCTCACACCAGAAGTCTGTCTCCCACGGAGAAATTCAAGTCCCGAAGTTTATCGCAAGAGTCTAAAGCGAGCTTTGTCAGGAGTATATAATGTATTTGTTTTGTATAGAAGTGAATTCAATCTCACCTCATAACTCCTCAGAATACTGGGTATGGGCGCAAGTGAAGGATGAGGAGGCACCAAACAAGACACAAAATCAGCCCTAAGATGCCCAGTCTTTGTGGGTTGTCAGCTCAACCTCACTTACTTTCCACATTCAAAGTGAATTGTTGTTCCTCGGCCCTTTAAGTCTCATTGCACATCGCACTTTTGCGACACGACAGCTTGGACCCCAACCTTGTCGGGCTCACCTTTGAAAGTCGTTATTAGTTTCGTTGCACATCGCATTAATCCCGACTTCATCGCAACATGCTGAATTCGGCTCACTTTCAGAATCATTGTTCGTAGAGCTTTGGAGTTTGGTTGCACTTCGCAATAAACACGATATGGACACGATACTGAATTGGGCCTCTGCGCCTGCGCGAGGATGGGATCTAGTTCCAGATCTCTGTCAATGTATGAGAGTGATTTGGACATTGGGCGTTGATAGCATCATGGCCGTGGATTTTATTTGTTGGATGTGGGAATACAGACCCAAACTGGTGCGACCCCACATTCAAGTTATCGTGTCTAGGAAGTAGCAGTAACAGTTGCAGCATACAGGCAAGATAGAATAGCCCCAGTTCAAATTATGCGTCTACCGACTGTCATCTAAACTGGCGTCTCTGGAAAAGCGAGGTTTTGCTCTCTCTCGGATATCTTCTCCGAACCGTATGAGCCAGTCAAAATTTTCCAACAAAAATGGCACATTATCACCATCTCCTCCTAAGTCGCGCTCAGGTCATCAGTTGGCCGAAGACCTCATCCATCCCCTTTCCCCGATTAACCCCTGTGCGCCACACCCGCTTATCAGCGTCGAAGCCCAAGAGTGGGAGTATCCACAATTTTCATGCATATATCCCCACAAATGATAGAGGAAACACAGGTCGTTGACTTTTGGTGACATTCCTAACGTCATTCCTTATTGCACCTGGTGAAGAACATGTTGCGTTCTCCTTCTGAGCAGCTACAAGCTTGGATACTTTGGCAGATCGCCGCTGAATCGAGGCATGGCACGGTCACCTTTTATATCCCTTGAGCGAAACTTTGAAATTCTCCTTGAGGGCTTTGTCATCCTCGATGTTGCATTATCCTCCTGCATATTGGCATATTGATGATGAGGATCTTGGCCCCTTTCGTCTTTCTAGCAAGCTAACGTGCCTGCCTATCTCGTTGGTTTTCGTATCCAACGGCATGTCATCCATTTGCCTTTCCGGAGACCGCTGCCCAAATCCGATTCCTGAATCCCAGCTGTTTGGTTCCTTGATGTGTCAAACACTTCTTATCGAGTATCAAAGACTTCAACGCGATATGAGTTCATCTCCCTAGCGGAAAAACCGTCAATCTTCTCCATTTTTGTTGAAGGGACCTGGGAGTGACAACACTCCGACGCCTGTGTGTGCAGTCTCGGTACTCTCTCTTGCTCAGTCTCTGTAACCTTGTTCTTACTACGTTACTAGTCTGCTTCATACAGTCTATTAGTCTATGGACCAATGCTTCCTATCCCACCCTCCGGCCCGACGGCCAACCTGTACGAGGCGATAGATCACTATCATTGACTGATTGTTCTTTGTATTGTCAGATAATCCATATCCTCCTCAAGTAGGATCGTTCTGCCATACTCATAAAAGCCCGTGATCCCCAAGTTCGGCTTCCAGCTGAAATATATCCGCGTGCAAGTTTGCCTTGTCATCGTCCAAACATGGCGACAAATTCAATTGCACCTGTCCTCCCTGAGGGGGCAGGGTATGGAGTTGTAGTTGGCATTGGAGTGTGTTATCTCAATCCGATAGCATCAAGTCACAGGTCAATTGGAGCTAACAATGAGCAGTTCTTTTTTGCTATTGTTATGGCAGGCATCTCTTACATCCAGGTCAGGATATTTAATACTCTCTTTACATAGCCATCCTAATTTTCAGCAGAACCGATACACCAAATATTCTACAAAGGGTAGCGAGGAGTTCAACACAGCCAGCCGGAGCGTTAAGTCCGGACTTATTGCAGCTGGCATCGTCTCAGCATGGACATGGGCTGCAACCCTGTTGCAAAGTTGCACGGTAGCTTACGAATACGGAATTTCTGGTCCATTTTGGGTATGTAGATAAATTCTTCCTTCCGAGGATTCCAGCTGATGTTTGAATAGTGTACGTCTTCTCTCAGCCTTCCTTTGGACGACTCAATTGCTCACCAAAGTTAGATGCCGCAGGAGCAACCGTGCAAATCTTTATGTTTGCAATCCTAGCCTGCAAAGTAAAGCAGAACGCTCCTCGATGCCATACTTTTCTCGAGATCATCCATCGGCGCTACGGAACGGCAACTCACATCGTGTTCATCTTTTTCGCTCTGCTTACGAACATTCTGGTTGCCAGCCAGCTTCTTCTCGGCGGAAGCGCAGTCGTTACAGCACTCACTGGCATGAATGTTTATGCCGCAATCTTCCTAATTCCACTTGGAGTCTGCATCTATGTGGTGTTGGGTGGTTTGAGAGCTACTTTCCTCTGTATGTCCTTCAATGTCCCAGTAAAAGAAGTACAATAACTGATCAATCCTAGGTGATTATACTCACACTTTTATCGTGATGATTATTATCCTCTATTTTATGTTTTCGGTCTATACCTCAAACGCTCTCATCGGCTCTCCGGCGAAGATGTTTGAGCTGTTGGCCGAAGCATCAGTGAAGCGTCCTGCCGAGGGAAATCAAGGCGGCTCTTACCTGACCCTCAAATCTAACTATGCTCTGATCTTTGGAGTAATACAACTCTGCTCGGGCCTGGGGACAGTCTTTCTCGATCAAGGTTATTGGCAAAGGGCAATTGCAAGCAGGCCCACCACCGCAGTACGGGCCTACGTTCTTGGAGGTATGGCATGGTTCGCAATTCCTTTCGGATTTGCTACTACACTCGGACTCGCTGCCGTTGCGCTCACAGACAATCCTGCATATCCAACGTACCCGGACAATATGACTACTTCACAGATATCTTCTGGACTGTCTGGCCCATTTGCAGCTGTTGCTCTTCTCGGGAAACCAGGCTCTATCGCACTTCTACTCACACTTTTCATGGCTGTCACATCTTCCTCCTCTTCCGAGCTCATCGCCGTCTCGTCCATTCTCACATTCGATGTCTATAAGACGTACATCAAGCTTTTCGCCACCCCGGAACAACTAATTAAGATAGCTCACATCATGATCTGCGTATTTGGTTTCATCATGGCAGCCTTCGCCTGCATCTGGAATGCAATTGGCATCGATCTCGGATGGCTCTTCCTCGTCATGGGTCTTTTGATCGGAGGAGCAGTCTTCCCAGCTGCTTTCGCCATAACATGGAAGAAGCAGTCCAAATACGGTGCAGTATCGGGGGCTCTAGGTGGCCTGGCAGCAGGTCTAGTTGCCTGGCTCGTAACAGCAAAAACCTACTATGGCGAACTCACCGTCACCACAACAGGAGGCTCCTATCCCACGCTCGCAGGCAACATGGCAAGCGTTCTAACAGGACTGATCCTGACCACCGTCATCTCATACATCAATCCAGACGACTTTGACTGGGAAATCACGCGGGGCATCAATGCATCTTCTGAAGTCGGAACTCCCATCCCCGACTCCTCAAGCCAAGAGCAAAGCCCTTCTCGTCTTCCCCAGGACACGAAAAAGAAACCCTCTCCCCTCCGAAAAACAGAATCAAACCTCAATCACAACTCGACTCTCCCCACCGTTCTCGACGAAGAAAAAGAAGCCCTCGAAGACCGCGCGATAATGGAAAATCCAACTCGCCTCCGTGGAGCGTTCAAATTCGCCTGCGTCTCCGCGACAGTTCTAACTCTGCTTATGGACTTCGTTATCCCGATTCCAATGTTCTTGTCGCATTATGTATTCTCGAGGGGATTCTTTACGGGTTGGGTGGTGGTGAGTTTTATTTGGGTTTTCTTTGCGCTGGGGAGCTGTGCGATCTTGCCGGTGTGGGAGGCGGCTGGCTTTTTTAGGGATTTTTGGAGGGAGGTGAGGGTTGGGAAGAAGGTGAGAAGTGATAATTGATTCTTTGAAAACGAGAAAATAGAGGTTTAGATGCAGCTATAGTCTGGGTATAGAAGGCTCAAATAGCCAGATGTGTATCGAGACAAATTAGACAGTTTACTCAGGGGTACGTAGAATGGGCGCCGTGGAGAGGGGAAATGAACATCCTGAATGGACTTAAGGCCTCCAGGAAGCCGAGTACATTTTCCTCCTTCTCTCTCTGTTTCTATTCAATTGTATCCGTCTTGTTCTGTTCGTATTTGTGCCATCGACCATGTTTTCATTATTGTTATTATCCCTATTTGCAAGTGCATGCGAGGTTGCCTTTGCCTACAATCCTCAACTTGGCTTCAACTCTCATATTAAAGTCGAAACTCGATCCCTTGACGCAATATATTAAGCAGCTCTAAAAGAGGGAGGAACTATCACAGCCTACCATGGCGGCGCCGAAAGCAAACGGCAGGATTCGCTTAAGAGTGCCTTTGAAGCTCGCTTCCCCGGCATGACTATGAATGTTACCGTTGATCTCAGCAATACCATGACGGGTATGTCGACCGTCAGTTAGCGACTGGAAATGTCTATATTAATAGCGTCATGCTTCAGACGCTTCATGATTACCAGCGTTGGAAACAGGAGGATGCGTTGTATTGTAAGCCCCCTGGATTCCCCAGTCTGTGTCGACTGTGCTCTGATCCAGGAGAAATGCTGATAAGTCACAGAAATCTATGAAGAATTTCGAGGCTAGGACGGTGCTTACACGGGAATGGATGTGATCGGTTGGGATATCGTCTGGAACACCTTGTGTTTTAACGATGCAGTCGTGCCTAAAGGATATACTAATTTCTTGAAGCCGATGTTCAAGGGTAAACTAGTCTTAACTTATCCCAATGACAACGATGCAGTTCTGTTTCAATTCAACCTCATGTGAATATTTCAGAAGGGGTGGTACAACTAATACATGCTAACTCAAGGGATGAAGCCTGCAACAATACGGCTACCCCTAGTTCGAAGCCTTGCTTGCTCGGAACCCTCGCTGGTTCGAGGGGCCGGAACACCAGTCACAGAAATACTCAGCTCCAACGGCACCTACACCGCAACCTTCACCTCCTTCATCGGGTAACCAACATATTTCTTTGATCCATATTTTGAGCTCCCTATTTCACTGGTTAGGAGAATGAGACATGCTCCCGGCTCGCTCCTGGCACCCTTCTCCCCAAAGAAACATGTTGCTAATTCGTTGCAGCCTCACGCCCTTCAAACCCCTAGGAATATAGCACCCCGTCCAAGGCCAATTCGTCAGCCGGCCGCAAAGCAGTGCCATTTTCAAAAATTACCCTCATCCAGAAGCAGCTAAGCTTCTCTATAGCTAGATCCTGATCAAGGAGCACCAAACCGTCACGGGTACGTGGAGCATGAGGAAAGATGTTCCTGCTCCAGAAGGGTGTGAGAAGATTATGGAGTAGGTTAGGATGGATCCCACGAAGTTTAGAGAGTTCTTGGAGGATAGGGCGGCTGTTAAGAGGTTGAAGTTCTTTTTTGAAGATCGGATTGTGACAGCGCAGGGACTATCGCCCTTTATTGATGGTTTTGAAGATACATTGGTGAGAGAATGTGTTGAAAATATGCTCTTGCAGGCTTCGATATATACAGTAAGCACTAGTCGGAACTGTAAGCTGGAACTCACTGAATGCTCGCTTTAATCAAGAAGTCTGCGGTCTAGATATTTGTCAACACATTCAATAGCGTTCAAGTCGTTGGGCTGCATGAAATCTTTAACGCCCTTTGTAACTCCACTCCTTAGCAATGCAACGTTCCATTCCGAACATACCATTGAAAACATCAGCGGAGCAACAATCTGCCGAGTAGAGAGACCAAGCCCGATAGTCTACATAGAAAATTTTCCTTTGATATATAACCAGACCTACTTAGCTAGACAGCTGTTCAGAGCTATATTCCTCGCTCTTTCAAAAAGGTCACCATGGAGAGCCTCAAGATCACCACTGCCCAATTCGAAAACAAGTCTGGGGACAAAGAGTACAACCTCTTCGTCATCCGACGACTCTCCAAGAAGGCAGCAGAAGAAGGATCTAAAGTAATAGCATTCCATGAATGCTGCATCACAGGCTATACTTTCGCCCAGCGTCTCTCTCGTGAAGAATTACTTTCTGTGGCCGAAGCACTTCCCGAGGGACCCAGTGTTCAAGCCCTACAGTCCATCGCCAAAGAAAACAACATCACAATCCTCGCCGGTCTCTTCGAGAAAGATGCTGAAGGAAAGATATATAATACATATGTCTGTGTCTCCGGCGACGGACTCCTAGCCAGCTACAGGAAACTCCATCCCTTCATCAGTAAACACTTGTCTCCTGGAAATGAATACGTAATCTTCGACCTCCACGGCTGGAAATGCGGGATCTTGATATGCTACGACAACAACGTCGTCGAGAACGTGAGAGCTACAGCGCTCCTGGGAGCACAAATCATCTTCATGCCACACGTGACGATGTGCACGGTTTCAACTCGGCCAGGAGCAGGATTCGTGGATCCCGCATTATGGGAGAACAGAAATGAAGATCCGACATCCTTGAGATTGGAATTCGAGGGATTGAAAGGGAAGAAATGGTTGATGAAGTGGCTGCTAGCGAGGGCGTATGATAATGCTGTGTATGTGGTTTTTGCCAATCCGATTGGCATGGATAACGATCAGTTGAAGAATGGATGCTCGATGATCATCGATCCGTTTGGAGATGTGATTGCTGAGTGTACGAAGTTGGATGAGGAGATTGTGACGGCTGTTTGCTCGCCCATGAAGCTTGGGCACGCGGGTGGGAGTCGCTATCGTGATGCCAGGAGGCCGGAGCTGTATAGAGAGGTTGTTGGGATGGAGCACAGATCAGAGTTGAAGGTCAACTGGATGGAGAAGCCATAATTGATGGTGTTTGACTTGTGTATGCACTTGCTTTACGAAGTTATCCGTGATCCTTGTCCAGTCTTCAACATTTGTAACAGCTTAGAAATTGATCGGCGCGTCTTTGCATTGTTTCGACTTCATCAAAAGTACTTCTCTCGGTCCAGCGGGACAGTCGATTATTTACTCAGCGTCTTGGGCACAATGAGAAGACCTTAATCTAATCCTGACTGAGGACTTTTGATAAGAGACCATCTTACAAGTTTTAGTACTGGAATCGGAGGCGAACGCTTCTCCCAGAATGGCAATCTCAATTGAACCAGTCATCCCAAACATCTATTCTTATGCAATCAGACAATATACGATCTTTGTACCATGCAATAAAGTACAAAATAGAAAATTGAACAATCTCAATATACGCAAGCCCATGCTTTCCTGGTGTTTTTTTTTTCCAGAATTAGCCCAACCTTTAGCTTTTGCATCATTGAGCAGCTGAGCTGAACTCTTTTATTATACTTCAAGACAACAACCACCTTCCGAGAGTCGGCTAGGGCTGGCTGGCCTGCAGAACCCTCTGCATCTCCTCGATATCGGCAATCGTCTCGTTGAAAACACCGATCAACGAATTCGCAACCAAGTTGCGGTTATACTCCCCTCTCAACCTCCAAAGCGTCTCCATCAGCTCCCGATTGATCTGCTCCAGTTGCTCAATTGAGCAGCCACTTGATCCCTCCACAAGCCGTTTAAGCAAATCGTCCACAAAGTAGTCATCAACGATCAGCTCTTTCTGAGATGAGGCTTGAGAGGACGTGGGCTCAACCGGAGAGTCGTTCAATAGGTTGGCAAGGCCTGCAGGGCGAGACTTTGGTGCTGGCATGCGAGGCGGTGCGCTGAAGGACGGCACTGCCGGATTTTGAGATGGCTGACTCCCGGAGCTTGGTGTCTGCGAGGGATAACTTTGACGCAAGTTCCCTCGTGCCAAGCCATGGGCTTGTGAATGGGCCCACTCTTCGCTGCTCGTGTCCGTCTGCGTATTCCTTTGTGTATCTGGCAGTTCCAAGTCATGGGCAGGTCTATCTGTAGGGCTTGACGAGTTTTGATTGCTGACGCCGTTCGTGGCTTGGGTACTCCAGCCATCTGAAGTCTTCTTCCCCGAGGTAGTCGTCGAAGCATCATTGAGTAAATCCCTCGGAGATGTATCATGAGAAATTTCCTGGAAAGCTGATATCTGCGAAATTTGTGTGTTCGGCTTCGAAGGTCCACTCGCCATGCTAAGATGTTGAGGAGGCTGCATTCCTTGCGACTGAGACTCATCTGTTCCACCCATTTGAACATCATCACCACTTCGTGAAGGCACAGAGTTCCCATTATGAGAATGGGGATGTTCGTTGTCGGCGGAATAGCCATTTGACAAGCCACTGGAGGCACGAAGAGGTGCGAAAGGAGCCGTCAAAATCGGCTGCATTCTATCAGGAATTGGCTCGCCAAGAGTGAGGGGCCCTGAAGATGTCTGCTCGGTTGTCCCCTGGGTTGTGTGCTGGGTTGTCTGCTGGGAGTTGATGGAGTTCAAATCCAACCTTGGCCCTGAAGAATGCTGCTGGGAGTGGACTGAATTCAAATCACCTTCGGGTAGATCCGACCTCACGATCGAGTCAAACACTGCAACATCTGCGGCACGCTTCTTGGCTTTCTCCTCCTTCTCCTTAGCCCTCTGGAGCTGTCTACGATATACGTTTTCACAATCGGCATAGATTGGGTTGGCTTCAATGGCACCAAGGTCGACTTCGACATTAGCGAGAAGTTCGTTCGCTTTCAGTGTTCTCTCCTTGTCACCAATATGCTTAGAATCCTTTGCGAGTGATCGAATATCCGCAACGAAGTCTTTTGGGCGAGCGTAGAATCCGTTTGACAGACGTTCCTCGATGGTAGTAGTCTCCAGGTTATAGAAGAATTTGCCGCTGGCAGTCTCGCGAAGTCCTTGAATACCATCCTTGTCTTTACATAATTCAAAAGGACGGAATTGAGGGATGTCTGGACGAACAAAGTTGGGATCAAGCTCGTCAAACAAATACTGTATCTGACTCTGCGGGATGACTGGAGTTCGGAACTTCTTGTATTTCCGCTGAATCTGATCCATGATTGGCTGGATTGAAACCTTTAGCATGTTTAACAGCTGGTGGTCTCTCTTCTTCTGTGCTTTGATTTCTTCCTTCGTCGGGGGCTTAGGAGGCGGCGGAGGTGCAATCTCAAGGACGTCAAGCTTCCTCTTCTTACGATTCATCGGCTCGGGGAAGTCCTTTGGAGCTTTCTTCACATATTCTATGATCGTGGAAAAGAATTCTTGACGATGTTGCTATGAAATGTTAACAAACTTCCAGGTAGCTTAGAACGTTCAGACGTACTTTCGACGGGCGCTCAATCATGAAACGATTGTTCTTCGAAAATCCAAACAGATCCCGAAGCATCTCGGGGTTCACTTTATCAGTAGGTGAGTCCATGATGCCAAGCACCAGAACAGGATCTGTAGGAGGGATCGCGCGCAGTAGACCGAGGAAGGTAGTGATCACAGCTTCACTGAGAGTGTGATACCAAGTCTCGATACCTGGGATATAGATGACACTCGGTTTGTGGCGTTTCACCTCTGCGAACATTTGCACAATGGCAGTTTCCGCCGACTGCTGATGTTAGCGAGGCTTGAGAAGGAGAAGAGAGCTTACTCTTGCCGAATCACTGAAGATGGTAGGCAAATCAAAGCTTTGAACATGAAGGCCTTCGAAATGGTTTAATATCGCTCCACCGAGATATGATTGGCCCATGCCAGGCTCCCCGCCAATGAGCAATCTTGGGCGGAATACGCGGGACTTTTCGAATTCTTGCTGGAGGGTCTCGCGTCCAAATCCGTGATCGTCGTCTTCGTATTGTTCATACATTGCCTCTTGAAGAGCTGTTGTCTTCTTCTTGATGGGGATCAAGCCGTCCAGTACAGCTTCGATCTGCTTAAGTTGATCTCGTAACAAAGGTTCAACAGCCTTGGGAAGAGGGGCAGCGCCAGATGACGTTGATCGCTCAGATGAGGGAATCATTTTCTTGACAGAGAGCATGAAATCCTTGGCCGTAATCTTGATCTTGTCGGCATCGATTTTGAGCTTGTCATTTGACGAGTATATTTGCGGGTAAGTCCGTTGAATAGCATTCAAAGCCGCTTCCGTGCAGAGAGCACGAAGGTCAGCACCTCCATAACCTTTGGTGACGTGGGCGAGTGAGTTCTTGAAGGCATCATCAATACCCCAATCTTTGGTGTGGATATTGAGAATAGACTTGCGACCCTCCAGATCTGGAAGTGGGAAGTAGAACTCTCTGTCAAAGCGACCTGGTCGTCTCAAAGCGGGGTCGATGTTGTCGGGTCTGTTTGTGGCGCCAATAACAATGACTTGTCCTCTACCATCCATGCCATCCATCAGCGCCAGGAGAGTAGATACAATAGAAGCATGGATTTGCTCTTGTTTGCTGGAGCGAACAGGTGCAAGACCATCAATTTCATCGAAGAAGATGATGCTGGGCTGTGTTTTTCTTGCTTCCTCGAAAAGCAGTCTCAGCTGTCTCTCAGCTTCACCAACCCACTTGCTCAGAGCATCCGCACCCTTACGCATATAGAACGTGATCTTTCTTCCCCCGGACCCAACACTAGCAGCAAGAGCTCTCGCAAGGAGGGTTTTACCTGTCCCTGGAGGCCCGTGAAACAGGACACCACGGGGTGGAGTAACGTGGAATTTGAGGAAGAGCTCAGGATAAAGCAGAGGCATTTGAACCATCTCTTTGAGTTGATCAATGTGACCTTCCAAGCCACCAATCTTGCTGAAATCGATACTTTGATCAACACCAAGGGGGTCAGCATCAGCTAAGGATTTTTGGCTCTTGACCTTTCCAAGATTTGCTGGGGTTCCAGAAAGGGCTGCTACGGCGTCTGTATTGTGCGTTTGCCCAAGACCAGGTAAGAGCCCTGATGGGAAGCCGGAAGTCGGGGTCATGCCAACATTTCCACCAACACCTGACGGACGTTGCATTGTTTCATCATCGCTGCTGTCCGAATCAACTCCACCAGCAGCGCCTGTCCCCCATGGCCCACCAATGACTGCAGCAGGGCCTCCGCCTCCTCCAAATGGCCCATAGGCTGTGTACAGGTTTCGCTCCCAAGCTTGATTTGCTCCGCTACGACCTCCTCTGGCCCTTTTAGTGGGTGTCGGCGCGGCATCTTCTGCATCTTCATCCTGAGCATATATTTGGTCCATTGGCTTGATACTATAGTCAACCTTCTTGCGGTCCCGACCACGTCGTTGTTCGTAGACAATTGCCGAATTGTCTCTTTCTCGACGGCGTTTGCGGTTACCAGCTGCGAGCTCTTCCAATTCCTCCGCCATTTCGTCTTTGTCAAGCTCTTCGTCCGCTGAATCTGGGCTACCCCGCCTTCGAGAACTGCTTTTCGATTTAACTTGTTTTCCGCGTCGTCCTCTGCGAGCATGGCTTGACTCTGATTCATCATCTTTATTCCCTTTCTTAGGTTCTGCATCGGATGCGGAGATCTCTTCTTCAGAGCCTTCCTCGGGAGGTTCAAAGTCGCTGCTTGCCTCGGCACCGCTCTTTTGCTGTTTGGACTTTGATCCTCGAGTCAAACGTCTAGACCCGCTTGTTGTTGCTGCCTCTGCAATATCCTCTTCTTCTGGGGCGGGAAGGCCGGCTCTCGAACCTCGTGTGCGTCCGGTCCGTGCCACAGGTATGTCATCGTCATCGTCGTCATCATCTATCACCGCTGGTTGGACACCGCCCTCATCAGGATCTGCAAGCTCGTCCGCCATGTTAACGTCGTCTTCGGCAGCTGGGGGGTCTGATCCTTCAATTGCCTCGTCTTGGTCATCCGTTTCAGCAATCTCCGTCGCCATCGTAGTATCTTCGCCGTGTTGTTCGTTGGAGCTAGATTCGTGGATTTCCTCTTTGATTGTAGAAGCTGGCTGTTTCATTCCCTTTGATCCTCTGGTCGATCTTGCCCGCCCAATTGGTTCTGGACTATGGCCAGGGCGTATGATATGGTGCCCTGAGTTCGACAAAGCAACCGGCTCGTCCCCTTCCTCAGTATGCGCTCTCGTGGTTCTTCTGCCGGGAAGCCCAGCAGATGTCGGTTCTGTGCTTCCTCGCAGTCGCGCACTGGCTCCTCTGGTTGTCCGTGTCGTTTGTGGAGTATTGACCTTCAATTTCACGATTTTCGATCGCTTAGGCTTCACGTCAGAGTCGTCATCAGCTTCTTCGGGAGTCGCCCTCGATTGTTTGCCCTGGCGCCGCCTTTTAGGGGCAGGTTCGTCAAGGTCGCTTTCGTCGATATCTCCAACAACCTCAGCAATATCGCTCGCATCAGACTCCTCCTCGTAGTTGATCGCTTTCTTTGCCGCCTTCCGGATCGCTCTTCCAGTCTTTTCGTTCATTTCAACCTCCTCGTCCTCCTCTGGCTCGTCGGAAAATGAATCTTCTAACAAGCTGTCCTCAACATCATCCTCGACGTCTGAGCCCCTGTATCTCGCCCTTTTTGTCTTCCGCCCGCCTGAACTCCTTTTCGAAGACGACTTTCGAGATTTCTTGGCCGATGCTCTCGCTTCTGTGGGGTCGAAGTCTGTGTCGTTGGAATCCGACTTGTTGGGGTCGAAAGTATCGATCTTGCGCTTTGCTGGCATGGCGATATGGGAAGAACCGTCGAGCTTCAGACTCCTACGGTAGGAGAAATCTACAAGTCAGGCTGCGATGTTGCTGGACGGTCGGAATGCGGAGTTTCGTCAACCGTGAATCATTTCGGGCGAATGTTGTTGTGATTCCGTTCAGGTCCCCTCAGTGGTGCAAAGACTTCTGCATACAGTCGCGAGATGCGGAGAAGTATCGATGGAGAAGATGCAATACTACGCGTTACGCGCAGATTGATTGATGAAAGTAGATGCCGATGGGTAGCAAGGAGAAGCAACTCAGCTCGAAAGTGAATCGCGTAAACGGAGCGGACCAGAATCTGAGGCAGCGAAATTTACGCGGGCCGCTAAAGCGCGCCACACCAACAAAACGCAACCCCATCTTTCAGAATCCAAGATGGAAAGCGATCAGGAACGGAATTCCAAGCCATCAAATTAACTTCATCGAGACTCCTCGAGGGCAAAGACAAATCGCCGGAATGCCTAGGAGACGCCCGCGACTCGCCTTGCGAGCTTCGCGAGGACAAGAACTGGCAGAAATGAGGTCGATTGAGACTACGAAGACCGCCTTCTTAATCATGGCATTTTTTAATGTTTTTTTATAACAGATGAGGCTCAAAATAAGGTTGTGCTATTTAAAGGCCCCTGTTCCTGATCAATCTGGGGAAGGCACCATGAGCATCACGTGACTATCCACCTTCCAAACCCGATCTTTGCTCTACAAAGGCTCGAGGGTTGCATGAATGAAGCTTCGTTATCTCATTTTGGCTCCTTCTATGATTAAGTCACCTCGAAAGTTCGTGGGTGCATTTTCGCTTCGCAGCCTCCTGAGCTCTCAACGATTCTCATCTCCAGTCAAGACAATGATGTGGAGAAACCTTCACTACATCTTGGTTAGAAGCAGTCTTGTAGTTTCGTTTTAAACCTGCAGTACTATCGTGTCTTATATGCGTATTGTCTGATCATAGGTCGAGGGGGTTTTTTTTGGTTGGTGGTGGGGGGGGGAGCACGTGACCATTTCAATCACCAACCTCGGAATGAAATTGAGCGAGACCTCGAAAAAGCGGCACTCATTTTCAATGTCCCATGCCAAACTTGGACATTATGTGGATTTTAGAGGGGCAGGAACTGATGTTCTAGAATATCCGCGAATATCCGAAGGGAGTAGACTTTAAATGCACAATATCGTACTTGTATTTTTAGAGAGAAATTGTTTAGATGATCCAGCTTGACTTGGGACATTGAAAATGAGTGCCGCTTTTTCTGTCCACTAGGAGGAGACTGCCCCTCTTGGCCGGCCACCCACGTCCACTCCAGACAATCCACCACCAAGCCGTCCACCTTTCCCGTCCGTAGCGTCAATAGAAACCCATGCGGAGAAGACAAGTGCTTCCATTTCAGTCTCATATTCCGCTGTCAGTGTCAGTGTCGGTCCTCTCACAAGTGTTTGGATATCCAATCGTAGGGCCTGGGGCAGAACTGTGGTCTGGATGTAGAGAGGCTTTCTCCCCTCATCCCCACATACTCTGTTCCGTTGAAAACTTTAAAAATTAGTATAAAACCAGTTCCCCGCACTCTCTTTCTGGGGAGAGCAGTACCTTCTCATAACCCAGTTCAAGATGTGGACTTTCAGCGTTCCCCTTCTTCTTCTAGGTGGTTTCATATCTAGAGTTTCAACTATTGCCCCGGTGACAACAACATTCAGCAACTCTATCCATTACCAATTCGATACTGATGGAAATGCCATTGATCTTACATCTGCGAAGATCGACCACCTTGGAGGTACCTATGTTTGGTACGGACTTCCATTTGGCTGTGGGCAAGCTTTCTGTGGAATTACTTCCTACTCCTCATCAGACCTACAGACCTGGCACTTCAATGGCTTTCTCTTTGACCCCAATGACACAGTAATTCAAACTCTCTGCTCGGCACCGCTTTCGGGCAACTGTGGCCGCCCTCACATTGTTTACAGCAAGCAGAACAATAACTACGTTCTATGGGTGAACCAGGCTTCTCCGGGATATCTTCTCTTCACAAGCAACAACCCAACCAGCGGCTACACTATGCTGCAAGACAGAGCGTTGGTTGGCTTCCAACCTCCAGGCCCTTTCCAAGCTGGTGATTTCAGCGTTCAAATAATCAACGGGACAGGCTATCTAGCCTACTCCTTGATCGATTTCACAACCACTGGAGCCTCGATATGGCCTCCCTTCAACCAGTCCATCTACTTTCAAGAACTCACGCCTACAATGCTCAACACAACAGGCAGCGTATCACATGTCGTGAGCGCCGCCCTAGATCTCGTTGACTTTGAAGCCGAATCGCCAGATATCTTCCAACGCGGCGACTATTTCTACATTTCCGCCTCGAACACCTGCGGTTTCTGCACCGGCACCCTCCTCATCATCTACCGCTCCAAAAGCATAGCCGGACCATGGAAACGACAAATTATCAGCGCAGACACATGCGGCGGGCAAAGCACTGGAGTGCTGTCTCTCCCATCCCCATCCGGAGGCCCAACATCCTATCTCCACATCGCCGACCTTGTCAACAGCGCACCTCTATCAGGGACCCGTAACGCAGCTCACGGGCATCAACTCCAACTGCTCTCCTTCAACCACGACGGAACAATCAACGACCTAAACTGTTCACCCACACAAACCTTCACCGTCTCCCTCCGCCCCGGCTCCAACGTCTCCTCAACGGGCCTAGTAACAACCGCCACGGACACCTCAGGAGAACTCGCCTCCTGGACACCGACCTGCAACCTGCCAACCTCCCAACTCTACCAAACCTGGGCCTCCTCCAAAACCGGGACCTTGTCAGAAGTAGGCGTCAACGTCGCCGGCGACACTCCCACGGGAAACCTCACCATCACAATCTTCCGCTACCAGTCCAACCGCAATTTCTTCACGCCCCACTACATCTGGGAGACGCTAACAACAGTCAACATCCCACCGTCCAGCATCTCGCAAGCATTCGCGGTGATCCGGGTGCCGGTTGGGAAAGCGGTTACAGAAGGGGACCGGCTAGGGTTCGCGTTGGTGAGCTTGAGTGTTACGCCGATGTGTGTGTTGATTAAGACTAGTAAGGATGTGATGGTTAATATGGAGACTGGTACGAGGACGCTGTTTGCGAATGGGGCGGGGCAGGTGAGTCTTAGGGGGAGGGATGGGACGAAGCCACCTGTCAATGTGATGGCAGGGCAGGAAATCAAATGGTATGCCATCGTCGTGTAGTTATCTCATAGTAGCTACCTATCATATATAGGTATACAGCATATAATCCAGTGTTTAGATAATGAATATAATCGTTACATATATATCTACGCTATCTAATTTACTTTTACTTCTTCATCCAAACACCCTTCTCAACACACCTCTCCACAAATTCTTGAAATCGTATGGGTTCGCGGCCTGTTACATCTAGAATAACACTATTCAACCTCTCCTCCCCCCCATTCTTAATCGCTGTATCAAGTTGTGCAAGAAGTCTGGCATAATCGCCTGGAATCCCGAAATTCGTCATTGCGTCAGCTAATTCATCTTCCATAAGCTTCACGTGCGTGATTTCCCTCCCCAGTTTCTTTGTGAGGATCTCTGCTACCTGGGGTGTTGTCAGCGTGTGTATGGTAGGGGAGATGGGAGCGAGCTTTACATCGTCATAAGAAAACAGCTCGGGTCCAAGGATAAGGTGATCAGTGTTGTGCAGCACCTCATCCGTCAGTGCTCGAAACGCGACAGCTGCAATATCGTCCGCTGAAACGAATGAGACTTTGCCCTCACCCGTCGCCGTGAGAATTCGATCTTCGCTTCTGATCGAGTGCCCGTGTTCCATTTCGGAGAAATTCTCTGCCATATCGTTAGCATCAAAGAAGGCTATTTTTGAATGGGAGCAACCATACCCATAAACCAACTCGGTCTCAAGACCGCCCACTCAACTCCAAGTAAAGAGATATACTTTGACACTTGTGCCATCATGGGCCCATCACCCACTTCCAATAGGCTACCGCTCAATAGCACCAATCTCTTCACTCCTTTCTGAACAGCTAGATCGATGAATCCTTTCATTGGAGGAAGGCAGTCCATTATAGGGGGGGCGATTAAGAAGATAGTATTGACCTGAGAGTGTGAGAAAGGGTTGGTGTAGGTTGCTGGGTCAAACCAGTCGAATTTAACTCCTGTGGTGTTGGGCAGAGATGGGTATTTGCCGCTTCGTGAGGCGACCAGGACCGTATCGCCGTTTGAAGCAAGTAAGGGAGTGATTCGACTGGATATCTTGCCCGTCCCTCCTGTCAGGAGTATGCTGCCTTTGGAGGACATAATACTCGGTATTGCAAAAAAACCGGAAGCCGAGTCGATTGTCTCTTGTTGAGAGTCGTCAAGAAAGGCTTCTCTCCAAGTTCCACGAATCCTAGGGATCGGTTCTCCTTTATAGACAATTTTACATGAGTTCGGAGGCTCGGTCAATTCGGAACTTCGATTTCGCTCGCTGTCGAATCTCATGATCTTGCCAAATCCTTAGCGTGCTGCAGGCACGCGGACATAGGCGTGAATTCCCGAGGCGGGTTTGATCGTGCATGATATGCAATGCTACCACGGCTTGACGAGTTACTGCTTCTGGATATCCATATGAGCAATTCCCCTCTGTTGGACCTTTCAAGCAAGAATAAAGCTATTGCGAATCATTGTCAGTAAACTTTCAGCATCATTCGGTCCAAGGAACTTACATTTGAATTTCCATCTGAACCTGCACCTCTCTCCAGTCGTACTTAGCACCATATTGATGCTGTCTCCTCCAGAGCACCTCGAGTAATTCTAATGCGAGATCTGCGTGCTAGAAACATGTCAGTTGATATAATGATGGGGTAAAAATATACATACGTAAATGCTGGAGGTGGGATCCCCTTTCATGCTCCGTCGAATCAAGTCCTCAGCCACAACATCGTTGAAAATAGCCACACCGGCCATAAACAGACCCCAGTAGATGCCCATCTCTAACCCGTAGCCTTCCGGAATCTCTCTCGCGATCTCTAAGATATCTTGTATAGCTTCCATGACCTCTATCTTCTGTGGTCCACGGCCTAGGGGGTCGAGAATATGATTGAGATAGATAATGCATCCTTGCATACAACATTTAGTGCTCGAGAATCCTTCTTCTTCAAGAGTTTCTGGTACGGTGAGTTTCCGGGGACGAGTCTGTCTTCTCCAGTCATTGCTTTGATCGCGTAACTCCGGCGGGCAGCTCTGCCACCATGCCAGCAGCTCGTCACGAATGTCGTACGCTTTCTGGACAATGATATCCGGGTAGTGATTACCGAGTTCGCCCATCGACTCGGATGAGAGACGCGCGAGTTTGGCCATGAAGATCATCAATTGGTGGAAGTGGCTCACCATCACGTTGCCAGAATCGTAGTACGGCCACCGCGTACGCTTGGAGTTCTCGGGGCTGTCTTCGTTTTCGCCATCATCGAGCCAGTAATTACCTTCAAGGAGCGGCCCAGCTCCAGAAGAGAGAGAGCCCGATACGTCGAGGAAGGAGAAGAACCGTGTCAGGTAGTGGCTAGTTCTGGGACCACCTCTGAAAAGTATCAAATCTCGGGCTCCTGTGAGATGATCGAGCCAAAGAGGGTTCTGAGAATGCGATATCTGCGAGGAATGAGTTTGATAGATCTTCACCGACAAGCTTGCCTTACTCACTTCGTATACACACAACAGCAGACAAGCACCTAGAGTCGAATCTGCCCGGGCGACAACCGGGTCTGAGAGAGATTCTTTCAATTCGTGCAGCGCGAGGGAGTAATGTTTGGTAGCAGCCACATCGTGCTGAGGCTGACTTCTTGATAAGTGTCCCGCCGCCAGCGCCGCCATAGAATGCAGCAGCGCTGGAGACGACGTGGCGAGTGGAACCAACTCCTCCTGAAACGGGTTACCCTCATTGTCGTTGGAATAGGCAAGAAATCGACAGCAGAAAGTGACAAAGTGATGGATATACGGCACGGTGGACCGGTCTACGTTGGGGAATTCAATGACGAAATTCTGGCCGGACCAGCCGTTCATCTGGATGCTCTGCGATCTCGCTCCGCCGGTCAAGATAGCCGCGATCCCATCCTGCACCTGCCTGTGAGGAATGACTTGCAACTGATCACTCCAAGTGCATTCTCGCTGCAGCCGCAGGCAGCGGCCACACTCCGGTTTCATCTCATCGCATTTAACTTTTCTCTTGCGGCACGTCAAGCAGCCTGGGGGCCGTTAGTCAAATGCTCCACACTTTTTCATGAAGCTCAACACAACTCACCCGTCCGCGTCCGCGGGACTGGAGCCTTGATCCCCATTCCAGGAGCCATGCTCGCGGTCAAGTGGTGGTCGAGGTGAGGGCATACAGTAAGTTGCTCAGAGTGGAGGTCGCATGCTTTGGGTGCTTGCTGGTGGATGAAGCTGGGGCGCGTAGTTGGGGGGTTTTTGAAGGGGACTGGGAGGGACTGGGAGTGAGTGGAAGGGATTGGGAGGGACTGAGAGGGACTGGTAGGTGGTGCGGTGACTGAGGTCCATGTTGTCGATCCCGTCATTTCTCAGCCAAGCAGCCAAGCAAGCCCCGGGATCTGAACCTGAGCACTGGGTGGTGGGGGGGGGGCCGGAGTAGAGCAGGGGTGGTGAGGCACCCAATAACGGGCTGCCCTGGACCGCAGGGAAGTCCCTGACAGGTGAAGCACGTGGCGGGGAGCCAGTGTGTGTGGAGAGACGAGGAGGGCAAGGGGCAGAACGGCCCGGGATGTGGAGGGAGGACGGGAGATGCCCAGATGGCATGACGGGAGTTGGGGCCGGCACCCAGCAGGGACCGGGGGCGTGAGGGCGTGACATTATTCTGTCCGGCGTAGAGGCGTAGAGGCGTAGAAGCTTCTGCCAGTCCGCTCTCCAGCCCATATGTACTTCGGACGTACAGTTCTGCAGTCTGCGCTGCACTGCACTGCACCGCACCGCACTGTACGAGCATGGCTCACCGTCGACAACCACCGTCGACCATCAACCATCAACACTGCTCCCTCACCCTCACAGAGGTTGCGTGTATGTCGGAGGGCTTACCCACCTGATATTGTGCATTGCATATAAGGAAGCTCATTTTTAGCATACTGTGTACTGTGTACCACTCCGTATGTAAAGGCTCGTGTATGCTCATGCTCCCTCGCCCTCACAGAGGTTGCGTGTATGTTGGAGGGCTCACCCGCCTGACACTGTGCATTGCACATAAAGAAGCTCATTTTTAGCATACCGTGTACTACTCCGTATGTACAGTGTGCTCGTGTATGCTCGTGCTCGCTCGCACTCTCGCCCTCCCGTCCGGCCGGCCAGTTTGATGCTGACGAGAATCGCCGTCCCCGTCGTAAAGTCCCGCGTCTCCGTCTCCGTCTCCTGATCGATTCACAAATTTACATACAGACACACGGCGTTAAGCCTCATCCCTGGGGGGGCGCGTTGGAGCAGGCTTTGCGAGTCTTGCAAGTTGCAACTGCATTTGCTGGGACGTCTCTTTGCTCGGCTGGTGCGACGCGTGAGCAGCGGGGACGGCGCCCATCCTGGGGTTCAGTGCTGTCGTCCGCGCCAATCAGATCGAGATGGATACGGGGCCTATCAGCGGTCGCAGAAGGGCTTTGACGGCGTTGACGCCTTCGACGCCTTCGACGCCTCCGAGCGGCACGGATTATTCTGGAACTTCTTCGCGCCATCTGAGTGGCCGCCTCGGGTTGCACGGCGCGTTTTGCGATGGCTTTGTCAGTCTTCACAAAGCGGCCCAGCACGCATCTGCTGGGAGGGCAGGTGGGGCGGTCGGGGAGAGAGCCGGGGTGGGCCCCTGTTCCGAGTATTGAGTATTGGAATGGAGGAGCAATCCGAGCAACTACTGCCTGTCTCTCCTGAACCACCTGCACTGGAGAGTCAGAATACGAGTGCCGAGCCCCACGTGGAAATCCCCGCGACTCCGCGAGAGAGGCCTGCTCCAACAAACCATAAACCCCAAACCCCAAACCTCCCCCCCTCCCTCTCTCTCCCCTCTTCCCCCCACCCACCCCCTCCGAAAGAAGTGCATCACTGCAGAATAGCGGTGCGCGCACGGGGGCGTCATCCTTCCAAATCATCATGCTTGTGAGATTGTAAGATTGTGAGATTGTGCTGTGTATTGCCCTGCCCCCCTCCCCGATCGACACACTCTCCGATGGATTAATTACATTGTTGCCGCAGGAAAGAAATAACCATCTGGATGTAGTTAATCAAGAGAGGTGATCATTCTCTCCCTCCGCTGCCTTGGCCCCAGAGACCTTCCTAAGATCAGCAGCTTCTCTGGCCAAATATTCAGCACACTCCTTCCTGCTCTTGACTTCGCTGATGAAGAAGATCCCGACCCACGGGACAAATATCAGAGCGGCTACGAAGGGAAAAGCTGTCCATTGGTTGCCGGTGCGGTCAACGATTGCAGAACAGACGATGGGGCCGATCCACGCTATAAAGGTGGGAAGTCAGTGATGATCTGATTGGGGAGGGGGTGAGATGGTGGGGTGGGCGTCGAGACAGCAGCCCGAGCTTCCCCGCTGACTTACCAGAGCCTTTTGACACAATACCCAATAGGCTAAAGAACATGTATTCTCGCCCGCGAGGCACTAGTTCTGCCATGAAGGCTTGACCGTACGAGAACTGGGCACCCATGCTAAAGCCGAATTGCGCATTGAAGAACCAGAACTCCCACAGATTGTGATAGCCAACCTTCGTGGTCCATATCCCAATCATGCCCCACAGTGCCACCAACAGGCACCCAAAGTTCGTGGCTTGCAGCATTGTTTTGGTCCGGATATGGAAAAGCCGCTGAATATAATAGGCGCTGCACGAATCAGTCGGTCAATGTTTAAGAAATTGGGGGCTAGAAATTCTACCCGAAAACGCCCACTGCTGCCGATGCGCCTTCAACCATGATAAGATATGTATTCTCGGTGGCTGAGAACTGCACGACTTGTGTCTGACTTATCGCAACAAGAGTGATCGTGGTGCCCTAGAAAGTAGGGCAGTCAGCATTCTCCTCTTCAGAGCTGTCGTGGGCGGGAAGTTGGGCGGAAGTCGCTTTGATAGGGCCTGGTGGGATTATATGAGGAGAGGGGGTAGAGAATTGACGAGACTCGTTCATGCTTACAATACCGTCCGCAAGGAGAAAGAACGCCACAAGGTAGAATAAGGTCTGCTTCAATGTCCACGCCTTCTTCATAGTCCACCAAGTGTGGCGGAACCCGAAAGTAAGGTAATTGTCCCCTGCAGGGAGGGTCGGTCCGGGGCGTCTTTTCTCCCACAGAAACCAAGGAATGGCAAGGACTATCCAGAACCCCGTGCACACTGCTACGGAGACGGAGTATCCCCAATTGTTCAATGATGTTGAATTATTGGCCCCGATTCCAGCAAGTGCAGCCAGACTTAATGCCCCACAAATTGTAAACCCCACATTGTTCCAGAAATAACTTACGTTCATAATCTTGGAACGAGCCATTGAGCACCTACGTTCAAACTCCTCTTCCTTTATGCTACCATTGAGAAACTCTTCCCTCGCCTGACGAGCCTCTGGCAAGTCATGTGCTAGTTTAGGGAATATGGCATTGAAGAATACATACGATGCCCAAAACGTGACGCCTTGAAAGCCGTCAGCGCGAGGTCCACCGAGGAAGAAAGCGGTGTCACTCACTGCTTAAGATATAAAGTGCCATGGCAGCCCTCCATTTGTTGGCTGTGGTGACCCCTAGAAAGCCAAATTCAAATGCCCAACAAAGCACAGAGAAGCCCCTGACGACCCATGGGTTCCAGTTGCCATAGTCCGCCAAACTACCAATGCCAATGAAGAGAAGCGCTTGAGTAAGAAATGTTAAGCCAGTGGCGATCAGGATGACCGAAGTGTATGCCTTTGTCTTATTGCCACCTCCCCAGAACACATGACAAGGTGCCGTAGGGTCAACGCCGCAAGCGGAGCTACCTAACGGTAGTACATTTGGGTTGAACCCCGCTTGGTAGATGAGGTTCTGGAACAGAAGACTGGAGCTGGACAGAAATGAGTGGGAGAAAATATGTGAGACTTAACAACATACTACTGAAAAGATCCGATACCATTGTTGCCTGCGTACTTCTCAGTAGATTAGCACCCGATATTCCAGAGATTTTGAAAGAGCTTCGGATGCTTCCCCCGCGGCTAAAACACAAGATCACGAAATTCATAGGCCTTCTGAGGTAGCAATTCGGCACTCGGCACCCATGGGACGGACTATTTGCAAACGGAATGAGAATGACCCTTACGTATGCGTAATAGGAGATAACCTCCTTCCTCGTCGCAGGTGAGCCTTTGGCGACATACTGGTCGAGATCCCGTACTTCATCAGATCTCGTTTCGCCGCCGAAGGGAGAGTTGTCCGGAGTCGCCACCGCGCTGAAAGCCAGCTTCGAGATGTGATCCTGCTCCCCTCCAGCCTCGAAGTCCTTATCGGTGGCCATGGTAGAGTCGGGGGTTCAGGCGAAACTCGTGGTGTCGTACTTGACCTTTCGCTCAATTGCGCGGTGGAAAGCGGGCAGAACGCGTGCAAGAAGCAATTCTTGAGGGAAGGGACGCTCCTCAAGTACTTCGAGGAGTGCCTTTCACTGCCAAACTGAAGTCGCTAAGTGGGATGTAGTACAAGGTCGACAGAAGGGTTGGGAGGTGCAGATCGTCGTCGAGTAGGATGTTCGGTTCAACCAACACTTCCTGCAAGCCACTCCCAAGAGAGACATCGCACAGAGAAGGTTACATCAGCCCCGCTTCCATCCATGATCTTCCGCAAAGCCGGCTTCAAGTTGATCCAGGCAAGCCATACCGCGATCAGATTGGTGGGCTCCCAGTGGCTAGCACGCGGAACTTCCCGTGACAGTCGTGGCTGGGCGGGAGCGGTTGCCTGAAGAGGAAGACCGAACGGACGCTTAGATTAAGCGAGGGACTTCCCCTATTGGCCAATGGCCAATCTAGATATCCATACCTCGGGATGGATGGGGCGAGCCACGCTCTGGGCAACTCTGGCGTCGCCTTATGCGTCTTTCTTGTGCAACCATCGTTTTAGCACCACTTAAGGCTCTTCTATTCCATATGGCGCCCAGGGCTGCAAAAGCAGCGGATGTGGAAGCCGCCTCAGGGACCGGTCACACAGAGATGACGTTCTTACTGTACAGAGGGTAAACACATTTGGCTTGTCCCTTGTAAACGCGATCATATGTCGGTGTGCTGTTGCCATAGAGGCCTTAGCACATTAAAGTTTAATAGGCAGGGTATGCACGTGCTTTCACTATGCAACACCCGTCTCCGACATACAGCGCACATACAGCACTTCTACAGGAGTTCAATCCGATGTGTTCACCCCCTTTACTGTACTCCTCAGCCGAGGTGGCAGGTCCACTCGCGCTCCATTCTCGCCTCCCTCAGCAATCGCATCCCAACTTGCCGACACGACTGCCCTTCAACAAAGGAAGCCCCTCGGCATGGCCAAATCCTGTGATCAAGGAAGGCCCAAATGACTCGCCCCGGACGCTTCAGCCCTCGCCAAGGGCAATCCATGACTCGCATTGGACGTCGGGCAAGTGCGGCCCGCGAACTGACCAGTCGTTTTTGGCAGATGTCCGCTGGCAGACGACTCCCTCACCTCGCTCGCTCAGCGGTCTGATAGCGACACAATCAGATCTAAAAAGAGCTACAACCTTAAAACCCCCCATTGCTCCGTAAGAACCCACTTTTTGGCCGTCAGCCCCACCGCCGAGTGGCCCAGAGTGGGTGATCTAGGCGATGGAAAAAACTCTTAGTGACGGATGCTGGTATCATCACTTGCCTACTTGCCATTGCCGTGGTTTGGTACCCCAGTACATTGGCTTCGCGGGCACGGAGGACGGGGACGAAGTATACCTCATGATCCACCCCATGATCTATCTGTCTGACAATGCTCTACAAAGCCTCTCTTACGGCTGCTTACCCTCCCTTCTTTTTTCTCTTTCGCCTTGTTCCCTTCCTGTTTCTCAAAGTCTCTTCAGCCCAACTGTAAACACTCGGATTCACCGACCAAGTCGAGATGCCTTCAAAGCTTGCCTCATACGTGATAGGAATCGATGTTGGAGGGACTAACACTGACAGGTGAGAACACCGCCTCCTGTTTGCTTTGTGGCTTGCTGACACACCCGTAGCGTTATTCTTCAGAACGAAAGTGTTCTGGCCTGGCACAAGACTGCCACAACATCAGACATCCAACAAGGTGTCGAGACAGCAATTGCAGCCGTCGTGAAAAAAGCGGCCACACCGCAATGCCATGTAGACTGCGTGAAGATTGGCACAACGGTTTGGCTACCCGATTTCTTTCATCTATTCGTTGTTAGGTGATGCTATGGCTTGCGTTGAGGTTGAGCCTGTTTATTGGCTTAGCCGTGATAGGGAGGGATCACCGTCAAAAGCAAACACAAACCCCGCACCATGGCCCTGTCCCAACGCTTCATCAATTTAAAGTGCTTCTTTTTGCTGCATGGAAGGTCTTCTGATGTTCTATAGCAATTTGTCAATGCCGTGTTGGAACAGGATGCGAGCAAGCTAGACAAGGTTGCAGTCGTTCGTCTCTGTGGCCCCTATTCCAGGGGTTCACCCCCCTTTCTGGACTTTCCTCCAAGGTTACGGGCTTTGATGGAGGGCCACTTTGGTTACGTTGATGGTGGATATCAAGGTGAGGCGCTTTCTCGACCCAAGTCCACACTCAGATGAAACTACCGTCCACCACCCTGTTCGGCATTGCCGTTCATCTTGAGTCGACGCTGACAATTCTCAGTTGACGGCACACCGATTTCACCCTTGGACCCAGATCAGCTGAGAGAGCAAGCATCCATCATCAAAACAAAAGGAATCACAAGTGTCGTAGTGGTTGGGATCTACTCACCGTCAAATCCATCCCAGGAGGATGAGGCACGAAGCATACTTGCAGCCGAGCTTGGACCTGGCTACGATATATCCTGCTCCTCCGCGATTGGTCGACTAGGGTTTCTAGAACGTGAGAATGCCGGAATACTGAATGCCAGTTTGAGGCGGTTTGCTCGTCATGTCATCGCTGGGTTCTCATATGCTGTTGGGAAGCTTGGCAAATGCAAGCTGTACATCACGCTGAATGATGGCACATTGAGTAAGGCCTCGACGGCTGCTGAATATCCCGTGAGATGTTTCTCATCGGGCCCTACGAATAGCGCAAGAGGTGCCGCCTCATTGGCTAGAGTAGAATCTGCTTATGACTCTGATGATAGCGAAGTCCTTGTGGTTGACGTTGGGGGGTACGTACCTATATGTACCGCGAGGCGGTGAAGCTGACATAATTTTGAAGCACGACAACAGACATATGTGCATTACTGAAAACCGGGTACCCTAGGCAATCCTCTGCTTTTGTCAAGATCGCAGGTGTAAGGACCAATTTCACCATCCCAGATGTACACAGCATTGCTTTAGGTGGGGGATCAATATGCCGAGTGGATCGCGATCGGACCGCTGTCGGTCCCGACTCGGTAGGATCACGGCTTGGACTGGACAGCATATCGTTCGGAGGGAACACCTTGACCGCAAGTCTCCTTTCTCTTTCCAACATCCAATACGAGTCACGTCAGGATTTCTCGACCAGGGATCTTCGTGCTTGGTAGCAATTAAAGCTCCCGGACAGGGTCCAGTCCTTGCGAAGACCTTGCATTACCTTATCTCTGCGGCCAATCTACCTCAAAGTATCCATCCTACCAAAATAGTACTAACTCCATTCAAAAATTAGGCCACGGACTTGGTGTTTTCAAACAAATTTACTGACAACCTTGTCCCGCCATCGACCAAGTCGGCCGGGCTTCGCGAGATTTCACGGGCTCTCGAGGAAGCAATAGATCTTGTCAAAACGAAACAAGGAGACGCAAAGGTCATTCTTGTTGGAGGCGGAAGCATTATCATTGGTGATCGTATTGCTGGGGTCGGAGAGATCATCAGGCCGAAGTATTTGGAAGTAGCCAATGCCGTCGGCGCAGCCGTATGTCACCTAAAACGTCGTTACGAACCTGCTGACATTTGCAGATCGGGAAAATTAGCGGCACGGTCGACAAGACTGTCGTTCCAAGAGGAACAACCATTGACCAAGAACTCGAGGATGCCAAAGCCCTTGCCATTGAGCGATGTATCGCCGCCGGAGGTAACAAGAGAACTATTGAACTCGTGGAAGTAGAGACGGTGCCGGTGTCGTATGTCACTAATGGGGCCACACGGCTCTTCGTTAGAGTTGTTGGAGACCTAGTCGAGGGGTATGAAGAACATCAAGACTCATCACAGCCTCACCTAAACGGCGATGCATACCGGAAACCAACGGATTTCTCATCGCTACGAAATGGAATCCTTAATGACCATTCCTTGATGTCTAAGGGCTCGTCCTATGATATTGTTGAACACGTCGATTTGAGATCCTACCGACCTAGGATTGAAGGCGATCTCTGGTATTTGTCAGAGTTGGATCTTCAATTTCTGCAGGACGGTACCGGGGTTCTGGGCGTTGGGAGTTGCGGAGAGCCCTATCCAGTTTATTTGGCGTGTCTGCTGGCACTCCGAAATGGTGGAGAGATTATAATTAGGAGGCAAGATACGTTACCGGACAATGCTGTTGTTCTTGTTGGTGGCTTCATGGTAAAGATAACTCCCTCCTCGCAGACCACAGTCCCATGCTAACACATATGAAGGGATCCCCAAGTGTGTACTTGGAGCGAATACCTGGTTTGAATGAGTATGCTACCTTTCGCTATCAGCATGTTATTGATACTGATCATTTCAGGGTCACGGATGCGATGCAAGCTGCTATGAAAGCAAGCGGAATCTCGACTTTTGATGCAGTAATACCTAATGAAATAGGAGGGATGAATGCTTTCGAAGCATTGCTGGCAGCTCACCGCTTTAACAAAGCTACACTGGACAGCGATCTTGTTGCACGAGCATATCCTAAAGTCTGGCAGACAGTCAGATGTCTGCACGGCATCCCAATAACACCAGCTGCCGTAGCAGATGGGAATGGTCAGCAGGAGGTAACACATCTCTCTTCTTCACCATTTATAATCATATTTTGCTAACAAAGTTCAGATATTTCAAACATCTCAAGACAATTTTGAAGCCGAAGACCTCATGCGAGGCGCCTGCACAGAGTTCGGTTCCCTCTCAGGGATGTGCATTAACCCCATCCACGGCATCGAAGCCAAGACCTTGCCCCGCAACAGCTTCTCTCACGGTCCGCTCCCTCCCCCTTTTCGAATCAAAAAACTAATAATCTCCCAGCATGGACAATAGGACGTTCCATTGCCCTCTCCCGCTCTCAAAAACTCGACCCCATCTCCGCCCTCCTAAAATCCGAGCGAGGCATCCTCCTCTTCACCGGTAAAATAATCTCCGTAACGCGAAACATCGGCTCAGGCTTCACTCGCGGGAGCGTACTTCTCTCTCCCCTCACCGACACTTCTTCTCCCCCTTCTAAAACTCGACCCCATACCCCAACGTCTTCTCTCCTCGTCGACTTCGAAAACGAAAACCTCTCCGCCACCCTCCGCACCCCAGGTCAAGCAGACAAGACATTAGCAGTCTGTCCAGACCTTATCACCTTCCTCGATAAAGCGAACGGTGCCCCGCTCGGGATTTCGGATTACAAATACGGGCTAAGAGTGAGCGTGATTGCTTTAAGGGCGCCACCGATTTGGACGAGCGAGAGGGGGTTGGAGATGGGTGGGCCGAAGGCGTTTGGATTGGATGTCGCTTATAAAGGAGTGGGTAGTGGGGAGTACGAGGCGCCGAAGAGTGTGTGGGAGATGTTTGGGGAGGGGAAGTGAGGGCTAGGTAGATATGATGATGATTAGATGATAGAAACTGATAGCTGGGAGGGAGTTGATAGATGAGCTATACTAGCGGAGTTTTACGAATGCGATGGTTTCTTCAAGAAAACGCTTTTACTTTGTTAACCTCTCATTTCTATCACTCCATGAAACTTAAATGACGAGATACTCCCAGTTCAAGGCGTGTCTACAGGCGAGACTTGAAATAAGGGAGGTATCATATTACGATATGGTGAATCTCCGTTTTATTCATATGGTCTCATATGACAACAGTGATCATGTGTACTCTTAGACAAAAATTGACTTTCCTCCCAATATCCAGATCCTCCATTGCCAAGGGGATATCTGGCCAGATGTCTCAGTTTGAAAGGTCCGTTTGTCCATCTTTCTCGTGCATAAAATAGATGTATGGGATCAAAGTTTGGTATTAATGATACGGGGTTTGTTAAAAAGACAGCACATGCATCGATTGCCGTGAGCTCTGAAGCAGAAAAGCCTTTCGCCGTCATTGGTACGTAACGCTATTTATGACGATTTCTGCTACCGTACCGCATAAACGAGATTTTTGATGCTCATGCATCAACTCAAAAAGCTCTTTTCCCCTCAACAGTGAGAAAGGGCCCGTAGTCAAAGAGGATTAGCTCACTTTTTGGAGCAAAATTCCATGGATCGAACCATATTTGGGTCCAATTGGATGACCATATTTTTCAGCAAGGGCTCTCTTCGGCCATTTTGAAGGAGGGTCCGCGAAAGTCATTAATTTTTGGCAGGTCGAATACTCAATTTGCTAAAAGTAGCGATGAGCCAATGTACAGTTTAAAGGCTGCGGTGACGAAGGAAAGCAAATAATCTTTTGTTGTGGTCTGAGCTATCCTTATCGGAAGGAATGTGGGGGTCGTTCATTCCAAACTTTGAATTAGGGCATGTCTTGGAAGCAACATCTGGACCCCAGTACCTCAGTACAATAAGAGGACGGTGAAGTAAAGGTTGATTTGAACTTGGCACTTGCCCTCATTCATCTCGAGCTTTCCTGTCTAGTATCATGTACTCCACGACAATCGAGGGCTTTTTCACACTAGCGACAGAACTCAATTGCTTTTGCAACCACGTCAGAATTCCCGAAACTTTCACATATATCGAGAACATATATATCGATGGCGTAATAACAGTTGTTGAGCAAACGAAGAATTGATAATCGAGTTCTGAGAATTTTTTTCAAGTTCACAGTTTTGTCTTCGCGACCTCTTTCTTGAGCTCTTCAGCCCTCATCCTGTCCCTCACAATCCTCCTGAGGATCTTCCCCGAAGCTGATTTTGGAATCATGTCGGTAAATCGAATGCCTCCTCTTAACTGTTTATGATTGGCAACCTTTCCATTGAACCACTCCTGGATTTCCTTCTCGAGAACCGAATCTTCGACATCTTTTGCAGATGCCGCCTTCACAACATACGCCCGAGGTATTTCTGTGGCTCGATCGGCATTATAGACGCCCACGACACACGCATCAGCCAGTTTCCCGTGACCGCAGAGTACACCTTCAAGTTCGGCAGGTGCAACTTGGAGTGCCTTATACTTGATGAGCTCTTTTAGTCGATCGGTGACGTAAAAGTCGCCTTCCTTGTTCTGATATCCAATATCTCCTGTTTTCAGGAAGCCATCTAGGGTCATCATATTGTCTGTGGCGGTAGAATTGTTGAGATAGCCGGCACATACGTGGGGGCCTTTGACCCAGATCTCTCCGTTCTCTCCAATGGGTGTAGGAGCTCCAGATTCTGACATGATTTTGGCCGACATGTTAGGCAATAGGTTGCCAATAGATCCGATTTTGCGTCTCCAGTCATTCGATCCCTGCATGAGATTAGATGAGGGACTCTGAAGTTAATGGCCGGTAACCCACTTGAAGAAAGGTAAGGACAGTCAATTCTGTCATCCCATATCCTTGCTTGACCGGAATCTTCAGCCGTTTCCAAAGGGCATCAACCAGTTCGCGTGCAACCGGAGCAGCCCCTGTAGTAAACCAAGTCATTGAGTGCCTGAGAGCGATTCACAAACAGTGATTGACTTACCCGCAAGACCACTCTTCACAGAACTCAAATCGTACTTGTCGACGACTGGCGACTTGCTGAGAGCAAGAACAATGGGAGGCACCATATGAAGGAAAGTGACTCGGTGTTCTTGGATCGTCCGGCAATAAGCTTCAAGATCAAAACTGGGCATTACAATAGCCTTGTATCCGATCTTCAACGCATGGGTCATCACAAGAATCAACCCAAAAGCGTGAAAGAAAGGGAGCACGCATATAATACAGTCTCCTCGGCCGTCTGGTCCCACCTTACCACTCAGATCTTCTTGAATTGACTGATACGATAGCAGATTGAAGACTACATTTCGATGTGTAGTTTGAACACCTTTGGGCAATCCGGTCGTTCCACTCGAATAAAGGATATAGGCAGTATCTCCGGGGGAATTGACAACACGACCTGTCGGGTCCGTGTACCTCGCATCGGAGAGAAAATCGACGAAATGCAGAACGTCTGAATGTGTCCCATTGCCAATCAGCAGAATGCGGTCACGGGGTATCCCCACAATCTTCGCAGCTTCAAGAGCTTTGCCTAGACAAGATGATTGTGTCACCAAAGCCTTAGCTCCAGAGTGTTTCAGTTGAAATGCGAGTTCCGTCACGGAGTAAGTTGGATTTGCTGGAGAAGGAATCCCACCAGCTCAAAGAGTCCCAAAGTGGAGGGCTGGAGTATCCACGCAGTTGGGCGAGTACCAGCCCAGAACGTCGCCTTTTTGCCAGTCCCACAGGGAGCGGAGAGCATGACCAAAGGCGGCTCCAGTATTTTTAACGTCGATGAACCTGTACTGTCGAGCGGCGTTGGGCTGGTGAAAAACCACTATGGTCTTGTCAGCTCTTTCTTCCAGATTTCTGCACGCTTTTTATACACCTCTTTCGTCCGGGAAGTCTCTCTCTTGTTCAAAGAGGAAGTCCCAGATGTCAATCTCTGGGATTTGAACGGGAGGGAAAGGAGATTCGGTAGCCATAATAACGAAAGGGAACGGTTGCTGAATGTTCGACCTGAACACAGGGAAGTCATGCGTTCATGTAGGTTTCCAATTGTAAGATCTTAAATCTTACCACAGGAGGAAGGACCTGAGGTTGCCGAGATGGTGATCCAGAACCGGTTTCGAAGCCAATCACGATCCTTGTTGGGTGAGACCAGCATTGTGTAACCGTGGAGTTTTCACGGAGCCTCTGGGTCCTATATAACCTGCTTGTGTCCACATGTTAGCTGATCCGATTGCGAATGCTGCAGTTGTGCCGCAAAGGTTTGTTGCAGAAACGCTGGAGAGAAGCGAAGTGAAGCTTTTGGGGCTTTCGGCACGAAGTCTACTGGAGTGCACAGCGGGGATCTCGGAGAGCCATACTCCGTAAGGATCACTAGACCAAGCGAGATGTGCGAAACGCCGCTTGCATGCTTCACTCTAGCAACAATCGCCCTCGCTTCCCTACCACGTGCATTACCCCGCCCCTCCCCCCTCCTGCTCTTCCCAAGTCTCAACTATAATCGAAAATCTTCACTCTCTCTCTTTAATTCTTATACTTATAATTCTTAGAGATACGAGTATGGGGCTGGGAGAGGGGATAAAAGGGGCAGGTAGTAGCGTAAGATGGAAAGTGGAAAGTGGAAAGTGGAAAGCAAACTTCCAGAGTCGAGAGTACGGAAAGCCGTGAGGACGTGATGTGCCAGCGCGCTTCCCGTATTCTGCTGAGATGATTTACCCTAAGAAAAGTCGTACACCACTCCTCATATACGTAACCCGACCTGACTTAGCTCTGCTAGTATTGTACTCCTACTCCAGATTATATAAGACTTAAAGAGATATAAGAAAGGTTTTTAATTAGCACGAGAGTTAGGTACTAAAAAATTAGTACTTTACTTTTTCGTAGGGTAGGCATAAATTTTTTAAATTTTTTTTTAGCGAGGTGAATTATGAAAATGGGTTCTTATGGCTTTTCGTAGTAGGGGGCGCATTTTCAGGGGCTACCTTCAAGCCTCATTGTCAGCGGAAGACTTCGAATGAAACATAACACACAATTGATACCCGAATATTGACAACTGAAGCAGGCTTTAACCCATATGGGGAAGGTATGAACGAGTAGATTGCAAATATTGGAGGGGTATTGAGAAAGTGGCGTGCTGAGCACGCGGGGTTACCAAACAAACACAGTAAAACCCATCAAATCCAGGAGCTGCTCATGCAGCCTCAGTGAACGCCACTTCTTTCCCTTTGCTCGCGAAAGGCTCCGCTTCAGCCCAACCAACCATCGGTTCTGGATGGTTCTTGTGGAACCAGAAGAAAAAGTAGCTCAAAGCTGAAGCCTTGGCTGAGCTGAAATTCAACAATCCAAACTAACAGTCTTAAGCCATACCATTTTATATAAAGCCAGCCTTCCTATCGGTGTAGGAAAGCATCAGCCATACCTGTACCCAACCGAAGAAATTCGCATCATTACTCAATTCTCTACTGCTCAGTGGAACTCAATTGATCCCGATTCAAAATGGCCCAAATCGCCTCCACCTGTGAGGCCGGCACAATCATCACATTGAACGCATGGGTCGATCCTTCCAACTGTGAAAAATACCTCAAGCTCTTTGAACCCATTGCTGCAGAACTCCGCAAACACCCGGAGAACCTCTTCACTGCAATCTGCGTGAACCCAACCGATCCTGGTCACATAAGGATAGTGCACGGTTGGAGCAAAGACTCTGCTTGGTTTTTTGAGGTAAGCTGCTCCGAGTGGTGATCTTGGGGAAAGATGTTGAAAAATTGGTCACAGACTTTTGTGAATGGTAACGAGTCCTTTCAAAGTTTCAATGCGGAGACGGCTCCGATGTGGATTAAGCCTCGTGAGTTTTGAATTCTGTGACTGTGGCAAGATGCTGAAGAATGATAGGTGTGATTGAGCATTTTGATCGATATGTTGAAGGGTAAAGGCAAAACTAGGAAGGCTGGAAACCTCCCTTGAGTCTGGGGGTGGCTTGAGGGACAGAAGCACGTAATCTTGGACGGCACGCGTATTACTCTCTTTCTTGACTTTGGATTGCCGTTGTGAAATGAAACCTCCTCCTTGCCTCTTCGCCGAATTTTTGTCCTCAAACTCAACAAGTAAGAGTACGAATATAATTATGCATTACTATTTTGCGAGCAAGGTTCTCTGGCTTCAATCCTGCACAATGTTCACGTAATTCGTGGTAAACTTCCACTGACCGGCATATCCCTGTGCAGGAAAAGTATAAGAGCCATACGAAAGGTGATTTCGTCCGAACTCAATCGTCTAGACTTCTGATATATCTCATGTCCCTGGCCTTGCACCAAGGCTTGTTCCAACTTCTCGGTCTGAGCAAAGCTCGCACCGAGTCTCGGATCCCTCGCAGACGTGCGAAGAGTAACTAATTATGCAACAATAACAGACATGGAAATGAACAGCAACGGCGTTCAAAGATCTTCATTGTTGGTATTTACGCAGAATCCCAAATGTCTACCCCCAAAACGCCAATGTCCATGCCATGTTTATGCCCGAGCCATGCACCATTCCACTCCAAATATTCCAGCCCGATTCTTGACCAATATTCCAATCAGATCAAATACAAAGCCGCGCCCATAGCAGCAGCACCCCAGATGGGAGCTTGTGTCATAACTGCTGCACCAGCCGTAGAAGATCGTGTCGCCGAGTTGGCGGCGTTCGATGCCGCACTCCTGATGCTACTCTCAGCCGCTGCCGCCTTGCTGCTTATGCTCGAGATCTCGCTCTGCAAGCTGCTCTTCGCTGCTCCTGTAGCTGTAGCTGCCACACTGGAGATACTGGCAATCGCTCTGGAGGCATCGCTTTCTGCTGCAGAGATTGCAGAGTTAGCAGCGTTTATTCCGGTCGAAATCGCTCCTCCTGCGTAGCTTGTAGCTGTTGAGAGAGCTCCGCCAAGATAGGAGGTTGCGGTTGAAAGTGCTCCTCCAATGTCTGAGGTAGCCGTGTCGAAACCACCGCCGACAACAGAGGTCAGCGAGTCGATGACACTATCGATTTGAGGTACGGCGTTGGAGGTAGAGGCGAGTGCCAGAACGGCGAGGACTGGAAGGGTTGAGTAACGCATTGTTCTGAGGCTGTTCTGTAGATTGTAGATGGTAGAAATTTGGTTGAAGAGGGAAGTGGAAATTGAAAGATGACGACTTTAGAGCTTGAGATAAAGTGAATAAGGAATCAAACCGAGATCAGGAGAGGTCAGGGCAACTTATGTACTAGCGAAGGTGACATGACACCAGCCCAAGGTTAACTGCAAACAGAATCCTCGACGCAGCAGGTACGAGCTCACACTTGGATAAGCTGTGCCACGAAATTGCGCAGAGTGACGTCGTGGCTCCCTTTTTAACGGAGATGTTTCCTCGTTGGGAACTTTTCGCGATGTTTCGTTTTCAGCTGCTCCGATGGTCTGGGTCGCTTGGCTTGTGGCTGGGGAGATTGCGTGGACCACGCAGTGGCGTTCAGTTTCTTCCGAGATGCCGAGAGGGAACTAAAAATAAACAAGGGCCTTTTTATGGTTCGCAGTTCGCAGCTGCATTTAATCCTCCTTCATTCAAACATTTTCTTGTTGTACTGATGAGATACTTGGGGGAATCAGAGTTGAACCCGAATCATTATTTTAAATGTCTTTATGTTTGTCAGGCAAGGCAAGAACAAAGTAAGATAGCTCGACTTTCCCACCTCTTGCCTTCCTTACTTGATTTGCCTCTCTGCCAACGAACTTGCGGGCTCGGATAGGACTCAACTACTTCCTCAGAAGCGAAGCAGCGCCTCACAGTAGCGCGAGGACAAATGGCATGCGTAAATGCTTTTCTCGGCTTAATCAATTAACCAATGTCCCTTCTCCGACTGGAAGCCTTGAAATATCACGTGAATACGCCCCGGTATCAAAAGAAAAGCATACTTACATCCTTACCACAACTTTATGCGACCAGGACAAGTCACCTTACCACACACATCATACGATTTCACTAGAAAACGTGCTGGTTGAGTGCGGGGGCTTGATCTCCAAGATTTCTAAGCTTTGTCGTGCTGCTCAAGTTAAGCTCCGAAGCGAAGAATATATGCAGTTCAAAGTCACTGGGGAACCGAGTTTCATGGCGGAGGAGTCCTTGGTAAACAAGTATATAAACTCGCCATTCTTTCATTTCAAATGGTCGCTCTTCAATCCAGTTCCATTCTCTCATTTGAAGCAAATTCTCCACTTCTATCTCACTTCCCCCAGAAATTTTCAGCATGGCCTCAGCCACCAAGCCAATCGCTTTCTGGGAGGTCCTCTGGACCCAAACACGGGGAAGGTATACATGATCCTCAATGAACTTGAAATCCAGCATAATCGTATTGAAGTGCCTCTCTCAGGGGTCAAAACCCTGGGATAAACCAAGTACAACCCCAACGGACGTCTTCCCACAATCTACCATCCAAACGCTGACCTCGCTATCTGGGAGTCTGGTGCAATCATTGCAAGTCCCAACATCTCATGATTTATCAGCCATTGCTGACCTTGCTACCCAGAGTACTTGCTCGACAAGTATGATCTGGACCATAAACTCAGCTACCCAGCTGGAACGAATGAGTATTACTTGACCAAACAATGGTTGTACTTCCAGATGTCTGGCCAAGGTTCTTGCTATGGCCAAGCATGGTACTTCACCCCTTGCGCATATTCATAATGCTGACCATGCTCAGGTGGTTCCGAACTCAAAGTTCCCAGCGCCATTGATCGCTACCTCAAGGACATCCGCCGCGTCTCAGGCGTTCTCGATAGCGTTCTCGCAGGACACAAATACCTTGCCGGCGGCAAGTGCGCTTTTGCCGATCTTGCGTTTCTCACTTGGCAAACGAGCATTATCAAGATCATTAAGTATGATCAGGCGAAGGACTCCCCGAATGTGTAGGCATGGATTGATAGAATGCCGGAGAGGCCGGCAATCAAGGATTTCTGGGCGGAGAGGAATGAGAGAATGACTACTTTGGGAAGAAGTAGAGATGTTTGGAGCTGCGATAGGAAGAAGTGCAAATGCAGACATGGGGCTTGAGATATCGGTGGAAGACGAGATACTTCATTTCATGTATTCGTTGAACCAGAAGTCACTCTCAATGTGTTGATTCATACTCGTACCAATTGTTGCCACCAAACTTACCAATAAGGATTTTGAGGGCAGTAGCAGTGCCGTGCGCGAAACTGGCGCTCTAAGACTCGGAATAGTGTATCTTCCATTGCCGGAGGCTAGTCGATTTCGCTGTGCGAGCTCGCCTAACCGGGGCAATCTTATGTATCAAAATATGGAGTTTTCGCTCAATCAACACGGACTTCGGTCTGTAAGGTTGAACACCCCACCGCAATGTGGCTAAACTTGCTGAAATACCTCCACCGCAAAGTGGTTGATCGTGAGTGGTTAAGCCACCCAAAAAGCGTTCAAGCTTTCTCCAGATCCTTGATCAGAAGTAAAGAGCCTTAGTAGTAGGGGTGTCATCACTCGAACCACTCCTGCGAACAGAGAAAACTAAACTTATCGAAGTTGATCTATAGGCAGGTTTCACGGAAAAAACAGTTCGGCTGTTTCGCTCAGCGACCACCCTCCGGGCTGGTCGCCAGAGTTTTGCTCTTTGAATCGCTGGAATTCTTTTTGGGGATTCTTTTATTTTGAGGTACAAGCGAGATCGCTAAAGGGGCTTTGTTTATTTTGGCCACTTACTGGGCATGCACTGGAATCTGTGTGGGAGATGAAGCTTGGATTGCTATCTGGGCGAGAGGTTGCTATCTGGGTAAAACGAAGCGAGGCGAATATTATCCTCTAGCACCATTGTCCTGGAACACGGAGATCATTTAGGACCATAATGGGGTTTTTTTTCGCTGGATAAATCAATTTCCATTTTCTCGTATTCAAAGTGACACGACTTCAGCGATGACTCTTTTTTTTATAATTCATTTTGAAGCGGCTCGGACGCGCCTTGCTTCCTCTCCTTGCTCGACCTCACATCGCTTACCCCACCCTTTCAAAACCTTTGACACCTCCATCGCAACTTCTCGCCCTCTCTCTCCCTGCTCAACTTCTCCCACCGGATTCACGTGCCATTACTTGACCTCCCACAATGACGGCTCCTCATTTTACAGAATCAACAACAACATACTGGCAAAAATTCGAGTCAGAAGACAATGCAACCCCTGCACCCTGGAAATACGGCTACCCCGCCCCCTTACCTGATTCCCGCATCCTTGTGCTACCGATCCGCCAGATTGCAGGCAATCCTTCGGAAGCAGTCGCTTCTTTGATCATCAATCAGGCTTCAATATACGTTCACGATGAGTTGAGCAGAATGCTGGCTGAGGCAGTGAGAGAGTCCGAGCCGGATGTCATCATTGGGTTACCGACGCTGGGCTTGACACTCGCGAAGACTGTCGCCCAGAGATTAGGAAAGGGAAAGGCGCTCTATATCTCTTGCAAATCAAAAATACTAATGCACTGTTAGATCGATACATCCCGCTAGGCTACTCTCAGAAATTCTGGTACACCGACACGCTCTCCACGGAAGTCTCGTCCATCACTTCACCATCTGGTCTCAAGAAGCTGTATCTCGATCCAAATCAACTGTCTTTGGCCAAAGGAAAGAGAGCTATTATCATCGATGATGCAGTGAGCTCGGGGAAGACGTTACAGGCAAGTTGGGATTTTCTTGAGAGTGAGGAAGTAGGGTGTCAGCTCCTGGCAGCGGGTGTTGTGATGAAGCAGGGTGAGAGGTGGAGAGCGTTGTTGGGCGAGAGGCAGGAGAAGGTTAGGTGGGTATTTGAGTGTCCGTTGCTACGGGCTGTTGAAGGAGGTTGGGGTGCTAGGGAATAGAGGAGGTCTCAATCTGGGACAAAGGGTGGCTTCAGTCTATGGCCATCGAATAGAGATGCTTCCGAAAGATCACGTGATACCACTCTAGACAGAGACAGAAGCAGGCTTGGAAACCACAAGCTTTCAAACCGAACAATATACGTGAGATGGCCTATGAGAAAGCTTTTCACTTTTAAGGGAAAATCTAATTAGTAGCAAACCAGGCAAGGCAGACTTTGTTAATACTCACGTGATTGAACTTCTGAGGAGGAGGATCTTCCTGCCCTTTCTCACTTCTCTCAGAACTTTCATCGTGACTCCAAAGACCTCGATAGAAGAGCAGCGTCCAGACAGAAACCATATCTAAATACTCGAACTCAAATTTAACAAGGCATCGGAACAATGATCCACCAGAGGGCAAGGCGCCCGCCGAGAAACGCGACACAGTTCGGGCCCTCCACCGGGTAGACGATTCTCAAGGCTTGTCTGCACTACAACGGCGGGCCTGCGAGGCACGCAAGGCTGTCTCTTCATCCCACTCTTGCATCTCAGGTCGTGCAGGACGTGAAGCCTCAACAACGGAAACAGTTCCTGGCTGCTCACGCGACCCAGCTTCCAAGAAATCTCCGATGTCCCTGAATCGTTGGACCTCTAAAAGCCACCTGCTCGACAAGCAACCCAACAAGCATCGTGACCCTCCTGTTGCCAAAGCTTGGCTTGGAGATCTCCGATGAGGCACAGCTTGGCGACGCCTTTCCCACCTGCTGATCATCCTCTTCTGCGGCTCAACCGCTCAACAACGCCCCGGATTTCTGGATTGCTTGAACCTCATCGGTATCAATCTAAAGCTTCAACACAACTGTTGAGCGAAGAAAGAAAACATCTCGCCATGCTCTCGCGAACAGCACATGGACCTCTCGAACAGTGGCGTAAGTTGGAGAAGGCATTGATCGCCATCGGGGTGCCTCATTTACTACGTCATTTTGTCACGCTGCCTTGGTGCACCACTGCACGCTTCCAGATGTTCCATACTTCCAGCGCTCCACTTCCGCGCCTGTTGCGCTCTTGACAGATGTCATTGCTTTTTTCCCGGGGACCTAACAATTGGGGCCCTGGTGGATTACTCGTTGTCTGCATGGCCAGCAGCGGTACAGGCGTCTTTGCGGAAGAATCTCGTAGATCTCCATGTACCTTCTCATGTCAAAACAAGGTCAAATCAGACACCCGGCAGCTTGTTCGGTCTCTGAAAGTTTGTCCACTTCTCCCCTAATCCTCGTGTCTCCCAGTTGGATGCATCGGACCTCACACGACGGTCTGTGGAGAAGTGCCGTCTATGCGGTCACCATCTGCAGATCTAAGCTTCAAGTGAGGCTGCTAAGCGTTTGTTAGGATCTTTGGCGCGACTCCGGTGCCTCCTGGCTGAATAATCCCCAGCTCTCCCATGCCCTACATTTCGACCTTTGCAGCAAAATGACGTCGTGTTATCAATTTGATTTCTGACCCCGTGGGAGTAAAAATACGGGTCTACATCTCCATTATTTCCAGTCGTTTCCCACGTACAATATCTCTCTTAGTGCCTATCTTGAAAACGCCGTTGGATTTGTTTATAGACTATTGGAGAACTAGCCCTTATTCTGATGGTTCCTCGTACTTTCTCCGCGAGCATATAACCTTTTTTAAAACCGCCCATCGATTTTGCTCATCAGCGGTACCTCGAGGAACGAGTCGCGACATGGTGGCCTTCGAAGAGCCTGGAGCATCATCTGCTCCTAATGGTGAGCACGAAGTCACCAACGAAAAACATGATGATTCTGAAGCTTCATCCACCACGAAGGCCGAAGATGCCGGATTAAAGCGCGATGAGAATGTTGCCCTTTGCACCTCTCACCATCCAAGATTTGGTGATAATCAAGTATTTACTGCCAATAGCGATGACTCAGAGGACTTGCCGAATATCGAGAAGGCTGGAACTTACGACAAGATCGAATTGACTGAGGATATGTGTTACGATGAACTCGGATATTCATATCCCAACTGGAAGAAGTGGTAAGTCCTTTTTGAGACACAACCCAGATGAAATTTATTGGTCGTCAAGTGTTTTGTTAATCATATGCTAATTATATAATAGGATGATTCTCACAGTCATCTTTTTTGTTCAAGTCTCCATGAACTTCAACACCAGTCTTTACTCTAATGCAATTCCCGGGATATCGGAAGAGTTCGGCGTCAGCGAACAAGCAGCTCGATGTGGTGCTATGATATTCTTGGTGCTTTATGCATTTGGTTGTGAGCTGTGGGCACCTTGGAGTGAAGAGTTGGGACGAAAACCCGTTCTTCAACTAAGTTTGTTACTGGTCAACATCTGGCAACTTCCTGTTGCACTCGCCCCGAACTTCGCGTCTATTATGGTTGGGCGAGCCCTGGGTGGTCTGTCTTCCGCTGGTGGTTCTGTCACCTTGGGAATGATTGCGGATATGTGGGAATCGGATACCCAGCAATACGCGGTTGCTTTCGTCGTGTTCTCCTCTGTTGGTGGTTCTATCCTTGGACCAATTGTTGGTGGCTTCAGCGAAGCTTTCCTAAGCTGGAGATGGTCCATCTGGATCCAGCTCATCTTTGGAGGCTTTGTCCAGATTATGCACCTTGTTCTCGTTCCCGAGACCCGAACTACGATTATGCTGGACAAGATTGCTAAGAAGCGACGCAAGAGCGGCAAAGACAAGAACATCTGGGGACCGGACGAACTTGTTCCTTTCAGTGATCGATTCTCGGCCAAGGAAATTTTGGTAACCTGGATCCGACCTTTCAAGATGTTCCTTACCGAGCCGATTGTTCTTACGTTATCGCTTCTCAGTGGTTTCAGCGACGCTCTGATCTTCATGTTCATCCAGTCTTTCAGCTTGGTCTACAAGCAATGGGGCTTCAGTACCGTTTCACAGGGCTTGGCTTTCATCCCTATCGGCATTGGATATTTTATCGCCTGGTTCAGCTTCATCCCAGTTATTCGAAGAAATATTGCAGAGCGCAAAGCAAAGCCTGACGATGAAAAAGTACAATACGAATCTCGTCTCTGGTGGCTTCTGTACACAGCTCCATGTTTGCCTATCGGACTCATCGGCTTTGCCTGGACCAGCACCGGGCCTCCACTTCCATGGATCGCCTCGATGATATTCGCCGCTGTTGTTGGTATTGCGAACTACTCTATCTACATGGCAACTATCGATTACATGATTTGCGCTTATGGACCCTATTCGGCGTCTGCAACTGGTGGAAACGGGTGGTCTAGAGACTTTTTGGCTGGTGTACTCACCATTCCAGCAACTCCTTTCTTCACAAGTGAGCCTAATTCCCCACTTCAAACTAAACATTCAACTGACCCGCATCTTAGACATTGGAGGGCAGCCTCTTGCATACCCTTCCACCATTCTGGCCTGCATCTCCTTCGTCCTCGTCATCGCAGTTTACGTTATCTACTGGAAAGGACCAGTGCTCCGGAAACGCTCGCCATTTGCTCAACAGCTCTCAGATGCTAGAACAGAGTCAGAAGTTCCTGGACGTCGTCTCTCCAGGATCCCAAGCAGACAAAGCGCTATTCGAGCGCATTCGTTCTCACGATCGCAACAGGAGCTGAGAGTTAGGCAAACTATGGGAAGCCGGAAGAGTAGCATGGCTGGTCCGTCTAAAAATAAGACCCCTCAGCGAACGCCAATGGCGAGTCGGAATAACAGCTATGCGGCCCCGATGCATCACGGTCACGTTGAGGTGTAAGGGGTGTTGGGTTGTATGATATAATGTCTCATGATGCATTCGATGGCTTTTGCATGGGGAAGAAGCCTATCCATTTATGAAAATTTCGATCCTTTTCTACAAATACGAAAACAAATTATCTGTTCACAAAATGACTTCTGAGACTAAAATTCATGCTTCATAGCCTCATCAACCAATTTCCGTCCATACTCATTAAGCAGCAACAACGCTTCTTTCTTAGGACTGACTCGGAAATAATTCTCACGATTGCTACCGTGGCCCATCCTTCCCACCCTGAAGACCTTTCGTACTCTCATGAACCTAGAGATGACTTTCATTGTGGATTCACAATCATCATCATCTACTAAACTCGCGGTATCGCTCCTCGGTATATGAATTTGGATATCATTCGGACCCTTTCTAGCTAGCTTCTTCTCGTGTTCAGATGATGTTCGATCCTCTTGCAGATGGGAAGAAGTGGGTGGAGTTCCCCTACCAGGGGGCATTGGACCCGACCACATACTCGAAGAGAGTGGTTGTGGCGGCCCAACATGCCCGCTAGAGCCAGGGAGATCTCTGGTACGAGATCCGCTGTGTGCTGGGGTAGGAGGAAACTGAGAATGCTTCGGAGGAAAGCCAGGTGGAAGAGGAACCGGCTCCGGACGAAAACGTGGCGGAGGAGGAGGAACCGGCTTCGGCGGCTCGGGTATGGGCCACATGTGCATTGAGATTGACCATCCGGGTTGTATGATGGTTTCCCACACTTGAGGAAGGATGATCTCTCCATTCGGAGCAATTAGGTCGTAGTGCCCCTCATTTACGTGAGGGCCAATTACATCAACGTGGATGAAGGCTTGTCTGATGAGCTCCTCTACACCCTATACAACCTATGTCAGTCGTTCTGATATATTCAATTATCAAAGTGGAAAAGGACACACAACTCACCTTCCAGGTTTTAGCCATGGTGAATGGGAATGTGAACTTTCTGCCGACAGCATCCTTGAACTTTATCCCCGCCTCGGGTTTCTCTGGAGCAGCTCTCGGGTTACTGGCTTGCTGTTCCATTGCCTGCGAAAGACCACTCTTTATGATGTCCAGAACGCTTTGAGCAAAGGCAACCTCAACTTCACTCGCGTGGCCATCTGATGTACGGTGACCGCGAGCAGGCCGGCGATCATTGTCCCCTGGAAGGCTGGGACTTTTGACGTCCTCTTTCAACGGTACTCCATCCTCTACAAGACGGTGTACCAAGTTTTTAGATTGGACAAAGCCAACGAAAGAGTAGGCGCTATTGCTTGGCAAGAGATTCCAAAGAAGCAGAGGCATATTCAAAAGGACGAGAGTCGAATAACTTTTGTATACTCCCTGGACACTGACCTCTTTTGCTCCACTTGGTAGGCCTTTGAGCCATTCGGACCAAGTTCGAAGTTTCTTCCCCTCCTCGGCAAGGCTGTCATCTAGAAAATAATTGTCATCTAGTCGAACAGCTAGGAGAACCTGGAGGGACTTGGATTGTTCTGGTGACTCCGAGACAATCGTTGGTGCTGTCGAAGACGCCCGATCCGAGTCGTTTTGTGAATTGCTTGGAAGTGTAGAGTTAGTTGACGCATTTCTTTGAGGAATTGCTCCGCCAATATTCGACACTGCTGCGTGTGATAATTTAGAGCGAAGAGGTGCGAGCATGATACTCCGATATGGAGTCTCATTAGTCAAAAAACAATGGACTGGCGTCCTCCGCTTATGAACTTCGAATCGTGGTCTGCCATTCTCATCTGTCCAAAGATTGCCATCTCGGTCTCTCAAAAGTGCGGGTTTCCAATTCTTCAATGAACCGATTACTCGGACATGAAGCTCTGCTACTGAGATAGCTGGGCCACTAAAGGCTTCCTCTAATTCTCTTATCAGAGAGTTCGTGAAGGAATGTGGTCCCACTGCCGGAGCCTGCGTCTCAAACCCACAAGCTGCAATGACCTCTGTGACGCCTTGACCACCAGTATTGATTGCGGGATGTGATGAGTGGCAGCTATCATAGAGAAGGAGGACATCAGAGGCTGCTTCTTCGAGGAGCTGCTGCACTCCACCGCATGGCAACGTTGGTGATCCAACTTTATCAGTCCTGTATTCTTCATTAGCAATAGAGTTCGCCTCATTTTAGCTGTTTCGCTTTTCAAAGTCCCAATAAAATTGGAACATTCAATCCCTAATCATCACCTACAGATGAGGCTTCGATACTTCAGTTGCAATGGCTTCCTTCACTCTCTCCACCGGCGAGGTAAAAAAAAGGCACTTACGCTGACCAAATTGGAGGTTCGTTAGTCTGATTACTTAAACGGGCATGGCCTCCGTAATACACGATCAAGAGGCTGCTGGGGCTGTCATTTTCAAGGAAAGACGATAACCGGAACGTTGTGGCCTTTCCTGGAGTCGTCGATGGTATTTTAAATTCCTGGACGTCGTACCGATAGAGAGCTGAGAACACGTGCTTGAGGCGTTTGATCTCACGCGCCACTCCAAGGTTATCATCCTCCCAACTCAATAGAAGCACGTGGGCCTCTTCATACCGATTTCCGTTTCGTGTTGGCCAGGCAGCATTGATGGCGACTTGGAGATCCTGCCCGAATTTTTCGATGCTTGGAATGTGTTCATCCACAAATGAAGTATCGTGGGTATTCAGTCTGATGAAACCTTTCTCTGGAAGCTGGTGTTGAGTGGGTTCATTATCCTCGGTGAGATTCTCGTTTTCAGAGACTTCTTTCCTTTCATCGGGTGGCGTGAGGGAGCCATGTGATGGACCTTTCACAGCCTGATCGTTCCGAAGCCTACTTTGCGCTGGTCCACGTTTGGTGTAAGAAGCCTCGATGTCATCCTCGAGCTGCAAAGCCTCAGAACTCTGGAAATGCATGGTTAGTCGGTGCGATACAGATTTGAAAGACTGAGGGCCATTTAGGCAACTCACGGGGCTCGCTTCACGCCCTGGCGAAGAGGGAAACAAGGTATCAGGATCCGACATATCCAGTACCTCTTGGATCGTAGACAGCCTTGTTGTCCTTGGGACTTGCCTGATAGCAGCGTACGACTATTTGGTCACAGGGAATTGAAGAGGAGGCATAAGTAATGATGCTGGCTTGCTCGATAGATTTGAACAGGTCGTTAGTATGGTCTTGGTGAAGAAGGCTGAGAGTGAAGGAGGAGGTGGTCGTGGATTTCTCTGTCACGTGGTGGACAACGTTTGTGTGCACGGACCAGTGTGGCTTGAAGTTTCAAGCCTCAGGGCTCCTCTGTGAAGGAAAGAACGAGAAGCAAGTAGGATGTCAACAACCTTCATTTCATTTTCTTTTACAGCATTCGGATCCTATGCTTTCAACATGAGGCAGACGCCTTAACAGACAACTTGTGGACAAGACTTATGGACAGACAAAAGCACCAATCACAGAGTACTCTTCAGGGGGGCAATAAAGGGGAAGCCACAAGCCCATGCCCACTCTTGAACGGCGCAGCCAAGGCTCGCCTATTCAGGCGCTTGCCCCTCGAAAATCCCCACCGCAGTGGATCAATCAAATTCAACATACAGAGGTAACGTTTCGTCTCTCTGCTCTTAAAATGATGGTGAGATTATCTCACTCATGAAGTGACGGAATGTTCGAGCTTCGTCTCAACATCCATTTGCTCACCCTCGGGACCAGTTATACCGATTTTGAAGCAAGGGTACTTCACCCGGGGACTCGGCACACGGCATCCATAGCGAGTGGTGGCAAGAACTTCATCGCAGGCCTGGGCATGCAGCTCGTCGACGCTCGTCGTTGAAGCAACTTCATGGCGTTATTTGGGGTTCAAACAGGAGACGGGGACATCTTCGCTCCTCGTGTATTAGATGGCCATCCATTTGCTTCTTGTTCCAGATTTTGGGTAGGCATCAACCCCCCACCATTCATTCCCCCACCTCTGAAGCTTCCCATCGACTAAATTATCAACAGGACCCCGTGAATGCTCGTTTCGAAAGCTGTACCCTTCCCTTCATCTCTGCAGTTCCAATCGTGGTTGCAGGATGCATTTTGCTAGGGTTCCTCGTGAAGCTACTCCCGAGGGGCTTACGGAGTCCGGAATGGTCGCGGGCTTTTGTCGAGGAGCCGAAAGGGGAGCAAGGTGATCTCCTGCCCAGTGAAAAGAAGTCGTTCACACGCTTGACCGTTGTTCTATTTGCCGTGTCGGGCGTCTGCCTTGCCGTCCAAACGCTCACGGTGTTTTTGCCCACCTTTCGAACTGAGATGGTGTTTCCATCAGCATCATGGGCTGTTGGCTCTCTTGTCATCGCTATTTGTCGTCCAAACACTGCTCCGCTGGCTTTGCTTGTCTTGTATACCACCATCTTTACCACGCAGGCCATCATTTTTGTCGATAGCCCTTCCGGACTGCATGTTAAAGACTTGCCGTATATTCTTGCCCTCATCTCAGCGCTCGTAGCAATTGGCGTCATCCTGGTCATGCCGTTGAGGCATCCTCATTTACCAAAGGACCAGATAAGTCCCGCTTTTGGACTACCCACATCCGAGCTACGGAGCCCGGAGGATGACTTGACCGCCTGGCAGTTTATGACCGTGTCTTGGATGGCGCCACTCATGTCTATTGGCAACAAAAGACAATTGAACGATGAAGATGTTTGGCAGCTGGGCTATGAGTTTCAGCATAGGATGCTACATGATACTTTCAGAGAATTGAATGGATCCGTTCTGGGAAGGCTTTTCAGAGCTAATGGACTCGATCTTGTCATTATATCTGGCTTGAGTATGTTCGAGCTGGCGGCGAGTATGTGATTCAAGCCCCATACTTCACTAGCTTTCTAACCAAATTCACAGCATTCTCCTCACCAGTACTTCTGCAAAAGATTTTGCAGAGTATGGAAAACCCATTGGCACCTACGCGTGCTGCTCTCAACTACGCAGTGTTGACACTGGTCCTCCGAATGCTTGCAGCCCAATCGGGGGTGTTCACGCTGTGGTTTGGGAGACGTGCATACGAAAGATCTCGTGGAGAGATGATCACGATGCTTTACGAGAAGACGCTGTCCAGGAAGGTCATTGCTCTGAGCAGCAAGGCGATCATCGAGGCTGACACAAATGGTACCTCAAGTGGCGGAAAGCCTGCCAAGCAAAGTTGGTTCAGTCGGACACTGGGCTTTCTAGCAAAGCCTTTTCTCCTGCTCTGTGGTCGCAGAAAACCCCCTAAGAATGATCCGGCGAAACAACCAGCATCAATGGGGCGGATTCTGAATATAATGCTGTGAGGACTTCCCTCTCAGAGAAGAACCTCTACTGACACGGCTATGTAGCGGAGACGCTTACAATATTTCCCAAAGGTATGTATTCAACCACGTCTTGAGTGTCTTGACTAACATGACCTCCAGATTCTGGGAATTCAATAATATTGTCTCTCAGCCGATCGGTTTAATCTTCTCAGTCGTCCTGATATGGCAATTGCTAGGCTGGCCCTGTCTCATAGGCGTCATCACCATTGTCGTGGCCCAAGCCCTCAACGCATTATATGCACGAGCTCTCATTTACTGGGAGCGAAAACTCCGAGTCGCTACTGATGAGAAGTTTCACAAAATCTCCCAACTGGTTGAGTCGATCCGCCACCTGCGCTATTACGGATGGCAAGACGTCTGGCTGGGACGAATTATGGTCACAAGACAACATGAGTTGAACCTGAAGATCATCACCAGTATTTGGCGCGCGCTCATAACTTGTACGAATAAACTTGCGAGTGGCTTGTTCCCGGTGGTCGCCTTTTGGGCGTACACGATGTTGTCCGACAAGCCATTGCGCGTTGATATTGCGTTCCCTGCCCTTCAACTCTTCAGAATGCTCGAAAACTATCTAAGGGAATTACCTAATCTCATAACCGTAAGGACTCCGTGTCATCTGTTCTGTAGTTTTTGATTGACGGAATGACAGGTTCTCTTAAATTGTAAAGTCTCTGTTGACCGACTCGAAGAGTTCATGGCTGAACCAGAAAAAGATGGCGCCGATTCTGATATGCCACGAAGCACCCAGCTCGAATTGAAGAGTGCGTCATTTGCCTGGCCCGGGGCCGAGGAACCTGTTCTCAGCGAGATTAGCCTCTTCTTCCCCTCTGGCTTGACTGTCATTTGTGGAGAAGTAGGGTCTGGAAAGACAGCTTTGCTACAAGCTTTACTGGGAGAACTCGACCAGCTAGGTGGGGAGTATCACAGGACCAAAGAAATGATCGGCTACTGTGGGCAAACGCCATGGCTACAAAGCATGAGCATCCGAGACAATATCCTCTTCGCTGCTCCTTATGAAGAGACCCGGTTCAAGCAGGTCCTAGAGGCTTGCGCCTTGGTTCCTGATATGTTGACCTTCAAGCATGGCGATCTTTCCATGGTCGGTGAGAATGGAGTTGGACTCTCTGGTGGGCAGAAACAGCGTATATCTCTCGCCCGAGCCGTGTACTCCAAAGCCAATACACTTCTGCTTGACGACCCGCTCTCGGCCCTTGATCACCAAACCGCAGATTTCATTGTTCGGCGATGCTTGTGTGGTCCTCTGCTCAAAGGGCGGATCACAATTCTGGTGACGCATCGTACGGAATTGTGTCTCGGCATGGCAACTCAAGCGGTGCAGATAGCAGATGGACGGGCAATTCTTCTCGATCCGGAAACCATTCCATTCGAAGAATTACATAGAGTAACATCGCAAGATTCGACAAACGAAGATGGAAATGATGAAGACAATATGAAAACAGGCTCCGCTCCCGAGAAATTCTTGGATGAAGAGCATCGGGCGCATGGCGGGGTCCAGTCAAAGATCTACTGGGAATATATCAAAGCTGGGAAATTGAAATGGTGGTTCATTCTCATAGTCATTATGTGCCTATACCGCTTTGTCGATATTGTGGAGACCTGGTTTCTCAAAGAGTGGGGTGAAGCATATGGCGACCGAGTGGAGAAATCAGGCGGATACTTCGGCGATCTACCTTCTCCTGAGGACAACATTCGCCCTTGGCTTATCGGTTTCGTCCTGCTAGCCATTGCGCAGGCTTTAATCTATATCGTTGTTCAAGGAGCCATGTTGGTCATCGTATACCAGGCTGGGAAGAACCTATTTGCCAGGGTCGTGACGAGGGTCTCTCATGCGACTTTCCGGTTCTACGATGTTACCCCGGTTGGCCGATTGATGAATCGGCTTACAGGTGATCTTAGGACCGTTGATGGCAATATTAGCGCCCAGTTCCAAAATGTGGCACTTCAGTCTGTCGCATGGATATCCGCCGTGGTGGTCATTGGATCCGTTACCAAAATCTTCCTTGTCTTCGCCCTAATTCTCACAATGGCTTTTGTCCTTATATTTAGGCAGTTTCTGCCAACATCCCAGAGTCTACGCCGGCTAGAATTTGTTTCTCTTACTCCGTTGGTTTCAAACTTTGGAGCATTGGCCAATGGCTTAACCACCATCAGGGCTTACTGCGCAGCATCTCGATTTCAAGATGGAGTTATCCGTGTAACGGACAACTTCCAAAAGATGGACCATTTTTACTGGAGTCTCCAAGCCTGGCTTCAGTATAGATTCGACGCCTTGTCAGCTTGCTCAACGTTTCTGATCACAGGGCTGGCTCTTTTCACCCATTTATCTGCTGGCCTTACGGCTTTCATCCTTGCAGCTGCCGGAATGTTCGTTAGCGCTACCCACACGTTGTGCAGGCAATATGGACAACTCCAAATGGACTTTGTCTCCGTTGAAAGGGTCGTCGAATTACTGCATCTCGACCAGGAGCCTCCTGGAAAAGTCATCCCTCCAGCAGCTTGGCCATTGTACGGAAGTGATATCGTCTTTGAGGACGTCACCCTCAGATATGCACCTCATCTCGAGCCGGCACTCTCAAACATCAATCTCAAAATCAAAGGCGGCTCAACAACTGCGCTAATCGGCCGCACAGGCTCGGGGAAGAGCACTCTAGCCCTCTCACTCCTCTTTACAACACCCCCAGAATCTGGCCGCATCATAATCGACGGGATCGACATCGCAACTGTGGATCTCCAATCCCTCCGCAAGCGTGTTACCTTCCTCGCCCAAGAGCCTGTCCTCTTCCCTGGCACCATGCGGGCAAATCTCGACCCACTGGACGAATACAGCGATTTCGAATGTTCCAGTGTCCTCGAGAAAATCGCGTCACGCCACGAATGGTCTCTTGACACAAACATCGACACAGGCGGCAAGAATTTAAGTCAAGGACAGAGGCAGCTTGTCGGTTTGGCGAGAGCACTTTTGCGGAGAAGCCCGATTGTAGTCATGGACGAAGCGACGGCAAGTATTGATCGCGAGACGGCGATGCGGATCCAGGAGAGTTTGAGGGAGGAGATGAGGGAGAGCACTGTGGTCACGATAGCACATCGCGTAGAAGCTGTGAGTAATGCGACGTTTTGTGTTAGTCTTGCGAAGGGGAAGATTGTGGAGGCAGCGCCAGCGGGGGATATGGCGGGGAGGATGGAGTAGAATTGTCGTTGGGCAGAGTGACGTTTCACCTCGGGGCTCTGTTAGACTCAAATTAATGTGTTGGAAAACTCAATAAATGTCTACCGTATATGATCCGAGCCAGGTTTAGACAAAAATAATGGTCTTGCTTAAATGGTAGGGATATTAATGCTTTTTAAGACCTCTGCAGCGAATACAATTCGTCTAATCTCTGAGTTGAGATTGTCTTTCTAGATGCAAGCACTCTTTGATCAATGTCTATCAGCCCCTCCCTGTATCTCAAGCTGCAATGTGGTGTCTGTTTGATGCAGAAGAGGCAATAATGGAGGGGCAACCTGCACCTCGGTGGTACCTTCCTTCCCATCTCTCATTCAACTCAGTTGAGCTTCCATTTCTCTTATGATCTCAGATTGCAAGCCACAGCATACTCAATATTGATACCCCCAATCCAAAATCAACAGCCAATGCAAGCCTTCGCACCCCTCCAGCCACATCAGGCTCATCCCTCCCTTTATCTCATCAGAAACTCCATCTCTCCTTCGCCTACAATCCCTATCCTCAACCCTCAAAACCTACACCCCCTCGCACCCAACCTTCCCCTCCCTAAACACCTACCTCAACCCCTCCCTCTCTCCCGCTCCCCTCGCCATTGTCTGCCCAACAACTGCCCGCCAAGTTTCCCAAATCATCTCTTTTAGAACAACGCATTCTATCCCCTTTACCGTGCGGTGCGGGCGCCATGATTCCTGGGGTCGAAGCGCCGTCTTTTCTTCCCTAATCATCGACCTCCGTGAACTCGATAAAAACGTCCTGCCAGATGATAGGAAAGCGTTAGGATCGAAGGCGGTGTAATCAGTGTTGAGATCATGAGGTTTCCTTTGTCTAGTTAGTATCCTTTATTCTTATTAACCTATTCAAGGAAACCTTCTCCCCTAGCATCAGAGAATCAATTAATCTTCTACACTCTAAATCATTCCTTTTTAAGTGCCATAATAAAGAACTCCATTGTTTTAACTCATTCCAACAATTAGCGAGAACCTCGCCAACTTCCTTGCACCGCATGGATTAGTAGCTGTTCAGGGCGGCTGCACTTCGTAGTTCAGTCGGCTACACCTCCTGAGTTGCATGCGGCAGGTACGGGACTCTGGGTGGGAGGTTTGGGATAGGCTGTGATCAGATCCTTGGTGCAAGGATCGTGAATGCTGAGGGAGAAATCGTTGAAGCAGATCAGGAGATGCTTTGGGGGCTGAGGGGAGATGGGTGTGTGTTTGGAGTTGTGGTTAGTTTGGGTGTTAGGGTGTATAGATTGGAGAGGATGGTCGCTGGGTTGGTTGCCTTTCCTGTTACGGAGGCGAGGCAGATTTTAAGGGGGTATTGGGAGATGATTGAGAGGGACGTCTTGATGCTTATGGTGGGCTAATGGGACTTATGAGTATTCTTGGGGGGAGGTGGTTGTGGATACGGTCAAAGAGAGTAAGCCAAACCTTGCCTCCATGGAGTATGAATTTCTGACGAGTTTGAAGCTACCTTATCGGGATGGAGAGAAGTAGGCAAAGCCTTTAGTCCTACGTTTATCTACACCAACATCCGAACAGCCTACATTAGAGAACTTTCGGAATCCTTTGTCGACTTGCTATTCAAGCATGCCAAAAGATTCCAGACGGAACTAAAGCAATGTTTATAATTCACGTTGTTCATGGCCAAGCAACGAAAGTCAGGCCGAACTCATGTTGTGGTATAAGAGAACCTCATAGTTGGGTGGAGGCTCATGGCCAGACTATAGAGGACAGTAATCAACAGGAAGTTTATGTGTGGACTAATAAGGTAGTTGAAGACTTGCCAGGAGCTGGTCTGATGATGAAAGGTGGATATGACGCATTAATGGGAGGGGATGGGGTTTCTGAGGATTGTTTCGGGATAATTGGGAGAGGTTGAAAGAGTTGAAGCAGAAACTGGATTCGAAATCTGTGTTTCGGAATACTGTGCCTTTACTGATATAGTTCGGGGTGTTCTTTGCCGCCGCTAGCGTCTGAGATGCATCCCCCTCGTAGATATTATCCCCTTATTGGGGAATGCTTTATTCGAGCCAGAATTGAGGGCACCTAAGGTACCCTTTCTTCAACGAATAAAATCCATGAGCCTGATCGGGAAAGGAGGACAAATCTCAAGTGCCATAGTTAGATCCCTAGCGTGACTATCACTTGCAAACAGATCTAAAAGCTATATTAGTGATCCGAAAAAGTGCAACTAATATTCCTTCTCAGTCACCATACCAGAGGGGTATCAATGGGCCCATTACGTCCTCTAGAGTAACGCCGTTTCTGAAACTCTGTCTCATAAACCGGAGCGACCCTTCATAGTTGAATCTGCTGATTCCTGTAACCGGAAGGCACCGGGTTGAAGGCGTGATAGAACTCGCTCTGGATCATGCCTCTTCTGTATCTGCAATAGTCGCTGCTTGTTTTCTGGACTCAAACCAGCGAACACGTCTTGGGTCTGATTCGCGTAATTCTGGTAAATGTACCGGTGATCGAGGCCCATCACTTTGGCTAGTGCCACAGCTCTGTTCATGAACCTGTCGTTGGCATTATGTACTTTCTCGTCGTCAGCGGGGTCGCTGTATCGGATTGCGTCGTTGAGTACTATTCAAATTTATAAGAATGCGATTGAGTGTTTCAGATCGGCAAAAACCTACACAGTAGAGGTCCCTCGTCTTCTGAAATACCCAATGCATTGCCTCCATGCTTTCGAAAAGCAGAAATTTCATCCTTGGTGATGATTTGAAGAATGAGGCTTGGAAGGAAGCCATCTACGTGCTTGATAGTATCGGTCTCGGCAATAAAAATATCTACCAACTTCGAGAGAAACGGAACGCTAATCTTGAAAGTTGCAGTTGCCCATGATTGCCTACACCGTCAGTGGCTGCAAACTCTTCCAGAATTTTATGTCCCTACCGATAGCCAATTTTGTTCATCCAGTCCACCTCAGCCACAACGCCAGTCATTTTGGTAATCCTTGTTGTCGAGTATATATTCTTCACCGCTTCAAATTCCTTGAAGACAGGTGGGTACGGCTCTGGTCGACCGTGCATAAGATTGACACAGACTAAATAGACATCGAAGATCGGAACGAAGGCAAAAGAGAGAATGATCTGTCCAGAGGGATCCGAATCTCCCCGAGAATAGCTTTCCAACATTTGAGAGATCTCATTGACCGTTGAGCAATATCCCAAACGGCAGGCCGCTTGGACTGCCCAGGTCGAAAATTTCTGAGCGAACCATCTTGGCGTGCCATTGAACGGATATTCAATGTCCATGGACTTCTTCCTTTCAGCGATATCTGAGAGCAAGTAAAACTTATGTCCTCCCCAAAATAGACCTTGCTGATGAGTTTCGAGATCAAATCGAGTTACAATGCCGAAGTTGCTGCCACCACCACGCAAGGCGAAATACAGATCGGGGTGTGATGTTTGGCTGATATTTGAGATAGAACCATTTGCAAGGACGACCTGAAATGAGCGAAAATCAGTAGCTGTTCCTGTTGAAATGGCTTGTAAGGCGTATCCTCCATGTAGGAAAGTGCCTTCCTAGCCCCTTCCTGGTTGCCCCTGCCTGGTTGGAAATTCTCTTCTGCAGAAGTTGTCACGCTTCACTTGAGGCTTTGGAGATTTCCAGGAGTAAAGCCGCGACAAATTCCATATAAGACGCAGGACAAACTTCAAACTCACCTCAAAATTCTTCACATTGTCAAAAGCCCATCCCCGTTTCCGAGAAGTAAACGAGATACCCCTTATTGCAAAATCAGTCATGTGGCCAACGAAATCGTCCGCTGTACTCATCTCCAAGAACAAATCCTCCTGCTCCGATTTGGCTATCACGCCCACCGACAGCTGTAAGGTTCAGAGGTTCCAATCTCCGGTACACCTCACCCCATCGAGTTCCAGCACCAACAGAGGTTGTCAGTTGATCATCGGCCAATTCAATACGATTCAAATGTCTCAAATCGATGGTAATGCCCTGAGGAGCATTCGAAGCCCCAGCAGACATTGCATGACCTCCACTCTTGACCGCAAAATGGCATTGATGCTCCTTGATGCTCCTGAGAGCCTGTGAGACGTCCTCGGCAGATGCGGGTAGGAAAACACAGGCAGGTACGACCTCTCGCTGTTGCTGCGAGAAGTATGTTTCACTGAACCCTTGCGGAAGGCTCAAATAATGAGTTTTTGCTCCAAAAGCCCTCAAAAGTGAGGTGCACTGCTACAACGTCAATGCCGTGCTCTCATCTTCAATCAAGCTCACCCACCGCATTTTGGCATTCATTTGAAGCGTTCCCGCCTTGTATGAGAGGTTGCTGCTGCAATTGCAAGCTCAGAGCTACGTGCACCAACGACCAGCAAATTGCAAGCCTCATAAGGCGTAGGCCCATGCCGACTGGCGACCGAGAGCTATGGGAGAGATTTGAAGGCCTGAATTGATGACTTCGCGAAGACCACTAGTTTGCTCGGAAACCATATAACGATCCTCGAAACCTGCCACCTCGAAGAGCAATTGATCTCTTATCGGGAGGCGTACCGTCGTCGCATGGAAGATCTTACGACCGCTCCCCGAGTCGCCCGGATTAGCAATCCGGAGCTCAATTCCGCTCGGACGTTTGATGAGACGAGATTGGTCACACGACTCGCCCGCTTACAGTATTTTTCCCCCGGGAAGGGGGGGGCCAGGGTTATTATGCGGGGAACACTAGACTCAAATCGGACATTATCGCAGCCATGTAAACAAACAGACTTCATTGTCCCCCTTTTCATCCGTAATTTAAGCCAAGATATCTTCTTATTATCAAATTATCAAATTCTGGAAGGACAGCTTCAGCCAATGCACCATTTGCCCTCGTAACAAGTACCCTCTTCAAACAGCAAGCTTCTCCACCTGCTCATCCTTCTCAACTGTAGCCTCAACATGCTCAGTCATCAACTCCTTAACCCCCTTCAAGAACACAATTGAGACGATAGCCAGCACCACAAATGGAATGATACTCGACCAAGCCAATCGGTAAGCTGCCGCATAACTTTCCTGACTCGCGTGCGTCGCTGCTGCCAGGATTGCCGGCGAAACTCCCGGGATACCAGAGAATCCAGTACCGGACGCGAAAGCTTTAAGCAGAGCAGGGACCGAGGAGCTTGGCAGGCCAGCTTTGGTGGCAGCATTTGAAACGGCGGGAGCATAAGTCGACTTGAGCTTGCTATTAATGATGGTATCGAGAACTGCGGACCCGAAAGCTCCGCCAATGGCTCTGGCAGAGAATGCAAGACCGGTTGCGGTGGAGAGGTAAGCGTGGGGCGTTGTGAATTGGACAAGTGCAACAAGGAGGGTGAGCGGTCCACTTTGGCCGATACCAGCTGACTGATGTCAGTCGATGTTGGGAGAAGGTAGAGTGAGGACTTACAAAGAATATTGAACGCAAGTTGAGCATGGTTCATGCTCGGCTTGATATTTGCATAGCAGATCGTGCTGAGGTATATTAGATTGGACGCTTTCGGTTGATCTCAGGGACTTACACCACTAAGAAAAACGTAAATGTGATTAGAAGAGGCGTCTTCAGATCTTTCTTCCACGTAGCATAAAGTGTAATGGGGATCGAGGTGAAGAGTGACAATAAAGTGTAAGAGAGCTGCCGGATCGAGATCTTCCATGCCGAAGTTTCAAAGCCTAAGTTAAGGACTATTAAGGGCGTGATACTGTTGACTGCACTGTAGAAGATCCAGCCTTCAACCGCAAACGCGAACACCGAAAGTGAAAAGTTCGGGCCGTTTCTGAAGAAGACATGTGCCACAAGTCCATCATCTCTGCCCTTCCATTCTGCAAGAAAATTAGCTTAAAAATTATATTTTCGCTGCGAGGCACTGACCGTAAATTGCAAAAGCAACTAAGCAGGCAAGTCCGATCGTGAGCGGTGCCACGACGTGCTTGTCATGCCATGGGTAAACTCCACCAGCCCAATCCAAAGCCAAAAGTGTAAGCGTAGTTGCAACAATAAAGAGGAAGGATCCAATAGGATCACAAGCCCAGAGAACCTCCTTCAACGACATTTTTGGAAAATCAGACTCCTTCTTCGGATGGTAAAAAGCCAGTAATCCGAGCACTGTTAGAGCAAAGAAGCCGGCTTGCATCCAGAAGATGTTGCGCCAGCCGCCTGGGTTCGCATTTGTTGCAGCTCCTGCGCCGAGACTTCCAATTCTGGGTCACATGTGAGCTTGATTTAAAGTATGAGATGTGAGGTGAGAACACTTACAATCCTCCCATAGCTCCGCCAAGGAATGCAAACCCGTTGGCCAAAGCACGATACTTCAAAGGTAGAACTTCTGATGGAATAGCTTGCACAATAGAGATTGTAGAAAGGGTGCATCCGACAAGAATTCCCCCTCCAATCAGCATATTCATTGAAGTTGCCTTGGCCGAGACAACGGCTCCAATGAACGAAAGAACTGGCGGTCCCATAGCCAGGTATTTCCTGTCGAGGACGTCGGAGAGGCGACCGACGATGGGAGACAGCACGCTTTGCATGAGCAACGGTCCCTTTCTTTGTCAGCTTGGAAAATGGTGGGAAGTTAGGAATAGCACACCTGAATGATCCATCCTGCAATTGGGGCATCGCCAATATCTCTGATTATGAAGCCAATGACTGATCCAGCAGCCACAACGACGAAAACTTGGGCCATGATGGCAAAACAAGTCACACTACAAATTTTATTAGCCAATGCCAACCCTATTGAATGCATCCAAGGAAATAACTTACAAAACAACCATCCAAGACCTCCAGGTCAAATTAATATGATGATCATCTCTATAGGAGTCCACCTTGACCACATTTGCGGCGGTATTCTCCTCTACCTGAGCAACAGAAACAATCTTGTCTTCAGGCTGTGCTGTAGGCTCAACCCTATTCTCAGTTTCTTCTGCCATCTTGCCAAATATGCCTTTACTTTCGAATCTGTATTTCTCCAAGCAAACAAAGTATGGTTGAGCAGTTGAAAAGTGTTGATCGACGTTGGAAGAAAATATTGCCAGGGTATGTACAAGGGATCTTCAAAGCTTTCTTATCCCCGCGTCCCCAAGGAACTTCCCCATGAAACTCGGACTCTTCCCCGCTATGATGCAGAGCTGCTGACCTGCATGCCGCAATAACCCCGGTCTCTTGTTTTTACTCCCCGACCCCGCCTCCCATGTGTCGCTCCTCCCTTCCCCGCATCAAAGCTCTTCGGCAATTCTCCCTCTTTCCAACACAAAAAGTATGAATATTTGCCGCGTGCCCTAAATGATTAGAAATATCGGGGTACATGAAGGGGGAATGAGAGGTCACTGCGTGAGATGGTGTTGCAGGTGGCTGTCTGTGAGTTAGCGCGGATGTGTCGGAGACATCCCGTGTGACTGGTTTGATAGCACCGGGATTCCCCCTCGACGTGCAGGAAAAAGCCCGTGGTGGGAACGCCACGTGTGGATTTGGAATGGCTGTACGAAGTACTACTCTGGAGTCTGGACCTGACCCGTCTTTGCGGTTTCATCCTTGACACCAGGAAATGTAATGATTGGATTTTCTAGCATTTGGAGAACATCGATTTGATATGAAAGCTCCTCTTCCCGAGCATTTGTCACCATTAACTCGACCCTCGCGATCCTACAGCACTTTCTCGGATGTGAGTCTTTTATGTCAATTTGTTGAAGCTACACTCCAGCTAGGCTTAATCATCCTTCATAAATCGTGTGAGAGTATCGTTTCGAGCAATTGCACTTCGGATTTTCTTCCCGAAAATCCACAACGGGATTGTCAACACCACTACGGCGACTAAATGATGTTAGCATGCATTTCTCGACCTTAAGAGCCGGAATATCATGCAGCATCAAAAGTTCCTTCGCAAGGAGAATTTTCTTTGACTTACTGAAACTGCTGCCCAAAACATTGAAAACATTCAATGGCCCTTCATTTGTCACCCAATCATTCACAAAGTAGGTCAACCCAAAGGTCAGCAGATTGCGAGCATTGATTGCCACGAAAGCTATGAGGTTGGATGTTAGCTCTAAACAACAGATAGAAGCGGGGAGTGAAACCTTCTTCGCTCAAGTCCTCATATGAGTCAATGATATATCCAAAAACACATCCAGTCTCAAACGTCATTGTCAAGTTTGCAATACCAAAACAAAGTACCGGCCCAATCCAGTGAGTCTTGTAGTGAAGTGTGGCGCCGAAGCCAAAGAAGCCCACAATGCCAAGTATTAAGACTGGGAACATCAAAACCAGTCTGAATTCTGGCTCGTAAATACCATGGTTCTTTTTGGTAAGATAAAGACAGATGAAGTCATTCAAAGGCCCGGCGATCAACAGACCCACAACTGTCATGACTAATGGGGAGATGCTAATGAGACCGATTTGAGAGGGCGAGAAGGAATATGGGGGAAGCCCGAAGATTTGGGCGTTGACAACGGAGAAGACGACTATCCAAGTCAGGGTCACACCATATACAAGAAATCCCCAAAGGACCCCGGGATACCAGAAGATGACGGCTGGGCGGATCAAGATCTGCCAGAACGGAGCAGTGGTATATTTCTTCCCCGTCATGAATCGAAGCGATCTCAGATAAGAATCTTTTTGATACGGGACAGCAGAATCTTGGGGGCTCAATCTTGACTCGTCGGGAGCTTCTTTTCCATCCTTGGCGGTCGGCTTGTCGTTGTCCGAAACTTGCAGATCGGCACCGGCAAGTCTCCTTTCGATGGGATCGCGAATGTAGGCCGTTTCCGGGACGAAGAAGAATATCAAGGGGATGAGCATGCCAAAGAGGATGGCGCAGATACCGAATGTCCATTTCCAACCAATATCCTAGAGTTATTGTTAGAGTTTTGGCCATCTATCAGAACGTTGCTATGTCTATTAGACATCACCAACTCACCTCGATGATATACCCACTGATCAAACTCCCACCAGAGATCCCACCAAGTAAAAACATATTCCAAGCTGCGATCCTTGTTGCTCGCTCGTGCACGAAGTATAAGTCTCCGATGGTACACTGAACCAAAATTTCATAAGGAGCCATCCCGAAGCCGGCGACAACTCGGCTGGCAAGAAAGGAGCTATAATTTTTGGCGTATGCTCCCCAGACGCAACATGCAAACATTACACAAATGGAAATAAGGAAGACGGGTCGCCTTCCCAACACCTTTGCCAAAGGATTCATAATGAAGAGCGACAGTCCAATGGTGAGAATCAGCCAAGCTGTGCTTTGCCCCAATGTGGGCACTCCAATGTGCAAATCGGCGGCGATAACGAGGAAACCTGGTGATAGCATTGGGCCGTAGGCCCCGACGATGGCCGCTACAAAGCCGGCAAGGATGAGGATCATATCTTTTCTCCATGTTGGCCAATTCAATGGATCGTTGGGAGAGTCTGATGGCTGAGGAACCAATATCACATGGGAGTATCTTCCAGTTCCATGCTTCAGTAACTCGCGAGGAATTTGCTCGTACCCTCGGGGTACATCCAACTGGTCGTTCATACAAGCTGTCCTGATCATCAGCGGAATTTGCGTTCAAGTTGGCCTTTGCCACTAACATGTTCCAGGAACTTGCTCCAACCCCTTGTCTTCCAAAATCCCGAACGGCATCTTGAGAGAAATCTGGACTGGCAGACGAAGCCTAGGATGATGAGAAGACAACGGACGAGATGAAGTTGCTGGCGTTGAAGAAAGTGCCATCTCTCACGCCGAGTTATACAAAAGCTGTTCAGATACGTGCCGAAATTGGTCTTGATCGGCACTTGCTGAATTGATACTCCTGCCGAGCTCGTCTCCAAGTACAGTAGGGCCGAAACCGAAGTCAATTAAGCCCTAAAGTGACCCTTTCCGATGGCCACAACCCACAGGGTGCAAGGAAGAGGCAAGCCTCTGCCGCGTGCCGGTCTCAAAGGCTTGCTGGCCATGATGAGCTATCACTGATCAATTATGACCGTTTAAATATCGCCACGACTTCCGAAGACAAGTACTCGGCGAGTGGTGGGAGGGAGCGACGATGAAAATCCACACTCGTGATTTTCTGGAGAGCTGGGGGAGGGTGGAGATGAGTGGTCCCGCTTATTACCACAGCCCTCCCCGTTGCTCCCCCACCCCTGGAGAACCCCATTGTCTCTGCCTCACCAACCCTCCCCGAAACTTACCCACCTCAGTAATTAGGTTCGAGTATCGGTATAAGCCATCCGATAATGGCTCAAGCGACCATTCGTCCACATTCAGACGGTTGCCAGTCCTCCTGGCTCGTCCCAAGCTGGTTCACAGAGACGTCTATACTTCTCGAGTTTCAGGGGATCTTGCAAGGCCGCTTCTAATCGGCCACTTCAGTCAAAATGGCTTCTTCGGCCCAACCGCCCAAGTCAGGAGTTCGCGTAATCGTTGTTGGTGCAGGCTTTGCTGGATTGACTGCAGCCATTGAATGCCATCGAAAAGGGCATGATGTCCTCATCCTCGAAAGCTTTCCTGAACTCAAAATACTGGGCGATATCATCAGTTTTGCACCAAATTCTGGTCGGATCTTCCAGCGCTGGCCTGGAGTGGACGCACAATTAGACCCCATCATCCATAAAAGCGATGGATTGCTCATCAAGACATATCTCGGCGAAACCCTGACCAAACAGATTTGGGACGCTGAAGGCCTTGCCTATGGGAAAGCCTACAACGGTCACAGAGGAGAGATTCATGAGATCGTTTATCATCATGCCCTAGATATAGGAATTGATATTCGTTTGGGATATAAGGTGGATGACTATTTCGAAACGGAAGACGAAGCCGGTGTTGTCGCAAATGGAGAAAGATTTGTTGGCGACGTTGTCCTGGCAGCCGACGGTGTGAGATCCAAAGGCCGAACCATCGTTCTGGGATATGAAGACAAGCCGAAGTCTTCGGGTTATGCCATTTATCGGACTTGGTTCGATTCCGCAAGGCTTGCTGAGGATCCAGATACAGCCTGGATGGTTACGAATGGGGACAGGCATTGTGCATGGCTCGGTAAGGGGATCCAGCACCGAAGTTCCCTAGACTGACGTGAAACAGGGCCTGACATCCATTTTATTGCTGCATCAATCAAGAACGGAAAAGATTTTAGCTGGGTTTGCACGCACAAAGTGAGTCAAAATGCAAGTAGACTCAGATTGTTTCTGACTTCGATTCCAGGATGAAGCAGACATCGAGGAAAGCTGGCAAGCGCATGCTCCCCTAGCTGACGCCCTGAAGGTCTTGGAAGGGTGGGATCCAGTAGTCCTGAAGATCTTGAAAGCGACACCAGACCCATTGATTGACTGGAAGCTGGTCTATCGAGAGCCTCTGCCAACTTGGATCTCTCCTAAACGTCGCATTGCTCTCATTGGAGATGCTGCACACCCATTCCTTCCAACTTCAATCCAAGGAGCAAGTCAAGCAATGGAGGATGGAGCAACGTTAGGAGTCTGTTTGACTCGAGGTGGGAAAACTCATGTCCAGGAAGCAGTAGCCGCATTTGAAGCTTTAAGGTATGAACGTGTGCGAGCTGCACAGAAGACGGGAGAGAAGACCCGTGATACATGGCACAAGGTCGATTGGAAGGAGGCAAAGAAGGATCCGGAAAGCATCAAGTTGAAGCGCGGTTCTTGGCTTCTCAACTTTGACGCCGAGGAATACGCTGAAGAGAACTATTCACGCACAGTCGCTTTGTTGCATGATCCTGTTGCTGTTCGAGCGCTCCATCGACCGAATGCAATAAAATAGATAGGGGTTTATATGGAGAGTCGCTTACTCGTTAGGGGTCTCTATGTCAACTGCGAGGTCAGCAAATAGGAATTGCAGTGCAGAGATAGACGTAGCTTTCCTCAACAAACCTCGTGGGGCCTTCAGTGTCTCAATCGGAACAGCAGTTGCCGTGAACGATTGCCGTGGCATACTGTATGTTTCGCCGAGGCGTTCAATCAGAGGTGGACTCCAGTCAAGGGATTCGATGCAGCCGAGAGAGAGAGGCGGCTTCGGGGAGGAGACGTCGCCAGGCTGGCACTAGTTGGTGCACTAGGGTTCTACTGTACTTTTCAGGCCGCACGCCCTGCAAGCGAGCCCCTGTCAAAGAGTCAATTCCCCACGCTCTGGCGCTCTGGCGGGGTTCCCCGCTCCAGGGTTACATACCTCGCCCGTCCTCTTCTCAGCAACTCTCAGCTGCAAAAACCTTTCTCCAAGTGTTTTACATGCTTTGATATCACTTCGCAATGTCTCTCCTCTCAGCACTAGCTTCCTGGTACACCTGGGCTGGCCTCGTCGCCATCCCTTTGGTCATCCTTCTCAGTGATATCTGGACATGGTACCGCATGCCACCAGGACCATTGCCTCTCCCATTTGTCGGCAACAAATTTCCCAGCTCAAAGCCATGGATCCAATTCCAAGAATGGTCCAAGATATACGGCCCAATCTTCACCGTCTGGGTTGGAAGAAGGCCTACGCTGGTTATATCGGACCCGCAAATCGCTGTTGACCTGATGGAGAAGCGGAGCAATAAATATTCTTCGAGACCAAGATTCGTGGTCATGGGAGAGATCTATGGAGGAGGGTCGGTGCTTGTACAGCCGTATGGAAAAGAGTGGTCCGTGAGAAGGAAGCTGCTGCACCGTGCTATGACTCCAGCAGCTCTCCGGACATACAAAGCTCGGCAAGAAGCAGAATCCACTCGACTGGCATTCCGTATCATGCGGAACCCAGACAACTGGGAACGTGAGTTTGACCGATTCACGGCCAGTGTAGTGTTCTCGATATCGTACGGCCATCGGATCGATTCTGTCGATTCTCCAATTATTCGGGAGCGACTTGAGTTCATGCATTTTATGGCTTCCTTGAACGTTCCTGGTGCCTACAAGGCGGAATCGTTCCCAATTCTCAAATATATACCCCCGTTCTTGGCCCCTTGGAAGAGGAATATCGAGGCACATTCCAACTTGGAGGCTCAATCGAACATTGCGCTTGTTGAGGGAGTGAAAAGAGATATTTTGGTTGCAAAAGAGAAAGGCCTTGAAGCTGCTCCTTCTCTAACACAGACACTGCTCGCTGTTCGCGAAGAGGAGCACATCCCACTCCCAGAAAAGGATTTCTGCAATGTGCCATCTTCCTTATTCGGTGCTGGATCAGATACAACTGCATCAACACTGTGCTCCGCCATCCTAGCCCTCGTCACACACCCCGAAGCTCTGGTCGTCGCTCACGCTGAGATGGAGTCCGTAATTGGCATCAGCCGAACGCCAACTTTCGACGATGAAGCAAACCTCCCCTACATCCGCGCTCTTGCAAAAGAGGTTCTCCGATGGCGTCCCGTAGCCGTGCTGGGAGGAACTCCTCATGCCTCGACAGAAGACGATAACTATGAAGGCTGGTTGATCCCACGGGGTACCACGATTCTTGGGAATTCTTGGGCCATAAACCTCAACGACGAATACTATCCCAAGCCTGACCTCTTCAACCCAGCTCGATTTCTCGATGAAAAAGACCCAAGGTATGTTCCCGAATTAAAGGGACAGAAGACTCATCCGGCAAAAGCGGGACACTCGTCTTTTGGCTGGGGCAGGAGGATCTGTCCTGGTGCTGATCTTGCGGCCAATTCACTTTTTATCGCATTGGCGAAGCTCATTTGGTCTTTTGATATTCAGGCTACGAGGACATAGTAAGTCAATATATGTGCTCAAGAGATCAAATGGAGTACAGTACTGACTCTTTTGAGTGATACTCTTGACTACACAGATGGCTTCAACATCCGCCCAAAACCTTTCAAGTGCTCGATTCGGATCAGGAGTGAAGAGCACAAGAGGACTCTCGAGAAAGAGAAGCTTGAAGCTGACAAAGAGATGGAGAAATTCCCAGCCTATGTTTAAACAGCCATGCTTGTCTGGGAAGGAATCTCCTCCCATAATTGGAAGAAATGCCATGTGATAACTGTTGTACATAAAGTAATATTTTGAAGTCATGTCAGGTGTTACGATCACAATTCAGCTAATATGTCACGTGCAGAGTCACGTGTGTGTTAATTAAATTAATAATGAATATTCATGATTAATCTGATTAATAAGTGATTAGAATATGATTAATGAGTATATTTCGTGGATAGATTAGATCAATAGCCATTAATCTAATCTAATTTCATTTGACACACTGCACACCTACCACTTTCACAACCCCCCAAAATCCTCCTCATCATCATTCCCACAAACTCCATCAAAATCCCCATAGACCTCCATCCCCCTCCTCACAATCCGCGTAAACTCGTCAAAGGGACAACTCGCTCCCGGTCCATCCTGACACCTCGGAATCGGTCTCGGTGCACTATTTGCAATAACCCGAACATACTCCTTCTCCTCCTTCTGGTCCATACTCACTTCCTTACATGTCAACTTCTCGATTCCCACATGGCCAAGGAAAGGGATGAGTTCCGCCATTTTCCAACTCCGGCTCCAGTTTATCCTGTCAGTGGGGAACTCTTCCGCGAATGCGTTCGAGGAGTTGAACAGCCCGAGAGCGGTAGCTATGAAAGGCGGGACTTCTCTATGTGTGAAAGCGAGGAAGAAGCGTTGGCCATCGTCATCAGGTATATCTCCCTCTCCCTCTCCCTCTCCCTCTCCCTCTTCATGTCTCGGAGCGTGGAACTTCGACATCAGTTCTGAAGCAGTGTTCAACCAGGGGAAACCAAGGTACGGTGATAACGGGTTGCCATGTCCGACCATATAGGAGTATTTCAGATCCCATGCATATTCATAGGCCATCCATTCCGAGTCTGTAAACACGTCGCAGATATCGCTTTTCTTTCCCCGGATCGCGGATTCGTAGCCGCAGAGTTGTTGGAGGCCCATGATATCTGTCTCTGCTAGCTTCACGGGAGAGAATCTCTGCAGACGACTAATGATGGGGATTGTGTAATGTGACATGAATGTCTCAAGCTCGCCATTCCCAGGTTTCTTTGAGAAAGCTTTGCATGCTTTATGTGGATCTTGAGCGTGAAAAGAGGACCGGTTCAAGTTAATCTCCACAACCTCTACTTCCTGTGGAAACACCTTCACAAACGCGGCAGCCGTGTCCTTTATCCTCGCTCTCTTGTCCGCATATATCCGTTTCGTCGTGGGTACCAGCTTCGGGTATCGAGAAAGAAGACGCTTTCCCACTTTCTTTGAGTCTTTGATTCCCTGGGGAGTGATCTGTTCCAATTGGTTCTCTGGATCGTTAATTGGGTTCTCCCATTTATCGAAGGAAAGAGGGCCTTTCCACCCTCCCCGCTTCTTGTTAGAGAGGGAAGAAGTGTATGTGCAGTTGAGCTTCTTAATGAATGGTTCAATGTACTGTTCATAGTCGTCATCGTTTGCATAAATTGCAGCGTGTCGGATCAGATATGAAGCCGCCGTCACTTCACAATACTGCGGGGCGGCATGAGATCTGGCAGCGAGGGAATCAGCAATCATCGGTGAACACTGCCTCTGTAATGTTGAATATTTTCTGTCGAATAGCATGAGAATATCAGAGTAAGAAGGAACTTTTCTCCCTTTACTTACAGTCCTGATCCTATAACATCGAAATAGGGACTGATTCCAGGCAAGTGTCTACCATAAGTCTCAATCAGTCTCAATTCCTATAATTTGGCATGACCAGACATATTTTACGATCTATGAAAGAAAGACCTACAGTAATGGGTCGAATTTATATCCTTCAGTATGAGATTCTGGATAGAGTGGGATCTGGGCGGCGGTTCCGAGTTGGAGGAGCAATTGTCCTATGGCAATTCCTGCCAATTGGCACTGTACCTGGACCATGTTGTCATATCTATCCTCAGAATTATGTGAATCAGTGGGTTTGATGTGGTCCTGGAGTGTGAGCAAGAAATGATGGCAACAATGACATCACTGTCGGTCAGTTTTTGCACCGAGGCTCGCTAATTTCAGGGGCTGCGGCTGCCCAGGATGGCCATGGCTAAAGCGTCAGGGGCTGACCCAAAATTCATGTCAGTCTCGAGGTTCCATTTGCATAGAAAACTGTGCAAATTTAATTAGTCATTCATTGTATCTGTTAACTTCCTAGCCTTATATGTCGTTCTATCATACCTCCAACCATCCGCCTTGACATCCATCCCTATTGTCCTCACCCGCGCTGAGCAATACCTATTTTCTCTACTCCTCAAAAGATGGGACGATAAGCTCTGCATGGACATTTTTGTGTCACAGGGGGTCCAGAGCCGTCGACCACTCAGGAGCCTCAACAGCACTGCTGTGATCGGTTTTTGATTTTGAGCAGTCCTTGCACCCACAGAAGGAGAGAAAGCGATTGCGAGACGTGTAGAAGGAAAGGGGAAGAAAGATGGTTGAAGGGTACAGTACCTCCAATATGAACTGCCAAAAAGCAACCAGGGGGCAGAAACATCCTTCTCACAAATCCAAGGAACAATTTTGAGGCTCAGCGAGACAGCGAGTGTTCCTGGACTCCGAGCAATACAAATTTTGACAGCGCTTCCCACTTCAAAGCCACCGCCCCTTCTTTGGCTGGTGGTGCCCCCAGCTGAATCCTCCTATCCGAATCTGGACAAGCTGTCCATGGTGATCGAAAGGTGCAGGGAGATGCTATCGTTTCGGACGTTAAAAACAACCTTAAACGGGGCAGAACTGTACAGAAGTACATCCATTAGCAATGGCAGCCTATGCAATGTCGGTCTGGAAGCAGGTCGCAGTGACGAGTATACAAGTTGGATATCGCATCGACCAAAAGCGGATGAAGTACGAGAGAATTCCAGACATCAGCCCCAGGCCCCGATCCTGTGCATGGAAAGGGGAGGAGCTGAGCTCATACTTGGCGAAAGTTGAATAAGAATTAAGGGGTTGACGAGAGAAGAAGGAGAAGGAGTTGTGCCGTGAAGAAATGAGGCGGCGTCCCGACCAAGGGAAGGGGCGAAAGGCGCTGTGCTCAAGAATACGCCGAGAAGAGTAGAATTAGGCACTCGCCTAGCCTTGACCCCCTGGCTATCGGACCGCTTCTTCCCTTCCTTCTACGGAGCACCCTCTGCTCCCAGGAACACACAACATGACAATTTCCCCATCTTTATCGGTCGATTGACCGGATTCATCAATGCAATTCCTGGGTCAGCCAGTGGCAGCATCACGCCGACCACGCCGATCACATTGCAGCAAAGATCTGCAAGCTCCCAGAATCAGTCTTAAGTAATTGGGCATTCTGTGAGGTAGATGTCAGTCGCAATTGCACTCTACCCTCTAAGGGCAGGTCCTCGTGTTTCATCTAAAGAATTGCCAACCAAGATCTTACGCTGCTCGATACCACCCAAGGCAAAGTTTCCAGGCAGCCGCCGGTCAAGAGTCCCATGTCGTATGCTGCTTCATAATCATCTCTTCCCTTCAGACTCCAAAGAGAATACTGAAAGGATAATTGGTCCTCTCCCTCTTTACAAGTACTTCCTTACACTACTATTATTCTAAAATGACTCGAAGTAAAATACCTGTTGGCCTTCTACGCTAAAACCCCACAAAGTCATGCTGGCAAACCCCACCTCTGCTTATCGCCGACCACCACCGCACTACACTACTCCTCCGTTGCGCCATAATTGGACCAGGCATAACAAGTACTGCCATAGCATGCAAACTGCTGCAAGAACCACCCAATGCTTCCATCGACATTCCTAGAAGCACGCCAAGTATCCAGCGGAGCTACAGGTCGCAACGGTGGCCATTGCCGCGTTGGGCGGTACTTGGACTTCAAGAACTACCTTGAAGCTTTCGGGAAAGAAGATGCATTGAAGCTTGAGGTTCTAGAGGAGGAGAACGTGGCGAATTTGGGGGGATTAATCAAAGAGCTGGGCATCGAGTCGATTTGAGAGATGTGGAGACGCTCGATGTTCTCGCTGAATCCGTGAAATGGGAGGCAGCCCTGGAGGAACAGGCAGCAAGGAAGGAAATCCTCGAAGGGAATGTCGAGACAGGAATTTTGACCAAGCATCGGGTATGGAGTGCAACGTGGACGCGAGAAGAACTGCTTATCCCCGAAGGCGTGGGAGCTATTTCCTTTTCGGCCTAAGCTCTTTCCCCTTACAAGTTTTTTTTGTGCGTTACTTGAGATTTGCATCAAGAAGGGCTTGAATCTACAGACGAACACGCCTGTTGTTGAAGTTTCGCAATACCCGACTTGTGATTCGAAGAAAGAATGGATTGTGCACACGGACAGGGGCAACATCAGGGCTTCCAAGCTCATTTTGGCAACGAATGCCTACACTGGCGCTTTATTTCGCCAGCTGCCTCGTGCATCATTCCCACCCGAGCACAGGTCGCCTCCCTTCGGCCAGGCTCGCGCATTGTGAACAACCCAGCTCTTAAGCGAACGATGATTTAAGAAAGCCCTATATCCGGAGAACATATGCAGTCTCGAGCAGTCCTTCTCTGGAGCAGGAGATATCATCATTGGTAAGCGTCCTTGTTCCTCCACATGACCGTCTGCTGACTTGATTCAAGGCGGTGGGACAAGACTTGGAACTAATGGCGAGCAGCCACCATTGGATGATACAACAATTAATTCAAAAATCTCAGAATACTTAACGCATGCATGCGCCGGGTATTTTGGCTGAGAGAATTGGGTAGAGGATGGGAAGGTATTGCAAGCGTGGACTTTAATCATGGGATACACTCTTGAGGAGCAGCCAATTATTGGTGAAGCTCCTGCTCGGGAGGAACTGTGGATCTGTGCTGGATTTCATGACCAGAAGAAAAGAAGAATAGGTTTGTAAAAGGAATCTGTTTTTTTTTTTTGAGTACAAAACTTTTGGGAATACAATTCAGCGTTCGTGAAATGGGTGCTCCGGTTGTCCGAATGGTAGTTCCTTCCTTTCTTGAATCTGCAATGCAGCGTCAACAGAAAGAATAGTTTCAAGTAACTCCCTTTTATAATCCACCTTTCGTCATATCTCATCTCTCGTTAGAGCGAAAATTCGTACATAAGTTATGCTCTTGTCAATCACTTGGACGATAGTTCTTCACGACTCCGGAGAGCCGACAGAAAAAATCCAGATGATTGTCATATATCTTGGTATTCGAGTGTCCTTCAGAACAAAGCTGGATCACGTTCGCAATTCGAGCTTCGTCTTACTAGCCACTATTAGCTGCTTCATGCGTCATAGAGATCTTCGTGCTTGACCTCATGAACCTCAGACAATGGTATCTCCTCAGACAACGATGCCTCCTTGGACATCACTGTCTCCTCAGACAATGCTGTTCCACCCTCGCTGCCCTCTGTTGTGAATTCACCTGACTCCTTGGTGCTTTGGCCAGAAAGCTCCTCTCGAATTTCTTGCTGTTCAGGAACAGGGGTAGCAGGCATCTCGACTGGGTTGTCATAGTTATTGAAGTCTCTAGCATTAGTTTCAACTGGGTCCGATCCGAGTCCATGCGTGGTAGGGATCATGTCAATAGAGCGGTCATTGGTTGGGTCAAGTCCGTATGCCATGCCGAACAGATCGAGCGCACGTTGAGTGGGCGAGCGGTGGCAGTTAGACGGGGTGCCGCTGTCGGACTGAGGTCGACGATGTTGAGATTGCCCGTGCTGGATAGTATTATTGACGACTATTCCTGAGTCGTAGCTCCGAGGACGTTGCCGGCGGGGGCGGGCAGAGGTTACGCTATGGGGGAATTCGTCGTCGTCATCAATGGCAATAGGAGCGTTGTTAGATGGGGAACCACAGCGACCACGGAGTATACTCCCACTAGGTTCGTCTCGGGGTGCGAGATTTGGTCTCGTGGATTCAGACATGGGAAATTGTTCGACGAAACCGGGTTGCTGAGAGCGGTGGCGATTGCGGCGGACATGGATGAGCAGGAAGGTGATGGCGACAACCACGATAAGGAATGCCGGAATTCCGAGCCCAAGGCCAATTTTTTGACCTGTTGTAAGCTTGCTCTTCTGGTGGATGTCAAGTGGAACGAGAAGTGGCTTGGTGATAATAGCTGTTGCAGTTCCGATAGTCGTTGTGATTGAGGTGAATTGCTTGCTAGCAAGCGATGCTTCGAGTACTGAAAGTGCTGACAGTGAAGCCGACTGTGCTGAAAGAGCAGCCGACTCTGCTAAAGCTTCGGACTTCAGAATTGACACCTCAATAGAGCCAAGGGAGAAGAGTGCAGGCGCGATTGAGGCAGCAATCTTGGCTTCCGAGGTGTAAAGGGCGTACTCCGAGACGGGAACGCTGGTGATCCAAGCAGAGTTTGCAAGACCTTCGACCCAAGACGATAGGGCATTCATAAACATAAGGCCATCAAAACCGGCATTGCCAGATGTGGCGGACGCTGGAAGGGAAGAGATTGGTGAAGCACCGTCGGCAGGCAGTGTGAGAAGCGCGAGGAGAGAGTTGATCTCAGCCGCCACTGTGTCAATAGTTTGGGTGGGACTTGCGGGAACATTGCCATTGCTTCAAGATCTTAGATCGGCGCTCGACATTGTGGAATACGGGAGGTTGGAATAGGGACGTACCTTTGTCTCCCAATGATGGATTGAGTCTCGATTACAACCTTCGTGACAGATTGTGGACAGGGGATAACGAGTGCCAGCGCAAACATACCGAAGATCACTCCTAAAAGGAGAGAAAGGCGCATGTTTACGATCGGCTTGGTGTTTGGATAGCAAAGCTCATTCAGCAAAAGTCTTTGAAGGTTTATGGGAGCTTGCGCACGATGTGCAAAGGGTGAGCGTGGTGGTGCAGGGAGGCAAGGAACAAGAGGAGGACGAAGGGTTGAGGAGGGAGGTATTCAAGAGATCATTTGCGTATCAGAACTTTTCTAGCTATTGTCCATTTTTCGGATCTTAATTTGGCGCTAGCAAGAGAGGTCACGAGGAAGCGGTTTTGAAGCCGTGATCCGGAATGCTTCCGGGTCGATAACGATAATAGTTGTCCTAAGAGCGGGAAAGGAGGATATATAAACCGAGTTCGCTTACTAGTAAAGCAATTCGGACCTTAATTGAACCACAAGTGCAATTGGTAGGGAAGAATGTCATATAGAGGTAAGATGTACAACTCTTACCCAGTATATCTAACTAAAATATTCTTTTTCCTAATGTTTTCGTCCCGAGGAGTGAGCTTTGATATTATGGAGACAAACGTGTAAGAGGGGGTGGGTTCTCGCTTAAAGGCGGGGTGTCAACAAACAGTGGCGTCAATCAGACAGGGGTGAACTTCTGGACTTTTTATTGCATTGGTCTTTAAGAGTCTTTCAGAACTTCGTATTGCTTTCTGAGGAAGGCCTTTATTGTTTGATTGATGTCTTGTATTGTCATTCTCCCCCCCACAAGCCCTGCGCTAGATGCAGGAAAGATTCGAGCAGACAGGTGGAGTTAGAAACGGCTGATTACCAAGCTCCATGTGGAATCATTAGGCCTGGGATTTCCTAGTGCCCAACTTTGGTGAACATAATATAAATCCAGCCTTTCTCACTGCCCATGTTCTCTCTGGAACAATCACGCTAACTAACTCAACCTATTGTAAGAATACGTGCTTTACGCAGGATAATCGAGCAATTAAGGAGCTCAATGTACAGCTTCAGCGTGGAACAAAATGTAGAACAATCTTCATATTGAGGGACGAGTTTTCAATTTTGCTGGGATACTGTCTAAGCACGAGCCAGACAGTCGGAAGTCACCATTCCTCACCCTTCATTTTTGTGGCCTGCAAAAATCTTCCCGGTCTCCAACCTCAATATCATTCAAGTAGCTTTTAGAACACCAAAAGATCTAGACTCGCCCTCCAATCCCATGTACTTCTCGATGTCTCGCAAAACCCTTCCTCCCTGCAGCATCATCTTGCAGTCAAACTTTGGAACGGTCCAGGCTGAATGCGCTTTTGAAGTCTTCTGAAATCCTCCTTCATGAACTTGCGAAAGGCCTTTATAGATTTGTGTCTGTCTCCTAATCCATGCAAGCCAGCTGCCAGGTTCCAGCCCATCTTGGCAAAATCGAGCTGAACACTCTCTTCTAGCACATTTCCGGCCGTTGACTTGGATGCTTTGGTGGGAAAGACGAGAGTGATTCTTTCGAGGTGAGGAAGATGGTGCCAATATTCGACCAAGTTCCGGCTCTGACCCCACCGGTAGTGAAGCCCTAGGTGACAAGAAGTTAACGAGTGCTCGATTAAGATTGTTCCGGAGTCCTGGGACAATGCCTCAAAAGGAAAATCACTAAACAGTCCGGAATAGGAAAATTATTTTCCCTAACGCCTACAGAAAGTTAAGCCTAGTGCCAAGTGCTTCAAGTTCCTCATATCTGTAGTGCCAAGGTGTTTCCAGGTTGCTGTAGCGATTCCCCGGTCAGACTCTCCCAAAGGGTCAGTTATAGGGAAGTAGAAAAAGCCAACCTCAGGCCGGAGGTCACAGAGAGGAGCAGCTGTCAGTTTGTACTGTTTGAAGTTATGGGGAATCGAATGGAAAGGTGGATTTTTTGGACAACAAAGCCTTGGGTCTGATATGACAGAACAGAAAATAGTGAGTGGATCAAGCACAAAAGACAGGCATAATCCAAGAGTCTGGTGACATGCTCGATGTACTTGGAAGGATTTAGGAGTATCAGGGAGAAACCCTCCATCCAAATCCCGATATAACATGAAGATTCTGTTCAGGGCTTCCCTTCTCGTTGGCTTAAGGTAAAGAAAAGTATTAAGGACTCTATATATCTGTCGACTGTCAAGAGCGATGCTCGAGAACGTCATCTTTGCGTTGCTGGACCACGAAGGTCAAATATGAAGCCGTTTGCCATGCTCTGAGGTACTGAGGGAGAGCCGCATCAACTTGGCGTGCATTTTCTGCGAAATTCCACAGAGCGGTGGCTGTGATTCGCTTCAACTCTGTGATACTCCGTCCTGCATACTTCTGCGGACGGCGATATGGGATAGGACAGTGTGACACGTCGCTCTCGGCATGGGACTTCGTATATGGTTCAAGAAACAGGATTACCAGGATGAAGTCGAGCTTTGAAGTTGTTGTGGATTAAGCGAAAAGTCGGAGGAATTCGGAAGTCAGGGCTTTGCGGGCCACCTTTTTGGCTTGGAGGCAGTCTCATCTCATGTGCAAGCCGAGGAACCTACGGAACTTGCTACTTTGGGACACGACGAATCTTCGTCCGACGTCTTTCTCTCTTTGTTACATCTCACGGAGTCTGAATAACCTCACTAAAAGCTATTTTCGCCATGGCTGTCACTTGCCGGTCGATCCGTTCAGCTACCAAGAGACCAGTGAGCCTGGTTTCGAGGTTGCCTCCCACAGCCCCACGCTGCGCACATCCGCGTGGGCTCCACAGCTACAGTAGGTCTCGAGTGTTGACAATCTCCTTTTACCCAATTGTGCGAACATCCCGCTTAGTCCACGCCCACCTTTCCAAGAGTTGGGTGAGCCTCACAATCATCTGAAAGACATCAAACATCATTCGCACTTCATCCCGCTGCCTCATTTTATTCTCTGCATTTCAAAGCCTTCTCACATACAGGACATTCAAGATGGCGCACAGCAGCCCGGATCTATCCAACAGCATAACAATGCACCCTCATCCCTTCCATCTTCACCCAAATCGATCAGAGCATACGAGATCTGGCAATCATACCCCGATCCAATCCATTCCTTCGACAAAGCCTGGCTCGACCACCGCCTTCGAGGCCATTATACCCAGAGCCGAAGAAAATGGCCCCCTTTCCCGCCACACCACGCATGGTATAAATGACCTCGAAGATCAGAGACTGCCTCGATACACACGCGAGAACGATCCATACCAGCTGTCTTCAGCATACAAGAATGAGAGGGAGATCCGGCTTATCGCAGCCAATACATCGCGAAAGCGCGATGGTTGCGGTCCTATCAAGTTCAACGGTGATGCCCGCAAGGCGAGGAAGATACAGAAGTTCTACGAGACACAGAATGAAAACATAGAGCGTATGCTCAAGCCGGTGGCGGATCACCGCGCCGAAGCCAAGCAAGAAGCAGGAGAGGATCATCTCAAGTTCCAGATTGCTGTATATGGGTCCTTTGTCGCCAATATCGCCCTCGCCGCACTTCAACTTTATGGTGCCATTTCTTCTGGATCGCTCTCTCTGTTCACCACCATGGCTGATGCGATCTTTGACCCTATGTCCAATGTCACCCTGATCGTTACCAACAGAGCTGTAAAGCGTGTCGATCCGAATCGCTTCCCTTCCGGCAAGGCTCGTCTCGAAACAGTCGGAAACATTGTGTTCTGCTTTCTCATGACAGCTGTCTCCTTCATTCTGGTTGCCTTTTCAGTCCGTGAGCTCGTGCAGGGTAACAGTGCGGATACCAAATCGTTCCACCTTCCCTCGGTTATTGCAGTCGCAGTGGCTTTCACTACGAAACTCGTCCTTTTCCTCTACTGCTGGTCGCTGAAGGACAAATATTCCCAAATCAACATTCTCTGGCAAGATCATCGAAACGACTTGCTGATCAACGGCTTTGGTATCCTTACTTCCGTTGGTGGTTCAAAACTGAAATGGTGGATCGACCCTATGGGAGCTATCATTCTCTCTTGCCTGATCTCAGTCATCTGGCTCCGTACTGCATTCAGCGAGTTCCTTCTTCTCGTGGGTGTGACAGCTTCAGTTGAGATCCAACAGCTCATAACATATGTCTGCTTGACCCATTCGCCTGAAATTGAAGGAATCGATACCGTCAGAGTCTATCATTCCGGCCCGAGATTGATCGCGGAAGTTGATATCGTCATGAATGCTGCTTCCTCGTTGAGGGATACACATGATGTCGCCGAGGAGTTGCAAATCAAGCTGGAAGATCTTCCTGATATTGAGAGAGCATACGTCCACGTTGATTATGAGACGACGCACAAGCCAGAGCATGCTTACAAGAAGGATATCTAAGGCGGAATTCTTGAGAGAAAGTTCTCTATGTATTATATTCGCAGCCCCTATTATGGGAGATCTGCATTTTCGCAAACCGGGCGTTATCTGGTGGCTTCATAAAGGGAATTACTTTCAGCTCAGTACTTCGGCGTACAAAGAAATCCGAGTTTTAATGAATAAATACATGAATTTCACTTCACAAGTTTTCAACCTTGCTGCCTGCCTTCCCATTTTTTCGCCAGTGCTGCTTAACCCGCGTAGACAGAATTCTGGAAGTATGCAGACCTCGCCTTCAAATTTCTTCTCCAATCCTGCTTGACGCGCCTGCACAAACTTCTTGAAGAATTCTACCCTCTCCTCTAGTTTCCTTCCCTTCTTTTCATTTGTCCCTCGCATCGGCGATAGTGTCCCCCAACATCGTCGATCATGGATTTGACATCAAATAATGTGTGATCATCCCCGTGGTCGTCCTCAGTCAAACTGAATACCGTTGGCTTCTCGGCTCTTGATTTGCGCAAGGCCAGGAAAAAGTCCATACCCACTTCGGTATCTGTCTCGTCGGCAATCCAGCAGAGCGTGGATGTGGTCGCCTCGAGGTGCTGCAATTTTCTCCCATCTTGACAGAAATTCAGGATGTGGAGTATCGGGGACACATCTGTGGTAAACTAGCGAGGCTTGATTAAAGACCAGGGATGTATTCCTACGGGTTTGGTACTTGCTTTCAAGATAGTCTGAGTATTGCCAAACTTTTTGTCGCAGAATCGTCTCGCAGGCCAAACAGAGACGATCGGAATTGTAGCTCCGCTCGCCGTCAAAGCTGGTGGACCAAGTTCTGATGATGGGTTTTCAGAAGGTTGTTTCCATGAATATACGTCGTTGACCGTCGTACCAGGTACCGTTCTGGTCAAGTACGTTGATCGTTCCCTTCTTCGTTCAAAACCTAGCACTAAGCCATGATGTATGTCTCTCTATGTCTGGGGAAAAGTTCAGAGGGCAAGCCGAGAGACAGGATTTGAGGAATGAGGATCTAGAACTCTAAGCAGTCGCCCTGGCCACAGTCTACAGTGCAAGAGACATCTCCAAAGTACCAGCATCTCGGGTAGAACAGAGTGTGCTAACGGGACGTTACCGCTCGTCAATAAACTAAAATTATAAAGATGCAACTAGAGGAGATCGTTAAATTGTGGATCTATTAATTATATGGGAAACGTTTTGAAATCAACATTGAGCTATGGAGAGATTGTCCCAGAGGAGACCCACACATTGAGATATTACCACCGTAGCATCAACAAACTTCACTTTCCCCACAACCTACGAATAACTAGGCAGCTCATGGCCAGCTCCCCTGACGACGTTAGCCGTCGCCTCGCCCCTCTTACTCGGCAACATCTTCATCTTCATCCTCACCGCCTCCAACGCACACTCCAAATCCTGATTCCCCTCGTTCACCTTCAATGCATCCACAATCTCCCTCTCCTCCTGATCCAACAGCTTCCAGCGCATACACTCCTCTTCCCAAAAGAACAACAGTCCCACCAACTTCCTCTGAGCATGAACGCTGATCATCGCCATCTGGCTTGCGAAATTCTTGGTGACTCCGCCCGTGTTGACGGTGAGCGTTTCCGTTGCTGCTTGCCCTGCTTCTGGGACCGGGAGGATGATCTTGTGCTTTACGAGCGCTTTGTGGACTTTCTGTGAGAGAGAATCAGAACCTGTGATGCCGGCAACGTAAAAAGCTTTCCCGGAGAGATAGCGCGGGTATTTTGAAGCGCACTGGTAGGCGAGGAGTTGATCCGCTTGCGCTGGGGACAGGTCGACATCGTTTTTCGAGTCGTTTGCCATGTTCGGGATCATATTGGTGATCAAGCGGTTGAAGGAGAACTTTCTGCCTGGGGCCGCCATGGCCGTTGAGTTAGAAGGTTGTAATTTTAGGGCTTGTGATATGAATTGATGATGTTGATGTTGATGTGGGGAAAGGCTGACAGCGAGGTTGAGATTTGCTTGTTCGTAGTTTTGAGAAGAGAATGCGGAAACTTCCTTGATGTAGGCAACAGCAAGATGACAGAGCAACGTATTTTATATGATTTGAATCATGAAAGGCCGCGATTTCTACATCAAAAACCTCAACTCTCGTGGCCTTTTGTGGTTGCCTCTCATGAAGCATAACCTCCCATGGATTGCATTCCAAAACACAGCCTGTGTTGACAACCGAAGGCGATACGATTTTGACCAGCACGTGCGCAATTGACTGGTGAGAAAAGTGTGATGGGCAAGGCTGATGATTGTGCCAGTCGACCTGGACAACAATCCTCCGATGCCAATCGCTGAAGGAGCAAAAGGTCGAGGCTGCAACGAACACGTGATAAGCCACACCGTTCCCCTTCTCTGCGAACCTAGGAGGAGTAGCAACGGATCATGAACTCGCTCCGGGGACATGGACCAGGAGACGGTCTACCCTTGAGTCAATCCTGACGACCCGCATCGCGACATCAGAACATGGCGGCAAGAAAATCCCGAGCCCGGGTCCATCCTTGATGAACTTCTCAACGTGTGCTAAGAGAACTCAACGGCTATGGCGGCATGAATCAACGATACTTTTTCGATGAACGTCACGCATACGAAGCTGTGGATATCTGATATGATGCTTCATGCTGCAAAAGGAATCATGTTTCGAAGACTCTCTGACTGTAAGCCCCGTTGTAAGCGCTCTGCTGGCTTCCAGTCATGAAGTATCCAAGGACTGGACTCCGAACAGAGCCGAGCTCGACCCTGATGAATTCATGCAGCTCGCAATCGTAGATCCATTTTCGGCTTCGCCAGGGGATGGCCGCGAGGAATTAACCTTTCGAGAGGGACAAAAACAGCATCTGCGCCAAGGAACACTCTCCCTAGGACCGGCTATCCGTCCGTCAAAGTCAGTTGCGCGACTTTCTGGTTGGATCTTCGTACAGAATACATTGACAAGGATGTCTTATCGATTGGCTGTCTTCTTGTTTCATGATTTCCCGGAGTGCTTTGACCTTCCACCCTTCCGCATCCTTGGCACCCGGCGGCGGCAAAGGTTGGTCGATGCCAGGGAAGATTACGCGTTTGTATTTCGAGAGCCGATGACATGCGCGCACACTGTGGAGAGACGCGCCATGAGTCAACTTAGACACTTCCTACTCGACGGCAAATGCGCTTCAATGAACATGTCGAGTCAGACAGGGTCGGGCACGGAGGGCTACTTGCGTCAAGTGATGGTTGAAGAGACCCAGCTCGGCCTGGCTGCTGACGCTGGTCACCAGAGCAAGTCGCGTGATGGCGGCTGGAGCTATATTCTCCGAGGACAGAGAGGAGACTGTTGCAAATCACGGATTGCCAGTTTGGGAATTCAATTATATTACTTGCTCTTATAGGACAGAGGTTGTATATGACTGATTCGTTGACCGCTTCTGTGCAACATGATGGGCGAGATTACAGTCATGAGAATGCCCGTCAGGAACTGGTAACGACACCGCCTCTAAGCAAGACTGCCGTTGGGCGGGCAAGCTTCGCAGGGGACCATCATGTCATACAAGCGTAGCCGTTGAGAGTCACAACACTAAGCAGTATTTGCACTCGAGTCAAAGTTGATATTCAAATGAATCTAAGGTTACATCTCCGCCACGACTCTAAGTAGCTAGCTCCCTTGTTCATGGAGGAAATGATTCTCACTTATCTGATTTTCGGGTCATTATCCCAGATCTTGGAGGAGGCGGCTTGGAACCCTCTTGCATCGAGATCTCGCATGAACATATGACGAGGTGGAAATTGGGAGTTTAGGGGGAGGTTGAGAGCTTCCAGAGCACCGCTAGAAACATGATCTCCAGCGTGTGGCTTGCTTTTAAATCTCCGCGTGGGATATTCGACCTTGAAAGAAGCTGTGGATTGGTGTGGAGTGATATTAACTATTACCACCACGGAGCAAGAGACGGAGAAAAGGGGCGACAGCGTTCTGAACGTCGCTTCGCATTGCCGGTATCGAGGAGACGATGCTGATCGCGGAGAGACCGTGAGGAAAGGCTAAATTTAGCATTGAACAGCCACACTTCTGCCTGATATATGAGGCCGCAAATCGCCTCCGCCGAGAACAGGGAGGCGGTCTGCCTTGGGGGACTTTGCCAACTCACACTTGTTGCCTTCCTTCCACGACGTGCGTTTGCCCGGTGACGCCAGCCTGCATCAACGATCATGCCCGAAGAGTACCTTGAACCAGCTCTGAGCGCATTCTGCGGAGCTCGCGATGCTGCTCCAACGCTCCAACGTCCCCAGCCTGCGGTGTTCTGTTGCCCCAGCCGCGTCGTTTTGCAGTTCCACACAGAGGTGGTGGGCACGAGGAGCTAGTCTCGAATGGCTTGATGCTCTCCCCCCAATCACCATCCAAAAGACCCCTGGCATCGCAAGCTCAACATTCGTCAAAATCAACGTCAACGAATGAGCAATTCAGAACCCGTTTTCATCTCACCTGACTGCGGACAAACCAGCCCCTCGAGCAAGGATGAGATGATTCTCACTCGGTCTCATCACCTCTCTACAGGCCAGCAAGCCATCTCAACTTTCTTAACGTCCAGGGACTTCCGGAAAGACCTTCGAGGCCGGCACAAGCTTGGTTGAAAGGAGCCCCCCCTTCAAGAGCGTCCCGGTTGGCCGTACCCCATATCAAAATCAGGAGAGTCCCGAAGCTATTCATGCAGGAGAGTCCTGTTCTGGCGGAGACCTTCAGGGTGAACTCCAGTGCTGGGCCTTCCGGGCCTCGAGGGCGACGAGACTGCAACACCGGGAAACAGTTGCCACTATGCATGAACCAGCACAATCAATCAATGAGAGCTCGACGACGAGAGTACGATCAGAGATGCAAGAGAGGTAATATGTTTCACATTGCTTCGCCATGTGGTCCTGCAGTGCGCACATTCAAGTGCATGCAAGTCATCGTCGCCGACAGCATCGCACATTCAACTCCAGGTCTGGCCGCCTCGGCTCTGCCATGCTGCCACCACCACGAGGCCCGCGACTCGACCATCGGCGGGACCCCAAAGACGGTGATCGATCTTCAGCCCTAGCCACTCTTATTCCTGCCACAATTTGGAAGTAAGTTTCATGAGGCCGTTTGTGGCATTCTGACTGGGACAGTGGCTTCTCCCGCAATTTCGAGGTACCACCGGCGCGGCTGATAGGCGTTGAAACAATCTCTGGGCCATGCCCATGGATCGAATGGATGTTTCTACGGCGAATTTTGACATAATCCGGCACCCTGGAGGCGCATAAGCGCAACCACGGACTTTTTCGGCTGCCTGGGGGCAGCCGAGCAAGGATCAGGGCAAGGTGGGCGAGTGGGCAGACGGCGGGCAAACGAACTCGCAGTGCATATGCAGTCTTCAGCTCAGAAGTGCCTTGGAGGGCCTTGGAGGGGCCCTATAGTAGGTCTTTAGTTTTCGACGCTGCATGTTGCACTGCCCCCGGTTCACCAGCACCAGCGTGTGGCCTGCGCTGCACGCCCGCATCCGAGATCGCCTGAGCTCGTTATATCTGCGCTCCCCGCCATCGCTGCTGACTTCTTGCCTCCTCTTCTGTACGACGGTCTATTCGTCCCTTTTCAAGGCGCAACTTTAATTCCCATTTTCTGGGACCGCCATTCACCTTCTACAATTCGTTTTGTTCTTTCATTCGTACTTTTGTTTCCCTCACTTGGTCCTCTTTCGCCGCCAAACGCCGCCGCCCCTCGAATCTCTTGCTGGAAAAAGTCGCTCGATAGATATCTTCTTTCTGTTGTCCCACAGAACATTCCAATGCCTCCACAACTCCTGCCAGCTTCGGCTGCTGCTTTCGCGCCCCGGGCAACCTCTGTCAATGTCGTTCTGAGTTCTAAGGTGGAGCCGTGGTTAACGCAGACGCTGAAGCGCATAAACCGCATCAAGCGCCCTCTCAATAGTGTGCCGCAACACCAGAGATGTCTGACCGAAACGTTGTCATCTTCAACCGCAATATGGACCCTCACCTCTATCATGCTTCCAAAAGCTCCAGACGCCGAACTGCGCAAAGACTCGAACCCTCTGATAGAGGCTCTCTTCAACTACCAGCTCATTCACATCGAAGCATATATCGTCCATGTGGATATGGTATTGCGGAACGAGGTCGCGTTCAAGCTGACTCCCGACTCGATCGAATCCCTGATCGAATACCACAAGGATATTCATTGCGTGGACATCTCAGCAAACACATATGCCTGGTCAGAGAAGGAGCTGCAAGTAAAGAAGTTACATGAGGAATTCATTCAAGCCATCAACAAGTTTGTGTACCGAACTCATGTGTCTGCCTTGGAAGGACTAGAAGAAGATGGAGCCGGAGAGTTATTATGTGGGAAGAGCGAAGAAGTCAAGGCTAATATCATGGGCCTCTTCCTACCTCTATTACCTCCACCACCCCGGATCGTGGACGTCGTCCGACCTCCACCGCTGTTGCCCAGCTCCCCTGCTGGCGCAAACTGGTGGTCACAGTCAACTCTTCCTTCCAATGTCCCAGCTCCGGTAGACTCATGGAGAGTCATCCCATCAAGCCCAAGCACAACGTCATCAGCCGACTCTAATTCATTATGGGCCAGCATGGGACTGAACGAGATCCAACTACCGTCGCCTACGCCATCATACAGCCAGCCGTACTCGACATCCGGCCTCTTCTACAGCTCGCCCCAAGTCAGTGCTCCCATCCCCTCGCTTCCTCTACCCAGTATGCTAGCGGCACAGCAATGTGGTGTTAGCGTTGGGTATGGAGGCTTCGGCCAGAACTGGGACCGGTACCAAGAGTATGCAACAACGATGTGACAATCAAGGCCCGGTACTTTCACCAATTACACTCCTACCCACACCGGGTACTAGGACGGGCACCACCGATCATCCCCACTGCTCCTCTCACAACATTTTGGCACACAACAACCTCTGCCTGATATAGAGCGTCGAACAAATTTTTAGCGGCATTTGATACCTTCTCGAGGGGCATACCGGCGTTTTTGCATCAAACTCATCAGCGACTGAGCGACATTTTTGGGAAAACAGCACATCCACCTTCGATTTTCCTTGTCTCAAGTACATAATGGATACCATCTCCTATGTCATCTGATTATTTAGCGTAGCGTGGTTTTGCTTTCAGGGTCGGATTTATGTCTTTTTTTGGATCGAGATATTACAACCCACGGCCGCTAGCTCGGTTTTCCTTTCAAAGCATGATGGCAGGGCCGGCGGGTATTTTTCAGCATTTTCTGGCTATCAAATCTATAAAGAAAGTACCTAAAGAAAGGGGAACACGCAGCAATGCAGGACTCGGCGCGTCAGGATACACATTGTTTTCTCTATCATTCGATCGTTCTTCCGATTTCGTTTGTCTTGCGGATATATCCTGTTTACGATTCTCATGATTTGGTTTTCCTGCGACCTCTCGGTCGATAGTAGGCTTGATGTCTCTTTCGTTTTGGATGGGTTGGATTGGGAAAATTTGGGTCATGATGGATTGGGAACTTTGGATATACCGGGCTGGGCGTCTGCTTGCGGACTTCCCAGTAGAGCATGCTTGCGTGCTGACAGACGACGGGGATTTTCGATGATTCACAGACGATACAAAGCCGCTCCGCTGCGCGAGATCGGTGTAATTGTTAGTCGACCTGCCCGACTTGTCGGCTTACTTCTCTCCTCTCACACACCACCTTCGAATCGGGATACTCCTGCGAGCCAGGACTAGATGGATTACGGGGAATGGGAAGGTGACGGGATGGGATGGAGGCTGGATAATAGGGCTGTAGCTCATCTCACTACTTTCTCACACACTGCATACAATGTCTTTGGATAATGGAAGCTGTGTGAGAGCGCTCATAACTGCCGTGCAGTGAAGGCATGAGATGCTGGTTCGCTACTCGTCCCGGCGACGATTATTCTAGTAGTTAACAGTAATTCAAAGTCGTTAAACATCAACACCGCACCACAGCTGCGCATGAGATGCATGGTTTTGATCCATGTGAGTTAGTATGTCTTTCTTCAGCTCGGTTTCTGGAAAGGGGAGGTCCCACACTCGAAGAAGGGGGTTGCGAGGTTGGAGGGATGGGTCGGCGGACCCTGGGTAATCAATCCTATTCGCCGACTTACGACGGACATTTCCCCCTTTTAACGGCAGCCTTCAGCATTTTCGCCACCACCAGTATCGATTACCATGAATCCAAAGATCAGCCTTGTGATCTTGGCGGTATTCGTCAATTACTCGTTTCCAATCAGACGGGTTTCGCCATAAGCGTGGCGTTTGTTTCATGATTCCATGTCTTCCCCTCGCGGCCCTCTGTGTTTGTTTGGGGTCTGTGCTCTGAGTGGTCCAGCACTGACGCACTGTAAATTCCCCGTTGTCTCATTCCTTTTTGTAAGACAGTTCTTCTGGAATCTCGATCTTGGAGAACACGGGACGTCAGGTCTCAGACATCAGCCACTTGATGTTACCCCTCCACCATTCATATTGCCACTCGTCATAGACAGCGAATCAAGGGTAGGAGTCAATGACCAATTTCCGCCTGTACATTCAAAATTTCTGCAAACAGGGTCTTGGAGTGGAGAGAGCATGTCCAGATTTCCTTCACACTAGAGCATAGGTGAAATGACTTTCGCCCTCTTCCAAAAATAGTTCAAACATAATTACTCTCATTAATGCGTTGCTTATCCTTTTGAGTCTCAGTAAACAGGTTCGCAACAGAAGGGCCGATGGCATGTCTGAAATAATAGAGCCGTTCGGGGGGTTAACCGCTGCGACCCTTGTTTCTGCCGAACCATGAGATGAAGCTGTTGAGTCGGGCTTTACCCCCAAGCCCCGACTCCTCGAGAGTCCATCATGTCTGCCACCGAGCAAGCTCAACGCAAGACTCTGCACACGTGGAGGAGATCACTGGCTGACGAGATATTATATCTCTTCACTGATACTACTCACTTGAGAGTTATTCAATGGGAGTGGCTGCGGCTGTTCGCCTCTTTGGAGTTTAGCGAGGAGATGCTTTCTTGACTTGACGGCTGCAATACGAGTTGCATTCCATTGGTCCACCTACCTCTGGACATCTCCAGGTTGATTAGCATCAAGTCGGCCTAGGCAGTAAGCTGTGGCAACAGGAGATGCTCGAAAACCGGTGCTATGAACTGAAGTGGTTGAGGCAGTATCAAAGATGCGTAGAGTATGCCACGTCGTCTTCACCTCCAACCTCACCCTCATCATTGCCTCATTTCGTGCTCGGACGATGGATCATTAGCAACATACCTGTAAATCGAGATCTTGTCGATAGGAGCAGACGCGTCGAGAGCCCACTAGCCATTCAATTTAGTGATAATCATTGGACCTAAATCTACGTCTACGATTAACATCCTCATCCGAGCGTTGAGCTTCACAACGAAGACGACGAACTAGTTGCCAAAGCCTTCACACACCCCCAAAGCACCTCAGACTAACCCAAAAGGCCCTTTATCAGATAAAACCAGAGACTCTCGATCCAGCTATGATGAATCCCTCGCGCCAAAAGCGTTTGCCTACGTCTCATGCTCATATCTGTCTGTAACCTAGCCATGCCAGAATGCGCAATCGTTTATGCGTACACTTTGGGACTCCGATCGGTCAGAAGAATATTCGAGGTAGATGTGGAGGCTGCAGCAGTGAGAAGGCTAGGTACGTATGTGAATCTCGAAGAACCCGCGGATTCCTGTCTGATGTGTGATGACTGAGGGCTTTGAATTGATGGTGATCGAAAAGGCGGCGAAGAGGGAGGTCGAGCAATTGAATGAAATGTGGTTTGGAAGAGGAAGCTGCTTAAGATTGGAAGGGACGGTGGTGGCCTCCCCGATTTCATGTGAAGTTCGAACAGGGGGAGGAACGACGAAGCGAACCTCGCCTATAGAAACGCACCTCCTTTCTCCAATGACACTACAGTTAAGGAAGGAGCAAGTGACTTTCGATCCTGGATCTGCAGTGTTCATTGACTCGGGGGTTCTAGGCACATGTTCAAGCTTCTCGACTTCTTTTGGTCTAGAGCACATGAACGGATGGCTAGGAAATATGAATTATGACTACCATTCACACTACGAATACTGCTTCATCCCGATTTTCGTTCCTTACACAGGAACCACGACGGGCGAAACTCGCCCACCGCTACAAATTTTGGTCAAACTCTCACAAGCCAACGTCAGGTTCGCACTGCTATCTCCTATCCAGAACAAAAACGGTGCGGTTTTGCTGACAGGAATGATCCAGTTCTGGCTTACCACATCCCAGATACTCAAGTCCTTCCTCGTGATCTGTAATGTCACAACCTCGCTCGCCCCTTTCGCCAAGGTATCGGTTTTCTCGAAGGCACGCAACTGGATGATCGGTGTATCCCATGGGTTGTCCGAGGGATATTGCACGAAGACCATTACGACATCCTTTCCTGCTACAGTGCCAGTATTGGTGACTTTAACGGAAATTGTGAACATGACATCCCATAACGCTGGGTTACCGCCTTGGTCACCTCCAGCGACAGGATCGGGTTGGGGTGTGGTTTGGTAGCCGGCAGGGTAGACGAATGTATTCGTGGCTGTGATAGACTCAGGATCGTCAACATAAGGATAAAGGTATCGCCAGATTGTGTTGAACCCTGTCGGCCAGGCCACTTCCGAGGCAGGAGGAATGGATGTGCTGTACATGGGTGTTGAACCTTTCGGAGCTCGGGCGGGAGGGGTTGATGAAAGAGCTGTGACAGCTGTGATGGTTGCACTGGTGCGGGAAAATGTTGTGTATGAGAGCCCGTGGCCGAATGCGAATCGTGGGGCTATTGAATGCTTGTTCAGGTAGCGGTAGTCAATGTAGAGACCCTCGGAGAAAGTATCCTGGACTTGGAAGAATTCGAATCCTAACAGACTGACGGATGATGGGTAATTTGATTCTGCTACTGGGATAGAGTATGGAAGATGTCCGCTGGGAGAGTATTCTCCAAAGAGAATGTCCGTCAAGGAATCTCCGGCCTCTTGACCTGGTAGGTGAGCGAATATCACTGCTTTAACAGAAGGGAGATCAATCCAATTTTCGACGAGAATTGGGCCGACGGTGTGGACAACAACAATGACCGTAGCGTATTTGGCCGCAGCGGCTTCAACTAGCGCGTCTCCATTGTGCCAGGTATACAGCCCGCTCGATGAGCGATCACCATCGTTTCCTTCGACCGTGTATTGATTTTCCCCGGAATCACTTGTTACAAAAACAACAGCAATATCACCAGCTGCTGCAGTGAGGCCGGAAGGGAACGAGTCGCTTGAGTAATAGGTCACGTTCGCTGCCTTGCGTTTGATGGCATCAATTGGTGCATCAAGGTAGGGATAATTTGCGGTGCCTTTCAAGGTCTGTCAGAAAAGCCCAAATATCTTAAGAACGATGGAAACTTACCACTTCCCCATCCCATGCCAAGGATTCCTGTATTGCAGCTCCGTTGATTGCAAGCATTCGGGCCTGCCGGGTTATTCTCTGCATCTGAACCAAAGATCTTCAAAGATGCACTCGTAGAGAGTGGTAAGGCGTTGTTGACATTTTTCAATAAGGTTATAGCTTCTCTTGAGACGTTCCTTGCAACTTTTGCATGGTCTGCTTGAACATTGACGTATTGATTTGTGACGCAGGTTGGTGAAAATAAAGCTGCTGGGTAGCAAAGACCAGTGGGATCTGCAGTGTTGGCGGAGAAGTTTGGAAGTGGATAGTCTTGATCTTGTCCGAGCTGATACCACTGGATAATCTACGAATCAGCATTGTTCCATTTTATTCCATTGAAAGTCATCTAAAACCCGAGGAACTTGGAAGAGGGGAATATTAAATGTCCATAACTTTTGGGAGATTTAGGAAAGGGATCTTTTTGAATGTCCAACACTTGCCAGACATCCAAGAATCAAAAGGCAAAATCGAAAATATGCTTACGGTAGCTACAATCCTCGTCACCATGTCATTCAAGCGATTGAGGGGAACCGTGCCATTTAGAACGCTAGTGGAGAGCTCGTAAGCCCAGTACGCAAGGCCCTAGCAACGAATAAGCAACGTATTTCTTTAAGGAGGAGAGAGCCGGTAGCGGGCCGGGAGCATGGGTTGTAGGACAAAGGAATAGGTTGGCTACTAGAAATGGGATAGCACCATCGCCTTGAAGAAGTTAGTTTCCGAGTAATATTTTAACACTACAATCTTGACTCAAGATCAAAGAAAGGTGGAGTTGTAGACATACCGGGCATAGCCATATCTAAGCCAGCAAGAGCAGAGCTAACACCTCCAATTTGAGAAAGCCAGTCGGTCATCACCTAGCAAGTTTTAGCATTACCCACTGGCTGTCCTCGACTTCATATTATCTTACGAGCCCTTGAAATCCAAACTCATCCTTGAGAATTCCATTGATCATCATGCTATTCTGAGAGGAAGCGCTTCCGTTCACATCGTTGTAAGACGTCATTACTGCTCCAACACCAGCTCTAATAGCTTCTGCAAAAGGCCAAGAGTAAAGTTCGTGAAGGGTCCGATCATCGATATTGCTGCTGATCGCCTTCATCTAATGTCCATGTTCTCGAATTAGCATTTCACAAACAACTAGGATCTGAAGTTGAGGAGTTGACTGGCTTGAACGTCAAAGAGGAAATAGAGATCCGAGGAAAACAAATTTACCAAACCATGAGGAATGATATCCATCCGATATGCTTCCTGCTCATTGCCGATGAAATGTTTTATCGTTGCAATAACACCATTAGCTTGAATCCCCTTGACCGTCTCAGCACCACCCCACGCTTGAAGCACAGGGTCCGCCCCGAAACCTTCCCAATTCCTTCCCCCCCTCGGCTTCCTGCCAATTGGACCAACAACAGGACCAAGCTGGATGTTGACACCCTTTCCTCGAGCCTCTGCACCCAAAGCAACTCCTCTCGCATATGCCAAAGCTTTGTTCCAAGTAGCACCAACTGTGATTCCTGCTGGAAAAGCAGTAATGTTGTCCGTGGCACCAATGCCCAGGGCGGAATCTTGCAAGCAGAGACTTGGGATCCCAAATCGAAGCGCAGAGCCGGTGTTACCCACGCACGGCCCCATCAGTTCTCCTGTTCCTGTTGTCAAATTGACCTTCTCAGCCAAAGTCATGTTTGCGACAACTTTCTGAGCTTTTGCGTAAGCTGCTGCCCAGCTTGAAACCCATCCTCCTGGCGGAGCCGGGTAGTAGGGAGCTGCTACATAACCTGCTGGAACCGAATCCCGCTTGTCTTTGGAAGAGCCTTGAAGTTGCTGTGCCCGATTGATGTCTGCTGCAAAGTTGGGTGTTCTTACCAAAGCAAGACTGAGTGAAGTCAAGGTCAGAAGCAATACAGAGATGTAAGTAATGTGCGCCATCTTGAGAAAGCGACCACAGCGATTGGAGAGATGGGAACCGCGCAGGTCGACTCAGCGACTCTGGGTGTTCATAACACTTTTGGGAGAATGATGCACTTGTACCAATCTTGCTATTCACCCTGCACAATCACCCAACATGACGAAAGAGGGAAAGCACAACCGGAGGTATAGACATAAGAAGGCACATATGACTTGGTCCATGCAAGACAAAAATCTGGTACGGCGAGAAAGCACGGTGAGAAAGCTGGCAAAGCACGATCCAGATATCCATATCGGGTCGTACCGCCGTGGCTCGACCTTTGAGTTCCTGAGAGCCCGCCTGGCCCTGTTGACCGGTGTCTTGGTTGAGCAAGGCGTCCAGGCCTGCACGGAGCACCAATTCCTGTCTCGACCAGATTCACCTGCAGCCGAGCTGCACGCACAGGGAGACAGGGGCCTTCCCCACAAATTCGAGCGTGTGACGCAGGTGGAGCCAGTGCCGAGGTCACAAGGGGCAGGTCCATCTTATAGATTTGCAGATAAGGCGATGGCATCGAGAGTGGGAGCTACATTCTGCTCTGCCCTTCACTGCTCGGCTTCTTTCATGTGATTGCGTTGGTTAGGTCGTCGATGCGGCGGTGAATCGATGTGGAGTGTGATTCGGGCCGCCAAGTGCATCGAAGCGTGACATGCCGCGGAAGGTGCATCGTATTATCATTTTGGTCCGGTGTATTAGCGAGTAAAGGTACCACCTACCTGCCTGGCGTTGAAAGCAGATAACGGCGGCTTGGATGCGATTTGCTCTTGTTCGCTATGTTACCCCCCGTTCGTCAATACGAGCGATTAATTAATCGGGGTCCCCATTGCCCAATCGCGGGCCCCGATTGCTTAATCGCTTGCTTAAGCGAACTCCGGTTTATAAATACGAGGTCGAATACGAGCAAATTTTTAAAATACTAAAATATTTTAAAACCCATGAATTATTAAAATCCTATTAATATAATGTATTAAAAATAGTTTAGTTAATTATATTAATTAAGTAATATCGGCTTTAGCCTTTTATTAGAACTCTAAAATCTTTTTATTATAATTTTAATTTAAAAATATAAAATTATATATATATTTTAATCTTTAATGGAATTTAATATAAGAAAAATTTATTTAAGTCTCTTATAAGCATTAATCCTTTTTATTTAATTAAATTTTGGCCTTTATCCTTTATTAGAAATTTATATATTATTTTAAAATCGGGCTCCTCGCTTAGGACCGATTAATCAATCGCTCGTATTGACGAACGGGGGGTAACAGCTAGAGAGGTGCCATGAATTTCGCTTCCGTTCAGGGGTTCGGAAGTCAGAAGCTAGCGGGTCCGAATTTGGAGTCGACAATCCCCAGTTGAAGGCTAGAAGCGAGCTCAACCGGTAAAAAGATATTCCATCTGAACATTAACTATTGCTGCTCTAGCTTCCGTAACATCATCTACGCCATCAAATGAAAAGAACCTTGCCCAAGCTATGCATTCCCAAAATTAAAACCGAACTTCAAGACTGCGCTAAGGGCACGTTCTCTTTCTCTTTCTCTCCATTCCCACCACTCCTGTAGCTCGTTGTCCTCGAAAGCCCTTTCAGACTGCTGGCCCTTAGCCTCCCTGTTCTGCCCACCTCCGCACGCACGTCCATCAGAACCTGCTCTCCCTGAATCCCCAACTTCCCTATTTTTGCGGCGAGGGCGGTGTTCTCAGCTTGGAGATCACCAACCTGGCCCCTGATAATATCTTTCTCCTTCCTCAGCACGCCAACTTCGGCTCTCAGCTCTTCCAGCTCCCGCAATAACTTCGTCTTTTCATCTTTCTCAGTTTCCTTGCGCCTCCGTTCCTCCGCCTTTTGCTGTTCCCTCTCCTTCTTTTTTTCTAACTTCTCAACTTCTTTTTTGTACTTCTCTTCCTGCCTCTTCACCTCTCTCATATGTTTCTCCTCTGCCTTTCGAATAGCCTCTTCCTCTTTCGCAGTATCCTCGTTCTTTTTGCTGATCTCCTTTTCGCGAGCTTTGCTCAACTTTTCATCCAATTTCCGCTTCCTCTCCTCAAGCTTTTGAAGCTCTTTGTCTTGTTGAGTAATGGCTTTTGACTGTGCAGATGACGTTGTGGTCTTCATTGAAGATCCATCGTTATCGTCGCCCTTCTCGCCTTCAACATTTTCCAACGCTGAAGCGAAGCTCCCAGCCGATGAAGCGCTGCTTATGGAAGAAACAGAGTCGCGGCGTGGAGAGCTTCCATTTGTTGCCTCGGTGGGATGTCCGGGTAAGTGATCGGATATTATGGCTGGAGTGTGTGAGACGATGTATCCGCCTGCCGCACCTGCTATCCCAGCGGCAATTTCATATATGCCGCCTCCGTTTGGGTGGTTGACAACAGGATCCGGGTGTTCTTCTGTGCGGATTGGTTTCTCCTCGATTCCTGCTAGATGGCCGTTTGTCTGATAGTTATGCAAGTCTTGTGTGTACTTATGGCGGGGTTTATGTTCGTGCTTCTCTGCCCCCTCGCCCTGGTCATCATCTCCCACACTCTCGTCGTCACTTTCCAAATCCTCAAGATCCTTTCCACATGCCCAATTGAGGAATTTGCTAGCATCTGCTACAATGCCACCGGGCGTCCCTCGTTCAACCATGAATCGCGGAACGCTGCCTCCTGGGTCGCTTCGAGTAATCATTATCCACTCGACCGGGTTGCATTCGCTTTCGTCATCTTGTTGAGGATCGTCAAGACTCTTGCGTTTGGCGTCGGGGCTCTTAAACATATCATAGGATATCGTTTTCCCTCTGGCTCTAGTCACATGTGGAGATAGGTCTGTCTCCGACGCTGCTGCTGCTCCTTTATCTGAAGTTCCTAAGATATTTTCGGTGGTTGGAGGCGAATGGTTTTTTGTGGCATTCCGCAATATTGCTTCCCTGCCTAATGTTGATGCGGACCGGTTTCTCTGTGCGGGGAGATTTGTAGTGGAGGCTGATTTTCGAAAACCCTTCTTCAAGGGAACCTCCCTTATGAATTCAACTGATTCATAATTGCCTCGGATGAAACCATCTCTTGATTGAGTATCCGGATGATTACAGGGCCGCGAGATTACCATGAAATGTCGAGGAACCTCATGCTCTCCTCCAGATAAATCCGACAATGCCTGATCTGACGTGAGAAACATCGTTACGAAGTCTCTCGGGGTAGTAGGTCCTGGGAATTGTGCAGAAAGAAGATATACTACAAAGTATCAGCATTGTGTCGTACAATGGCAGAGTGGCACCTACCTTCCATCTTTCCCACGCCGTCAATATTCTTGTATGCCACCCTCTGTTCCCCACCAATTCCCCTGATATTTCCTTCACCTGGCCCACCCCGAACCTTCATTGTTTCCGGGAATTCTCTTTCTAACGCCTTTTTCCACTTTGTGAACCCCAGCCCCTCATGTACACTCCGCCTCGCAAACCACGACCCTCTTCCATCCTTCCCGCCTAACTTGTATACACTCATCCCCAATGGATTCTCCTTTGGATTCATCTTCACGTTCTTCCATTCCTTCTGCAAAGCCTCCACATCCGACGGAGGCGGCGCTGAACGTGCTGACGAAATGGATATTTCCGAGGCAGATGATGCCGTCGAGCTCGCGCGCGATCGTCCGTCAAGGTCGGATTCTTCGGGTGGGGCAGGAATTGGTACAGAGTCGACTATGAGTTGTGCTTTGCTGAAGGCATTGGATAGGAACGGCTTCAGGTCGTCGAGAGGGGCATCGTCGAAGTCTATGGGCCCCAGGGTTTTCAAGGCATCATGGAGAGCAGCCATGTTGTCTGTTGTGCCCTCAAGTTGAACAGATACAACGCCTAAAAGTGAGGATTTGGGGCAAGGTCAGATTTTGAATGTCCTACGCTCCCTGGGCGAATTTGTCAACATGGGACTCGAGATTCCGAATTCACCAAGTGTGGCGTGCGAGGCTGACGGGGAAATCTGATAAGGGTATTTGGGTAGATGTGCGTGCGAATTGAAGCATACTTGCAGGAGAAGTGCAATAGATACTATGAGCAAATGCGGAATAAGAGCATTTGATGCGTCTACACCATCGCTCGCCTGGTGCTTCTTCGATGTCAACGGCAAACCGGTTGTGTGGCTGACGTTCGGATTCGTTGCAGGGGGTGATGCGGGGACCCCTCTCATTGGGCTCATGACGTTGCTGGCTCGATGCGGCAGCCGTCACTTCTAAGACATCACCTTTCTTTCGGGTCGGGTACCGCAAGAACGATATTGGTTCAGTTTTTCTTTTATACGTTTTGAATTCTCGTATCCGATAGAAGGATGGAGTTCTGAAAAAATGCCGTCTGATTAGTGTAGCTCCATGAACTGCCGACTGAACAGCTCTTGTAACTAACGGGCGTCCCTCACCCGCTATTCATACAAGTTTGTCAACACGCTCGACATATATGCATGCCAACTTAAAGATGAGTCCCAGATCCATATAACCAAACACCTCGCTCAAAACATCCTTGCCGTCATTCGTACGAACGGATCATCCAAAGGACAAACGCTTCCTTCCTTTGACGAGCATTTCCTGTTCCATCTTACAGCTGCCGCAATACTCCTCTTGCCATCTCCTCAGCTCATCCAACTTTTCTTTCCTCTCTCGCTCTTTAGCTTCCAAAATCTTCTGCGAATCCGTACCCTTGGTTTTCTTATTTGGTGAGGGACTCGTTCGGTGCTCTCGTAAAATCAGCTGGACCTGTTTACACCTTGCATTCTCATCAAGGAGCCAATTCTCCCATTCAGCTCTCATCATCTCCTGCTCAACGTTATTCACAACTCGCATGGCAACCATCAGATCGTGACGGTAGGAACCTAAGTGCTGTCGGGTCCTTCGTAACCGCTTCGCAGTGGAGCGAGTCGCAGTTTCTGAAAAGGCTGTCCCAGCTGTTTGATAAGGCATGTCTAAGTCCGTGATATTCGCAATGTCTCGGAATTGCTCGTAGCTAGGAGTTTGTCAACGAGAGTCAGATCCGAACAAGAGTAGAGTAACTTACCATTTGCTCCCCCCTCGTGCAACCAGGTCAGTTGGTACCGACCTCAAAACATCGTCTAAATCTTTTAGGTAGATCGCCTTCGACATCATTGGATTAGGGCCCACGCCAACTCTGGCCATGAATTTTGCGGCGTTGCGCTCAGACCACCACTCTGAAGTATCTCGTGAAGTAAAGAAGGCATTCGTCAGGATACTCAGGAGAAGTGCTATCAAAATAATACTGTGGGCGCTTGATACTTTCCAGATTGATCGCAATACTGCAAACGTCCACATCATAACAGATGTAATCGCGCTTTCACCGAATGAGCCTATGGTCTCCAAAAACATGTTGGTAAGAGTTCGCTGCTTGATTTGTGGTCGTTTTGAATGGCTCAAATCCGCAGCCGAGAACAATGACACTGATGTTTGCTGACCAACGTATCCAAAAATATGGATCGCCTTCTTGGTCCGGCTTTGCGGTCCTAATTTGCGCACCTGGTCTGCAATAACATCCGCCAAGTCTGCTGCGTCAAGACTTGAGTCGTCAAGTGCCTGCCTTTCAACCAGACCTTTGGAAAAGGTTGGCGTTTTTGACCAGTCAACCTTGGTATAGATTGCCAGTTTACACTTGGACTTCGCGATGAATGTGATGACAATCTTCGAGACAAGCATGAAATCCTTGTGATGTGGGAGATGCCAGGGCGTTTTGAAGTCAGTGACTACATAGCATATATGATCGTTCATAACGTCAATGACCTGGTAGTCAACAACGTTCGCTTGTCGAGCACGACGGAACATGTCAACATAATCGATTTGAAACTCAAAGTCTCGTCGCATATGACTGCCCTCAAGCGGCACCCAAGGTCCTTGGGCAATTCGTTGCGCACGGCGCTCATGGTACAAGAGCTGAAAAACGGCGCTTTTATCTCCGAACATGACGTGAAAGAGAGCCTTTGGGCTTAACTCAAACTGCCTCTCAACCGCTTTGCGTTGCATTCCTTGTGGTTCGTAAATAACTGGATGCGATGGAAGCTGAAATTTCGTAACTTCTTTGCTCGCTTTTCCCAGGTGAAGTCCTCGCTCAACGTGAATCATCGCTCTCAGGTCTCGATCCTTGCGAGTTCGTCCAGACAAAGTACCATCATCTATTGGAGTATTGACCGAAACATCCTCCCAGCTTTCCATACTTGGACTTCTTGTGGGATCATCATGTTCCTTCTTGATAAGAGCTGCCATTATGTTTTCGAGGTTCATTGGCTCTTCTGCTTGAGAGATATCGATCAAATAATTCAGCCGTGATTGAAGTAGTCGTAGGGGTTCCAAGAAAGTCTTGATCGTAATTCTGGTGAAGCCTGCTTTGGTGGCGTCTTCGCGAAGGTGGAGGAAGATGAAATCGCAATCCTTGCCAGGAGCGGCGGTGACTTCACTAATGCTGTCCATGCTGACCCCCGAAATTAACACGAGTCCTAAATGATGACTGTAGAAGTATATGTCATGCTGCGTCACATAGACCCTACCAGGAAACTCTTGTTGCTCGTTCGGATTCCAAGTGGCTCGGAAAACAAGTAAAACTTTGTCTTCTCGTGGAACATTGGGAAATAGCATTCGAAACTGGGCCTCTTGCGTCTTCAGCTCGAGGGGATAATTGGCGGGGAAGATTTCTGGTTTCGGAGCGAATTGGCTGTGTGAGCGCGACGCTTCTGCGTCGACACTAATGGCCTTCCGATGTGTGGCAGAAGAAGGGGCTGGATTTGCAACTGGATCAGTCGACGTACTGATCGAGGACTGGACAAGGTCGGAAAGTCCAGTGTCAGGCTTACGATTTTCGTCCCCACCAATTCTCGGTGATGGATCGAGTGGCCTTATATTGGGACTTGCTGGGATCGACCGGTTCACCGGCGGCTTGATCTCTCCTTTTTCGAGACGGTTGATATAGCCCCAGTTACTGCTGCCCCAAAGGTTCGCCATAATTCCACTTGGCATGCCTCCAGTAGCATCACTTCGACCAATTCCGATACCACGTTCACCACTTACGATGACAGCTGATTTGCTCAAGTTGGTTGGCGCTGGTGGGTTGGCTAGAGTAGCAGGAGCTAATGTGCTGGTATGGGTTTCCAGCTGCTGTGGTGGTGATACTTGAGGTTTTGAGACGACATTCGGCCCAACTTGAGTGATTGCGGGCGTTGAATACACTGGGAGGATGTTGTGACTTGCGGATATCAAACTGGCAATGCCACCGGCTGCTGCTGGGGCAGGAGTAGGTGGCACATCGAATTGTGCGACCGTGGATTTGCGATGCAGGTCCAACTTTTGCATGATCCTGGCCGCATGATCCCTACTACTTTCCCCTTCCTCTCTGGTAGTAACAGACCGGCGAGGAGCAGTGACATCGAAGCTACTTCGAGAAGCCAAGTTACCAATGTCGGGACTAGGAACCGGGAGTGTGCCCGTCCTGTCAAAGGTACCAGCAGGTAGATCATCATGCCCAACATTACCATCCAGAGATTTGACTGCGAACTCTGGAATTGATGGTGGGGTTATGGCAAATGCAGGATCAACTCCACCAGGGTAAGAGAAGTTGTCGTTCGCACTGGCCTGGAGGGCTTTGTTCTTTGCAACCTCAAAAGTTTCCAACCATTCCATGAGTTGTGTTTGGGTCTCGGATTGGACCAAAATCGTCTGGTTTTTGGTCTTGACTTCGAAGCAAAACCGACGCTCTTCTTGCACTGCAGGCTTCACATTGCACAACAGCACGCCGATTTTCTCGCTCTCTTCAACCCCGCCGGATTGGGCACCTTGGACAAGCCATCCGAATATACCATTTTTAACATAGAACCATCGCCGAACCCATGCTGTCCTTGCTGGTTTCCCAGAAATGGTTCGGAGGAAAAGCCATCCTTGCTTCTCTGACCGCTCGCCATCTTTTCCTTGTGCCTGGATGTTGACAGTTGAGGGACCCTTGGAACCGAGAAAAGCGACAGTAGAAAGATTATAATCTTCCAGCTCCCGGGAGGGCTTAGAAGCTTGAGATGCTGTGTCCGCTATCTCTCGCCTGGCAATTTGTAGTTCACGCCGAAAAACACTTTCACCAGCTTCCATTTCTTTACTCCAGCCTCGAACACGATCAATTTCAGTCCCCCACTTTGCGAAATTGGCTCCACCATTCTCTCGCGAACGCCGCATCTCTCGCCATTGATCCGAAGAAACCCGTACCAAGAGTTTGTCAATGGTATAACGCAATTGGGGTGCCAGGAGACAGAAATCCAAGGAGGCTTTGAGGTACGCTTTTCGAGTTTCGTGAACCTGGAAAGCGTCTTCTCGGAGTGAAGATGGCTCTTTTGTCTTCGATTGGCTTACATATCTTGCCAAAGTGTTGTCAAACGTCTTTTGCGATTGCTCCAGATATCGTCGAGCGTCTTTGAAGTTCCGAAGCCTACACTATACGTTAGTTTGCTTTTTGAGAAGTTTCGAGAGAGACCAACTCTCCAGCCATGAAGGACTTGATGGGCTCGACGACATTGGGATCCATCTTCTTCATCCCTGATATGGCCTGCGACCACCATTCCCGAGAACCTTCGCCGAAATTCTTCATTGCCAACAGGGTATAGTCATGATCGAGGACGGCTTCTGAGACATTGGCAGGCGGGACGGATCGAAGAAGGAATGAATTGAACGTCTCCTCAAGGGAAGAGACATCGTGGACGAGTTTTGATATAGATTTAACGTATGCATCGAGCCATCTCTCGATGATCTCCACTTGATCCGAAAAGTGGACGGCAGTCGCTCTAAAGGTTGGCGAATCGAGTGCTGCTTCTTTGCTGAAAAATTCAAAGTCAGTTCTGCTCGTTCCCGGAAGTTGGAAGCTTGAGAAGCTCCATAGGTAGGAGTTGAGTTCATTGTACATACAGCCCAACAGGTATCAAGCTTAGAGGTCTGCCAACCTGCTGCAGAGCAGGTTGAGTAGCAGCCTCGGCCATATCAATGAATGATGGAGAATTCGTTTCAGCGAGATCAGCGAGGCATCGTGACCTATTGCCGTTCTGAAGTCGAAATTTCGAGGACCATGTCCAGCGCCTCGTCATTGTCCGGTTCATATCAACCCCTGAGTTCTGAGGCATCAATCTCGCTAGTGCCCAGAAGGGGCAGCCGAATAAGCTCAGCAATATTTCAATCATTTCATTGCGATATTGAAGAAATTGATTGAGAACGATAGCATTTGAGTTCTGCAACTGGACTCGTTCCAACATGCTGTTTCATGATTATTACATAAGGATAAATGTTCCCCTCAAGTTTATCTGGGTTTCTTGGAAAGTGCCATCAACCGGTTGTCAGCCTTGGATAGAACACAAACCCAGACAGGTTGTTAACAGTTCGAAGCTGAAGTCGGCCGAGTAAACTGCTTTACTCGTCAAGGTTCTGAACATTTACTTCTATGTTCTCAAAGTCGTGTCTTCTCAGTCTCAACGTTGATGTCAGCATCACGAAAGGGATCAACACCCAAGGTACCATCCGTACAATTAAGCTTGCCAGCCTTCCTTGCGACATGAAATTTGGGGGATTTCCGACAGCCAAACAAAAGTCACTCATACGCGCCTCCAAACCCTTCTAGAACTCCTGAAAGGGTGGTGATCGACGTACTTTTGCGAAGGAGGGCTGGGTGTCGAAAGTACCGAGCCGTATTTTCGAGTACCGACACCAACGACGACCCCTGCCCATCTTACTGCACCTTTGATCAGATCTGATCGGAACAACATTGAATGCGCAAAGGGATACTGCGCCGTCAAATGAGATATCAAACCTGTGGTTGATGCGTCTTCACCACCTTAATAGGCTGAAGCGTTATCTCTCTTCACCAGACAACTCTGAAGACGATCCAACGATCTTTGTCGACCATAACGTAGCACTCGGCTCGGAAGGGATCAGCATTACATTGAAGTGCGAGTGGCAGCTCGGATCACTGCCGGAAAGCCCTAATCAATCCAAGATCTGGCGAGGCCATAGGGGGGAACCTTGCGAAACAAGTCGGTGTTATTTTGGCTAAAGGTTCATTTCATGATATGAACCAGGTATGTCGCCCTAGATTTGAAGTCTTCTCATCCACTGGTTCGCAAATCCCCGCAATTTTTCACTTTGAACACCTCCTTGTTTGCTTACTGCGGAGATTTAAATTTCAGACGCATGTCTGACTTGAAGTCGCATCAACTGAGAGCCTCGAGATCACCTGCAGCACCTCCTGGGGAGTGACCAGGTGCAGCATGGTTCAAGGATCCTCCGAATCCATGATAAGTTTAGTCAAGTTACGACCTGCCCAACTTGTAAAGGTTGGTGTTGAGCATAAATGACATAAATGCATTGGGGAAGATCGCTCTCCATTCACGTTCTTCCGTAGCGTCAAATTGCAGACGCTCTGACTATTGAGGGTCATTAGAAGTATCAAGCTGAGCCATCGACTCCGTCGCTCATAGGAAAAGGCAGATACATACAGTAAACTATTCGAATTGAGGCAGATCTCATAAATCTGCAAGCGACCAAATATATGCAATCGAAGGCTGGCGGATCTTTCGATTGATAAGAAGGATCCCTGTGCATGTGCATAATCCTCCGACTCAAAGTGGTCTTGCACAAGGTGAGGGAGGAGCTGGCGAGTCGTGGTTGACTCAAGACTCGAGTCCACTTTTGTTCATGATGTCTCCCCCTTTCCTTGGTGACTCCGCATATTAATCTGGAAAGGGCCAGCGTGTCCCGTCTTTTGGCCGCTTGCAATGTTAGTAGAAAATCGAGATACTCAAAGTGGTCGTGGAGCCGTGTCCCAAGCTGGCGTTGAATTCAAGATGCAGTGTTCGTACTTGCAGTAGGGGATCCATGCAATCCGAATCACGAGCCTGTCAAGGAGAGATCCTAGCCCAAAGGCGGGGCCTAGCACCCAGGCTGTCGTTGAAACTTGGGGGTGCAGAAAGCCCAGGTCTGCACTCTGCCAAGAGCGGTTTGAAGGCGTTGGCTGGCGATCGCCCTCGTGCGCCTTGAGCCAGCATCCAATCGCGGCCTGGTGAGCGTGCTCAAGTTGGAGTTGATGAAAACCCTAGTTGACACCAGCGCTATATTTCTGACCGGGAGGAGGGGATGATTACTTGTAGATGTACGAGTATGTTCGTCCACCAGTGGAATACCGTATAGTTCCAGAGGCCGAGCGAGGATAAAAGCGCGCGAGCATGTGATGAGGGCCAGGCCTTTTACCAGCTGGGAACAGCCCCGCGCGCCCGTCGAGTCGAAACTTAACAATCAACGAAGGCTCAGGAAGTTGGACCTGGAGCTGGAGCTGGAGAGGGAAGGCCGCCCTATTTGGGCAACATCATCACGCACTCCTCTTGACGTTGAAAGGCCGTCGTGCGTCGCATAATACATCGGAAGATCCCGCAGTGCAAGGTTGAACCAACCCCACACCTCTCCGCAAGTTCGACGCGGAAATTACGTTGATAGGACTCGCCCGGGGAACCGCTCCTCTTGCTGCTCGTCACTGCTCCCTTGCTGCACAATTCCCTTTTTATTCGCCCGAGGCCGCAGCCTTGTACTTCATGACTTGGAGCATCGGTCGTGGCTTCCACCTCCACCTCCACCTCCACCTCCATCAACATCAACATCAACACCAACATTACCGCGTCAAACCTCAAGGTAACGAGCTTCTTCTTTGAGTGACAACTGCGCTCGCCCTACCGAAAGAGTGCTTCAGAGATAGCCGCAACCAAGTCTTGCTTGCTGCCTCCACTCGCCCGGAACGCCGCGGAAACCCATTCCCAGCACGGCAACCTCGCGAGGAGTGGCATCTTTGCCGTCGTCTTGTTCCATGCCGGCGCGCAATCCGACTGGCATCTCGAATTGCGCAGAGGAGTCATGAAGTCTCTATGATGACTGTGGCCGTCAACGAGAAGCACGCACCCGGATCCTCGCGATATACGAGTCTGCAAAGGCGCAAGTAGCGGCACCCTTGGTCGCAACCATCACCGAGCGTGATACGATGTCCTCCGGCCAAGCTCCGAAGAGTTTTCAAATGCACAATGCTCCCAACTTCCAGAATAGTGGTGGCGACACTGGAGCAGCGGCCATGGCCGACCCGCTGGATCTTGAACAATTCATGATGATGGAGAATACGCGGCATGCGCCAAACCCCTCGCTAGATCCCACCCCACCCTCATTTGCAGATTTCTCGTTTCCGTACAACGGCCTGCCGGAAAATGGCCTGCAGGGCGACTCAAAGTTGGACAACACTTCGGACCCGTACAATCTATCCGGGCCATCTTCGGGCTCGGATCATCGCAACTCAACAACTTCTCTGCACCATGACCACCGGGATTCAATCACATCTATACCAGGGGACCACCAGGCGTTGATGTCGGGAGTTCCTCGAGCTGGTTTTAGCATCGGCCATGCTGGTAATGCAAGCGTCAGTGGTTCAGAAGATGCGAGCCCGACCAGCAATCGTGCTGGTGGGGGACTAGATGGTAGCTTCAATGACGACTTTGGCCTCAACAGTGGCGGAGCTTTGGACGGAAGTGATTTGGGAACTCGGTCGAAAGAAGACAAGAACGACCCAAACCCGCCATGGAGTGAATTGAAAACCAAGGCCGGCAAGGAGCGCAAGAGGCTGCCGCTGGCGTGCATTGCATGCCGAAGGAAGAAAATTCGGTGCTCGGGAGAAAAGCCTGCGTGCAAGCATTGTCTTCGATCACGGATCCCATGTGTTTACAAGGTCACCACTCGGAAGGCTGCGCCTAGGACAGACTATATGGCCATGCTTGACAAGAGGCTCAAGAGAATGGAAGAGAGAATCATCAAGATCGTGCCAAAAGAAGAACAGGACAGCACTGCGATAGCCGTCACGAGAGCCGCTGTGAAGCCTGCCATCCCTGGGACAATTTTTACACGAAGCTTATCGGGCAAGAAGCGTCCTGCAGACGAAGCCTTTGGACCGGAACTTGACAATTGGTCGAAATCAGCATCTAATCCTAATTTGGATGCGGGCTCAAAGCCGACCTCGTTGATGATACAGGAGGCCGAGGAAAGCAAGCTTTTATTAGAAGGTGCTGATGCACTGCCCTCGAAGGAGCTCCAAGAGCACTTGTCAGAGGTTTTTTTCGACAACATATATGGGCAGACTTACCATTTACTACACAAGCCAAGTTTTATGAGAAAGCTGAGGTAGGTGTTTCTCGCCCCTGATCTTGTTCGGCTGTGAGACTGATCTAGTTTCCAGGGCGGGTACTGTGCCACCAGTTCTCATACTTGCAGTCTGTGCCATTTCTGCTCGGTTTTCAACCCATCCAAAACTCAACACAACTCCAGCCTTCTTAAGGGGCGAGGAGTGGGCATCCGAGGCTCGTGATATAGTGATGAGAAGATACGAATGGCCCAACATCACCATACTAACATGTCTATTGATACTGGGTCTGCACGAATTTGGTACCTGTCAAGGTGGCAGGAGTTGGGCGCTCGGCGGGCAAGCTATTCGAATGGCATATGCATTACAACTTCACCGCGATCTCGATTACGATCCCCAGAAGCGCAATGGGACAGCGGAGTTGAGCTTTATCGACCGAGAAATCAGACGAAGAACAATGTGGGCATGCTTCCTAATGGATCGGTTTAATTCTTCTGGCACAGACCGTCCCACATTCATCAAGCAAGAGTCAATCAAAGTGCAGCTTCCAATCAAGGAGAGATACTTCCAGCTCGACATGCCAGGTCCAACAGAAGATATGAAAGGCAACGTGCCACACCCTGTTTCTCCTGGCGCTGGTCAACTCTCGAACGCGAAGGATAATATGGGAGTTGCAGCTTATATGATCCGATCCATCGCTCTGTGGGGCCGCATCATCAACTACCTCAACCTAGGGGGTAACGAAGAAGACCCGCATCCAATGTGGCATGCAGATTCGAATTATGGAGGTCTTATCAAGCAAATTGAATCCTTCAACTCGAGCCTACCTGAATCGCTGAAGTATACGCCAGAAAATCTTCATACCCACGAGACGGAAGGACTTGAGAACCAATTTTTATTTCTTCACATTGCTATCCAGCAAAATATTCTTTTCATGAATCGGTTTGCGGTTCCAGGCCAACCAGGAGGTCGACCGCCAGCTGATGTCCCGAAGGATTTCGTTACCAAGGCAGGAGCGAAGGCTTTTGAAGCTGCAAATAGGATATCGGAGTTACTGAAGGATAGCGAATCGCACTTTGTTACTGCCCCTTTCACCGGCTATTGTGCGTTTCTCTCTAGTACTGTCCACGTATTTGGTGTTTTCTCCAAAAATCCGGCGATGGAGGCTGCATCCAAGAGGAATCTTGCTACGAATGTCAAGTACCTCACGAAGATGAAGAGGTACTGGGGCATGTTTCACTGGATGTCCGAAAATCTCAAGGAGCAGTATAGAGTGTGCGCGGATGCCGCAAGACAAGGCTCGTCTGCGAGCGGCACTACGCAGTCGCCGAGCATCTTTCAATATGGCGATTGGTTTGACCGGTATCCTCATGGCGTCTCACAATCTGATTTCGAGGATCCAGCTATAGGAGTAAAGAAGGAGAAAGGGGACGATGCGGCGCTTGGTGAGGAATCAGGTTACCAAACAGTCGAAAAATTCTTTCACACACTCGAACCGCTCCCACCACAGGACCGCGAATCGGCCAAGATTCCGAAGCGCAAGGCTAAGAAGAACCCAATCGGACGGCACGACCAACTCGAGCCGGTAAACACGAATGTTCAAAACGTGGCATCCATGCAGATGCAGCATGGTGGTAATCCTCAACTCCCTCAAGGGTACAATCAAATGAGCCCCACGACGCCTGTCAATATGTACAACCAGCAGCCTTACTACGGTCAAGATGTCCTACTCCCTCCGCACCAGCAAGGGATTCTCCCACAACTTGATCGCCAGCTTGTCTTTGGCGCGTACGCCGGTATGGATCCTTCGTCGCTCAGCTCACACAGCATGTTGGATGCAGCCAATACGTGGGACATGCAAATGAATGGGGGAATGAGCGGGTTAGTGACGGAGCCAACCAGTGCTTGGTTCATGCCTTTCAACATGGAGCCCCCGGATCTCGGCCACGAACAGGACATCTTTAACACTCCAGGATACGCAATGGGAGGAATGCAGGTGAACAATGGCCCCAACATGGGCCACGGAGGTGGTAACTAAGTCGTTGGGATTTTATTTTGGTAGGATATTATGGCGCGTATGGAGGTAATGGCGTACGGGGTTTGGAAGCCGGGGCTGCATCTATCCCGCGGGGTGGGTTCGCCTTACTATGACGAATTGGGAATGTATAACCACCTGCATGCATGAGTTGAAGGATGATGACGGCATAAACGAAAGGCAAGAAACTGTCAACCCCATATATATATATTTACTTCAACGTTGGCTGCTTTCTGTGAATAGACTACGGTTGTTCCATATTCATATTCGTAGGGTTTTGGGATCTTCATGGAGTCGGTCAGTGTCTTCTTCTTTCTCCTCTTTCGGGACCCTGCTATTTTGGTGGCTCGGCAGAGTGACTTGGGTCCTGAAGTAGACGCAGGAGTGCCATGCCAGGGGGCTACCGTTGTTACATAGGGCTTTCCCGTCTTTCTTCCTTGGACTGAGATTGGATGTCTGCCCGCCAATCTGATAAGCAACTGAAACCATATGACAGCTGCCCGCCCGTCACATAAGCTCCATGGACCATGCAGGAGGGGGCACGGTGCACGGGCTCCAGAGCGTCAAACGCGTGAGAATGACGGGTTCTTGCTTATGGCGTTGAGGGATTTTTCGCTATCAACAATCTCGCTATGCGGGATTTTGGCCTGCTCGAATCTGGTCGCGAGGATAACATACCGTGGATTCCAGATTTTATTTTTATTATGCCGTGGCTTGGCGGCCGCTGTCAACAGTGGCAGCTGTAAATATCTCCTGTCACTCGTGGCGACCTTGCGCAGCTTCCTGCTATGGAGCTATGTCCGCTGCTTGCGCGCCTGTGCTGAAGAAGTGACAAATAGAGAAAGACCTTAAATAGCAATGATGTACCGCTTCTGTTCTTTCGCTTTCTCTCAGTCCTCTCCCTCCCTTTGCTTTTCTCTCGGCGCTTCTTGAGACCCCACTGCTTTTGCTTGAGCTTCCTCCATTTCCCCAGCATTTCGCAAAAGTCAAGCACAATGGCGGACTCAGAAATTCCTCAGCGTATTCAGTTCGGTGAGGACATTCATCCTGTGAAGACTGCAAGCAGCAGAATTTACAACAAGGATGATTCTCTTTCTGAAAAGAATGGTTACGATATTGAAGACCGCGCTATGCAAATCGCAAATGCGGATCTGAATCAAAAGAAGAAGCAGGTAAGTGGTTCTCTGTCAATTTCTGGATTGCACAGAGCGAGAGCTTTCAATTGACTCGTCAAGACTTACACAGGTTGGATGTTGATGTGGCTTGCATACCAAAGCACTGGTGTCATTTACGGCGATAGTAGGTCTTGTTCTCATGCTTGATTTGTTGACTTCTCCACGAGAGCAAAGAGCCCAGAGCCTGTTCCAGGAGCCGCCATGATGCCTCTGCCATTGAAGCTCAAGACGGCTCTGAGGCTCTCAGCTCCCTCAAGTACTTTTTGCTAATTCGCCACGCAGTTGGGACCTCACCGTAAGCACCTTCTCCGTTGGAACAGTCCTCCTTTGTTCTTCGGTCATACCTCGAAACTGGCATGGCAGCACATCCATGAAATATCCATACTTGCGATGAGAGGGCTCTCGACATTTCAATGCACGGCCTACATATCGAATCCGATACTAATTTTGCTTTAGTCTCTACGTCTACTCGTCAACGTTCACATCTCAACCAAGCTACGATGATCTCGTTGGCGCGCTCTCGATTATTATATGGACCTTGACACTCATGGTTTCTATCAAGTATATGTTCATTGTTCTTGCTGCCGATGACGATGGTTAGCACATTTAATTATCAAATGCCGTAATATCGTTTGGGCGCTCACTAATACATTGGCGTTCAGGAGAGGGAGGAACCTTCGCACTGTACAGTCTGCTGGCAAAATACTCCAATATTGTCCGTCGCGATCCGAATGTGGTCGGATCTGTTAAGCTGGAACGCCATCTGACAAATGAGTTGAAGCCAATGAATAAGGGCGTGAGATCCTTTATTGAGAACTCCATGGTTGCGCGAGTGGTCCTGAAAATATTTGGTGTACTCGGCGTGTCTATGGTGATGGTAAGTCTGCTTGAGACTCCAATTACAGCAATACTAACTCCATTGTTTCAGGCTGATGGCGTTTTAACTCCTGCTCAATCCGTACTTGGAGCTATTCAGGGAATTGAGGTCGCGCACCCCAACATCAGCTCCAGTACAATTGTTGGGGTCTCTTGCGCAATTCTTGTTCTCTTGTTCGCTGTCCAGCCTTTTGGGACAACGAAAATCGCCAGCTCCTTCGCACCTATCGTCATGATATGGCTCTTGTTCAACGCTTGCGCTGGCATCTACAATCTCGCCAAGTTCGATCACAGCGTTCTCAAGGCTTTCAGCCCACACTTTGCCGGAGCATATCTCGTGAGGAATGGAGAACAAGGTTGGAGGTCTCTCGGTGGACTCTTGCTTGCTTTCACTGGAGTTGAGGCGCTCTTCGCAGATTTGGGAGCATTCAGCAAGAGGGCCATTCAGATCTCTTGGTTGTGCCTAGCGTTCCCATGCTTGCTTCTGGCATACATTGGCCAAGCTGCCTTCATCTCCCAAGATGCTACTGGAATTGCCTACACCAACCCATTCTTCCATACTGTTCCACCAGGATGCTTTGTTTTCAGTCAGTAATCATCTCGTTTTTTTTATCGCTAAGACTAACATAACACTTCAGGTCTCGTTATTGCCATTCTGGCTGCCATCGTTGCCAGCCAAGCCATGATCACTGGAGCTTTTCAGCTACTTATGCAGGTCATGAATATGTCCTATGCACCTCACATAAAACTCGTTAGTAGTCCTCTTGCTCCTCTTCTACCAATGTTCCACGAGTTTTGAGAAATTCACATTTTGAGAGACGAGAGCTGAGTTTAAATCTTCACAGGTTCATACGTCAAAACTTTTCCACGGTCAGGTTTATATGCCTTTGGCCAATGTGCTGTTGATGGTGGGCACTGTTATCGTTACTGCAGCATACTCCAACGTAAGTTTCGACGGTTCTCCCTCTTCGTAGACATCTGGTCTAATTCAAAGCCAGACAACCAGACTGGGAAATGCTTATGGAGTTTGTGTTGTCTGCGTCACACTCATAACCACTACTATGGTTGCACTCGTTGCAATTATCAAGTGGAAAATCAATATCTTCATCGTCGTCTTCGTCTTCCTGGTATTCGCTGCCCTCGATGGAGTCTATCTCTCATCGGCACTCACTAAAGTACCAACGGGCGCCTGGTTCACTCTCATGCTTGCGGCAATCCTCTCGTACATATTTGTGCTCTGGCGCTTCGGCAAAGAAAGTCAATGGGCAGCAGAGGCAGAGGATCGGTTCCAGCCATCACATCTTCTGACCACTGGTGCCAACGGAGAAGTGAAGCTCACGCCTGCCTTTGGTGGCGGAATAGTGACCAAAGTCGATGGAGTCGGAATCTTCTTCGATAAGGTCGGAGATCTCGTCCCGATCGTCTTCGCACAGTTCGTCAGGAAATTCAGCGCTCGTCCCGAGATCATTGTCTTCTTCCACATGAGGCAGATCTCAACCCCCTCCGTCCCCGAAGCTGAGAGATATATTGTCCAGCGGACTACTATCCCAGGCTGCTATCGCATGACGGCTCGACACGGGTATAGTGACAGTATCGTCAGCCCAGACCTGGGACGTGTGATCACCGAGCAGCTGGTTCTTTTCGTTACTCGCGACCACACATCCTCGGCTTCTAGCGCTTCCTCAGTTGACCACTCGCCTGAAGTACAAGCGGAACTTGGTGCCATTAACAAAGCGGCTCAAGCTCAGATGGTTTACATTATGGGGAAGGAACTAATGACGATCAAGAAGGGAACGAATTTTATGCGAGCCATTTTCTTGTGGATGTTCTTGTGGATACGTGAGAATTCTAGGACTAAGATGGCTGATATTGGACTTCCGTTTGATAGTCTGGTTGAGGTTGGGTTCGTTAAGGAGATCTGACGGAGGTTAGGTTGCGAGCGCTGGTCTTGTGTTTTGAGGGTGGCAAATTGATTGAGAATGCGATCTTATAAATATAATGATAATTATTGATCGAGTCTTGTTGTTGCTTTGTTCCTGTTTACATTGACTTGTTAAAGACTCGATGACCTAGCTGATGCCGAAGAGCAGTTGATAACTAGCCGAGAAGAGAAAGGGGCTTAAGCGAGACACGCGAACCTGAATTTCGAGACCTACACTGATTGATGATGGTGATTGCTTTGTATGATCTCAAAACATTGACTAAAAAAGATGTTCGGCATTGAAAATGCATTCAAGTTCATCGGGTAACACTACACTCAGTCTGAGGCACCAGACATAGCAGGACATTTACACTCTCAACTGCCTTTACTCTATCAGCATCTATAGATGAATGAGAGCAGTTACCAGTAGTACGCACGCCATCTACCTTCACTAGATAGCAGCTTGGTTCTTGCTCTTCCTAGATCTCTTCTTCTTTTTGCGTCCGCCTTCCACAATATCGACTCCACCGCCGGCGTCAAATCCTTCCTCGACATTGATAACAATCTCCGGTCCATCCTCATTCCCGAATGTCTCCTTTCTCCATTGCCGCAACCGAGCCTTCTTCCCAAGGTGTTTCTTATCCTTCCGCTTCTTCCCGGGATCTCGGAATGAAGCCATTTTTTTCAGTCCAGCAAATTGATTGAGTTGGGAATCTGGAGCCATGAGAATATCCGCAGGCGTCAAGCCAAAAGAGGTTGGTGATGTCTCGCGGTAACGGAATTTGGTTGGTTGTTTGGATTTGGTGGGGACGTCGAGCTCCATTTGGCTATCCACGAGGTCCTCGATCTTCTTTCGCTCAAGCCGAGCTGCTTTCTTTTTTGCTTGCCTCTCCTGTTGTCGATCTTTGCTCGTCTTCGATTTTTTAGGAACGCTCTCATCTCCGCTCTCGCTCTCGTCCTCACCATCTCCTTCAGAATCAGATAAGGTAAAGACAGGCTTTTCCAGCGACGTCTCTTCCTCCTCAAACTCGGGAATTAGGTCCTTGATGTCAATATCATCATTCCATCTTGGTTTCTTGACCTTCTTCTTTTTGCTTACTCCTGCATCCGACCAATCGCTGTTGTCAGAGCTAGCCTCCTTCTCAGCATAATAATCATCCCCAAAACGCTTGTCCATTTCTGCCTCCCACTGCTCGTCATCCCAACCATCATCCAAGAATTTGGTCCACTCTTCGTCTTTAAGGGTCTTTCCCCTTAAGCCCGCAGCTTTCTTGATCTTCTGGAGCTTCTCCTCCATTTCCTCAATCTTAAGGCGTCTCAGTCGTGCTCGTTCCTCGTCTCTCTCGAACTTCTCGGCCTCTCTCTTCTCTCTTTGCGCATCTCGTTGCTTCTTCCTGCCACTTGGTTCTTCTCGGCGAACTGTTTTGGCGGCCACAATATCTCTTGCGTAGGACTTTAGCATTTCGTTGCTGCCTTTAGGATCTTCAAATCGTAAATTGTAAGCCGCCTCGAACTTCTCCGCTCGCTCATCCTCTTCATCGTCGTCGGATTCCAGTGGCTGAAACCGTGCTCCATCGGAAGGTACCCAAGCTCGAGCTGCCATGAAATTGGAGAGAAAGTTCTCAGGATCCTTGTCCGCGGTAGCAACATCAAGGTCAACCTTGACTTTGCTTGCTCTTGATGGATGTATTCCTTGACTGGTTGGTTTTGGAACTAAGAACCCTCCATCTTCATCGTCGTCCAAACTGTCTTCCGCAGCAGCATGCATCTCTTGGACAATGGACTTCTTGAGATATTCTTGTTCCTCCGCAAATGTTCGTGCGGCCGCCTCTTCCTCGTCGTCTGCTCCGGTATGGCCTTTCAGCAAGTTCTCTCGATGATAGTCGCTCAGGTACATTGGCTTCGCTTTCTTTTCGGGGGCCGCATTTTCGTCATCGTCCTCCATCGGTGTGTAAAATGTCACCTTTTCGTCATACACTCTAGGATCTTTGGAGCGTATTGCTTGTAGTGTAGCCGAGATCTCAGCGTCCAAGGCCTCTGTGGCAAGGAATCCCTCGTCATCTTCATCGTCATCATCGGAAGACGAGGAATCTTCATCGTATTTGTCGCCATACTGACCGTTCGTTGGCTTGGCCGTCTTTTGGTATTTCTCCTCCACTAGATAGAATTAGTAAGGCTTTGTAAAATTGTATAAAATACTGACATTTGTGCAATTCCTCTCTCTTCTTGTTATGTTCAAATCTCTTCGCATATTCTTCATTGATTCTAAAAGCTGGCTCTTCCAATTTTGCTCCACCAACAGAATCATCGTCACTGCTGCCCGAATCGCTATCGTCCAAAAGACTTGGTTTCATTTTCTCTGCAGTCGTATCGTGTTTGACCTTTTTGCTGCTGTTGGCAGCTGGCACCTGAGTGAGAGGGTCCGCCTTCCTTTTTGCCATTGTGGGTGCTGTGGAGTTGAGTTCTTTTCGAGGACTGGGTTAATTTTGACTTTAGGATCTCGAAAAAGATTGGAAAAAGAAGCCGGTGCACGGGCAAAACTTTCCGTAACAAGCTACTTTAAGTTTAGCGCAGGTTTCCACTAGCGCAATCGTCATCTCGCAGTCAACAGTCAAGTCAAGCCATCCAACACCCCATCAAAAGCCTCACGAACCTAGCTTTCGAGCACCTTCTTTTCAAAAGACAACATTGCTGTTCATTTGCAAGCCTCTGGGAATTCCTTGCGACTATCTTCTAAACATCCAGCACCTACCGAAGCAGAAGACCACTCCGCATAAAGTCTGTCATCAACCCGAGCGTTCCTTTCAGGATGGCGGAGGCAACAGCGCCCAAGCCAAGCAGCAGCGTAAAGCTCGTCCTTCTTGGTGAAGCAGCAGTAGGAAAGGTATACAGTATTGATCCCATATATCATCCCAGCGGACTGGCTAATTGTATAGTCTTCTCTTGTGCTACGGTTTGTGAACAACGATTTTCAAGAAAACAAAGAGCCAACCATTGGAGGTATGGAACCAGGCGCCCATCTAAATGTCCTTGATTAATCTGACTTTTGTATTTATAGCTGCGTTCCTTACTCAAAAATGCAACTTGCCAACCCGGACCATCAAATTCGAGATATGGGACACTGCGGGACAAGAACGTTTTGCGTCCCTTGCGCCTATGTACTACCGAAATGCCCAATCCGCTCTCGTCGTTTACGACCTAACAAAGCCAACATCACTCATCAAGGCAAGGCACTGGGTTGCAGAACTTCAAAGACAGGCCTCACCAGGAATCGTTATTGCGCTAGTGGGAAATAAGCTTGACTTAACAAATGATCCTAGTACTTCGAGCAATGCTTTAGGTGAAGATGGCGATGGTGAAGCAGCTGATGGAGAAGATGCAGATGGAGATGCGAGAAAGGTCTCGACGGCCGAAGCCAAGTCGTATGCGGAGGAAGAGGGCCTATTGTTCTTCGAGACCAGTGCGAAGCTGGGAACCAATGTGACTGAGGTTTTCACTGCTATCGCGAACGCTATTCCGGAGACATCTTTAAAAGGCGCAAGAGGACCAGGTGCTACGTCAGGTAGCACAGGGAGGACAGAAGACCAGTCAAGGGTGAACCTGACTGGACCAAGGGACAACGCCTCGAAGGAAGGTTGTGCTTGTTGATCTCATTCATTATGTTGTTATGAAAGCGCTTTCCTTTTTCTTCATGGTCGTCGGTACTCGGGGTTTTGCAAGGTGGTTCGTTTTTGCGAAGAGAAATGAACTCTTACGATCCATTATGTTGATACAATAGCATTGAGCACGGGAAGACAAGAGTAAATTTCCTCGGAGGGTCATCCATCACTTGTATTTTGTGCTGGACATGCATCCATCACATGACATTCTCCCAAACTTTCAGTATCTGGTCATTGTTCGGCATGTGAACGGCTTTGGTCTACGACTAAACTTTCTCGCATGACTGTTCTCAACATTCTACATCTCGCCAACGATCGAATTGAGGTGTTCCACCACATTTGAGAGGCGAGGCAAGATTCAAAACATATCCCGCCTCAACCTCATGCTTCAAACTTGTTTCGACCATGAGCCAATTAGAATCCAGCTTTCGCTTGGGCCTAGCCTTCAATGCCAAATCCAAGCCCCGGTTGTGATTGTGGATTGCGAGCAAGTGTTCGTGCCCAGACTCGTGCCCAGATGCCGCTGCATGGTCCCGGAAGTTAAGCTTTTACTTTTAGTGCCGCTCGGCCTCATCCGCCACAAAACGCCTGACATGTTTTGTTCCAAATGAGGCTCTTAGTCGTTATGGTGGTGATGCAGTGTGTTTTGATTCATCGGCACCAAGGTCTTGCTGTTACAGTTGCTCGACTCTAGACCCAACGCTGGTAATCTTTCCGAGGGCTGACGCAAGCTCGACAAGTGATCGATGCTGGATGTGACATTGGGAATGTTCGAGTCAATGTGTCATTCCAGTTCCAAGTCTTGCCCAGGGCTAGACAAGGTTCTCCGGATCTCCTTGCCTGCATATAAGTGTACTACCCTCCGCCACGGGCATGTCTACGCCTTTCTTCGTCCATATCTTCTTCAAACTTCTTACACAGCTGGTCTGATTTTTCAACACTTATATTTTTAATTTCATCTATTCACACAGTCAAGATGCGTGCCTCAACTGCCTCCATGATCCTGGCCTTCTGCGCCATGCTTGCCGCCCAAGCCACTCCATCCACGACGGATTTCGAGTATGACGCAGCTGGAAATGAAATTGAGAAGAGAGGAAACTGGGAATATGATGCCGCTGGAAACGAAATTGAGAAGAGGGGAAACTGGGAATACGATGCTCAAGGAAACGAAATTGAGAAGAGAGGCTCATTCGAATACGATGCTGAGGGAAACGAAATTGAGAAAAGAGGAGCATTTGAATATGATGCGGAAGGAAATGAAATTGAGAAGAGGGAGCCAAAGAAGAAGGCCAAGAAAGCCAAGAAGGCTCGACGAAGTGTTGATGCGTTCTCCTACGACGCTGAGGGGAACGAAATTGAAAAGAGAGACTCATTCGAATATGATGCTGAGGGAAACGAAATTGAGAAGAGAGATCCAAAGAAGAAGGCCAAGAAGGTGAGCTTATCTGGATAACGATTTGCTCTTGTTTTGTTTGAGAGCCCAGAGCTTGGCTTGGCTCCTCCTGAGCTCGCTCTTAAAGATTAAACAATTTACGTACTAATTCATTTCGCAGGCGAAGAAGGCTCGCAGAAGTGAGCCATTTGAATACGATGCGGAGGGAAATGAGATTGAGAACTAACTGAAGGATGTTGCGGAGGAGGAGGGAGAGGTTACGAGAATGGAACAGTGATTCTGAATTTCTTTTGTACCATGTAAATTGGCTTTGAGCACGCCACAAATTGCTTGACTTTGAGAGAAGCGCTCATAAAATAGAGAATAAACACCACCCATCCCTCCAATGCGTTTATTGATTTGCTTCCGCGATGTTTGGGTCATGCTCCATTACAGGTGTGAGAGAATTATTTACGATAATCATTTCTCATTCTGAACCCCTCTCTTCTTGGTCCAAAAATATCGATTTTCATATGGGGATCAAAACCGAAAGTTAGAGGCTACGGAACCGAAGCTTTCAATTGAGCGGGCATTTTAGCAGGATTTCCCGAACTGTCTCGCTGCAAATTCTAAATCAAGGATCGAGCAAAGATTCTTCATTTTAATTCTATCTCATTTCCGACACTCTTATACACCGGGCATCCCAATCAACTGTCGCAACGCGGGTACTGCTCGAGGCAGGAAATATACAACAAAAATGCCGCTCATCGCTACAAGTAGTCCTGTGAGCTGAAGATACTGTTAGTTCGCTTGTCTTCGTGGGAATACTTGTAACATACCTTTTCAAACCACGTATGGAAGTAAGCTGCTGTCATCAACAGCATGTATAAACTCAACGCTGCTACACCTAGCATAATCTTCGCACCTAGAGTCCACTGTCCAGAAACCTCAGGAGTGACCCGCTCGGCTTCTACCTCGGCGCTCTTCACAGCCCCATCACTCATCAATATCGTTCTCTCTTCCTTGGATCTCGTAGAATTCGTAACTACATGAAGAACCTCTTCAAAAATGAACATGCTTCCCAGAACCAACAGGAAGACGTGTCCACTAATATCATGGCCCCCTTTCCACTTCCCACCAATAGCTTTACACGCCACACCGGTCACAAATTGTCTCGTGTTATCCATTTCCAACTTGCCTTCGTCCGCCAACTCCAACAGGTCACATTGACCTCCGGTAAGTAGAAAACCCCGATCGATGATTGGCGGACCAAAAAACCACTGCGTGACAAATATCCACCACAGAGTCACAATGCCATATCTCAATAAACCACGGATTCGTTTCGGAGTCGCTGCGAGGGAGCCGACAGGACCGGCCGAGGGATGTGTAAAGAGGAAGAAGAGATAGCTGAATGTGACCCACGCCCAACCCTGCTTCACGAAGAATATGTTGAAGACATTACTCTTCTTGGCAAAGTAAGAGGGCGCAGTATTTGCATAGTGCGACTGAGTTGTTGTGTTGTATGGGGCTGCCCGCGCGACGGGATCAAGGACGGCGAACAGAGATCCTACAACCAGGGTTGTAGGATATATGGAGAGGAGAATCGCTTCAAGGTATGTTGGCATGAAAGGGGATCTTCGGGCTGCCATCTTTGGCATCTTCGAGGGAGTTGAAGGAGGGCCGTTGGTTGTGCTTGGCGTGGAGGGAGGAGAGAGTTTTTGGATGCGTGCCGAGCGGCGAGGTGTCGTTGACGGCGAATCCATTTGCAGATGCTATAACATTTGGTGGAAGAGATTCGAATGCTTCGCGAATGTTCTGCAATTGGGAGCAAACAGAGAGGTGATGTGGAAGCCAGATTGTTGGAGGCAAAGAGGCAACAATTTTAGTGTTGGGGCATGGATGAGATGACGTTCGAGTCTGGCAGCTTTGCCGGACCCGGCTGGTGCCGCGCTCCAATGAGCTCAGCCTCGAGCGCAGCCCCGTATTCTGATGGTTTTAAACACTACTGCCGGCCAGAAAGAAACGCTTCCCTCTCTACCTCTTCTCCCGGAGTCATATCTGGGTAGAATGCGAAGTTACGAAAGCAACATGGCAAAAAGCAGGGGGGCTGTGGAGACGACTAGAGAAGGATACGCCTTGGGTAGATCCTGTATCCCTAGACCTCTTTCTAGCTCTTATGTCCCTTGGCCCAGGAAGTAAGGTATACGGAGTACGCAACTAGACGTCGGTGGCAGGTTTTCTTTTCGACAGGGGCCTGGTGCTTATGGAAAGCCTCACTTTCGCATAGTTTTGGTAAGCCAAACTAGTACTGGGGCCTAGAGTCGACACCTGCAATGTTCCTAAGTATGATGCGAAAGAGAATTATGACAGATAGATCTCTAAGCATGAGCAAAATCTACTCTGATAGAGATTACTCGTAGTAGGGATAAATAAACCCATGTCCTGTCTGGATCCACAGACGCTGCAGTTAGGGTATGGGCGAATAAGACAGTTGGAATTAAGGTTTTGTGGAGGCGAACCCACTAGAAACACGCTTCAGGGTAGGGGTTTGTTTATTCCAATTACCAAGTATCCAAGCAGACTTACCCTTTACCCCTCCGAGTAATACTCTCCAGGTTTCTGCGGTTGAACGTTGTTTTTGTATTTTTTAGAAGGAGAGGTATACGCCCGGGTAGTTACAACTGATAAAAGCTCCGCAGTCTACCCTAAACCAAGGCCATAGAGGTGTTCCCCAGCCACCGTACGCAAGAGTGCCCGCAGTCCACACTTTATCGCTCTGCCCTTTATGTAGTTATTGGAGGATATGAGGTATCTCAATTAATGCAGGTTCAGGTACGCCAACCTCATGGCTAGCAATATACCAGCCTCCACAGTGTCTAGTATATAGAGAGAAAGTAGAAGCGTAGCGTATACCTCGTGCTCCCTCTTTTCAGCCCGTGGGACTTTGTATAGTGTCCCAAAACTACCTATCCGTCCGTTGTGTATGCCGTGGGAAAAGCCAAAACTGGGGAGAGTGACAAGAAGACGACTGCTCTCGTTTTTTCTGGGTATCTGCATGGTCGCCAGCGCCGTGGGAAATAGCCATCGATTTGAGCTATAGAGAACTGCCGCTTTGTTGGACCTTGAGCCCTCTTCTTGCCCAGCAAATATATGTGTCGACTGCGAGGGGGGATGTCGTTATCGATTCGAATTCGGAGTGGCGGTGAAGGAGTCGATAGCGAGGAGGTATTCGACGTCGTGTAGTGGTAGTATGAAGTTCCTCTGCCTCTAAAGAGGTCTGCAGACCTCCATCAGCGGCCACGGGCTCCTGTAAGCTCTCCTCAGATCGTTCCCAGGTGCCCAGAGTGATTCTCCATACCTTTTCCTCCAAGGAGGACCCCTAAAGGGCCACCTCCAGCAACCACCCGCTCAATCTTGGCTTTGCAGACTCTCCTCTGTCCCCTGGAGGTAGTGTAATACCAGGGACGCAGGGCATGAGCTGCAGGTTCGTAGGGGACACCACGAACAGGTGTTGAGCAAGTCCCCCGCTCTCCAGATTTCTGGAGAGCCTGAATCGGATCCTGAAGATGTATTAATTACCCAGTTAAGCCTTCTAGATACAGGTTCAAGGGTATATGCGGACCCGTTTGCATCGCTAGATTGGACCTTGTAACTAATGGTAAGTATCAGTGGAAATACTGACAATTTTAGTACTTGAATTACTAAATCGGAGGGAGGACGCGTAGAAAGCCCAAAAGCTCCTTGTAACTCGTCCTCCGAAACAACTCAATAGTAGTGCGATATTAGTAAAGGGTTCGACTCCCTGACGTGGCTCCCGGTGGCAGTGTCTGAGGTTGCAAGACCCCGCCACGGATACAGTGGTATGCAAAAACTCCCTGTTTTAGCGCGTTTTTGACGAAAAGCGGTACACTTAAAAATGGGTGCACCAAAAGTTACCTAAATCATTTTCAACCACCAATTGCTCCACCAAACCACGTCCAAATTAGATGAGAAGTAGATCAATTTACTCCCCTGAAGTATCTCTTGCTAATAATAAGAGCAGATTATAGCTCCTTACCTAAGCCCGCGCGTATCGCGGCCATCTACGATCTTCTCGCACAACCCGTGCAGAACCGGGAGCTCCTTGAGCAGTGGTACGATAATTTCGATTTTGGATGGGAAACAGGGTACTCCCGTAGTGTTTTTATGGCTGGGGAAGACTTCGATTATTATAATGGATAACTGTGGTATATACTGGAGTCAGAGGGTGCTTGATATGTGCCAGAAGTGGGAGGGGGGTGAGGAGGGGGGGAATCTGGATATATTAGTTGCTTCCCTATTGCCCAATTTTGAACCCAATTAGGGGGGGCTTTCGCAATATTAAGTCTAATATGCGAGGGAATTGCAGGAAAGTCTATGGGAAGTATCCAAACTTTAGAAATTACCTAATTAATACCATTTGGAGGTTTGGAGGTTTGGACGGGGGCTAGAAAGGCTGGAGGGCATTTCTATAATTCAGGATATCGGAATTTCCCTGTAGAATTAGTATGAAATCAATGAAATCGCCATACTTAATATTACTTAAAGTTCTGGTGATTTTAATATTACAAAAGGTGGTTCCAAAATCACTTGTTATTTTACTAGAGAGCCGACATTGATACTAATTAAAAAATACTACGGTTCTTAATAACCATAACTGCTATTAAAAAAACGAAAGCTGATTTAGAATCGTGGGAAATAGCTCTTTTAATTATTCTAATATAAAAAAATCCTACGCCGTGGTTGCAAAAATATTTAGTATAAGGGAAAAACTCCAAATGTAGATAAACTCGACTAAAAACAATGACCACAACACCAGTAATAACTCTCTTCAAAAGAGCCTAAAATCCTATAATCTGATTGGTCCATTCCTCGCCTCCCTAAACCAGTGATACGTGGAAATCAAGGGGGCAGCTCGTCAACCTCGATTCTAAATATCATTCTCCCTACCCCCCAATCGCCTTGTAATCGTTATCCAATAGCCCAGAACTTATAAACTCTTAATAATCCTGCTTTTGTAAGTTGCCTATACCCTGGTAGAAGCTAATTTCGTCTTCAGGGTATATACTAAAGGCAATATCTGGTCGAATCGAGTCTTCTGCTTGGATGTCCGGAATAGTGCTTTGGAATGGAGCTGTCGAATGGGGCTTTCGAATGGGGCTACCATATTAGCAATCGGTGCTACTAAGTACCTATATTCAATATAAAACACTAATTAGCTTCTGAATTCCATATAGTATACCAAAGGGAGACTTTAGCCTTCATAATAAGGAGAAATCCCCATACTAGTACCCGATTTTTCCATCGCCTTTAGCTATTTTAGCTCAGCCTTCTCCTCTAATATCATAGATATCAAATTACTAATATCTGCCTATCGATATTAATAAAAAAAGGGCGAATTGGTTCGTAGACAGGGGAGAAGTTGGATTTGCTAAGAATTCGGCTCGATGTGTAGGCTCAATAGCTACAAATTCGGGTGAGGGAAGGAGGGGGTGGATCGTAATCTGATTATATTATTAGCAAGAGCTACTTCAGGGGAGTAAATTAATCTACTTCTTACCTAATTCGGACGTGGTTTGGTGGAGCAATTGGTGGTTGAATATAATTCAGTACCATTTTTTCAAGGTACTCGATCTCCCGCTTAAATGCACGGCCCGCTTGAATGCACGCCTTACTAGAAAACTAAAATATTTAATTATTAAATAACCGTAAATTATATTTATAAACGGTAAGCTATTATAGAATTACTGGGTACTCTATTTCTATACTCTATATTACTTTTATAACAATTTCACAATTTCATTAATAATATTTATACTTTTTTAAGAAATAAGTAATTTATTAAAAAAATTAATAACTTTTGTAATAATAATAAATCTTATAAAATCTTTATATAATTTATTTTAAAATAATATATATTAAATTGTACAGCGTAAATATAGCTTTTAAATGCCTTATAAAATAAGAAATATAATTTTAAAGTTTTATTTTTAATTTTTTAAAATAATTAAAAGTAATTTATTTTAAAAGAAATTAATTAATTTAATTTCCTTAATACTATTTATAAAGAAACTTAAGACCTTAAAAATCTAAAAAATATTTATTATGTATATAAATTTAATTTTTAATATAAGTTTTTAATAATTATTATATTTATTTAAATTCTTATATATTAATTAAAATTAAAATAAATCTTAAATCTTAAATATAGTTCCTAACTTATAAAAAGCCCATATTATTAAATAAATTTAATAAATACTTATTTTATTTACTAATTTTAAAAAATATTAAAAAAAACTATAATATTTTAATATTTTAAAGATTAAAAATTAAATAAAAATATTTCTAAGTTTTTTATACCTTATATGAGTAATATAAGCAGTTTTATTTAAATTTAATTAATAGCTTTTATATAAAACCATTATTATTTATTATTTATTTATTATTCTATAGTTTTTGAAAAAATTAAAATTTCAATTACTTAATAAAATATAAAATATAAAATATTTATATAAATATATATGTATTAATATAGAAGATTCAAAAAACTTAAAGTTTTATTTTTAGATATTTTATTTCTAAATAAACTAATTTTTAAAAATATTTTTTTAAGAAAAAAATTACGTCTTTTATAAACCTTTAAAATAAAGTACTTATATTTACGATATTATTATTTTTAAGGTTATAATATATAACTATTCCTATTTTTATATATTATATTTAAAAAAGTAAATTTTTTTATTAATTAATATAAAAGTTATAAAGATATTAAAACTATAAGTTTTCGCGATTTTCTATGCAATTCGGCCGTGCATTTAAGCGGGGCGTGCATTTAAGCGGGAAATCGAGTACCACCAGTGGGTGTCCGAATTCGTGACGCACGGGCCAAAATCGCCAAAATCACACCCAAAACCATCCACTTTGTAAATCTATTAAAAAACAGCCCTTTAATAAAATTCCAGGGAATGAGAAATATGAAAAGAGATACGCAATAGAATCAATCTTTATACTTTATAATTTCAATTAACTAATTGTTTTAGCTACAGATTTCACATTTAGATTTTCGCACCAAATTGCACCACATATTTATTAGCGAAATCGGGTCTTTTAACATAACTCTTTAAAATTGCGTTTTAAAGAAAAATTTCTTAATACAATCTAGTCTCTAGATTATAGTCAATCTATGCATATAGTTTTTATATGCCCTTGCAACATAATTTCGTTAAGTTACGAAGCTGTGAAAAGGGCTGCTTTTGGTGTGATTTTGGCGATTTTGGCCCGTGCGTCATGAATTCGGACACCCACTGGTGGTACCACTTTTCGTCAAAAACGCGCTAAAACAGGGAGTTTTTGCATACCACTGTATGTCACGACTAAACCCTAACTAGGCTAAAACTAAAACAAGAACTCGCCATACCTCTCTGCCCCTCTCCTTCGCCCATTTAATCATCGTCGCGTCAATTCACTGAGATAGATGCCCCATAGACAAAATGGTCTCTACTCGTGGTCACCCTAAGGAATTCCCTGAGCCCGACCTTACGCCTGGCAAATCAACACCCTCTACCCCGTCGAAGTCATCGCGATCCCGCCTTGCTCGCAAAGGAAAATGGGCGCATACTCCTTCGAATCTCGCCATTATATGGCTGTTCGTTTCTCTACCTCTCGTTAGCTGGGATACTTTTTATGTTCTGTTTCGACCGTCCACGATGCCTGGAGGATGGCTTCACTGGCCGCTGTACGTCCCCTACGAATTGTATGGGAAGATAGATTTCATATATGGGTGGAAGGCATTCAATGAACACAATGGGTTCACGTCAGCGCAAGGCATGCTGAACGTTATCGAATCCTTGATGTATGGTTATTATCTGTACATTCTGTACTCGTACGGGAAACAATCAAAGGCTCAGGGGCGAGGTGCTCCAAAGGCTTCAACTGTAGGATTCTTGGGCCAACAACGATATGTAGATGGGGAGATGGGTGGTTTAGCTGTCTTGGTTGTGTACAGCGCTGCTCTGATGACACTTAGCAAGACAGTTTTGTACTGTAAGTTTCGATTGATGAGCTCTGGACTTTTGCTAAATCTCTTTAGGGCTCAATGAGTACTATTCTGGGTTTGAAAACATCGGCCACAATAACTTCACGGACCTACTGTTTCTCTGGATTATTCCCAAGTAAGTTGTCGTCCCAGTTGAACTGCATTGCTAATACTTTGCAGTGGCGCCTGGATCGTTCTTCCCACATATATGGTATACGCGAGTGGATGTGAGATCTTGCAAGGCTTGGCGATCGTTGGCGGTGGAGCAAGCCCTTCTTCTGACGACACTTCGTTGGTGAAGACGGAGTAATTAGAGGGGAGAGGAGAGCAAAATGGTTTGTACTTGTGCAGCGACTTTCGGGTGGAGGCGTGAAGCTTTGTGTGGTTCCAGATTCCCTTCCGGTTCTAATGAGAAAACCATGAGAGAGAGCCGAAGATATGTGTACAGTAGAAGTAAAAGACCAGAGTGCTGAGGATCTTAATGACACATGCAGGACATGAAACCAATGAATTGAATTATTCTTTGGTCGAGTTTTGACCCGTGGTGAAGAGAAGCATTTGATTATGGAGCTATCTGAGGCTGGTGTAGAGCTAGAAGCTCTTATGGAAAAGTTATTCTAGAACTATATCTATGATATATCTGTTTTTGAGGGTTGGCTGATATATTTCCATGATGGTTTGTTGTTCTCGTGGGGCTGAGGTGAGGTGTGGAAGTAGCGCCAGCTGTGTGTCCGAAGCCAAAAAGCGCTCTTTTTGACCGCCGTTTTCCTAACGGTCTTATGTATTCAAATAAGCGATTTTTGGCTCAAACTCAGCTAGCCGGAAGTAAGTCTTCACGCCAATCTTCGGAGGTGATGTGGTACTAACTCTCCACCAGTGGCGCAGTGGTAACGCGTCGCACTTGTATACCACTCTTGGCATTAAATGCGAAGGTAAATTTGATCTCTTTACAAGCAAAGTACTACAGAACGCTAATACTCAAGAAGATCCCTAGTGAGTTCTTGTAATCTTGTCAAGATATGAAAAATATCCTAACATTCCCAAGGTTCAATTCTGGGTTTCGGCAATAAGAGTTCCAATTTTTTTTGCCAATCTTTTCTATGTCTATATATCGTCACCTTTAGCCAGATGACCCAAAATACTAATAATTAAATAGGTCCGCAATGAGTTCTATTAATATTATCAAGGTAAGAAAAATTTCCTAAAATTTCCAAGGTTCAATTCCGGGTCTCGGCAGTACCAGAGTTCCATTTCTTCTGATCGAAAAGTTTTCCTCTTTTGTGGTCGGTAATAGTTGGAGATTAGGCGGGGCCAACCATACTTGAGTTCATAAGGTTTCAGGGGCTCGAAGACGATGGTGTCCTTTTGTTTATAGCATCAAAAGTCAAGTCGATGCGCAAAAAGATTTGACCTCTTCCATGAAGGAATCGAACAGCTCGTAGTTTTTTTCCTAATATTCTATGGCTCATCCTGCATCCAAAAACCCGCGGACTGATAGCTTCCTCTCCTTGCCAATCCCCACAAGCCCCACCCCCCCCCCCAAAAAAGGTACCAGATAATCCTCCCCCTGGGTCTCACCTCGGAGTCCTGGGATTCGTTCAACAATGGCTCACCACTTGGAGATTCCACATTCCAGAGTTGCCGTGGCAGAGGAAGGTCAATCGAGTCGAATCTCTTACGTCATGCATCCGAATGGTCGCATCTCTCCCTTAATTCAACTACCACCGACAACCAAGGCTCATTCTTGTTCTTGCCCCAAGGCCCTTTTGATGTCCAGGACCCGTTCCATGCGAAGCACAGATCCTTTCGAAGTCTCGCGGTCGCCAGTTGCCACAAAGTTGATAGTCCCTAGTCCTCTACCATTCATCTGCCCTTCCATGCAACACAGTTCTACTGGTGAAGGCGACGAAGAAGGCTCAAGCTCTGTATCCGAGAAGGTGATTGAAAGGCAAGCATCTAGTTGATGTTTAAAGCCCCACCCTCTAGCCTTCTCATCTCGGTGTCGCAAGCGCTTGCATTGGAGTTTGAGAACGCTTTACTTTCATACTGCCGGTGTTTTTTGCACGCCGGCACAAAGGCTTTCATCAGCATCCCAACAGGCTCCAGATCGAATCGTAAGACACAAAATGGAAGACACAGTAGCATCCTCTGAAGGGGCCGGCTGCTTAGACGTTCCCATGCATCGATTGAGTTGGCGAAGCTGACCACAGGTGGGAAGTGGTTTCTCTGGCAAGTGCCTGTTGTATTGACCCATTTGCTGTTCTTCGATTCAATTCTTCCGAGATTGCTCGTACATCGTCAATGAGTTGTCCGGAATGCTATTTTGCTGTTCCTCGAGCACTGAGTTTCTCAAAACGGGACAGGGGACCATGAAGCCGTATGTCCAAAGTGGATTGCCACGTCTGGTGTTGGAGAACCTGAGTGTGAATCAATTTTTCATACTTCCGCCTTGATCTCTGGGTTGATTGTGGCAGCACGCTCAAAAACAATGCACAGCACCAAAACTCTCCCAATCTAGACATTGTATGTCAACTTTGACTAGCAGGTTCACCACAATCTTGCCTCGTAGACAAGATGTGATTTTGTCGGCTCTGTCTGTCTTGACACCGCGGAGAAGTCCTTCGTGGGCAAAGTTGAAATGCAAGCCGAGTGTCAAACATCTCAGCCACATGGAAGCTTCCGGAAGGCGTTCATAGCTGTTGATTGCAACGAAGTCAAGAACATCGAGAAAGAAAGTGATGGCCACTTCAGCAGCCCTGGAACCACATACAGCATCAGGAGCCCCCTTTGTTGATAAGTCCAGTGGCAAATGGATAGCTTTATTCAGACGGGGCTCGCAGATGGCCCCAGCTCTTGGTCTCTCAACCCCGAATTTCCTGAAATTAATTCCCCACCAAAGGAACTTTCGCGACGGGCGTTGGACAGTTCTAACAATGTTTCAAAGTGGAAGGTAGAATATTGGATAATATGACTTCGCACTCGTTATTAAAGCTTCTCAGCCCAACTCCACGGGGGATGTCAGCTCAGAAGTCGCAGTGCCCTTTTCACAGAAGCCGGGTCTCATCCGCTTTGCACCTTTGTTCGCACAAGCGCATGAGTTCATTTGGAGATCTTGCCAAAAGCAATTGCAGAGCAGATTGCGGAGAAACACAAATCTCCTTGCCGAAATACAACCGCCCCTTCATCACGGAGAGACCTGCTGGACTTGCACAGATGGGGCGGGCCTGGGTAAGAGATCCACGGGAAGGAAGATGGGGGACCATGGCAAACACTCATTTGAGTGCCCAATGCCCATCATTCAAAACCCTGGGGCCAAGAACAAGTTCAGAGGTCCAGAGCCGCGGGGGATATTTCTGGAAGTGCTCGGCGTGAATCTGACATCCACCGCCGCGGTTCGTCTGCGAGCAATTTAGACTTGATGTTTATTCAAATTTCGACAAGATTATTGTGAGCACAGTGGGGGGCAAACGGCTGCTCTTCTCCACTTGTTCCAGCACCCAGTCAGTTGTGGGAGCATGAGCGCTGTGCGCGGCGAAACGTGAAGCACGGTGGCCCTGAGTGGCCAGCTGCTGGCAGTGCTGGGGAGCTGGCCCGCTTAGGAAGATTGGACGAAGGTCGCTGGCCGCTGGCGGTGTTCCTGGGACCTGCAGTAGTGGCTGACCCTTGGCGAACCGGCGACGAGTCGGCGCTCATCTCGGAGACCCTCATCTCCCAGACCAGGGGGCCAGGGTCGCTTCTGTGTCCTCGCTGGCCCTGGCCCACGCAAATATAAAAACGTGCCCAATGAGCGAGCTTCAAAGCACCTTTGCGGCGATCCTGATTCGCGCGCACAAGGAGCGCGACATCGGTCAGCAGCGCGCTAGGCTGCTCCCGGGAGGTCGCCGTCGCCTCCTTTTCCAGGTTTCCTCAAAGTTCGCGCAGATTGCCTCCTCGGCCTCTGCTCTCGGTTGCGCGACAGCGGCCATCTGCCCTGCTCTGGGCCTCTGGCTGCCCATGGCTGGCAGCTGCAGGCCTTGCCGCCGTTCGTCCTGGACCCCATGCTGACGGAACGTTCAGAACTTCAGTCGAAATGAGCATGTGGCGTCACGACATTCTGACCGCTAAGTGGCTAAATTCAGTGAACAGCAACCTCTTCCCTGCAAGCCACTTGTTTAATCTCCCCAAACACTTATATGGGCCGCACACCCAGCTCTACCCTCTTCTTCTTCTTCTCTCTCCAGCCAAACAGCCAATCTTCCATCCTCCAAATTTCTTGATACCCTTTGACTTCGGTCGTCCATTCTTTTACAGAATCAGCTATTCATCACCGCTCTTCAGCACCTCACAAACCCAACCCCCACCAACCTTCCCCAGTAATCAATATTATCAAGATGCGTTTCTCCGTTATCGCCGCTGCCGTCATGGCCACCGCTGTCTCCGCAGGTGAAGCTGTTTACTACAGCACGACTGTAAGCTCAGCCCGACCTGCTTCGGCAACTCCCAGACTAACCAGTATCAGAGCACAACCGTCGTTGACACCATCACTTCCTGCGGACCTGAGGTAACCAACTGCCCGGCCAAGACCTACACCAGCACCCTTTCAAACGCCACCTCTTACCCAGTCTATGCCAACACCTCTGCTCCCGTCACCACCTCCACCTATGCTGCTGCACCAACATACCCAGTGTACCCAGTTTCCTCCCCCGTCTCCCTGGCAACCAGCTACATCACCACTTGCATCCCAACTGTGATCACCAAGGTGTACACCGTCACCCCAACTCCAGTTGCATCCTCCACTGGATACATTTCATATGCTCAAAACGCCACGTAAGTTGAATTCCACCTGCCAGAAGACGAGTCACTAACAACGCCGCAGCACCCCATATGCCACCTCAACCCCATCACAATACGCCACCGGTGCTGCATCCAGCGTCGAGCGTTCAGTTGTTCTCGCAGCCGCTGCTGGTGTTGCCGCTTTCCTCTTCGCATAAGTCATTTGCATTTGAAGCCTGATTCAATCGGCCTTCGATTCAGGCTATGGCTTTATGACAGTGGTTCGATCAAAATATTTGGAGCATGATTTGTGCGTCTAGATTCGCATTATGTAATTTCTTAATCATGGAGCACGGCTGGGCTGGCTTTGGCACACTTAGGGGCTGGAGTCAAGTATCATTATCGAGCAAGACTTGTTGCATAAGGGGTCGATCCTCCGCCTTTGGGTAGCTTAGCGTTAAACGGTCCTCCGAAATTCAATTTCTGAAAATATTCAATTCTTGTTTGGCCCATCTCTATGGACTCTTGAAATCTGTGATTTCGCTCCTCGACGTTTGGAATTGTCCACGGAAACACCAATGAAGGGGGACCTCTGACCAGGAAAACGAACCATCACCTAATTTCCGCTTGGGTCACAAAGCAGCACCTGGGGAAATTGCACAACTCGTTGATCTCCAGGGGACCCGGCAACCGTCCGGGCACTGAAACGGCCTAAAACGGGAACATGTGGCTGTGCTCATACCTGTTCAACTAGTTGCCAGGGAGGAGGTGCAGATCCCGTTCAAATGCAAGAATTGTGCTTCACGGGGAAAAGATGCGCGTGAGTCGTGATTCTTGACGAGGGGAGGTCAGGTTTCCACAGCAGCTCCCCAACATCCAAGGTGCGAAAGAGCTGCTCGCCGTGAAAGGTCCCATTCCTCGAAGTCGTCACTTGCGACGGTATTTTCATTCGTCCTCCTAATACAAGGTAAGAACTATGTGAGCTCTGCTTGACAAACCCATGGCCGCATTTGCATAGAATATCTACCGGTCTTCGAGCAAATTCACACTCGAGCAGAATTTACTCCTGATGGAGCCAGTTTGTTAAACATTAATCGAGGTAAATATGAAGACAGTTCTGTGCATCTATTAGGAAGAATATGAAACAAGTTCAACAAAGCTTCTCGTTGATTGGATCTCCACATTTTGATGCAAGACTATGAGCCAAGCCGCAGATCATTGTCACACGCTCAGCCTTGTGTAGGCCTCGACGTTGATGAGGTAGAAAATGTAAATCTTACGTGCGAAACTACTCAAAACCTTAACATCATTGTCGTTGGACTGTAAAGGAAAATGCTTTAAACAGCGAGAGGCACAGCAGTCCCTGGCATTCAGACACGTTTTGGATGAACATCCGGCAACTTGGATCGCAGAATGACGTACGGGTACGTCAAACCTCTCGCTTCCAATTGCATGCGCAAGCAACACTATGGAGCACCACTCATTTCAGTTGCGCTTCACAAACTCACGATATGATCTATCGAACAGCTGTTTGCGGTGGGAGGCGGAAGGTAAGTTGTTCAATAATGGGACACCTCCGAAGCTAATGCTCGCCACAGAAATCCGGAAGGTCCGGTCAGCTCAGCACAGCCTTCATTCCTTCTCGTACATGAATACGTAACCTCCAACAACTCTCTTGACCGACGCCGGGGCTCGACGATATAATGGTAGACATTACCAGTGATCGTGCCGTCGGTACACGGTCAATTGACCAAAGTCGTGTGGATTTCGCCTCTGTCCAAGTGCCAGGTTCGCTGCCAGCAAATTTACAGGAGTTGTCGGACGACATGGACGACATGGAGCCTATTACTATTTCCAACATCACTAACGAAGATGCACACTCGCTCATAGAGCCCTCTCTCAGTCTTGTTGCCAGCCGGCTCAAATCACCGCAAACGCCAGCGTTGGAGAAAGCCGCAGTGATGGAGGAGTTAGAAGGCGGCGGCTTGTTTGACAGCGAATTGGAGTCCCCTCCAGTGGAGGCTGAGAGCCATTCGGAGGGTGATCTGGGACTAGAACTACCCGTGGATCTCCCAGCGCCTGCTAGGGCAACGAACGAGGCTCATGCATCGAATCAAAGTGGAGGGTTGTCTTTAGAAGAGCTCCCTTCACCAAAATTGGAATCTCCCGGAATGCCCACACCTTGGCATGCCGGAGCCAAAACTATGGTTCTACAGCGAGGAGATGTCCTTCAGCAATCGCCACTGCATGGAGTTTTTGATACTTCCAGAACGAGGTCTCTCTCTGGCGGTGCTGAGGCCCTGAAAAAACTCTTGCCAAAAGGGTTGCCATCAATGGCTCAGGTTGGAAATCTATTTGGGTCCTCAAGTGGAAGCCAAAAATCCAGGCATAGAGGATCATCAAGCTTTTCTAAGGATTTTTCTGGGCCTTCCTCTGCTCCCCGCTCGCCGAATCCTACAACATCTCGGTTTCCCAATACGGGTTCTCTTCCCAATGCACGAGCCTTTGAATCGATAATAACAACGCACCCTCAGGTACTAGCACGTCAAGGAACGTCAGGAGGACCGCCGAGGCCAAAGGCTATTCGCAGATCGACATCCGATAATTCTTTACTTTACCATTCACTGTCAAGGGCTTCATCTCTTGGTGATGATACCCGGTTCGAGAAACACACCGAACAGGTGAACTCACGCGTAAAGGCAATCCGAGATTCTTTACAGGACAGGTCTAGCTTTAGAATGCCAACAATGCCCAGCATGCCAAGTATGCCCCGCGTGCCCAGTTTTAGCTTCAGCATGAGCTTTTTGACTACCGCCAATGTACCATGGAGGACAGATACTGATGTGACCTCAGAAATTCTACCGACAGCCATTCATAAGAGGACTCCAGATACTGTTACGAAACCCGCCATAGACCTTGGAATGATTGGGGCTGCTATATCAAAACCAGAAGCGGCGATCGGCAGTGCTCTTCCAATGATGGAAGGATCAGCATCAACTGCCTTTGATCGAGCTCTGGAATCGTTGACTGGGGACGTGGTGATCATGGGCGGTTATCGAGGGTCAATTCTCCGCTCTACGAAGACTAATCGACAAGTTTGGGTGCCAGTGAAGGTGGGCCTCAATATTCGCAAGGTGGATTTAGAAGTTGGGCTTAATCCCGAGGACGAGGAACGAATGCCGGAAACGATCTATCCTTCTGGAATGTTGCAAAATATCGGGCCTGTCGATATCAGTAGAAGATTGTTCAAACGACTATCCGAATGCGAGAATGCTAGGAGTGGAAAACTGCGTGTTTATGATTACGGATACGATTGGAGACTGAGTCCACACCTTCTTAGCCGGCAGCTCACCGAATTTTTGGATAAACTTCCATCCAACTCGACCAAGGGTGGATTCGGATCCGGTGCTCTGGTAATTGCTCACAGCTTAGGCGGCCTAATCACTCGGCATGTTGTGAACAAGCGGCCTGAGCTATTTTCTGGTGTTGTGTATGCAGGCGTGCCTAAATCCTGTGTGAACATTTTGGGCCCACTGAGAAATGGAGATGCTGTTCTGCTCAGTTCTCGTGTGTTGACTGCGCAAGTCAATTTCACTCTTCGGACCAGTTTCGTCTTGCTCCCAGAAGATGGGGGTTGCTTCTTTGATATCAACACCAGACAGAAGTACCCAGTAGATTTCTTTAGCATTGACGATTGGATCAAGTATCGATGGTCGCCTTGCACAGATCCGCCACTGCCACCTCGCAACCCTCAATCTGGTGGTCTTGGAGGGCTACTCAATAAGTCTTCGAGCTTACTGAATCTTCCACTGGCCGGGAAGAAGTCAATATCGGGCACATCTCCTCCTCAAGCATCAGCAAACACTTATGATGATGAGAACAAGAATCATTCACAATCACCACTTACAATGACGACTCGAGCGGCTGATATTGTTCGAGGGTCGGATGGTGGTACGGATAGAACATTGGCACCCCAAATGGGAAGCAACACAAATCCCGTTGGCAAAGGGCATAGCACGAACCAATCCGTCTCAACTGCCGTTACACTTCCTCGAGAGAAGGCAATTGCCTATCTCCGCCGCACTCTGGCAGAGGCAAAGAAGTTTAAACAAGAACTGCATTTCAAGCCCGAGCTTTCAGAATCAAATCAATATCCACCTGTCGCTGTAATCTACGGGAAATCCATTCCAACGGTGTATGGAGCGAAAGTTGATGGTCGAGAAGGGATCCCCTGCTCGGATGTGTACGACAACCTTGCTTTTGCAAGCGGCGATGGAGTGTGTCTGGCGAGAGAGGCGATGTTGCCTGATGGGTATAAAGCTGTCAATGGAGGGCGGATCTCGAGCGATCGGGGACATGTAACATTATTGGGGGATCTAAATGCGGTTGGACGGGCGTTAGAAGCGGTGATTAAGGGAAGGGTGAAAGGCATTGGGAAGGGAGTTTTGCATGCGAGCGATGTGTAGATGATTTTGTATGTATTGTATGAAGCATATCTTTAAAAATTAGATACCTCGCGGTTAATGAATCAATGAGATATGAGATCTAGAAGAAATGATCGAGTTTCTGTGAATGGCGTGAGTGAACGAGAGTTAAATGTACTAGAATTTGTTGGAACATTGGGTCCCGACCCCAGGAAACCTCTATCAGTCGACCGACCAGAATCGCTTACAACTTGGAAAGGTCTTGGCTGCTGCAGCATCAGGGGATACTTGATGACGATAGTAGGCGTTGGCCGAGAAGGGCTAACAGTGAACCCTTCCCACCTGGTCGACTTTCAACATGCGTGGCGACATCTAAGGATCAATATTATCTTGGAAGGTTCCATCGAACGACGCCACATCACACCGTCAGACCTTTGGGTCGTTGATACGACCAGAGAATCAATCTTCCTGGTGTTTTCACTCACGGATTTTGCACATCTAGTCCTTAACCCACTGCATCAGCCGGCTCCAGAGACCTAGTTGGCATTGGATATCTTGATACAATGTCGACCGGAGAGACAATTCTTCCCAAAATCGTTGAGCAAGGGCAGAAACGGGGACCGCTCCAGACAACTCAAAACACCTCGTCAATTATTCGCTCTCCTCCCATATCTTCAAATAAAAGTCAATTGTCGTCTGAATTCTCGGAACATGAGATCTATACCAAAATTCATCCGGGTGCTTTTCACTTTTCATTTTAAGTTCGGATGAAAACTGGAATATACGTAATCATGGCTCTATGCAAGCGAGGGAGTGAGATGAAAGGGAGTAAGATTAAATTAGGGGTTCAGATGGGAGTGGAGTATTGAAGGGAATGGAGGAGTGAATAACACATACCGATCTGCTATTACTTTTACATTCGAACCTCGGATGAAAGGTCAAATGGGCATAACAGTTCTTTACCGAATCGCGAGATCTGAAACAAATATTTGACCATGAAGATTCACTCTCTTCCACGACAATCTCATTGTCCCAGAACTTTTGGAACATTAGAGCAATATGCGACAAACGCTTGAGATCGAGATATACTCCGGAGTGAATGGTTGAACGTAGACTAGGTGAAGAAATGATAGCTCAACGCCCAGAATTATTACTCTAAACGTCGCAATCAAACTTGAATGAGAAACTTGCTCTGTATATACCCCCCCCCGCCGACGTCACCTAAAATGAGGAGTGGGGTCGTACCATCTCTCCCAACCCCGGTTACTCTCACGGAGGACTTAAAGAGTCGCCTCAAACTTCCCTTCAATCTCAATAATCTTGTCCGCAGCCTTTTTATAACCAGGCTCATTCTCCAACCTCTCAACATAGGCATGAAGCGTGGGGTATTTCTCTTTTGTCAAACCCGCTCTGGAACCGCCAGCAATCAACGGAAAACTCAACAAGATATCCGCACCCGTAAGGTTCGGCCCACAAAGATAACTTCCTCCAGAGGTTTTAAGTTGTCCCTCTAGGAAAGTGAACTGTGTAGCGAAGTTTGGATCGAGGAAACCGGAATGGATCTTGCCTGAAACACCGTTCGTGATTGGGCGGATGAAGAAAGGTACTGGGGCTCCTTTGATTGAAAGCGCGACGAGGGCTATCATCATATATGCCATCAAACTATTCAATTTGTTGGGTCAGTATTGCTCTCAAAGAAAGGATTTGCAATAGTACGGTCCTGCGAACAAGATAGCCTCCAGGATACATCAAAAGTAGTTAACGCATAATACAATTTAGGGCAGAAAAAAATCCCGACTCACCTTCCCTCAGCATAATGCATGAAATATCTAAACCTCAACCACTCCTCCGTCTCGCCTCCCACTTTATTCTCTTTCCCTTCTTTCCAACGCTTTGGTAACAGAGTACTCCCATTCGAGAAGTGGTCCAAAAGATATTCAATGATGAATGCACTCTCTGCAATGACAACTGGTTCGGAAGAGCCAGGAACTGTGACAGAAATTACAGGTGATTTGCCGAGAGCATGGACTTTCTTGAGTTCTGGGGGTGCAAAGTGGGTTTTCTTGTCGCGGTGGAAGATCTCCAGTTCGTAGGGGACTTTCAATTCTTCGAGGAGCCAGAGGACGCGTTGAGACCGTGATTGTTCCAGCCTGTGGTTGTCAATTGCAGTTCTCACCTGAGACATAGGATGTATTTTCACCAATAAAGCTTAATAAGTGGTTGATCAGCTGCTTGTGGTGAAGCCATTGTGAAGTGGAATTCAAAAAATGATTGAAGGAGAATTGGATAATTGCTAGGAGGTCTGAAGAGGGAAAAGAAAATACAACGAAGAAAGGGTGGACGTGAAGCATTTTAAGATTCAGATGCTCGTGGTACGGAAGTACAAAGTACGACCAGCAAGCAGCCTCGGCGCATCAGAAGAGCCGATCATTAACTCCACTTAGCTCCAGACCCTTGCAATTCGGCACAGCCAAACATCGACCGTCTCTCGGCAGCGAGATCACGGGATCGTGAACCTCAATCCTCACCAGAGCTGGCAACGACAACGACGAACAGAACATCCACGGCGAGCGCCAGCACAATTCATCATGGCAGGCCATCACAACCACCGTAAGCTCAATTGCTTCCCCTAATTAACAAGAACGCATACTGACGAGAAGTGGTAGCCCTCGCGCTCGACCCGGCGTTGGTCAAATACAATAGTACGAGCGACCCTTCCCTCGACTGTACTGGGAGCATGGAGTCTAACGGAGCGCAGATATGTTCCTCAATCGGCACAAGTACTTCAGATGGACAGGCCGGACTGCGAGAATCACCTTTGCATATGTTGTTGCGTTCCCGGCGCTGATTGGGTACTTGGCGTACACCACAGATGTGAGAATGTTGCAATTGATATTGGGGGATTTACTAACATTCGTATAGGGCAAGTGGGATATGAGAGGCAAGCGGAGAGGAGACACGATTGTCGAATTTTAGGTGCTGGATGCTTGTGAGGGAATCGGGTTGTACATATGAGAGGTCTGGAAGAATTGCAATCGGAAAAAATTAAGCAACAATCTGCTTTGAAGCAAGACAAGACTGGTGAATGGTCGAGATTCGACGCAGCGAAAAGCTTGTGCTTCACCTTTGGGATTGAAGTGTGGGGTCTGGTTTCGGACTCCCGATACACTTCGAAGCCGTTGTCCCGGACTGCAGTATATGAGCCCTTTACTTTAGATCCAAAGGCTCCCAACAGGTAAAAGAATCTACTTGTAAAATGGTATCATTGCCCTTGAACTCCTTAGTATCTACCTCTGCCTCCGCCAAATCCCCCTCCACCATATCCCCGACCTCTTTGCGGACCCTCAGGTAACCTCTCGCCCCTTCTCCATTCGCCGGTGGGAACGAAACCTTGGCCAAAGTTCCCACCCCCTCTCGGACCACCTCTTCCTCTAAAGCCGCCATATCCATTCTCTCTTGGTCCCATGCCACCCCCTCTGCCGCTGAAGTCACCCCGCCCAGCCCCGAAGCCGCCTCGAGCAGGCCCTGAAGGAGGCGGCGCAACACCTCCATTCTCCATCGGCGGCATAATCGCACAAGAAACATAATCCCCAATCACGAACCTCGCATCCTGCAGCGTCTTCTCAGGCTCACCTCCCAGCGGTCCAGCCATCCGACCTCCTTGCACAATCGTGGCCTCGTCTTCGCTGGGAAGGATTCCCGGTCCCCCACCACCAATTACCACGCTCCCAAGATCCTTCATCATGTAGCGACCAGGCCCAGAGGAATTGGGGCCAGGGTTACGCGTGTCGGGGAAGATGAGGCGGAATGAGAGACGCGTGCCGATTGCTGGTTCGGGCAGTAACAAGGGAAGGGTGGACGTAAGAAGGTGAGAGAGTTCGCGGAGCGTGCATGATGGCCAGGTGTATATTTGCAGGTGAGGAGGGAGTTCTGATTGTGGGTTGAATTCGTCGAGTCTGTTCGAGTCATTAGCATTGGTGGTACACTCAAGGCGTGAGCAAGGCTGAGACTTACCTGTGGAATGCACCATTTCTATAGAAGAGTTTTAGGTAGAAGGGAGTCGTTGTTTGACGGTCGATCTTGCCTGGTGGAGCTGCCATGACTGTGGTTACTGATCGATCTTGTCTTGTTGAGTTTATCTGAGCATTGTGATGGGTGAGGAATAGTTGTAAAGCTCTGGCCCAAATCTCGAGGTGGGATGGCGAGGCGGGAAATGCAGTCTTCCCTGTCCGGTGGCCCGCGAACATTCACAAAAATACGCCTCTACCCAAAATACGCCGACGCATTTGTCGCATAGGAAATAGCAAAGCTGCCTTTGCGGATCTTTCCTTTCGAGCCGTCGAATCCGAGCTACAAGAAGTTCCCGAATTCCTCCCCAAACGCTGGCTTCACTCCCCACCACCGACCACGAACATCGATAGACCAAGTCTCCCGAAGCTGGCATTAAACGCCATAAGGTCGCACCATCTGTCGTAGCCTCTACTGTCCACAGATACAACCGCAGTCATGGATTTCGCCTCTCTCATGTCGAAAGAGATCTCCAAGACTAAACCGGCAGCCAAGGCTGAAGAAGTCTCCAAGAAGTATATGAAGCGCTCCGAGGTGGAAGCAGAGCGGCGCGAGAAATACCTAGCAGAGCAACGAGCAATCGAAGCCGAAAGGGAAGCAAAATTAGCACGAAAACGAAAACGAGAAGAAGACGAAGCGGAGGCAAATCTGGCAAGGGAAGAAAAGCGGAGGAAGCTTGCCGAGGAGTCGAGAAGACGGAGGGAGGAACAGGAGGCTGAAGAGGAGAGGGCTAGGAGGAAGAGGTTGGGTTTGCCGGAGCTGGTTAAGGAGACTAGTGAGGAGGTCGAGGCAGATGATATTAAAGATGAAGAGCTGTTTGAGAAGTTGAGGGCGATGGGACACCCGGCGAAACTGTTTGGAGAGAGTCACAAGCAGAGGTTGAGGAGGTTTAGGAAGCTTGGTATTGTGATCACTACGGGACCTATTCCTACATCTTTGGAGCCGGTGGAAGAAAAGGATATGAAGGTGGAGAAGGTCCCCGATGACGCTGAAGGCAAGAAGTTTCTGTTCAGGCAGTTGGCTTCTTACTTTACGATGATCTTGACGGAGTGGGAGTCTGCTTTGGAGAAGGAGAAAAGGGATACTTTTGCAAGCAAAGCGGCATATAACGCTATGGTGCAGAGCAAGGAGAACATGACACCAGTAAGTTTGAAGTTCTCGCGATCAAAATATCATGCTAATATTTTATAGCTCTTCCGAAAGTTTGAGAAAGGTGATGTGGATGAAGGAGTTTTGGAACCTATTGTCGAGATCGTCAAAGCGGCTCAAGAACGACGATATGTGGATGCCAACGATGGATATCTACGTCTTAGTATTGGCAAAGCAGCCTGGCCAATTGGAGTCACTATGGTTGGTATTCACGAGCGTAGTGCTCGAGAAAAGTTACATGAAAGTGACAAAGGCCATGTCATGGGAGATGAGGTCACGCGGAAGTTCTTGCAAAGTATCAAGAGATGCTTGAGCTTTGCACAGGTTAGATGGCCACCTGAGGATATCAGACAGCTGATGGGTTGAAGCATGAATTTCTGATGAAATGCCTCGTTAAGCACAGTCATTCCTCGCCCCATGAACGGAATTTTTACATGTGAACCATTCGCGTTTGGTGTCGTGAAATTCAATCGGAGTTAATGTACGAATACTGAGCAGCGAGTGCTGTCACGAAAGCCATGTAAGGCTAGCTGAATAAAATTATGATATGTAGGTTCAACTTCCAAGGGTTTGCCGCATAAAGTCCGATCTTAGCTTCTTGATGGACCAATTACATGTGATTATTCGAAAATTCGTATCTTAATCATTGTCTTGTTCATTGACCCAAATTCTGCTTGTCAATGCTCAATTCATCTGCGTGCAGGTTGGAGAAACCGCTTCCCCTGGAAGCCGAGTTAAATGTTGAGACAGGTTGCTCTGGATGAACGCTCGATTTCTGTCCTAGTCGCAGTCTCAATTCGCAACAGCAGAAATTCCCATCTGGCTTCTGCATCATCAAAACAACATAAGAGTCCCAGAATGTGGACTCCAACGCTGCTGATTTACATTGTCTCTGTCAACAACACACCAGAGGTTGCTAAGAAGCTCGTTGCTACCCTCATCCAGGTAGGGAAATAGTACTAGATTTGTGCGAATAGCTTTGAACTCACTCCCGGCAGGACTTGGCAACTCAGTACAATCTGGTTCATGTAGCAAACACCAACAGTAAGCTCTCTTCACCAAAAGGCATAAGTACGAGCTGACAGGACCTCTTAACCTAGGAATAGATGGCCTAAAGCCTCTATTAGACTCTTTGGTAGTCGTTCATCAACTCCTGGTAAGTCATCCTCTCTTCTCAGCTAACTCAAGCTCACTGGAATTTAGATTTGCTTAAGCTAATGGACTAGCATACAGTAGAAAGAAGTCTTGGAGTTTGCGGGGATAATGCTGCCAGGTATTAAGATAATTGCAATTCCGCCTGGGTTAAATGCTACGAGGGGATGAGACGCTGTTGTGGACTTCTTGAAAGAGCAGATCATTGGGTTTGATCTTACAACACGCATTTGAACAAGGATGTGAAGCAAAGAAAGATTCAAGTGGGGCGTGAGAGCTAAGTTGATGCCCGAGCTTGCAGGGAACAATCATACATAAATATGTTATTCAATGAGCGTTGCAACCCCTTCGTGCGGTTTCTCCCACTTTTCTGCCCTTCTCCAGAACTGCTCTCTCCCTGGAGCTGGGAGATCAACGCCGAACTTTGCGAAAAGGCCACCCTTGAGAAATGCGATTTCTGGGCGTTCTTTGACAACAGTCATTATGGCGCTGCAAAACATTAGCTTTCGTACATACAAATTAATTTCAAACACCTCCCTGCCGCAGTCACCGCAGAAAAGACGATCTGAAGTGTTCCCAGAGGCAGCAATATCGCTGTGTATCTTCGGTGTTCCTTCCACTGTGATGTCTTTGGTAGGCGTGGGTAAATTCACCGCAAAACTAGAAGGCTTTCAGCATGGCTCTGAACATTTGAGATTTAAGCTGACTGACAGTGAACCACTTGATGCCCTGCAATTCAAGCAGTGGCAGAGTGAACTTGCTTTTGGAAGGGAGCTTCGAGGAAGGGAAACAGTAATACGTCCGCAATTGCAAGCCCCTTGAATTATATCTGAAGAATCCATTTCGTCAAAGTGAAGAGATATGTAGGTATGAAATGAGCTTTTACCCAAGTTGGAAAAAAAGGAAGGAAGACAGACTCTCCTTCCCTTACTTAGGTAGTTTGATAGTCCGCGGAAGTACTGCACTTGTTAATTGATGTGAATGGTTTATTAATCAGCATCATGCATCTCGTGTGTGGTACTTTGGTACAGGGAGAATTCAACATTGGATAGGCTCTGCTCTTGCTAGAAGTATGCGGTTTCCGGACAGGCTGTGAGTATAAAACCTGGTAACGGAGATACAATCAGATTTCCGAAGTGACCGAAGATCAATTCGTTCATTGGACATTAGAAATGACTCGATTGAGATGTAAATGGTGAGATGAAAATCCGAGGTTCCTTGTGATGGTCACGTGGACGCCTGGGACAAACCCGATACTTCGTACCTCGGAAAAGTTCTCCTCAGAGTAATTCAATACACACCAACTCAACAACCACCTTTGAACATAATCATTTCTTCTGTAGTCTAGTGTATTTGATGTCCCCTCGAGATTCGTCTCTTGTGAGAGAGAACTGAGAATTGGAGAAGTTTCAAGTCAAGTTCTCTGCGAATCGATACACGGATACAATGTCACTTTACTGGGAGACAGCCGACCTGTTGACCGAGCCTGCTAACTCAGGTGGCAGCTTGAAGTCCAGAATTTTCAGCAAGAAGGATTTGAAGTCACAGCCGGCCCAAATCTACGCCTTGGCTATAGAGACGTGCAAATGGAGCTCAGTCTTGAAAGAAGTGGTCGAAAATGCTGACATCTTACGTGTCGAGCGGAAGGTAATGCACTACCTCAAATATGATTGTACACAAAACTGATTATATTCTCCTCTTAGCTGACACCTGTTCTTTCAATCCTTCTTGCTCATGACCTTATTTTGGCCAAGAAAGGGGTTGCTCTCCCAGCTACTCATGGACTTCGAGTCGCCATTGAACGGCACAAGAACCGGCTTCAAGCAGAGTTTACAAGAGCAAGAATCCGAAGGAGGGTAGGCTCCGCTGAGGCGTTCAAAGCATTCGTCGAGTCAGGCCTGGAAAATGGGGGAGGTGGCTCCGAAATGCTGCGACCTCGTTGGATTCGCATCAATACTTTAAAAACTACGCTGGAGGATCAGCTGGAAACTACCTTCTCAGGATACGAACGCTCTACGACCGTTGGCGGTGTCCGGAATCGGGGTTCAAAGCGCTTATTCATTGATTGTCATGTCCCAAACCTCATTGCTATATCGCCGAATATTGATCTTTCCAAAAGCGACGCTTACAAGTCTGGAGAAATCATTTTCCAGGACAAGGCGTCATGTTTTCCGGCCCATCTTCTTGACCCGCTGGCTGAGGATGGCGATATTATAGATGCATGTGCCGCCCCAGGAAACAAGACCACTCACATTGCTGCCATCCTCCTATCGCACAATTCGGAACCTGATGAATGCTCGCAAGTCGTCCACGCATTTGAGAAAAGCAAGGGCAGAGCGGAAACTCTCGAGAAGATGGTCAACCTTGCTGGATCAAATACTTGGACGAAACTCCACCCCGGACAAGACTTCCTGAAGACGGATCCGGAGTCAGCCGCATTTAAGAATGTTATCGCTTTGTTGTTAGATCCAAGTTGTTCTGGAAGTGGTATTATCGGCAGAGATGATATGCCAGAACTGCATCTACCTGCTACCAAGCAGCCATCGAGCAGCATATCCAAGCCTCAGAAGAAAGGATCAAAGGTGCCAGAGCCAACCAGCGGGACGAGAAAGCGTAAAAAAGGCGATCATGATGACGCGCTGGACGTCATGGTTGACGATGATGGAGAGGTTACAGCTGTCAATTCGGACGATGAGCTCAAAGCTCGAATCGAGGCACTTTCTAAGTTCCAACTGGAGCTACTCCTTCATGCGTTCAAATTCCCAGCAGCAAGGAAAATCACGTATTCAACTTGCTCAATCCATGCAGGAGAGAACGAGCTGGTTGTCCAGAAAGCCTTGGAACATCCATTCGCAAAGGAGCGAGGTTGGCGAATTCTCATGCGTGAGGAACAAATACGAGGAATGCAGCAATGGCCTGTCCGCGGATCTTCGGAAACCTGCGATGGCAATGAGGTACTTGCAGAGGCATGCATAAGAGCTAATAAAGATGATGAGCATTGCACAATGGGCTTTTTCCTCGCTGGGTTTATCAGAGACGTCAAGCCGAGGAAAGACGTGGATGCAGAATTCCTCAGAGACGAACGTGGCCATCTTGTTCGAGATATGATGGGCTTTCCTGTGAGGGTAAGTCCTCAAGAAGAAAACTTTGGTCCCATCAACGAGGATGTTGACATTGCACCCGTTCGTTCCGTACCAACGGACGAAGGAGAAGACGAATGGGCTGGCTTTGGGGATGATGATATGGCAATTGTGGAACAAGACAAACCGGCCCCACTTCCTCAAGATACCCCTAAGCAAGACAAGAAGTCAGGGCGCGGAAGTCGGCACGACACAAGCAAAAAACGGCCCCAATTTGGCATCACGGACAAAATGCACAAGAAGAGCAAGAAGTCTAGTTAGCATGAGATACCCAAAATACGACATACTTACTCCGGGCCATGTTGTTTCCGCTCGAATAATGCAACTTTTGCTCCTCCATTCTGAGCACAACTCGTCGTTTCATGAATCCGGGTACGCGGCTACGATGTCTTAGCTTCAGCTTATGTCCTTTTGCAGCGCAAGGTGAGTGCAAGGTCTCGACCTCCCCGTTCTCTTCCAGCCTCTTATTGAAGTCAAAGACCCTGGAAGTTTATTTGTTCAACGGGTCAAGTGTCTGAACCGCTTTAGGGGAAAAAACCGAAGTCATTGATCGATTGTCCCTTGTTCAGCCGATCGGAGCAGATGGTCGTATTTCTTAAGTCCGCCAGTGGCGCCGGCCCACACCTCCGTGCTGCAAAGTTATGCACGAGCTTGATGTTTAGCTCGGAAATAGAAGCAGAGGGAGTTAAAAGTAATTTCTAAGCCCAACACCGACGCCCAACACCCACACCATTCCGCACAGACTTCCGTCACTCGGAAGGAGGCACCGGAGCAGCTTACTTGTATGGTAGGTTGAGGCTGTAGCCTGCCCCACCTTTGAAGCTATCCCAATGATTTGCGGCAAAGGCTTCCGTCATCCGCAACAAACGATGCAGCTGTGCAAAGTTGTGCAAGGCTATGCAAGATTATGCAGGGTTATCCAGAAATTCAATTCCGTCGGAGTATGCATAGCGAAGAACGATAGGCTTGCGCCTCGGTGGAGTTAAGCGTCTCGATGCAATATATTTTCTGTGACTCCTTCTCTTGTTGCATTCCTCTTCAGCAGTTGTGAAGGTCCCCTACTGTTGAATACATCCCCAAAATGACTCAACCAGACTCATCTGCGTCATCGACAACGGCAACAGAGCCCCCAGAACGAGATGTTGAGGCTCAGAAGGGGAGGACTCGGCAAAAAGTATCGCATTGGAGATTGGTAATCGACCAAACTCATGTGACTCCAGAAGTCTTGAATTGGCCATACAGAGGTTCTGGAACAGAGGATGAACCCTATGTGGTGGAATATATCGAGAATGATAGGAGAAATCCTATGCTCTTTCCCATGTGGAAGAAATGGATGATCACAATCCTGGTCGCGTTTGTGAGTTGAGCCCATTCAGTGTCCAAGCATACAATCAATGATTTGGGCCGTTAGCTTTTGGCGGAGGAGCCAAAAGTAGAAGTTTGAGTATTCCGGACCTTCAAGCCTTTGCTTCTGTCCAGCTGATACTGACTTCTGTCTCTTATAGGCTACTCTTGCAGTAGCGTTCGTCTCATCAGCCTACAGCGGTGGTGTCGACCAAATTCTCTCAACCTTCGGTGTTGGTCAAGAAGTCGTAACGCTCGGGATTTCGCTATTCGTTCTTGGATTCGCAATAGGTCCTCTTCTGTGGGCTCCCATGTCCGAATTGTACGGCCGTCAAGTCCTGTTCATTGGTACATATGCCATGCTCACAGCATTCAACGCGGGAGCTGCTGGTGCCCCTAACATTCAATCGCTGCTTATCCTGCGGTTCTTTGCTGGTGCATTTGGATCTTCGCCTTTAACAAATGCAGGAGGCGTCATTGCGGATATGTTTCCTGCTTCGCAACGAGGACTGGCAATGAGTGTTTTTGCTGCGGCTCCTTTCTTGGGACCTACTCTTGGTGAGTGCAATAGTCTTTCCGCCCCTTGTTGGAATGAAGGCTTACAGCAAAATCAGGACCAATCATTGGTGGATTTCTTGGCGAAACCGAAGGGTGGCGCTGGGTCGAAGGTGTAATGGCTATCTTTACGGGAGCTTTATGGATCATCGGCTCTCTTACAATCCCCGAAACGTACACTCCTGTCATCCTCCGCCGCCGTGCCGCCAAGCTCTCGAAAATCACTGGCAAAGTATATAAGTCTAAGATGGAAATCGAGCACGGCAAGAAGACCGTGGCCCAAGAGTATAAGATTGCTCTGTCTCGGCCATGGATCTTGCTGTTTCGAGAGCCGATCGTACTATTGCTGAGTATCTACATGGCCATCATCTATGGAACGCTCTACATGATGTTTGCCGCGTTCCCCATCGTGTACCAGCAACAGAGGGGATGGTCTCCCGGCATTGGAGGACTCTCGTTCACTGGTGTTATGGTTGGAGAGATGTTTGCGGTTGTCTATTCCATTTGGGACAACAAACGGTACCAACATACCGAGGCCAAGCACAATGGAAAGGCTCCCCCTGAGGCTCGACTACCGCCGGCAATGCTTGGCTCTATTTTTCTACCTGTCGGGTTGTTCTGGTTTGCGTGGACGAATTATCCGAGCATCCACTGGGCTGTGAGTATCGTTGGCGCCGCCCCCTTTGGATTCGGCATGGTGCTCGTGTTCTTGAGCATCATGAACTACCTCATCGATTCATATGTAATATACGCAGCTTCCGTATTAGCAGCAAACAGTGTGCTGCGATCATTGTTCGGTGCAGCGTTCCCCCTGTTTACAACATGTAATCACTACCCCATTTCCTCATGATTAAGAGAACTAAACTAATAACAACAATAGATATGTATCGAAACCTCGGTATCCATTGGGCGTCGTCTATTCCGGCTTTCCTAGCACTGATGTGTGTTCCATTCCCATTTTTGTTCTACAAGCATGGAGAAGCGATTCGATTGAAGTGCAAGTTTGCTGCTGAGGCGGCGGCAGCCTTGGAGAGGATGAGAACAGTTAATCAAGTCGAAGAAGAGGAGGGACAGGATATCTCTGAAAGTGATGACAGGGATACCGAGAAGGAGGAGGAGGACAGTGAGGAGAAGAGTGAAGAAAAGAGTGAGGAGACAAGGAGACAAGATAAAGAGCTTGACAGTGAGAGCTCGAAAGAACAGGGATTGGATGCGGGATTGAGAAAAATATGAGAAAAGATCTCATGACAGCGCGGTGATTTTGCTGCATGATTGCGGGACTGGTTTTGCATGGCGTTAGAATTTTGCGTGTGGAAAACCATTGGTTAATGAATTTGGGTTCGAGCTATTCAGCGCTGCATACCATAGAGGGGGAGGCATCGATGACAACTATAATTTTCGTTTGTAAATTATTTTGTTTCGAGTCTCTCCGTTTCACTTCCCTATGCCGGAATGGGATACTGCTTCTAAGAATTATGTTCTAAAAACGATGAGAAGTAGGGCGGTGACCCAAGCGAGACCGCTTTCCAAATTGGTACGACACAACAACCCTCACCGACCACCCTCCCTCCCAGCAAAGCAACCCAGAAGATCGAATCTTCCATTCCCACCGCAACGAGAGTACCCGCTGATCCTGGATAGGCGAAATGATGTATAAGCGGCGCCGACAAGCATTGGCATCCTGATCTCCTAATTTGAAGCACGCCTTGACATGTAAGCTTCCAACCTTTACCTTTGAAGTGATAGTTGACCGTTTTACCCTAGCCTTCCACTCATTGACATGAACAATATTGGTTGAAACTATACTCGCAATATTCTTCAAAAGAAGCAACAGGAAACTGCCCAATTACCAGACAATGCCGCGGAGAGCGACGAAAACGAAAACGAAAACATTATTTCCGATGAGGATGACGCAGTTTTCATACCCCTCTTTCGTATCAATGATCTACAAACGAAGGAGTTCTGGGAATTGAAGCTTGAATATCGAAATGATATCTCCAAGGAAGAAGCAGATTCAAGCAGCCGTGGATGTTAATATTCCTGATTTTGCCTTGTCGCGCAAGATAGGCTTGTGGTTGAAGAAGTAGTACTTCAATATCTCCGCCTTGCTTTCTCCACTAAAATGGCTATATACTAAGAGTCCAGATGCTATGTATATCTTGAAGTATCACAGGCATCACCTCCTAGAGCTGGCTGAATACATCACAGCCGGATTCCTCACGGGGTTCATCTGCCAACTCCTCTTTGCAAAGGGCTGGGAAAATCAAAAGCCATTCCTACTTCCATCCTCGGCCATCAAGAGAATAAGAGGAATATACGCAAACTTCCTCCTGCAAGGGGCGACTAAGAGACTTGATGAGAGGTCATTTGTTTATGGTAGAAAGATAGAGCGGGATTTCAGAGAGCGAATCAAGGAACACTGCCAAGACACCAAGGAGGCCAAGACCAAGGGAAAAGACTCGCATCATCGTATGTTTTGCGTTCGTGAAGATTTTACTGATGACGAGTTCTTTATCCTCGCGGTATACGGCAAAGACACACACCCTGCCATTAACGAACTCCCCGAGGGGTTTACTATTATAGCATTAGGGCCCTACGAGAGTCGACCATTCCTAGATCTTACGTCTCAACTTCAATTGCCCGTCGTTGCTGACAGTTATGACCGTCGCCTTGGCCTTGGGGCTAAATCGAGATCCTGGAATGATGCCATAGGGGACTTTTCCACGACTCCTTGAGAAAATACGGAGTTCTTCGATCTCGTTCTTCGTGACAAAGCCATCGACCTGGTTTTGTGGACCAACAACAAACCTGTGGTTTAAGAATTGGTTTACGCCCTTTGATTTCCTTCTGATTCTCGCAAACTCCGATACACTGTAACTCAAGCTGAATGCTTCTCCCAGTGGTTCCAACAAAGGCAGCAACAATACGTGGGAACAAGGACTTGAGATTGTAGGGATGCTGGATCAAATTCACAACATCAGTGCAGCGACAGGCGGTGTTCTCGATGGGGATGTTGATTGGTAGATGCTGGACGTGGCGAGGATAAACATGGCGAGTTTTGGGTATGCTTGATTATGACTTGTGATATTTGTAGCTTGCATTGATGATAAGATAAGGGGGCATTATTCCTTGCTTGACATTTTGCATTTTTTTATTTTTAGCATACATTGAGCCTTCTCTTTCCATGCTTATCAGGGCCTCTTCTACTTGTAACTTGTATCAATGTTGAGGTACGTGCCTTTTCAGACAACCATCACTTCAACCAGGGCTCACAATTGTTGTTATTGAAATCTTGACCTCTTTTATTAAATGTGCTTCCCTCATACCTTACACTCGCTGTGTTGCCTCTGCTGACGTAACAATTGTGTACTCTTCCATTCTAGCATACTTAGTCCCACCGCAGCTCGCATGCCGTTATCCAAGCACCGCTCAACTTAGATTGCTACTCGTATATCGGAGAACAGAACTCAATTCATTTCCAATGCTCTTAAGTTCTGGAGTATTGACATTGCTCCCAGTTGAATGTTCAACTTGACTTGGGTCATTGTCCCTTTTCTGCTCGGCACATTCCTGCAGTCGAGCTTGTGTGAAACATGTTGATGAACACTTGTGATGCCTGCTGCTGGACTACGTGACCTATAAATATATCTTAAACTACTAACAGTATCCGTGCACAGCTTGACTTGCGTATTAGGAAAATATTACACTTGAAGGATGCAGATGCGATGAGACTGCAGATATGTAATATAGTATTCCCGGTGAAGCTCCTCTTATCGATCGAAGAACTAAGTTCACTATCTAGTTGTGTACTCTTATGCTCCAGGTATTTGGAAATAGCAATAGACGAGATAGGCACCATTTTTTAATAGTAAACCCATTTTGATGATGTTGATTCTCTACAACTTGCATGTTTCAAATCCTCGGACCCTCCATATCCAGTTCACTCAGCTTTCAAAACCAGGCAGGTCTCATCCATTATCCAACACCAAAAAGGACACGCAAATAACCCCAGCATCCAACCCAAATCCTCAAACTCCAAAATCAAAAGCGACCATCGACAGCCATCCCTGCCTCTAATTCATCTCATAACTCCCCCCCACAACCCCGCCGTAAGCCCTCGCCGGCCTCGCCAACCCAGCCTCCACATCCCGCTCAACCCTCCTCTCCATCTCCGCCCTAACTCTCTCTCCCTCTTCCCTCCTCGCCCTCTCCTCCGCCTCGAAATCCGTATAATTCCCTGCTCCCCCCCTTCCCCCCTTATACGTGGGTTTACTCCCCCCAAGGACTCTTTTCGAAACCCCTATGCCGGGTCGACTGGCGGAGTGCGATGGTGCAGGGGAAGAGGAAGGCGAGGAGGGGCCGGCTTCGGTGGACGAGGGAGAGGAGGGTGTGATCGATGTTGGGTCCGGGAGCGACATTTGGGTGAGGCCGGAGGAGGTGAGGTCGGTGGGTTTGAGCCAGTTTCCTGCGCCGCCCCGGCCGGTGTGTAGGTATTCGGGCGCTATTTGAGAGGCAGAGATGGCGCGGGTTAGGTCTGCTGTTGAGGGAGGGAGGGCTTCGGGGTCCTAAGGATGGTTGTTAGCTCGTCTTTTGTGTGTGAAGATGTAAACATGGGTGATGTGACAAGGCTGAGAATGTCGCCCGTGCAAGTTGTATAGTTGAAAAGAAGAGCAACAGGATCAAGGTCCAAAATGAAGTGTAAATCTGGAAATTGACGTGTTTTCAAAAGGGAGAAACAAAAGGGGTCATACAACGGCTTTCCCCTTCCCCTTGACATCCTCGACGTCCTTCTTGCTGTAAAAGTTCCCCGCTCCCCCCCTCCCCACCTTCTTATACGGCTCGGACATGTTTCTCTTCTTCTCACGGACTTGATATATTTTAGAGTTTCAAAGGAGTGTTAGTTTGTGGAGAACGTCCATGGAGGCATGATGTCGTGTGAGTAGTTTGTAAAATGGATTAGATATGCGGTGGAGCTTATCATCGTGGCTTGCTTTTTCTGGCCCTGAGTCTTGGCGTGGGCTGTCGCATCTTTTCTCTCCCTCGTATAATTTCTTATTTTCATCCCACCAGGAACCGACAGATTTTTCATCGGTGCTTAGCGAAGGATCCCCAGAGTCTTCATTCCTTGAGAGGACATCCTACTTCCCGATATTGCTTTTGAGAATCTGAGATGGTCCGGAGGAGTAACGCCGGTTTCGGGCGGGGTTTGTTTCTAGAAGAGGTTTTTTGCCTTTGCGGAATAGAAAGTCAATGGGAGTGTGTTCTGTGACACACGCCCGGTACAAATGTCTCGTAAATGTTGCAGCGTGTTCTGCCTCAGTACGACGGTGAATTCCCGTTCACGTCATCTGGCTGGGCAGCTCAGCAGGTTCAGGTCCAGTGATCTCAGACGCGTCATGAGAACCATGATGACAGCTATGACTTGAAGAGGTTTTGTAATTCTACTCTCCGTGTCTCTGAATAATCCGAGGGACGAATGCAATACGTACACTCCTGGAGACGTTAAACTAAATCCTTTCGAAGGTTCGGTTCCAGACTCTGTGCGGTCACGTGGATAAATCTTCTCTGCGCTTTCGGGGCCCAGGAGTGAGGGTGTGCCTTTCGGGTGTACCCCTGGCCCGAAAGGCAAAAATTAAGGGCCGGATGTCCCGGACACTACGGTAGGAAGGGAGCGAAGTTGGTTCTTTCTCCACGTTGAACGTCACCGTGGATTCCTTGAAATCAGACCAAGCCACGCGCACAGTGGCAATTTTGTATTTCTACGAAGTCCGCATACAGTCCAGTATACACGCTTGGGTTGCGATAACAAGTGCACAGCCACCAATCTGGCATCTTGGCATCTCGCTGTTCCCAACGAAGGTGTTCAAGTTGACGTGGAAGAGGGACTTTCGGTCCTCGCGTGTTTATGATGTGACCTTGATTTGCTTCCTTCCCACTCCTGAAGTTACTGTACTCAGTGTACTCTGTTGAACCGAGCATTTTCGGCCCGTCCTCGTCGTACCTTGCAAATCGCGGTAAGGCGGCGCCCGTGGCGTCCAGCGAGGGATTAATCGTGTCTCAGGGAGGCCCTGTCGACCAGACACCATCCTCCCACCCTGGCGTGCTAATGCAGGTCACGATGGCCCCTCCTCTGACGAATGTCAAGGAAGGATGCCTGCTAAAAAAGATGTTTCAGGAAAACAATCTTCAGATAAACTTGTTACCATAGTACTCTACCGCAGAACTTTCTGGCGCTGACGGCTGAATTGAGAAATCGGCTCAAGAAAAACAATGCTCCGAGGCTATACTTTGTGCTAGTAGACGAGCGCCGATCTCCTCCATCATCTCCACGAGCCCTACCGTATCTCCAGCACGGGCTACCCTTGAGCCTTGAACTCTTGAGCCCTTGAGCCCTTGAGCCCTTGGACAGGCTCGATCGGACTCCCGTGATAAGTAAGCATGTCCACGATCCGAGCAACAATTTGTTTGCATGGACCAGGGCGTGCCAACATCAGAGGTTGACCTGCATTGGATACATCCGGGCCCGCCACGGCCTTTTACTTCGATCCCCCTCTTGTTTGCACTCGCAGTTCCCGCCAGAAAACGCCGTACTCACCGTGGTGCAATTCCTCCCACTGGGGATTTTGTGCCGTTCAAATGGCTGGCAGGCAGGCGTCGCTGGCCACCTCGGCGTGCAGGTTCCAATCAACGTGAAGGCCACATCTCCCCGCTTTGAGCATTGCTGCAGCCGCCGTGGGAAGCGCCCCATTTGAGGCCTGATCGGCCTACCCGCGACAAAATAATTCTGTGGAGCGCACCGGTGATGGGCTTGTCAGATCGGTGTCCTCCAATTTTGATTTTGGGCATCTTGGACGAATGAAATGTCCATGAGCTTGAGTGTGAGCAACGCTGATCAGGCAAATAAGCAGCGCTGATCCTGCGGACTCCGTCCGAAAAGTCGAGCAGACCAAAGCCTAGAACCTGGAACACTGGAATCTAGACATCGAGACATCGAGACATCTAGACAGCCGCGGGAGGCGTGCCAGACTCAACAAAGGTGTGCATCCATAGGCTATTTAAGAGGCGGCACCCGCCAGGAACGGGCACCATGCGAGCAGGAGATAGATTGATACACCAGATCGTAGTTTTTTCCCCGTACCTTACGGCGGAGCTGGCAGGCCTGCTAGGCTGTCAGCGAGTTCTTCGCCCAGTTGCAGGCTTTCGTGAGGGCGTGCAACAATCAATATTGATTCCACCACATGTTCGCCGAGCAGTCGATGTGGCCAGGAAGCCGCGCTCTTGACAAGGGATTTCCTCCTGGATGGTCACTCTACCGTATCTGATCCACACCAGGGCCTGCCGCCGATGAATCCGATGGTTGCAATTGCGACATGGCCGACATGCGCTCCTGGGGGGACTGGAGCAGTGGAGCCAGCTCGTCGGGCGGCAGATGGCGCTTCTTCCCTCGCACTTGCACTCCCACTTCCACTCCCACTCGCACGCCTGGTTTGGAGAAGGAAGGCGGCAGCCAGCCAGCCAGCCAGCCAGCCATACAGCAGCGGCAGCCATACTGTGGTACAGCCATACAGCAGCCATACCGTGGTACAGCGCGACCCCCGGCCTGTGGCCTTCCTTCCTTCGCTCCCTGCCTGCGCTCCCTTCCCAATCCTTGGTCATGTGGCTGGCTCGGCTGCCGCCACTGAGCAGTGAACACCCTCCCAGCCTGGGCCAGCCTGCCCCCAATGGGCGTGATCCTTCCAGGGTGCCCAAAGACAGCGGAGCAGCTGCCCTGTGACACAGATCATTGGCTGCGAGACTGCGCTGTTTTGGAGAATCACGAGGGGGCCCCGATGCGGCCTAGTGCACTCGCCATTCTACCCCGGGCCTGGCCTGGGTGTCTCGATTTCGCAACGACGGCGTTCTTTTGACATGGCCCACGGGGGGCGAGTGGCCGTGTGCTGCCAAAATTGCGAACAAAAGACGCTGCCGCTGCCGCTGCCGCTGCCACTGCCACTGCCTCTGTGGAAGGTCACTGACGAGGTCGACACTTTCCTGGACGAGGTTTTAAGCAGTGACGCACCTGGCCGATGTCTTGAAAAAACGCAAGAAATCATTCTTGAGACCCGTCTAAAGTAAACACACACTTCGGTTCAAACCCCGAACCGAACTGCACTGCGCTGCGGCGCTCTAGAACTTGGGTGTGGTTCACTACATTAAATCTCTCGCCCCTCCTCCCCTCCCCCTCCCCCTCCCCCCTCTGCCCCTCTGCCCCTCCCCACGCAAGCGATCGTAATTGGCACTTGCCTGCCCTGGCTGTGGGCGCACCTGCCCTGTCTTGGTCCGCTTCGGTTTGTGTCCTCAGTCCTGGGCGGGCCGCGAGCGAGCGAACCATCTCCAAACCAACTCGCTCCCTCAACTCCAGAAACTCCCAACTTTTTTCCCACTCCCTTGCACTTCGCTCCGCTCTGCACCCTCACACTGCACTGCACTTTCTTTCTATTTCTGCCACAGCATCACGATTCCATTGACGTACGACCCGACTCACGACCCCTCTGCACGCATTGATCGAGGGCTTTGCTGCTTATTCGATTTGTGCTCAGCCTACCTTCACTGCCCATCCGCCTTCGAAACCCCGCTGCTTTCGCGTCTCACATCCCCCCCAGTACCACTCGCCGCAGCCCGCCCATTCCATGTGCGACAATTGAATAAATTTTGTTTCGCAACCTGCCTGCTTTCAATTCCAACTTTCCAACAATTCCACCAAATTCTCGAACATCTCTCGCTATTTGCACCAGCAAGTCAACTCTCAAGGGTCATCTATCCATCCATCCACCTACAGCTTCGGTTCTCGCTTGCTTATGCAGGTAGCTTGAGCTTCGATATTAACCTTCCGAAACCTCCACCCACATTGCTGTCGATCACTTTCTCGGCCCTCATATTGTAGCTTCTCCGAGCTTCGAGGATTGAGGGCCGTCTTCATCAAAATATTCCAGAAACATGGCTTCTTCCAAGGTCGGTCTTACCTCAGTCCTGGACTGGGTGGGTGTATTTTTAGATCTCTGCTGATCACAGACAAATTTCCAGGAAATCCAACATTCCTCCAGGCCTCTGAGCCAACACCGCCTGTCAATGTCTACATACTCTGGCTCCCTTCCTAAATCCCATTCACGAAATCATTCACACTCGGTATCTTCGGGCTCTCTTATCACAAGCCACAGGGTGACACGGCGGAAGAGTGTGTCCTCGAATGCCAGTAATGTCGCAGCCATGGTAGCCGCAGTCAGGGACGCTGGAGATACCACCTTGGGCATGCCAATTACTAATCGCCGAAATACAATGTCGAAGAACGCCTCGGCCAGGTCTGCGGCTCTTGGTAGTCTTCCGTCACCACCCGCGAGCTTGCCAGGACACAGGATTCGATTGACCTCAACTGGTAAATCGGACAGGAGCGAGAGCGCCATTGACGACGAGCAGAATGATGAAATGGATGACGATGAAGAGACGGCATTCAAACAGTCCCGTATGAGACGAGCTAGCGAAGGTCAACACTTGATGAAGGACGGCAAAAAATCCAACGGCAGTGAACTCAAATGTGGGACGTGTGGCAAGGGATATAAGCATTCGAGCTGTTTGTCTAAGCATTTGTTCGTGCCCACCTTCCTTCCCTGCGTGGTCCATCTGAGCTTCGCTGTTGCACTGTCCGTGGGGGGTAAAAATCATAAAAGACCGCTGTGCGAGCTTTTGGAAGAACATTGTTAATTAACACTTGCTGCAGATGGGAACACACGCCTGAATGGTCTTACACTTCCAAATTGCTTATTTCTAAGCACCAGCAAGTCCAACTTTTGGAAGCAGCCTCAGTGCTACTGACGATGAACGAAGACGGCACAACTCCACCCGACTCTGCAAAGGATTTCCAAAGCGACCAGGATTCGGCGAGTCCTGCTGCATCAGGCTCTTCCGAACAGCATGATGGCACGAGCTCCGCGGACACGACCCCTCCACCACAAGCTGACATTTTCAATACCTACAGCAGCGGCAGACAACACAAGCGGTACAGCAGTGGGCACACGTTTTCGCGTAGTTATCAATCAGCGCCATCGGCAAACCTTCTTGCTGGAGGTAGTGTGCCCAATGGATCCGGGTTTGGCCATTATCGTCAACCTAGTGGCGAGCGTCGTCCGTTGAGCTCGGGCATCAGTCGCAGCAATCAAGAGGATGAAGGCCTCGCCGCGGCCGTCGAGCTTCTCTCATGCAGCTTCGGATCGACCGGCACACCCAGAACTGTGCCAGTCACTCTCCCTCTCGATGCTCCTCCAGTGCCTCTCATCCCTACTCAATATTTGAGCCAGTCCAACTTTTCTGGTTCGACCCTGACTCCAAGCCAACACCCTCGCCAGACTGAGAGTTACACCCGCAACCGAGTCGAGCTTGACGGCGATATTAAGATGGAAAATGAGTCCGTTGCTGATGATGACGAAGATTACGATCGACGAAGATCTGACGAGGACGATGACGGAGTATTCGGTCGGATGGAGGAATGATATCTCCTCGAGATGGATGCATTTCCTATGTAGTATCTGATATATAAATCCGGCGAGCAATGTCTCCGTGGGGCTTTCAACACCGAGACGTGGACTTGGCAGTAGATTTCCACGTTCGAGGTTAAAGTTGAACTATCGCGTCGAGCACAACGCCATAACAGTGGTTATGTTTCCAAATGCCATATAGCACGATATCTGTCAATGTATGAAACATGGTGATGAACAAATGTGATCTTCTCTTTCGTGACTTGCCAGCTGCTGGAATAGGTGACCTATGAGCGCATTGTAAACATACTGAAGTATTCGTGCACAGCTTGACTTGCGTATCAGCGACTGGCCGATACATTTGAAGAACGTAAATACAATGAGACTGGAGATAGATGTGGCGTTGAAGAAGGGAGAAGGTCTGAGAGTCGGTGAAGAAATTTACAAGCTTCCTTTTCTTCTTGGTTTGCATGGGTAGGTGGGTTGCTGAGCGACAGGCCAAGCTACGTCACCGCTTTAAAGCTCTCGATGGGTAAACATCGCGAGCTTCAGTCCACAACCAAACCTCATGTTGCAAATTCCACCATTCTCCTTACTGCACTCGCACATCCACCATGCCGGTGTTAAGAGGGAAATTTAGTGAAAAGGCGACAGCTGTTGTTCAGCAAGATGATGCAGTTATCCGTCCCTCGAAGATACCTCCATTGCTCCGGCTTCCCCTGCTAGTACTGCTGAGCTTAACGTTCTCGTCGATGCTTTACTCCTTTACTTCAAGTCAAACAGCAGATCTAGCGAGCGTGTCGAGGAGTTTGGATCAATGGTGGCAAGTTGGCGCGTTAGTCGGGTGGAGAATGTGAGTTACGCTCCATCCATTGCTGGGCATCAGCTTAAGGTATTGTAGATTTGAGCTTGGTCTGGGCTGGTATGGAAATTATGATGGCTATGACCTGGCAGCTTTAACTCTGCTATCTCATGGTCCTCCAGTAAGGCATCTCCCTTACGCCCAAAGTTCTCTATTAACTCTGGTACAGCTCTACCTGCTTAGCACATTCTATGAGATCCGGCCCGTTGCAGTCCTCCTCTCTCTCGCAATCGACATAACTACAACATACATCCCTTTCAGACTTCTCCGCCCTCTGTCACTGGCACACTCAACGTCAGATACAAGATACTGGGTGAAGGTCCCCAACAACGAAATCCTGTCATCGACATCCATCCAGATTTATGCCACGATTCTCGCAGGCGCAATCTACGCTGTCACCCTCTACACAGCATATGCATTTTTCCTGCCAGTTTGGCTTGCCACATACTTCTCGAATATCCCGACTGTTGCACCAGCACATGCCGCAACACCCATCTCGCTCTTCCCTCTCACCATATTCCTGGGACTAGCTGCAAAATGTTTCATATTCACACCTTCGGTGGCAGCTGAGCCTTCTCTTGCGGATGCTAAAAAGGCAGCTTTCAATCCAGCGACTGCGAACCTCGGAGAACATGTGGTGTATAATGTGTGGGGCTATAGCAAGAGGACAAAGGTTGTCATTACGAGAACGGCTGCTTTGATGCTTGTTACAGGGGTCAACACATTTGTACAGGCGTTTTTCATGATTGAGGGTGTTGAGGCTAAAGGAGCAGTCGGGTTCTCTTTGGTATGGCTTGTTGCCAGTGGCATAACAGGAGCCGCGCTAGGCGCTGTTTGTGCTATTTGAGCTATTTGAGCTTTTTGAAATAGACGGTGAATGTGGATGGCGGAGTTTAGTGTGAGATTTGATGTTGTTTGAAAAAGACTCTAGTTTAGATTCGGGATGTGCTTGGTTTCTTTACATTCCGGGCTGGGGTTTTGTTTTGTCCTCTTTGGGACAAGGGAGTTATGGCTGGAGGCATGCTACATTTGTGGGATGATTCACGGAGCGAGACAGGGTAAGGGAAAATAGTATGAAGAATGCTCTAAGCGAGAGATATATATCAAAACAGTTATTTGCATTCACTTTTGCGGCGGTGCAGAGCATCTCATCAAACGGACCATAACGTCGATGTACGCAGTGTACTTCAATACTTGACGGGTAAAGCCACTTGAAACACATCTGGAAGGCGCGATCACGCGCTCTGCCGCGCTTGTTTTTGGAAGGAACCTCTTTAAGATTATCAACATCGAGGCCGCCCCTTACTCCCCAACATCATAACTATCGTCCGCGGGACGTGAAACATGGCTTTTGCGATGGCCAGCGATGCTTCTAGACGGTAAGATTCACCTTCCCATGTTCTTATCGAAAATTCACGTGCTCTGAGGCTCTGGGCCGCTAGCAGGGATTCGTTCTAGCGCTGGGCCTGAGAATTCGCGTTACCGACCGCGTCTCCGCACAGAAGAATTGCATTTCACTGACATGGTGTCTGTAGATGGCTCGATGATGGGTCATTATCTTGCCGTATAAAGCTTCCTCCATCTCAAACCGAAGCGTCCAGATCGGCACAAGACAGCACCCAGGAGATGGCCCCATCCGCCTCGATGGACGTCGCCCTCGAAACCACCTCTCCCAGCTCCCGGCGGAAGGGCAAGATTGCTGAAGCTCTTCAATCGATGTCCAACAGTATGGAACCACTCGATTTACCTACTGATCCAGAGAGCCATGCCGTCGTGACTGATTTCCTCGACTTCACTGAATACCTCCCTTCCGATTTGTGCCGCTCATTGACTCTCATCGGCAACCTCGACCAAACATACTGTGACGCCTCCTCCAAGGTCAACGAGCTCACCCGGATATACGGCGAGCTTCCGAACCGTCCTACAGATGGAAAGCCGGAGCAGCTCCGCGCAGAGATCTCCGAGAATCTGGCGCAAGCATTCAGTTCCCGCACACTCTCGTTGGCAGAGGCGAATCGCATGGCTGAGAACGTGGACCGCCATTACAATCGAGCGAAGACGATTCTGCTCAAGCTCCAAGAATCGCTTGCGAACTTCCCACCCTCTCGACAGCCAAGTCCAGTTCCCCAGAAAGCGAAGGCCCCGAAAATCACTCTGACCTTGGGAGGTAGTGCATCAGCAGAACACCAACCACGGCCACGCCAACCTCGAGCTCCTCGCATTACCGTCCCAGGTGAGGTTCTTGCTCCATATGAGGTTGATTATTATTCGTTTGGCTCTGATAGCGAGGATTATGACTCCTATGACGAGCCTCTCACTCCACGGGATGGAACACCAGGTCGGTCGCTTGGTTCTGGCAAGATCAGGTTGAAGCTATCGAAGAAGAAGGACAAGGGTCCTAAGCCACCCCGCGGTCCTCGACCACCTGGGGTCATGGGCACAAATGGTAAGCTTATTTCACTACCTAACAGCTTTGTTTTGTTTGAGAGCTCAGATCCCCAGAGCATCGTGGGAGCCGCCATATTTATTTAATTTGGGAGCTTGGCTTCTCAACTTCTCAGCCCCCTCCTTGACAGTCAGGAAACTTCCATGCTAAGTCGATGGTTAGTTCATAGCGCAGTCGCTGGTATATCAACAAGCAATGCTCTAGCGAAGCTCAAGCCACCGCCAGCTGATGCTGTGAAAGGGGACGAGCATCTTCCCTGGTTGCAATTGAATGCATGGGAGCTAGCACATCTTAGGAAGAGGATGAAGAAGAATGCAATTTGGAGCCCAAGTGATACCATGATTGCACGCGAGCTGAAGATGCTCGGTCGTGGCATTGAAGCATATCGAGCAGCAAAGGCTAAAGCTGAAGCTGCAGGAGAACCATTCGATCAACCACAACCACCGCAACTTAGGGGCGAGACAGTTCATGCCGAGGGAGCCATCAGTGTCGAGGCCTTACGTCTAGAGGAACCTCAACTCAGCAATCGCGGCATGAAGTTGAATGAAGCCAAGAAATTGAAGAAGGAGAACCAAGCAAAAGAGCTTGCCAAGGTAAGTACCAGAAACCTCCTTTGGGAGCGTCTTGGAAACTTGCGCTCTCCCGTCGACTATGCAATTACTAACTCCATTGGAACAGCAGGCCGCTGAAGAAGCTGAGGAGTCTGCTCGGAAGATGGCTGCAGCAGCTCACGCAATGAGAGGTCTCTTCGGCAAGCCTCCGAACATGGACGACAAGAAAGCATTTGCCAAGACACCAAGCAAAGCTCCAGCCAAGAAACGCAAACGAGAGTCCCCCGCCCCTGAAGGTGAAGCTGAGAAGCCTGCTGAAGGAGAGGCATCACCTGTGAAGCCAACGAAGCCACCGTTCAAGAGAAGCAAAACAGAGACACCAGTACCTGCACCACTACCAATTTCAACAAAGCAAGCATCTCCATTAACCCAGGCCGAATCTGCTCCATCGATTGCCTCGGAGACAGTCGTGACTCCCCTTGACGGACCCTCTGATCTGCTTGCTGTTCCCGCTCCTCTTCCGTCTCCAAAGAAGTCTTCAACTCCAATCTTACCACCTACTAAAGAATCGAGAAAGCCTGCAAGGAAGGATGTTAAGAAGCCAGTTGTCGAAACTGCGACTAATACCCGGCCTCGGCGGACCTCTGCTGCTGCCACTCCAGCTCCTGTGGAGGAACCACTTCCGCTCAAACGACCGACTTCTTCTCGTAGCAAAGCAGCTAGCCTTGAGCCAGCCGGCCCCACAGCAACAGCCACAATCGACCGACCCCGCCGTGCCAGTACTGCTCGCAACACTCCAGCCCCTGAACCTCGCCAACCAAGCAAGCGTACAAAACGCCCGGCGCCTGGAGTCGTTACCGCAGGCTCTGAAGGCTCTGCTGCAGTCAGTGTCGGTAAGCGAAGCGCTGCAACGCGTAAGAAGGCCGGCACAAAGAAGGAAAAGAAAGACGGCCGTGAAGGAAGCGCAGCTCAAGAGATCTATGATGAGGTTGATGACGAGGGTAACATCATTGACCCTGATGAGCCTCGATACTGCTTGTGTAATCGCGTAAGCTTTGGCACAATGATTGGCTGCGAGAACAACGATGTAAGTTTATCTTTTCTCTTTTTGATAAGGAAGATGCTAACCTCTATCAAGTGTGAGAAAGAATGGTTTCACCTTGAGTGTGTTGGCCTGGAAGAGATCCCGCCTAGAACAACGAAATGGTACTGCCCTGACTGCAGAGTCACGCTCGGCATCGGCGAGAAGGGAGAGGTCAATGCCAGAGGCAAGAAGAAATAAATGCTCTCTTTGTTATTGGAGTTTTGGCATTGGAGTTATGGGGCATGGACCTATGGCTGGAACTGGAGCTTATCGCATCTTCTGGTGCTGGGGTATGGGCATGGATGAGCAATCGAATTGTATGAGTATGTTTTTGGTAACTGTTACTACTTTTGTATCTTGACCACCAGCATCACCCAAGGGACTAGCATAGCATACAGAGAGAATCACGCCTGAGGGCTTTGCGAATTGAGAATATCTTTTCAAAGTTTTTATCCTCTATCTTCTACCTTTATATATATACTTGCCTTTGATTAGTTGGTTGATTTGCTTCACTTGAGGTCTTTGATACGATCGTCTCAAGGTTCTCATGCTCTATGAGCTTACAAGCTTCCTGGAATCTTCACCGAATGCTTCCACCACGTGGTCTGCATGAGGCTGGTAGGAATATTGAGAAGATACTATCGAATCAAAAGTAAATCATGGCACTAAGCCATGTCAAAAAACCACCACGTGCTGGGATTGATAAATAACTCCACCCAGAATTGAATGATCAAGGCCCTGTTGCTCCTCCTCGACGACGCCAAATTGTGTGTATGATTGGTCCTCCTTGAAGGCACTAAAATTGCAGTGCTTTCCCTCACGGGGCTGGTGAAAGCTGTGTGCGACCTCGAATAGAAGGTATGCCGAGGCACACTTCTGCAAGGAACACTAATTGCACTGCAATTTTAGCGTCGTCAAGAGGCTCGATCTCCCTAATTTGAAATGGAGTGCACCAATCAAATTCGGTGTAACGAGTACAGTGCAAAGTGGATCAGTATGCGTACCTAGCACTGCAATTTTAGCGCTGTTCAGGTGGAATCGTGACCCTGACGGACTTGCTATGCAACTGACTTCACATTCGTTTTGCAGCAGATTTGTTTATTTATCAAGTTTATTCAGCAAGTGGTATTTTTGATTCTTGTAAAACAACGAATGAGCAAGCAAGAGACCGACTGTCTCAGCAATCAAGTCATAAAAACGCAGAGCCATACACCATTTCTTATCGTGTCAGTCATCCGTGAACGCCATGCAAAATTCATTAATCGTCAACCCCTAGTCGTCATCAGCCCGGAGAGTAGGATACAAATTCTCGGAGCTCTTGTGTGTATTGGTCTTCTCCTCAGTACCACCCATCGAGGTATCCTCGTCGTCTTCATACTCCTTACGCTCAAGCTTGGCGGAAATGAACTTGCGGAGGGCCTCGATGAGGCGGATGTTCTCGATCCAGGCCTCCTCAGCACGATCGCGCGCAGAATCACCACTCTCGGAGTGGGCACCTGGGGAGCTGACGCCAGAGAGCGCGGGGTCGATGTTGTTTGAAACCTCGGACCGGACGGTCATCGGTTGGGGAGTAGCATCCTTTGGTGACGGGGTAGCAGAGTCATCCGAAACATCCATCATGTCGGTGCTACGGGGTGGGTTAGCACTTCGTTGGAGCATGCCTCCTGAGTAGCGGCGGCGGGGATCGCTATCGAAGCTGGGCCCAAGGGTGGAGGTTGGTGCGGTTGTGGAGTGAGGCGCGTAGCCCATTGAGACAGCGGGAAGACTTGGATATGCTGCTGAGGTAGTGGAGCTGTGTCTTTGTGTCGGGGACATTCCGTGGGAAGAAACAGGAGAGTGACCAGAAGTGTAAGAGACCGAGCTTGAAGGCGGCGTCAATGCTGGAGTGCCCGAAGACGTAGATTGCGCGGAGTGGGTTGCCATCATAGGAGCTCCAGAGACATGATTGTTCAAGTGGTTGAGATTGTTGATGGCTGTCTGTGGTGGAGAGTGGCTTTGGCGGAAGTTGATGGCTGAGTGTGTGTAGTGAGCACCCGGTTGTTGAATGCCAGCAGCTGCAGCCGCGTTGGAGCTCTCATACACAGTGGCTTGCATCTGCTCCAAGAACTGGTCGATGTTCATCAAGTCATTCTTGGTCCTCAAGTTTGGCAGTGGCAGAGCATATTGGTGTTGAGGCATGTGACCGTGGTGACCACCACCGCCGCCGCCGCCATGTCCGTGGCCATCGACAGAAACCAGAGAAGGCCCGGCGGAAATGTAATCGGTCGGAATAGCGCCGCCATGGATGGGAATGTTTTGCAGAGCAACCAATCGTTGTCCGACTTGTTGGTAGGAAGAAGCATCAATACGGTTGCGTTTGAGGTCGCCAAAGAAATCGTTCAAGGCATCGTAGTTACGCTTTCTGGAATCGAACGCAGCATGTTGGCCAACTTCACCACCATGGCTGACAGGGTAATAGACGGGGCCGTAGGAAGGTTGCTGCTGAGGAGCATAGTAGCCGGGATGGGTTTGGTGGTGGGAAGTGGCATAGCCGCCGCCACCACTAGGGTGCATATGGGTACTTTGATCATAGTAGCCGCCACCATTTGCTGCAAGGTTTTGCAGGTCAGCAATCACTGTTTTCTTCGTCAGATGTGGGTATGTAGGGGCACCACCATTGTGTTGCTTCACATACCTTTGCCACCTCTGTATCCGGAGCCCTGGCCAGGGTGTCCGTGCTGTTCAGGGGAGCGAAGGAGAACGGAGTCATCGGCGTGTGTCTATATTTGGTCATTTGGCGATTCTTGAGGGGAAGCCTGCAAAGACATACCTTGACATGCTTCTTCAAGTCCTGTGGACGCTTGAATGCCTTTCCACAGAAGTCACATTTGTGAGGCTTCAATGGGACATGGACGCGGATGTGAGAAGTGATGTGGTCACGTTTGACAGTGGTAGTGCGGCAGGAGTTCCATCCACAGGTCAAGTTCAGGTTGTTTGTGCTCTTTCGTCCGACGTGCTTCTCACAGATATGGTCCTGGACGAGAGTTAGATCAATTCATCCGCGGAGAGGCGAAATTAAGTATTGGGAAGAATTGGACATACAAAGAGAGCCTCAGCGGAGGTGCATCGTTCGGAGCACTTGTCCCATTGGCAGGCCAAGTTATCATCAGCCGCAATGCTCTGTCTGGCTGCGTCGGCGGCAGCGGCAGCAGGCGCAGCGTCTTGCTGCTGTTCCTGAGCGGGGGCAGACATGGTGGAGGGGGCGTTGAGGGAGCGCCAATCAACAATCAATTCGGCTACGTAGCGTGGCACTACGCGTGCAATAGCGGCGATCAGTCGATACTCGAGGCTTGATGTTCTTCGATATTCACGTCTGAAAGCCGTCAAAACAAAGAGGTCCTGTAAGAGGAGAATGGGTTTGTAAACACGCTCAGATCGAGGCCCGGGAAAGGGCGAGAGCTTGTCTTTACTTGTACCCAGAAGAGCGGAACTGAAAGTCTTGGCATCACTAGATTCCACCTCTAGCGCCTTGGCATAAAGTCTTGGCGCAGGAAGAGCGCGGCCCCGAGAGAGCAAGTGCGTGCGTCTAGCCGGCGACCTCGGAGATCTTGGCAAGAGATAGGCAGAGACCGGCACCGAATAAGGCATCAATGCGCTCGAGTGAGTCGAGTCACATCGAGGGTGCACGCATCTCGCAGCGTCTTGGCAAAAACTCTCGGCGCCAACACAGCCCCTTCTGCCCCTTCTGGCCTGGCTCGCGATCTGCGCATGACTGGCTGACACGCTCTTGGCGAGCAAGATGGCGCTCGCGGAAAAGTCTAGGCACCAAGAGAATGCGCTCCGATGGCCAAGCACGGGGGTTCTTGGCCGTGGCCGAACTCATTCAGCTCACGTAACAGGATATTTCACCAATTCGCCCCCCTACTGGCACGAGAGCAGAAAAGGAAAAACATTGGGTGGCCTGTTTTGAGTTGACGTTCTATCCAAGCACTCGATCAGAGTCCGTTTGAGGTTTATTTTGGTCGTGCAGTCTATTCTTCGGACTCGGACTGGTGACCGGGAGCTTCAGGCGTCTCCCAGCGACAGATATCAACCTGGATGAAGGCATATATACACGCCAATCTTACAAATGGAGGCGAGCCATTCTGGCTGGATGAAGAGCGGACTCGTTTCAATACGCTGATATCTGCCGAGCCAAGAGTTCCTATTTCCGCGCCCGCCTGATTACGACGTCTCGCACGCCCAGCCCTTGGCCGACACCCTCCTCCGCCCCAAGAAATTCCACCCGGATCCCGCAACCGCCGGGAGTCTTGGAAGGTGTTCGTGTGATTGTTCAATAGTCAATACAAGGTGTGTAAGCCGTGAGAAAAAGGAGGCGTCTTAGGTGTAGGGGGGTTGGCACAAAGGGTAAGAAAAGGGTGCTGACCAGAACATGAACGAAGCCAGACAATGGAGAGAGTACGTTAGATAGTTTGCTGGATCAATCCAGAAAGCCACCCAATCTGCGCCTAATTGTTTTGAATTATTAAGAGAGGTAACAATTTCAATGTCCAACTTTGACTTCGAACAATGTATATGGTGGTGAGCTTTCAAAGTACTACAACTCCAGGAAACATTCGAAGAGGAATTATTTAAAGTGTCTGATATGACTTGGACAATGTCTTTATAGATAACTTCCAATGTTCGAGAACTCGAAGGATCATTCGAAGCTTTTCCTTAACTTCAATGTCTGCCTAAAGACTTGGACGACTTCTCTACGTTGGTATTCTTCCAATCTTCTACCCACTCCAGTACAATCTAAATGTTTCCCTCCACGATCACTCTCTGGCCGTAAATATTCTATCAATTTTTTCAGCTTTATGCCACATCAAAAACTCCTCTCCACTTGCTGGACATCTCTTGAAGTAAAGAATCCTGTGCTCGGGAATGAACAAATCGTCCGTCGTGTCTGTTGCCCAAAAAGCTACAGGCTTTTCCTGTGGCACAACGGTATGCCTGTCTAAGTATCCGACCTTGTACTCATCGATATTGAATGTTGGATCATGCCTCAGACGGCTCAAGACAGCTCTTGCCGGGCGGAGTCTTTTAGGAGTTGTGTGGCTTTCCTCGCTGCTAGGTTGTTCCCTGCTTTTCTGATGTTTCGAAGTTCTCTGAGGCTTGTCGAGACCGTCATCAAGCTTAGCCATGTAGCTTTTCTCCCGGTCAACCGCTAATTCTGGACGTGGCCAAGTCCGGGGACAAAGGATCAGGTTTTCGTCGTTGAAATCATTCGCTGTCATGTAGGCTGTCTTGATGGAGCAATCATCCTTTGGAATCACGGTGTTGTTCGCCACTGTCTGGAGGTCCCATGTGCTCGCGATCCGCCTATCTGATTCTGATTCTTTAAAACGTCGGAGTCCCAAAATGTAGGAGCCGGCCCAGTAGCCACCCTCAGAATCCCGACTATCGCGTTCAAGATCCAATAATCGGTGTGGGTAAAGACACACTTCATCAGGTCTGGGGTCTGTAGTTTCGAGACCTGTACTCTGTCAATATGGCTCACAATGTTCCACAATACGCAGGGTAATGTGTATTAGGATGGAGCACTAACGTTCTTTTAGCTTGCTTAGCCTGTGCTCCACCATGGAGAGCCATTTGCCACATTCGAGGTCAGAACTGCCCCAATATATCAAGCTGACCTATCAAGTTTTATTAGTACAATGAGCGGACCAGGCTCCCAGTAGACAGCAAAGGCGGCATCAATTACCAATGTCCTTGGTCAAGCTGGACATTGGAAATAGACGACATTTAAATGTTCTAGAACTTCCTGGACATAGGAGGAGGTAGACCTTGAAAGTGCAATATCAAATGTGTACATTTAGAGAGGAGGTATTTGCAATGTCCAGCTTAACTTAGGACATTAAAAATGGACGCCGCTTTCTGTCACAAGGAGGAAGGCATACTGACCTGAATGTACAACGGCATTTGGAGGTTTGAGTGTACAGAACCATCCTCAGCTTTCTGAAGGACTATCGATAGCTGAGCTGGTCGGCATTCCGTATCGATCGTGGGAAGAGGCTGTGGATATGGGGGTAGAGAAAGCACTTTTTCATTGAGGTTCTGGAAAATGTCCGAAACGTTGTGGTACATTGAAAATACCGGGTTCTCCAGGTTCGCGGGGTACTCGGGTTTCAGTCCTCGCCTTAGCGCTGCTCTTTCGGTTTTTATGTCGAGGAGCTCCTGGGGATCCATTATCTTGATAAGTCCTTGAATGGAGAGTGTTCGAGTAGAGGTGAGTCGATGATTTGGAGTATATATTCCTCGAGCGATGGTCCAGGCTCGAAGGTAATGAAAGGACGCTCTTTGGTAGCGCTTGCTGAAGAATGCTCGTTTTTTCGTGTCGCGCTTTATGCCTTCCACGATTTTCTGTGTATGGCCATCCGCCTCCCGTACGGTCTCGTCTGAAACATTGAGGATTCCAGGGCATTTGCGAACCAAATTCTCGCAGCAAACGTAATGGAGGTGGAAGTTATGGCCCTCAAAGTTGAACCAAAAGGAACTTGTCTCAACCTGGTACACCATGAACTTGCCGCCGTCATCTTGGACCTTGATTACCGCCTCCCAGAAAATATCGACGTATCTCTCGACGGAGATCGTCCCAAAAGCTACACATTGTAAATCTTCATTGGTGGCTGTGAGCTGCATAGCATGACTTCCGGATGGCAACAGACTGACAAGAGGCAGGGCGTCAGCCCGGGCTGCTTGCGCGCTAATACTTTGGGGGTCTTCATCATCTTCGAATGCTTCGTTTGGGCGCTTTTCGAGTAGAGTTCTTAGATGCTGGAATGCGGCGTCGACACTATTCCACCACTCCTCATTGGGCATATTGTAGTTCTCTTCGAGGTGTTTCATCAGTCGATTCGAGTCCTGCTGCGCTGGTGAAAGAGAGAGCTTGGCTATCAGGTTCGTGTCCGCCATTGCTAATGAGATCAAAGCTCGGATTGTGGAGGGGTTTGAAATATACGTCGCGGACGCTGCCAGCGAGAAGGGAAAATGGATCAATTAAATCAATGAATGCGCGAATGCTTTGACAGTGCTTGGATATCGAAAACGCAAAAGACGTGGAAATTTATTGGTTGAAGAAAGAAACGGAGCGTCGACTTCGAAGCTTTTGACTCATCGCCGAGCGTGAATCGTTTGTGGAAAGAGCCTTCAATGTTCAAATGAGCCTTGCTGGTGAGTCAGGGTATTGTGGCGGAGCCCAGTAATTAATCTCGCCAGGGAGACAGACTCAGTTAAATCGCACTTGCTCATGGGAAGGAGAGGTACTTCTTAATGCATCCTTCGCGGGTTCTCTAGTGCCACAATCAAAGGAAGAAGTTGTGTGTTTTTGAGGGAGATGAACGCAGCACCCGAAGAGCTCGGCTCGGGATTGCGGATCTTCAAAACTTGACCCACTACCCCTCCCACAGTTTCTCCGCAATGACATTCATTCTATTGAAAACATCGCAATTGATTCCGTCTAGATATAACAATCTTCCAGTCCTTCTCACGAAGCATCGTTCTCAAGATAAAAATCATGGCTCATTCATATAAATCCGAATATCCACCTGGAGTGCAGACAGATGATGGCATCAAAGCCTTCTTCGAGGAGTTTTATAAGACAAGCGACACCCCAGATGCTCATGAAAAATACGCGGATTCATTCACGGGAGATGCTACCTTGATTATGGCAAGCAAGAAGGGAGTTGGAAGAGAAGGTACCGAGCACCACCACTCCTATACCTACAGTTTGAATACGATTCTGATACTGCTGAAGAGATCCTCCAAATCAGAAAAGGTGCCTGGGCAGTAGTTGCTTCAAGAAAGCACACTATCCACAAGATATTCCCATTTGGCTCTGGTTCTAGCGAAGTCATGTTGTATGGTGTTGTTGCATACACCTTGAAAGATGGGAGGAAAACAGACGTAAGTTCTCCTGCTGCTTTGAGCCTGTAGCTTGCTGATGGCAATAGGTTGAGTGGGGTGCCAGAGCAAACTTGGTACAAAATGGAGGGAAGTGGAAGCTGCACTTTTATCAGGTGTATCTTGACAGTGCTGCGACACAGAATGCCAAATAGATACAACTCAGGCCTAGAGAGGACCTGACGCCTGTAAATACACTGTTCTGAGAATTCTTCCTTCCTGGGCCGAGGCTTGATGTCAACCACAATAACTCTCCCGGTCCATATGTGTGAAAATCATCTATTCTGTATGTGCGTGCAACCTGACCAACGCCTTTTGAAAAGCCCACAACGCCAGTCCCTGCATCAATATGAAGCACATACACACTCTCAATCCACATCCATCTCATCCTCCACCCCACCATCAACCAACACTTTCCGTCTCTGCTTCATCTTGCCAAACACCTTGCTCTTCTCCCTCTCCAACGGCAACTCCTCGACCTCCGCACCATTCTCTTCCAGCGCCGCCCTCTCACTAGCCCTCACCTTCGGCAACAAGTGCTGATTCTCTGCAACCAGCTTCCTGTTCGCTTCCCGCTCTCTCTCCTTATTACCCGCCATCCGCTTCTTGTAGAACACCCTCTCGCGCTTCTGTCTGATCTCGCTGACTCTCGCAATCGCCTTGAGTGTCTTCTCCATATCATTGCGGTTGTAGCGGGTGGGGACGTTGCGGCGGGCGGCGAAGTTGAGTGTGCTGTCCACCACCATTTCTTTGCCAGCAGACTTGCGGAAGGCTTTGGTCCACTTGAGCTTGCGAGGATTGCGTTTCATCTTGAACTGTTTTAAACGTCAGTATGGAAATCGAGGGCTCAGGGGGCTGGGATTGATCATACGTTCTTGTGGCATTTGCTGCGGCAGAATCTGAAGAGTCGTGCATCGTTCCGGACAAAGGTAATTCCCTTCGATGGGTAGCAAGGCTGCGAGCAGAAGTAGCACGTCTCGATCCTAATGAGCAGTCAGTATAATGCCAATTTTACTTGTTAAAGACCGAAGGTTTTGCGACTCTCGAGTGTCTCCAAGTTGAGTGTGGGGGGGCCATCTGGGGGCCCACTGCTCGGGGAAGACACTTGAATGACAGTCTGCTGGACTTGGCAGGAAGTATTGACATACCTCATCTTGACCTCTTTGCTCTGACTTGAGTCTTCAACCAGGAACAGGAATTGTTCAACCTCCCTTCTCGACTTCAAGAAATTTTGACTTTGTCGCTTATCAAAAAGATTGCAGCGGGGCCGGAACAATGTTTCACCGATGCGATCCCGACCAAAGCAGTCAAATTTATCGATCTTTCGACTGACAGGAGGAAAGACAACAATCAATCCATCAATCACATTGACGTAACATATACATCCGAAGACTGTCCCCGGACCACTGCCTATTTAAGCTTGCAGAAGAACTTGAAAAGAGTCAAGTACACCATCATGGCCTCGGTCCTCGCAATCGGCGTTGGAGTTGCCGCCGCCGCATTTCTCGTACGTCCATTACTTCGGGTTGTCCCTAAAACATATTTAACATCTCCCAGGGAAGAGCAGGCCTAGTAGCTTTACGGAGGTCACGCGGAGAAGCAGTTGGCGCATTGGGGAAGGCATTTTACAAAGGAGGCTTTGAGCCAAAGATGAATCGGCGAGAAGCTGCTCTGATCCTGCAACTCAGGTATGCTTCTATATCCACTTTGGTAGAATTCCTAACTGACGGACTGTTTGCAGCGAACGTCAACTCACCAAGGAACGGATACGAAAGAACCACCGCACGCTCATGATGCTGAACCATCCCGATCGAGGCGGAAGTCCCTACCTGGCAACGAAAGTTAACGAGGCGAAAGAGTTTTTGGAGAAAAATTCATAATGCTTGTGGATCGGGTATGGTGTATAATGGATGTATAATATCTGGGATTTGAAGCATCAGCGTTGGAGTTGAGCGGCATTTGATTTATTTTGCCCTTAGAGGCGGATCTCTTCTCTGAAGGAATCGAATTCAAGATTTCACATATATGGGACGAAGCGGGTTTAGTGGAACGTATTGCTGGATCTTCTGAAGGATCTCATCTTCAGCTGGGCAAGCAAACTCAACTGGCGTAATGCATTTCCTTTCTTCCTCCCGTTACTTCACTTCAGACCAGGCTATACATCATTGCATGTTTGCAGACAATGATCCCCGGTTTACTCATTAAGCCAGGCTGGAACACTTTTGTTTTGAGTGGCATGATTGGTCTTGGCGCGCTGTCCTCCGTTCTTGGTCGACTTATCATCCGAGAGTGTTGTCTTCTTTATGTAGTCCTCCAGAGGCACAGGGCGGCTTGTGAAAGGGGCAACTTTTCCTGAAATGGAGGATCTCGAAGGGCGTCCGGCTTTATCGGGACCTTGCCACAGTTGTCGTTGTCCACCGATCTGCCCTCGATGTTCTTCCGGTCTCCAGGGACCCTCGGAATATTTACCTCGTGGTTGGAAATCGGCACCCTTCTTTCCTTTGGAGACTGAAGGTGGGGCAGGGACAACAGCAACTCCGCCGTCACTACCTTCCGAGCTCCAACCTTCCTCTTTCTCCATGGCAAACTCGGTAGCTTCTCTCAGCGCCCTGTAGATGTTAGTTGGAAATTTCAGTCTTGTGCAATACAACTTACTCCGTCATGCGAGCCTTTTTCTCTTGCTCTCTGACCTCCACCGCCTTGTGCTTTTCCTCTATATGCTTGATAGCAATTGCGACCATGGCCTGGAGAGTATAGACAGCGTCATTACCAGCGTTATGGAGGTTCCAACCGATGATCCCCAACTCAGCCAGAATGCTGCCAAGATTTCGTGGGTTGGTCTCTCTCTTGAGATATCGCCACATGAACGCCGTGTCGGCCGTCTCCAACAAGTTAGACACATTATGAACATCATAGCCGATAGTTTTCAGGAAGTTGATGTCAGCACCGATGTCATGGCCAACGAGAATGACATTGCGCTTTGGTTGCTCGTCATGGCCAGAAGTAGTCTCTTCGGGCTTTGAGAAGGGGTACTTGAAGCAGCTTGCAATGATGTGTGGGGCATCTTTGAGATTGATGAACTCGCTGGCGCTGTAAACGTGTCAGTATCCTCATCCCCAAAATTCTGCTTCGGCCACTCACCCGAATTCGAATCTATCGGCACATCCAGTGACGAATTCGGCGTTGTTGAGATGCTTATGCTCATTGATTCTGAAGTGGCGAGCGCGAATACAGCTCATCCAGTTGGCTCCTCCTTCGCCTGGAACTACGGACGCAATGTCTTTGGTGTCAAGCGTGGCAATACCGATCTCGGTGATGAGCTTGGTGTTGCGCTCATAAGCTTCAACATCGACGCAGACGAAGACGACAGAGGCTTCCTGCTCAAATCGGGCCAGTTGACCGGAATGGAAGTAGATGGTAGGAGGAAGCTTGGCAGCAGCAGCTTTGACAGCAGCATCGTAGTCAACCCACTCAAGTCCAGATTTCTCTAAGCTTGCCCTAATAGCCTCGAGGTGGCCTTGTCGAATCTCTCGAAGTCCAAGGTAGCGCTGAACTCTCTTGATTCCCTGGCTCCAAGAATGCTGCTTCTCAATTCGTTCTTTCTTCTGTTTTTCCTTGTTGGCTACTTTCTTACCCTTTTGGGCTTGGACCATTAGGTTGATTTTTGCTTGAAAAGCTTCAAGAGACCGATCCGATGGCTCCTTCGGACTCGGAGGCACACCGCCTGGCCTAGAAAATTGGGTCAGCGACTTATCAACAACGATTAATCTGATCCATAGTGCACGAGACGCGTTTTAGGACCGTAGTATCGATTCGTGGATCAAGGAAGCCAAGATTAGTGTTGCATGGTCTTCAGGCCCAATATTGAAGAGCGCTTCGGAGATCGTCTGGAAGTAGTTGAACCGTCGAAATCGCGCCTTTGGGGAAGAGCTTCAGCTAGGGAATTCACGAATACACACACATACCTGTAGGACCGCGGAGGAATGTTATCCTTCAAGTTGTCCGCCATTTCTCTGTCAGTGGAGCGTCCGAGATAGCGTGGTTGAGGGGTCCCGTCGTTCTCGAATGTAACCTGAAACCCACCGTTCGCGCCTCCCGTGGGAATAGTGAGACTAGTATTCAGAGATCGGTTGATAATTTCTAGAAAGTGCTCGAATTGCTTGGTTGGTACAAGGAGAATTGGTTGTTGATTGGGATCGAGGGAAGCGCGATACAGGTAGAAGCTAATAGAAAGAAGATTCATCAGTATCGAGGTGTTGCTCTCGTCACCCCGGTTCAAGGAAAGAAGCCTACAAATCCCAAGTCTGATCGAAGAGCTTTCCTTGGTCAAAGAAACTCGCCGCGACCTGTTGACACGTCAGCGAATTTTCGATGTGACGCTTAAGGTGATGAGACTGACCCTCTGTCTGTTGGTGATGCCAATGTATGCGTAAGGGTATTTCTTCACCGTTTGAAAGGGGCAGAAACTTTCACCATCAGCTGCCGGCTCGCCAACTTGAAGATCATATTTCGGAAGTTCGTTAGGACGGGTATTGATTCCTGCAGGTCCAATCAGTGTCCACGAAAGGAAACAGCCCTAGGATCCTTTTTAACAAACCAGATTGAATGGAAGAGGGATTGAAATTTTCATTTGCATTGCCTAATATGACTCTGCCTCTGCTTATGATGACCTCGTCATCATCTGAATCTGTTCCTTCATGAAGGTGTTGCGGCTTAGGCACGGGACGCATGAACGACTGGAAGTCAGACTCTTCTCCGCAGATATATGCATCCCCAGTCAAAGCTTGGAGTCTGTTGAGCCTGTCCATTTCTTTCGCAAAAGGGAAGGAGCGATGTGGTTGTAAGGAAGGGAGTTGGTTCAACTTTGTGCTGTGTTGAGTGGGTACCCGCCGAGCCCTCAAAGCCACAATGAAGCTATCGGATGTTTCCTCACCGACGCTGGAATTTGCTCGATTCACTTTGGCGGCGGTCTCGTGGGTTTTTCATGGAGTTGAGAAAAAGATAATCAACAAGAGCCTTGGTAAACAATAGCAGGAAGGCGTGGATGCCTGAAATGGAAGCTGTGGGCCAGTTCAATTTACCAAGTGCTGAAAACTTATGTGGATCCGAAACAAGATCTTTTCAAGCCTCTTGGGTAATAAGCCGGACATTTGATATCTCGACCATCATTTTCAATAACATGGATGAAGAGGAAGGTCATATCAGGAAATAGTGGCAGACCTCTTTCGAAAGTTTGACTAGTGTTTGCTAACCGAAGCGCCTAATTCAGCCCCTGAATCTACTGAGTTCACGGGTCATGTCAAACAAGACTCATTTAATCATCTTCGTGTTGAAAATATTAATCGCACAATTCAACACTTCAGCAGGAGGTGAGACAAGTTGTCCTTCTGGGCATAGATTTTTGGTTGAGACATGATCCCAGAGGACCCTCGTCAATTTCTACAAAATGGCCAACCACTGCAATCAAGAAACTCCACAACCCAACCCAGACCTTCCATGTCAGTAGCATCATCAATGACCTCTACTGCGGGTTGGCAAATCCGAGTCCAACGAATGGAACTAGCTTTAATTAGCAACGCAACAGCAACAGGAACCACTCTTCATACCTCATTTGCTTCCTTCTCTGTCACATCGGATATTTCTAAAGCCTCCTTATCGATCAACCCCAAGTTAATCCATCTTAAGGAGTTCCAGAATGCCCGTCTGTCACCACCTAGATCTCCTTTGGCCACCCTCTTCTTGAAATCTCGGATGAAATCATTCCAGATCTCCGGCAACTCAAATTCAATCATGAATTCTCTGAAGACCTTCATGTCTGCCTTGACTTCTTCGTATTTCGCATTGCCAGTACTATTGGTGATATGCATGCGAATAATATTTGCGATCTGCTTTGCGGCGTCATAGACGACGTTATCGTCCGCAGGGCTGGCAAGCATTTGCTTGAACTCGGGTATGGTATTGTTAGGAGAGATCTTTTCGCGCTTCTCGCGATTGAGAAGTGCTTCAACATCGAGACCGGAGAGTGGTTTTAGGACTTCACGGCGTCCACGTGTGCCTTTGACTTTTGGAGGTACTGAGAATTGCGTTAGTCGCCGCAATTAGAATAATGAGGCGTAGACTCACCTTTCTGGACATTAGCTGCTGCTATGAGCTTCTCAAGTTTGTGAGCAGACTGCGAGGCAAGATCCTCAGGAGGCTGCGACCACTTCGTTAAACTGCAGAATGTTAGCAACAGCTCTCATAAACGATATTTAAATTGGGTGCCCAGAAAGATCAGTTCTAGGACTGGGGGAAATTAAGGTGCGTGTTTCGGGCTAATGGTTGTGACACAGAGATATACGTACATGGGAGAAGCTGGAGCGATTGGATCATTAGGGAATATCGCTCGCTGACGTATCGCTTGGTTGATTCGATGGATGATAGGAGTAAACGTTTCTTCAACGTTCATGTATTCGGCGGGCTGTCCCTCTTCGTCTGTTCCAGCTGTAGATAGATTCATGCTATCGACATAATCGCTCATAGCACCAACTAAATCATCATCTGGGAGATATCTATGCTTCTTCAAGGTAGAGCCCGAAGCTGTGATGACCCTGTCCAAGGGAGGGAATCTATAGACCCGAAGGTCCTCGGCAAAGGGGAGAGGCACATCGATAAGAGACTCAAGGTCTGGCTCAATGGATGGAGCCAGGAGAATTATTTGGGGTGCCTTGCCATCCTTCTCGACGATTCTGGCCACAGCGTATGACTCCAACTCGAAGAGTGCATGAACTAGAGATGAAAATGCCATGCGCGCCTTATCATTGATAGGTTGTGCAATAGTTACGCGGCTTTCTCCCATGTTGAGGTATCTCTCGAACTAAGCCAACTTTGTCAGTTCAATTAAAACCAGACTGCGGGTCACAAACCTTGTCATTTGGGATGAATCCAATGATAGAGAAACTTTGTGTCGTCTCAAAGTTCGTAACATTTTCATCTGAGTCACTGATATGAACAGTCGTCCTGCCATACTCATATCCCCTAGCGAGTTCCTCCAGTGCAATGTCTCTCCTTCCTCCCGGTGCGGACGCATCATTGACTCTATACGTTCTAGAGCTCCTGACAACTGTGAAGTCATCCCCATTGGCTGGGGCATCTGTCATGTCGATATCCCCATTAATAGTATTCGAGGATTGAGTGCTTTCCATGGGTATTTTAGTGACGAAGCTCTTCGCAGAGACCGGCTTTGCGATGTGAGCCCTGAAATAACGTTCAACATCGATGTACATCGCAGTAGTTTCATATTTTTGGGGGTCTCCTAGGGTGAGGCGTCCTTTGTAGGTGGACCATGGACGGGTTGGCTTGATATCGGGAATGGCAAGATTGGCAATAGCTTCTGCTGCAGTGCCGACGATACCATTTTCGCACAGCTCCGTAAGACGTCTCAGAACACCTTCGTTACGTTGCTAGATAGGCTGATGAACAATGCACATGAAGCGGTAGCAAGGGTAGTACCTTCAGGGAGGACTTGTCCTCTTCCTTGAATCCGAATTCGTTATCATCAAAGTCAATCCCACTGAATTTGACATTAGCCAATTTCGCACGATTTGAGCGGGTTGTATCTCACATCACGACCAGATTGATGCCGCATTCGTTGATCTTCGTAGCTATTTGTTCCATGCCTTCGTCTTCTATCATACCTTGGCCGTCCGTCAACAGAACAATTTTGCGTGCGTATGATCCAGGCTTGCCGCTCTTGAGTGTGGTAAACTCGGTGATCATGTGGATGGCGAGGACGATGGCCGAGATGGCATCTCCTGCATCAGTTCCGCTTGGGGTGATCTTGGTCTGTAGTGAGGTGAGGTGACCCATCTCCATATTGCCTAATGGTCTCAGGACCTGGAGAAAGTCAGCGTTGCAGCTCCCGGCAGCGATAAGAATAGCAAAAGCTGTCTCCTGTGGAGTATGCCAATGATCTGGGAAAACACCCGCGCGCTGGGTAGAGTTGAATGGCTAAGAAATGGTGTGGTAATGTTAGATGTTAAAATACGACTTGCAAAGATGTTGTTTGACGAACGCGGAGGACCGTTAATTCTGCTCGAAATGAGCCACCCTTACGAAGGGAATGCTTACTGAGAGGTTCTCATAACCATCAACATCTAATGGGTTATTGGTCTCATCGGTTCTTAGGCCAATGACCCCTAGGTTCCCTCCCTTCAGGTTGGCAGCCATGGTTGTGGCTATCTTGTCCCAAATATATTTCATGCCAAAGTCCAGATCAGTTTCGACCCTGCCACTGTTGCACTCTCCCATCGTCGATCCCAAGTCTACAATGTAGACGGTCGCTTGCTTATTGGGTGCAGCCATCTTGTTGTGCTGTTGAGGATGGATGTAGATGTCCAAAGCTCTAGGGTGGGCGGGATTGATTAGAACTAGGCAGACGCGTCGTTGTTCAATCAAGGCACGCGAAACACCAGATCACCTGATTCGACCCCTGCATCTTTATTTACCTAAATCCCACAACCAGGGGCCGCATAAGCAGGTGCAAATGGAGTGGATTTAAGACAAAATGACGCCGAAAAAAAGCAAAGAAACGAAGGCAATGCTCAATGCGGCCAAGATCGAAGAATAACTGGAGACTGAGGAGTTGAAGCAGAAGCTGGTTAAGGGTGATCTCATGCAGGCCTTTATGTCGATGAGGATAATCATATTGCAAGGCTGGAATCAGTGATTTACGGCATTTGCAGCAACTAGTTGAAGGGTTATCTTGTGTGTTTCAAGGTTCGATGTCCCTGTCGGCCAGATATTTATCTTAATGGAACGTGGAGAGGGATTTTCGTTAGTGTACATTGGAGGTGTTGCTATTGCAAGGAGGTTCAGAGGATTGAGGAATTTGAGCAAATGCTGCAACTGGATGAAGGATCTTGCGTCAGGTTTCCGAGCTGGCAAAGAGGTTTCCGGTAATTTCCTCTACCATAGTCTTCAATCCAAAGTACCTTCCATACATCTATATACTCCAATTTTGCAAATATTCTGTCTGTGGAAGATCAACAAACAACGGCGTTTAACATTTTGGTTTCCATTTCCTAATTTTACAGAGACATCATCCACAACTCTTGCCCATATCCTTCAGATAGCTTCTTTCAATCCAGCTACCTTGTTTACTGGTATCAAAGCACCTTCATTCAAGATGAGAGGCACATATACTCCCTCTCAGATCTCTTCAGAAGGCCAGCATCACGCTTCATCATTTGAAGCTCCAACCGCCAACATGAGCCCACCTCAAGATAGAACCCTCCTTCTTGACCCTTGAGGAGAGAACCTGTACCAAATCGCCCCAGATATCTTTCTCGAAAACGAGCACTTCCGTTCAACAGCCAGAAACACGTCCACCCTTGCCGGCCGCGACATATTAAATGCTAGCCCAGTCAGAGTCGACACTTCGCGGGCCTTCCAACTCTTCCCGAAACTGCCCAGCGAGTAAGCACCAGTACTCTGAGATACCGTCAAATCAGAAAGTGCTGACTCTATGATAAAACTCCGCTTCAAGATCTGGGGAATGGGCGACCCACGCCTCGTCGAGGTCATACACGATGGCAACGGTGTATTTATCTCCAAGACTCTTGTTCCAAACATCCTGCACGCCACCGCCGAATCGCGACGTGAACGATTGCGCCGGTACGTCGAACTCGATCTCAGCAGCGGTCTTCAAGGAAATATTACCTACATCGACTGGAACACCGACACGCTCAAGATCTGTACCGAAGTGACTCTCCAAGCGATCTTCAGGCCCGAGAACGTCCGCATTCTCGAGCCGTACGAACCAAGCAGAATTGCCATCCCCCTCGACTCTCTTCCCACTTTCCCGACTGGTCTCAGGGCCTCGGATCCGTTCAGAAAGATGGAGGAGCTACATGTGATCCGCGCCACTCCAAGTGTAACCATGGGAGTCAGAAATCTTGACTTGGTTTGGGTGTACGTATCCCAACCGACCCACACAGTTGCTGAGCACAAGAGAGAGTTTGAGGGTTGCTGTCACCGTGGATGCTGTTAGAAACGTAAAAAGGTTGTTGGAAGGAGACGAGAGAGATGAGTGGGATATGCAGAGGACTTGGAACAACGAAAAATGCGGACATGCCGGAAGCCCGAAGGTATGTACTTGGACCCCTGAGACGGTTCTTAAGTAAACTTAATTGTACTTCAGGATGTAGGAAGAATTTGATATGAGAAGAGCAGTGTAAGGCCAGACAGTCAGACACAGACAACGAAAAAGGACTCGAAGGGAGTTTTCAATTCAGGAGTGCTGCTTCAAGGAGGATTAGACGGAGTCACAGATGGACAATACGAAATCAAATCTTGCGCTGAAAGTTTCCTCCGGAATCCCTTTATTTAAGTGCAAGAAAGATCAGCTGCTTTCTTCCTTGTAACAGGAAAATGCTTTGCTCGCTCGCTGGCGCCAATCCTTCTCTTAACCTTTGCTAGGGACCCATATTATCACACGGGATATGGGACATTCAAGTGGAGGATCAAAATCGACCTTGCATTGCATTGCAATTTCCGAGCAGCAACTAAGCCCTCAAATCAAGCCTTGCGCGGCGCTGAAGCATCTCAGCTTCCTTCAAATATGCTCTCAACACATCTATCACCCCACAGCAGTTCTGTGGATCCTCCGGTCACCGTTGCCCTGCCACCTCCACCAATTAAATGTACATATTTGGTAATAAAGCGTCGAATCGTAACAAAGTCCAGTCCATGCTGTAGAGACCGTCTCATCTACCACAAGACATCGTGTAGTAGACGCGCAGCATCGTTCCAGTTTTCCCAAGCCAGATAGCGGAGTGGTGTCGTGTTGTGTGTTGAAAGTAAATGTATGTGCAAAAGAATCCATAAATCGACCGAGCGCACGAGACTTTAGCACAGGCTCAAGGTCATATTCCCAAACAAAAGAAATGCGCCAGGCACTCATTCCGTCCTTGCGATAAGGAGGATGAAGCCGATATTCCAGGACCATTCTTCAGATCATGATAAAACAGCGTGCTAGAAATGAAGTCGATCAATGCTCGCCGGCAGATCGCGACGCTTGAACCGATTCCCGCCCCAATGCACCCACCCGAGAAAACGCCGCCAGATGTATTATACAGAACCCAGTCGTAAAAGTGCCTCGATGGCCTCCCGTTCTTGGGAGTCAGAGGTCATGCCAAAAGCTGATAAATCAAAATTATTAGGTTGAAAAGGTCGCATTGGCACCGATTTTGCCAATGCAGAGAGGGTTGGCCCACCACCGCTGTGGGCTCCCGCAGTGTATACGCGGGACGCAAGAAAGTTTCGCCCCGGTCCAGAGGCGGAGTAAGATGCAGCACGTAAGGCTGCTGCTCCTACTGCGGCCCAGTCCTCGTCGTCGGTCATGTCGTCGGGGTCATCACCCATGATCTCGTCGTCCGGTGGAGCCTCGGAGGACGAACAGGAGGAATCTCCATCAAGAGACATCTTGTCTGCCTCATTCTCCATCATCGTAACATCCATATCGTCGTCGTGAGAGAAGACGGCCGAATCGCCAGCCCAACTGGAGCCTGGCGCGTTCAGTCGGGTTCTGTCTACGTTCCATCCGTCGTTTGTCGCAATCGGCATCGCGTTCGAGTAAGAGGATGGTACACTTGGGGGTGGCGAGTGTTGATTGCCTCTGCTGTTTCTAGCAGGGTGGCCCTTCAGTTTTGCGTCCCAACGTCCCCATCCAACCTTCTCAAAGTTGACATCGCCTTTCAGACCTCCACCCTCGCCTCCGCTTCCTCGACCCTCCAACGCACCGACTACCAGTCTTCTAGCCTTCGCGGGTGGTATTCCAGAGAATCCTGGCACAGCCGTGGTGAGGAATCCCATGATGTGGCGAATGGCCAAGGGGCCATGGTTCAGCAAGATCTCAGGGAGATGATGCTTTGCCAGCAGAGTCGGCGTGATGGTGCCAGCCGCGTCGAACCCAGGAGATCCAACGCAACCGCCATCAGTGGGCATATCCTGATCACTGGCATCGGCACTATCCTGGAGGTCGAGGTCAGATTCGACGTGTTCCAGAGCGTGCAGGGCAGTGGTCGAGCGCGTTCCATACGGCTTGGAGCCGTGGGGAGGCAGAGAGGGAGATATAGAATTCGGGGGAGTAGGGAGAGGATGGTTCTTCGTAACAGGAACGCTCCTGGCCGCTACAGCAGCAAAGCTGTCTCGGCCACCAGCGGGCTTCGGGATATCGCGAGCAGTGGATGCCATGCTAGCCATTTCGTTGGAAGGTTCTTTCGTACGTTTCTCTGAAGTGACGCGACACAGTATCAGCTTTTGTTCCCAATGAAAACGCGTTTGGGGTGGGTTGAGAGGCAGCAGGTTGTCGTGATGACAGGGCTGACTCACTCGACTTGCGAGAGAAACGTGGCGAGTTGCTCAAGAGACGCGATAATGAAGCACAGGGCTATGGATGATCGTGTCGCGAAATGGCGAAAGACCTGGCTCGAAATCTTATCGGGCAAGGCAAAGATGCTGTTGCGAGGTGCGAAGGCGAGCGATGGTTGTTGACGAAGCCGGTTCTTGGAAGCTCAAGTGTGAAGCAGAAGAGAATGGATCTCTGCCGCAGAACGAAGCAAGAAGCTGGGAGGGATGCGAGCCTTTTACGTGTGCGGAGCGACGGTAATGCAAGTGGTCGAAGCTGGCGAGTCGGATGCTGCAAGTCGGTGGTTACTCTGTTGTGTTGTGTCGTTGGATATGGTCTTGATGCTGCAGGAGCTTCTATCTGGGGACTGGGTTGGGTCATTTCGCCGCCCGGCGCAGCCCTGCCTGCAGCCCGCTAAACCCTCTCGCTGCTGCCAGCCTCTGCCAACTCTCTGGTGTCTCTTCCACAATAATTACCTCATCCCTCACACACCTCACACTTCACACTTCACACTTCACACCCCTCACACACCTCACCCAGTCTCACCAGAAGCTACAGTACGGGGCACGTTGCCTCAAGGGCCGGTCCTTGAAGGTTCTGGTTCAGCTCACCTGTACCTGGAAGACTTGAGATGGCAAAGCATGCTTCACTCGCTGGCTGTCTTTGCCTCCTGCCCTGAATCTCCTCCACATTCGCCTAGGTTAACTATTCGAGCATCCGGCCCACGATGAGCGAGCCCTCAGCCCACAGTAAAGCACCGCGGGAGATGGGCGCCTGATGCCGAGCCTATTTGCCCGCTACTGTACGTACCATCAGGCGCGAATCTGGAGAGAAGGTCCTAAATCCCACGTTCTGTCTGCACGATTCCTATGGGCCCGTTGGTGCCCGGCCCGGATCAGCAGACACCTCCTTCTGAACCTCCAAGGAGAGCCATGGTTGAGGCGCCCCGCTGAAAATGCCTCCATTCGTCCAGTTCAGCCAGTATTTGCGTCGCCTGAGAAGGACTGTCTTCCCCACGTTGCTGAATGCTGCATGCTGCCACGAAGCCCAACCGACAGAAATGGAGCAATGCAGCAATGGAGCAATGGAGCGATGCACAAGGTCTCCGCAGTCGCACAGAAGCTCCAGCGAGCTCGGCATCACTCCCTCGTCATTCCGCACTTGTACTGTTTCGTGTTGAGGAATGAACTCAACCGGTCATCCCGAACTTTCCCGCTCACTGAGATACGGCTGGGCCACTCAACTATGATCGTGGGCCAACTTTTGGAGATGGGCGTCAGCGCAGGCCACCTCATCAGGAAAGAGAAAAAATACCTATGTTGCGCATGACATAGTTAGCCGATCTTCGGAAGGTGGTGATGAAACATCGATGTTGTGTGCGTCAACAGATTCACTTGAATCAAGGCGAGTAACGCGGTAGACCTGGAAACCAACAGATGAGAGTCATACAACACATGCGCGGTGGATGAGAGAACTTTCTCCGCAGAAAGGTGTCTCGAAATATTCCATGCCTCAGAAGCAGATAGGGAAGAAATACTCAAGCATGGCTGTAATTTGGCGAAAATGGTGCATATGTAACAATGCTACCGAATTTGGGAAAGGTTGCCGAAACACTGCGTAAAAGCAGTGAAATACGAGAACAAACTGCCCTAAATGTGTAAATCTTCGATCCTCCAGTGGCCATTCGGTAATTCGATGTATCCTTGCTTATTCAGGAGTGACCCCTTTTGAGTTCAAGCGCATTCATTCAACTCCTTCAGCAACTGCCTTCGCTGCACATTCCAATAGCTTGATGGGTTGCTCATCAACGAATGAGCGGACTGAAGGAGAATCTACTATTCAAGGTATAACCCGAACTCGAGCCTCGACAGAACTGCTGCCGAGTGATGTTTGTGAAGCTGAAGATACATCTCTGCTCCGAAGTGATAACTGTAGGCTTTTTCAAATTAAATGGCTGCCATTAAAATGAAGAGGTCAGGCGAAGTTCAAAATCTAATGTACAAAGTAGGCTTGGAATATTCCGGATCTTGGGGCTTGATGAAGACAAAATGACGATCACATGATGGCCGGAACTCTAGATTCTTACCCTCCGGCTCAAAGATTGCATGCTGTCACTTTGAAAGTCGTCATTTTTGGTGTATTAGGAAAGAGCCAGGAGTTGTTTAAACTAAGTACGTCGAAGAGTGCTTGATATCCAGCAGCTCATCTCCTGAATGTAACCTCATCGAAAATCGCAATGCAAAGGAAAGAGCTCGCGCTTCTGCATCAATCAAGCGATTGCTTGATGGTGATGGAAAGAGCCATTAGTTACCCACCAAAACCGAAATTCTACGCCCGTCCAAGAACGAAAGTCTTCCCCCAAACCCAATTTGACAGAATCCAAACGATGGATTTGTCTCCCGAAGCAGTCTCGCGATGCCGAAGACATTGTGAGTATGACTGTCAGCACATATCAGTTTTATTGGGGAAGTGGGGGAGCTACCACTTGCAGACAATACGAACAACGAAGCCACATGCCCGGCCATAGAGAGGTAAACATAGCTAGCAAGGGCCATTCCAGCCGCCTTTACCATTGACAACAATGTTGTAGCCGTCAGTATCAAACATTTGGCCACCAGCAATGATACTGGCGCCGTGGCAGTCATTGGGAATATCTGAAGCATAGCTTCCCAAGTAAGGTGAGACGGGCTCGATCGAGTAGTGTTCTGTTAATATTTCATTGAGAATAGCTAACAATTGAGGAAGAAAAGACCCAAAAAAGAGGGCAATCACAAAACACCTACATCATTGCAGAGCCACACTTTATCCCCAGCACTGCAGCAAATCACGGCACGATATCCGGGGCCAGAGACCCAGAGGATTCGTGCATCGAGGCCGAATAGATAACCCACGCAGACCTCAGCATTGAACATGGTGGCCTTTTGCCACTCTGGGTAACCACGCGCTGGAGCACAGAGTGGAGGGAGAACCTAGAGTAGCAGTCAGCTAATTGCTGTTACAATCCACTGCATTGAGTTCACCTTATTCTGAGGAGCTCTCGCATTCAGAGCATCCAAGGCAGCCTTGTTGTCCTTCGGGAGCTCAAGCTCAGGATGCTTTGCCTTCAGTTGAGCCCAGACCGGCTATTATAATCCCAGTATTTGGGATTTCGCAATTTATCACATGAGTTTGTACATGAGCAGTGCCATTCAAGTGCCCGGCTTCGCCGTTAACCTCACCGGACCAAGTGGCTTCGACAATCTTGAGCATTTGGCCTTTTTCATGAGTAGCGGCAGAGAGAACCTCATGAATGAACTCGTTAGGTAAGGGGACGAAGGTGATTGGCTTTGACATAGGTGGCTTACCATGGTGATGCCGAGGCAAGGCATGACTGCCGTTGAGATTGGTAATTGAGTAAGGTATTGTAGAGTGGAAATGGTGTATTGGAGAAGTTTGAGGTAGAACGAAAGTGTTTAGTCTTGGGTAGAATTGTAGGGGAGTGGATGTTTTAAGTTGGAAGAAGAAGCGAGAGAGGAGGTTCTTTTACATTCGTGACCTTATGAGCTACATAAACGAGGAGACCTTTTTCTTGTTGAATTCGCTTGAAGGTGAGTGTGGGCTTAACACATGGTGCCAGCACAAGTGAGGTTGAATATGCTAATTCCAACTGTGTGAAGTGAATTCAAGAGATTTGCAATGGAAAAGTCTACTGACAGCTTTGACGGTAGATCTTTGTAGAATGACTGCCCAGGACAGCTTCAATCCCTGATTTATGTCAATTAGTTGAAGTTATGTTGGATTTACTTTCATACTTGGCTCAATTACATACCCAGGTACACTTGGTCCACAGCTCCACCAATTCATCCACAATGAGTAACCTCCGACCCAACCTACCATAATTAATACATTTCATCAAAACTGAATGCACTCCTTTTAATCGTCTTAGACATTAATTACCGGCCTCTTGTGAAAGAAATAACCCCCTTTTGAACGAAATCCCGGGTTTGGAACACATTGTACCAACATCACCAGAACAATCAACTTCTTTCAACGTTCCCGCGGTTTCGAGTGCCAATATTGCTGGGACTCCGCCCCCGAAGACTAATTCTCTTGCTCTGTTTCGGGAAATTTCAAGCGCAATCCTTCCGGTCAGCTTGCGGAAACCTTTGCTCATCCCTCAATGGAGTTCATTGGAACAGGGGGTTTTGGAGAATCAAATGAAGTCATTCGATGTATACCCCCAACTCCCCATCAGATCCGTTATTCGCCACGTTGCTCCCCACCCCGTGACTACCTCGATCCTTTTGATCAGGTTTACAACAGCTCTATGTTCAGTTGGATGGCTTAACAATCTGCCAGCGACCCAAAGTCTGGATCTCGGAGTCAGCTTTGCCTGATACGGGAGAAGTTGAACGTTGAAGTGGGTTAGCAATGTCCTTTATTGTAGAACACGTTCACAGGCAATAATAGTTGGGACAAACTTGAAAATAGGAATACATGTGCTCAAGGGGGCAGGGGGTATGCCTACGGCTGGATAGCATTATTTAGACAACCATGATGTTCGTTTGTCGCTGAGATACCACAAATTCGGCGGGCGTGCCAAAGATCAGAGTTGATTGAGCCTGTACGTGATAGATCAATATTTGGCGACTTGATATCCAACAACAGCAAGCATGCAGTGTGATATAATTGGTTCGATGAGATGGCACAAGAAGCAGCATATAGAATGAATGGGAAAGGTGAGCTGTCAAGCTCGGCGTCATTTTCGCGAAGGTTGACTTCAAGGAGCTCTGCTGGACGATTCTCGCGCCAGGCTTGCAATTCAGCCCAGAGATCAAGCCAGTCAGTTGAATATGGCGATTGGTCCATGTGCGCAGCGGCATCGTCCATATTTTCGTTTTGAACCCAGATGAAATGGCACACTTTAGCTGCGAGGAAGACGGCATAGTTGGCCCACATGTCTGGGGTTCCTGCAGAACGGAAGAGCTCAACGACTTCGGATGATGAGATATCTGAAGGGGTCCAGTGTTGGAGTGGGAGGACCGTGCTATGGTCGCCATCCGAGATAATCGCTGCGCAGAGATCTAGGTGTTTTGCAGTTAGTCGAAATCAGTACAATGAGGAGAAAGTCTAAATTATAGACTCACCCATCCTTGCGTAGCACCAGAAGACAGCCTGAGGAACTCCTTCGCTGAATCCATGAATATTGTACGATTCGAACAAGGTTGCACATCCGTCTAAATGTTTCCTCCAATTTTTGGGAGCTGCTGAAAGCATCTCTAAGCAGCAAAGAATGACACAAGTCGCCATTATATTGGGATCACATGCCATTAAATGCGGTGTCAGGCTACGAATAGATTCTTGGTAAAGCTGAAGGCTGTCATGTTCTCCTTTCAACTTCTTCACTCTTTCCATTTGGCGTGCTGAAATGGCGAGAATGGCATATGTCAATGGAACAGATGACTTTGCCAGTATAGGGACAGTTTGGCCAAACATTTGTTGTTGGTCAAACATATCGAGCTTCTCTGGTGTCAGCGTAACTGAACGGTTTTCATCTGGAGGCATATACCCAAGGGGCGACTTCGTCGAGATAATTCTGAAGCCAAATTATCCGGTTCCCACTTGATATAATTGAGCTCAAGGCACCGCCGATTTGGCGATCCGAAAGGGAATCATGAACAGGACTTCCTCGACGGGATGGAGCAGCAGATTGAGCGCTGGTAAAGAGGAGGGACCTGAACTCTTGCTGTGATTCGAGGAACCTTGGATCATTGGCGAACTCATCGAATGTCGAATACGTAGTGGAGCTCGGTGATATGCCTGGGTTATGATACGGCGATGATGCGGCAAAATGATTCTGGTGATCCGAACCTAAAGGCCACCCGCTGGAAGCATTTGCGGCGAGACTCTCATCGCGAGGACTCTGGCGGAGTGCTATCTCGAGATGTTCATTTTCCATCTCCGCACATTTACTCCTGCCATTGAAGACAGGGTTTCTCTGCTCAAGGTCTAACGGCCAATGGGGCTCGAGTGTCCTGGATGCGTTTTGAGGAATGGGAAATGCAGAGTCACCGGATCAGCGCCGCAGGAGTGGGGGAACAGTGAGCTAAATTAGCCAGCATCTTCGCTTCATACACCCGACCTCCCCATTGCAACCTTTCCGCCGTCCATGTTTTTTCATATAAGCTTAGTGCAGCACGAACACTTGGAGGTTTACCGTTTCGCCTTGTTTCGAACTCGAACTCATTTCCGATAGTAGCATGTCCGGTTCGGTAGCGGTCCGCCAACGGACGAGAAAGGGGTGTCTGACCTGTAGAAGACGGCGTCGAAAGTGTCAGTATGAATTTCTTTACCACGGTCTTTATTTATTCCTATTTTGCCAAAGTCAAACTGGCTCTGTTGAGGCGACTTCGAGGCGGATGATCTCACTATTCGTCCGTGAGGGAAGTCGTCATGCCCCGTTTCGGTTGGATTTAGGAATTGAAAGCAGGATGTCCTGTTGCCGTTATACATTTATCCAATCCCTGCTGATACTTTTAACCTTTCTCAATGCTGTGTATATCGGAGTCGATGATGAGATCTCGCGATGAGAATGAACATCTTGTTTCCTCAAAGTCGTCTAGAGAAGAAATCGCTTTCTTCAAAGAGTACAAAGAAATGCATTAGAGGAACCATTGGCTAACAAGAGCAGGTGACGAGGCGAGACCAAGATGCCAGAATTGTGAAGAGAAGCAGTTAGATTGCCGATATGGCCTGCAGGTCATCTTTCGGGAATCCAATCTTCTAGGCCTCACGCCTGTGGAGCGGAGAGATCTTGAACGACGAGGACCTCTCAGGTATTCTGATCTCCGTGTAAGACTCGTTTTAGTTAGCCTCAGAATTCTTGCATGCTGGTTCTGCCTTTGAATCCCAGCAATTTCAAGGCCAGCCCATATCGCCTCATCGGACTAATTGTATGATAGTTCGTTGATGCTATGGAAGAGGATTTGGAATTTTTTGAAAGGTCCCCAACCAAAGATTACACAACTCATGCAATTCGACAAGGGTTGGAGGCAGTTGAACAAAGTCCATCGAGCGATCTCCACAACGACTTTGGAGACAATCGGTTGAATGCTGAAAACGACTGGGACATAAATGAGGCTGGGCGGCGAACTATGGAAGGCATTGAAACAAATGGATTTATCCGGACGCCCACAATTACAACAACCCCCCCTCGTGGAACTGATAAAGCCAGCATTGAAGAATTAATTGATACCGGCCAGGCGGTGTCTTTACCTCGATCCCAGAACCCAATGTCCCTTGAGTATTTAGCCTCACCTATATCTTCTTCATTTTCTTTGCAAAGCTACGCTTTTTGTGATGCCCTTTCTTCACAAAGAGCAGAGCCACGAAACCCCAACGGGTTTGTTTCCGTTGAAGGCGTGAATGAAGCCACTATCTCAACAACTACGAAGCATTATCTATTCAAAATATTTCTCGAGAGGACATCTTCATGGGTGAGTCTACACCGCTAGCATATAAGAAATCAGTACCAACTATTTTCAGTTAGATTTGAATCGTCTGACGAATTCTCTTGCTATTGAACTATCTATTCTGGCTCGCACCAGCCCGTCACTTCTCTACAGCATGTTAGAGAATGCTGCATGTCAAGAAATCACGAATCTCACGCCATCTAGTCATCACATTGTGCGAAGCACGCTTCGAACGCTTACTCTGAAGTTACTGCATTCCGAAGTCTGCCGGAGTAACAGTGTGGTTGCGGCCGAAAATTTATTGAGAGTCAGCCAGCTCTTGATGACCGAATTACTGGACTGGAACGTGGTTCTCCGCTCAAGTGGCTACAACACAACATCTACACAGGATGAGGTATCACATCAACGGCTCCTGTCTTGGGTCATGGCTCGGTTCGGTGAGATTCCACTCCCTGCTTTTGAACTGACCTGATGCTGACCTGAACATTGTTAGACATTGCTGCTGCACTGATCTCAGCACTACCAACAGTGGCTGATTTTGAACAATACGGTATCTCGCAACCCCTCCCAGCAAATAAAGTTCAGGATGCAATCATTCTTTGTGGCAAGGCCGTAGATCTTAAATTATCGCAAAGTATACACCCTATTGGCAAAATGGAAGAATGGTTAAAGTTATACACGGCGACAGAGAATTGGCAAGTGTGTCTTGACACGGGAGCTCAACCAATACTTGCGATTAACGGAGTCAAAGCTGCCGACTCTGAGGACATCTTAACCTCATTTCCACTGGTCATCTACACAAATCGAGCTGACTTTTACATTTCTTTTCTCTATCATCTGTCGTGTCTGCTACTTCTGCAAAGTCGGCCTCACTCACTCAGAAGGATGAAAAGCGCCTGTTTGAAGACCATCCCCTGGCACTCAGTACAGCTGTGTGGCATTTCCAAGAGCAATCGGCTTGCCTGGTCCTGGGACCCAATTGTGGTGGCAGCTCTATTATTTGCAGGAAAGTTTTTGAGTTACTGTGAACAGCAGAGCGAAATGGTGCAGCATTTGCAAGGTCTCAGTGAACTTACTGGGTGGAAGACGAGAAAAGAGATCGAAAAATTAAAGGAGTTCTGGAACGCTGGCCAATAGAGTTTTCTAGACAACTAATTGTAACAGCAATAGCGTTGACAAAACCCAGCGCCTCGTATGGTGTGTCAGAAAACTACCTTCAGCTCCATAAGAGCATCCAAGCATTTAATTTGTCATGAGTCCAAGGATCGGGTGCTCAACTTCTCACTTGGTGGCGTGAGGGCTTGAAGGTGACGTGCATCAACCTGATGACAAGTGGAGCAGGACCTCGCGCTCCAGAATTAATTTGCAGTCCTTTGCAATCATTTGGCTCCTTTCTTGTGTCCTAGGGTTCTGATACATAATAGACAGAAAGTGTGGGTGGTGCTTATAATTGCCTGTTTCGTCAGCCGAGGCACTCGAGGAAGCATGTGCAAGCACTGGCACCTTGGCGAAGCAAACTTCCTCCCACTTTTGGCTTTGGAGCACCACTACCTCCACCCAGGGCATAAATCTGCAGGAGATGTGTTAACCGTCCCGGCTGCAAGGCTGATGCTTCCAACCGAACCTTGAACATCTTGCCTAAGACTCAAATTTGCCAGCTTCACTTTAGAAGCGAGTTCTTCGTTCAGACTATCCTCGTTCCATATCACTACAGATCCTTATCACTTGGTCACAGTAAACTTATCTGTAACTTGTGAACGAATTCGCCTTTGAACTGGACATTTGCGAGACTCCGAAACCTCATCGAAATGGTTGGTATAATGCCTCAGAATTCTCTTCAAGACATTCCTACCTTTAAGACTAAGCCCCATATTGCGGTGCTCACGGACATTTGCAATGAACCTGATGACGCCGAATCCCTGACTCGATTTCTGTTGTACGCAAACGAATTCCAGATTGACGCACTTATTGCTACAACTTCATTCTGGCAGCAGTCTTCCACTCATATCGAGCAAATCCATCAGATAATTGACGCCTATGCCGGTGTTGAAGCTGCTTTAAACGGCCATGTTCCTCCTGATCAGAGGATGAGCTTGCGAAATTTGCCGCAAAACTTCGAAACTATGCAATATCGGACCAAGATGATTCCGGCCCCTGGATTCGGATTCATTTTCCAAAGGTTTTCTACATTGCATCTACTCATGGGTGTAAGATTCTCCACTTCGTTGACTTTCTCAAATCTGTCTTGAACATTTTGTACCCTCACAGATTGTCGTTTCAGTTTCTTCTCTCTAGCGATATCCGAGATACAATGTACAGGGGATTCTAACTTTTCTAGGGAATGCATATGGCCTCGCTGCATGGACCGGAATATCAGGAGAGTCCTATTGTAATTTCAATCCGGGTGGACCAGATACAAGCATCGTGACGAAGGAGTAGATTCAAAAGTCCATTCAGATTGGACCTTATGGAGCGGTGTAGGTAGCGCAATCCCCAGATTTACTTTTGTTAATTCACATTTCGGAAAATGCTAACTCTGAGCTTCGTTCAGGGCGTATCCCGGTCCTGTTTTCATCCCAGAAGGAGACACACCAACCTTCCTCAATCTGATTCAAAACGGTGTGACTGATCCCTGTCGCCCAGACTGGGGCAGAAGGTGGCAGATACGGCCTCACTGATAGCACTGGAGCCAGTGGGAACAGACACTACAGCGATGTGGCAGATCACGTCCTGGGGAAAGATGGCAGAACACATTGTGGAAGCCAAGCTACAATCTGGCGATGGAGGAATGCATATTAAGGCGACTTCGCAGCTCGTATGCAGTGGACTCGGGGGAAATTTTTTCAAAAGACCGATCATGCACCTGTCGTCATCTTAAATGGGGATTCAAACTTGGAACCAATGCACCTCAACGCCGACTTTGGCAGCACGGTTCATTGGGATGCCTCACAAAGTTGGGTTCCGGATGAGAAAGACACGCTCCAATTCCGCTGGCTCCATTACCGAGAGCCTATCTCCACACAGTGGGCATCCTCTTATCAAGGACCAAAACTTGAATTTAAGGACGAGTCAGATGGCGCGCGAAAATTCGAGAGAGTATCTGTCCAAATTCCTCCAGAAGAAGACGGTATGTCATTTTCATTGCATCCGGAACAAGTCCTGAAATGGGGTCCCAAAACCTATTATTGGATTTTGGGTGTTATTGATGACGCAGAGTTTCCTATGAGAGCGTACAAGAGGGTCTTGGTTCATATTGGAGGTGGATCGGCCTGGGAGACGAATGAGAACGATATGGGGTATGTGTAGTAAGTGCATTGACTGTCTTGAGATAAACCAAGACATTGCGAGGCAAATTGCTCCCCTCCTTTATACCATCTAATATTAGCCTGGAACAACGTGTTCAAATAAGATCCCTTGGACTTCGACGCTCACCCACTCAACACGTGATCGGGTAACAAAGGGGGTGGTTGCCTGGTCTGTGCCCCTTAATTTTAGCAAAAAATGTCAACTTAAAAACTGCAATGGATATATATAGAATTAAGAGACAAACCAGAACCCCAATCCTCTCGGACCTGGGCTTTGGAAAACCAGACGCACTGAGTTTTAGAGTAGTTTCAACCACTTTGCGGTGGAAGGAGGGGGAGGGGGATAGCTATCGTCTTTGCGGACGGGCGTAGTTGAGATTAACTGAGTCATACAATCTGCTGATTGATTGTGATGAAATTTTGCTTATTTCAGGCTATAAACACCAGGTCGAAAAATCGAAGATCTTGAACCTCCAGAGGTAACTTCACAACATCATGGTTGCTCATCCATCATATCCAGCCACGAGATCGATGTCACTCCATCTCCATAGTGCTCCAAAAATGCTGCTTTTCTATTGAAGTCTATCATTGAACCCGTGTCAACCTCTTTACGCCCCAACCATCCATGTCGCCATCCGTCTGATTCCCACTCCTACCGACAAGTTAGGCCTCAATCAATGTCCCTCTCGTCAACCACCTGGATCTTAATGCTCCCTTGGGTGACATCTGAGCACAACTTCAAGGCATCCATCGCGTTTTCGAGCGGAAATGTGTGAGTAATAAGCTTGTCGAGGTTCAGAATTTCGCCGCTGAAAGCTGAGATAGCTGCCGGCCAGGTATCGGTGTATCGATTTATGAACTTCAGATTTATCTATAGCGTCAAGTCAGTTGTTGGTTTGCCTTTCTTAGCGTTGTTTGAATTAAGGTTGGCTGCAGGCTTGCCTCTGATAAACTGATTTTCATGAACGGAAGGTTGTTCATGATATCCTTGCCAACACCAATTACCATCAAATCACCTCCCGTCCGCACTACATGTGCCGCCGTTACAACACTTGATTCCACCCCCGTACATTCAAGAACTGTTGCCGGAGCTTCATATTCAGTAGGACCGAACAATGCTCGAATGGCCGCGGCGTTGGACTCTTCATGCAGTGTAGTGTCGACTTGATAAACTTGGCACGATGGAACGAACTCCTTCGCAAACGCCAGACGCTTCGGTTCCAAATCAGTGATAACGAGAGGATGTGCTCCAGAGGCTCGAGCTGCCGCCAAAGCAATTAGACCAATGGGGCCTGCGCCGCAAATCATCGCTCCACGGCCGATGGAGAGCTTTACGCGGGACAGACCGTGAAGCACCACGGAGAGGGGTTCAAGAAGCGCTCCTTGAGCATACGACACGTTCTCTGGCAGCCTGAATATTCGTCAACTCATTATAAAACCACCGGATTTCAAGAATAGTACTTACTTGTGGACATATCCTGCTGGATGGACCTTAAATCGTTGCAGCGAACCATGGTATGGGTAGACACCGATAAACCTCACCTGGGGACAGAGGTTGGTACGCCCGCTTGTGCACGAAAAGCATCTTCCACACGGTACTTGCGGCTCAATCGCAACCCTGTCCCCTTTTCGCACCGTCGTTACGCCTTGCCCAACTTGGAGAACGAGACCCGCTGCTTCGTGGCCAAGAATGCAATTACCCTCGACCTTCAGCTTTCCGATCGCACCTTTCTTCCAGAAGTGCACATCAGAACTGATACTGTCATTAGCGGGAACGACTTCAACCCAAATCAGCTGACTTACCCGCAGATTCCGGTCGCTTTGATATGGATGAGTACGTCACCAGGGCCTGGCTTGTCTATTGGAGCCTCAACCAACTCGATAGTATGGCTTGCGGTGACTTGTAAACTTGGATTGGAGTACCTTGTTGAACTGGAAACATTTTTCTCGGCTGTGAACTGGCATGCGTCAGGAAGAGTCTCAACAGCTTCGATTAAGTCTGGCGCCATCTTGTACAATGCTGTGTGTGTAGAGGAAGATGGCTGGAGAGAAGGCTATCCAAGAAATTGAGGTGAACAGGACTTCATATCGTGCTGATGTCTAATCAACATGTTCGGCAAAGCCAAAGTCATATCTGGAGAGAGGGACACTAAGAAGAGTGGACAAGGAGGCTCAACCTTCGATGATGGTGTTTTATTGCCAGGTCTATGCAGTGCAATCCCACGACATCTCGGGGCCAATATCTGGAGGAACTCCTCCGCATGCTACGAATCGGGAAAGTATAGGCACCGGCTGATCCCCGGTGTGCCAAGTAGGCGACACATACTTTACCCCTTTGTTACTTGTAAGCTAACCGAAGCAACAAGGATTACCCCGGTGATCCTGCTCCTCAGCAACTCCACATTAACAAAGTTGGAATCTGGAGCTCCCAAGGAAGCTCGAAGCAAAATTGGTTTCTTTGGGGCTTGTCAGAACCGCCTCTTTCACAAAAATCCCAAAAGTATCTCAAGGCACCAAGTTTGAAATAACTGTATTCTTTGTTCGGTTTCTCCCCCCCACCACCGCCCCCAACCAGCATATCAAAATTTTCCTTCAAATGGCTTCCATCAAGCTTGCTTCTGGATATGTTGGTTCTTCTGCTCCTGTGTATTTCATGATTTTTGTTCGGAAAATATCGGATTGAACTAACGCATCATTTCTATCAGGATATGCCACTTGTCGGATTTGGTCTTTGGAAAGTTGATCAAAACACCACCGCCGATACAGTATACCATGCCATCAAGACCGGATATCGTTTATTTGACGGAGCATACGACTACCAAAACGAGAAAGAAGCTGGCGAGGGAATTAAGAAGGCTATCGTTGATGGGTTAGTGAAAAGGGAGGAAATATTTGTGACAACGAAGTTATGGAACAATTATCACAAAAAGTACTGTGAAATCTTCGATGAAACGACAACACATTTCTGACTAAGGCAAGGGAACATGTAGAAGCAATGGGATATGCACAACGGGATGCCTGGGGACTGGATTATATTGATCTTTACCTGATACACTTCCCTGTGGCGCTCAAATATATTGAGCCAGAAAAGCTGCGATACCCCGTGAGAGTAGCACTTTTGTTTATTTGCGTATAGTTGCTAACGTTGTTCAGGCTTGGTGGGGAGATTCAGAACACAAAACAATCGAGCTTGACAAAGTCCCCATTATGGAAACATGGAAAGCTTTGGAGGAGCTCGTTGACCAAGGGGTGGTTCGCTCAATCGGAGTCAGCAACTTCTCAACGCAACTGCTTTACGACCTCCTCTCATACGCCCGCCATCCCGTCTCAAGCTTACAGGTCGAGCATCACCCATATCTCGTTCAAGATACCCTTATCACCATGGCTCAAGAGGAGGGAATCGCCGTAACCGGATATAGTACTTTCGGTCCTCAATCTTTCATGGAGTTACCACCATCGTTCCGCGCCAGAGCTGATAGTGTCCCTATGTTGTTTGACCATCCAGTAATTCAGAAGATCGCAAAGGCCCACGGTGTTTCACCTGGCAAGGTCCTTCTTCGCTGGGCTACGCAGAGGTAAGTTTTGTGAGCACCGGAAAGGTATTGGTCGTCAACGCTAATAAACTAAGGGGAATTGCTGTCATCCCCAAGTCTAACAACAAGGCACGCTTACAGCAGAATCTCGAGGTGAATAGCATTAGCCTGGAAAGAGCAGAACTTGAAGAAATAAGTGGCCTGGACAAAGGGCTCCGTTTCAACGACCCTGGTTTCTATCTTGCGAAACCAATTCGCATCTTTGATTAAATTATTGGAATTTCCGATTCACGATTTTCGAAAATGGTAGAAAATTCATATCAATCACCCAATCGTCAGCACCTGTTATCAATTTAATTTAATTTCGTGGCATATCAGTGCGCGGCATCTGATGTGGTCAGCGGGCCTGAATGCTGCAACAGTCTGTGGTTACTTCTCCACAATTCTCTGCTCTTAGATCCATTCTCGTATCCACTCACTAGCAGTTGAATATGCTTCAATGGTGGGGTTTGGTACGGAGTTGGCAAGCACTAGGTGAGCGGCCTCCCAATGCGGAAGTCCTAACCACTGTACCCTAATTCCAGAAAAGGTTCCCAGTTTGGCCACCAATAGTCTCACAAGGCTGCACCTTTCCGCTTTTGGTCTTGCATCAGGATTTCAATGGTTGAAAGGGTCGACTGCCTCAAACAGGGAAGCTTCTGTTGGGCAGCTGTAGCTTGCTTCTTTGTGAAGCTGAAGCTTTCTAAATTCTTAAATGTCAGTTGCCTTGCTTATCCTGCGTCTGGATACTGAAATTAGTCCATCTTTGGCCATAAATCGATCTCGTATGAGTGGTATTGAAAATGGCGCCCTCAGCAACAGAGCTCAATGGTAATTCGTCGAAAGTAAAAAGTGTGGCACTACATATTGAAGGCCGCGAAGATCACGATTTAGTGTTAAGAACATTTCGTGTGCTTATTGCAGATCTGGTTCAACATTATAATGGTGGCCATCCTGGGTGAGTGGAGCAAGAAGCTGGATCTTCGGTGATGCCGTGAATTTATTGTACTGACAATGAATAGTGGTGCCATGGGCATGGCTGCCATCGGAGTTGCCCTATGGGCATACATGATGAAGTACTCTCCAGAAAATCCTGCTTGGTTCAATAGAGATAGATTTATCTTGTCGAATGGTTGGTAAAGCGGGAGATTTGTCCTTGAGAACTCGTCTGACAATGTACCAGGGCACACATGTTTATTTCAATACGTCTTTCTGCATCTGACCGGCTATAAACACATGACGATGGACCAATTGAAAACATATCACTCCTCATCTAGGTACTCTTTCTGCCCTGGGCATCCAGAAATCGAGCATGAAGGCATAGAGGTAACCACAGGGCCGCTGGGACAAGGAATCGCAAACGCTGTTGGTCTGGCTATGGCCACGAAGCACCTCGCAGCGACGTACAATAAACCGAACTACGAGATCGTGAACAATACCACCTGGTGTATGACTGGGGATGCTTGCTTGCAAGAAGGTGTAGGATTGGAAGCTATATCGTTGGCTGGCCACTGGAAACTCAACAATCTGGTCCTCATCTTTGACAACAACAATGTGACTTGCGATGGTAGTGCCGATATTGCGAATACGGAAAACATCAACGCCAAAATGGCGGCAAGTGGGTGGAATGTTATCGAGATATTGGACGGATCAAATGACATTGAGGGGATCGTTGCTGCTCTGAACACTGCAAAAGCCAGCAGGGACAAGCCGACTTTCATCAATTGCCATACGATCATCGGCATCGGTAGTGCAGTTGAAGGAGATGCAAAAGCTCATGGTGCTGCTTTTGGAGAGGAGGATGTGATGAGTATACACAGAAAATTTGGGTTTGAGGCTGATGAGAGGTTTAGCGTTCCCAAAAAGGTCTACAACTTCTTCCAGAAACTGTCCTTACCGCGTGGCAGAAAACTGGTTAGTGAATGGGAGAAATTGAGGTCCAACTACTGCGACGCGTATCCTGAGTTGGGTGCCGAGCTGTTGGCAAGAATCACCGGAGACCTTCCGCACAATTGGGAAGACCTCATTCCAAAATCCTTTCCAGCCTCTGCAACGGCATCACGAAAGTCTGCAGGACTGGTGTGCAACCCATTGGCACAAAATATACCCTCGTTCATGGTCGGTACTGCGGACTTATCGCCAAGTGTATACATGAGTTGGCCCGGAAAGGTGGACTTTCAAAGTGTGAGTCTCTCTGTGGAGTGACCACACCAAACTTGCTCATGTTCCTGTAGCCTGATCTTAAAACAACTTACGGCATCAATGGAAACTATGGTGGAAGATACATTCATTACGGCATCAGAGAGCATGCTATGGCGTCCATCGCCAACGGATTGGCAGCCTACAATCGTGGAACTATTATCCCAGTCACATCAAGTTTCTTCATGTTTTATCTGGTAAGATTTCTATACTGGCTGTACTATTCAATAAGTCTGACATGATATCAGTACGCCGCACCAGGAGTTCGCATGGGTGCTCTACAAGAACTTCAGGTTATTCACGTTGCCACACACGACAGTATTGGGACTGGCGAAGATGGACCGACTCACCAACCTATCGAGCTGGCATCGTTGTACCGCACCATGCCAAATATCCTCTACATTCGGCCTTGCGACTCGGAAGAGACAGCCGGCGCTTTCAAAGTCGCGGTGCGAGCAAAGCACAGCTCAACAATCATCTCGACGTCCCGTCAGAATCTCCCACAATACAAGGAGAGCAATCGTGAGGCTGTTCAATGCGGTGCTTATGTATTCCGAGAAAGAGAAGACGCAACCGTGACCATGATTGGTGTTGGTGCAGAAATGGCCTTTGCAGTTGATGCCACCGAGGAGCTTGAAAAGGACGGAATCAAAGTTCGAATCGTCAGTTTCCCGTGTCAGCGTCTTTTTGAGCAGCAAAGTCGTGAGTACAGACGTGCGACGTTACAAAGCAAAAAGACGGTTGCTGTGGTTGTGGAAGCTTATGCAGCAAATGGATGGGAGCGATATGCTAATGCCAGCATTTCAATGAAGACGTTTGGAAAGAGTTTGCCTGGAAAGGAAGCGTATAAATACTTCGGCTTCGATAGCTTGGCGATTGCCAGAAAGATCAAATCGTACTTGGAGGATTTAAAGCATGAGCGAATTTGGAAAGACGAATTATAGAATTGTAGGGTTGTGTTTACGATCCAAAACGGACTTCTATGCTGACTGAATATATCCTTTCACATCAACACGTTTTCTTCTGCCACGCTGCAAGCCTTCAATGCCTTCTTGCCGCTGAGTACCTTTCAATGTTCCAACTTCAGCTGTACAAGCATATTGTCTAGGTTAAAAACTACAGAATTCGCCCTGTGAGGAGACTCGGACTGAAACATGAGTCAGGCAGCCCAGATATCTTCCGCACTCCTTGTCATGACTCGGATCTCAATTGCTGGGGCTCTCATTTTTCGTTTCATCCCTTCAGGGCTTGCCTTGAGAGATTCAGAAGCAGGTGGAGAGGAAGATTGCCAAGACTTAGTGCCAGAGCTCTGCAGTGAATCAGATGACCAAAGCAGGGAAAATAGGCAACGGCAAGCGAATCCACAATACGAGGAAACTCCGAGCACAGAGACTCGGACATACGAGATCTTTCTTAGTTCAGAGTTTGGAGGGAGTTCAACACCGTTGTAGGCTCCCCTGAAGTACCTGAAGAGTCCCAGGAAGTTGGAGACGCAAATCTTGTGAGAGAGGAGCCCCGCGCTTAGCCAGGTGGGAAAGTGGGCGAAGTCCCCGCCAAGTTTGTCACCCTCTTTTCTGCTTGCTTTGAGCATTCCGGAGTTGAGAAATACTTCTTTATAAGTCGTCTTCTCCTCCGCATTTTGAATGGATGAGTAAGGACGAATATCGAACTATTTCATGTGTTTCCAATTAAGCACAGCACTTCCTACTTCTTCTATCCTTAACTATGGCTGATGCCAGCAACACCAAAACTGGCGACGCTGAAAAGACTGGGAATTCTTGCATTTAGAACGCCGATCAGGCCGGCTGGATTGCATACCAAGACGAACACGATGTTGGAGCTACCAAGCTATAAGAAAGTATCTATCACGACCCGTAGCTGGTGTTCTGGATGCAGAATCAGCTGTATTGGGTGTGTGTATGTACGTCTAAAGAGGGAAGAAGGAGCGGGGAGGTTGGGAACTACTGTAAGATACAGGGTGTCGCGCTAAGCTAAGCTAAGTCACGTGCGACACAACAGTATCCTTGGGTCTTGGATGGGTGTTTTCATGCCTTATGATATTCATCCTCAACAGCTTTGAAAATCAAGCAGGTAAGTTTCCTCTTTTTGTTTACGAAGAGACCTTTTCTGACCGTCGTGGAGGTGGCTCGGTACTCTGGATACCTCAGTCCAGAAAGGACTTCGGTTACAAGTACGGAAGTACCTAGGTTTTGCATGTAGGGTGGCAATCGGCGTTCAGTGGTGCTCCCGTTGCATCGTAAGAAGCTCCAGCTCGGAATGTATGTTCTGGTACAACTAATACTTCTCAGAGTATGCATAGCATCTCTACGTATCGGCTACGTTACGAGTACAGACAGACAGAAGTTAGTCCTGCGCACTCGGCCTCGTCTTCTCGTAAATTGGAATTACCGTTAAGCTTGTTACTACTACCAGCCCAATGCTCTTTGCTGGAAAATTAATCAGGTACAGTACGTATGAAAAGATGCTTCCTCTGGGCCCTCGCCCGACTGAAGCACTCTACAGCGGCTTTGTAATTGGGATTTTCGTCACACTGTCATTCACCTATATCGGCGAGGTAAGATACAGTTTCGTTGTACTTGGGATATAAGCACACCTTGCTTAGGCGAGTCCCACCGCTCTTAGATGAATAGTTAGCAGCGGTGTAGCGATCGCTTTCACATTGGGTCCATTCCTCGTCGCCCTGATCATTAAGGGGACAGTATCATATAGTACGTTACTCCTTGATCAAAGAATAAAATTGAAGTTCGCTGCAAACTCTTCGTCAGCTACTCGCTGCGCCTACAGATCAGTTTTCGTTGCTCAGTACGGGGTTGCCGCGGTCGGGACATTATTCATGCCTTTCATGCCCGAAGTGGGTAAGAACATTTCATCGAACGTCGAACAAGAATGCTGACCAAATAATCAGGTCTCCTTGGTGGCTCCTGGGCAAAGGAAACGAAGAAAAGGCAGCTCGATCTTTACGCAAGCTTGGTTACTCCCCAGAAGATATAGAAAAGCGCATGGCTACAACAGTGCTTACGCTTCAAGTATAATCCCCAAGCCTACAGCTCAGAAATGGACGGTCGGAAAAGTAATGTTCTTTCCAAAACAGGTAAAACGAACAACAAGCGATGCCTCATACTTTGAATGCTTCAGTAGTTCAAACCTGCGGCGAACCGGCATAGCCAATGCCCCATACTGCATCCAAACACTGTCCGGAATATACTTCGCCTCCAACTAGTCCCTACACCTATTACTACCAGCTTGCTGGATACTCCTCAAGCGAGAGTTTCATCCTCCAGATTATTCAGCAGGTCATCTCCATGATTGGGAACGCCATATCCTGGTTCCTCGTCGAGAGGGTCAGTCGAAGACCTCTTATATTCTCCGGACTCTGCTCTCTGACTGTGTATTTGATTCTCACAGATGCTCTAGAGGTAGTTGCTACACCGACAGCGCTGAAAGGTAAACCAAAAATTCCTACACAAATATAGACTTAATATCGGATCCTTTCACAGGGACGTGTGATCTTATCCTAGTATACTGCTGGGGCTACAATGTCACAATTGGAGCCATAGCATACACGCTTCTCGCCGAGACGGCGACATCTCGTCTCCGCTTCAAAACTCTTGTTATTGACATATTCGCGCACAACGCAATCAATGAAAGAGCCCGATACTCATCAATACTGAGAATCCGCCTTTAGTAGCTCGTAGGTAATGTGGGCTTTTGTTATCCCAAAGCTCTTCAATCCCGACCAAGCCAATCTCGGTGCCAAAGTCTCTCATCTTCGGCGGCCTTGCGGCCTTGGCCTGCTTGTATTTGTGGATTTATGAGCCCGAGACTGCTGGCCGGACCTATAAAGAACTCGATGAGGTATTCACTAGCAAGGTGGCTGGGAGGAAATTCAAGTCTACGAAGACACAAACTGAACTGGAGGGAGTGCAGGCGAAGGACATCCAGGCTGAGAAGACACAAGGTGAACATAATGTGTAGCAATGAATACACAGTAGTTAGAGACTGGCACCTTCTGGTCCAAGAATACGACCTGTTGGTATATTACTTTAACCAACGGGAAAGTTCCATGAAATCGAAAAAGAGCTATTATCCGTTTCGCTAGGCTCACTTTGCAGTTGACCGGACAGTGCATTCCTAAGCGAGTAAATCCAGCAAATCAGGGTTTGAGAATTGTTCAAGCTGAGTTGACTGGCACTGTACTACGATTTCTTCTCAATTAAATCCATAGGACTTAGTACCTCCTTCACAAATATACTAGAGCAAATTGGTATCAAGGTCCACCGGCATTGAGCACGTATCTCCTGCATGACTTGACCGACGTAGTTAGCAATTTCAGAACGACTGAAAGGGTTGGGAGGTATGCAACATAAGATTACGTACTGCTTTCAAAAGATCAAGCCTTTCCTTTGACTGCTCAAACACCCGCTTGTACTGCCTCAAACTCTCCCGGAGCATAGCATCTCCTGCCAGTCGTCCCTCACATATATCCTTCATTCTCAACTCCATTTCCTTGCGCAGAAATGGTTTACTGAGACTCATCTCATGTTCCATCTTGTCATACCCATCCACCAGAGCCACGCCTAGGGTTGAGGGTATGAACTCCTCAACTCCTCCACCGCCTCCTCCCCGAGCAGCGCCGCCGCCTCTACCGCCCCGGCCAGCTCTCGCGGCTCTCCCTCCTCGGCCACCACGGGCTGGGGTTGGAGCATGATTCCCACCGCCACCCCCTTTTAGCCGCGTGAAGACATAATCTCGTGTTTTGATTGTATTGATATGCTCTGCCATCGTGGCATCAGTTCCTATACCATTAGCGTCCATCAACGCAATGAGATCTGGCTCTGTCAGAAAACTGGGACCTGCAGTCTTTCCTTCCGTCATCATAGCTTCGGTAGGCTCGAATACTTCTCCGGTTGTGAACTTTGGTAGAGTGGTACTATTCGTCCAGTTTTCGTAGGGATAAACATCAAGATAGTTTCTTGCCAAAACAACGACTCCATGGGCACTGAAAACTTCATCGCCGTACAGGACATCTATGTCTGTTGCCTGGCCCTTCGCGTCATCGGAACAGCAAGCCAGGAAGCGACGTGTGATAAACTCATAAACTCGTTTTTCTTGGTCGTTCAAATTGGCAGGAGCGCAGTAGGCCACAGGGTGGATGGGTGGATGTGCCTTGTCATCGTGACTCCCTTGTCGTGGTTGTTTGAAAGATCCGTTCACCAAGTTCTGAGCAAATCCGCCCCATCGGTTGTCCTGCGTCTGCTTTTCTACCAGTGCCCTAAGATTCATACCTGGATCGAATCGATCGGTTTCGGTTCGGGGATAACTGATGAACCCCTTTTGGTAAAGACCCTCTGCAACAGCCATAGCTTCGTGACTGTTCATTCTCAAGAACCAGCTGGCATTTTTCTGCAGTTCGACAGTCGTCAGAGGTAATGGCTTCCATTTACTAGTAGGCTTCTCCTGAACTTTTATGACCTTGGCAGTCTTGGCTGTGATGCATCTTTCAAAGAGAACAACAACTACTGCTCGATCGAACAGCCGATTGCGCTTCCAATTGAAAATGACATTGATATCGTCACGCTTGTGGGTGACCTGGACGCTCCAAAATGGCTCTGGTTTGAAGTTTTGCACTCTGAAATAACGATCCACAACGAAGCCGAGAGTCGGGAATTGGCAAAGTCCTGTGCGGGTTAGGTCAGCTTGAAAATACACTTTTGACTGCGGGATGATTTACCAAAGCTTATGACTCTCCTGCCGCCATCTGGCCGAACGCTGAGAGGCCCACCCAAGGGCCGGAGACTATTTGTCAGATACCTCGTAAATGCAAATCCGATCCTGAGATCCAGCTCGATGCGTACAGCAACTGCGTGTATCTGTCGGTCGTCAAGATTTACCGGATGCTTTGCTGCGTGAATTATGTGTCTGGACAATTATCAGATGTGACCTTTATACAGCTAGAGAGACTTACGCTCTCTCGATGTTGCTGAATTTGGCTCTCCTCACCTCTAGGTTTGGGTTTCCCTTGAGAGCTTCGGATCTTACTTCACCACCGATGTGCTCTCCTTCTCGATCACAATCGGTCCAGATGAATAGGGCACGAGATCCTCTCGCATTGTTGGAAATATTATCAGAGATTGGTTTCTTGTCCTGCGATTTGCACTTAACGATCCTGGCAAATGTCCGCAGCGAGGATGATCACGCACCTCTTCGACTTTCACGAGTACAGGTGCATCGAAAAGTGCATCTGGTGGAGGATGGCTCCAATCGCGTTCATACTCATCGGTGAATTTCGTTGCCGTCAAATGACCAGATACGCTGGTCATGAGCACATTGCAACCTCCCCAGGGCGGACCAAAGTCAAACGTGAATGTGTAGTTCTTGATGTATTGGTTGCCAGTGTTTCCCTGGGACGAGATTAGTCTGTGCCTAGAACTATCTCTCAGGATCTGGGACCCATCTTACGGTTTGAAAGTGACCCCCAGAGAGATGCTCTGCTACAGCTTTCGAGATGGAGTTCTTCTCTGCCACGCAAAGGATCTTTCCAGGCATGGCAGCGGTGTCACCGCATAAGTGCTTATGGAGACTTCTTGGCCGAATTAACGGTACTCACATGGTCTGTCGAAACTTGTGGAGAGCATCTTTAAGATTTACAGCCCACCGGGCGCGTCAAGAAGATCTCAAATAGATGCCAAGTTGGTGGCGAGAGGAAATAACGCGTGACGGAGAGCTGAGTGGTGTTGGAGCCGGAAGATTTAACCTTAACCTTAAATTGACGAGCACACTGCACGCCGGATGCGGGAAGAAGCGATTCGAGGGAAACTGCACCCCTGCTGGTGCTGTACTGTAGACTTCTAGCTCGGCGTCATTGACTTGATTTCGTCAACAACAAGAACCCGCCCACTTCTCATTGTACCAGAACCACCTCGAACAATCCGACCTCCGAACCCTCAATCCTCAACAACAAACATTCATCATGGCTCTGCCAGTCATAAAGACGCTCACTGAGTGCTCATCCCTGCAGAAGATGGTGCTTCCGTACCTGCCACAACTCTACGCCCTCCCCCAGCGGCTCCTACAATCGTGGAACAACCCCGCAGAGCTACAGACCATATACCTCGCCACCAACCCTCTGATAACTTCCTTGGCGTTCTCGCTGTTCCTTGCACCGGTGTTCCTCATCGTCTCCGAAATCAACAAAAACTACTCACAAGTCGATCGCTGCTGGAGCATTCTGCCTACAATCTACAATGCACACTATTGCCTGTACGCCCATCTCAATGGTCTCGAGACCTCACGACTGGACCATTTAGTTGCATTTAGCACAGTGTGGAGTGTTCGTGTCCTTCTAGACACCTCTGAATCTGCTAACCTGGGTTTCAGTTACGATTAACCTTCAACTACTGGCGCAAGGGAGGATACAATATTGGCTCAGAGGACTATCGATGGTGAGAGTACACATTCCTGGGTTTGGATGTAATTTTGCTGATCGTTCGTTGTACAGGGAGGTCCTGCGAAAGTACCTAAATCCCGCTTTCTTCTTCGTCTTCAATGTCACCTTTATATCCCTCGCTCAAAGCATCCTCCTCTTCCTAATTACGACCCCGACATATGTTATGGTATTGGTGGCTCGTTTTGGAAAGGCAATGTCAACAACCGATGTCGTCTTTGCTAGAGCGTTAATGGGACTGGTCCTTGTGGAGGTCTTTGCAGACCAACAGCAGTGGAGTAAGTTTCTCCTGAGAGCCAACATCTCTTATTGCTAATATTTTGCCTCGTGAAGATTTCCAGGAAGCCAAGAGAGTCTACTTAAAGACTGCAAAGGTCCCCCACAAATTTGATCAAGAAGATCTTGATCGTGGATTTGTGGTCACTGGCCTCTGGTCCTGGAGCCGACACCCCAATTTTGCTGCAGAGCAGGCAATCTGGGTTGTTCTATACCAGTGGGGTTGCTGGACTTCAGAAGTACTTTACAACTGGACTTTCTTGGGAGCCATGTCATACCTCCTTCTTTTCCAGGCATCGACCTGGTTCACAGAGCACATCACTGCCGAAAAGTACACAGATTACAAAGAGTACCAGAACAGGGTTGGAAAGTTTCTCCCAAAACTTGTATCGGACCTTCCAGGAGATTTCAGCGACCAAAAAGCCAAGCCAAAGATAGAGAAGGCAGAGAAGAAGGATGGAACATTAAAGAAAAGCATTAGATAATCGTTAGATGGCGATCATTTGTGTTTTGCCTAAGGTTTGGCCCCCCTTTTAGTCGAGGGTGTTTGCACTGTTTGCACTGTTTGCACCCCCTGTTTGCACCGTTGTCAAATATCTTATCGAATTCACATTTAGACGATTCTGCCATGCCTTTATCGTAGTTTTGCCCTTGATTATTGTCACGGGATCGCTTCGTTAGTCGCGCTTCGTTAGCATAAATAGTGCCCTTTCGATCTGATCAGTTCAGAAAGAAACATCTCCACCCCTGAGTTAAAACCCTCCTTTCGATCTCATATCGCGCCACTCATCGAATCACAGAGCACTTCTACAGTTCTTTATTTCCTCAAATCACACCACCCAGACCTAGAAACAATGTCTAGCAACAAGGATTCCACACCGGTAACGCCGTCGACTCCAACTCGCACTTCCAACAACCAGCCAACTCCTCAGGCTCCTTACCGTCCTACTGTGGAGCGACTGGTTTCCGACACCACCAATAATACCACAGCCCGAGTCGCCAGCAATGCCCTCCCGTCTTGCCGCATGCCTCAGTACAATGAGCATGGCAACTTGGCAGACGTTATGGCTCGTACATACCCTACACCAACTGATGTGGTTAACGTTGCCGAAGCCTTGGAGCTTCCCCCACAGCCAAAAACCTTCAAACACCACTTAGACGATCTGAGAAAGAATGGCGAGAGGAAGAAGGTTCGCATCATGACTGAAGAAGACCGAAAGGCGGAGTTTGAGCGTGTGAAGGCTACTCTCAGGAGTCTGGGACAAAAGCCGTCTTCATCTTGAGTCAAGTATGTGATATTCACTCTGATGATTCATAAGTCATGTGCTAAGTAAATTTTTCAGCATTGGAGGTATCCATCGCTTTGAACTTACGTGGGATGTATTGGTGTGTTCTGTGGCATTGCATGGAGTTCAGTTCAGCGGGAAGAGCGTTTGTCTGCATTTGGAAGGAATCTCAATTCAGTTGACAGGCATGTGTTTCCGCATTGCAAAGGGGTTGTATTGATGGCGTAACAGATAGAAAGGTTCCATCATGTGTTTCGTCTGGGGATTGTCTTGTCAGGAGTTTAATCTTCATCAAGTGTAAGGACTATTCAGGTTTTCGACAGCACGAAAGGCAATATCACAGCGAGAAGACCTTACAATGGAAACAACTCACAACAATGATGCTATGTTCATCAAGATTCTATCAAAAAGTTCATACCTCATTTAGTTTGGTATCTCGATTGTAGCTGCATGCCCTACCCCTCCCTCCCCCCAAGTCGCACCCGCTCCAACGCCAACTCCTCATGCGAAAAATAGTACCCAAACCGTTTCAAAAGCAAGAATCAACGTGTTGACCCGTTGAGGTGGCCATCGAAGGTTCATGTAAGCAGGGTCAAACTCCACCAGATGCCCCAAAGCACCCATATTCTATCGTCGATGCTATGTTCAAAAAGAGTGTATAATGAGAGAGTGGCGAAGCGTATCCTGTTCCAAGGCGACAATTACACTCTCTGGCTGGCGAAGTCAAGCACATCACAATCATCTTCGAAGAACCCCTCTTCGTCAACATCTCCGGAATTTTCGCCAGCACGTGAAACAGCCTTACGTCTTCTTGTGGTAATCACGATCTGCTCCATCTCCTCGGTGCTATCCGTGACCCTCAAGACGCGTTCTATTGCTGACGAGGGGAGTGCGCGGTGATCCGCAGAATCGTCCACATCATCATCTGGGTTGTGTGGAGGTCCTACATCAAGTTTAGTGATTTTGATGCGTCTACCGAAAGCCCAAGCACCTGTGGATTTGCTGCAGGATGAAGATTTCACCTCATCTGCCAACCCAGGCGGAGAAAGGAGAGCGGACACAGAAGGTGAAGGCAGAGGAGCCTCCTCGTGCGAATAAACGTGCAGCCCCACGCGTCGATCAGTATGGAATGGCTGGTATGGAGCATTCGATTCGATCTCCGCCTGAGGAATGGATGATTCTGTTCCACGCAACTGGGGCGCGGGAGATGGCGAGTGTCCCGTCTTCCAACGAGACTCCTCGATATCTCTTTCGGTGAGCTCGAGGTCACTAACTTGATTCAGGTCGCGCGTAATTTCTGGCGCGAACTTGAAATCAAGTAGATTCGGAATACGATATTCAACGTATCTGGCGCCTCTCGAGGCTTTCTGTTTGTCCACCGGGCGATCCGCTCTTCTGTTCTTGATAGAATAAAACCGGACAATCCCACCTGCTACCGCCATGACAGAATCGTTTCTCTTCCCATTGAGTAGTAAGATGCACGCTCTGCTGGGAACGGCCGTGCTGTTAGGGAGATACAGCTTCGTGTGCCCGGATTTGCGCATTTCGTTCATCTTCCCTGTTGCCGCTCCAACAGATCTACTAATTCCAGCAGCCAGGGCTTGTGTGCCATGTCCCGCCTGAGCTGTTACAGCTTTGGCAGACAGGCCAACGCTGCTTCGACGTCGGCGGCTCACGAGAGGTTGCGCTGCAGTCCACAGAGAACTGACTGCGCTCGACGCCAATCCAGTAGCGGTAAGGGGTGGATTGGCAATTTCACCGGCGCCGTCATCTGACTTCTGAGCTGGACCTCTTCGACGTTGTGGAGGCCATGTGAAAGCACTGGCTGGGAGGTCAAGTATATGAACAGTCCCTGGTTCCGTAACCATCGCCGCACGCTCCCCATGAGGGGACGTCCACACAACATCAACAATCCTAGCGATGGTCATCCTCGAGAATTGGGCGATCTGTCGAACATGAGGGCCTGGAAACCCCCCGCCTTGAACTCCCGCCTTCAAGAACGATGCCTTCGCGTATTGGATGCGCATCAGGTCCCAAACTGATTGCACATCGCCCTTGCTACTTGCTGTAAATAAGGCTAGGCCACTTGGAGCAAAAGACAAAAAGCTGCATCCATGAGGAACTTTGAACGTTGCTAAGGGATGTGGGGATGATGCCGTTGATGAACTGTGTTGAGCAAGAGATTCCAAGTCGAGAATCGATATCAGGCCGGGATCTTTCGAAACGAGAGGTGCTGGAGTTGGTAACCCATGGGTAGGAGGGAACTGCTGTCCCATATTTGTCCGGACGTTCGAGTGGGCTTGGTACTGGTCTCCATTTGACTGTTGATTTGACGAAGACTTGTTCCTATAGTTGTTCCAGGCATGAATCCCCCAGTCCGTTACCAGATTTCCCGCTTCAATAAACTTTTGTGTTCCTATCTGGACAATTTGCTTCATCATGCTCTCTCCACCAGGAGTTTCAACCATGCAGTTCACGCCTGGTAGTTGCGGGGGAGCATAAGCATTCAACCCATGAACTCTTGCCGTGGAAACGGCACTGGGAACAGCCGCACGAAGGGAGACTTGTGATGACGGTGCTGGTGGGCAGTAAGCTAACCAGCGGCCACTGAGTGACAGTATGGAGGCTTTGTATTGTTTGCGCACCGAGATAGGATCGGTCGATGGCCAGTCACCATCGACCAAACCGTTTGGGCCTACAGGGTCAAGTGTAACCCCGTGTTGCACGGTGGTCCAAATTTTGCCAATGCACCTGAACAGCTCTGACGAAGCAGAGTCGGCTATTGTTTGACGGAAGATCCAAGTTTCTCCAGTCGTACCAGAAGCTACAACGATGGTACCGCTCTCTGCACGAATGGTTAACGCTCCGACCGGAGGTGGCGCCACAAACAAAGGACTAGTTGTTGGAATTGCCAGGTGAATTTTGGGAACGGAGAGCAAAGTTGCAACATGTTGTTTTGTGCGAAGCGAATAAACCTCTACCGAGGTTTGATAGTATTCGATTGGGTCATTGTCATTCATGGACGGCCCAGGCATTCTTGGTGATCCTCGAGCACTGCCATTTTGAGATACGGAGATAGCTTCCGAGGGAGGTGTTCCATCATCACCACTTGACACTTCACTGGATGCCCAGATTGGCCCATGGACAACGGCAACTATCAACGGAGCGTGTTTGGAGCCAGTCCCCGGGATTCTCCACGGCAGTATTTTGGCGTTGTAAACCCCACCTCGTAGCCCATCAATACTGGATGTCTTATGCAATCCTCTCCTTGAGACTGCATAGATATTTATACCCCCTTCGTATCCGGTCACGACGACATTCTCAGTTGATTTCGACTGTGAAGATGTTGGCAGACTGTCGAAACCACAGTAAAACCCTTTATCCCCGGGAACCAGTCCGGGAGTTGGAGGGGAGAGCATCAGGTTAGCATCGACACCATAGAAGTGGGGTTGAGGTTGGTGCGGTAGTGGAGGGTGTTGCGCATATCGGGGGTGTTGTGAATACATCGAGCTTCGACGAGCAGCGTAGGAGGATATTTGCGATCGGTGCTCATCAAAGCCTTGTGTGTAGTTACCGTCAAGTTGATAGCTTAGAGGTCTTCTTCGGCTTGAGGGTGGGGATGCTGATGAAATATGGCCGTTGGAAACTCCTCTATCTCTTATTGCCCAACCTTCATATGAAGAAGGTAGGTACGGTGCGGGAGGACTCTCCTCCCCAAGGTTTATCAGATTGGAGGGGGAGCTCGAAAACGCAGGGATATTCTTTGCCCATTCGTTTGTGCTCTGGGAAGAGGATCGGTCTAATGCTGCGGAGGACAAAGCATCCAGTACGGGGGATGTGATGGGATTCCCATTCGAAGGGGAAGCAACTGGCTTCATCTCTGGTGACTGAACTCGAGTAGATTGAGCAAACGGTTTATTCCTATCCACAGTCAGTCACCCGCCATTCATGGGACAGGGCTTAGATCGTGGAAAGTGTAAGAGGGAAGACTCACTTCGTCACCGATACCCCGCCTCCACCACTGTCTTTCCCCGTTCCATTATTTTTTCTGCTACTCTTCGTCCCAGTCGACAATATCTTCTGAGACAGCTTGCTGGCTTGTATATTATTACTCGAGATGTTGTTGTTCTGTTGATCCGGCATTCAAATGGCGACTTGGTCTCACAGCGGGCGGTCGCGATGACGGGTCGCGGCAATGTCCCAGTTCCACTGCAGGAAGGTGCGCGAGCAGCTGAAGCGGAAAGCTCGAAATGTATCTATCGTTCGGCTGAAATGGTCTCACGATCGGGAGGGGTTTCTGCAATGTTTCCGGAGTTTTGTTACAGCTCTTTATAAAGAGCTTCGTAGTTGTTGATGGGAGTGGAGGGGCAGCTTTCTGACTGCAACCGGCGAGAGTGATGAGCCTGATTCGCTGAGAGCTCCAAAGGAATTATGCACTGCACAAGCTGGGGATTTCCTGATTACGTATCTGCAAGGTACGGCAAAGTCGTACAATTGGCTTTTGCACATTAATCCGATCAGATCAGCAGATCAAATGTAGATCTTATGGCGGACCGTCCTTGGATACGATGTTTTGCTACAAGAGCTCATGGAGCATTGCGACTACAATGTGTTTTGCCGCTATCAAGAAGCCGCCTGGGTATATTTCGAACATCTGCGCTGGACAATACCCATCCCACATTCCTGCAAGGTGTCCCCTTTCGTGATTGCCTGCCACCTAAGTTTACTCTCACGCTATGACGGGCAATTGACGCTTCCACGAGCTCTTCCAGCAAGACAACAGCCAAGACTCCAATCCTACACTATCAAGTCTACCTTATGCCTTCTTCTTTCCAGCAGCCTTTGCTTTCGCCGCCTTCTTCCGGTTGCTTCGAATCATCACCGCGCTTAAGAACGATCCCACCACCGCACAGCCAAGCAGAATGAGGATAACAGGGATACGGATAGCCCAGACTCGGGGCGGGAACATATTTTGTAACGGGTGATCCGAGTCGACGAAAGGCTGGAATGACAATTAGTTCTTAATCTTCAGAGACTATGGAAAGGCTTGCCATCAAGAGCGTCCATATGGTGTAATAGAGAAAGACGACTGAAGCAGCGACAAGCATCGCGAGTCCAACGAGTTTATCGAGCTGGCCTGTGTTAGCAGCGTATTTTGACAGGAAGCCCGATGGAGTTGCCATTCCAGGACTTACCATCGTTACAAACAGGCTAGGAAGGAGTGTGATGGAGCAGACGCAAATGACTGAAAGTTTTAAAGCCACAGTCGTTGAAATGTGAAGCTGGCTCTCTTGAACCCAAGCAAAAGTTATTGCCAGCGAAACACAGAACGCAACCTGGTGGATGACTCAGCGAGGCAGCTAAACCTTGTTTTAAGCGTGATACGCTAAAGTGAATTTCACGTTGATGTTGACAGCCTCACGAAACTTTCATTCTTCCTACCTTGATCTCTGAATTCGCGCCGACGTCACTATCGCAAAGATGGAGGTCGCGCGAGGCAAGACTGAGGATGAGAAACAGGCGGCGGCAAAAGCTGAGTACGAGAAGCTTTTGACCATGCGATCTGGTGGCACCTACATCCCACCCGCCCGACTACGAGCCCTTCAGTCCCAGATCACCGACAAGACCAGCAAGGAATACCAGCGCATGGCATGGGAAGCTTTGAAGAAGTCGATCAACGGTTTAATCAACAAAGTCAACGTCTCGAATATCAAGCACATCGTTCCGGAGCTTTTTGGCGAGAACTTAATCAGAGGTCGAGGACTCTTTTGCCGATCCATTATGAAGGCGCAGGCTGCCAGTTTGCCCTTCACACCAATATACGCAGCGATGGCGGCTATTGTGAATACCAAGCTCCCGAACGTGGGCGAGCTCCTCCTGAAGCGGCTCATCGTTCAGTTCAAGAAGGGATTTAAGAGGAATGACAAAGCTGTATGCCTTTCTGCGACAACCTTCATTGCTCATCTATGCAACCAACAAGTGGCCAGCGAGGTCGTTGCGGCACAAGTACTTCTGCTTCTTCTTCACAAACCAACAGATGACAGCGTGGAGATTGCTGTTGGGTTGACAAGGGAGGTCGGGCAACACCTGGAGGAGATGAACCAAGCCATTGCCTTAGCCGTCTTCGACCAATTTCGGAGCATTCTACACGAGGCTGATATCGACAAGAGGGTGCAATATATGATTGAGGTTCTGTTCCAGGTTCGGAAAGACAAGTACAAGGACAATCCTGCCATCAAAGAGGAACTAGACTTGGTGGAGGAAGAAGATCAAATCACCCATGTCATTGCCTTGGATGACGAAATCGATGTGGAAGATGGTCTGAATATTTTCAAATTTGATCCACAGTGGGAGGAGAACGAAGAGGAATATAGAAAGACGAAGGCGGAAATCCTTGGGGAGGGTAGTGGTGAGGAAGGCGACGAGGACGATAGTGATGATAGCGAAGACAACGAAGAGAGACAAGAAGAGAAGGTATTGGAGATTAAAGATCAGAGCAATACAGATCTTGTCGCCCTCCGAAAAACGATATACCTGACAATTATGTCCAGCATCGATCCGGAAGAATGTTGCCACAAGTTGATGAAAGTCCAACTTCCCGCTGGCTTAGAGCCCGAGCTTCCTTCTATGATCATCGAATGCTGCTCGCAGGAGAAGACGTATTCAAAGTTCTATGGCCTCATCGGTGAGAGGTTTGCCAAGATCAACCGTCTTTGGACCCAGCTTTTCGAGGATTCCTTCGCCAAATATTATGACACTATCCATCGATACGAAACAAACAGACTGCGAAACATTGCGCGCTTCTTTGGCCATCTCATTAGCTCCGATGCCATTGGATGGCACGTCATGTCTGTCATTCATCTGAATGAGGAGGAAACGACTTCTAGCAGTCGCATTTTCATTAAAATTCTCTTTCAAGATCTCTCGGAGGCCATGGGCATGAAGAAATTGCAAGATCGCCTAAAGGAAGACCTTCTCCGACCCTACTTTGAAGGACTCTTTCCTCATGATAACCCCCGCAATACAAGATTCTCCATCAACTACTTCACTTCTATCGGCATGGGAGCTGTTACCGAGGAGATGCGAGAATATCTTCAAAATATTCCGAAACCCGCGTTACCAGCGCCGGTGCCTGAGGATTCGGACTCCGAGTCAGAGAGCTCAGTATCAAGTTATTCGTCGCGCAGTGGCTCGTCTTACTCGAGATCGCCAAATCGTGGCCGCAAGCGTTCATTATCAAGATCAAGATCACGATCCAGTTCTCGCTCACCATCTCGGTCGATCTCCAGGCCAAGACTGAGACGTTCAAATCGTTCAAGATCTCGATCAAGCTTGGGACGCTCGACTCGCTCAAGATCTCGATCAGACTCCCGTTCAAAGATTGGACGTTCAACTCGTGCGAGACTGCCCTTAAGATCTCGGTCTACATCGCGAACACCACCTAGAAGGATTGGAAGAGAGAGACAGAGAGGCCGGAGTCTGACGAGATCAATGTCACGCTCGGTTACGCCGCCGCGAAGAGCAACACGTCGGGATAGTCGGTCACCGTCACGAAGCGGCGGAAAGAGAAGGCGTGTTGATAGCGAATCGATGTCTCCTCTGCCTAAAAGGGGCAGGCGATATAGCTGAGAATAGATTTGTAAGTTATGAAATGGGGGTTTGTCGGCACCAGCCAAGCATTGCTGGAGTCTAATTAACACAATCGAATGGCCTAGCGTTGTTTCTACGAGTATAACTCCGTGACCGCTGAAAAATCCACTGCTACAGTATCTGTCTGTTCCTCGCGGCCTTCGTCATGTGACAGAAGCCTCACCGTGACGGGTGACACACACAACTGACTCAGCAGGAGACATTGGCGTGAATGAGATTCATTCGCTGGGAACGCGGAATGGGCTGGGTCACTCGTCGCCTCTCAATCAGCAAAAGTGATGCCCATCACGCGGAAGTGCCCGTGAGTAATCAGCAAGCGCTGCTCCACCGCCGATGAGAAAGTCCAGCGCCAGTTTCCAAAACCCGGGATGGCAGCAGTCATGTCCAGGTCATTTCCAGTAGCGCGAGCCACCAAGCCAATACCCCACCAACCAACGAGAGGGTGTTTGCACCGACGTTGGAAACAAAATGGATTGAATGGAAGGAATCGACCCTTCACAAATGGGTCGCGATGCACCCATCGTCCCATCCCCTTCTGCGCGTCGGGACCGGCGCGCGAAAGTGGCCTTTGGCTGCTCCTATTCGGGCAGCATTTCCTCATTAGTAAGCATCCATGCCTGTTCAATGCTCTCCACTAGTGGCCTTGTGGAGGATGACAAAAGGTTTGATCCTGGTGATCCACAGCACCGGCCCTCATGCAAAGGTAAAAGAGTCCGCAAGATGACACGCCCACGAAATCAACGCCAATTGGAGAATTCACTCGGCAAGGCACGCGGTTCCGTGCCGATGTGCTTCGCGGGCCCGCTGCGAGGTCAATTATTATTAACGTTAATTCAGCCATGAGCTGGACCGGCTCACTTCGCGCCAGCAAATCAAGCTCCCTCTTTCTCCTAACTCCTCCTTACCCCTACATTGATCGCCATGGGAGCGCGACCACAGGAGCTATGTAATAGAGCCTGGAGTACCGAGTGCTCAATGCCCTTTACCCAGAGAAAAGAGACTTAGTCGATGCGGCGCATAGCAGTTATACACCTCTGATCACCCTCTGCTCTGTCTCATGGTGTCCCGACGACCGTGACCACAGGACGTCCTGCGCATGGTGTGTAAGCAGCTCCCTCTTGTCGAGCACCCTCCCACGCTCTCTGATCGTCTTGTGTACTGACAGGCCGTTAATTGCGCAGATTCTCTCAGGTCTTGCGCCTTGTAAGATACGAAGGCCAAAATTTCCTGCGGGACCCAAGGCCGGATGGCTGGGCAGCTCAATACTCCCTCCGAAAGACATAGGCTCTGGCAGCGTGGTGATGGATGCCCGGGAGCGAGAGAAGTCCCAGTCACGTCGGCCGAGCATTAAACGACCTTGGGAGGAGGACAACGTCTTGCCAGAAGCGGGCAACACCTCTTTTGGAGCAACATTACCCCCAATCGATCCCCTACAGTGTCGCAGAACATCAACCTCCAGGCAAGCAGAAGCTGGAGGCAATTTTCGTAATATATACCACCCAGACAGCCAGGAAGTCGGGGCGAAGAGGGCCAGATACGAGGGGGGAAATGATTACATTGCCTTTTCAGAGGGGAAGGTCCAATCCCAAGCATCTCGTAAGTCAAGCAGGAACCCCGCAATCGCCGCCCAAATTCTGATTCCCTTACCAATCTAGAACTATATAATCCGAATCAGAGCTCTTTTGGCCCACCCGGTTTCCAAGAGCGGCAAGGCGGGGAACCCGCAAATGCTCAAGATACCGCCATTCTGTGTCGACGATGCAGGAGGCTGACCACACAGATTCAAGATTTAGAGCTCGAGGCTTGTGAGAAGTGCGAAAGCAATCCGGAGCTAGCCCTTGTCACCCAAAAGGCTGCAGCTGCGCTGACTCATCTGGCCAATACTCTTGTTTCTGGTATCTCGTCCGCTCGTCGCGGTGTCATTCGTGTGAGTCTGTCGGGATCATGCAGCCCTTCCCCCCCCCCCTCCCTCCCTGGTGAGATGGTGGATTCTTGCTGAACATACAATAAAATCAGACCCCTGAGGAATTTCAAGTTAGCTCGGCCGACTGTCCTCCAATTGCACAGTACGGGTTGAGACACACCCTCAACTGGTTACTTGGCAGAATCAACCACATTAATGGCCTAGCGGACCAGTTCGTACAGAATGTGCCGTCAGAATTCTCACCTACTTTTGACAAAAAGTTTACTGGGCCTGGCCAGAGCATTGAAGATGGTCTTCCCAGCATCATGAAGCGCCGCATCATTACCGAATCTGATGAGGCTCCCACAGACAGGAGCGACAATGCTGAGCCCCTCTCTGACGCAAGGATGTACACGAGGCAGAGGTCTATTGCAACAACGATGATGGGCAACGAGGAATCGCCATCACGATCCCAGAATGAATATCATCATACTTCGCAGTCCTCATTAGGTGGGCCAAGCCGCCGGGGATCTTTTATGAATCCCCCACCAGCACCCAACCGCCAACTCCCTTCGCCGCCTGGGCGGTCCCTCCCATCTCCAACATCAATCAACTTTCCTTCTCCGTCCGCTGGACCCTATGGAGTTGCCCAACCTCTCAACTTGCCTACGCCATCAAATCTACATCATCAATCACCGCCAAGTGGCTACTTGCCACCGATTGGAGCTGCACATCGGACCGACGCCATCCAAGCTCATTCTGCAGCCCTCCAGCATGAAGTATCTGTTCAGAAGATTGCTCTATCATCCCTCCAGGGTGAGCATGATAAGCTCCTAGCTGCCTTTTCCCGCTCTCAGACTCGTGCCAGTGCGTTGGAGAAGAAACACGCCGTCTCCGATAGCGAGATCATCAGCCTGTCGGAAGAGAAGATGCGGTTGCAAACTCAGGTCATCGAGTTGGAGCGCGATGTCGAAGAATTATCGCGCACGAGGGATGAATGTCGCCAGGCTGGAGTGCAAGAGGCTGCTCAGTACGTGGAGATTGTCAAAAAAGCAAGTCAACTGGAAGAACTCGCGGCTGAAGAGCGAAAGAGTTGGAGCAAGATGAAGGCTGAAATGGAGCAAACAATCGAGGCACTAAGGGCTGAGGCCACCGCATCAGATGTGGCACTACACAGCGCAGCCCTGCTTCCTCTCACCCAAATCATTGACGACGTTGATACGCCAGCGTCATCTGTCGAGGCCCAGATGGACCTCAAGATAGAACCCACGGCAGATACCGTACCTACATCATACCCGAAGGAGTTCCTACAGGAATCTAACGAAGGACTCAAAGAAGAGATTCGTCGGTTGCGATCTCGGTGTGCAGAAGTGGAATCTGCACTGCGCGTTGTCAGAGATGACAGCCGTAAGATGGAAGGAATAATAGAGGCTCTAGGCTTAGCCGGGAAGTCGATCTTGGAACGATCTGATAGAGCACTTGGAAGCGTGACCGAGGCTTAAGAGCCAGTTGGCTCTGGGCCACCAGAGAGGTTCCTACCGCATACATCTAATAAGCGTCTAATCATTGCAGGCGTTCGAATTAGGTTGGACATCCGAAGGGAACGTTTTGTGGGTTTTAAAAATATCGCGCCTCCCCAGGCCGCTCAAGCTAGCTTGGAGATGTTCTTACCCTCTGCTCTGTGAAAGGAGACGGGCAATCAATTATAATTTCGGAGGTGCACCTAGCATTTCTGACTGGATCTTGAGGCACAAGACTCTCGGGACCACCTTGCACACAGTGATTGAGTGAGGCGTGTATCCACGTCGGTGTACATGGGGAGATTTCCTACAGGCTCGCCAAATGCTGTGCAAGGATCAACGCAAGGTCCATGCCCGCAGGCCACGACTCCCATCCAAGATCTCCGACACTCTTCAAACTTCGCATCTCCGAGTCTTCAGGCAAAGGTGGCGTGAGAAATCGCGTGAGGTCAGGGCTCTAGGACAGAATGATTCAAAACAATTTCATTGTCGTCGCAAATCATTAGCGTCATCTGCTCCCCAAAACAGGGCAAGGCCCGCCCGCAATAGCGGATAGCAGTCACGGCCCTCGACTCTCTGAAACGCAGAGACGTCGCGGTTTTGAAGGAAGGGCACTCGTTAAGCCTCATAGTCCAAAAATAACACTCATATAATCGTTTTGGAGCCCCAAAGCTGGGAAAGGAGCCTGCAATCAATGTGTCTTTCGGACGTCGTTGCTCCATTGCTGTCGTTTGTTTTCAGGTCCGCCAAAGTTCGAGCGTGCATCTGTCGTCTGTTGAGCGGATTTACTTTCTCTTCGATTCTATACTATAATTTATGCACGTCACTCTTGTTGCACGATATCATCGTTGTAGTCGAAGTCTATATTGAAAGGAACTCCCTCCTCGTTCCATAAACAACCTGTCAGCAACGGTATCTTGCCGGAAGATCGGCATCCCGAATACAACCTACCTCAGCTCACACCTAACATCTGTCAATATGGGTCAAGCATTTTCGGGACCCAACGCCTTCAAATTCTTCGGCTTCACACCAGCAGCGACGGCTGTTCTACAAAGAAGTCCGCTCCTCCTCGTTATCCTCGTTGTCGTCCTCGTTGTGTGTATAGGTCTGGGTCTGCTGGCCTGGTACATACATTATGTCACAAACATCCCATATCGGAAGCCTAAAGAGGTGAAGGGAGCGAAGAAATAAGGACGGGGTAGTGTCACGGGGTTGACGAGTCGAAATGGATTTTGGGAGGTCAATCCAGGATGGATATTGGCAACGAAAGGACTATTTCCGATATACCTTCACGGTCCCACGGCTGGACGCCTAGAGTGAGATGTGCAGGACACCCCTTGCTGGGTATTTATTTTTGGGAGGTTATTGTGTGAAATATTTTGGGGGGTTTTGGATCGACTCTTACATTCTCGAGAGAATGCTGTTTATATTAGCCTTCCGCGCGCATTCAAAGTCAATGTGCAATACAAATTTGAGAAATTCATTTGAAGTCATTTGTGCAATTCAATTCGGCTGTGTGTGCTGCTAAAGCATCGCTGTTGTGTGAAGTGTGAAATCGCTCCGCTGTCTCTGTCCATATGCAAGCTCTGCAAGCCCTGAATATCCACGCTGAATACAGTTCACATAGTGGAATGTCTGCATTGCTCTTAAGCATTAGATAGCTCCTAGCTTCTTGCTCAATGCTGCAGTGCGGGAAACAAGTGACCGGTCAAGCTCTCAAACCGACGTTCAAGCGTTTCGAGTCCCGGTTCAGCGAGCATGCGTGTCGCCTGAAACTCCGCAAAGAAGCGATGAAGTCTCGCCATCTCAATCTCGAGGATCTCGGCAGCAATTGTCGTCGATGCGCAAAGCTCTGCAGTGGAGCCTTTGGTGAGCAGACCAAGTCGTGTAGTTGCGGGCTGGTGATAGATTGATTCTGGGACCTCTTGTGTTTTAGGTTCAAGTACGTTCTGTAAGAGGAATTGTTAGCCCCTTGGTTGTTTACTTTCGTCGTTGCTTGGATGCTTACCCGACCTCCCATGCCTCCGGCTCCGACCTCTTGGACCAGAACTCCGCGTGGGATGTGGGGAAGTTGCCACAAGGCGTAAGCCAGGTGGTCTCCGGTCCTCTCATACTTCTTATCGCATCCAGCCTCTGCAATTGCAAAGTGAACAGAAGTTCTCTCCGGTGGTTGTCCTCCAATCACGTCGGCGCCCATGACAACGATGAGTTCCTCAATATTCTTGAGCTGCTTGAACCACGTAGAGTGGCCTCCAGCGAGAACGGCACCGTAGAAGCATACTCTGTTCAAGGCAAGGCAACGGCATTTCTCGAACCAAACTGGTTGCTTGGCATTGGTCAACAACTGCTTTCCACTCTCAATGTCCGTGTTGAAGTAAAGAGTGTCACGGTCCCAGTTGATCAAGGCGCCGGTGAATTCAACCCCATAGCGGACAGCGTCGAAAACCTTGAGGCCAGACTCGCGAGACACGTGGCACGTGCTAAGAACGGCGGGAGACGAAGTGTGGGATTTTGGCTTGAAGGACATGGATGAAATGATGACTTCGATGACGCGAGGATCAGTGCCATGGGCGGCGTAGCCCCAGATCTCGCTGCGAAGTTCGAAGGGGAGATTGGGGAAGAGCGTGAAGCTTTGGAGTGGGGTCATTGCTGTTGCTGGGAAGGATACACCAGCAATCGTAGTTTCGTGGACGGTGTCTGATGCTTGCTTCTCCATTTTCATGGACGTGGACAAGGTCGGAACACCTTCTGAGTTGAATGCCACCCACGGACTAGAGGAAGGGATTAGAATTAAGAGATTGAGATAAAAAGGCGAGGGTCAGCAACAGCCAAATTCACCTTTTGCTTGCAAAGGCGATAGATTCAGGTCGATACGAGGAAGACGTTTACAATGTCGGGTGCATTATGAGGAAGTTGAGATTGAAAAACCACCTCGCACGGAAATCAAGTTATACTCGTATTATTGTACATTAGATAGATATTTTGATGCTTCCATGAAGTTCCTCTGTGTTCAGCTAGTCAAGACCTCAAAAGCACTCCTTCATGAAAAAACTACCTCCACATCCATTTGGCCCGCCCAAAATTGTTTCTTCCCTTAGCCGATTAGCCTACCTCCATACATCACCAGAAGTCCACTCTTCCCAACCGGCATAGCTAGTGTGTTCACTCTCCGCTGCACTCTGTATCCTCAACTTCTCTGGCCACGGGAAGGGTTTCGTCCTTAATGCACATGCATGTTACTGCTCTTGCATCTGGCCTGCCCTTTAAACACCCTTTCTCTAGGATTCTGTCCCTATGACTTGAAGATGACGAATCTCTGGAGCTGTACAAGATCCGCTATATGGGGCACTCTCTTGATTGGGTGTTTGCAGGAGTATTTGCGCCAGAGAGAATGGACAAGGCCTCTCTAGCTGCTCGAAATATTTCAATGGCGGCAGACCAGCCCGAACGTCCCAAATGTCCACGATCAGTTGGCGGCAATGTCGAGATAAATTCTGCTCACGAAATCCGCTTCGATACTCATCCAACCTTCCCGGAGGAAAGTATACGATGTCCCGAGACCAGTCAACACTAAGTTCCGTGAAGCTTTCGGCAAAGAAGAAAGGCTTGTAAGCTTTTGCAGCAATCTGACGTGACTCGAGTTATAAACGTATGCCAGGAGCTGGAGTGTTTAAGCTGATTGGCCAATCGCCATCATAGTCCTGATATCCTATCCAAGCTATCTCGATGATTCGAGGTTCTCCAACAACCAGGGACCATATTTCGTGACGTGGCTCAATTGATAGCTTGCTGCAGGCAGTGAACTTCTTATCTCAAGCCTCAGGCGACTTGGACGCCTTGAACGGAGACTCTCCCAATGTAGATAGCTGAGCTGGGGAGAGCATGTCTTGGTCGGGTACTGTCTTCGAATAATTTGCGCCAGCATCGACTCCTTGATTTTACGTGTCTTCTGGGGACATTGAGGAAGTAGCATCTCTTTCGGTGACAGATTTGTCGGTAGATTCCATTGTTGAAGATCAAGTTGCGTCCGCGAGGTTGCTGGATAGGGAGGTTGTGGCGAAGATGGGAACTGCATACAGCGTGTGGTGGTGAAACTGACCAAATCGAATGCTGAAAAAAAGCGGTGAGAGAGTGGCTGGTCTCATTTGCCTTGAGAGCGAATCTTTTCACGCCAAACGCGAATTTGTGCGACGAAATAGCAATCGAGAAAGAATTGACGGTAATCTCGAGGTTGAGGCGCCCAAGATGGTCTGACACGTATGGACGTCACCCTTGTCTTGCAGGCGTTGACGCTGGGTGAATGAGGGTTGAGGTTAGGGGGTTCCTTCCCCTGACCAAACTCGCTTATGGAAGCGAACCCCAAGATTAGCGTAACAAACCGCCATACTCATCATCATCATGAGCATATTTCACCGAGCGAGGCTACAGGCCGAAGACAATATCGAAATTGCTCTCTCTATTCTCTGGATGTTGTTCTTACAAGGACCCAGTCCGGTCCTCTCTTATTGTGCCAAAGAATTGAGGAAATTGGACGCTATTCGGGAGATCCGTTGCAACTGTGAGACTCCTCCGAACTCGTTGTCCTAAGCAGCGACAGACATTATTTTCCGCCAAATTATAGACGTTGTAATTGGAGGGAAATTCCATGTATTCTTATGTTGACCGTGAAATCTATGTAGCCGAATGTAAAGTCTCCTTAAGCATCACCGTTCACCAACGTCTCCTCAACTACTTCCATTCAAAGCTTTTGACTTCTCCTCGGCTGCTTCAGTCCTACATCGCTCACACATGCACCATCCGCCCAAACTTCCCTGGGCCCACTCTCTCCGGTCTTGAACCTTCAAGTCAATATCGCAGTAATGACTCAATATCTCCTCGCCAGCCTGGATCCCGCCCGGTAAACCACCTATCCTCTTCTCCCTGCACCAAAGCTTCATTCTTCCTCCCCATTCCCACTGCACATTCGGATTGCAGTCATGGTTGGCCAGACACCATAGTGGATGGACAGCAGCAACCTCTGGATGTCCATTCCGCTTGTTCACACGAGCTGATGCGGTACCCCTGAATTTGCTATACAACGTATTGAAGATCCAGAGATCATAATCAGCAAGCGAGGCGAAGATATCAATGTCCATTTTTTCCAAGACGTGGAGAGGCCCAGAGATGTTGTATTGGAACGAGAAAGGAAGCGTCCAAACAGGAGGTGGTGGGGCATTAGGTGATAGAGGAACAGCATTTGCAGAGCTTGGGAGGAAATCACCCCAGATATACTTCACCTCGACTAGCTCAAGGGGGTGGACCTCTTGAGTGGCAGCCATAGCTAGAGATCTGGACAGGAGAAGCAGATAGAGAGCGAAGGGCTTTTCTTTTGGGTCTGGATCCTTTGCAATAGTATCAATGTCCTTATCACAGACCGCTGGGTGATATGCCTCTTGCGCTCGTCTCAGGCAGTCTTCATTGCAGAACATGATATCTTCGCATTCCGGGCACCCCACGACCTCAGTATTTTCGTTCAGAGGGGGTAATTCCGAGCTGCATGCGTCGCACAAAGATTCCTTTAGGCGGTTGTTGGCTGCAAGAAGGGAGAACTCGTGGAGCACCGCCTCGCCTGGCTTGATATCAGCCTTCGCGAACAGCCCAAGCTGCTTATTTGTAGGTATGATGCCGTAGCCATCCGTGTTACTTGCAGATTCGAGCAGGGTAGGTAACTCGGTGACCCTCACTTCGCAGTTCGGAGCTGCCTCCGCGAGCTGGCCATTCAGGAAGTTCAGCGTTTCCTGTGAAAACCGGTTTGGTTCATGGTCGTTCCATGGATATATTTCCCTGCGAACCAATCCGATGTCTGGGAGCTCATTGATATCCACTTCGTCGACCTTCAGTCTCCTCTTCGCCATCTTCTCGATGTATTCCTTAGCCTGCAAAAGCTCCTCATCCTCCGGCCCTGCCGCCAGGCCCCTGCTGCAAAACGCGAAAGCACTCTTCAGACAGCCGCACAGCAGCAGGCTGATGGCGAGGCTGCGATAACATCGTAATGATGCTATCTGTGCGACTTGCCAGGTTCTTTGGTCTTGGTCTCCGTCTATGGTCAAAGCCTCTACCCCACCAGCGAGATCTGCGTGGGCCGTCCCTGGTCTTCGAAGCAGCGGGGGAAGGCCGTCAGCGGCACGCAAGCGTAAGGTTTGCAGGGCCTCCTCGTGGTATTCGAACCCTTCATTGACACATTCGTCACAGAGCAGAAGTGCTCTGTAGCTGTCTCCCGCGGCTAGGTCAGGATAGCCCAGTTCCGAGTGTATCGCTGCGCGCTCGAGATATGCGATCAAATCATAAGGGAGTCGGAAAAGTCCTTCTGTTAGGATGCGTCTTTTTTCCAGCAGGTGTATCGTTTCGTCATCCGAATCGCTGTCCATGGTATTGTGACATGACTGAAAGTTTTAAGAAGTTTGACAAAACATTTATTTTTTGCAAGTGCTCGCCTCTTTTCTTCGCCGATCAACTCACGGCTTCGTTCCTCGCAACCCGGAGCGTTTGCTCCTTGCCTGCTGTGATTGGCTCCGGAGCTGCTGCTAATGCGATATAAAGTGTCATCTATCAATGTTGGGTCCCATCTTTCAAGAATCTTGTAAGGATCGAGCCCAAGGAAACCTAAGATTACATGCAGCTTCAAGTGAGCTTAGCCGGACAAGGCCCAACTTTTCTTGGAATCGTCCCTCCGGGGTCTTCCCAATCCACCATCAATTAACCCAAAACAGTCTTAATCAGACTGGGAGACAGAGCAATGAGAGAAGCTTAAGGAGGGTATATTACTTAATATGGAAGACGATATTACTGTTCTAGAGGTCTGGAATTCCACAGTTCACTGCGTTCACGTGCTTTTTACGCATGGATTACTCGTTTTACGCGTGTTTTAATGCAAAATAATAACGCCCGGAGCGTTATTATTATATAATTATGGCCTGCGAAGACTCAGCACCTCCTCGTGGTGCAGGCCGTCAACCTGAATCTCTTAGGAGTTCAGGGCTAAGACTGAGTCACGAGCAAACGCAGGGAGAATTTCCTTTACTGCCCGATCCGGTTTCACGCAAGCCAGCGGTATAGCGCCTCTACGGGAGCTCAAACTTCTACTCGACGAGACTCACGATCACGATATCGACTCCGATTCTTCCTCTCTCGCTCGATCTACTATATACTTGGGGGAGATATATCTACGGGAACGGCGAGGGAAATCGAGGTGGACACCGTGGCCTTTCCGACTCTCTCAACTCACTCTCGGACTAGCTATACGGTGAAGGAATCCTCCTGCAGAGACAGGCCCGAGGACTCGGTATTTCCACGGATATAAGGGGGGGTATAGGGTATTGAGAGGATAGGGGGAGGGGTCGGGCTTGGATATTTGGGTCGTGGGAGGACTTGGGTAGAAGGAGAAATGGTCTGGTGGCCACCCCACCTGTCCGGGGAGGTCACAGTTACAAGGCAGTTTGGTTATGCACAGAGAGTAGCCATAGGCCACGCAATAGCAAGAAATGCTTTCTAAGGCAAGGGCACTGTAATACCGCGGGATTAAGGACCCCGGGCTATTTAGAAGGGAGTCTTTTTGCCCCTTGTGGTTTTTGGCTCTGTTTTAAATAGGACTTTGAGTTCTGAGGAACGTCCTTAGCTTAGCACGTCCTCATACCCTTCGGGAGGTCTCTCGGACGTAAATTAATACTACTACTACTACTACTACTACTACTACTACTATTATATAATTATTATATTACAAATTCACACATCCTTATTTCAAGACCCTGCTTAATGACCTTGTTTTCTGTATCTTTTGAGGTAGCTTCCAAGGAGGGAAGCTGACCAAAAAGTGTTCCCAGATTTTGCTATTCAAAGAAGCTTAGCAGTGGAATCGGTGGGGAGAGTTTGCAAACCCTCAATTGTCCTAGAATCTGTTGAACAATGGAATTTTTCTGTGAGTTATTATTATTGTTCGTACTTTTCCAGAAGAGACTTGGTGGGAATGTTTTACATCATAAAGTTGCTTCCGTATTTGGGTCCCATCCTGAACATCAATCTCGACTTCCGAATTGTGTCATTTTCTTCATCAAACACGTTTCCCCTCCTTCCCCGTAATTCTCCAACAAGTCCGGTCAATGCTTCCAGCGTACCTTAAACGATTATGTTTGCAATCTCGGTAGAAAGGCTAGCAGGACCTCCACAATCTATTTTTCATTCGAGTTTCTTCGTAATCCATAAGTCCCTTCTGAGAATTGATATCCAGATATGGCACATCCTGCCCGCCCATAATAAAGTTGGACCAGACCCCTTTTGATCACTCGACTAACTACAAGCGCATCGATCATGGTTCATGACTCGAACTCTCACCCCACCTTATAGGCCGGTGTCAGATAACAATGAATACTATGGCTTGACGGCATGCGTAATGTCTTTCGACCGGGAGAGTTCCTCTGTACAATGTTGATTGTCGTCTATACTTCTAAAATATGGTCTAGAACAGCCCAAGAAGTAGCCTGACCGGTAGGTTCCTCACGCATCCACGTCTAGCGGGACCCCCAAAGGACCGAGAGTGGGATATTTGTATGCACAGAAGCGCAGACCCCTCATTCTCTTATCCCCTCAAGTCACTCAACTTCTCTACGTAATAGGCTGGGATGGCTGGAGCTCCTTCAGCCTCCCACTCATCTTTCTTGCTCACACCAGTCAGGACCGCCAATGTTCCTCCAAGCTTACCCTCTATTCCGAATCTGATATCGGTATCTAAGCGATCTCCAACCATGCAGGTTCTCTTGCGGTCAAACTGGAACTTTCCCTCTATTGAGTCCATCATAGCTTGGCTTGGTTTTCCAAGAGCTGTTGGTTGTTGTCTGGTCATATTGATAAGTGGTATCGAGATAGAACCTGCGCCTGGGAAGAATGTGTGGTTGGAAGGAAGTGTGCTGTCGGTATTGGTGACCAGAAATTTGGCACCTCGAGCCAGATAATGATACGCATGTGATAGCTTTAGGTAGTTGACGTGGAAATCCAAGCCTGCCAGCACAATCCCAACATTGTCGTCCAGAAGTGACCCGTCCGCAATCCCTTTGTAGTCTTCGGGCGTGATATCTCTCCTGTATGATGGGTCTGTTCCTCCGATAAACTCGATACCTTCCGATTTAAGCTCCGTCTCAATCCCGCTTTCTCCCAGTACATATACTTTGTTCTTTGGTGGGGGAACCTTCAATATCCGAGCGATGTAAATTGCGGAGGAGTATGCGGATGCGAAGATTTCGTCGACACTGCTAGGTATTCCCATCGACGTGAGTTTCTTCTGATAATCGGCTCGGGATTTAGTTGAGTTGTTGGTAACAAAAACAACTTGCTTGCCTCGAAGATGTCAGCGAGTTCTCCACCGGCAGGACGGGAATTGGCCATACCTTTGGATCTCAACAACTCCAGCGTCTCAACCGTCCCAGGGAATAGGTGGTCTCCGGACCATAGGACGCCTGACAACCGTTAGATTTCAATCTCTATATCTGAGGACCTAGAAGCCTACCATCACAGTCAAGCAGGAAGACCTGAACCCCATGTCAGTTTGAGCTTGTAGGGATGCCTTGAAACATCCTGGACGGACTAACGCACGTCGAATTTATCAAGGAATTCATTTATGGAAGCTTGATCTCCGGAGAGATACTTGGGAAGTTGTACCATCTTGTTTGCTTGGATCGAAAATTTTATATGAAGAAAATGTTGACGTCCTCAAACGTGCCGGGATTTGGCGGGATCCTGTCCGGCACGTGCTGTGTTCCAAACCTCATCCATCGGAAACGTGAGGGTTCTGCACCTTGCCTCGAGGAGTTGCAACACGGCATCTACTCGGACAAACTACTGCACAGCAAAGTCAGTAGTGCCATCTATTACTCTTGTTGGCGATTGACACCACAGGATTGCGTGATCTCAAAGGACGTCAGGTAGGACCCTACGTCCACTTCAACTTCCATTGCATGTGGGCCACAAACACCAAAAAAGGAGGATAGTGGTACATTAGGAACAATATTCATTTGTGATCTCCTTCCAGCTGTTCTCGTTACCTTCATAGTGAATACCTAGATGTTTTGTCTTCAATGTTCGAAGAAGTTCTGATACATTGAGAACCCGCCGTCGTCCAGCTCCTGGCCCAGTAAGTGAATCATCCCTCGAGCTCTTGCACATCCACTCAATGTTCGAAGTTCCTCTGGAGCAGTGAGGCTTATTTTGGCTCTCTTGATGTCAAAAGAGAAAATCGAAACCATGAGACATGAAAGGAACACACCACTGCCTCTCACCTATATCCTTATCGTCGCTGGACAAAAAAATTCAGTCGCCTTCATATCACGTGATGTCAATATTCACGCCACCAAACAAAGCTCCTTCAGGAGATGGGGACAGACAGGTAGAGGGCACACAGAACAGTTTACATAGCCTGAAGGGTTTTAGCATAAGACGCAAGGTCTTCCTTGCTTGTACTTTATCAATGTCCGCCAAACTTCACCAGACCGGATTTTCCATCCGACGTCAAGAGAAAATGATATTTTTGACTCTATACCCAAAATCCCAGTCCTTTGGCCAGCCCGCAACTTGAGAGAAATATGGCCTTATGTTTTATGGAGTCAGAGCCTACGTTCACTACTGCAGGCTCCCTCAATGCATGTTAAAGGCCGCGGTCCGAATCGGCAGCAAAATATCATATATCAGATAAAACGCTAGCGAAGCGTCTCCGGACAGTACAAATTTTCTAGCGCTATTGCTACTTGGTAGGGGTATATATATTTATATAATAAGCTTTAAAATTCTATTAAAAAACTCTAAGTTAAAAATTAGATATATATATATAAGGACTTATTGTAATGTGTGCAGGGTCGCACGTGACTTAAGGGCATGTAACGAACCTCGGATATTGCGGGTATTAATTAGGGAGATCAGAGGCCCTTTAACTTCACAACCAACCACTATTTATATTATAAGCATTAGGCTTATAAATCACTAATTATATATACGTTATTAGGGCCTCCTATTTAGAGAGGGCTTCCCTGGATCTTACAGGAGGAACAGAGATTAGTTCTATACTGAATTTAATACTATGGTTTCATAACTCACTAATTTATTCTATTATCTTATTACCTACTAATAAACACCTTATAAGCTAATCTCTCTACCCTCAAAGGAGATAGTTCAATAAGTAATCATGTCTCGAAATCTGCGAAATATATGACTTCTCGCTAAAGCTATTCCTATAGAGGAAGTTGACTAGATTAATCCCGATACGAGTAATGGCAAAGGCTCATCTAATACTTTTAATAGGGCCCCTCAGGAGCCTCCGAGAGCCAGTAATAATAACGGAAATAATCCCGGCAATAATCAAGATACTAAGATTAATGCCCGAGTTACTATTGCCCAAACTACAAAATAGGGCTTGTATACTAAAGTCAAAGCGCTCTAATAAAAGCAAGAATTAGTAAATATAATTAACTAATATATCCTATAGTTAGAATAATATAAGAGTATTTTTAGAAATATCTTATAGTTTACTATATCTTATAAAAACTCTATTTATAAGTTTACTTTATTTTCCTTAGTAATTCCTATTAGGGAACTTCCTAAAATAGAATTAGAACTCACTTCTTTTCCTAATATAATAAGCTTTAAGAATAATCTTAATACTATTTATTAGGAGCTATTATATAATATTCTAAAGATATATTTGAATTAAAAAAAGCTTTTCAAGATTCGGATACCTGACTTATATTATAGAAAGTTTCTTAAGAAATAGAGAATATTTATATCTTTTTAGGAAGTAATCTTTAGGACCTAACCTTAAACTTATAATAGATACTTTTCTAAAATTAATTCTATTATAAGTATTTTTAAAAATAAATCTTATAATACTTAAGAAACTATAATAAAGTAAAGCCTACTATTATATAAGGTTTATTAGAAGTAATTTAAGGCCTATTAGCTAATATACTTTAAATATCTTAAATCCGTTAATAAGATACTTTTAAGAAACTCTGAGATCTTTATTAGAAAAATAGTAAAATAGTTACTAAATTATATATTTAAATAATTAGTTTCGAAATTAACTAGAACTTATATATTAAGAGAAATCAGGTCTAGACTCTTAATACTACTTTATCTAATTATAAGACTTATTAGATACTTATATCTATTTTCTTAGAAAATAAGATAATATTTATTTCTAAATAGCTTAAAAAAGCTTAGAAAGCAAAATATATTACTTATTTTAAATTAAGAAAAGCAAAAATAAAGAAATCTAATAAAAGTAACTTTATTTCTAAAAACCCTAACTTAGTAAATTCTAATTTATAAGGCTATTAAAAAAGGAAAAATAAGTTCCGAAAATTATATAAAAAACCTTTAGATAATATTTTAGCTTCTTTAAGGCCTTAATAAAATACAAGTTTTATTTTAGGTATAGTTTATTAAACTTATAAATAGAAAAAATACTTCTTAGGAAATATAAAATATTTTAAATATACTAAATAGGCTTAATAGAACTCTAATAAGGCTAAAATTATAGAAGAGTTAAGGTATTTATAAAAGCAGATTAATACTATAGCTATAAAGAAATACTCTAGAAAAACTTTCCTAAGAAATAGGGGAAAAAAAAGGCCAAATCTTAAATATTAATAATTTTAGCTATAATAAAAAAGATATATTACTTTATATAACTATTTAAATAAGATTAATATAGCCAGAAATAAGTATCTTAGAAATATATAGCAAATTTAGTAATACTAGATTAGATTATAACTTCTTTAATAATAATTAGGCTTAAAGCCGGGACTTTATTATCTTAGCTAAATATAACTAAGAATTTATAATCTTTTATAGGAACTAATTTAAGATTTATTAAGCCTATAATTTTAAGATATTTATTATAAATAATTATAATAAGATATATTTTTTTAAACTCTAGTTCTATAAATATAAGAATATTAGCTCTTATAGCCTTATTTTTAATATAGAATTTTATAAAATAACTCTTATATAATATATAAACTATATTAAGAAATAATAGATATATATACTTATATAGCCTAATAATATTAAGATCCTAATACTAAAAGAGTTTAGTAAGAAGCTTAATTAGTACCCTAAGCTAGTACCTTAAGTCTTATTTTTAATTAAAGACAAATATAACTATCCTAGATAATAGGCTTTATATATTTATAATAATTACTAGATCTTTACTTTATTATATAATTCTAGTAATACTAAATAAAAGTTTTTAATATAGTAAATTAATACTTTTTAGAAAGAAGCCTTAAAAATACTTATTTATTTCCGAGATAATAAATATAAAGACTTTTTAGAAATTTTTAATTCTAATAAAGCTTTAGAACTTTCTAATCTTAGTAATATTAAATACTTTATTAATATAGATAATATAGTCCCATATAGGCCTTTATATAATTTATTAGAGACCTAACTAGAAATATTATATCTATATTTATAAGATATATTTTATAAATATTAGATAAGGCCTAATAAAAGCCTAGTAAAAGTACTTATTCTTTTTATTCCTAAGAAAAATAGAGAACTATATCTTTATATTAATTATTATAGACTTAATTAAGTTATAATTAAGAATTAATATCTGCTTTCTCTTATTAATAAGACCTTTAACTAGCTCTAAGAAGCTAAGATCTTTATAAAGCTAAATCTTAAGAATATATATTATTAAATAAGAATTTATAAAAAATATAAATAAATAAAATAGCTAAAAGCTTTAAGACTTTAAAAAAAGCTTTTACTATAATACCTATTCTAGTTTATTTTAATCTTTCTAAAAAAATTTATATTAAAACTAATATATTAAAATTCATAATTATTAATACTATTTTATAATAAATTAATTCTAGTAATAGTCCGAAAAAATACTAGTATCTAGTAATATTCTAGTCCCGGAAACTTTCTAAAGCCAAATATAATTATAGTACTTATAATAGAAAGCTACTTATAATTATTAAAGCTTTTAAGTATTAGTATTATTATCTTAAAAAATTCAGGTTTATAATTAAGATTATTATAGATTATAATAATCTTTAATACTTTATAGAAATAAAGTATTTAGAGAATTATTAAGTATATTAGGTAATATATCTTATAATATATAATTTTAATATTATTTATTATAAAAATACTTTAAATCTAGTAAATAAATCTAGTAAAAGACCTAATTATAAAGAAAATTCTATTAATATAACTTGGCTTTTAGCTTTTTAGAATAAGCTAAAAAAAGCTTTTATAATTATAATTTAGAGGTTCTTATAAATATCTAAAGAATTCCTTCTTTAAAATAGGTATTATTTAATATTTATTATATCTATAATAACTAAGAAGAAATATTTATTATAAGACAAGTAAATAAATTATCTTATAGATTTCTTAATTATAGAATTAGTTAAGAAGTAAAATATAGGGAAATATCTTAAAGGCTCTACTATTATAGCTAAGGTAATAGGAATATCTATAACCGTATTACTTAATAAAACTAAAGACTTTTCGGTTCCTCGAGTTTTTAAATTAGATAATTATAAATATCTAATTCCCTATATATAAATATATATAATTACTAAAAGAGCTATAATACTAGCCTCTTTATCTGAATTCTTTCTAGATATTATTTAGATAACTTAGAGAAATAATTC